CCCCCCCCCCCCTACGCTAGCAATCGAACCTAGATCAGGAACCACTTCAAGCTCGAAAAAAGAAACTCGCAGGAGCAAGGGCGTTTCGGAGGTCATTGAGGGACCTAGTGGCGGTCAGCCACATGCTGACACCGTCTCGCAACGCAAAATGCTCGTGCCTGAGAGCCGGTCGGCTGCACAGTCTATGGAGTGACGGAAAGGAGAAGGGGTCACTGCGTTCGCTGAGTGAACAGGATTGTTAAGAAAGCAGGCAGAACATGTGTACTTAGATATTTGATGTCGCGATGTACGGTACTTGTATGGTGCAAGCAAAATTATCAGCAGATATTGCTTGTGGTCCTACACTTTGTACCGCTGGGTAGAGATGTCGTTGGTTGCGGAGGAACTTCGGAAGGTTTGGCTGGGAACATAGGGTAGCTCTTCTCAAACTCACTCGCTGCTCCCGATTCTTGTCTAAAGATAGATCACGCTTTCACTCGATGGAGTCCAGAGTGCTCTGTCTCAGGTAAACATCGAGCTTACATGTATCCATGATGGGGTGGTGATGTAGGGCTATTCATCCGGATGGGGTCTGAACAAAGAAGCTTACTTAGTAGGCCACAGTCTTTGTCCGACCTTTGTATGCTCAGAGAGCATCAGTTGCAAATGGTATGCGACTCCTCTATCAGTATCTCTGTACCAAACAGAAAATTAAGGAACGAAGCTTCCATCTCCGCATACGCCTTATACTGCTTGTCTGCACAAGAACACTCTGGTCATCCAAATCTATCGATCGTGCAGGGCCTATCTCTCTCTCCGAGGTTTAGCTAACTCTGGACAAGAGGACGTCCCGGACTAGTTCTCAGTGGACTGCTAAGTCATATTTACTACATCGTCCCTCAGCATATCTAGTGAGAGGCAAGTAGCGCGTGATGTCGTCGACACTTTCAAGCATGTCTGATACAAGCATCAATATATCAGGACCTTGGTGAACGTAAGCCTGACGATCTAGAGAGATTTCGCATCCTTGAGGCACAGGTAGATTGCTTTATACGTAGGCACTATGTGAAGCTCCCGACTCATCGTTCCCCAGATTCTGTCACTGATGCAGACTTCACGTAGCTGATCACCTTAGTTGAAGTATTTACCTGCGGCTGGAGGCCCTGTCGATATCAAATGTTGGCTGTGTTGCGTCTTTGTCACTCTGACCGTCGAGAGCAGAGCTTAGCCTGTCGCTCATAGTGCTGGGTCTTATCCGTACGATATGAGCGGGCATTGGGTTCGCATCCCCACAACAGCGTTACCATCCATCGGGTCAGTAGAAGTGCACAAACTTTTGTTCCTTTATACTACACGTCCTATGGGATAGCTTAGCTGGCCTCCTCGTAGGCCTCTTATCAAGGCATACCACTGGCGGTCGAGGCAAAGGCTCAATTCGACAAGGGCAGGCATTGGAAATCATGGAATCGTGCAACCACTCAAGTGTCGACCAACCATGGATTCGTCACCATCCCACCTCCTGAGTTTCTGCCTGTCCGTCGACCTCGTGTGCTGCTGGTCCCTGACCTGGTCGTGTCAGCTGGAAACACCTGCCCTGGATCCTACAGCATGCCTCTCTCTGTCCGTCCTGTGGTTACGCGCGCTGCCCCTGACCGTGAGAGTGACGAGAAGGGGGCAAAGAAGAGGAAATAAACGTGGGGGTGGTCACCGCGATTGACGTCACGGTCGCTTCCTTTGTTCTAGTGTTGTCGGCGGCGTAAGGGAGATCCGAAACGACCGTACACGATGAAATGAAGGGAAATGGGTGGACTTGGCCTGTTGACAAATATGTGCCTCTAGTCTAAATATTGTTCATAGGGCGAACCTTCCTTCTTCGCTGTACCATCTTTCTTTCGGATGGACCTTTTGACCCCTGCTGAACTCCTATAACTCCTGTCGTCCCAAATCGGTCAACGGGTATCTCAAATGCAACATGCGAGGCAGCTCCTTCGGGCGCGGGTAGGCGGCGGTTCGTAATGAGGTGGTGTTGGTGACGGAAAAGACGTCAGGACGTTCAAGACTGGAAGAGGGTATCTTCCTCTCTGAGGTACTCGCCACAATCGGCCTGTCTGAATACAACGATGCCGGTGGGGTCCAAACGCTTTGCCTCGGCGGAAGAGCGGGCGGTGACACCGAAGCCAAGAGGAGTGCTGTATCGAATTAGCGTCTGCTGCTATGAAAACAAGGAGAAGGGTCTACATACTCGTTCATCGAGTAGACGATGATACCTTGGTGCTCTGGGCAGTCTTCACTCCAGCGTCCGACATGAGCCTTGACAATGTGACCACCGTACAAGAAGGGCATCTCTCCGTTGGGCTTAACCCAGATCTTTGCGCGAGCATGGGGAGCGATGATGTCCAGAGCGGTGATGTGAAGGCGGAATTTGCCAGTCTTGGTCAGCTTGCCAATGCAATTTCCAAGGCACAGCAGGTTGTCTCTTGCTACCGAGGTGGCCAGGTTTGCCATGTCCTCGCGCACGTAGTAGACTCGTGATTCTTGGACACGGAAGACGAATCTCGAAGCTTTTCCATCCTTTCCGGGCGCCGTGTCGGTCAAAAGGTTTGTGAGGGACTTTCCAGTGTAGTTGGCGAGCTTCTCGAAGACCGTCTTGGATTCTCCTTCTGTGAGAGGACGCATGTCTGCGGTGGTTACGAGGTCGAGTTATAAGGGAGGCGCAGGAAGATTAACGAGGCAGGCCAAGGGCGATGGAGATGTTTGTCAAGATGGGGAAGTCGCAGTGGCGCTTGGTGTACAAACAAGGATTGGGTCGATACAGCAGGAAAGAGCGAGGCAGAAAAAAGAATCCTCGGATGCTTTCGACAAATGCGGAGGACGGCGTCTCGGGGGTTTGGCTCTTTCCCCGCAAATGCAGCCCTCTGATTGGCCGCTTGGCCTAAGCGCGAGCCTATCTTTTTTCTTTCCATTGTACCGCTCCCTTTGCTCGTCGAACCATACTTCTGCCACCAAAAATAATCTTAAAAATGGCTCCAGTCGCAAAGAGACGCCGTATCAGCCCAGAGGTCGAGTCGCCTCCCCATAGCACAAAGAACGGTGTCTCCTCCGAGGAAAAGATCGATGATTTCTATCGCAACGCCGCTGGGTGGAACCTGGAACAGGATTACGAGAACCGCCCTCGTAACCTGAAGAAAAAGAAGGAGGAGACGAGACTGCCCATTAAGACTGCCGAGGGTTGGGTTGAGCAAGCACCTGCTGTTGTCGAACAGAAAGAGGAGGACGCTGACAGCTTTTTGGGAAGCGGCGACGAGGGAGAAGCTGTAGAGGATGATGATGATGACGACGAGGAAGAGGAGGTACCTGAGGTGCCCCAGATCTCACCACGCGAGCAGATTCTCCAGGCCAAGGAGGAGCTCGCGCGTATCGCCAGCATGATCTCAGAAGACCCGGAAGAAAACATTGCCCTGCTCAAGAAGCTGCAAGTTCACGCCACATCACAAAACAGGACTGTGGTCAAGTTGTGCTTGGCTACTCAACTTGCCATCTATCGCGACATTATCCCTGGTTACCGTATTCGTCCCGTGTCTAAGGAGGAGCTGAAACAGAAATTGTCCAAGGACGTTCGCAAACTACGCAACTTTGAGCAAATGCTCGTTGGAGGTTATCATGAATATGTCAGATCGCTGACGAGAGCTGCAAAGAAGAGCGGCGACAAGAACAAGGAAGCTGCTTCTGTAGCCACTGTCGCCATCTCTTGCGCCTGCACTCTGCTCAACACCGTTCCACACTTCAACTTCCGTGGTGATCTCATCAACATCTTGGTCGGCCGACTCAGCATCAGGCAGGTGAATCCTGATTTCCACAAGTGCGTCGAATGTTTGGAGACTTTGTTCCGCGACGATGAGGATGGCAATGCCTCCCGTGAGGCTGTCGATTTGCTGTGTAAGATGATGAAGTCGCGAAGCTACAACATCCACGAATCTGTCTTGAACACGTTCTTGCACCTGCGACTATTGTCCGAATTTGCACACAGAAGCAGCAGCACGCGGACTGACAAGGACGAGGACGAGCCGGCTATGAAGCAAAAGCAGAAGCGCGAATTTAGAACCAAAAAGGAGAGGAAACGTCTACGTGAGGTCAAGGGTGTCGAGAAAGAGTTCAGGGAAGCTGACGCCACCGTTTCACACGAGGAGCGTGACAAGAACCAGTCAGAGATGCTGAAATTGGTATTTGTTGCCTACTTCCGTATCCTCAAGCAACGCGTACCTCAACTTATGGGCGCCGTACTGGAAGGATTGGCTCGTTATGCTCATCTCATCAACCAGGATTTCTTCGGTGATATCCTGGAAGCTCTCCGCGAACTCGTCATCACGACCGAAGCTGCTGAACAAGCGCTTGCTGAAGAAGACGAAGATGCCTCCACAGCACCGAGAAACATCAACCGCGAATCTCTTCTCTGTATCATCACAGCATTCGCCCTTCTTCAAGGTCAAGACGTTGTAAAGAGTGTCGGTTCTTTACATCTCGATCTCGAATTCTTCATCACCCACCTCTACAAAACCCTCCTACCTTCGTCAATGAACCCAGACCTCGAGTTGAGTGCCAAGTCTCTGCGCTTGAGAGATCCTGACGGTAACGATGACGAAGCTCTTCTGCCTCAGCAGGCAAAACACAAGATCAATGTTCAGACAACAACTGTACTGCTCCTTCGATCTCTGTCGTCAGTCCTGCTACCGCCGCAAAACCTTCGTTCAGTACCACCTCTTCGCCTTGCAGCTTTCGCCAAACAGCTTCTTACCATTTCCTTGCAATTGCCTGAGAAGTCATGCCTGGCGATGATGGGCCTATTGCAACAAGTCACCAAGGTTCAGGGCAAGAAGATTGCAGCATTATGGTACACCGAGGAGAGAAAGGGTGATGGTGTGTTCAACCCTCTAAGAGACGAAGTGGAAGGCAGCAATCCTTTCGCAACGACTATCTGGGAAGGTGAATTACTGAGGAAACACTTCTGCCCTCAAGTCAGAGAAAGCATAGTCGCTCTTGAGAAGGGTATTGTCCATTCAAGGGCATAAAGCTAGTCATTTCAAAGTCAGACTTTTATGCCGACGATCGCATGCTCCGTAGCCTACGTACTTTTCCATCAGATGGCATTTCTTGTACGACCTTCCACATAGGTCGTATTTCTTATCTTCCTTATCAACAGTGCTAACACTCGTCAATCTTTCACTATCATCAGGCGCTGTCTCATTTCGCTATGAAGGTCGTGTCTTGGTCTTTCAAGCCATATCCCACCATTACTCATGCCACATCTCCTGTTGTCCTTCGATAATGAGCGCCTGAAATGTTGTAGCTACAATCGTTTTGTAACAAAGCTGTTCTATGAGCCGCTAAGGATGCTGCGCAGCCTTGGAGCTTGTGGATGGCATCATGCTACAGTTCAACATGTCTAGACTTGGATGTAAACCAGATCACGTATTCGATCCCATATTCGGATCCGAAAACGAAGCATTTGACCTCACGAATGAGCTGCTCTTAGCCGTACATGACTAAACTGTATGGAGCACGTTGCGTGATTCCTCTCAGAGTGACGTGTCATGTTGGAGTCTGAGAAAACCCGTATCTCTCTTCCTAGCTTCTCTTTGTTATTGACCATTGGATGATGAATTGATGGAAAGGAAAGGGAAACGGTTTGCACGACGAGGGTCCACAACGAAGGTCTTTCTTCCTTTGCGTCCGTGCATTTCGTGATATCATTGTTGGACCAGCTTGCCAAACCTCGAATTGTCTTCAGTCGTCCTTAACTGCGATTCCTACAATACAATTCGTAATTCAGATTTAGCACAAAATCTTTGTCGTCGCGAGTGTATACATCTGATAACTGATTGGACAAACCACCGGATTCATTGCTTTCAAGCCGGTCGCGACTCATCGCGGTCTTGAAGGCGAGCTTCAATTGAGCAGACCGTCGTGACTTCGGGTTGGGATCACATTAAGGAACGGAGAAGTTTTTCTGACCAATCGAGTCTGGCAGATCTGCTGGTCGAGGTCAAAGAAGCGATACCATGGTCAACCCGTTTTCTCACATTCAACGCGGCCTGAACATCTTGCTACCTTTCGCTACACCGGGTACACCTTTGTATCAGGACTTACTGCATCTTGCGGCTTTGTGTACAGCACTCTACTACGCCCCCCAAATTCAAGCCCACATTCAGGAGCAACGAACCCCTCACGTGCAACACCATCCGGACTCTCGACCCGAAGAGGTCGAACACCAAATACCTGAGCCGGAGAACCAACAAGCAGTACCTCCACCACGTCCATTTGTTGAGGACGCAGAGGAAGATGTACGAGAGCAACCAGACGCTCCTTTCGATGACTTTGCTGGGCCGGCTGGTCCCCCTCAGGACGACGATGAAGAGCCAGGTCCTGTTAATCCACGACCTCAAGCCCCGCAGGGCAGCAACAACAATCGCACTGTTGGTGCCAAGAAGGCAAAGTCCTTGCAGCGCCGAGATCAACGCCGTGCATATCACGAGTTCATGCGCTCACAAGGTGAAGCTCAACGTGCGAGAGATGCCGAGGGAGCAGCGGAACGCGAGGCACAGCTTGCAGCCGAGAAAGCTAGACGTGCAGCAAAAGAGGCAGAGGTGGAAGCTAAGCGAGCCAAGGAGAGAGAGGAGAAGAGGCTTAGAGAAGAGAAGGCGCGCGAAGAGGAAACGCAGAGACGGGAGCTGGCTGTGCAGATTGTAAGAAACGAGCTTGAGAGCAGACGATTTGTCGACCTTGAAGAAGTGGCGAGTCGCATCGGCGCAGGAGTCAATCGAGAATGGGTTGAGGGATTGATCAGAGCTTCAGGTTTGCTTCTCGAGAGCCATGCACAGCACCGCAATATGATCACTGCGAGTGGATGGCTGGTCAGAGTAGGGCAAGAGGACATGGAAGCTTTGTACAGCGATGCTGTCAACGCCGCTGACGAGAATGATGGAACCGTGGCATATGCAGAGCTAGGTGCAAGGATCGGAGGCATTATTGGGAAGGCCGCCACCTCTACAACGTAGTCAAGTCTGCTACCTCACATTGAACTTATATCCCACTCTCTGTGCAGGACCGACATATCGCAATTCGTTGTTTCGCATTCGACAAAAACCATGTGCTAGAACTTAGAGTACTAGGGAACCTGCAAATGTATAACAGACTCCCCACGTCGGCTGTGTGTTGCCTCTGCGAAGACGTTGTCTCGACCATTGATTTGGTGGTGCACGAAGCGGAATGAGCGTTTGCAGAGAAGGAAAACATTTACCTGTCTGTAGCAGTGGTAGCAAGCTATTCATCATATACCTAATATGCGACAACAACCAAAGAGCAACTAAGGATCATTGGTTCTGAATCTTGATGGCATGCCAGTCGACCATGTAATGTGATCATCACCATCCTCAGTCAAAGTGTGACTGCTCCAAAGTGGCTTTATTGATCGGGGCGGTGATACCAATGTCATCAGCTGCTGAGACGATTCAGAGTGCAGCTCCAGCCGACTGACTCGAAGCTGACTTGCGTCTTCTGAGATTACCCGATCGATGGGCTGTGCGAAAGACAAGAGTCAGACAGGCTCAGCACAGAACAAGAGCTTGCGCAATCAACCTTTCAAGAGATGTTTATGTTTCAAAAGGGCGGCCGTCAACTCGGGCCGTGTGGCTGACCGCTGAACAAGCCGGGGCCGAGGATGAATTGACTGGGCAAGGGACAAGGAACAAGGGACAAGCTTTCTCTATTATCTTACGCAGCAGCTTGCATGCATTTTTGAGAAGGCTCGACCCCCTTCTCACACATGCACCAGACGTCGTAACTGCCACTTCTCGGCATCCCGCCTGTCTTTTCTCTTCCATTCTCTCGTTCCGCCTTTCGCGCCCTTTTCCCGACCGCTTTGGTTTTACTTTTGTCGGCACAGCGATTGCTGATCCCTTGCTTCTCCTCCTACTGATAGCCGTATTGTAAGACTAGTGTCAACCACCGCGCTCGTTTGTGGGACAGGCACGACTTTGCTCAACATCGGCCTGCTCAACCATCTGTCGGCTGAGGCGAGCGGGAAAAAGGCTCCAGCCCATGTCGCTGACCTCGTTGCAAGCCATCGGCTGTCAAGAATAGTTTAATTCTACCACCTTAATTCTGTACACATACGCACCTTCGCGCGCACACACACACACATACACACACACATGGCCATCGCCCCGACGACTCGCAGTAGTCTGTGGGCTGCTCTGTATCTTCTCGTCACTTTCACCCAGGCTTTCTACATTCCCGGTACGCCACTACGCCGGCCTCAGCATAGTTGACATACGCTGACATGACGCAGGTTGGTCAATCAAAAGTTATAGCGACGGCGATGTGATACCGCTCTTTATCAACAAGGTCTACTCGGACAAGACCCAAATCCAATATGCATACTCGGAACTCCCCTTTGTATGCCCTCCCAGTGGCCGTCGACGAGTCGGCCGCCTTATCTCCGGATCGAGCATCGCCTTGAACCTAGGTGAAGTCCTCCGAGGTGATCGCATTGTCGTCAGCGACTACGAGCTGGAAATGGGAAAAGACGACGAAAGCCACTACCTCTGCAGCCACAAGGTCGACAGGGCAGGTCTGCAAAGGGCTCAAGAGATTGTAAAGGACAACTACGTGGCCGAGTGGGTCGTCGACAACCTGCCAGGCGCAACAAACTTTGTATCGGCTGACAAGAGTCGCAAATACTACGCTTCAGGATTCAAAATGGGATTTCAAGATGAGGACCCTGTCACTGGCCATCCTCGCTACTTCATCAACAATCACGTTACCCTCGTCATCCGATACCACATGGCACCAGGAAGAGATGGACAACGAGGAAAGAAGGTCATAGTCGGCTTCGAAGTCTACGCAAAGAGCATCGAGGCTGCCAACAGGGATGCCCAAGGCATACCCGCCTCCATCGCCCACGTCACGAACGGCATGGAATTGAGCATGCGCAAGAACGGTACTGCTGCCGCTGCTCCCTCTTATTACTCCTCCGACTCATCCTACCACCCAGCCACAATTGAGGACGTCGACGAGGATGCCACTCTTACCATTCCTTACACATACTCGGTATACTTTAGAGAAGAGCCTCATCTCGAGTGGCAGAACCGATGGAGTCTGTATTTTGCAGACCAGGAGGATACCACTGGCACTCACTGGTTCGCCATTGTCAACTCTATCATCATCTCTGGCCTGCTCACCGCTGTTGTGGCTGTCATCTTCGCCCGTACTGTTCGCGGCGATCTCAAGGCTGCCAACGTCGAGGAGGGCAAACTCAGGATCAAGCGTGGCAGGACTGGCATTCGCTCACCTCGTAGACTCGAAGAGAAGACCAGCGGACTACTGGATCAGGGCGATGTCGACAACGACGTTGATTCAGACGATGAATCAGTAGAGGATCTCACGGGCTGGAAACTCGTCCACGCCGACGTCTTCCGTACCCCTGCTAACGGAGGTGTCCTGGCTGCCCTTGTCGGCTCTGGCACTCAATTAGTCTTCGTTGTTGCTGGTCTGATCATTCTTTCCTGCTTTGGCATTCTCAATCCGTCTTTCCGGGGTGGTTTCATCAGTGTTGCTATCGCTCTCTTCGTGCTTGCCGGCCTCGTTTCTGGTTACTTCTCTGCTCGCGTGTACAAGACATTCGGTGGCCAGGTTTGGCAGAGGAACTGCTTCGTTACCGCGACTCTCTTCCCTGGCCTGGTCTTCGCCGCTGTATTTATTCTCAACCTTTTCGTCTGGGCACAAGCTTCAAGCACCGCTCTTCCGTTCGGAACACTTGTCGGTCTTGTCGCGTTATGGCTACTAATCCAGCTCCCGCTCGTGTACATAGGCTCTTGGTACGGCTATGTGCGCGTTGGAGCTTGGTCTCACCCTATCAGAGCCAGCACTATTCCCCGCCAGATCCCCCAGCAGAGTTGGTACATCCGCAGCTGGCAAAGCATCCTTCTCGCGGGGCTGCCCGCGTTTTTCGTTGTGGCAATCGAACTCATGTTTGTGTTCAAGAGCATCTGGCAGGACAAGAGCGGCTACTACTATGTGTTCGGTTTCCTCGCTGTCGTAGCAGCTATGCTGGTTGCGGTAGTCATGGAAGTTACAGTCATAGCTGTATATATTCAGCTATGTTCTGAGGTGAATAGTGTCTTATGCTCGTCTTACATCACAATAGCTAACTAAATCAACAGAATTACCACTGGTGGTGGCACAGCTTTATGGTTGGCGCCTCGAGCAGCTTCTGGATTTTCGCCTACTGCATCTACTATTATCTCAACCACCTGCATATCCACGGGTTTGTATCTTCATTGCTCTTCTTTGCATACTCGGTTCTTGCATGCGCCGTATATGCCCTCTTGACCGGAACCATTGGGTTCCTGACTGCCTATGCTTTTGTCCGTAGGATCTACGGTGCTATCAAGACTGATTGAGAGATGGTTGGCAGAATGTAATTACAGCGGAGGCGTTTTTGGTGTAGAGAGGATTTCCCATGCATTGTATATATTTCTATTGTATCTCAGTTTCAAAGTCGTTTTTGACACGATCATATCTCGAAGGCACATGATGATGCGTAGAGCAGTGTGGCCTTGAGCACCTTTTCAATGACAAAAAAAGTGTATGTTTGAAGACGATCTTGACTTCTGGAATGACCAAGACGAGCGATTCGGCTTACGGATAGCTGATTCAGCTCTGGGCGGATGCATGTGAGCCGTTTACGAGACAATGGAGAGAAGAGTAAAGGCTTTCGGCTTCCAACTGAGACATATTGCAAAGCCAACAACGGCCATGGTAAAGCCGATGAATGGAACATGAAGCATGATGGAGCGAGGAGAGGACAAGATTTAGTTCCTGTCGCGCAAAGCCTGAAATAGCAAGGTGAATGTTAGAGGGGTCAAGGCTCGGACCGAGGGGGCAAGCGTCGAAGCTTTTCGAAATGAGATGCAGGGCGGATGCAATGATGAAAGTCGACAAGAAGCGACGACAAGATGGGATGAGTGACAAAGCTGAAAGCTGACGCGTGACGGACGACAGTCGTATAGGGCTCATGGCAGCGGATACGAGCGGGCGCTGGAGTGAATGTCTCAGCCCATGCATCTAGCTTTGTCGAGGACAGCAAAAGAAGCAGCCGTTATAGGAGCAGATTAGGCATGCGGGCGGGTTAGATTGGGAAGCGCAAAGCGAGGGTGCCTGATAGATTTTTGGCCGACAGGACATTGTCAGTGGTGGAGCGAGTGGGAGATGCAGTTGCAAGTCGCAAAGGCTCGAGGGCAATAGCTCAAGATTGTCGGGCTTGGTATTGAAGACGGGGCCATGGTGGGAGTCTGCGGAAGAGAGAGTTTCGGTGGGTCTGTGCATGCATACGTCAACGGTGATGGACAGGGAAAGCAAGCACCGTTTTCCTACGCCAGCCAGAAGATCCTGGCCAGCAGTCGAGCCTCTCTTTCTCCTTCTCTTCTTCCTTGATCCCTGTTCCCCTAGATTGCCGCTGGCCATGTACGAAAGCCACACGCACATTGGAGATTGATGCGTCCCAAGTCCTCGACATGACGGGGCAACAAAGCACATGGTGGTCTCGAGTAAGCGGCGGAGGCAAGGTCGGCTTCGACAAGGCGTGGAACCTCGTCGACAAGCTGGGCGCGCCTGTGAACAAGCTGAGCAACAAGCTGGGCTCCGAGGCCTTTTGGCCCACCACTCTGGACCGGGAGAGTGACAAGGCCGCTCGCATTCTGCGCAGTTTCTGCAGTACGTCATGCTATGACCCGTCTAGACGCGTCTCCGCTAACCGCAGAGTCCAGAGGATGGCTTCTACCAAGAAGAAACAACAAAGCCCACGCCCGACGGCCCCAAGGCCAAACAGCGCGTCCTCAAACACATACCGCCAGAAGTCATCAAGAATGCAAAAGGTCTCGCCATCTTCACAACAATGCGCACCGGCCTTTGGGTCTCGGGCGCCGGTGGTTCCGGTGTCCTGGTCGGCAGAACTGCAGACGGCAGCTGGTCACCTCCATCGGGCATCATGCTACATACCGCAGGCCTCGGCTTCCTAGTAGGCGTCGACATCTACGACTGTGTAGTCGTCATCAACACTCAAAAGGCACTCGATGCCTTCTCCAAGATTCGCTGCACCCTCGGAGGAGAAGTCAGTGCTGTCGCAGGTCCCGTGGGAGCTGGCGGCCTTCTGGAAACTGAAATCCACAAGCGACAAGCGCCAATATTCACCTATCTCAAATCGCGAGGCTTTTATGCTGGTGTCCAGATAGACGGCACCGTCGTCATTGAGCGGACCGATGAGAACGAGCGCTTCTACAACGAAAAGATCTCGGTGGGCGACATCCTGGCTGGCAAGATCCGCCATCCGCCCCTCGAGTGTCGCCCACTCCTGGAAACCATCAAGGCCGCTCAGGGCGACAAGGACGTCGACCAGTCCGTCCTACCCTCGGCTCCACCGCCGAGTGACTTGGACATCAACAATCCAGACCACTTCTTTGGCATTCCAGACAGAGAAGATCCAGACCCGTATGGCGTTCTGGCTCTCGAGAAAGAAGGCATGAGCATCCGTGAAGCCGGCACACAAAAGCGCGCCAGTTGGGAACAGTTCAATTTCCAGCCCGCTCCCACTAGTCCCATCTTCAATACCTTCAGCAGACAAAGCTTGGAGAAAACCGGTAGTCGTAATCGCAGCAGCAGCAATTCCACCTGGAAGACATCCAATCTGTCGCAGACTGCCACCTCGAGTGCCGGCACAGCGCTTGAACAACCTAAGCGAGCAAGCGTCACTCGCTCAATGTCTGATATGTGCACACAAACAGACTTTGCGGAGCCCATCAGCCCACGTGTGGGTAGCTTCCGCAGTCGTCAGAGTAGTTTGCACGAGATCGCCGAAGACAGCAACATCACCTCCGAGCCGCGCCCCAAGATTGACCGCAATCCAAGCTCTCGCTCTACTCGCTCGAGCCCGAGACGATCCTCCTTCCGCTCATCACACCGACGTGCAGATAGTGGCAGCGATTCGCGCTCCGACTCTCCGCCTCAGCAATCAACTCCTGCCAAGCCCGAGCACAAAGATATCGCCGAGGAGAGCTTCGACGATGTCGATGGAGATGGAGATGGAGATGGCGACGACACTGCCGACGAAGCCATCATCGAAGAGCCTGTGGTGCACTCGGTCCAGAAAGCCACCGCTCCTCAATTCATCTCTCGCGCTCGTCTCGTTGAAGTACCGAAGCGTATCACACCCAAACTTCCTCCCCGTAACCCCAACCGCGGCAGAGGTCCTGTTGTCATCAACGCCGAACCTGGGGCCCAGCGCACTTCTACCGAGCTTTCAAGCCCCGAAGAATCTCCCCTCAAAACGAACAAACCTGATTGGAGTGCGCCTTCGAGTCCAGACAAGCTAGGCGCAGAGAGTAGTAGTTACGCAGACCCATCGCCTAGTCCCGGCGAAGAAAGAAACCCATGGGGTCATATCCTGGAACAACACCGGAGAAATGAGAGCAAGGACTCGCTCGATATGCCCGGCACATTCCACTCTCTGCCGCCAACACCAGACGAAACCAGAGAAGGCGCTCCCATATCTTGAGACCACCCACGCGCTTCTCAATGAGGTCACATCTACACCACTTGTTGCGATCATACCCACTTATCAAAGCCATGAAGTTCTTGCAATCTAGGCGGCGAAACTCTGCGAATACTGCATTAGAGTCACATAATTATTCCTTTCTTTTTGTTCATGATGTTACGATAGCGGATTTACTTTCATGTTTTGTATTCTTTCTCGGACGAATAAGCATGATCTCGGTGGGGAGGGTAAGCAATGAAGAGCCAGGATTTCCAAGTCTTATTGTCTGGTGGGAAATCTATCATATTTCGTATATCTATTATATTCCCGAGCACTCCCTGTCATTTTGTCTATTTCCTTGTGCCGCGAGCCAAATTTGTTCACAAATCCACATCTAAACTCATGCTCTCCCCATTTTGTATCACATCCTATAAACTTCCTTTGCCGTTCCATTCCAAACTCTTTGTTTTTCCTCTTCTGAGCAATTGCGTTGATTCAGCACCTCCTCAACAACACTCGTCCACACGGGCCAGCTCCCCTCTCCCTCCGGACCCTTGACATTACACACGGGCCAGTCACTACCAAACATGAGTCTCTGCGGACCAAAAGCATCAAAAACCACATCCGTCCATGGCTCGATTCTCTTTGCCAACTCTTTTGCATCTGCAGAGTCAACAGGCGAGTCGTCTTTGCTAAGCTCCGAGAAGGCACCCGAGAGCTTCAAGTAGACTCGAGGGTACGAAGCGAAGTTTTGCATACAATTCCTCCACTGAGAGAAAGAGTCTGGAGATTCAGACGTGTAAGCTGGTTTGCACATGTGATCTGTTCAGGTCGTTAGCATCTCAAAGGACAGGATGTGGAGGAGGTCGCTTACTCAACACCAACACTGTTCTCTCGTCTTGCGCAACATTGTTGTACAGTTTCTCCAAGACTTTGGTAAACACTTCCAACTGCCAGACACCTCCACTCTGTTGATCAATCCCTACATCGAAAGAGAACTTATTCGTTCGTGAAGAGAACGACTTTAGAATTGCTATAAAGTCATCGCTCAAGACCAAGTTCTCAAACTCCGTCTTATCAGTGATGGCTTGTAGCAAGAAGCGAAAGCCCTTTACGCGTTTCCAAGTCTCCGTTCCAGTAGTCTGTTCGGCCATATCTAGCCATTGGGAAAACACTTCTGGCCCTTGATGTACAGGAGCCCATGAGACAATGCCTTGGAGCAGATTCGAGGCTTCGGTACCATAATCGCCCTCGACAATACTTCGTAAGAATTGCAGCTCCTTGATGGCTTCTGCGGCCCAAGTCTCTAGAGCTGATGAAGACGGGTCTTGGAGTCGACGATCTGTCTCTACGTACACTACACTAGCGGGCGAGTTTGACGATGAGGCCGCCGTGTAGTCGGAAAGGATATGTTGTTTCGAGAGAACGAAATCAGGGTCGCTCATCCATGCGTGACCATCTTGGTCTGCTGCTGAAGCGGGCCAAAGATGGATGTGGCTATCGATGATGGGGTGGTCCCTGATTGACATTGTTGGTTTCTGTCCTTTCCGCGATTGTGAGATGAGATGCAGCGGTCGGTGCAGATTGAAGCGTAGACGACCGGCCGGTAGAGGTTGGAACGAAGACTCGGGCTCAGGAGCCGACAGTTGAGCACGTTGTTCGCCAATTCGGGGTGTTCTCTCGACACTCGGCGTTCTTCGGTGAAGGATGACCCGAGAAGCGAGAGATCTCTGGGGGGAACGTGGGGCTCCTCTCCACCATTCCCCCCGATGCTTCGGCCTTCTTCGCGGCCAACGCGCATAAGGTGTAATAAGAACCTGGCCTTGCCCCTCTTGCTCGCTTTGTGGAAACCACAACATCTGCTTTGTTCCGTCCTTTTCCTCAATCAACGTTTTGACTATACAACTTCGCACACACAATGGTCTCCTCACCTCCTCCTTCGGGCATTTACGTCCCCGTAAGTCCTGGGCCCTCCCCACACATCAGAGCTTCATAGGATTGACAGCATCGACAGGTCCCCACCTTCTTCGCATCCCAGTCTGCATCCAACTATGACCCGGTCAACAATCCTCTGGACCTTGAGACCCAGACCAAGCATTCCTTGTTTCTCGTCAAAGCCGGGATCCGTGGTCTGGTCATCCTTGGATCTACGGGCGAAGCCATTCATCTCACAAACGAGGAGCGCAACGAGCTCATTAGCAGCCAGCGCAAGGAGCTCGACAAGGCCGGATACAAAGACAGACCCATCATCGCCGGCACTGCAACACAAAATGTCCAGGAGACTCTGATTCAGCTCGAGGATGCAAAGAAGGCCGGTGCCGAGTACGGCATGGTCCTTACACCAGGCTACTTTGCGTCAGCTGCTAGCCAGCAAGGCATTGAGAAATGGTTTACCGCAGTGGCTGACAAGAGCCCTATCCCGATCATGATGTAAGACATATTGCAGCCTCTGAAGCCTCTGAGCAACTGCTGATGTGATGAAACAGCTACCACTACCCTGGTGTGACAAACAACATTGTCGTGGCACCTTCGACTTTCGAGCGTCTGGCCCAACACGCAAACATTGTTGGATGCAAACTATCTCATGGCGACATCCCTGATCATACGCTGATCGCATCGAACCCTCGTATTGACCCTTCACACTTCAAGGTCTTTTCAGGTCTTGGTCAGAACCTCCTTCCTGTACTTACAATCGGTGGTCAAGGTGCCATCGATGGACTTGCAGGCATCTTCCCTCGCGTTGTGGTCAAACTGTTCAACATGTTTCAAGAGGGAGCAGACAACAAGAAGCTGCGTGAACTTCAATACAAGATCTGCGAGGGCGAGAGGCTGATCGGAAGATGGGGCACTGTTGGCATTAAGGAGGCAATTGCAAGATGTTGGGGCATGGGTGACAAGGAAGGAGCCAGGCTGCCGCTACAAGGAGGCTTCCAGGGCGGTGACCAAGAGTGGAGTAACTGGAGCAGTGTGTTCGAGGGACTGAAGCAATTGGAACTGGAAATCGAGAAGAGTGGTTAGAGAGAGTCTGTCGATGACAATAAGAATATGAAAAAGTCATCTATCGAGGAATCTGTATAGAGAGTCAGTCCAACGTTAACGATGAACAGGATTCCAAGAGCATGAGAAAGCAAGTTGTCGGATCAGGTATTGAGAAGATTGATGGTACTGGATGTAAAATCACGCAAACGTGCAACGCGCGACAGCGAGCTGAGGCTGTTGCAACAAGCAGATCATATGGCCCCAGCGTCTTTCATCAGGAATTGTGATGCGTGAGAAGTGAAGGGATGGATGTATAACATACCTAGTCACGGTCATGTCACAGAGATGAAGATTGAAGGATTGGTGTAAATCATCTGAAGATGATACAAGGAAGGAAGCTGGAAGGAGAAGCAGAAGCCAGAAGCGGAAGCGGAAGCGGCAGATGGTCCAAGCGTCGAGCTCCAAAGATTCGCGATCAAAGTACAAGCGACGCGATCAAGATTGATTGTCATTGCATTGGGAATTAACATCTGGACGAGAGCGCTGACAGACGATACATGAGGCCAATATAGTCAACATGTTCAAGGTGCCCGACTCGGATCCGCCATCGACGCCAAACTCACGTCGCGGCGACGATGAGCACCCGTCAACAACGCCAGCACAAGCGCCGCCGACCGGATACACCAATGCCTCGTTCACTCCAGCTGGGCCCCCACCGCCCAGTGTCTACGGCAGCTCACTGTTTGCCGAAAGCCGGAATACCTTCCACCCACACTCCAAAGCGCCGAAGCCCTCGTTCGCCCTGCCGAGCAGTCCACCGCGCGACCATCACAGAGACGACGACGACGACGACATGGATGCCGATGCCGATGGCGAGAGCGTCGTAGACCACTATCCCAACAACCAGCTGCCCGCCTTCAACTCTGCCTTTCCCTCGGCCTTCCGCTCGGTCAACAAGCCTACAGCCATGTCGTCCCCTCGTGGCCTGAAACGTTCCCGTTATGGAGATGTCATGGGTAACTCTTTGCGCCAGTCCACCGGCCTGCGCATCGACAAGGATAGACAGACGGCCATTCCTGGTCTTGCAAAGAAGCTGGCCACCAAGCCCTCCCCCGAGCTGTCAGAGCCCGACGACATGGTCCTGCGCTCCGATGCCCTCATGGCCCAGTTGTACCAGGACATGCATCTCGCTCAGAACACAGACTCTCCTGCTCTCCTCGACCGCACAGCACAACAGCTCGCCCAGCTATGGCAGAAACATTCACAACTCAAGTCACAATCCGGCGCCATCGGCCCAAAGTCTCTGGACAATCTCGACAAGGCAAACTATCTGGCTCAACTCGCTCTCCGCCTCCATCATCCCGCATCCGCATCCGCATCCGCATCATCCAACACCCATCTTCCCTACCAACGCTCCAACGCCTACTCCAACCTCGTCATGTCATCAAACCATCCCACCTCCATCCCGCGCGCCCTGCTCGATTGGCTCATCACATACCACAACCCCTTTCCCGATGATCTCACCGATGTTCTGCGCTACCGCCCCACTCCCGTCGCTCACGATCGCTTCTGGGACATGGTCTATGCCTGTACCTTGCGCGGCGACTTGGTCAACGCCATCAACCTACTAGAAACTGCCGACTGGTCACAAGCTGAATCTGCCCTAGAAGATGGTTACGACGAGCCCGGCTATACCGGTAATCATCTGCACGCTGTTCGAGATGTTGTCGGTCGCTGTGTGGACCTACTCAGCACCTGCCCCGCTCTGTGCGAGAATGACTGGGATGTCAAGGGCTACGACTGGGCCATTTTCCGCCATCGTGTTCGTCGTGAGTTGCAGGATCTGCAGCAGTTCGCAGAAGCAGACAGTCGTGATAAGGACCCTTACTCAGCCGCTCCGTTTGGCAACACGAGCATGAGCTTTAGCACTGCCAGCCGTCGTGCAGAGAGCAAGGTGCCTTGGCTGATCTATGAGAGTCTAAAGACTCTGTATGGCCAGCTCTTGGGTAAGCGTGACGAGATCATGGTTGCTACTCAGGATTGGCTAGAGGCCGTCATCTTCCTCACTGCCTGGTGGGACGGCGAAGACGACGATGTCATTTCAGACGATCTCGCTGCCAGTAGACGCTCCATGCGCCAATCACAATCTATCCGCCAAGTCGATGTCTCACCTCTCTTTGCCTACAAGAAACAACTGCTCCTGGCCTTTGCCGCCACCACCGACAAACCTGACGAGGAAGAGTTTTATCTCAACACTCTCAATCCTGTCCACGTCGGTCTAGGCTGCATCTGCGAGGATGATATTCAGGGTCTTGTAGGAATCCTGAAGACGTGGTCGTTGCCCATTGCCTCCGCTGTGGTCGAATTGGCCAGTGCTGCCGGCTGGATGCCAAACTCGGCAAGAAGTATCATTGACGCTTTCGATCAGGACGACCTGATGGTTTTGAATCACGGTATGCCATCACAACCCGACTTGATCAAGCGTGATGATGTCTTGGTCCAATTCGCGTCGGTGCTGGCAAAGAAAGACTCCTTCAAGAACGCAACTGGCAAACCGGTACAAGAAGGCTGGGATCTTGCTTGTCGTGTTCTCGGACGTCTTGATAGTTTCGAGACTGCCAAGTCGAAAATATCGGAAGTTCTGGATCACATTTCGCTTGACTCCACAGCGCGGGTAGACAAAGTGCTCGCGGTTCTTAACGAAATTGGCTTGCCTGATCAAGTGCGTGAGGTAGCAGAGCGTTACGCCGACGATTTGGCAGCTTCCAGTCAAGATTATGGCAGCGCCTTGGTATATTACGCTCGCGCACACGCCTCCCGAAAGCTTCGCAGTACAATTGACCTGCTTATCTCCTTATGTCTGGTACAGAGCGCCGCATTCCCCCCGCAAGCGATCATCGACTCACAGCTGGACGCTCTGCTCAACGATCAGCACGCTGCACTCCATCAAATCGCGCGTCAAGATGTCGCAGCTGCTCAACTACTCGCATCACAGCTCAGTGGTTACGCAACGTTACGTCGCTTCTATGACTTGCGCGACGCGGATGCCGTGAAGGATGTAGCAGAAGTCGATGTCGAAGGTGATGAGGAAGCTGCGACTCGCAAGCCTGGTACGTTGAGACCACTGGCGAGAAAACGCGAAGCCGCTAGGGCGTTGATGGCTGTCATTGAGTCCGCCGCGGAAAGTATCCGTGGTGGCTTGTATGATCCCGACGCTCAATCAGTGGTACAAGTCGATGCCCTCATGGCTTTGTTGTGTGAGGCATTACCTTTGATGAATCGTAAGTTATCTCTTGTCATCTTGTGCGACAAGACCATGGCTGATCTGAAAATAGAAACAAAGCAAATCCTGAAGACACCGCATCTCTTGACACTGATCCGAGCAATTGAAGACTTGGAAACGATAACTCCGGGTATCTACGCTCAGAACTCTGTGGTCTTCACCGCCGCAATCAGTAGCCACGTCGCGAATTTAAGTACACAGCCCAACCATACTCCGACATCCTCAACGCCTGATCTCAGCAAGTCAATTGCGGGCTTGAAGCAGAGTGTGAGTTGGAACATGGTTAACAGCAGTGGCAGTATCGCTTCCGAAAATAGCGGAAATAGCGACGCAGGTGGCAACGCGATGAGAGGCGTACAAATCAAGAGAGCGTGGGATTGGAGGGTCGGTGCCGTGCACATGAAGGGCAAGAGCGTCAAGCCCGAGGATGTCATGAGAGTCTTGAGGTGTCAGGTTGCTATTGAGATGAGCAAGGTGTGGATGTAGACGTCTTTTAGCTACATGGTTTCTCTTCCAACAGCATCAATGGTTTGGGGAGTAAGTGGTCCAGATGTTGTGCAGTGCAACGACTAATGTCAAAGGAAATATAATCTGCTCTGTCGAAGTTGACGAGGATTTTTGAACCAACAAACCACACAACTCTCAACTATCCATGCCACCGTCGGCCACAACCAATTTACGTGAATATTTCAGCACTTGTAATTGCGCTTGCATGTTTGCATTGCATATCTGCCACGGAAAGACGTCACAAGAGAACGTGTCAAGGCGATGGCCGTACATCAACGGCTATGTCGACAACGAACAGGGTCACCCACCCATCAGCCCTCCCGAGCAATCTCTGAAACAAATCTCACGGCCCACACTTGGATCATGTAACGTGCGTGCGTTTGAAGAAGAAGAAGAAGAGGAAGAAAGGCAATGGAGATGCGAACGCAAAGAATGAGTCATTAGGAACATGAGACTCGTACGCCCGACTACCTCAGCACGCCCATCGGCTCGATAAGAAATATATGATTCAAAGCTATGCCTGCCTGCTTGATGCTTATGCCTAGCGCTATGCAAGTGTGAAACCACCAAACTCCATCAGCTCACTACAGAGCAATCAAATCTACATTGGCAAAATCGGGAGGGCTTCTTCTAAAGACAACCTTGCCGTTCGCGTTCAATGCGGTTCCTTCGTTGCTGATCCAGATGTTTGTCCTCGGGGTCCTCTTTTCAGTCTCTGGATCAATGTCTTCGACAGTACTCATGCGCTTGGTCCTCTCAATCTCGTCATCCGAAACTCCAAGATTATCGCGCGGGATCCAGACAACCGGTCTACGGGCACGGACCGCGGAGTGTTGGAAGGAGTAGCGGATCAGAGTATCGCGCTCTTCGGGGGTCAGATCTTCAAGTTCGTCGCTGAAGCCACCAAAGAGGACATCGCCAACCTGTTTCTGAGACTCCATGTCCACCTTTGCGCTTTGTGGATCCACACCAACAGCAGTAGGTCTATGGCCATCCCTGCCGTGAGCATGTGGTCGAGCAACATTGCGCAAATGGCGAACAGGTTCGCTGACCTGCTTTACCTTTCTCCAACGATCACCACTATTATTAATCGCAGGCTTAGTGTCCATAATAGCGGGTTGGGCGTGTTCGGGAACAGAGCCAGATCCAAAACTTGACATGCGAATGCTGGTGCGTTTGTGCTCATGGATCATCCTACGCTCCTCGGCGAGTGCTCGCTCCTCTTCTTCGGCTTCCTTCCTCTCTAGGTCCTCCAGTCTGACCTCCGGATCACCTTGAAGTCGGTCGTGTTCGTCTTCCTGATCCGCCAGATGTTCCCACTTGAGACGCTGAGCACGTGCGAATTCCTCGTCGCGGATAACTGCATCATCTTCAAGTGTGATTGGCAGGTAGCGGAAAAGTGGTGCGAACGCATCGTTGAGGAGCCATTGGAAGATAGCCGTACCCACAAGCATGACAATCATGATAATGGCCTGCGCTGTGCATCTGTTCTTACCTGGGAAAGCAAAGAAAAGACCAATCATGGCAATTTCCATCACATAGAGTCCAACGAACAACTGGTTGATGGCTTTGGGAAACAGGAGGCCTCCAGTATCGTGGCGATATTGGTAGACATAGAGGGCATTGTACCGTTGTGTGATCCAATAGATGCTGAACACAATAAGGTTGAACACCATGACCAATGGCGCAATGATGGAGAAGATTATTCCAATCACTGCGAAATTGGTGAAGGGGGGGAAGAAAGATCCCCACTTGACAATTCTCAGCTTCGTCTGTCTGGCCCACTTCTGACGTGCCGTGGTGTCCACTATGGGCGCCCATAGGAACCACTCCAACAACGCCGCGACCTGTAGCAACGCGGCCGCGCTGTTGTTCAGCGCTTGCACTGTAAGGTAAGAGAAGAAATAGTTTGATGCTCTCGGCAGGTTCTTAGCGAGCGTTTCCGGAACCTTTGTGGTCTCAGTAGCAACCTCCTTAAAGAAGGCTGGCAAACCGGACGATAGTGTGACAATAAGGAACACTTGAATGAAGAGAAATGCGAAGTAGTAAATCTGAACACCCATCTCTCTGCCGTTTCCAGTAGCAACACCTGTTTGCTTTACCAGAAGTCGCAGTATGACAGGTACCAGTGCTAGTACGATACTCAGGAAGATTGGAGGGAGGACACCCTGGACCAAATCTACAGCCTTTGGCGGTAGCTTAGAAATCCATGACAACCACGAGATGGTCTCCAAAGTATCAAGTGTCGACAAGAATCCAGATACCACGACCACTGGCGCCCAGAGAAATAACATGCCGACGACAGCGGCGAAAACAAGCCCACTACGCAGATAGCGTTCCCACCATTTCATAGACATGTTGTCCCACAAAACATCGTTGGGCGATATCTCGACCAGGCGAGGTGTCATGTGCTGCGGCATGTGGTGACTGACAGACTGACAAGCCATGTGAGCGGCCACCTGATGGTTGAATTGAATGAATGCCGAATTCATGAATGGGAAACGCTCTACATTCTGCTGATCCTCTTCGATTTCGACATTCAAGCGGGCAAGCTCCTTACGTAGATAATAGATCTTGTCGATCTTCTTGCCCATCAGAGGTAAGCGAGGCCACCAGGGCTTGTCAAAAATTGGCTCTCGGAGAGTGTCGCGGTCTTTGGGGTCGATGTACCGCTGCCACATCGGTTCGGTTTCTTCTGCAGTAGCAAGTTCTTCGTCAAAGGCTTCCGGATAAACAGGCTTCTCTTCTTCATCGTCTTTTCCCCAGAATTTGAGCCAGCTAAATTTGTTGGCCCATTTGCTCTTGGACATGTCCTGTTTTGGGCCTTCGCTAGGGTCCTGATTCCGCGACTGCCCAAGGGTCCTGAGAGGATATTCGTCCTCCTCCACAGCAAAGGGTTGAGGGCTAGGTATGGGTAGTGGAGTCGCCTGCACCTGTCTCCTGATATTGTCCCACGCTCGTCTAGGCGCGCCTCTTGGCTTAATGGGCTTGTCGTTGTCAGATGTACTCGAGCCTTTGACGCCGGATTTCGGACCGTCCGTCCACGTTGTCTGCGTATTTGCAGATGATGGTTCACTCCAATCAGAGCGTCTGGTGTCTTGTGCCTGGGTTCGATCCAATACCGCAACGTCATCAGCCTTCCTGAGTCCGGTTGCACGTTCAGGCTCAAATTGATTTGCTTCGTCCTCGTGGTAGCCGGAAGACATAGGGGCTACAGGTGCTTTGGTCTCGGGTTGTACAGAGGATGCATGGCCTGCAGATGACTCATCCTCAGGACGATCGAACGAAACACGGGCCGCAGATGTGGCGGGAACAGACAGGGGTGCCGGAGCAGGTGCAGGCCCCTGTGCAGGGACAGATGCGTCAAATGCGAGTCTCTCAGCAGGTGAAGACTTGTTGAGCTCATTGACGTCTGCGTAGAAACCGGTCATGTTGTTGGCCTGGTCCACGGACTCATTGACGTTGCGTATGACGCGATTGACATCGTCAGCGACTTCTCCCACAACCTTGCGACCGAAGTTACCGAGCGCACCGAACCCATGACCTACAGCACCAAAGCCCTGACCGAGCTTGTCGCGCAAGTGCTCAGGAGACGAGGCTCGCTGTTTGTCGTGTCTTTGCTCGTCATCTTGGATTTCGTCGAGGACCTCCTGCAGATTGTGCGGGACTTGGTGAGGGTCGCCTGAGCTGATACCGTTGCCTTGGGCGATACGCTCGGCTTGCTCATCTGCTCTGGTCTTGTCCTGTGCCTTCTCTTGCTTTGTCCTGGTCCGCCCTTCTTCTTTGGCCTTCTTCGCCTCCATCTTCTTGTGCTTTTTGATACACTTCTGGATCAGACTGGTCTCCGCTTCCTCCAGGTTTTGAGCGATGTTATCACGTTCCGAAACCTTGTCGGCAAGATGGTCGAAATTCCTGTTAATCCAGATATTGCGAATGCCTCCAGGAAAGACGTCGTACAGGCCGTTCAATGCGTCGACCGTCAGCCACTTTCTAGGAATACCGCTGACGAGTACGGTGGTAGCTGAAGCGCGGATACGATGTTGCGGAGATGCAAGGTAGGCCTGTCGGATGCGGATGTAACCACGTAATTCGGTGTAGATGACATAGAGGACCCAGAGAATGGTTAGGACAGCCAGGACAAGATGAGCCCAGGTGCGTTGAGAGTGTACAGCAGGGACGTTTCTCCAGCCCAGTTGGTCGGGTCCTACAGTGCAGCCTGTGCAACTGAGTTTATTGATAGGTAGAAGTATGGGAAGGATGACAGCGGAGAGAGGGATGAATATCTTCAGCAGCATGCGCAGGAAACGCAAGAAGAAGTAGGCGTCTAGACCGCATTTCTCGATAAAGGTCTGGTTGGGCGTGGTGAAGAGGGGAACCGTCCATTGCCACACGCCTTTAGGTGGGGCAGGCACGCGTTCGCGTTCGGCAACGAGGTACGATCTGGGACGACTAGGAGATGGTTAGCCAGCGTGCACACGCTGAATGGGGGAGTGCATGATCCTACTAGATTCTGCTGAGTCGGAGGCGAAGAAGGACGAAGCCAAGGAGTTGAGCTCCCAAAGACACAAGAGCAACAACAATCGAGGAGAGGACGGTGCCCCAATCCTGGCCTACGTCGTTCAGCGCAGCACCGCAGCCACCATTGAACAGGCCGCCACCGCAGGTAGTTGAAGCAGACGCTGCAGCCGATGTGGTTGCAGACATAGCAAAATGCTATACTGCGTACGCAAAGAGGGCGGTACGAGTACGAATGGCCTCCTCAGGGAAAGACGCTCGCGATTAAGGGGAAACGTCCCATGTGAGCGTGCTTCGGTGGTCTTTGGAAGCGACCGACAGAATTGGAACAGGTAAAAGATTCCGGATAGGTGGTCGAAGGCAAACAGATGCAGGTTCAAGGGTAGCGAGGGCGTGCTTCAGTAATGACCTGTCTCGACTCTCCAAAGTTGCCGTATGCCATACGGGCATGCCATGTTCTGGGCGCCAACACACACTCGCTGTTGCAACCGAGACCAAGGTTTAGACTCGCGCCTGCCACGCTCAAACTATGCTGTCCACCAATCATATCGACAAGTCTTCGCGCTGGCTGTGGTCTTGGCTCACGTCAGTATAGACACGGACCTTTATTCCCAGGTCAATGCGAGGCGGCCCCGGTCGATCAGCATCAAACTGGAACTGCGAAACAGCATTTATCTCAGAGACTAGAAACAGCCTCTTACACAGCATGCATGAGCTTGATCGTGTTTTCTTGTTTCTGCCCATGTAACCATCTGTCTGGTCAAGCGCTAATCAAAGCCGTCCAGTCTGTTTGTCGCTTGCGGCTTGAAAACTATCAGGGGTTCGTGCATGTCGTAGTGGTCATGTTCATTCAAGGGCCTGTTCAAAATCTAGGTATAATCTAGCGGCCTTTTGTTCGTAAACAGATCCAAACATCCAAATTCTATCCTGACCTATCATGTAGTTCTCATGTAGTCCTCATCTATGTGCCCAGCGTTAGATCCCAGCCGGCTCGATGGTGTCTGGGAATGCGTTCTCTCCCAAACGGGACCCGCAAGCTTGCTTCCAGTTCTTGGGAGTAAACTTGTCCACGATGCCTTTGAAAGCTTCAAGGGTACACAGGCTCTCATCGTCACCGTAATGTTTCCCAGCTGGTCTACATCCGGGAACCTTCATAGCACGATCGTTATAACGCATGCGTACGTAGTAGCCATCGAGCTTCTGCTTATCCGAGTCGGATAGCATCGTCAATGGAGTGCGCGAAGAGGATCCTGGGGTCAGTGTGCTCTTTGCCGGGAACAACGAGCTTCACCAACTGCCAGTGGTGATTGCAGGTTGAGCAGTTGTAGGGACTGTACGATCCTTGAACAGCTCAATAGCGATGTGTGACGTGTAGGGAGGCCACTGTTCGCCCGTGAAGGCGCCCATGCTGCTCAGAACGGCAGCAAGAGTAGTGTCATGACAACCAGAAAGAGCCATCTGAACATCGCTGTTGCTGCTGGCCGGTGCTCTGGTCTTTTCCACCAAGCGGCTTACAACGTCACCCATGAGTCCACCGATACCTGTACATTGTCAGTGAAAGGCGCACAAGACTCAAGTAGCCGAACTCACCAAGCTGACGATATTCTGTAGACTCCATGTAGCCCGAGAACCACTCTTCGACGCCAATCTTGTCGATGATTGCTCTGCCTTTCATATCGTAGAACTCCTTTGGCAAGCGGGTCTCCTGCGGGTGCGCGAGAGTCGAGTTGACGGTGTCCATAATGCCACTGTGCTGTCAGTAAGCTGTCGAGTATAGTTGTGCTTGCATTCGGCGAACCTCAATCTTGGATGACCGTCGACCTTTACGGTAGAGGAATCCTGAGGCATCCACTTCCCGAACAACTTGTTGAGGTGTGCCATGTCTTCAGTCTCGTTCCAGCGGTCGGCGGTTCTTTGAGCAAAAGCCTGACTGAGTTGAGCAAAACGCCGACAAGCGCCCTCGTTAGGGAAGAGCGTCTCATGACTAGGTTGACGCTGAACAATGGTCGGCGGAGCGAAGTCAGCGGCTCTTGATGAGGGAGGGTACAAACCGTAAAAGGTTTGCTGAACAGACTCAAGAGCTCTAGGAATGGGAGTCGCACGAAGGTACATGTGGTTTGCGTCCTGTAGAACGGTTGGCATGAAGCCAAGTTGGTCAACATACAATCTGCGCAGGCGCTGTCCCAGTGCCAGAGTCGAAGCACGCCCTTGGTCAGTCAATTCGCCAGGGAGACTGGGAGAGGTTAGCGTAGTCTTGATAGCTTGTGGTGAGTCGTTTATACCAGATACCATCAGTCTCACGCCTGGGACCTAAAGACAAGACGGGAGAGTCGTCGTTCTCGTCAAACGTCTCGAGTCTTCGTCTATAGGCCAGCTCGTCCCAGGAGTTGTTTGCAGACATGATAACACTACGCAACTGTTGTGCGGCATTGCAGTACGGCCAATCTTGAGACCTGGAGTTAGTAACGCTTTGGATGAAGGCACAATATCAACTTACTGGCCGCGAGACCGGCCTGTTTAGTGCAGCGTCAACATTATAGCCACTGGGAAAAGAGGTCAAACAAAACATACATTCTTGAATCTCGCAGAGACGGGGGATCTTTCGCCTTTACATGATTGTCAGAAGAAGTGGTTGCACGAAAGCTGAAAGCGGCCGAACCGTGTCTGAGGAGCTAGAGGATATGAGAAGATGGACGCAACTACGTGGTAGATCCGTTACACACAACTTGAACTTGCTGCAGTGCCAGCTCTTTAGGATACAAGCGGGACAGTTCATCGGGAGTATAGGATTCCCGAGGTATGAGGGTCGTCATGTTGAACGACCTTGACAATCGGCAACGTTGACTCGCAAAGAGAGTAGAAGGAATGGAGAGAAGTAGGGATAGGAAGAGGTAGAGAGAGAGCAAGGATGGAGGAATTGATGGAATGATAGATGATGGATAGGAAGCCTGCCAAGAGTGCGGTCACGAAACGCGGAACACATGCAGACGAAGTCCGACGGCGGGAACAATTATTTTGACGATTTACTCCAAGCTCATGCAGCATCTAGTCACGCCCATGTCCGGTGCGTACGTCTGCTCTCAAGGTGGCCGCATTACAGCGCGGCGAGCAGTGCATGTCATCGGTCAGTCGCGGCCTCAGCAGCAGCAGCAGCAGCAGCGACAGGCTTCGGGGGCCTCGCCATCGCACCACCTTGATGATCTGGTTTCCGGACTGCCGCGCAGCACTCGCTATTCGAGACCTCGACAGAGAGCCACCCCCACCACAACAGCCCCTCGCCAGTCTGGAAGTCTCTATGACTATGTTTCTGCAAAATCCACTCCCCAGCCTGCTCGGGACCCTCTTGCCACGCCTGCCAACGCCAGAGCCAGAACCACACCAAAGCCGCGCTCTGACGAGTCCGCTGCCCGAGGCCAAGCACGCTCCAAGAGCTCCCGCGATGCTTCTCTCGTCTCACACACGTCCAACTTGGAAGACTTGATCTCAAAACAGCATGCCGACGCTGCGTGGTCCTACTTCACCACCCATTACACTGCGCCCGATTGTCCAGCCTTGGATCCAACCCGTCTTCCCTTTCTCGATGTCCCCAAGCACAGGCGTGGCCACGTCTATACCCACCTATTGTCTCTGATGACTCGCCACTGGCTTGCACAACTCGACGACCATCCTTCCGTCTCGGATATTGCCTCGCCGTCTCCCTACGTCGTCCTCGAAAGATTTCACCAGCTCGCCATACCCACGCCAGCTCTAACATCCAGCCTAGCCTTGTCTTTGGCAACCCATCTTCAGCTGGCTGCTTCGAGAGGTTTGGATGTCTTGAATCATACTACAACCAAGCCCGTCTTCGCCCAATTGATCCAGGTCTGGCCCTTATGCTTCTTTCCCATCCAAGAGCCTGGTCTTGTCTCCCTTCGTTTCCAAGCTCTCCTCACCGCGCCGACCGATAAACCATCAGGTCTCGCCATATCGCTCCTGCTAGTTCAAGATCTCCTATGTCGTGCCACCTCTTTCCCAAACGACTTCGAGCCTCATAGACATGTACTTGAAGCTCTTGGCCGTGCCTGCTCACGCGCACAGTTGAATCAAGCCGCTGTGCGTCATATTGAGATGAGACTGAGAGCCGGATCCTCAGATGACATCTTGGCACCTGCTGATCTCACCAGACGACTCTGCAGGCTTCGTCCAGCACCCGTGCTGGGAACCGTTCCACAAGCGGAGACTAAGTCCAAGGACAACACTGCAACAGCTCCAGGTGATGTCGAGCAGAAAACAAAATGGCTGACTTCCAAAGTCAGCTCGGCCGCAGAGAAGCAGAATCTAGATGTTCTGGAGCGACTTTGGAGCCAAGCACAAGAGGTTTTCTCGGATGAGCTGTCAAGAACACCAAAAAATGCTACAGCAACGCTCCGACTGTATGAGGCGTTTCTCAACTCATTCTTCCAATTGCGAAGACCTCAGTCGGGGCTCCAGGTTTGGAACAGCATGCTTCAATCTGGCTTTGAGCCCACCGTCCGTACATGGAATGTCATGATGAAAAGTTGTCACATTTCTCGGGACATCAACATCATGGAATCCATGTGGCAACGCATGAGAGAGTCCGGTCTCCAGCCTGACGTGGTTTCTTGGAGCACAAGAATATATGGACATCTTCGTGTCGGTTCTGTTCGAGATGGCATGTCCGCATTGGATGAGATGGGCAGGGAATGGGTTCACGCTCAGAACAAGCGCCGAACAAAGTCTGCTGCTACGGAGAGTGATCCAGAAGTCCCTAGGCCTAATACTGCTATATTGAATACGGCCATCTCAGCACTTCGTGGTAGCAGAGCAGATCAAATTCCCAGCGTCCTTGCATGGAGCCGACCTTTCAACATCGAGCCAGACATAGCTACTTACAATGCATTGCTTGCCGTCTCGCTAAGTCAAGGACAAGCATCAGACGCAGCGAGTATCTTGCAGCGCATGGCCGCGTCTGACGTCCAGCCCAATTCGTCGACGTTCACGATTCTTGTTGACTCAATGCTGTCGACAAGTCTGCTTGGCGACATGACGCATCAGGAGCAAAGTGACAAAGTTTTGGAACTTATCTCTTCCTTCGAAGAGTGTGGTGTGAATGTTGATGTCCAAGGCTACGCCCTTCTCGTCGACCGCATGCTCAAAGATCACAACAATCTGACAGCGGCTAGAAGCGTGCTTGGCCACATGACGGCCCGTAAGGTAACATGTACACCTCACATATACACCATCCTCATGACGCATTACTTCAACGCTGATCCGCCCGAGCTGCTTGCTGCGGATGCACTGTGGAACGACATTCAGAACTCAAAGGAGTACACGCTGGACGTCATCTTCTATGACAGAATGGTAGAGGGCTTTGCAAGACACGGCGATGTAGGCCGAACGATGGCCTTCTTGAACCGTATGAGCAAGGAGGGCAAGCGGCCGGGCTGGCTAGCCATGACCGCAGTGGTACAATGTCTCGCACGCAGAAACGAGTGGGACAGAGTTGCGCAGATAGTCGTTGATTGTCACAGACAGGAGGGACTTCTCAGTGTTGGTCTTCGAGGCAGAAAGGGCCAGAGAGACTTCTGGGAGTATGTGGGAAAGCTTGCGGACAACGAACTCTACGAGAGCGAGCATAGCAGGGACATTTCGGCGATTGTGGAGGCGCAGAGGCAAGCTCTTGAAATGTGAGAAAGACGACGATCATGTAATGTTAGCAGCGAACATACCGAACCTGTACTCGATGGTTTCTAATTACGCCGAGTCAAAGTACGGTCACAATGAAGGAAGAATGATGACCTATCGGCAAAGATAAGCTACGGAGAAGGCCATGCTCGTGCGGGTAGGGTGGGGCGTGACGGGGAGCGGCGTAAGTCCGCAGCTTCTCGCCGGGATATTTGCAAGCAACAGAGTCCAAGGTCGAAATATATAAGGAGATGCGCCATCGTACATGACAGTGTCTCCTCCATCATGGCTCTAGCTGCGCTCCGATCGAGTCGCAATCTCAGCCCTCTGATCCGGCGCTTGCAAACAGAGAGGCGAAGTATTGCGACCGCCACAGCAACGGCACAGTCAAGTCTCGACCGAGATGGCTCAATACTCTCACCCCAGGACGACAGACGACAAGCAATCAAACAGGCAAAGCCCTTCTCCGACTTCCTGACAGACAAATTCAAGCGTCAGCATGACTATCTGCGCATCAGTGTCACGGAGCGCTGCAACTTGCGGTGTCTGTACTGCATGCCTGAAGGTATGTGACATGTTCCACTACGCTGCACTGCACTGCAGTCCTGTCGAGTCTAGTTGACTAACATGCCGCTCTACAGAGGGTGTGCCGCTCTCGCCCTCGCGCCATCTCCTCACCACGCCCGAAATCGTCTACCTCTCCGAACTGTTCGTTTCCCAAGGTGTCACCAAAATTCGTCTGACTGGAGGCGAGCCGACTGTGCGCCCCGACATCTTGCCCCTGATGCAGCAGATTGGAAGCCTCAAGACCAAGGGCTTGCGTGAGCTCGCTCTGACGACCAATGCCATCTCGTTGCACCGGAAGCTAGACAAGATGGTTGAAGCTGGTTTGACTGGTGTCAACATCAGCCTCGACACTCTCGATCCATTCCAATTCCAGATCCTGACTCGCCGAAAGGGCCACAGTGCCGTCATGAAGAGCATTGATCGTGTCTTGGAGATGAACAAGCTGGGCGCTGGCATCAAGTTGAAGGTCAATTGCGTCGTCATGCGTGGTATCAATGAACGCGAGCTTGTTCCTTTCGTCGAGATGGGCAAGGAGAAAGACATTGAGGTTCGCTTCATTGAATACATGCCTTTTGGAGGGAACAAATGGAGCGAGCGGAAAATGTTGACCTACCAGGAAATGCTGGACATAATTCGTGAGAAATATCCTACCCTCCGTAGTGTCAAAGGCCATCTCAACGACACGAGCAAGACCTATGAGATTCCAGGTTTCGTGGGCAAGATTGGCTTCATCACAAGCATGACAGAAAACTTTTGTGGCACCTGTAACCGTCTACGCATCACAGGCGACGGCAACCTCAAAGTCTGCCTTCATGGCAACACCGAAGTCTCGTTGAGAGACCTGTTACGCAAGGACAATAACAATGATCCTATGGACGAACAAGCCTTTGAGGCGGTCAAGGAAATAGAGATGAATCGGCATCGAGGGTTGCCCGTGGCGGGTTCAAGACCCAGCTGGGTCGAACGCGAGAACGAGTTGCTCAATTTCATCGGAGAGGCAGTGAAGCGCAAGAAGGAGAAACATGCTGGCATGGAGGAGCTACAGAACATGGAGAACCGGCCCATGATACTTATTGGTGGGTAGGTTCCGCAACCCCTTTTGATATTATCGACCTTGCAGCGCCATCGTGTACACGAACGCCTCTCTGAACTATCAAACGGATCTACATGACACTGGAGCTGATACTGATTTGGTGGTAGCTGAGGGCAATGCCCCGAGGAGAGCGCCTGGTGGTGTTAGAGTACTACCGAAGTTCTTTTCTGGCCGACTCGGACAAGGCGTTGGCGTTCCCCTACATCTCTTGCCTCCGAACATGCCAAATCCCATTGGAACGCGGCTTTACTCTACCGCCTCTGCACCGTCGCCAGGGATTCCAGACACCAAGGCTGTCGAAGCAAACCAAACTACAGAATCCGATTTTCAAGAAGTTCAAGCTGAGGAAACTCAAGCCGAGAATGACCCTACCAACCCAGATGGACCCGAACCTGAATTCGCAAGTCTGCGAGGCCTCTTCGGTACTCCGAGAAAGACTTGGTCTCCACCACGCTCTGCGTCACTTGACGTTGATGACGGCACTCTCAACGCAGATGCCACTCTGAAAACTGAGCCGGGCCAACTCAAACAAGCAGCTCCCTCTGCCGGAAATTATGTTGACGATGATCCGTTCGAAGACCATCTTGAAGGTCTACTTCCTCGGAAGTACCAAGGACAATCAAACGCATCTGGAATGTCGCCTTCTGACTCCACTGCTACGGGCACAGCCCACGGGGCTCGACCCAAGCTCCACCCAGCAGAGCGATCTATAGACAGGAGTGATACAGACAGGGCCGGAACAGACGAATCAGACGCTCATCCGCAATACATCCACTTTGTGGCGGCTCGTCCGCCGAAGGATCGAGCGTCCGGTTCACGAGACATGCTTCGGTTCAAGAGAGCGAGCCCACTAGCCCTCGGAAACATCGACGCGACTAAAGCTGCAAACCCATCGAAGCCTCCACCGGCATGGAAGGTGGAGAACAATGATGCTAAGTCGCATACTGAACAGAACAAGCGCAATCCCGACGGCCTGTCTTCATCGGCATCCACTGAGCCTAGACAGACAGTGCAGCCGGACACATCAAGCTCTGCAAAGAAGAAGGACCGGGAGCTAGGGAGCTCGAAGGCCGGTGCCCAACAGATCTCTGCTTCACTTAGCACATCAGTCAAACATAGTACACCCGAACCAGGTCGAGTCAAGCTCGATGGCATGCATGCCGATGCATCCGTAAAGTCTCTGGACGTCTCGTCAGAGCAAGCTTCGACTTTGTCCAGCTCAAGGCCGGGAGCTCGTTCTGCTGTTCTCACCCACCTTACGTCTACTGGTGAGGCTCACATGGTCGATGTCGGACAAAAGCAATCGACAGACCGAGTTGCGATAGCAATTGGATTTGTTCGCTTCGGTAGGGAGGAGACTTACAAACTGATCACGGAAAATCTGAACAAAAAGGGGGATGTTCTCGGTGTCGCACGCATTGCAGGCATCATGGCAGCCAAAAGATGCTCAGACCTCATCCCCCTTTGCCATCCCATCCCCATCACGAAGATAACATTAGATGTTCGCACAATGGCACCTGGTAGGCGCACAAGACTTCAAAGATCCCCAGGTCAGAATGGTATGGTGGCCGTCGAGGCTCGGGTGCACACACACGGCAGGACAGGTGTTGAAATGGAGGCACTGACAGCCGTGACGGGAGCCTGTCTGACTGTCTATGACATGTGCAAAGCTGCAGATAAATACATGTTTATCCACTCGGTGTGCGTAGTGTACAAGGCAGGAGGGAAGTCGGGTGAATTCCTGCACGGAAGCTTTTCCGAGAAGCCCGACTCGGAATCTTTCATCGACGAGGTCTAAAGGAGACTATAAGACATCGATGGTTGAGTCTTTACCACTCATATGTATGTAGCTTGGGATCGAGAGAGTAGGACGACATCAGCCAGTCACTCATTAGTCCTCTGCAAAGACAAACATATAAGAATCACCGTCGCTTGCTCTACTCCAGTTGTATCATCAATGAGCGATCAGTATGAATGTCTGCCGTCTTGTAGACCGCACTGCATCTTTTGTCATACTGTTTTACAATTGCGTAGCTGTAAAAGACAATTTGCTCGAGCTCGACAGAAGCGTCTTGTGAGAGCAGTCTCGAGAGCAGATCAGAGACAAGCTGCGAGAACTGTGGCAGATGTGGCTTAATCGGGTTAGGATGTGTCACATGTGTAGATGTTGAGAACAGATCATGCTCGAGCGCGTTGAGCACGGACGTTGGCAACGCCTTATCTCTGGAGTTGCGGGCATGAACACATACCTGCTTCTCCTCGCAACGATATAAACATGCTTGATACCATCTTATACTGCGAATGAATGCGTTAGACGATTCATGCCATCGAAGGCTGGAAGACTTGTCGAGATCTCTGGTCTCCATGCATTGCTACTACCTTGCGTGGATGGTCTAGTCTAATAGGAAGAGATGAATTTGAATTGAGTATCGTGAATGGTCATCTGCTATAGCAATTACTCCAATGCTGTATTACAATGCTTCTTGCTTGAGTAACACACCGAGATCCTCCATCAGCACTTGCTGATATATGCTCATGCATATTTGCCTTTCAGGTCGCGCTGCGACGCAGGTTGGCCGGAGATGGACTCACCAACACCACTTTCGTAGGCTGGCGGTCCACTCGCGTTTCCAAATCCATCAATGCTTCCAACGTTACCGTAGCCTGGGCCCTGGGCGGGTTGTCCGTCGCTCTTGAGACCTGCCTTTCTCATATCCTCATCCTCAACAACGCCACCATCTCCGCCACCAACGATGACCTGGCCACCGTTGCGCACCTTACCGACGACCATGCCTTTGGCAACCGACTTCAAGACGGCACGGCGAGATACACCAGTCACGTCAATGTAGACGAGACCGACATTCTTGACTCCGCCAGCGAGCTCGGACGTGATAGATCCGGCTTCGGCGCCATAGCGGTGGCCGACAACAGTGGTTGCAGCGGTGCCACTCTGCTCGAGGAGATGCTTGCCGCTGGTTGCAACGCCGTCGGCTATAGTAGAGAAGGCGATCATACTCCTGTTGAGCAGACCAGGCTTGTACTCGTCTTGTGCAAGAGGCTTGCCATTTACATCAAAGCCCTTCTTGGAGCGATCTTGGTTCTTTCCACCAAATCTGGCACCAATATTCTGAGCGTACTTTGTAGCCTGGCCGACGGTCTTTGCAGACATTCCGGCCGCAGTGTTGGTGAAGGCGTTGATCTTGCGGACACGTTCGTGAGCGGCCGGACTGAACTCCATGGGCTTAGCGGCTGGTTTGACTTTCTGCGTAAAGTTCTCTGCTCCAGCAGTCAGGATGTTACCCAGACGGCTACTAGACGTGACAATGAAGCGAGAGGCAGTCGCAGCATTCTGGACCATTCCACTGTCCTTGTAGGCAGGATGACGGGCCATCTGCAAGTAATCCTCGCTGATGGGCTTGACGCTGATGCGCTTTCCGTCGGCAGAAATCTCGAGCTCGACAGGATCTGTAGGAGTAGTGGTCAGTTCCTAGGAGTTCAAGGAAATGCGGAACAGTGAACGTACTCTTTGTGCCTTGGTTCAAGGTTGAATCCTCGACGACATGAGCATCACCAGCCAGTTCGCCGATGACGCTGCCGTTGTCTTCATCGATAAGCACGACTTGGCCGTGTCCAGAACCCTTGGCATCGTGATGCTTACCACCCGGAGCATAGTCTCGCGGATCATACTGTTCCAGAGGACGGGATGGTTTGGGTGGAGCAGCACGCTCGAGGAAGGCGGTGCATTGTGCCAGTATGGTCTCGAAAGTATCGTGGTCTTCAGGGGAGATGTTCTTGTCAAAAGTAATGCGGGTGAAGATACCACTGTCAGCGCCGAGATCCCAGCGAGGAATTAGGTACGAGTGAGGGGGTTGGTGGTAGACCTGGGTGGTGGCTGGCATGGGCAAGTCCAGCTCCGGGGGCAGGTTCAGATGTAGGTAGAAGTCGTTCTCGGGAATCTCGTTCTGCGGAATGGTCGAGGACAGGTCGGAAAAGGGCGACGACGTCGGCACCATCAACAGAGACAGCGTCTGTGGGCCAGAGGGTGTCAAGTCCTGCTCTTCTCCGCCCTGGATGTGGAACGCCCTGACATTGGCGATCGTGTACAGAAGCTTCGGGTCGTGGTGTCCTGCCATGATTGCGTGTCGATCTTGTTGTAGGCTCTGCTATGTACAAGAATTGGCTTATGTGTCTGGTCCTAGAGGCTTCGGGTGCTTTATGATCATGTTGCTGGCTGCTTCCCTGTTGTTCATCACCTCGGTTGCATATCGTCATGGGGCTGTGCTTTTTGGACCCTGCTATCATGTGTGGCTGGAGCTCAGTGCCACATTCTGTGGCTGAGGAAAAACTCCAAATTTCCCTCCCGGCCTGTCACCGCTGCGCCTGCTTTCTCTCCCTCAAGCATACCTGTTGTTCTCGCCCGTCCGCCTGCATATCCCTTCACCAGCACATCTACTACTTGGTACCTGTCCGGCGCGCTGTGCCCATCGCCCACCGTGCATTCGTTTGCACCTTCTCGTTACCGCACTTGCATGAATAGGGAGCGTCTCCATGGCCTACGACAACCAGCCAGATCCCCCCCAAAGCTACTAAGGCGTCGCCCAGAAAAGTAGTTACTCGATAATCCTCATTTGTTCATATCTCAATAACTCTTCAAATCGAAATGCTGGGTCGACGCCTCAAGTTGCGCTTTGCGCGTCCTCTGCGGGCCATCCGCCGCACCTTGCCTCCGGTCAATTTCATCACTTTACATTATGCATACTTCATATTTACCTGTCTTCTGGCTGCTGTTGTTTTCTGGGGCTCTTCTACTGCCACCCATGTTGACTTCATCGATGCTCTGTTCCTGTGTGTCAGTGCCATGACTGAAGCGTGAGTCTGCCTCCACCCTCGCTCTTCGTCTCGGCTGTGTGTCTCCTGCTAACCTGCTTCAAAGTGGCTTGAACACTGTCAATCTCAGCGAACTTAACATATGGCAGCAAGTTATGCTCTTTGGCCTCATCTTCATCGGCTCTGCCATCTTCGTATCCAATTTTGTCCTTCAGGTCAGAAGAAGGGCTTTCGAAAGGAAGTTCATGAGTGTTATCGAAAGCAGAGCCCGGAAGCAGCGACGAAACTCTTCACGAGGATCGGCCTTCTCAATGTCTAGACTCTCAATAAGCAGGTCCCGCGAGAACCAAAATCCGGCCCTGTGCTTGGACAAGCAGAATACTCCCACAGACATGAAAGACGCCGAAACCTCCAACAAAAGGGGTCGTGCATCAATCAGCAAGAACTCTCTCCGCTTGAGCACGAGTAAAGGTACAGATGGAGCTACTGATGAACCCCGTGCTTCTGGAGACGACCTGAACGATGCTACTTCCCCGGATCGTATCACTTTCAGCCCCGAGACTGTGTTTCGGCCTCAAAAGCCTCAAGATCAGACCTCGCCCACGAAACCAAGACAACGTGTGTTCTCTGTATCGGGCGTAGGTGCCAGGTCTGAAGCAAGCCTCCACCGTGTGACGTCTGTGTCACGGGCATCCATTGCTGAGGAGGTTCCTATCGGTAATAAATCCACCGCTGACTATTTTCCTTCTGCTGGCTATATTTCTCGCAACTCTACGTTCCACAACTTGACCGAAGCCGAACGTCAAAAGCTTGGCGGTGTCGAGTACAAAGCATTGTTATGGCTCTCCTGGATCGTGCCGCTATACCTCGTCCTGTGGCAACTGCTTGGAGCTTTGGGCTGTGCTGCTTGGGTCGCTTTCAATCGACCGGACACCGCGCGGGCTAATGGCTTGAATCCATGGTGGGTGGGCGCATTCAATGCCATCTCTGCCTTCAACAACTCAGGTATGAGTCTGCTGGACGCCAACATGGTGGCTTTCCAGACATCGTACTACCTCCTCCTCACCATGGGATTGATGATCCTTGCTGGAAACACATGTTACCCGATCTTCCTCCGCCTGATTGTATGGACAATCTACAAGCTTCTGCCCAAGACGGCCAGGTTTGACGATCATAGAATCACTCTTCGTTTCCTACTTGATCATCCGCGACGCTGTTACACCAACCTGTTTCCATCGGAGCATACGTGGTGGCTCGCTTTTGCCGTCTTTGTCCTTAATGGCGTCGACTGGGCCGCCTTCGAGATTCTGAACATCGGTAACCGTGTACTGAACGATGCCATCCCCATCCACATCCGCGTACTAGACGGTCTCTTCCAAGCCTTTGCCGTCCGTTCTGGAGGGTTCTACGTCGTCTCAATTCCTACAGTTCGCGTCTCACTTCAAGTGCTCTATGTCATCATGATGTACATTTCGGTCTACCCCGTTGTCATCACCATGCGCAACAGCAATGTCTACGAAGAGCGAAGCCTAGGCGTCTACGATCATAATGACCCAGACAACCTGTCTGAGGCCTCGAAAGATCCTAACAGCATTTACAGCAAGTTCCGCGGTATCAAGAAACAATTCGCCTCAGGATTTGGAGGGTTGAGCGAGGGCAAAAGCTATTTTTTGCAGCAGCAATTAAGAGCTCAGCTTGCACATGATGCTTGGTGGATTGTCTTCGCTGTCTTCCTTATCATGATCATTGAAGGCGGACAGTTTGAACGTGATGCGAAAACCTTCTCCGTCTTCAATGTCATCTTTGAAGTTGTTTCCGGCTATGGCACAGGTTCGTGACACTTCTTGCCTCGGCTGCTCTTTGGATTCGTGCTAATCAAACGTTCTAGTCGGTATAAGCGTCGGTGTTCCCGACAATGCGTACTCCTTCGCAGGCTCATGGCACACATTGAGTAAGTTGATTCTCTGCGCAGTCATGCTCAGGGGAAGACATAGAGGATTGCCCATCGCCATCGATCGTGCCGTATTGCTACCAGACGAGAGACAGGATCTGGCCGAGGAAGAGGACGCAGCTATCAGAATGGAGAGGGCCGTCAGTAGACACACCACAACTGGAGATGCGGTTTGATAGGTAATATCGAAGGAGAGATTGCGGAAACTTGTGGCTTGACGACAGCTACGCGAGGCGACGCGGAAGATGGTGCAGGAGCGGAGGTACCAGAGGGGAGTTGGGAGGTGTGACCCAAGAAGTGGCATCAAAATGGAGGTGCCAAGTACAGTACTTCGTTCAGCGAGGATATGTGATTCAAGCACGTATGCACGCAGTATTATACAACCTCTTCAGACTTCACCAAAACAGTCATAACTTGGCCATGACCTTCTCTTGCCCACCCAATCCTCCACTCATGACGAACTCTCGCTCTACTGGATTTTCGACCGGGAGCAATGATTCTCGCCCGCCTCTAGAGGTCCACCAGCGCACACATATCTGACTACGCTCAGGATCCATCTCACCACCAACCAGCACTTCCCAGAAATGCTTCTGGCAGTGTTCGCGCATGGCCGGGTCTGTGACCATATGCGTCGCCGAAGCGGTCAGCGGTAACCATTCTTCCAAAAGTGCCAAAGAGAGGCACGGGAAAGCATCAACCAAGGTAAGAACCAGTACCGATTGCTCAGACAGATCTGGTGTGGCGGAAGGGGTAGCATCTTCAAGCTCCGGGGCTGCTGTTGGCATAGGGAGGTAGCTGGGCGGCAAAGGAGCGGCCGGAGCATGCAATGCACGTTCGTGGACGAGATCGAGAAGGGTTGCAGCGAGCATAGGTTGGGTAACGGCAATTCGACTTGGCGGTGAGACAACCTTTATGAGATTCTTGAAAGCAAGTCTGAATTGGCGAGCGGAAAGGTTGTGAGGAAATACACGGAACAAGGCATCAACGTAAAATGGCAGATGCCTCGACGTGAGGTCGACATTCTGAGGTGCGGAGAATACTGACAGGGTGACGCTGTGGGCTGCTTCGAAGATTGGAAGGAGGTTGGGATTTCCAGCGGTGGTGAGATAGGGGGATGATGCTGCAAGCAGTAGGTCCTCGTTCTGACGAGGAGAAAGCACTAAAGCAAAGTGCTCGGCCGTGTTGAGAAAGAAGAGGTCGAGGTTGCGTTCGAGCGGGTGGGATGGAATTTGACCGGGTTCAGAAGGGGCTATGGAATCGAGGAAGCTAGAAGAGGCATCTGGGTAGTTCGCGAGAATGTCGATGGAGGTGAGATAAGTAAAGGTATATTGTGAGAACGAGACGTTGCCCAAGCGGCCAAAGACGAACGAGAGGCTACGGAGGGAGTGCAGAGTAGCCTGGGCTATATCAGGTGCATCTACAGAGTCAGCTTTGGACGAACAGCAAGACCCACGTGTCTTACTTTTACGAGCAGCCAGGGACACATCGCCTATCACACGGCCGATGGCGCTGCGAAGGATGATAACAATGGCAAACAAAGTAGAGCGCAGAAGCCTCCACAAGTCTGGAACGGTATTTTTCCGAGCATCTGGATGGATAAATATGGCCTCCTCTGAAGCGTCGATCTCGGACAATTTGTTCTGCCTCCACTGCGTCCCCAAACGCCTAGAGAAGTCAGACAAGTCCTCAACAGCAGATAGTACAAGCCAAGGATCGCGAACACAATCTATGGCATGTGCAATCAGCCTTGACAGAGGTCCAAGAGACGAAATCAGCGGGCTTTTCAAGATAGACTGGATCTGTTGGTACGATGGGGAGTCCGAAGCCCAGTTAAACTGTTGAATCGACACCTGCTGGAGGTCGGCGTCTGCTGCGCCCAGAAAATAGCCCGAGCGTAAGCCGTCAGAAGAATGGAAAGTTGAAGCCATCAATACGGGTAGGAGACGGTCGTAGTCGAGAAATGAGCGATCCGAATCAGACAGGTGGGTAAAAGCATGGTTGAGAGCCAGACAAATCGACGCGTGAGCAAGATGGTCCCCAGATGGGGTTTCCGACAGAGCGAGATTGACGGCCTTGACGAAAAAGTCTCGCAAGTCCAAGGAGAGACTGGTCGACACGAAGTCAGGGTCGCGGGAGGCCAGACCAACAAGCAAGCCTCCAATAGCGAGCAGGTGGTGGTCGGGAGAGGAATGGTCGTCAGCGCCCTTGATGACAGCCCTTACCCATTCTTGTAGAGGAATGTGGGCCTCGAGATGTGGAAGAGATGGTACAAGAGCTTCTTGGGCAAGTGAATGAGCAAGCTGGCGTTCATGGCATTTGATGGCGGTGGAGTGGAACAGGCTCATGAAAGATAATGAAGAAGGCAAAGCATTCGGACGGGCCCACAAGGCTGGAGCCGACAACAGTTGGCTGGTCAACAAGGTGATGTTCAAGGGGTTATTCAGCGAGGTCAGCAAAGATGCAGCTGTACCAAGTAGTCTTGTTCACGATTAGCATGGTTCGGAATATCAGACGAGGACAGAGCGATACCGGCTGGCATCTTGCTGTCCAGGAGAAGACTGCAGGTATCTGAGCAAGGTGGCCAACAGTCTGTCACTCGACATGATTGTGGTCCTAGATCAAGTGATGATGTGGAAAGGGCAAAATATTGTGATTGATGCTCGATGACAGGCAGGTAGGCAGGTAGGCGAGCGAGCAACGAGCCTCGGCACGGGGAAAGCGGGATGGCGGGATGGCGGGATGGCGGTCAATGCGTGCCCGACTTCCTCATTCAGCAAGCACCTTGATTTGCGACGGCCGTGTGCAGCTTGCTAAGATTCGAGTATTCGCTCTGTCTGCAGACTCGTTGAGATAGTCTTTGACAGCCATGGGGTCGGTGTCGTCTCTTGTCCTCGGCGTTGACGTCTGGCTCTGACATGCCCTAGTATCCGGTAGCTTCTCCCATGCTCTGGCGCACTTCTCTCGTCGAACGCGTTCTGATGCAACAGTGTAGAGACTCGTTCTTACGTACCGTCGTCGACACCCCGCCGCTCTCCTACTCGACCCCTCCCTTTCCCTCCTTGTACTGGCCCTTTCCCGTTGGCGGAACTCAGACTCTGTACCTCTACCACTCTCACGACATATGGCGCTTCACCCTCCTCTGGACCATCATTGATGTCGTCGGTATCCATCTAATTGCTGCTGCTTTTGCCATGGCTATTCAGTGGCGCAACTGGAAGCTCATCTGGATTGCCCCAATCGTCTTCGCTTCCATCGGCGCCATCGAGGCCCTGATTGCTGGCAACGTCGTTGGCGGTCTGTTGAGTGGCGTCTACACCGCTGGCTACTTCCGCATGTCCACCTGGATCCCCTTTTCCTGGGGCATCATCAATTCTCTGGTCCTCATCTTGTCCTCCTTTGCCATTCAAGGTGGCATGTGAAGCAACAAACTCCGTCGCCTTGCATCCACCATCTGGGCACCACATGCCTCGGCCTAGGCGGCACTCGACTATCAAGAACCAGCATAGAGACGCGTAGTCAATAGCACATCTAGCCAGCGTACATGCAGAGGGCGTGACGAGAGTCACACTCTCATTCATTGCAGCAGAGAGGCCTGCGTGTACTCGGTGGAAAGAACTTGCTTTGGATGAGCATTGGCGACTTCAAGAGCTAAACACACGCATTTCGCTCTTAAAAGCCACTTCAACTCGACCTGATTGAGTCAGATAACGAAGACTTGTCTGCTCCCCCAGATGGTCGGTATAATAATTAGGGACTGGAAAACGATTGGAACCGGCCGTCGGTGGTCCGTGCTCGATAGAAAGTTTGTAGAGAGTCCCTTGGTTGGAAGAACGTTGTGACTGACGTACGTCGTCATCGTATACCACGTAATTCTGGCTGGACTTGGTCTTTTGACTTGCTCATGCTTGCATCACCTACAAGTAATTCCACCACTATTTGTTTCTCAGCTTGCTCAAATCAACCGCTTTGTTTGTGACGGGCATCGCTATAGAGCAGAAACGTGAAGATGACTACCCGCGCTTTCTTCACTACAAATGCTGCTTTCCGCTCAGCGCTTCGACAACCCCTCACTGCTCGATTCGGGAAAACAGGGAATCAACAGTCCAGGACATATTCCAACGGCTTTCGACGAGGAAGCGGCTACCAATACTCGCGATTCCAGCAAGCAAGTGGACTGCTGCAGAAATGGAGTGCCAGACCCACCTTCTACTACGAAGCTGGAGGCATTGCCACCGCTGTTGGTGGTTTCTACGCGTACAACACAGAAGTTGTTCCCGTAAGTTGGACAGACACGCCGGTTAGCGGGAAAACGCCATATGAGCTGAAATCTGATTGATCGTACAGGTTTCAGGTCGCAGGCGCTTCAACGTTATATCCGCAGATCAGGAACGCCAGTCCGGACAAGATCTATATCAGCAAGTCATGTCCGAGTATCAAGACAGGATCTTGCCGCCCTCACACCCTCAGCACAAACTTGTTCAACAGGTTCTGAACCGTCTGATCCCGCACTCTGGACTCCCTGCAGAGACCAACAACTGGGAAGTTCATGTCATAAAGGACGAGCAAAAGAACGCTTTCGTGATTCCCGGAGGCAAAGTGTTTGTTTTCTCCGGAATTTTAGACGTGTGTCAAGGAGAGGCCGGATTGGCAGCAGTATTGGGACATGAGATTGCGCATAACGTAGCTCATCACTCTGCGGAGCGACTGAGTTCCTATGCTATCTTCCTTCCGCTCGCGTACATAGCGGCATTTGTGCTTGACGCTGGCGATCTCGGGAATGTGGCCACGAGGATGATTGTGGATTTCGCTTTCCTGAGGCCGGGTAGTAGGAAGCAGGAGGTAAGTCCTTTCTGTTGCTTCTCTTCGACTACGTGAAGCTGATCTCAGTATGCAGTCCGAGGCTGACTATATTGGGCTGATGATGATGTCGCAAGCTTGCTACGATCCGACAGCAGCAGTAGGACTGTGGTCGCGCATGCACGAAGCAGAGCAAGGCGCCCCACCTCAGTTTCTGTCGACACATCCTTCAAGTCACAACCGTATGGAAAAGATACAGTCGTGGTTGGGCGACGCTGAGCTGAAGAGAGAGGAAAGCGGTTGCGGCCAGTTATCTGATCATGGTATGTCTACAGCCTGACACTCCACAACTTCACTACGAAGTCGTGGGCTAATTTGAGTTCAGTTGGTCAATTCCGCGACGCCTTTTCGGGTCGCTGGTCCTAGATATGCCGAGATTGGCACATACCAGTCACGAAGAAAAGCCATGAGTGACAACATGCAGAGCTGTAAGCATACACGACCGCGTATGTGTGCGTATGCCTGTCATGATCAGCGACCATGGTTTATTGCACGTAGCTAGGTCAAGACTGGAAATCTCTACTTCGTTGAGTTCATGTTGATGGACAATAATGCAGAACTAGGTTCGAAGCATACACCTCAAGCAACGAGTGACCAGTACTTTATGGCAGCGGGTCTCCCAACCGAGACTTGTCAAATTGAACAACAATTATGTATTTTGGGCTCAGTCACAGGTTCTGCGTCGCGTGGATGTGTCTAGAATTGGAATCAAACATGACTTGATCCGTCTGTTCTGTCACACGATCTTTGTGTCACAGCCCTCTTCGTTTGTCTACACACAGGAAATAGCTGCACAGTTCAGCGCGTATTTTCTAGTGCGGTTCAGGAACAAGAAGGCGAATGAGCTAGGACTGGTCGAGGTCTCGTACTGCGCAATCGCAGTCGACAGACCAACCTTCTCCTGCATGAAGTTCCAAACACGGGGTGCATGACGTTTGCGGTACAACAAAGCAAGTACCGGAACATACGAAACGCCTGATGTATACCAGCAAGTGGAGTGATGACCTTGGTCATTTTCTTACCGTCAAAACAATGCAGACTGTGGTTCTACAAAATTTCGATTGATTGGCAGGAGCGTGCCGATGGGTCGGTCATGCGTTTAAGACAGTGTGGCTTCGGTCTACTGGTGTACGAAGAAGCTAAAAGGCTAGAACCACGGAGACAGCGTCTGGCAGTGATATAAGAAGCGTCTTCTATAAGCACCTTTTCCGATACGATCGCCGCGAATTGCGCCTGTCCGGACTCGAAACAATTTGCTTGTCAACCCACTCTTTATCCCTATCAATTACCACACCCCTCAGGGTAGTTCAGTACTTTTGTACCGGATGTGACATTATATAAGGATCCATTACGACGCACCAGATGTTCACTCTTATTTCAGTACTGGCTGTAGCAACGGTATTGACTGCAGCAAGCATCTGGATCTGCAATGATAGCGACGCAGAAGAATTGCCAAGTCGAAGATATAACAAACGCAGAGTTCTGTACGAAAACCACAAGAAGACAACCAAGTAGAAGAGACGCAGTGTTCTTATACAGGGTGCGATCATGGCAAGCAGAGCGTCGTCAACTGCGATGTGGCTACCCTCGGATCTCCTCGCACTATGTCACTCTATCACAAATCCGACATCAGAAAACTCAACAGATAGCACTTCTCGACCCGACCATCGATGTGGCCAGGATGGTTCCCTATCTCCTCTTCGGCCTCGACACCAATCTCATAAAGAATCGGCACAGAAACTACCCTTTCCACTACTACAACTCCCACTTGATATCTTGGCACTACACCTGCCGACTCACCTTCCGTACGATGCTCTGATCTCTCTCCGTCTTAGTAATCGAGATCTATTTAAAGCAATATCAATCATCAAGAGAAGTAGTTGGGACACTTTGACCGAGTGTGAGAGAGGAGCCATCCTCACTGCCGCCGGAGAGAAAGAAGAGTTATCGACACGCAGGTGTTGCACAGTCTGTAGGAGCTGGTACCCTCTGGCATTGTTCGCGTGGGGGCCGAATTCAGGGACAGCACAAGGCGGCGATCAGGGATGTGAGGGCGGCTTGTTCGAGAACCGCGTATGCAGATGGCATAGGACAAGATTTGAGCGTACTCTTTCGAGCCTGACGACAGATAAGAATAGAGTGAAGCCGGGCTGGGCGGTAGAAGAAGCATGTATGCATTGTGGAGGCGTTCTAGCATGGAATAGATGTGATTGTCTTTTTGCTTGCCAGACTTGTTGGAAGAGGGATGTTTGGTGCTATACACACATTGACATGGCTGTGAATTCTGGTGCTTAGAGGAGCGATTTCAGAGAGTTTCCGATCCTGTAATTCAATCAGTCATAAGCTTTGACTACGCTTCCACGGAACGTGCGATCAAGTACGAGACAAGATGAAGTGAAGAGAGTGCCATGTGGGACACGAGACTATTGGCAAAGAAGATAAGTCCTTTAATGGACATTCTCATCAAGACGCAAAACGTAACGCTTCTATAATGTGCGATGTAATAATGTGTAAGGCAACATGGACATGATTAATGAGAGTTGTGATCAGGAGGGCTTTTCGGCAACCTCGATGAGAGTGGTGTTGTCTTTCTCTGTCCAATTCTGGGCGAGTTTGACAGCATCTCGATACTCGTCGACAGGACTTTTTTCGTAGTAGAAGATCTTCTCCTCGTCCACATTTCTGTCACCTTGGACATTATTGTAGCTCTGGAGTTCTAGCCTAAGGGCGTACCGGCGCACGCTCAAGCCCATGCCCCACTGAGCAATTGTCCAGAAAATTAGGACTGCAGCGAAAGCAATCTGAGCTATGAGGACGTCCGTCTCACAGTGGCGGCGCGCTTTGAAGCTCGCTCCTAGCGACTGTTCCGTGGATGAAGATTGAATGACGCGCCCAGGACCGTGCAGGTCCTCGATGGTCGAAGGGAACCAGAATGACGTATTTAGCTTGCTGGTAAAGCAGAGATCGGCAGTAACATCGTGGAAAAGATAGACGAGGCCGACTTTGGGAACGAGCGAAAGTACCGTGTCTATGAGTAGATGGTTGGAGAAGATTGTAAGATGTGTGGGTGATTTCTATATAGCGTTAGAATTGATCAAGTAGTCATTGTGGAGGTCGGATAGGCATACCTTGTAGGATCCGTAGATTCCCAGCATGGCCAAAACACAGCCGTACCAAGCATAAGCAGTTACGCTAAAGGACATATACAGGGGGTCACTGGTAAGAAAGGTGCATAGATATGCTGTCGCGGCATGGTATGTTAGGATGAGCGAGGATATGACCATGCTAAGTGTCCTGTAAGGTTTCGTTAGTATGGGCTGCATGGAGCTAAGGTAGCAGTTTTGACCTACCTTGCAGTATCGAGTGTTGCTCCCATTGTGGTAGTGGTGGTTTGTCGGTTTACTTGGATGATGACTGCTGATTGCTGATTGCTGATCAGAATGTGAGCTGAGATCCGGACTTGTTGGTGATGTAAGAGTCCAGCTCGGGAAAGATCTGTCTGATTTCCCACAGAAGCAGCGACTCCAGGCGCGCGTGTGTGGGTATGCCGACTATTTGACGTGGAGCAAACGAAAGTCCGAAGGAGATGGCGAGTGTAAAAAAAGGAAGAACAGAAATCTGAGTAGGGATTAGAAATGCGATCGAATGACCGCATAGTCATACAGCATCGACGACCGTGCTGCCCGGTGCTTCCGGCATGTGCACCGACGATGAATCTACAACTAGCTATCGTGTAAACCGCCGCGGACCGCTAGACATGTGAAAGCGTACTCCGATTGACAACAAAGATCCGCTCGGCCTTCGATCGTCTTGCGCCTTTTGCATTTTCCTTCCTACAGGTTTCGCTGTTTCTGTGCCTGTTTCGTGCCCAGATCTCAAGCATTTCCTTTCACATGCATCATCTACATGGTCTGTGCAATAAGGCCCGGGAGAAGAGCAAAGTGGCTGCATGCCCATCCGATCGACCTTAGCGGAGCGGAGTTCCATGCCAAGCTGTGCCTAATCAGCTAAACTATCGAAATTAGGTGAGTGGAAAGCAGACATGTATCAAGAACCCTGTTCTCGTCATCGCGACAATCCGAGTAACCATGTAGATTAACAGGAATTTTACAGATATGCTCAAAATGAGGCTGACCGACGCACGTGGACCTACGCTCGATCTACTTGTCAACCACACACGCCTTTCGGAGTCTTCAGCAAGTTCAGTTCCAAGAAATAGCCGTTGTGTGCGTGCCCTTGTTTCTGCTTGGTTATCGATCATCGCTTCTGCATCAGCGACTGCCTGAATCAACCTGTCGATGATCTCGTTTTCAGCCTTTTCGTTTTCCAATGCTCGTCTTGATTTCGAGGCCTGGCTTTTACTGCTTCCATATCAGTTGGTTGGACCCCAGCAGATGTCGTTTTTGCCAAATACAACTGCCAAACCCAAAGCCAGGCTGTCTAGCGAATTTCGGACCCGGTTGTGTCGGATCTGTTCGCTGCCTGACCTGAGAAATCTGCGACCTCGCACCATTTCTCGGCCTCTAAGGTCAGCACAAGCACAACTTCTCCCGGTGCATTCTCATCGATTTGGTGTACCCGCAGGCCCTGTGACGCTCACCATGACTGGATACGAATCGTACGACATGCGCGCCTTGGAAGTTGTCCGGCTTACCCCACAAGTCCTGAGGCTCTTCGGAAGATGCACAATCTGTATTGCTGATCTTCTCACGCACCAACATCACTACACAGTAGTCAGGGCGTAATGTAAGAACAGACTTCCAGTTTGTCCTTCCCTTGCGCTGAAATCCGTGACTCTTGAATCATCCTGACATAATTAGCTAGAGTAGGGTGCTAGAGACATTGCGTTCATACTTGAGCAGTGCTGGCTATAGGATGGTTGCAATCTACGTAATTTCGCTCGAGTACAGTCGTCGGACTGACAAAGCACTGGACAACATGGTGCATCTTCTTCTCCTACCCCTACTTAGCGCTATATAGTGTTTAATATGCTATAAAACATTCTCTTGGGAGCCCTTTACATAGTTGCCGCCATACGATATGAAAACCCTGTCTCGAATAATGATTACAGGGTCATCCTAGCAGCAACCGGTTATGAGAAAAGTTACTAGATTATGCAGCCACCCCGTATGCAAAATCCTTTCACACTAGAAGCTGTCTTAAGGTACGTCACATTCTGATCTTGCAAATGTGTCGCCGGAACGTATTTTTTCGAACAATCCCAGCACCAACGTGGTCGATATGGAGGACTTAGCAGAAGATAGTTTTTCATGATCCATACATACGGTATCAGTCGAGGTTTTCACAACCGACAGCTACAGGAAAGCCCAGCTTCCATACCTTACGTGGCGCAATGCGTTCCACTGTTTGCTTCTCAAGCTAAAACGGAACAAAGGAATCCACATTTCTTCACATCAAGCAGCAACTGCGGACCACGTCTCGACACCAGATGCAAAAACCAAAAGATAAGCTCCTCCGCCTGGACTTGAACCAGGAACCTCTCGATTGAACTGTGACATTGACGTATAACAGTCGAACGCGCTAACCAGTTGCGCCACAGAGGACTCGGTTGTGTCTCCTCACATCACAAACAAATATGATGATTAGCGTATTCGACTGTTAGATCTTCGCAAGGAAATCCGTCATCGAGAGGTTCCTGATTCAAGCCCAGGCGGAAGAGCTTACTTTTTCCCTTTTTTGCGGTCGATATGCATGGATATATTCGATTTGCTCTGGCCTGAGAAGCAGACAGTCGAACGCACTAGCGAACTGCGCCACGGAAGATGTGAAAGACAGGTTTGTTGGGCAATGGTGGTGTTGTCGCGAGCGACAACACTGCTTCCCTTGTCTCGACTACGATCGCGCTACAATGGATTTGGACGGTGTTGACGTCGGAATCATTGTATACAGCTACTTAGGCATAGTCAACATTATTTGCATATGGTCACTGGTGTTAGATCGAATGCCAGAATTGTCCACATCATACGTTGTGTGTCATCAACACCATAGGATATATGGTCAAAGTAGGCATGCAAGACCCAGAAGAGAACCCCCCATGTTGCACCGCAAAACTGTCTACTCGATCTCAGGACTGGCTCTAGCTACTCGCTATCTTTTCTCCATCGGCGACTCGCATTCGCGGTTGATTGACACACTGATTCTACATCTTGGTCAGAATTGGGCACAAGGACTATGAGATTTGCTGTAGCTTGAACGCGAAATTAGGCAACGGTGAACTATGACCTATGCAGAAGACAGGGCTGAAGGAGGTACTCGGGGGCACATATTATGAAGAAGAAGAAGAAAAAGTCAAGAATGTCAAATAAATCACGCCGGCGTGTCGTGACGTGGTCCAGAAGTCAAGACAAGCGCTAGGAAGAAAGTAAGCACATAAGCTCGCTGCATGTACATATAAGCGATCCCATATCGCCTTTTCCCAAGTCCATCGACGCCAATTCAAAAGCTTCCAGCAGGGGGTATCATATATGTCGCTTCACTGGCCCATTCCCGATCCTGGTCGTTGCTGGTTCATCGCATTCTGGCGGGCAGCTACAAATTGCATTTGCTGGATTTGCTGCGCTTGTTGTGACTGCATCACGTTCATGTTCTGTTGTTGCTGACCTCCGCCATTCATCATGCTCGGCTGTTGTGCCATACGAGGGTTCTGTTGCATCCTTGCAATCAACGCTTGCTGGTTGCGAAGGTTTTGCATGTATTGCTCCGTGTTGTTCGTGTCACCGAGAGTCTGCTGTTGCGTTCGCGCCGTGGCCACCGCCATCTGCTGCTGAGCCGTGTGAACGAGTTGTTGCTGCTGCTGATAACGATGTTGCAGCTCTATCGGAATCGGCTGACCCTGGGATTGCATCTGTACAATCATCTGCTTCGTACGCATGAACTGAGTACGAGCGTGTTGTGCACGTTGAGCTTGCGCATTTGGTATCTGTTGCTGTCCCATCTGTTGACCCATTTGCTGACCCATCGCTTGGCTCATCTGCTGTTGTTGCTGCTGCTGTGAGGGCGTTTGCATCATAGGCGTTCCCCCTTGCATGCTCTGAATCTGCATACGTTGTTGCATCTGAGAGTACATCTGGGGGTTCATCTGCTGCTGCAAGGCCATCTGCTGGCTCCTCATCAATGCCATCTGCTCCGGAGTATATTGCTGATTTGGTGAGGCTTGCATCGTTTGTTGCAGACTGCGTGCACGCTGTTGTTGCATAATAGCCATCTGCTGACCAGGAGTGAGCTGATTCATCTGCGGCGTTCCAACCATCAGACCCGTTTGGTTGGGAGTGCCTTGCATGTGCGGCGGAATTGGACTACGGTGTTGCATGTTAGGAGTGCCGCTCATCTGGCGGCTGCCGTCAATAGGCATAGCCGAAGCCATTTGAGGAGTGTTGTGAGCCATCTGTGGAGTAGCATGACGGCTCTGAGTGGCTTGTTGGCTGATTTGTCTGGCCATGGCGACATTAGCATGTTGCATGGCAGCCGAGGGAGGACGAGGTGGGCTTCCAGCGCCTTGATTAGAAGCGGTAGGTTGCATCGCGAAGCCTCCCATGTTCATGTTGGCGCCGTTTGACATCAGAGGAGATGAAGCCATGATAGGTGTAGGGTTGTGAACAATGGGTGACGAGTGCTGAGCGCTCATAGCAGCTTGTTGTTGGAGGTGTTGTTGTTGAGGATTTGTAGCCATGGGAGTCTGTGCTTGAGCCAGGTTGTGAGCATGCTGCTGTTGCATTTGTTGCTGTTGCTGGAGTTGGGCGGCTTGCTGCTGTTGCTGAAGAGCCTGTTGCTGAGCCTGCTGTTGGGCTTTCTGCTGTTGCTGTTGCATCAGCTGTTGCTGCTGCATCATCATCTTCTGCTTCTGCTGTGTGGCCACTTGCTCCTGTCTGTTCCTATCCTCCATGAGCTTCCTCTTTTGCGCCAAGGTAGCGTCGTGTTGGCGCTTCTCGATAGCCTTCTGGGCCTCTTCTTCCTTCTTCTTGCGGTCGTTCTCCTCGTGGTTCTTCTTAATAGTCTCAAGAGTCTTGAATCTGGAAAAGCCAAGAGCTACTGACGCAGTCTGACCTTCCGAAGTGGAGTTGCCGTTGGCACCACGCAAGAAAGGTTTCGTCCGTTCGTCCATGATGAGCATGCGCCGCTCTTCCTCGAAGGCTTGTGCATCGTCGAGAGCCATTTCGGCATGAGTACGCTTGCGGGATCTGGGCGATGGAGGAGGCTCGGAGTGCAAAGGATGTCTGAGCAGGCCCAAGGCCAACTCGGCCTCTTCGCGAGTCTTTGCGGGCTCTAGCAGTAGTGGTGGCTCCGTGGAGACGAGCATGTTGGCCTCGAACTGGTAATAGTCCCTCTCGTCAATACTCGGGCCGATGTTGTTTGACTTGTTCGCAAGATGCATCAGCTCGTGATGGCGCGACAGATCGGTGGGATGCAGAACGATGGTTGTGGTCCTGGGGCCGGCGTGGGCTTGGTCTTTGATGCCATCTTGCTGCTTGACTGACTCGGACCTCTTGTTTGGTATGGATGGACGGTCTGAAGCCTTCTTAGGATATGGGCCGAATGGCGAAGGAGTGATATGGTCGTGGTAGTTGTGCATTGAGAAAGAAATGTTCTGATCGGCCGAGGACACGGACAGGTTGCCGGGAGCGGGAGTCTTTGCAACGGAGGATTTGTGATTGACCACATTGACGATCAGACAGCCGTCGTAGAAGACGACACCGTTCTCGAGCAGATCCTGGATCATCTCGTGAGGAATCGTCTGTTTGCGCACATGGTGGAGGATGAATTTCATAGGAGAGTCGTAGGGAAAGCTGCCATCTTGCTGGTCGAAGCGGAAGAAGGTGGCGTGCAGATGGATGGTGAGCGATGGAGGCTTGTTGCGAAACTTGTGCAAGATGTATTCTGAGCTCCTGACCAGCGGTTCCGACATCTTCTTGACGGGCGTGTCGCTGCCTGTCGTGTGCGTGTTGGCGCGCGTGCCGAGTCGCGCGCTCATGCTGGGTCGCGGCCGGCGCATCGCATGTCCAGCTTTCGCTGTCGTCGCCGTCGCCATGCCAAATGCAGGCAGTGACCTCTACCGCTCGGGATGAATAGGCGCAAACAAAGCTCGAGTTTCCGTGTCAGATGCTCAGCTCTCGTGCGATGTGTGATCGTCTCCGGGGGTGCTTGCTTGTTGAGCCGGGGATGCCAAGAGCCTCCCCCCCCTTTTGGCTAGCTCGAGGACTACGTCATGCTTGCTCTTTCACATGACAGTTCACACCTCCAAGCCAGGGACTTTTTAGAATAGATACATTGTCACAACTCTCTCATTGACAATGGCAGAAATAGCTGCAGGAGCCGTCGTAGCTGAGCAGCTCGTATCTACAACGCTCGAGGGTGGAGCAATTGCCGGCTATGCGGTCGCCAAACCCACCGTTCCTCTGAAGGCTACCTTCTCACAGATTGCTACCGTGGACAGAAACGATACAACGTATCGACACGCCCTGAACCATGTTTTTCCCACGAGAGCTGACGTGTAACAGTCTGGCTCTTGCACGCTCACATCATACAGTCAGTATTGTCAACGACAAAGCATGCATATTCGGAGGTCAATCCACCGACAGGGAGCTAGTATCAACCGATATACACACAGTGACCCTTCCCTTCAAAAATACTAGCCCAACAGACGTTGCTTATGCCTGTTATCCAGCTGTGGCGCGTGACGAAGGAGCTCCTGTGCCAAGTGCACGTACCAGGCATGGCGCTTGTGTTCAAGGCCATGAGCTAGCCATCTTTGGAGGCTGTGACGAACACAATGAACCCGTCGACAGAGACTCTGCCTTATGGGTATGGAACATTGAATCGTTCAAGTGGCAACAAATCATCGCCGAAGAGTGTGTACTGTCCCCGGCCTATCATTCCTCGATTCTAATTAACATGCATTAAAGTCCAAAGCCCGAACCTAGGTTTGATCACGCGCTGTTCCACTACGGCGGTCACATCCTTCTTCATGGCGGAAAGTCGTCCTCAAGAATACATCTGAATGACACCTGGTTTTTCGACATGATTTCGCACACATGGACACGCCTACCCGATGCTCCAGAGCACTCAGACAGCATAGCCTTTGCAGATGGCACACTCTATTTGGTTACCAATTCACCTGCTGAGGGCGCTACTCATGTTTACAGGCTTGAGATTGGAGAGAGCATACCCACCGAGGAGTCCCATGGTGCATTGGAGTGGGAAAGAATCACCAATCTTTCAGAGGTCTCACCTCCTGGACCTGGAGCTCGAAGTGGTGGCGCACTGGTACCAATCACTACGGGTTACGGGCGTCTGTACCTTGTTTACTTCTTCGGTAGCAAGGAGACTCATGCCGACGACGAAGATCTGGAAAAGTCAATCGTGTCAAGCGAAACACGCCGGCTATTCGAGTCTGATTTGTGGACCTACCAGTTGCCGTCAAAGTCAACCAAACCCAATAGCTGGACAGACTTCAAACCCGCAGCCATCAAAGACACAATTCGGGACAAGTTGGGCTACAAAAGCGGCGGGTTTGAGTGGGCCGAAGTCGAAGTGCAGGCCACGGAACAGACAGGTCACGAAGGCAAGGTGCATCCAGGACCTCGAGGATTCTTCGGAGCGGACGTGGCTAGCGATGGAAGAAGTGTAGTCATGTGGGGAGGAGACAACGCAAGGGGTGAGAAGGAAGCGGATGGCTGGCTCATTCGCTTCGAGTAGAGGGCTAAAGAGCACTCATGATATTACAGGCAAAAAGACACAAATGTGGATGGGTATTCTCGTAGCTCACAAGAAGGGCACTATGCAAGCATGAAAGTCCGGATCTCACGACGAACCAACATATCGGCGTTTACCGACAGTACGGGCAGTCAATTTGCCTTTTCCGTTGCCCCGTAAAGGATGGTCTTTCTCCCACTTCTCGTCGTCCTGGTATGCTTCGACGGCAGAGTCTAGATGGTAGTCGTTCTGCTCGAGATACATTTGTGCGACATCATACCTGCAGAAGCGTTAGAAGCGGCGGAGAGTAGCGAGTGTGGTGGCAGCCTTACTCCGAGACCTTGCAAGTGACCATGAAGCGCCGTAGCTTTGATTTGCGCGACTCCTCTTCTTCACCTTCGATGGGCCTGGGGCTCAGGCTCACGCCGCCCTTGTAGTACTCTCCAGGGATGATGACAGTCCTACGGCCTTGAATGAGGTGGTCGGCGAAAACATTGTTAGCCTTTCTCAAGGCGTGGAGCGGTACACGATAGGCTAGTGATAGTGAGAGAGGCGTATCGGTGGGTGACAGGAAGTGCAGCACGTCTGGAGCGTTTGCAAGTGGCTTTTCTGGCAAAGATTGGAAGGCTTCATGGGCCGAGTAAGCAGGAGGAGCATCGGTTGTCTTCTCTGAAAGAGGCAGGGTAGAGTCTTGTATGCTGTTGTATGGCGGAGGATCACGTAGGCCTTGCGGCAGGGTGGATTTGGGATCAGTGGAGATCTGGCAATACGGGCAATACGACCTGTAGCGAGGATTCTTTGCAATGCATGACTGGCAGACGAGTCGCTCGCAGCAGTCGAGGTGGCGGGCAGCGACAATGGCCTTCTCCGTCTTCTCGTCGATCGTGTCGAGGAGCGAAGAGCAGATGCAGCAAGCGAGCAAGGTGGGCATGGCCAAGTATGAAGTCGACAGCGAAGAGAGAGATAGTCGAGATGCACCTCACTGCTCAAGCCTGTGTAGACAATAGTTTGCCGTCGATGATGTCGCTCATCATTCATCAGGGTCTTTGATCAGCACGTAGCCATACCCGATTGGGCATGATTCTAGAATACGTGTACGGCGTGTGGACGTGTCACGGAGAGGCGGCAACGGGTCGCGGGGTGGCGAGGATTTCTTTCATCGCTTGCGGCTTGCGGCTTGCGGCGTGCGGCTTGCGATCGTATCGGCTGACGGGCACAGATCAAGCCGAGAGGGCTCGCCGGCAACAGGAGAAATCGAATGACGATCACCTCTGTCTTGCCTGGCTCATTTCCGACCGGATTCTGTCTCTTTTCCTCCAAACCCGAACTGTCCCTACCAACCGACCAACCATCCAATTCGATCCGCACAACACTCCAGCCCGAGCTGCTCCTGTCTTGATTCTCTTCTACACAAGCCCCAAAACACAACAAGCGGAGCCTCGCGGATCGCAAGTCATAGCACTCACGTGCCGGCTACGACGCCATAACAAGCACCCAGATGCACTCTCCCATGGCCAACGCGACCATGCTGTCTCTGCCTCCCCTCCCCACATACTCCTTGACTCCCCAGGCACCCCTGCTATCATGGATCCCTGACCTCTACTTGGCCCTGATCCTTCCTGTCGTCGCCTACTGGGTCGTCTCGTTCATCTTCCACTTCATCGACGAGTACGACTTGTTCCCTCAATACCGCCTACACACTCCTGCAGAGGTCCTCAAGCGTAACCATGTCTCCCGCTGGGACGTCTTCCGCGACGTCGTCATCCAACAAGTCATCCAAACTGCCGTCGGCCTTGCCATCACCATCTTCGAGCCCCAGGCCACCATCGGCCAGGATCACTACAACGTCTCTGTCTGGGCCCAACGACTTCGCCGCGCCCAACGCCACATTCCCGCTGTCCTCGCCTTCACCGGTCTTGACGCTACCTCCCTGGCCACCAAACAGGCTGCCGCCCATCCCATGCTCTCGGCTGCCCTGAATGGCGGTAGCTACAACCTCTACCAGCAAGCCGCCTCCGGTGACTTCGTTCCCGCTTTTGCTTCGTGGGAGCTTACTTTCGCGAAGGCCATCTACTGGTTCATTGTTCCCGCCATGCAGTTCGCCTTCGCCGTCCTCGTCGTCGACACATGGCAATACTTCTGGCACAGGTTCATGCACATGAACAAGTGGCTCTACACAACCTTCCACTCCCGTCACCACCGTCTTTACGTTCCTTATGCCTATGGTGCTCTGTACAACCACCCCTTTGAGGGTTTCCTGCTTGACACTTTGGGCACCGGCATTGCCTACATGCTCGCAGGCATGACTTGTAGACAGTCCATGTGGTTCTTTACATGCAGCACCATCAAAACTGTCGACGACCACTGTGGCTACGCCCTTCCCTGGGATCCCCTTCAGCACATCACCAGCAACAACGCCGGTTATCACGACATTCACCACCAGAGCTGGGGCATCAAGACAAACTTCAGTCAGCCCTTCTTCACCTTCTGGGATTCCCTCTTGGGTACCAAATGGGTTGGCGGTGATGTCTCTGCACGCTATGAGAGATCGAGGATCGCTGCTCAGAAAAAGCTCGAGCAGGAAAATATATCCCATTCAAGCCCCTCAGACAGCAGCGTAGCCAACTCTTCACCATATGACTCCGAGGCCCAGAATGCTACTTCACTCGCGAAACAGGCCCAATCACAGCTTGAACCTAGCATTCCAGAGGGCAAGGCGGCGTTGCAAGCTCTTGGCTCCAGGCAGCAGATCCTGGACGACCAGGCTGGCGGCGGCGTCGAAGTCCTTCTTGAAGAAGCAGCCGAGGAGCGTGAAGCACAGCGTGTTTTACGCTGCAGTCCAAGGAAGAAGACAGTATCTCAAACGTCTTCCGCATCACTGAAAGGCCTGCGGGATAGAGTCAACACCAGCTTACATGGCAAGGCCAGTGGTGTGCTCGTCGAGAGCGGTAGATGAATCTTGAATCTTCCACGTCTTTTGAGCGCCGTCGTTTGCCCTTCTTCATAATGTTTATTATACCCTGCTTCAAATTCTATCCTTCACCTCGACCTCTGCGAGGCTTACCTTCTTACCTTATGTCTTTCTCTTCTTTCCCACGCTTACTGGGTGTTCGCTCTCTATTGAAAGTTTTCGATTCTGACCACCAGACTTTTGTGTAAATTAAATCTAGGAACCTTTTCTTTATCTTTCCACCAACTTGCTTTTGGGTATCACAGTGTGCAGATTTTGCGATAATCGTATTTTGGTAGATGAGCTGAATGAGCAGATGCTCGACTCGAGCGAAATCGAACAAAACGAACTCACTCCATCTAGCCTACCCTGTTAAAACGTCGGTCATCTCTGATTTATGTGTAATCGCTCGTGTTGCACCAGGGTCAGAAAGCACCATCACGAATAGCTTGATTGCGTCATCAAAAGGCACGATGATTCACTCTGCCCTATGTTCTGAATTGCTCAAAATGATTGATGGTAGGATGGATACCTAAACACGACTCTGGCAATATCAATTGTGCCCTTGGGTCCGCCGGAATTGAAAAGGTCCTCCACGCTCCTCTGCTTCGATGAGGCAAGACAGACAAATGAAGACAGAAAAGCAAAAAAACCGCTTCGAGATTGAAGGTGGCGGTCAATGTCGCTCCGATTTTGTTTGGGTAGAGACAGAGAACAAGAAAAATAACAAGAGAAAAAGAGACCCCTTTTTCTTTCCCCTAGCAGTAGTATCCCATGCATGCAGTAAACCTCCCCATTTCGTGTATTATCGTAACCCTTTCGATGAGAAATTTGTAGAAACTCGATGCTCTGCGAAAAGAAAAAGAAAAACTCCATTCACCTCTCCCTTGATCCTACTAATGCAACGAGGTTCGTGATCGATCCGTCTTTCCAGAAGACTACTCCTCCTCCCCAGAGGACTTTTATGTGCTCCGAATGTCTTGGGCGTGTGTGTGTGTGTGTGTGTGTGTGTGTGTGTGTGTGTCCAAAAAGAGATTGCGACAAGTCTGTACATTATCATCGATTGATCTGGCCGACTTGAGATTCCGGTTGTTGACTTCGTTGGGCTTCGAGGCGGGCGGCACGTTGTCTTTCGACTCTGATCTTTTCGGCTTCTGTGCCGTCGTCTTCATAGTGTTCCTTGAACCAATCGTGTTGCAGAGCTTGATGTGCCGTTATACGCTTCTTTGGGTCATAGACAAAGATCTTTTTGAGTAAATCGAGGAACTTGCGGTTGAACTCGTTGTGTGCTGGGATGATTTCCTGAAGAGCGTATAAGTATGGTGCAAACTGGTTCTGCTTGAGACTAGCTGGGCGGGCAACTCGAGGAGCAGTTGGGCCAGGTGAGAGGATAGGGGGGCAAGGGAAGGCTCCAAGTCTAGAGATGACGGGAGGGCTTACATGAAGAGGTTTCATCGCCTTGACAAACTTGCGCGATGAGCGAGGAGTGTCGCTTTGGGGGTAGTCGAGTAACTGGCGTCTGAAGTAGCTACAAAGGGGTCAGCAGGCAGCCAGATTGCAAAGCAAAGGGCAACTCACGCTGCAGCAGAATTCTTGTTGCTGCCACGGCCGGCAGTGACTTGACGGACCAGTGCTTTGTCAATGGGGGTATTGCATACGGCTTCCATCATTGCCAGATGCTCTAAGTTATCGTGCGTCTGGAACAAGGCATCGCCAGTGAAGAACTCGACCAGGATGCAGCCGATGCTCCAAATGTCGCAAGGGAAACTCCAGCCAAGGTTGAGTATGATCTCGGGAGCACGGTAGTGTCGGGTCGAGACGACCGAGGAGTGATACTCATCGTCAAAGGTAGCCGAGCCAAAGTCAATGAGGCGGATCTCTGGGTCGAGAAGCACCCTGCGGAACTTTGCCGAGCGAGGGTTTGTATTTGATGATGAAGGGATGTTGCGGTTGTAAGTGAAGGTCTGATAGTGGTTCTGTACAAGGAGAATGTTTTCTGGCTTGAGATCGGTGTGGATGAGGTTGAGATCGTGCAGGACTGTGGCCAAGGGTTAGAGACAAGACATGGAGCGGGAGGGGGAGGGAGACAAGCTTACAGGCAACGCTGGTAAAGAGCTGGCGCGCAAACTGCTGGATATGGGTGCTCGGAAAAGGCACGAAGGTGTTGCTCTTGAGGAAATCAAAGACGCTTTGGCCCAAGAGGTCGGTGACAATGCAAATGTGGTTGCGGAAGTCAAACGTGTCTCGCAGATGAATGCACTTGTTGCGGTTGTGCTTGTCGTTGCAGGCCAACGTCGACAAGACCCTCAACTCGATGCGGCTAGCATCACGGTATTTCTGCACAGAGCGAATGATCTTGATGGCCACGTCGGCATGCCTTCTGCGATCGTAAGCTTGCACCACCTTGCCAAACGTGCCTTGGCCGAGGAGCTTGACGATGGAATCTGTAGGGAAGGAGTCAACACTGGCCAGCTTGCGTCGTCATGGCATCAACTTACATCGCTCGGTCAGATCAGCTTGGTCGTGCACTATGTAATGGCCGTCGTCATCGTCTACCTTCTGGTCGCGCTTGGTCGTTCTCTGCATTCGTGTCAGCATACATGCAACACGTGCAGATGGGCAATGGCTTCAACATACGTCTGGCACCAAGGGCACAAAGACATCCTTTGCCTTGAGCGGTGGCTTGGGCGGAGGCACATACTCGGCGAAAGGATCGGGACGAGCATTGACTTCGCGCTTCTTTTGGTCGGCAGCAGCCTGACGAGTGGTCCTCTTGCGCTTCTGGCCCGTGGCAGCGTCTTCGGCGTAGGCACTCGCACTCGCTTGCGAAGCCAGAGATGTGGCAGCCGACGTCTTGTACGATGTCGGGTTCTGGTCTGTCGAAGCGGCGTCGTAATAGGGCGTGTGGGTGTTTGAGTATTCGGCGTGGTGGTAGACGGGATCGTAGTTTGTCGTCTTCCTGCGCTTATCCATGTGCTGCTGAGCCGTGCTACTCGCCGAGGGTATGGCAGCATCTTGATATGTCTGGCTGGGGGCTGGTGCTTCGTCTTGGTCGTCGTCGTCGATGACTATGATTTCCTTGGGAGGCTTGCCGCCATAGAAAGCGTTCCAATCGACGGGCTGGTTCCTCTGTCTCTTGACGGCAGTGCCATTTGACGAGGCAGCGGTTGAAGGCGGTGCAGGATAAGGCTGGTTGGCAGTAGCGGGCGCGGCAGGATTTGTGGTGGTAGTCGAAGTTCGTGATGGCGGAGGATAGGCGTTGGCATATGGTTGCGGGGGATATGAGTAGTCCGTCATGGCTGGAAGATACTGGTGAGGCTGGTAGTGATTCGGCGCAAGAGTGGCGGTCTGAGGAGTCGACATATTCTGCGGGATGATTGATGTCGTCGTCGGCGGCGTGGAGCGTGCAAGGTGCAGCGAGCGAGGCAGATGTCAACGAGACTCGGACCTCGTTCAACGGGCGAGGGCGATGGCAGGTCGGCGAGTGGGCGGTGGACGAGATTGCTGTCTCATTCGACGAGAGAGCGTCAGTTGACAAGCTGAGCAATACCGCGAGTGCAGACGAGAAGTGTGGTGTAGAGACCTCACTTCCAGAGAACAAGCGGCTTAACTGCGGCTGTCGATGGGCAGTGGAACACGCTCGACCAGCTGAGGCTCGAGGATCAGAGACAAGTCTGTCGTGCTGCGGGTGCTCGAGGGATGGGCGTGTGTTGAAATTGTCAGCGTGTGCCCTTGCCGGCTTGAGCAGAAAGCGTGGGAGGCACCGCGAGCGCTGGAGGAGCTGCGAGTCCACTGTGTGCTTCGTCATTCTGCCTCTCTCCGCATTGCAACACTACCGCGTTGATTCTTCACTCGTCCAACCGCCAACCGCCAATCGCCAATCGCCATCCGCTCACTGATAAATCTCATCTGCCCTCTCGCTAATTCCTTTCAAACCCGCCTTTGATATTGACATGGCTCTCTGGCCAGCATTCGATAAGCCAGGTGCTGCATTGCATTCAGTGAGCCGAAGCCTGGACTGTTCCATCTACATCTAGCTGCGCTTTGTGCCGACCCTCCCAATCGCTTGACAACACAATCACAACCGCTGTCTTGTCGTGACTGGATACATGCTCAACTCAAAGTCCTTTTTTCTGAAAAATACTCCTCGATCACCGCCGCCGTTTTCCTCGCTATCAACTCGACAATTTCCACCGTCACACTGTACGCCGGAGCAAGTAGAATGTGGTCCCCAAACCTGCCGTCAACTGTACCGTTCCCAGGATAAAGGGTAATGCTGTGTGGTTCGCTCAATCCTAAGACCGATCAGTCTTCTTGCTCACAACCCTGGCAATAAGTCCATCTTACCTTTCTCGTGAATCCCCATCGCGACATTCTCTTTTGGATCAAATGGCTTCTTCGTTGTCTTATCTTTGACGAATTCGATCTGCAACTGTCAGTATCATTGAACTCGGCCTGGTCTCTAGCAGTGCTCACCCCCCAGAAGAGTCCCTTTCCTCTCACATCTCCCACGTGAGGCAATGGCAAAACCATCTGTCTCAAGAGAGCCTCTAGCTTCTCGCCCATAGCCGCAACATTTTCTACCAGCCTCTCTTCTTTGACCGTCCTGATTACCTCCAGTGCAGCTCTGCAGCTGACAGGGTGACCTTGATACGTCTGGCCGTGAGCAAATGCTCCAGTGCCTCCGAAGAGCGTATCTGTGACCTTGCGGCTTATCAACACGCCTGCCACGGGTGCATATCCACCACCCAGTCCTTTTCCAATGGTTTGTATGTCCGGAGTGACGCCGATGAGCGGCGATTGCCAAGCATGCATTGTCCCTGTACGACCCATACCACACATTACTTCGTCCAGGATGAGTAGAGCCCCGTGCTTGTCGCATATGGTCCGCACTGATTTGAAGTAGCCTTCGACTGCAGGTACACATCCCAGCGCCTGATGACAATGGTCAGTATACGCCAAAAGCGCTTGATCGATATGCTTACCGCTCCAACCACCGGTTCGGCCACGAATGCACACACGTTGTGAGGGCCCAAACGCTGGAACTCACGTTCAAGCTCCTCTCCAAGTCTTTCCACGTACTCGGCTTCTGTCTCGCCTTCCTTCATACCACGATACGCATTACAGGCAGAGACTTGACTCATGTTAGGAAGTAGCATTGGTTCATAAGGAGCGCGTCGTGCTTTATGGCCGCTGACCGACAAAGCTCCCAAGGTTGTACCATGATAGGACTCGCGTCTGGCGATGAACTTAGTCCTTTGTGGCTGTGGAGGGCTGGACTCGAGATAGTGTTGTCTTGCAAGCTTCAAAGCTGCTTCCATCGCTTCGGAACCTATACGCTGTTAATGAGCACCCACTGACTTGATGGATGACTTTACCAGAGCTGACGATGTACGCCTTCGACATTTCTCCATTCGTCGAGGCTACGAGTTCTCTTGCCAGTTTCTCCGCGGCTTCGGTAGCAAATGTCGCAGAATGCACGTATGAGACAATGTCCAGCTGTTCGATTATAGCCTCTTTCACACGTTTGTTTCCATGTCCTAGACACGATACTGCTGCCCCTCCAGTAGCGTCGAGTAGTTTCCCACCACCGGCGAGGTGTAAGTAGTTCCCGCTCGCCCCAACCACCGGGATAGGACCCGTGTGCAGACTTCTGTGGAGGATCGCGCTTTGATTCTTGGTCGTGTCCATGTTGAGGTACGATTCGTTGTCTGGAAATGTTGTATGATTGCAGACCATTGGCGTCAGGAATAACATGTTCTATTTATCTGTTGATCGGCAAACTCACCAAAAGCGGGAAACATCTCGCCGAGGGTGTGGAGCGGGAAAGCACTTGGCCGCGCCATGTTCGTGCATCTCTTGTGGTGTATAGTCTACCGTTCGAGTAAGAAAATAGATTGAATCGCATGCTACAGGATTCGAGAAGTATGAGAAAGCGAAACCAATGTTGCATCGGTATTATAATCGGAGCCGGCGATGGTCGACGTAGGAGATCTTTGCAAGCAAGAACGGCCCGGACAGCAGTCGCTCGCAACTTCGTCATTTGAAACACTCCTGGCTCAATGTCTACATGTCCTTATCTGGTAAGATCGAGACACTCGATGCTAGGCTCTCGGTCTGGACTTCTCAAACAGTACTGTAGTATGAGCTTCAGTCCGCCAGCACTCAAGAGAAGGCGGCTGGGCAACAACGAAAGACAGCCCATCACCGTGACGGTCAAGCATCCGGACATCAATCATCTCCAAGTATACTCCTGGAATATCAACGGTATCCAACCCTTCATACAAAGGCCAATAACCTCCTTTTTCAGACCCAAGAGTTCGACCTCCAAAGGGCCAAAAGGAGACGCGCCGACCACAGCTTCTCTTCGGGATTTCCTACGACGACATGACTGGCCTACAATCCTTTGCCTTCAAGAGGTGAAGATTAAGCCAGATGATAAGGCGACCAAGTCAGCAGTCCAAAAAGCTGTCAAGAGCACTGTAGCGGGCGAGCCTGACTACGAGGCTCACTTCTGTCTGCCGACCGATCCTCATAATGCTCGTGGATTTGGTAGAAAAATCTATGGTGTATGTACCATCATACGTAAAGACTGGATCGCAAGATTCAAACCAGTTGTACGAAATGTGAGCTGGGATCTTGAAGGTCGGATCCAGATCACCGAAACAGAGAATCCGTCGTTCAGCATCTGGAACATTTATGCTGTCAATGGCACGGACAATGCTTACAAGAGCCAGACTGGAGCTGTCGAGGGGACCAGACACGACCGGAAACTAGCGGTCCATAAGCACATACTCGACGAGGCCAAACTGCTCGAAGAACAGGGTTATCATGTGATCCTTGCTGGCGACATGAATATCGCTCGTTCCCGTATAGATGGTCACCCTAATCTACGGACCTATCCTCAGCAACACGTTATCAATCGCGCCGACTTCAACAAGAAGTTCTTCGACACGGACAACGGGCTCAAGGCTATTGACACATATAGACACATCCATGGAGACGAGAAAGGATACACGTATTATCCTCGTGGGAGGGAGTTCGGAAGTAGCTGTGATAGGGTTGACCTAATCATTTGCTCCAGGTCACTGGGCAGAAACATCGTGGATGCTGGTATTTGTGCTACGGAGAAGGAAAGAGGACCTAGCGACCATGTCCCTTTGTTTGCGAGTTTTAATCTTGCTCAGAACCCAAGTGGTGGCCCCGAAGAGCTAACTAGACGGGACGACATGACCTGAGATGCGAGACTGTCGCGTACAATTCGGAGTTGTGCGAGGGCCATCAGTAGATATGGTTTAAACATCAGTATAGCATCTGGTTATGGCAGCTGAGGCACGCCATCATAAGCAAGTTGTCATTGTATCCTTTCATGTCTGCCTGTACTATAGCTCTTGCTAGACGGCGGAAGTACAAGTCAGGCCAACCTTGGTATATTACTCCAGCCCTCCTTTGACAGTCATCGGCGCACTCGCTACATATCTTCTGTGTCTGTGGTAAGGAGGACCATTGAACGAGTTCTCTGGGAGTAATCTCGTGGCCAGTCTGTATGCAGACTTGCGAGGAAAGACGCTTCATGCTGCGCTCGGCCTGTCGTCTCGATTATCGTAAATCGTCGTCTTGAAGAACAAATGTCCAATGTTTCGAGCGCGACAACTTCTCCCGTCGATCCTTCAGCCGTCAGGTATCGGCTGGACGGCCATACGACTCTACGAAGACACGCTCTTTGCAGTGAGATCGTGCACCTTATGACCAGGTCCCAGCGGCATTGCGGTATAACCTCCAGCTTATGCAGCATACCACCCGAGGTGTATTAGCCATCAGCTCAAACCTTTTGTATGAGAGCTTCCCCCAACTTGGTTTGATCATCCGGCTCTTGCACTCTCGACCTCTTTTAGCACAACGACCACCAATTGTCTGAACGCCTCCATCTCCTCTTCTATGCTGCCACCGTTTCCAGCCGATGAGAAATTGACCGAGCTGCCAACCTGGACTGGCAGCTTCGTCCTTCTTGCCAATGTTTTCGCCAACCGATCGGCAAAGTCCAGGCTTGACGGAAGCGTGTATAGAGGTGTGCTGAGCGGTGCCGAAGAGTTGTAGCGCTACATTTCAGCATTAGCGTCTGGGTGTCGGACCAAATCTTTTAATGGATGCATACGTCAGGCATAGCATAGACAAAGCTTCCGAGCGAGGGTCTGGCGGAGGAAGAGTATTCGGCCGTGGTGCTCGTGCAGAACAGAAGAATAGATGTCGCGAGGATGGTCAGATGCGCGTGAATGCGGCATCCTGGTGCGTTTGGCAAGGGAATGGAAAATTGAATCGGTTCTGTCACACTAGGCTCTTTGCCAGCACCATCCGTGAGTTGGTTGTTTGACTCAATAGACATGTTCACTATTGGTATGTTTGTTCGTGGTTTGGGGTTGTGAGATCCAATAGCATTGATGGTCGACTGTAACAAACATGACCACCATGTTTGCCTTGTTTGCTGCTTGTCTTGTTGTTTTCTGGCGACAACTGAGCATCTACATAGTCTTCGTTTACGCTTTACATAGTGGCCCTCTGGCACAAGGTTCCTGGGCATCATGGAAAATAAAGAAGAGCATACCCTAGTGCCTGGTGAGGAAGTGGCAGACGACGAGGGTTCGGAGGTAGACCCGCTCTCTGACCCCGAAGAAAGACGGGTCCTCTTTGCTGCCCTTGATTCTTTCCGGTGAGTAGATCATGTCCCATATCTCTGGTAGCCGGCCTGAGCTGGAGGGGTGCGAATGTGTGAAATTCAAAGACAATATCGAAGCTTAGAGGAAAAGGAATGCATTCTAAAGCAGCGACACTAGACAATACCGCCAGGCTGCCCATTACAACATAACCCATCTGAGACGCCAATCTTTCTACTCCCTTCCCTCGGCTCACATGGAACTACTAGCCTCTGAGTCATTCAATCTACCCAAGACACTCGATGCTGTGGACGCAGCAATTGACGCAAATGCCGACATTGCTGACACTGTTCTTGCCTTGGGTCTTGATATGTACGGACTGGATCCTGAATCAACCGAATGGCGCGGAGCTGCGACCTCGCAAGACATGGACAAAGTACGCTCCACCATCCGCCAGTTGTATCGCGATTGGTCGGCTGAAGGTGCACGCGAACGAGAGGCATGCTACAGACCCATCTTGGCTGGTCTCAACAGAGCTTTTGAACATGTCAGTCCGTCTAAGCGATCAAACGTGAGCGTACTAGTCCCTGGTGCCGGACTGGGACGTCTGGCCTTTGAGATATGTAATGCGGGATACGCCATGGAAGGGAACGAAATATCGTACCACCAGCTTCTCGTCAGCAATTGGATACTCAACTACACCTCAGGCCCAAAGTCACGCTCTATCTTTCCCTGGGCACTTGGATTTTCAAATCACACACATCGCTCTCATCAATTGCAAGAGATACAGATACCCGATGTATGGCCTGCTGAAGAGCTGGACAAGAGCTGCAAGACTCTGAGCTCAGAATTGCATGCTTACCAACGCATGTCAATGTCCTCTGGTGATTTTTGTGTGCTTTACAAGGAAGAACGATACAGAGCTGCCTTCGATGCAGTCACCACATGCTTCTTCGTGGACACGGCTCCCAACTTGATCGCGTATATTGAGACCGTCAAACACTGTCTCAAACCAGGGGGCGTGTGGATAAATCTGGGTCCCCTCCTCTGGCATTTCGAAGGTGGCTCGCCCGAAAAGCAAAAAATCTCTTCCTCTTCCGAAACAGGCAGGGAAAATCAAGACAGAAATCAGGGCATTGGCGAATCGGGCTCTTTCGAGCTCGCCGACGAGGAAGTCGTCAAGTTGGTTGAATATTTTGGATTCGAGGTCATAGAGCACAACCCAGTGCACGGAGAAGCTGGTTACATTCAAGATCCGCGAAGTATGCTGCAAAACACGTACAAGCCTAGCTTTTGGATGGCCAGGAAGATGTGAGTGGAGTGCAGGCTTTTCGTCAATGTGGTTGCCATTCTCTACATATATTGGCCACTCGGAGGCGATCCGCACAGTAACCATTGTAAGATATGTACATGACGTGTACCATAAGGCAAGCCATGTTTGAACCCGTTTCAGTGCCTCTCGTCCTTCGCAACACTCGACCTTCTGTCTGTGTACTGAGCTGCAAGACTGTTCATATCTGATAATGTGAGTCTGATAATGTGAGGATTGCACTCAAGGAGATGCCCGGACTCCTGTAAGTCTTCGTTCTTCACAGCAAAGTATCCTCGGACACATGCCTTTCCTTAGGGACCAACGCAGCTTGTCAGTTTATGCCAGAGGCTCTTGGATGCGAACAGGATCGATAGGATGCTGCGTTTTTCAGCCTTGTCAAGACACCCTTAGAAATTCAGCCACCTTGACCGTTAGGAGGTGTGACATTCGGAACTGATTTCCTAGGTCCCGTGCTCCATGGTGACGTGCCCGCTCCAAAGAGAAGAGGGCTTTGCATGCCTGCATAGTGTCCTGAGAAACTATGATACCGGTCTCCACGGGAAACGTTATTGTTGAGATTGGGTGTTGGCTCGAACGAGGACAATCCATCTAGATGTTGAAGCGGACTTCGAACCGAGCTGGTTGAATTGACACGAGAGTGGGCATTCGAAGTTCTGGCAGGTAAACCAGGAGGTGCACTCCCGTATGGGGTGATTGGACTGATTTCTCGTGCTGGTGTGTCATTCCATATATTGGAAACCGAGTACAATCGCTGCGCAGGAGGTCCAGTTGGGCTCAGGGGTAGCTGCCAAGCTTCTGTCCGCGTGTCGGGCGTACGAACACCCTGGAGAGTACACGGCGAAATGCCCCTGAGCGAAGTGATATTGTTGTGGCCAGTAATGCCGAGAGAATCTTGTCCGAGCGCGGCAGGGACGAGGTCATCATCTTCGTCAGGTCCGACGAGATCGTCGACCATTCGACTAAGTTGAGCCTCTCGGTTGAGCTGTTTGCTACTAGTGTTCGTTGGACCAGATGATACAGGAGCTTGTGGTGTGCGTTTCGTGGCAGCGGTTTCCTGCTGAGCAATAACAGTCGCAGTGTCATGCACCAAGACTACATCCGCAGCTGAATCTATCAGCTGACCATCCTGGGGGATAAATTGTGAACCGTCAAAGGTGATGGGCACGTCCTGTAGCGAAATTTAGTCTACGTCATGTTTACGCATGTGTGATGACGAACCTTGTCCACAGCGAGCAACAACGCATCAAAGAGAAGTTCGCGGATTCTTCCAAGCATCTCTTCATCAATTTTCAGACGCGTCACGCCCTCGTCGTCGTATTTCGCCTTGGACTCTCCGGTCGCAACATGTAGCCAGACTTTGCACGATCTGTCAGAGTTTAGGGGTCTAAGGCCATAGGCATTGACGTCTTCCTCAAGCTGGTATGGAACTTCGCTGAGCTCTCTGAACGAGAAGCTCGACGCCACAGCAGACAGGGTTCTGGCATATACGTGCCAGAAACGATCCATGGCTTCTTGAATAGGTCCGTCGCCAACGCGTGCTGTAACTATGTGAGCGTTACTGAGCAGCCAAGTACTGTAGAGACGTAGAGCAGGCAGAACATGCCGTGCCACATCCGTGATTCTGTCGGTAAGATCCGAAGTTGTAGTGTGCTCCTGAATATGCTCTCCGAGATCATCATGATAAGTCTGCAGGATCGCTGTGAAGAATTTCACGTTGAGTCGTAGGAAGAAGAAATACGACTGCATGAACTTGTGTTGATCAGGCTTGCTTTCGAATTGATTGCCAGCTGTGGCCTGAGCGCAGAAGTTGATCAGACTCATTTTGGACAGAACGCCATCCAGTGTACGTCCTTTTATCTCGGTAATCGTGCGGCTCAGAACTTCACGCTCGAGCTCGTCGTAGCCAGGGAACAACTGACCATTGTAGCTAAGGCTGTGGAAACGAATGAACCAAGATAGCAGAGCCTTACGGGAAGCGACCTGATCCTTAGGAGAGTGCTTGGGCACCAGATCGCCCTTCTGCCACCCGGTAGTGATCTTCTTGAACTGCAATTCCAGATTTGGAATGGCATTTGGGTGGGGTTCAACCACGTTGATGGAACGGTAAAGGTAGTATGTAGAACGTAGATAGTCGCCTTGCTCAAAGGCAACCACAGATTGTTGGTGAAAAGCGAGTCCAGAGTCGGGGCGCAGGGACGCAGCCAGAGCATAGTAGCCAATAGCTGGGCCCCAGTCGGGTTCTTTGTCGAGCCTCTCAGCAGCGCGGTAGCGAAACAGATCGCCAAGGTAAATCAAGGTTTGGTGACAGGATAGGATAACGGCGGCTTGAACGTGGGAAGACAAAGGTCTCTTCGAGGACTTTGGCACAGCTACGCGGGGTCAGTCCTGTATGAACAACAAAGGCCAGTGGGAGGAACACGTACGATCGGATCTGACTCGGCGAGCGATGCGCTCCAGGTCTTGGATGCCGCCAAATCTGGCATTCAGCTTCTGAATGTAGTCTCTATAGAAGCGTTGGCTGTCCTTTAGGAACTCGAGGTAGGTCTTGATGAACTTGCGCGTCTCCACGGGCTTGCTAGAGCGGTCCTTGCGCAGCTGGTCATGTAGGTGAGCAAGAGCTGGTGGTGTCGAAAAAGCATTCTGTGACTGACCTTACTAAGCTGCTTGCGCAGGCGGACGTTCAGGCGATTGTGAGCGTTCCAAAGGCGTACTTCAACATCTCCGGCGCGTGCAGACATAAAGTCAGTAGCGAGAGCATGCGCGGCCGCCGCGCGGTATCTGATGGACTTGGTATAAGTAAGGCTGATCAGACGCGGAAGCGGTCTCCTGACTCACTGCTGCAAGACTAGAAACACAGTATCCAAGGCAGATTCGGCAGCCTGCAGCGTGTGGGTGAATTCTTGCTCGAGAGCATTGGCCTTGCTGCGAAGAGAGTAAGTGCCATGTCGCTTGTCATGGAGTCCGTGTGTGCATACGCAAGGGCCTGATCGCCTGTGGGTTCCATGTTAGAGAATGGCGCTCGTCATAGAGCGCCTATAACCCGGTCGGTGGTGACCACAGTGCGCGAGGTCAGATGTAAACGTGCTGATATCCGGAGATTGCGAACGAGCCGGCGCGATCCATGAAGGGCAGCGATGGCGGACTTGAAAATGGTGGGCGCGCAACAGGTAGAGATCTGTTGCCGGTGTGAAGAGCCAGGGCGAGGAAGCGACTGCGTAGAAAGCAAGGTCGGTTGTGGAGTGGCAGCGACGTCCGTAATTAGAGGCCAGAGACGTAGCATCCGCTCTCATTTCAGCCGCCCGCTGTTTTTGTAATGACCCTCTTGCAGCCCCCATGACCCTGCTACCACCGCATTCTGTACCATCCATCACCTTCTGCCTTCCATTCTGTTAGACCACGACATAATACTCGAGTATGCACCATGTCTAAACGGACTCGACAAGACTCTTCTGATGATTGTCATCGATCTTCATCGCCGGTTGATGAATCTAGTCTGCCGCCGGGCAAGTATGCACAGCTGGATCATTCGACAGCACCCGACGCAAGCACATTTATAACTTGCATGCTACCACCTCACGACCCGGTCAATTTTTCAACATACCATGATTATGAAGCACACTACCACAAGACACACGTAAACAGATGTCTTGATTGTGGCAAGAACTTTCCTACCGATCATTTTCTCTCTCTGCACATCGCTGAAAGACACGATGCTATCAATCTTGTCAAACGCGATAGAGGAGACAAGATCTACCGCTGCTTCGTCGAGGATTGCGACAAAGTCTGCCGAACTCCACACAAGCGCCGGATGCATTTGGTCGACAAGCATATGTTTCCTCAGGACTTCGACTTCTATATCGTGAATCATGGCTCCGACAATCGTACCTCACTGCTGCTTGGCAACACCAAAGCTCATGCAAAAAAGCAGAATGCCACAGCCAGTCAGAAGGCTGTCACAAAGAACACCGCCGAGGATGCAGACGGACTGCATGTCATGAATAGCAGTCAAGGCGGAGACAGAGATGTATCGATGGACGTTGTTGTCGAGTCAATGGCCGCTCTGAGATTCGTACCAAAGTCCGTCACGTTTGGTAGAAGTCGACAACGAGGAGGTTTTTCAGAGACTTGATGCCGTCCCAATAGAGAGCGAGATGCGACACACACGTGTACGTGTTTGAGGCTCGAAGCCCAAGGCAAGACGATCTGGTTGGTATCATTTCATTATGAATAGCGTTATTGACGCTTTCGTTTTTGGCCGTTGCTTTCGTTTTCTCCACGACCGCCCAATTTTGGTATAACAATGCAAGCACGGGGCGCGTGCACTTACTCTCCCGAGCTGTCAAGCTTCAGCAGGCTCTTCTGGAGTGCCTTTTTCTCTTTGCCATCTCTGTCAAGAACGACAACCCAATCTCTGATCTGAATGCCTCTGCCTTCCACGCCGTCTTCTCTCCAACTTCCCCACTTCCGTTCGCGGGCCTGTAATGCCATATCTGTGCTATTGCCGCTGCCCGAGGAACTTTTCCCACCGCCAGTGCCGTTTGTCGCTGCGATAGCGGAAGCAGATTTCGGCGTCTGCTTGTACGGGTTCACAGGTGCCGCTGGTGCGCCACCCGTTAACCAACTATACTTCTTCTTCTTGCCCATTCCCAGCTGGAGGGCGGCAGTTGTGTTGGAGTTTTTGTGGAGGACTTCCTCGGTCTGGCCCATCTTAGCCTGTCGTTCGCGTTCCTTTTTGGTCATCGGCTTTTCTGGAGCAGCTTGACTGGAAGGATCTGCGGAAGAAGGAGCGGCCGCTGCAGAGGGCGTTGCAGGGCCGGATGTTGCATCAATACCACCAACACCGTCCGCGTTCAGGCTATTGTTGGCGCGCTTAGCACGTTCCTGACGTTTACGTACACGTTCTCGCTCAGCATCGCGGTCCTGTTTCGCCAACTGTAATAGATGAGTAGATATGGCAGAAGAGAACGACTTTGTTGGTAGTGGCTTGTTTTCTAAGTTTTGAGATTAGAGATGGAACTTCTGTGCGAAGAAATAGGCACTTACCAGGAGTCGCAGCCTTTACCGCTCCATCCTCTAGGCCAATGATGTTGTCTTCCGGGACCTTCTCCCAAGCAGAGTTGGTGATGCGCGGTATCTCAGCCACGGCAGCCGTTTCGTTCTCGCCGATTGCAAGATCTGACAAGCTGGGAGGGACCACTCCGTGACTACCGTAGCGTCTTCCACGAGCGATGGCATATGACTCGTCGACCAAGGAACGCACTCGTTCGTTCGCAGCGAGCGATACAAGGGTGAGTATCTCAGCCAGGGGCGCCGTCTCTTGAAGTAAGCCATGTGCCTTGACGGCTGCGGCGGTGCCATTGGGGCCAGTCGCAGAGACACCTTGAATGCCCTGTGGACGCTCGGGTAGTTTGTCGTACAGACCTTCCACGTTGAGGGCCACACCCTGGTCGTAAGCGATCCTATGCATACGATGACGGATGTTGTTTGCTTGCAGAAATGGGTCGTTGAGATGTTGCTGACGCTTCTCACTGTGGGCCAGTGCAGCAGCGCGATGTTTCTCGTCGAGCTCATTCTTGACAGATTCTTGCGACACGGGTGGTTGTGAAATGGGCCCGCTTCCGCCAAAGGCAGGCTGACTTCCGAAACTGCCTTGCGAGACCAGACCAAAGCTATTGTTTGGCGAAGCGACAGTTGTGTTTGAGCCAAAGGAAGTAGTGAAGGAGGGATTTTTGTGCACATTCCGGTAGGTGGTGGTCATGTAGTTCTCCTCTTCCCTGAGATCAATACCGGAGCCATGGAAGACGTCGGTGACGTCGCTGATGTCAGTGATTTTTTCCTTGTCTTCTTTTTCTGCCTTTTCCTGAGTAGGCCTTGGAGGTGGGCCCATGGCGCCGGGCACAGGAGAGGGAGCGTAGGGTTGAGGGGCATTGAAGGCGGGCGGGCTCCCAGCAGTCATGGGCGAGTAGTTGGCGTAGGAAGAGTCGGAAAGAGCAGGAGGCGGGGGGTACGGGCTCTGTGCAGCGTGCGGCGACTGAGGATTGGGTGAAAGGCGCGGACGTTTGGCAGGAGGTAGGGCGATTGCAGTCGGCGACGAACTTGGTGGATAAGGAGAATAAGGACGCGAGACGGGCTGCATGGGCTGGTGAGGCTGGTGCGACTGGTGTGGTAGGTGAGGATTGGGTCGCTGGTGTGGAGGGAGCTGAGGATGCTGAGGGTGCTGCTGCTGTTGCTGCTGTTGCTGCTGAGGCGGAGACATGTTGTGCGACATGTTGGCGACGAGAGGTGGGGGGAGTGGTGTCGTGGTCCACTGGAAGATTGATGCGGCCGTGGCCGCTGCGCAGCTGGGGTGGTGGCAGATGAAAGGACGATTTAGCAGAGCATTCCGAGTGAGGAATTTGTTGTTGCCCTAGATGGAGATGGCGGTCTCGAGGCGGCGGGCGAGGGGCGCTTGTGTCGGTGTCGCAGCGAGAGTGATGGTCGTTTATTGTTGGCTGCTCGCTGCTCGCTGCTGCTTCTCGTTGCTCGAAGACGGCGGGGCGGAAGCTGCCGTGCTCTCGTCAGCTTGCCCGGCGTCACTGCTCCGTGCTCACAACCTCTCTCTCACCTTCTTCACCCATCATCAATTCCCCAGCAGTAGAAGCGCCGTTTCTGACTTTGAATGCGCCCATCTCTACCGAATTGTACACAGCCGCCCTATCTTTCTGTATACCACATTAGACACCTGAGCAGCCTTTGCGACAGCAGCTTCCTCTCGCCATGGCCACGAAACGAAAGCTGGACACGGCCACACCAGAGCCCGACGAACCCATCGACCCCTCAGACGAGTTGATGTTCTTGTGCTTGGGTGGTGGAAACGAAGTCGGCCGTTCGTGCCACATCATACAGTACAAGGGCAAGACCGTCATGCTCGATGCTGGCGCCCACCCTGCCTACGATGGTCTGGCTTCTCTTCCCTTCTACGACGAATTCGACCTGAGCACTGTCGACATTCTTCTCATTACTCAGTAAGTCTTTGCCGCCTGCTCCGCCATCTGCCTCACGGTCACTGCACCAGCACCAGCTTTTCTCTTTGCATTCCCCCACCTCCCTGACTGGCTTGCATCTGCAACCATTACTCTGCATACCCATGCAGCTTCCCCCAGCAGTATGTATATAAACCAAATCGAAACCTTGTTTCCACCACTTTTCCTTGTGTGCCGGTGACCGTGAGCTTGGTTCAAACTCTGCCTTAAAACTTCCATGTTTGACGCCTACATGACGGGAACTCTCCATGGCTAACACTCGGTGCAGCTTCCATCTGGACCATGCCGCCTCCCTCCCATATGTCATGGCCAAGACTAATTTCAAGGGTCGCGTCTTCATGACCCACCCGACCAAAGCCATCTACAAATGGCTGATGCAAGACTCAGTCCGTGTACAGTCTGTCTCTCTCGCTTCTGAAACTTTGGACATTTGGCTGACTTTTCGTCAGAAACACTCATGCATCTGCAGAACAGCCGACCCAGCTCTACACCGAGGCCGATGTTCTTTCAACTCTTCCCATGATCCAGACTATCGCATTTCACACTACACACACCCATGCAGGCATACGGATTACCCCTTATCCAGCTGGCCACGTTCTTGGCGCAGCCATGTACGTAATCGAGATTGCTGGCCTCAACATCCTCTTTACAGGTGACTATTCGAGAGAGCACGATCGTCATCTGATTCCTGCTTCGGCTCCCAAGGGTGTCAAAGTAGACGTCTTAATCACGGAGTCTACCTTTGGCGTTGCCTCTCACATTCCACGAGTGGAGCGAGAGACTGCCTTGATGAAGAGTTTGACGGGCGTTCTGAATCGTGGAGGACGCGTCCTAATGCCTGTCTTTGCCATTGGTCGTGCACAAGAGCTGCTTCTGATCCTGGAAGACTACTGGAACCGTCACCCTGAATACAGGAAGTATCCTATATACTATGCAAGCAACCTGGCCAAGAAGTGCATGCTTGTTTACCAAACGTACATTGATGCCATGAACGACAACATCAAGTCCATGTTCCAGAACAGACTTGCTCAAACAGCCGACGGTAGCAACGGCGAAGCAGGTGCTGGAGGCCCATGGGACTTCCGCTGGATTCGCAACTTGAAGTCTCTCGACAGGTTCGATGATGTTGGCGGATGCGTCATGCTTGCGTCTCCCGGTATGCTTCAGAATGGTGTGTCTCGTGCTCTTCTCGAGCGCTGGGCGCCTGACCCCAAGAATGGTGTTATCGTCACTGGTTATAGCGTCGAGGGCACTATGGCAAAGATGATCCTGACCGAGCCCGAAAGCATCCAGGCAGTCATGACTGGCAGGGTGGGTGGCAGAGTACAGGGCCTCGGCGGGAGAGGAAAGCCAGGCGCCGAGGGAGAAAAGGTCATGATTCCGAGAAGATGTACTGTTCAGGAATACTCGTTTGCAGCACACGTTGACGGTACCGAGAACCGCGAATTCATCGAAGAAGTTGCAGCTCCTGTCGTGGTAAGAGATACTGCAAAATCAACTATTGCCTTGGCTAACTCAATGTCAACAGATCTTGGTACATGGAGAGAAGACAAACATGATGAGACTCAAGTCTAAGCTCTTATCGCTGAACGCGAATAAGACGACACCCGTCAAGGTATTCTCTCCAGCGAACTGTGAGGAGCTTCGCATTCCTTTCAAACAAGACAAGATTGCCAAAGTTGTTGGTCGACTTGCAAACCAAATACAGTTATCAGCTGGCCCTCCTTCTCCTCCCAGTTCGGATGAAGAAAGCGCAACAAGAGATGAGAAGAAATTCAAGACAACAAAGGGGGATCAGGTGGTCTCTGGTGTTCTGGTACAGAACGATTTCAAACTTAGCTTGATGGCGCCTGAAGATCTCAAAGAATATGCCGGCCTAACGACCACAACAATCTTGTGCCGCCAAAAACTAACGCTTGCTGCTGCAGGCCTTGATCTGATCAAATGGGCTCTGGAGGGGACCTTCGGAGCTGTCAGAACCACATCATCGCTGTCCGAAAGCGCCAAAGAAGAAACCAATGGCAACCCAGCCAAGATTGAAGAGGCCGACGAGGAGATAGAGAGGCAACAAGAGACCATCTTCGAGGTCATGAGTTCAGTCAGAGTCAAAGTTGCCAACCGTGGCGAGGTCGAGGTTGAATGGGAAGGCAACATTGCAAACGACGGAATTGCGGATGCCGTTCTTGCTGTTCTGTTGACAGTCGAGAGCAGCCCTGCAGCTGTGAAGCGTAAGTACCCACTTGTCATCCAGGCGAACCCTCTGCTAACAGAGTTGCAGAATCATCGGTTCCTCACTCACACGACCATCACGAGAAGAAACGCAATCTTCATGCACACATTACTCCATCTGAACGCCTTTCTAGGCTGTGTATGTTCCTCGAAGCTCAGTTCGGCGAGGATGCCATAACTCCCATTTCGAGGCCTAAACTCAGCATCTCCGAGGAAGATGACAGTACCACTTCTGACGATCCTATAGCGAAAGAGAAAGCCAGAGCTCATCTTGAGATGGTAGAGCTCGAACGCCTTCACAAAGCAGGTATACCCGTGCCGGGCTTGGAGATCAGGGTAGACAAGACCGTGGCCAAGGTTTGGCTCGAAACACTCGAGGTAGAATGCGGCATGCGAAGCATGGCTGACAGGATCCGCGCAGTGGTTGAGCGGGCAGTTGAGGTCGTTGCTCCACTCTGGGAGTAGGATCATAGCCTACAGGACGGCCAGCACAAACTCGGAGAAGATCGCGTGTGCTAGAATAGGAAAGCGGACATTTATGGAGACTTTATGATTACTTAAGATGGAAAGCATGCGCGCTCGGCCGAGCATCTCACTGGAAGGAACAGGGTCCAGGCGTATAAAGGCAATCGTACTTTTTTGCAGATCATCACGTACTCTAAAGAAGCTTTCTTGATTACTATCTTGCATATTTCGCTGTGATGATCATGGACGGCTCGTGGAGGTCTCTAGCCACATCCTCCCTTTAGTGGCCGAGGAGGTTTGCAGAAGTGCAAAGTACAAGACTCTCAGCTGGAGGCCTGTTTTTGAGCAGATCACCTCGATCATCATTACCGAAAACTTGCAAGCCTGGACTTCGCAATTGGGGAACAGAAGAACCAAAGGCTTCGGCCGATAACATCAATACATAATCTGATCTGTTGAGATCTTCAGTCCGCAGCCCTAAGGGGGACGATGCCTGGGTAGCGTGCGAGGATGGGGCAAAGCGAGACGAGCTGTAAAGGCTATCTTGCAGAACACCGCACATCTCTTGTTCTTACGTTCATGCACAGAATAACAGGTCCTACAAGCAACTTTGTGCCTGCATGATAAAATCGATTGAGCTCAACCTTTCGAGTTGTCTTGCGCCGTCGTGTGCGCGGTCGAACCGAACTTCACCTTGTTTCGCCCAGCGTAACATGCGTCTCTAATGCCAGGCCGTTTAACAAAAAAAACCAAATATTCCGTTAATGATTTTTGTGGTCAACCAACCAACCAAAATCTTCCCGCTGCGTGTCCGTTCAAACCAGTTTCTCCACAATTGCGGTCTTGTCGACCCCACTTTGACCCTCTCGCTGCATCCTTCGCTCCTGTTCGTCCCGCTCCTGTTCCTCTTGCATCTTACAGTGTTTCAAGTATTGGCAGAAGTTGCTCTTTTCGCGGATGCTGTCTCCAAAGCGGATGAAAGCGAAGGGAATAGCGCTTATAGCTAAACTTAGGAAACCTAGCAGTGAGCATGCCCAGTTTATTCCCAAGCGCGCATATCTATACCAGCGAGGTTAGCAACTTACTTGGCATGGCTTGCGAGTTCAACGCCGCGCTACATGCCTGGCGCGCCGGACCAACGCTCCGCTGCAAGTTTGAGAATTTTCAATCTTCATCAATGAACAGAACATGGTACTTACAGTGGCCTCGCTGCGAAGGGTAAAACTGCACCAAACAAGCTCCTTGAGCAAGCCGATGCTGCCATGGCACTGGCAGCAAATACCTCATACGCATCGACGAGATAGCTACGGCCGAGTCAGCTCATGTTTGTGCGTTGTCCATTGGGCTGAACAAGCAACATACTTGACCAGAGACATGAAGAGTAGCAAAAATCCCATGCCGAATGGTAGAGCCGAGAGAACAGGCACTGCCCAATGGACCTCCTCTCGAGCTGTCCCTGCAAGAGCTAAAGTCAGCACATTGTATAGCATGACCACAACAGATCACCACGGGATCGATGTGTAATCGGTATCTTGACCATGCTGAAAGGGTAGCATACATCCTAGCCAGAAACAGCTGAGTACAAGCAACGGACCGCCAATACAGGCTAAAGGCAACCGCCGATACTCCTCACTCTGCGACCAGGCAGCGGGCGGATCCCGTGCCTTTGCCCTCTGCAGTACCCCGTCCCAATAGAGGTATAGGCCGCACGCCAAAAGGGCTCCGGCCCCGATTGGTAGGAACGTCAACCCAACTTCGCCGGCATTGAAGTGATAGGTGCCTTCGAAAATGAGTGGGTAGGCCTGGAAGTACATGTAGAAGATGGCGTAGACGAAGGATAGGTACAAGCAGCTACATAGCACGATGGCTTCGGTGAAGAACATCCGCACCGGTCTCGTAAGCACGACTGTGATCAGCTGCTTCATATCACGATGTTCAAGCTCGAGCGGTGCGAAGATGTTCGGGTTCTTGTTTTCCTTACGAAGACGTCGTGCTCGTGTCGCAAGAATAACAGGTGCATAAGTCTCAGGGCTGAGGAGTAGGACGGGCCAGGTGATCCCTGCTATGATCAAGGAGAGCCAGAAAATCCATCTCCAGGAGACCGTAGCGATGAACCCGGACATTATTGGCCCAAGAATTGGACCAAAAGTAGTAGCCTTTTTGAATTGTTAGCTCCTCGTTTCTCTGCTTCGTTTTTCTCTTGGACGCTGGCGTGCAAATCCCAACATCGCTAGTGGACAAGGCGACCAATCGTGCATGTCACAAGGAGGAGCTAACGCGCGAGCGCAGACGGTCCACAGCACATCAGAGTTCTTGGGGCAGTAAGGCTCATATCAAGATCTTGTCAAGATGTTGTTCACAAAGCAACATTCATCCCCATAAGCGAATGTCGAGATGTCGTGAGTTCAACACCAGCATACTCTAATGTGGTCTACGAGGCTTCATGCAATGTGAGCTACTTACGGTCATGAATATAGTCAGAGCTCGACCTCGAGTGACAGGGTCAGGATATACATCGGCGTAAATCCTAGTAAAACGTTTAGTTGGGGTATCTCAACGACGTTTGCGAACCTGCGTACTCACCCTCCCACCACGGATATGGGACTCGAGGCGCCGATGCCGACAAGTAGTCTGAATACGCACAAGGTCACAAAATTCTTCGCCAAAGCACATCCCAAGGTAAACATGGTGAACAATGCCTGTGGACCATTATCAAAGCTGCTCAATACGGGTCAAGCACGAGGTCTTACAAAGGTTGAGATCATGACCCACTTCCGACCATAGCTCTCACTCAGTGGCCCAAATAGTAAGGGCCCGACGACATAGCCAATCAGATATGAGGAGGTCGGCAGGACCAACTGCGCCTGGTTCGTGATGTCGAAATAAGTTGCAAACTGATGCGAAGCTCCAGCTGCTATCGAGGATCCGATGGTCGAAGACATGACCTGGGTTCTGTATCAGAAGCGTGTCTGATAGTGATTATGAGCACCGACCAATGCCACTCCATTGAAGACCACAAAGGATTTCTTCCGACCAGACCAGTTGTGGGGATTGTCTTGATCGCCCGTAGCGAAAGCAATGACTTCTTTGAGGCTCTGCGAACTTGAATGTGTCGTGGAGTAGGGACGGATTTGGTTCTTGCCCTCTATCTCGACTTGGGGATCCATGTCACTGCGATCATTTATCTCGTGGCTGCACTGAGCTTGCCTGAGATTACTCTCGTTGTCATGTAACCTTGGACTGGCCATCGCATGTCAGATAAGTATCAACGTAAGAAGCCCACCGCAAGGCGTGTATTAAATTCCTAAGTTCCCAACGACGGGATGTGGATAAAGGAAGGATGGAGGCTCATAGCTAATCCATTTTCGTACGCAAGACCAAATGTCTGCCCAAGTAGAATGGCCTCAAGAGACGCGGATATTGCGGCATAGTTTAGCCAAGCACTCTCGTAGGAGGTAAGGGAATGGTCGATCTGGGGGACGGCAGATCGTCATCACCCGAGCCATGAAGCTGGACTCTGGAGAAAGGGTGTCTGATGAGGGGTAAAACGTCCAATTCTCCCGTGATACGAGAGGCTGACGAACGACTGCTCATCCGGAGATGGCCAGTCTTTATTATTATGATCCCAGCTGCGCACGAAAAGCTGTGTAGAGCAGAGTTCACACGAAACGTGCCGTGAGTGTACGATCAAGCGTGAAGTTCGTCTTGGGAATAGTGCGGGATCACGAGCCTCGGAGTAACGTACATGCATAATCCCGTCCGAGCAGTCGAAGTCAATTGCTCATTCCGGCGCTTCTTTAAAGGGCCAGGTGGGATCAATCGATGATCGCGCAATAATCTGACAGTGCTAGATACGGACGCCGTTTAGGACATCATCAGCCAAAGGACTTTTCAGCCGAGATAGATATGCCAACTTCGACATTCGAAGACATCAAAGCAGAGGCTGAAGAATGTCATTTCCTCATCGGGTCATAGGCTGGGTGAGGTGCATGCGGAAGAGCCTTGGTAGAGAACGGATTCCATGTCTACTGCAGAAAGTGGAAGAAAAGTGTCAGCCCACCGAGGTTCCTTCGAGTCTCGTCGAGAAACTCGAGACAAGAGCGGAGACGATGCAAGAACCATGTCACCGCCACGTGCGATTTTACAGAAAACCAAGATAGAAAGAAGTGCGGTGGCTTACAGGCTTGGGAGTGTTGAGACGGAATGGGAGCAAAGGCAGTGGGTACGGCGACCGTGCTCAAGCGAGGGAAGCCCAGCCTTGTGCCTGGCTAGCAACTGCCTCGTCTGCGCGGCGAATTTGGAAGCTTTTGGATTTTACCTGTTTTGCATTTTACTAGAAGCTTCTCACCAGCAGTAGTCTGAGGCCAAGAGGAACAATCACGGTTTCAAGCAAAAGGGGTGGATGAGCGAGCAATGGCGGTGGTAACGTAATGATCAGGAGAGCTTTGGTTGCGGGCACAAGCAGGGCAAAGCAGGACAGCTTATGCAGGCTTGTGGGCAGACTATCGTACGTTGGTGCCTGGTCAGGTCTGCTATGGGCATGTGGTGTACCTCGCACAAACTGGTACACAAGTAGGTGGTCGTTATGGGAGTAGTAGCCAGATAGGTCGATTAGAGCGGCGGGCTGACGCAATCACACGAGAAGATGCAGGTTGGCTCGCAGATGGGACCCTGGGGCCGAGTAGATTCACAAGACAACGGTTCGCACCCAGGAGACAGTGGGCGATAGACATCGCGGAGCGGCGGAAGCAGACTCGTTTGGCGGAAGTCTAATCAAGAGGTGCAAACGGGTCTGACAGTCTCGGCATCTGCACAAAGCTATGGGCTGCTGGGTGAATTGTTGGCAGCAGATTGTGGGCTACGGGCGTGGCATGTGTCGGTGGTCTGCAAGGGACGTTTGTAGAAGCGGACTGGACCGTAGCACTGAGCAGTAGGGTTTCGTACATACACCCTTGGGCCTGCCGTTTGACACGGGTTCGCACGACACACATGTTTTGTTGTGGTGAGAAAGATGAGCCAGTTCGAAGCAAGAAGTGCAAACATGAAGTGGTGAGTGCATGTAGAGGGCGATGATGCACGCAAGCATCAGCAAGTCGCACAACTGGGCTGCACCAGGGCTGACACGACCCTTGTCACAGGGACTGGCAGCAATTTACGCCGTCATCGACCCCGACCACGACTGTCTTTGACTTCGACATCAACGACCACTCCAGCACGCATACCACAAACAATAGCAGTGCCGCCACTCCCACGCAGACGCACTTTCACGACGCCTTCCCGGCCTATGACTATGCTCACCACAAGCGTGATTCGATAGCCTCGACTGCCACGTCCATCGACACCAACACACACGGCTATGCGACGTATCCGCAGATACAACCCCAGCTACAACATCAGTCACAGCCCCGGCAACAGCAGCAACATCAGGTGCAGCAGCAGCAACAGCATCAGCAACTGCCGCCACAGCAGCTACTCCCCCAACAGCAGCTGCAGCAACATCAACATCAACCAGCACAACCACAGCCCTACCAGTCCTTCGACTATGCCTCGAGTCCGGTCTTTGTCCAGGGCCCCGGCCTACCTCAGACCTTCCAGATGCAGACTCCTCCCCCCACCCGCGGCTCGTCCATCAAGCGGCGGCCACAGCGACTGGACAGTGCAATGCTGGACCCCTCTGCCCAACGCCAGCCCGAACTCAACACTGCCACCTTCAGCTTCGCCGCCCCGACACATTCCATGACCTCGTGGACCCATCCCGCTGGTCCAGCTTCCGCCCCATTGTCTGCTCCCGCTTGGACTGCCAATGCCGAAGACCCTTTCTCGAATTGGTCTGCCCAATCCTCACAGGCTTCAAACCCTTCCCAACCTCCTCCATCCTCTCATTCCCACACTCCTTCTCAGCCCTCGTCCCAATCGCGGCCCACTATCACCCGCTCCACAAGTTCCAACAATGTCCCGTATGCCACTCCTACCGCTATCAAGAAGGCCTCTGGACCAGCTGATGTTGACCCATTGCACCGGCGTTCGTCTCCAGTGCGACGTCACTTCCCCAACACTGACGACATGCCTCCTTCAACAGCAGGGAACCCATGTTTAGCCCCTGCCTTCCCCTCAACCTCAGGTCCGAGCTCGCCCGTGAAGGGCAGCGGCCTTCAGCGAAGCAACACGGTCGGTAATTTTCTGAAGCCTAGCCCAACCATCGTGTCACATGTTCCGGACGCGACTGCCTCACTTGGTCGGAGCAATTCAGTGTGCAATCTGCCTCGTCGCTCTTCTCCCCTGAAGCGCATAGCACGTGGCTCCCTGTCCTCAATCGCAGAGACCTCACAGCCACAAGTCCGCACATCTGTCGTTCTTACCATCGATGCCAACGGGACCGCGCGGACCGAAACCAGAGTCATCGAAGAAAGCCCAACTCGGGCGAAGGAGGAGACACAGTCGATCAAAGACAAGTACCCCAACCTTTGGGACGACTCGGACAGCGATTCCGATTCGACACCGGCCAACAAATGGCCCAATCGTCATGATTCTCTCGCTCAGCCCAATGCTGGCCAGGAGCGGTCCGCCAAAATGGCCAGGCTCGACACTTCATCCGACAATCTCGAGATAGCGCAATTGCCACGCTCAAACTCGACAGCCTCGTTGAAGACGCCTTCGAAGGCCGTCTACGCAATTGCTGTACAGCTCAGACGTCATGGCAGTGCTAAGAAGCAACAAAGGCCTGCGAGTGTGCAGAGTAGACGCAACACGCTGTCTTCCTTGAACAGCTCTTTCGAAAACCTGGCTGCTATGGATCTCAACAGAGACGAAATGCACATGCAGACAGATGCTGGCTCTGCGCTTCGTCAGGCTGCAGCGCATCGTGTGTCTCCACCCAGTAAGCAGGCTCGCCCAGCACCGTACCAAGAACAACCTGACCATGCTATAGTCCAAGCCGCTCGTGCAGTCCATCAAGACGCAGTTGCTTCGAGCGCCCCACCATCTCACCCGCTATCGCAGCCCCAACATATCCGCCATCCGTTACAGCTTCGCCAGCCACACCAAGTGCAACACGCACAGCCACCTCAAGCACCTCAGATCATACCACAACCTCAGCCCCTGAGGCCTCAGCACACACATCAGGTCCAACAAATGAACCACTTCCCACTGAGCAACCAAAACCACCCTCACGCCCATGCAAAATCGCACAGTGTCAATTTTCCTACCGCAACATCAACAGCGCCCGTCTTCGATCCGCGCGGTTCCTTTACCATGGGCTACGCCCCCGTAGTTTTCGCCCCAGCACCTTCTCAACCAGCATTCATCAACGACATGAGCCCCATGACACGATGCATTTGCCAGATCCCATTCGATGACGGTAGGATGATCCAGTGTAACCTTTGTGCTATGTACTCGCACTCAGGCTGCGTCGGTCTCAATCCCTCTCAGCATGCATATGTTTGCTCCTTCTGCGTCAGCGCCACCCCTAACCAATACGGACATCCAGCCCGGTCGAGTTCAATGCAAGATTTCAATGCATGGACCGTACCTGGACTCTGAGACAATCCCTAACGCTGCAAGACTCAACAAGGCTGGTCTCTTTTACGAGGCTTTTTCGGCCTCTTGTCTCGTATAACAAATCGACATTGTCGGGAAAGAGACCCCTAGATCCGACCACCTAAAAGTACACTCTCTTGAATGACCAGTACCAAGCTCTTGGAGCATACGGCATTGCACGACAAGATTTATGCGTTTCACGGCAATAGCGCGAACTTTCTTTTCATTGCGAACCCGAGGACCACGTTTTGACTGTATCCTTCATCGCTAACATTCTGGAGGCGCAAAGCACAACCTTCCGAACAAAACGTCTTGTTCTTTTCTTTCTTTCTTTTTGCATAACGCGGCATTAGCGATCGGTTCGAATCAAGGCATATCATTCATATAGATTAAGTTGGCGTATTCCTGAAACTTCGGATGGTGCATAGGCTCAAGGCATGAGGATCGGCATCAAGATAGGTTTTTCGCATGACGTTCTTACGCCCTATGGGCTTTGAAAATATCTACACATTCACGCCCGAATCATTTTCCGTAAAGACATCAAGCTGTCCTTAGCTTGGAGTCCAACATAATATTGCCAGAGTTCTAGTCGTCTCGCTGATTGTCACTTGAGGATTAGAAAATGGTGTTAACTCGAGAGGACTCTTGAAGCATGAAACATGGTTCTCGAGAGACATGTCTCGACTGGAACATGACCGAGGAATTCTGGTTGCTGGAGAATGCCATCTGAACCTTGTAGAAGAATGCTCAGACAGATTGTGCCTTTGTCTCTCACTAAGCCAGCGCGTACATCGCGGAGTACTGATATATAAAACTTCCTTAACGTTTGGAACATTCGCGGACTTTCTGATCGAGTCTTGACCCAACGCTAATAAACACGATCTCACACCCTCACAAACCTTGACCATGTTGTCAGCTCCGTCATTTCACAGCGAGCAAATCCTTGGGCGCGCATCACTCAACCTCAAACGAGTTTTGTCTATCGTAATAGACACCAGCGACCAAATACGTCAACAAGACCATACGATTGTTACGAGCATGAAGCAAGAGAACAGCAACCAGGATAGAGGTTGTTCATCGGCATCGACGTCTTCGTCACTGTCCTACCTCTCAGTCGTTCGGACATCTCCACCGCCCCAATCGAATAAATGGTTACCTCGTCACCGTCACGCGCCTCCACCAGCAATGCCTTCACACCGCCGCGCAAGAACCTACGCCGACCTCCTTCCCTTCGAAGTTAGCCAGCTAGCATCAGTCCTCTGCCATGGGCCACCCGTTGGCACTCCTCGAGATAGTGCTGTGTGGACGACTTATGTATCCCACACAACTGAGCGTACAGCTCTGCTCGGGCCTAAGCTCAGAGCTACTGCTTCACTTCCGTCTTTTGTGCCCTGGTCCATCAACCATGGCTTATGCACTATACATCGTCGTCTCAACGCAAAGCCATTGGAAGACATGTTCGCAGCTTTGAAATACGAAGTGGAATGCAGAGCTCGGAGAGTTTGGCAACCTGTAGCTCTGGCTGGCGGTCTTTCGGCGTCACAGACCGAGCAACTCGCATTGATGGACGAGGTACAGTCACTCTGGCTACCTCCCTCTGTATTCATGGATAAGTTCGACCGCTTGCCTACTCCAAAGTATGGATATCAAAGTGATGGCTGTGTCGCTTGTATCATGGCAAGAATGGGAGGCAATATGGAGATTGCCATGGCTTTGGGTGCACTGCTGTTAGGATCGATGCGCAGACCTGACATGCTGAGTACCCGCGTTTGTTTTTGCCGCGAGTGGGTGCGCTACACCATCGAAGGTGACGTTGATTGTGTTGACGCTGCTCTTGCCGAGATGGGGAAGATGGGAACAAGATTCCGACAAGCGAGAAGATGGGCACGTCAGCGAAGCGAAGCTACCGGGGAGCATCAAGAAAGAAGTCTCGGGCTCGGGGGCACGCCATACGTCCAACCCACAAGAATCTCGAGCCGGCAGAAGACTGCCACAGTGAAAGAGCAAAACCATGCCGGAACAGATGAATCGCTGAGTCATGCTCAAGGGCATCAAGGGCAACAGGCATGCCCTTTACAACAACAGGCGTCATCATCCGAGCGCCATTCACTCAATCGACCATCACCTGAACCTCTGTTCCATGTTCTTCCACCTGAACAGTACTCACCTGAACAATATTACTCTGCAAACAGTCAAGCCAGCACACCTCTACCATCATCACCAACATCTCGCTACTCCGAGTACGCCACAAACCCATTTCTGGACGGTAGTTGCTCGCCTTCGCCTGTCGAAGACATCCGCGGGCCTCCAGACCTACCATTCCGCCTATTCGAACGCCGTCGTGTCAACGGCCACAGCAGCTCACCCAAGGACGCTGTACCGTGGCCAAATAGCACCTCTAGAGCTACTCCTGTGTTCAAACGGCCCACTGCAGACAAGTTCAAGGACGAGCTTAGCCCGGTGCCTATTCTGGCAAAACTTGAGAATGAGAGAGGTGTTGGTGCTCTCTGGAAGAGGCGGGTAGAGCGTGCGATGGTGGAGGGAGGGAGGAGTATCAGATCGCTAGGTGGGAACAGAGATGTCGACTGAGCTTGAGACGGAGATGGAAGCAGAGGCCTTCGTGCACCCGTGGGAGAGCGGCTCAAAGAAATGACCTGATCACTCATCTCGCACCATACCCAGTGCACGTTAGATAGTCTGGGGCTTAGCACGATGAAATAATGAACCCCGTGGCAACTCTGTCAAGCAATGCAGAAGGGGTCGATCTAAAAGCCAATCTGTATCGGACATTGTGACTGGAGAACGATGTGGTATGAGGCATATGATGCAGAGGAGCCTCAGAATAAGACGACTTGTTAGTCCAGGGCTGAATGGCGAACACTAATGTGGTCTCCGATGAGCAAGTACGCTTGCCTGCATAAGGATTCATGACTTCCTTAATGAATGTTCATTTCTATCTAATCAAAATACACGTGTCAGCTACCGATGCTACGATAATTTGACCTCAAGCAACGCCAATCTAGATGCCCCGATCCTTGTGCCAAGAGCACCTGAGTGTGCTTCGATATTTGGGTACCTCTCGAAACAGGTAGCACCGGGGTCGAGTATATTGCAGTCAGTTTGGGTTGTGTGCGTGTTAAAGATGGCACATGAACTTCTGTGCTGTTGCAATACCTTTCTGTGCAGGTGAGATGGAGTCCGAGCCGACTCCTGGAAAGAAGCATACGATCTGCACCGTCAACACCTGGTTCGAGTCGTTCTTTCTGCTGATGCTCATTAATGTTTCTTCTAGCATGACATGTCAATCCTAGAGACTGGCAGCTTTCGGGAAATTCATGTTGTAGACAGCATCGACAACTGGCGTGGCCGTCAGCGTACGACCATCGAAGTACCTGCCGTTGAGACCCTTGAGCGCGCTGTCGCCTCCGGCAATATCGGCAAACTTGACGTAGATCTCGCCATCGGAACTATCACGGAAGACGCCAATGTGAACGACTTTGCCGTATTTGGAGCTGCACTCTTCTTTGAAGTCCTCCTCAAGGTCTTTTGCCCAATGAGGGTCGGTTTGACTGATAGTCGCTTAGTAAATGATCAATCAACATCAGAGCGGAAGACTTACGTAGCCTCATCATAGGCATTCTTTACTACGATGCAGCGACTGGGTGCGGGAGCGTGCACGGCGGGCTTTTTCGCATCGGCACGGGGGCGAGCAGAAGCGGCCTGTGTCTGTGGAGCGGGATCTTCAGTACGAGCCAACTTGCGCATGAGGGAGTCTCTGCTGAAGTTGTTAAAGTTGACACCTCCAACGTCAGCATCGTCAAGAGCACTGGCACCACCAGTGCCCTTCTCTTCACGGGCGCCGGCGCGATCAAAGTTGTTGTTACCACCAGCATGGGCACCACGGCCTCCAGCACCAGAAAAGGATGAGCCCTGGAATTGCGCAGCCTGGTTTTGGCTGCCGAAGCGTTGCAACAGACTGGCGGTTGATTCTGGTGTAAATTTGTCGCTACCGAGACCGACACGAATAGGACGACCAGCGATTTCGAAGCCGTTCATGTCGGCGAGTGCTGCCTTCGCGTGAGCAGGATCAACATATCTGGAAACAATTAGTAAGAAGTGAGACAAGGCTTGGACGTCCATGGCCACTTACTGCACAAAACCATATCCCTTGCTACGTCCGTTCTCCTCCTTCTGCAATTGTACAAACTCGAGCTCACCAAACGGCGAAAAGACATCGCGAAGATCTTCCTCGGTGACGGAGAAATGTATGTTACCAACGTAGAGCCTGTGAAAGGGTATTCCGTTAGATTGTGTGGGCTGTCCGGTCGCTACGCGAGCCTGGCGGTTCTTCTCAGCCTCTGTGAGTTGTACGATGACGGGAATACCAAGGAGCTTCTGGCCGGTCAAGCCAAGTGCCTTCTGAACCGACTCCTCTTCTTTAAATTCGACGTATCCGACGCCCTTGCTGCGACCGCTAACACGATCCTTGACGATCTGAGCCTCCTTGACAGGACCGATCTGGGTGAAGAAAGCTTCGAGTTCCTTGGTGCGAAGGCGTGCGGCAAGTTGCTGAACAAAGACAGTGCGGCGATCGCGCTCGTCGTCGGTAGGTTCAGGGGTTCTTTGGCGAGGAGGGGATCTATCACGAGCAGCACGTCCGCCACGGTATGAGTCGCCACGGTCGCGACGAGGCGAACGACGATCACCGCGTTCTCTGTCACGGCGACGAGGGCGGTCTTCCTCTCTGCGCGAGCGATCGGATGGACGGTAGTATCTGTCGTCGTCCGAAGGAGATCTAGTTCGGTTACGGCCATTTCCACGGTAAAAGTCACCACCACTGGAGCGGTAACGTTCGCGACGTTCACGAGAATCGGGGCGGCGTGACGAGCGGTCACCACTACGATCCCGACGTCTACTACGAGCGCTTCCATTAGCAGACACGTTATCTGAATCTTTCATGTCGACATCGGCGGTAGTGCCACGGCGAGAGCGGGCGCCATCATCGTCCTTGCTGGTGGTGGCCGTCTCCTGAGCCGAGGCGTCTCTCTGTGCGGATTCGAGAAGCTCTTCGACTGAGATGTCTAGGGCTCCCATGGTGTCTGGTAGAGGCGGAAATTAAGCAGAGCAGAAGCTTGTGTTGGCTTGCGATGGAGGTTGGCGCGAGCGGGCGGCACTGGCTGAGAGATGCGAGAAGTGCTGAGCAGGGAGATACTATGTACTGCGACGAAAGGCTCACACGGTATCAGGGTCGAGAAGGATGATGAGTGTCGACAGTGGAAGGAAGCGACGCGCAGCAAATTCGATACGTGCTACGACAGAAGTCACGGAGGCCCGGAGCATGCTTGGCGCAACGTGAGGAAATAAAGGCAAATGGCAAATGCACTTCGACCCGCGAGTGAGAAGCGCGGCTGCGATTGCTTGAGTGAGAACACGACGGTCTCGTTGACTTTGACTAGTGGGTAATGATGACCCTGGGTGGCTTGACCAACCCGGTCATCTCATGGGACTTGTCTGAGATGGCCAACAGACAGACATGATAGATGGATCGGCGAGACTCCCTCGGCATGTTGCGGCCCGGTTGCATGTTTGCAACTTTGCGCCCGTCCAAATTTCCCTAGAGGGTTCTCTTGACAGGCACGCCACCCATCAGCTCACTTGTTTTTCCAACCTTGTCGCCTACCAGTTCAGGGGATTGTTATATCTGCCTGCTTTCGCCCTCCTTTTAATCTTCGACTCCTAATCGCCAACCGAAATCGATACTTCCTCGTAGCATTTGCTTTTTCGCTCTATTTACATCCGACTACCCGCCGCTCTCCGGCTGACATCTGATCGGCTCTTTGCGACACCATGCCTGGTAGAACATTGCCCACCATCCCTCAGGCCGACGTCGCCTCGCACAACACGGCCAAGTCTTGTTATGTCACCGTCGGCACAAAGGTCTACGACATCACCCCTTTCCTCGACGATCACCCCGGTGGCGGTGAATTGATTGTCGAATATGGCGGCAAAGACGTCAAGGAAATCATGGATGACACGGCTTCGCACTTCCATTCAGAGTCCGCATGGGAGATCCTCGATGATTACCTTGTCGGCTTCGTCGCTACTGAGGCTGTCATGAAGTCTGTCACCAATAGCACCCATCCTGCCGACATTGTGCCCCTGCCACCCTCGGACGCCGGAGTAGACCAGCTGCGCAAGGACGGCGTCAATCAGCCATTGTACGAAAACACCGGAATGTCCTGCGAGGAGGACTTGTCAAAGGAGACGGACGCCTCCTCGGATTACCGCACCCACAAATTCCTCGATCTCAACAAGCCTCTGTTGATGCAAGTGTGGAGAGGCGGCTTCACAAAGGACTTCTACCTCGAGCAAGTGCATCGTCCCCGACACTACAAGGGTGGAGACAGCGCCCCTCTCTTCGGCAACTTTCTCGAGCCTCTGAGCAAGACTCCGTGGTGGGTTGTTCCCACTGTCTGGGTTCCTCCGGTCGCATACGGCACCTACCTCGCCAGCAGAGGCCTCTCTACGGTTGGTCTCGCATCTTACTGGGTCGTTGGTCTTTGCATCTGGACCCTTGTTGAATACGTTCTGCATCGCTTCCTCTTCCACTTGGACCAGCATCTGCCCGACAACCGCGTCGGCCTCACGTTACATTTCCTTCTCCACGGCATCCACCACTACCTACCCATGGACAGGCTTCGTCTGGTCATGCCTCCAACTCTATTCCTTGTTCTCGCCACGCCCTTCTGGTATCTCGCTCACGCTGTTTTCTTCTACAACTGGAACGCTGCCACTGCAGTCTTCTGCGGTGGCATCTTCGGATACATTTGCTACGATCTGACCCACTACTTCTTGCACCATAAGACGTAAGTCGCGTCGCCTCTTCGAGATGAAGGTCTGTTACTAACATGATCTTCTAGTCTTCCTGCCTACTGGCGCGAGCTGAAGAAGTACCACCTGGCGCACCACTTTGCTGATTACGAGAACGGCTTTGGTGTGACAAGCCGTTTCTGGGACTGGGTCTTCAAGACCGAACTGCCCACCGCTACACCCAAGGTCATCAAGACGTCGTAAATGATTACTCAAGCGTCATGTCAACGGGAATCATGTGTATATTAGACTGGTGAGAAGTGGTTGGGCATTCCGGGGGCTGGCTGGACAGGCGTTTAGGCTCTTGATTTCTTTTTGTCCTTCTTCTTGGAAAGAGGGGCTGGCTCGGGTGCAGAGGGGGTACCGCCAAACATGCTTTCCATGCCAGCAGGCAGACTAGGCATACCGGGCTGACCTTGCATGCCTTGCATTTCCTGCATCATATCCTTAAAGTAATTTTCGTTAACGCCTCCACCGCTTAGAGCGGGAGAGTGTAATGGCAATATCGTGCCCATCTTCCAACCCTTTGGTGCAGCTGGTGGAGGGATAGGCTTTGTCGGTGGTGGCAGACCAGCGATTCTCATGCGCATAGGTGACTCCTCGGTGGTAGGATGTGCTCGTAGATAGTCGGCGACCAGTTTGTACAATTGATGCTCTGTAGAGGTTCAGTTACAAGGGAATTCTGTAATAGAGGAGATTTGCCGTACTGTTTTTGATAGAGGCATTCCCGGCAGGCTTGCCATCCTGCTTGATCAGGACGCGCACACGACCAGGGTTGGCCCAGTCTTTGGGGTGCGTCTTTGCAGGTTCGAAGACGACCTGGCCAGCGACGGGTAACTGAGAACAGGCATTTGCTATGTCCTGGGCCAGAGGGTTTGCGACAGCGGCATCCTTTCCCACCCGTCTTCCTTCGGCACGAGAGCGGGATGAGTCGAAGTAGATGGGGTAGAGACACTGGTAGTGCTTGGTGCGCTCGCGTTCGGCGTTTTGATCAGGCGGAGGGCGGCCGGGGAAGTGAGGTTGCAGAACAGGCTGCTGCTGCTGCTGCTGCTGCTGCTGCAACGATTGCTGAGGCGCAGTGGAGGGGATGTTGGCGGGCTGGATGATGGTGTTCAGGAGACCAGGATCGAAGTCCGAGGGATCCATCTCGGACGGATCCGAGTCGCTGTCGGACACTTCTTCAATGCGGGCATGACGAGACATGATGCGCTGTGAGACTGTGTGGGTTGTTGTGAAAGGCTGTCGAGAGCAGCAGCGCTCAGTGGCCAGTGGCCAGTGTGGGCAGTATAGCTGGACCTTGAACGTGCGGGCGATCGCTTGGCGTGCGTGCTGCTATGATCTGATTGCCGTCTGTTCGCTCTGCCTCAATCTCCACCCTCTTCTTTCCTATCTCGGTGCTCGGTTTTCTTCTATTCTACCCTCCTCGCTCTCCCGACCCTCGTACCTGCTGCAACGTGGTTGCTCCTCTTGCTCCGCGACCGCTTGGACTATATCTGGCGCTTTTACGAAAGCCATGTGGGCACAAGGCATGTTCGGATCATTGCCCGCTCTGCTCCTCCTTTCCGCGACTACCGCGACTGCCGTTTCGCTCGACTGCAAGAATGTCGTTGTTGGAGGCCAACATTTCGATCTCTCGGAGCTGGCCGGTCCTCGTGCTGTGCATCTAATTGAGGAGACACCGCCTAGCCTCTCCAATACCACCTTTACTGTCGATATCTGCAATCCGCTCAAGAGGACGAAAGGCGTCCCAAAAGATAATGAATGTCAGACCGGAACATACGGTATTTGTTTCTACTGCTGCTCTTTACCTATTTGTGCTTACACGTCACAGTCTGCGCCATCGAGTCCGACTACAATCTAGCTGACAACTCCAGCACCATCAAGCGAGTCATTCCTATTGCTGGCCAGTACGCTGGCTCTCACGGCAGATTCTTGGATCCGGAATGGACGCGCCTGAAGAACTCACCTTCCCACGACGATGCCAACAAGGAGGGCTTGAGGGTCGAATTGCATGGAGGAAAATATCCCTTTGAAAAGAGCAACGGTCGCCAACAGAAGGCCATTATCGAGTTTCAATGCGATCGCAATAGAACCGGCCTTGAGGGTTCGGAGAGTGACTCGCGCGACAAGCTCGACGAGGAAGGAGAATCTGCTTCCCTGTCCACTCTCGCCGAGTCAGACGGCAACAAGGATGAGGACAAGGGTGATGAAAAGAAGCCTACCGGGGATGCTAGCTTGAAGCTTGTCAGTTACAGGTCAGAAGGAGAAGGTGACGCCGAGTTCGACGTCCTACGTCTGCAATGGAAGACAAAATACGCATGCGAGGGCATAACCGACCACAAGCCTACATCCGGCAACAAATCGAGCAGCCACTGGGGCTTCTTTACTTGGTTCATCATCATGTAACGTTACCCCTGACCCCTTTTGAAATTGCGCTCTTGCTAACACACCTTTACAGTGCCTTCTTGGGTGTCGCAGCATATTTGATCTTCGGAACTTGGCTTAACAGTAGTAAATATGGATCCCAGGGTTTTGACTCTGTACCACATGCAGACTTTTGGCGAGACCTTCCCTATACCGTCAAGGAGTGGGGTCGCTCTCTTGTTGGTATGGTTCAAGGACACAGCAGTCGTGGTGGATATAGTGCGGTTTGAGCTATGTAGGCCATTATTCATATGCATATTCCTTTTCGCATTCCTCTTTCATGACCAAGCATGTACCAGAGTTCTAGAAGAGTGAAAAGTGAAAAGGTCCTAGAACACTTCCACAATGTTCGACCCGCAGGAAGAGTCATGCATTCCCATTTCTGTATGTATGCGCGTACAAGTGTCAGAACTTGTGTAGAACGTCGAGCCGGCAGTCCCGGAATCGTCATCCGTGTGCTAGAGTATGTGATGCTTGTAGCCGTCTCGAGGTACAGCGCGGAAAACGTCAATAAACTGCAATTCTATCTACATTCTCGTTGGCTCTCTTCGCAGGCTTCCTTGGTTCAGGAGAATGACTGCCTTTCCACAGCTCATTATTTCCTAGTACCGTCACGGGAGGGAAGACATGACAAAGCTTAGCACATGAGGACAAGGAAATAACGGCTGCCATGATTCGCATCACACTGGCGCTCCAAGCTTTAGAATTCCCATGATCTGATCAGGATGGCGCATCTCCGCCAAACTAGGCCAGGGCAGCCCATCGATCTCAGGCACCTTCGCGGGCCGATCGAACCCCCTACCTTTCCGATTGGCCAACCTTGATTCATGGCGTGCAAAATGGTCGAGTTGTGGTATCGTCATCATGTTCACAACAATTATTGAATCGTGTTCCGCACGCGCCCGTTGCGTGTCCACGGTCGAGCAGCAATCATTCTTTGGGTTTCTAGGGATTGGTGTTTTCTTTCTTTGTTTCGTTTCTCTTCCTCTTCTTTGTAGTGTTTCTTGTTTGTTTGCTTGGTACTCGATACTTGGATCGACGAGATGGCCGTCTCTGGGGAATCCACAATAACATTCTCAATCCAGTCTATAATCAACGACACCACCAGCTACGAGCATACTAAACATCCTTACTATCCACTGGATGCTAGCGTTGCCGGCTATGTGGCTAATGAGTCGACTGTCTTGTCACTCCTGGGTTCTTTCGTTGCTGGTTGCATGGCACTTTTCGGTTTTACCTATCTGGTTGTCAGAAAGGTGAATCCCAGACTGTCCACCACTGAAATCAGTACCGTCATGTGGTTTGTTCTGTGTGGCTGCATACACTTGTTCTTCGAAGGTAAGTCAGATGAGGCTTCTCTTGAGTACAATGTTTGAGAATAATGTGAGCAGGTTACTTTGCATATAATCATACGAACATGGGAGGATTGCAGACGTTCTTTGGACAGCTTTGGAAAGAGTACGCATTGTCAGATTCCAGGTACTTGACACAAAATGTGTTTGTGTTCTGCGTCGAGGCCATGACTGCCGTAAGTGCTGTTTACACAGTCTTTTTACATCTCTAAACCCAGCTAATCAGCCATGATAGGTGCTATGGGGTCCACTCAGCTTTGTGGTTGCGGTGTTGATTACGATTGACCATCCACTAAGACATCCGCTCCAAGCGGCAGTGAGTCTTGGGCAATGCTATGGTGATCTTCTCTACTACGCTACCAGTATGGCCGACTACTACTATCTTTCCATTGAGTACTCGCGACCAGAGGCATATTATTTCTGGGCTTACTTTTTTGGAGCCAACTTCGTTTGGATCGTGATACCTTTTGGTGAGTGGTTTCGAGAGTGGTTTGGAGAATTTGCCAGAATGATTTACTGATCTCGCATAGTCTTACTGTACAACAGTGTCAAGTTCAGCGCCGATGCAATTCGACAAACACAAACACTTGGAATCTCGAAGAAGACCATAGAGCTAGGAAACTAGAAATGCTGAAGCCATATATCAACAGATGCCACCTTCCCCGCAGTGGACCTCTGCCGCCTTTCGCGATGAGAACGCTCTATTAGAGAGATTGGCTACTCGATCCGCACTCACTGATAGCCGCGATGATCCTTACAACATCATGCACGTTGACAGTCGCTTTTATCCAGGCGACGGCCTATGTTTATCTGGTAGATAGATACGGACGCGGAGTGCTCAGTATGGGGAATGCAACCTCAATCAGACATTTGTAGGCGTTTCCAAGACTTAGCAGTTGAGGTCGTCAAGATATATAGAGAGAACTCTGACTGGGACCAGGTGGTTCATACTAACGCTGAGGGCTCGTGCAAAGTCGGATTCGGTAAAGTGTTTGTTGAGATAAGGACGTGTCGAGGATTAGATGGCGGCGTCGTTTGCCAGAGGCTGGGACGCGCGCGGGCTGGCTAGTTGGCTGCGGTCGCACCTTTTGACCTGCCGATGTAAACACAAAGCCTCGTTCTTGTCCTCGTCCATGCCTTGCCCAACCTTCGCTCTATCTATCAGAAAAGGGTTGTTGTCAATTTCTTGGTCAACTCTGAGCTACCTAGTGTTCCCCACTGTTTGACACATGCCATCAAGGTCCTGCCGCCGTTTCATCCGTAAGGCATAAAACGTCAGCGAAAACATGCGATCGCTACTTGTACTAACAGAGTACAGCATGATAATTGAATCTTGCTCGCTGTACGGTCTATTCCTTGTGACATTACGCAAAATACTGTGCAATTCATCTGCCTGGACGCTCTCGCAATTCCGCAACCAATTAATACCCTCAATGCATACCTTGTTCCACACCGTCGCATCCCAATCGCAACGAATTTAGCGCATATCGAGCATCTTGAGACGCAGCATCTCTACCCAACACGTCCATTCACACATGAAGAAAGGCGACCTTGAGATCGGGAAGCAGACCGGCCCATACGACACCGAGAAGGTTCGCCAAAGAGTGCACAGATGGCAGGCAGACAGCGCTGGAGCCATCAGTCCAAAAGAACCCAAGAATGTGGTAACTGTACAGTACGACGAAGAAGCTGTGGAGACGACACGAGTCAAGCGATCAAATAAGACTTCGCCAGGAAAGTCGCGAATCGAATCGAACAAACAGTCGTCTCCCACGAAATCGCTCAAGACGCTTCGAGACCTCGACGCGGATCGACAAGCTTGGGTTCGTAAGAAGGGCACTCCCCGAAATGATCTGGACTCGGACATCAAACACGCTGCGGCTCCTTTGAAGCGAGTAGTCAGCGATGCGCACTGGCGCAAAGACCGTTCTCCCACCAAGACGCCTCCGCCTATATCAAGCACAGATGCGAAGTCTTACACTATCAAACGAACTACCGTTCCTAGGGAGAACAACACTTCTCCCCAGCTCAATGGGGACAACGACGGGATTAGAGTTAGGCCAATCAGAGACGACGACGACGACGACGATGCTGCCCAGATACCATCAGCCAAGGAAGCATCTCGCATGCCGACCAACGACCACACATCCAAGAAGCCGAAGCAGCGTATCTCACGACATCGAATCAGCTCGACGAGCGCAGATGAGCCAGCAAATGATAAGAATACGAGAAGCGCCCGCGAAGGGAGTCGGGACAATTCAGAACGCAAACGCAGGCTACGCCGTCGACATGCTTCCCCGGCAGCTTCCGAGGCGGAAACAGAGAACATGTCGATTGCGCAGACCTTGGATCCGGACGACAGTATCAGTACCCGAAATGCCCGTAGTCGAAAACGACACGGGCAGACGACCAGTGCGCGAGAGAGGTCTGTGGAGAAGGAGAGTCCGACCGCCGGCTCTAAAGAAAGAATGAAAATCGAAACACCGCCATCAAATACGGTGCCAGCGCCAGCACCTATATTTGGCAACCGAATCGAAGCATGGCTCGGCGGTACTCCCGACCCTTTTGTTGCAAACGAGGGTGCACAACAGGAAGGCGAGCGCGAAGAGAAACTGATCTCAAAACGTCGGTCTGGTGAGTCTTCAGGTTTGAAAGGGTCTGTGAAGCGAAAAGGCTCTGCTCCTGCGAGCTCTATCAACGATAAAAAGGGTAAAGCCACACCAGCATTGTGTTCTGCAGCCCCGGATCCAAGCCTGAGAGAGACACTTCCACCCATCCCGGAGTCTACGCCTTCCCACTTCAAAGACCGAGGCTCTTCTTACTCTACATCCTCTGTATCTTCAGACATCCAACTGCCAGATGTCCAGAGCAGCAGACAAACGCTGGATCTTGATTCTCGAAGACGGTTTCCTACTACAGGGAAACGACTATCCACCATTGCTTCAGCGGAGACACTGCAGGAATCTGCGGCGCCATCTGAAATATCTGAGCAAGAAACAGTTGTGCCGGAACGTACAGGGTCTTCGAGCAACACGAGCGGGCCCAAGCGTAGATTGACTCGACATGAAGACCTCATATCCGTGTTGTCACTACCCATGACCGACGCTAAGAGTATTGTCTCAGCTCGTAGTATACGGACTAACCGAACTAGACTTGAGAAAGCTACTCTCCAAGATCTCTGGAACGAGCTCACAGCAGATGAGATCAAGTACCAGCGTGAACTGCGCACATTGGTGGACGGTGTGATCCCGGTCCTTCTGTCCTGTGTGCTCTCCAAGTCAGATTCAGCGACTGCCGCCGGTCTATTTGGACGCTCTATGGTGGACAATGCGACCATTACCAAGCCAATTGTGGATATGGGAGTTGCTCTCGAGCGTTTAAAGGCACACCATCGTCGAATTCCGAAAAGCGATAGCAATGCACTTATGTCATGGGCTCAAGGAGCTACGCGCATATATTCGGATTATCTCAAGGCATGGAGAATGGGATTCCAAGACGTTGTCGTCAATCTCGCACCTCCAGATCCCAGCGCCAGCACCACGTGGGATGATGGATTGTTGAGAAATGAGGACGGTGACTTGATCAACGGCGACGGGGAGAGAGTCGATGTTGCCTTTCTGCTCAAGAGACCCCTTGTGCGTTTAAAGTATCTTGCTAAAACGTTCAAGGTATGTATCAGCATCGCATGATCGATTTTCACGGGTTTGATGCTAACTAATGGCAGGGTTTCAACTTTCTCGCACCTTCGACTTCGACGAGCCTCATGGTCGAAAAGTACCAAGATTTAGTCACAGAGGCTCGTAGGAGATCCAATGATGAACGAGCTCGATTGGAAGACGAAGCAGCCGCAGCTATTGATCCAACTCGTGCTAGAGATCTTCGAAGTCTAGCTTTGCTTAAAGGCGTCAGTGTTGATGCAACACGATGTGTGCGTGCCAGAGATTACTTTGACATGAACATCATCCACTCCAGCGGACAGCAGCTGGATTGTAGGATCGAGATTGTTATTCGCGACGATAGTCCTGTTCGTGGAAATGGTGGTGATGTTCTTATCTGCGAGATATCTGACACCGGGCGATGGTTACTATTCCCACCACTCAGTAAGGAGTTTGTCTCTGCAAGGACTGGTTCTAGTCCTGAGAAGATCGTCATCATGGTCCGGGGGCGACACTCCAACCACCAGGAATGGCATGAACTTCTGTCTTTACGTGCCGGTGACGAATCTACTGGAGCTGAATGGGTGGAGATGCTCGGCATTAGCCCTGTGCCTCCATCCCTGGCAAGGCAGTCCAGCTTTCTCACTAAGTCTCAACTTCCGTCTGACCGTCATACGTCAGAAGCTACATCGCCTGTACCTCGAGGGACTGACTGGACAAAAGACCTCGAGATTCCGATTGGAGAAAGACCAGACTCATCGAAGAGCTGGTCTTCCGGTCGTGGTGAGCGAGAGAGGCTCGTGTCCATTACCGAGGATGTGAGGTCATTCAAGCCGTTCATTCCAGGAGAACGGTCTCAGGATGGCCTTACTCTTCCTACCTTATCTTCACGAGAGTCTATGGTAGAGGCGTCCTCAGGGGACCTGTCTGGTCTACGAAGGTCACGAGCGACGCGCCACAGATCGTCACTACCTGTGTCCCCTAGTTCGTCCACCTCTTCCTTGCAAGTCCCATTGGAACAGAAGACCAGATCCCGCTTGGAACGCCCTACCCAGCATATGTCAAGAACTGAAACCGGAACTACGTTAAGCTCATTCTCGAGCCAATCCACCCTTTCACAACCAAGAAAAGATTATAGTGTCTGGATGCCTCCATCTACAGTCGCATCTGACGAGTCCGAGGAAGACAACAGCTATAAGGAATCAATCTCTATAGCGCGGCCACATCTCCACCGCAGGTTATCATCAGTACCGACTCTCGATCCACCTCGTACTTCGAAGCTTCGTCCAACAAGCGAGCCAAACTCACCGACCCAGCCTCCAGACATATTTGACCACCCGTCACCAGCCCAGCTCGAAGGACCTCCGAAGCCTTTATCTGTACCAACCAAACTACAGAAACGAAAGCCAAACGGTAAGGGTGTCAGTTTCGATGACATCCTCGGCGACATCTCCAGTAAAGATAAAGACTTACCTCCTCCGAAGCCGAAGCGCTTCTCTCTCCCGTCTTTTACTCCTAACTTCTTGAAAAGGCATCGCAGATCGTCCTCTCCTCTCAAACATGAGTACGAACCATCCCTTGCGACGGAGTCTTCTACAGAAACTGAGTCGTCTTATCTTGAGGACGACGATGATTCTATCACGTCCGATTCATCTGAAGATGTGCTGGAAAATATCGAGGACGTCCCATCATTCGATTCGCCTTCCCTGAACAAGATCGGAAAGGCAACCCCACCAGCATCGCTTGCCTCGTTAGCAACCACTACGCTCGGTCCCTCAAATTCTGCCTCCCAAGCTCCGTATCGAGCAGTTCCCACCCAGACAGTAGATGTCTCGAAGACTGTCGCATCACTTTATTCATGGTCTGATCGAGGTGCGTGGGAGATCCTGCACCCCAACGAGTGCGTCGTTCTTGTCACGCCGGGATTGATCGAAGCTTTTGACATGAACGAAGCTATTCCGGATGGTAGTGATATGACAAGTCCTTCTGCTAGAGGTATACAGCCTCTGGTAGCATTTGAAGTCACTCCTCTGGTACCTCTGCGTCGTGGAACAGCTCTTGATATATCGATCAGATCACCTCCCACAGCCAGTTCCCTAATCCGTGCCAGCAGTAACGTCATGTTCCGTTCTCGGAGCGTTGAAGAGTGTGATATGCTATACTCGTTCATCAATACTGCTCGAATTAATAATCCAACATATATTGCTCTGCAAAACGCCAGGGGACCAGTTACTGAAAACACATGGGCTGCCGCAATGGACCGCAACGACGGCCAGCGAGCAGCAAATGGCTCGTGGTTCCATAATTCTCTCCGCAGGAGTAATACATATCGATCCAAGACCTCTCGGACACCTTCTGCATTGACTGATTCTTCTGTCGGTACAATGAACACCGCTTTTTCTGCGTTGCGCCGGTTCAATGGCAACAGTCGACTCTTCAATATCGCCAAAAGTACAATCACATCACGTCAAGGTAGTCGCAGTGGCACAAGTGAATCGCTCTCTTCTGGGGCGTCGACTCCGGCTGTCTATGACTCATCGCAAGGCACTCCGCTCGGAATCACGAATGCCAAAATTCGATTGTACATACGCGAGTCACAGAACAAATGGAGGGATATGGGCTCAGCACGACTATCCATACTTCTGCCTCCACGTGCATCAAATGGACTCCCAGCAAGTCCTCGAACAATGGGATTGGAAAAACGCATCTTAGTCAGTGGTAAAACTAGAGGTGAAACACTGTTGGATGTCATTTTGGGCGAGAGTTGCTTCGAGAGGGTAGCCAGAACAGGCATTGCAGTCAGTGTCTGGGAAGATAGAACTGGTCCAGGCACTACAGGCGGAGTCCTGGCTTCGAAAGCAAACGCCTACATGATTCAGCACAAGACCGTAAGTTGTTTCTGCCGCTTGTTAATGCGAATCTTCAAATACTAACGTCAACCAGGAGCGCGAGTGTGCATATACGTTTGGCCTTGTCGGTAAGCTTAGGTACTGAAATGGAACAAACAGCAAGCCCTTCTGTCAATGTTGACAGCTTCATCGAACTCCCCTTTTCTCAATTCACTTCACTTCACTTCACGAATCACATATTACGGCCTAATACTTGTTGTAATTATATAACTTTTTCAAGTGGTAGAGAAATGATTACGCAAGCCTCCGAGACCTGTTGCCGGGCTATCACCATCTTGACCTGTATGGCTGGTCCTCCAGCACATTCAGTCTCACTCAGGCCCGTACAGCAATCAGGCGTGCCTTCAACTTCGTCCAAGCTCACTTGATGTACACTGAACAGTAAATAGTGCTACAAGTGAGAAGCAACGCACGAATGACTCGAAGCCAGCAAACATAAATAAGTTACCCTGGTCCGTACACACTCCGAAACACCAACAACAATCTGATCCTAGAGATCTTGCCTTCAACCAAATTCATCTACCGACACATCATAATCATGAGTTCGTGGCTACGTAACAAAGCTCAGAAGATTGAGGGCTTCCTGGACTCTCATACGAAGTGTAAGTATAGCGATGTCTGCAAACAAATTTCAGTGGTGGAAGTGTTAACCATGACGTAGCGTCCGCCAACGGAGCCGCACCAGCGGTGAAACCAGCGCAAAACGGCGATATAAGAATATCGACCCCTCAAAACCAGACACTCTTGCAGACATTCGAGTGGCACACGCCTGGCGGACACTGGACACGACTCACACGCACAGTGCCACTTCTTTCAGACCTCGGCATCACTTCACTTTGGCTTCCACCAGGCTGCAAGGCCAATGAACCACACGGCAATGGCTACGACTGCTACGACCTTTGGGATCTTGGCGAGTTCGATCAAAAGTACACACGCGCAACCAAATGGGGAAGCAGAGAAGAGCTGGATGGGTTGATTGCAAAGGCCAAGAGCATGGGAGTTCTGATCATTTGGGACGCTGTGTTGAACCACAAGACGGCCGGAGACGCCAAAGAGGAATGCTGGGCTGTCGAAGTCGACAACAAAGGTTCGCGCATCTGATCCATTTCTTTTTAGACGGAATTCAAGCTCACCGTAACCTTGCAGACCACAGAGTCGAGACGTCGGCCCTCAAGAAGATTGAACCCTGGATTCACTACTACTTTCCTGGCCGTGGAGACCACTACAGCAGCATGAAGTGGCACTCGCAACACTTCAGTGGCACCGACTGGGATCAACGTACCCAGAAGAATGCCGTCTACAAGATCCTCGATCCTCCCGAAACAGCTCCCCGTCCAGGATCAGCTGTCGACCCCAAATGGCGCAAGAAGGACTGGGCCATCGATGTCGATGACGGCGGCATGGGCAACGGAGATTATTTGATGTTCTCTGACATCGACTACACAAATCCCGAAGTCAAGGAAGATGTGCAAAGATGGGGACAGTGGATGGTGAGCGACGTCGGTGTGGACGGCTTCAGACTGGACGCTGTGCCTCATTTCAGCTGGAACTTCACCCGTGATTGGATCCACAACGCAAAGAAAGCAGCTGAACGCCAGAACCGTGATCTCTTCGTCATGGGAGAGTTCTACAGTGGCACTGTGTCCAAGATCCTGCAGTGGATGGACAGAGTGGACAACGGAGTTTACGCTTACGACATCCCACTCTTGACCAACTTCGCAAAGATTTCCATGGCAAAGAGCAAGCTTGATGTCGACTTGAGAAAGGTCTTTAAGGGTACCTTGATCCATCACCGACCCAACAACGCTGTTGTTAGTGACTCCATGCTTTATGACATGTGATTCAAGCTGACTATATACACAGACTCTTATAACCAGTCACGATACCCAGCCAGGACAGACTGTCGAGACTCCAGTCGCACCTTACTTCAAGCCTCTGGCCTACGCCATCATGCTTCTGCGCCGCGAAGGTCTGCCTTGTGTCTTCTGGGGCGATGTGTACGGCATCAAGGGTCCTCACCCATCACCAGCCGCCTGTGGAGGTAAATTGCCTACCCTGATACTCAGTCGTAAACTCTTTGCATATGGTGAGCAGACCGACTATCTCGAGAGTAGAACTTCGATTGGTTGGGTTCGTCACGGTACTTGGGACAGAGCTGATGGCTGTGTTGTCATCATGAGCATTGGAGGTGCTGCTAAGAACAGCATGTTCGTTGGTCCCGCCAAAGCTGGCCAGATTTGGACTGACGTGCTGGGCAACTCCGAACATGTTGTCACCATCGACGAGAAGGGTTATGGCGTCTTCAAGTGCGTTGACAAGAGCGTCAGCGTCTATGTTCACAAGGACGCCAACGGCAGAAAGGAATTTGGAACCTGCCACCCTGGACACTTCGTCATGGAGTGATTGACTTCGCACTAAGATGTTGCAATAAGCGAAATCTGGTAAGCAGAGCACATAACGATACGGCCCCGGAAGCAGGAAGCGGGTATTCTTGTATACTAGTCCATAGTCCGACTACACAAGGGTCGAGATGCAGATCTGAAAGGGAGATCTAGCAGAACTTGTATATTAGCTCACGAAGAATGAACCATTTGAAACCACAATTAACTTATTGCTCTGAGTGCTAGTATGTTGTCGTGGAAGTCACACAATCTCAGATCCGATAGTGATTACAGGGACATAAATTGAATGCAGATTTGTTCAGTTGCAGACATGAAACATTGTAGCAGGTCGATGGCGACTTTAATTCATCCAACCATTGCACGGGCATGCATAGACATTGGATGAGGGATCAGAGTGAAGCTCTGGAGCATGGAGTGAAAGCGTGGAGAAACGAATGCCAAGGCCGCACAGTTTGCGCGATTAGCTCGGGCTTGGCACGCACTGCGCTCGTCGCTTGCCAAAATCCTCAGCACACCTTTGATTTGGTTGTATTCGCGCCGCCAACAGTAACATCGCTCATCAATCGCCACGATGTCGCTCGTCTCCGGAGAAAAGTCGAACTTCCAGTTCATTCTGCGTCTGCTCAACACCAACGTACGCTTTCCCACGATCCGCCCGATATTGCGCGCCCTCCAATACCCAGAATTGCCTCCCTCTACATCCAGACACGCAAAGCCACATACGCACGCACTGCAAGACGAGAATTCAGGAACAGCGTTGACATGACATTTTACAGGTTGATGGCAAGCAGAAGGTCATGTACGCCCTGACCAAGATCAAGGGTGTCGGTCGCCGCTACTCCAACTTGGTCTGCAAGAAGGCCGACGTCGATCTTAGCAAGCGGTACGCATCTCGCTCTCGCAATTCGAAACAACACAGACACTCGGATCTAACACGAACAAAACAGCGCCGGTGAACTCACCTCGGAAGAGCTCGAGCGCATTGTTACCATCATCCAGAACCCCACCCAGTACAAGATCCCCTCGTGGTTCCTCAACAGACAGCGCGACATTGTCGACGGCAAGGACTTCCAGGTTCTCGCCAACGGTGTCGACTCCAAGCTCCGTGAGGACCTCGAGAGACTGAAGAAGATCCGTGCCCACAGAGGTCTCCGCCACTACTGGGGTCTCCGTGTCCGTGGTCAGCACTCCAAGACCACTGGCCGTCGTGGTCGCACCGTCGGTGTCAGCAAGAAGAAGTAAACGACTCGCTTTCTACAACATTTTCCCGGAACGATATTGGGGCGTGTGGTGGTGCAGCGTTTTACAGCCGAATCAAAAATACCAAAGCAGTCTGCTCTCGGCTTTCTTCATGGATACGGCGCAAGACTATGGTCGTTGTTGTGGTCCGCTCTCAATGACATTGTGCTGCTGAAGAAATCAAAAACTTTTCTTTCTCGTTGACAAACACAATGATCCTTGCCGCTCGGACATGATATCTCTCGATAACTCCTGTAACAGTGACTCGACGAAGTAACGCAGTCCAACAAATCATGTCAACACTTTTCACGATGCAACTGTACTGTGATAGCCAGTAGTCGAAACATGTTAAACAATGTCTCGAGCAAAGGTAAGGATGAAACGCTTTTGATATTCACCAAACTCCAGGGGGGTATGATCGCTAGAAAGCAGTGAAAGAAAGAACAGACACAATCATCCGCTAGTCACCCTCGTTCATGACAGCCATATCCAAAACTTCTGCCCTAGCTCTTCCCTTGGTCTGTCCACTGACAAACTCGCTGAGAGGCTTGAAGCTACCAGGCTCCACGAAGCCGACAACTTCCCATTCTTCTCCCATCATGTCCTGACTCTCGACCTGCTCGATGTAGCCCAATATCCTGTCCTTGACGGTACCCTTTGTCTGGCCCTCACCTTCTGCCTCATCGCCGGGCTTGGGTGCGCTCTTGACTGCCTGCTTCAGGACTGATGTAGGGCAGGTGATTCTCAGTCTCATTCTGGCGCGAGCGACAGGAATGGGCTGATGGGCGATCAGAGCCTTCATGGCATTCAGTGCTTGTGATTTGGCATCGCGAGTCGTAACAACGCCAGTCCACATGGGCTTTGGCTTGTGCTCAGCATGGCTCTCGCCTTCTACCGGGGTTGCGGTGCCGCTCGCGCTGGGTGTGTTGGCGTTGGCATCCTTTCCGCTCTGACTGCTGAGCTGGTCCAGTGCTTTCTCGATCATGCCAGTAGTGTAGACACGCTTGCTCTTGGGGTCGACAAGCTTGCCTGCGACAATGTCGATGACTTCGGCATGCACCCTTTCCAACTGGGCGTGGCGCTCCTTCTCGCCGACCTGCAGTTCTCCTTTGTTCAGGATCTCCAGAATTATGTCGTTCAAGGGCACCTTTCCAAAGGCTTTTGTTAGGTCTGCCGAGGGAGCAGCTTGGCCTTTGGAGACGTTAAGGAAGACGTTTGGGATCTGTAGGACATTGTCGAGATCGGTCTCGACGCCGGAACGCCATTCGAGTACTTTATTCTTGTAACATGCAACTTCGAAACGCTTCTTTCCTGAGGAGAATGAGTATCGTATTCATGGGAGAAGCAGTGAGGCGCTGCGACGCAGGAGCATCTCGCGCAAGGGAAGGTGAAACATACCCTTTTTCATGCGCACAAGAGAGACATTTGTAAGTCTGATCTGGTTCGACGGCTATAGGGGAGTGTCAGCAGCAGTATAGCATGTCTTCGATATGAGATAGATGGTACCTGATTGATCTGGGCGGACGGCATGTTGATAGTGGGACGATAGTCGATGCAATATTGAAAAGAGGCTGGGTTAATTCATGCAGACCAAGTTCGGCATGCAAAAGCTGCTAAAGCCGTTCGCGTTGGCGAAAACGTCGTCATGGCAGCGGGGGAAGCAGATAGGCTTGCTCGGCATGATGCTTTCTTATCCACCGCCCGCAAGACACGACATTATACGCAGTAGAGTAACAGACGAGAGCATTGATGTGCAATATGCAGGCCTCAGGTCATTGGCTTCTGGATCAAGTATGATACTGTGTCTATACTCTTCAAGTGTCCCTCTGCAGCTATATCTTCCGCGAGCATGATGGGCAACAGTCGTGTGCTGGTTATGTCAACCCCGGGTGCTCGGTAGGGCGTGCCGTCACATCCTTGCCCGATTTGGAAGGCCGTATCAGTCAGGAACCGTGCATGGGAAGCATGACCTTGATGCATTCGATGCGGGCTGTTAGGCTCCCTCTTTCCTTTCTCTTATCCCCCCACTCGCCCTACCTTGATAACTTGGAGCTTCACTTCTTGTTTCCCATCTCCCCATATCAATCCATCATTCCAGTGCTGCATTGACAGCATTTCATCTCGCAAACAGCTACATAGCTACACAGCCATCACACGACTCTGTCTGCGCCGCCATGAAGGTCGCCGCATACGCCTCGTTGATCGGAGCCGCCACGGCTGCCGTCACTCCTGGCCAATCCGTCTTCAAGGCCCCTAAGCAGGCTTCAGAAGCATGGTCCAAGCCTCTGCACACCCTGCAGGAGTCTCTCAAGTCCTTGACTGGTGAAGCCCGCCAGATCTGGGACGAGGTCGCCCTCATGTACCCCGAGGCTATGGATCAGACCAGCTTCTTCTCTCTGCCCAAGCCTCACGCTCGCAAGCAGGACAACGAGTGGGACCACATCATGAAGGGTGCCGATGTGCAGAGCGTCTGGGTCAAGAACGCCCAGGGTCAGCAAGAGAGAGAGATCGAGGGCGAGCTGGAGAAGTACAGCCTTAGAACAAAGAAGGTCGACCCCAGCCACCTCAATGTCGACAAGGTCAAGCAATACAGCGGTTACCTCGATGATGACGAGGCTGACAAGCACTTGTTCTACTGTAAGTGGCGACTACCCTTTTGCCTCCACCAAGCCTGACCTAATCTTTCTACCATACAGGGTTCTTCGAGTCTCGCAACGACCCCAAGAACGATCCCGTCATTCTTTGGCTCAACGGTGGTCCCGGCTGCTCTTCCCTGACCGGTCTGTTCATGGAGCTTGGTCCTTCGTCTATCAACAAGGACGGTAGCCTCAAGTACAACCCTGCATCGTGGAACGCCAACGCCTCGGTCATCTTCCTTGATCAGCCCGTCAACGTCGGCTACTCGTACAGTGGCGGCTCCGTCACAAACACTGTCGCCGCTGGTAAGGATGTCTATGCTCTCTTGACCCTCTTCTTCAAGCAGTTCCCCGAGTACGCTAGCCAACCTTTCCACATCTCTGGAGAGTCCTACGCTGGTCACTACATCCCTGTCTTTGCTTCCGAAATTCTTTCCCACAAGAAGCGCAACATCAACCTCCAGTCTGTCCTCATTGGCAACGGTCTCACCGACGGTCTGACCCAGTACCCCGAGTACCGTCCTATGGCTTGTGGCGAGGGTGGCTCCCCTGCCGTTCTTGATCCCCAGCAGTGCCAGGCCATGGACAACGCCCTTCCTCGTTGCTTGAGCTTGATCCAGAGCTGTTACGATAGCGAGAGCGTCTGGTCCTGCGTCCCTGCCTCCATCTACTGTAACAACGCCATGATCGGTCCTTACCAGAAGACTGGCCGCAACCCCTACGACATCACCAAGAAGTGCGGCAGCAACAGCCTCTGCTACGACGAGCTTGACTGGATTAGCGAGTACCTCAACAGACCCGAGGTCATGAAGGCTCTCGGCGCAGAGGTCAGCAAGTACGATTCTTGCAACTTTGACATCAACAGAAACTTCCTCTTCGCCGGTGATTGGATGCAGCCCTTCCACCGCCTCGTCCCTGGTATCCTCAAGGAGATCCCTGTCCTGATCTACGCAGGTAGCCTCGATTACATATGCAATGTCGGTATATCGCTGCTGTGTGTCTATATGATGATGATGCTGACAAGAATAAATAGTGGCTCGGTAACCAGGCATGGACTGAAGCCCTTGAGTGGCCTGGTCACAAGGACTTCAAGAAGACCCCCCTCGAGGATTACGTTCTCCTGGACGGCTCTACCGCAGGAGCAGTCAAGAGTTCCGGCAACTTCACCTTCATGAGGATCGACGGAGGTGGCCACATGGTACCCTACGACAAGCCCGTCGCTTCTCTTGAGATGGTCAACCGCTGGGTCGCTGGTGAGTGGCTGGCATAAGTCACTAGACACTGAGCTAGGGGCAAGATTCAGAAGAGTATCATCGATGCTCCATTTCATTTGTTACAAGTAGATATTGTATCACTATCCTTCCTGAGCCAATGCAGCTGACATGATGGGTGAAAATCACGTTTTCGTCTCATTCTCTCTCCCTTCTTCTTGCTTGTGGCGTGGTTAGACAGAATAGTAGTTCTAGCTAGCAAAAGGATGCCTGCCAAACTGACTCCTCTCGCCAAGCTCGACACCATGTCTCTGACCGTCTATAGCATGATGCATGATTCTGTCGTTATATGCCTTGCCATCGATCTTTCCTTTAAGCCACTCGCCGAGCGTTGATGCATCAAACGCTGCCTGATTTGTCGAAGCCGCCGTATGAGGGCGGAAGCCCGCCAGTGCATCACCCACTAAGTACAACCTTCCACCACAACACTGGTTGGTAGGGGACATATTATCAGTGATGGCTTGCACAAACGGATGTGTCGTTTTGTCAACCAGCTCAGCAAATTGAGGTGGCAAGATGTCTTTGGCGTCCTGTTTCTGTTTGACCCAGGCTTCATTCTTCATCTGATCAGGGGGTAGAGTTACACGATGGCGTGTCCCATCTTTACCTGTCATGAGATCCGCGAGCTCTCCGCTGTCATCGATATAGTTCCTGTACCAGACCCAATTGACCAATCTTTTACCAGGCTCCAGCGTGCCATGGTCTCCTGGGATTACATAGGCCAGAATTTGCGTGCCCTCGGTGTGGAAGAAAGTGAACTTCTCGATGAAAGTCTCCGTCGCAGATTCTGAGATCTCGTCTTCCGGTACAGTACCTCTGACTGCGACGTATCCAGCGTAGGTACGTTCGACGGATGGCAATAACGTCTTGCGTACCGACGAGTTCGCTCCATCGGCAGCTATCACTAGATCTGCTGTTGCTTGCGCTTCCTCACCGGACTTATTGGTCCAGCACACGAGAACGCCTTCCGTTGGCCCCATGTCTTCAACAGATAGGACCTTGCATCCATACAGATAGTCAGCGTTGCCATGGCTATGGTCTGAAAGCCTGGCTTGTAGATCCTCGAGGTCAGAGCCGGAAACGTAATCCTCGATATCCATGCCGTCGACTCTCCATCTCAGGAAACGGTATAGTGTATCCCAGCTCGTCATTCGTTGTTCCCTGTCCTCTACACTTTGCTTGATGACTTCGCCGCTACGATCAAGGTATTGTCTCCGCCTGCTCGACACGGCGAAATCGTGGCCAGGACATACATAGCGGGAGAAGAAAGCTTGCGTATCAGAGCCAGCTACTACTCCAGCGCCCTGGTTGTGTAGAAGAGCCGTCGGTGATCTTTCGAGAATTGTCACCCTGGCTGACGGACAGTGTGTAAGGAGGGTCAGGGCATGCATCAGCCCAGCAAGAGAGCCGCCGACGATAATAACATGCTTCGGTTTTGGAGCGGCAGACATGCTGAATCTGCGTAATCTGGATCTTGAAAGGAGTAAGGTTCAAGTATGCCGAGTGGGCCGCTCATTATGAGCGTACAACTTTATAGTAGCTGGAACTTGATTAAGACGTCATTGATACACCATACTGCTCACACAAGCTGCCAGCCGTCGCGTCGAAAGACCACCGACTAAGGCGAATACAAGAGGCGGATGTACCTCCAGCCACCTCAACTACATGGTCGATCGCCGCATGACGACGTCCGTGGTACTATAATAGACGTGATTTGATGTATCGTGCTTTTCGCTGGTCGCACACGTCACCCTGTCGTGTAAATTCTGTGGTCGCTCTCACGATATACGCTGACTTTTCTCGGATTTCTAAGCAGACATGGACGTGGACAGTATCTATGATAGCTGACTATAGTCCCTTATGATCATAACGAGTAATTACGCGTTCTCTTCCTTGGGTGTGTCTCGTCGAGCTCCAATTCGAGTCTCACAAAGTGACAGGTCATCGAAGTGCCTAAGATCAACCTACCATTCATCACCGACGTCAGCCACATGGTAGTACATGTGGCAGAAATATTGAGAGCTCTGTACAATACCATCAATTTCCTAACCACGCACGACTATGACGGTTGCTGTCGTTCGTATTGGAATCATTAGAAAGCGTGATTGTTTACAGGGTAACCCTGTCAAACTCGACATATCGTTGCAGGTCAATACTGGCTTGAGCAGTCTTCCGGTCTTGTATGATACGTGTCAGTAGAGCCGTCAACATACACAGCGAGGACTTACGAAATATCACCGTTCCAGGCAGATAACTCCTTCACGTAGTTGTCCAAGGACACCGCCCAAGATTTTATGGTATCACGCCTCTCGACAGCTGCAGTACATCATAATTGACTGGAATGATACCAGAGTGTAATCCCTGTAGAAGATAGAAGAGTCCTTTGTAAGGCCTTTTAGGTCACACGTCTCTTTCCGTGACCGCGTATTGCTGAACCGGTGGCGCTGAGGATAGAAAGCCATATACGCCTAGCTCGGTCGATCCATGTGCGTGGAAATGACACTATGAACACGATCAACGATCATCCGATCACCACCAGCAATTCCTCCTCTCCTGAACTAAGTCCTTGCACGCGTGTAGCTTACCGAGGCACAAGCTTCTGTAAGACTGCCGCATAGCCACCGGAACATGTTGTCTCGTCGAATTCCCAGCATGCTGTCTTATGTTGGATGAAGAACAGACCATGCCTCTCACTTCCCGCGTCTTGTTGTTCTACGTTGATCGCGGAGGAGAGTGGGATGATGTATGGGTGCAACATACTGATCGTTGGAGGAGCTAGCTCGTTTGTGTGGTTTGAGGTCGAGACTCATGTCGTGACGCTTTGTAGGGCATCAATGAATACCCAAGCTGATGATATTCGCCCTGAGCGACAAGTAGCGGCAGCCAAGAGACACTATATTCCAGATGATTCAGTGATCTCTTGATTTGTGTCTCAAGAAGAACTGTCATCATCGCTCGACTCTTCTTCTTCGAAAGGCTTTTGAGGTGCTCGTACGACAGGCTTCTCGACCTCACCGGGGGTGTCTGGAGCCTGTGTTTCATGGAGAACGGCCGAAGTCTGCAAATGTGCTTGATCTGCGATAACGGCGTCAGGCAGTTCAGCCAGTATGGGCGAGGGAGACTTTGCATCCCTTAGACTGATCTGCTTCTCAGCTTCGTCGATCTTCTTCAGCAGAAATGCCACCGTACTATCTCGTGCCTTGTCGAACTGTCGGAGTCGATCAATGGGCATGAGATTGTAATCGGGTGCCAGTACGGAGGGTCTTGAGGAAGTCTTTGGTTCAGCATGTGAGTGTGGCTGTATCTGATTCGTCTTCTCCTCTAGCAGCTTTCTCAATACCAGAATGTTCTGATCACGATCCGTCAATTCGACGATCAGACTTGCTCTCTCCATGTCTTCGTCCTCAATTCGCCGGCGCTTCTGCCCTTCGCTGTCTTCCTTTTGTCGCCAAGCTCGAATCGCGTCCCTCGCAGAGTTCTCAATGTGGGCAAATCGCGCGGGGCCGAGCATGACTCCACCGTACCATCTTGCAACAACAATGGCGCCCTCCACTCGCATCTCCTCAATGACTTTCAAGACATGTCGACCTCCATAGCGCTCTCCATCGTCGTCTGTCCCAGTCTCCAGAGTCCGTACATTGCCAACTAAAGTTCTTTGCGACGAGGGACTCCTCCAAGCTAGAATGCGATGAGAAGCGTCCTTGAATTGATCCAGCTTCTGAAGCTCCTTCGCAGGCATAGTTGGCGAAAACCAGGCCTGAAAAATTGAAGCGCGATCCTCGATCTTTTCAGATATCCAGAAGTCGTGGTCTGCATCGTCTGACAGCTCCTTAACAGGAGAGGGACTTCGCGGACGTTTGGACATGGCCGGAGGAAGTCTTGATGAGATTCAATCGTGCTCGTTGACTTCGCGTCGAAAACGAGACACAGCACGCGTCTGTGGCTGTTCCGAACGTCATGCACGTTGGCGACAGATCAGTCGATTAACCTTGTCAATCAAGCTGTAGCCTACCAACCTTTCAACAACACGCAGTATGGGCTTCTTCTCCTCTTCTCACAAACTCATCCTCACAAAGCACGTAAGCTAGTTGTGCGAGAAAACATGAATGTAATTGCTTGAGTGACCTTGGAAAAGAAAAGTGGTATAATATCTACATATGCCCTGCGTTTCCACGCTTACCTCCACGCTTTTGACGATCGATGTGACCTCTCAGAATCTTGCGGTGTTCGACCAGACTTCTCTTACCCTTCCTCTTCGCCTTGCCAAGAGTCATGAGGAAGTTCTTCTTGCGGGCCTTCTCCTTGTTAGTGGTACTCTTGCCCTCAGATTCCTTCTTCTCCTTGCGCTTCGCTGTGGTTGACATGTGCTTCTCGTCACGATCTCCCTTCGCCAATGCAATCTTCTCCTCCCTGGTGGCGCGGGAAGACAGCGCAGCAAGTCCTTCGATTTCTGCGGCTGTGAGAGGATCATCAGCATGACGACCCGAAGCACCTTGTTGTTGACGTTTCTGTGAAGGCATGTGTTTGGACACGGCTGCACTGGTCCGTAGCTCTTGCAACTTGGCAAGATCTGCAGGTGTGAGAATACGGGTTGTAGCCAATTTGGAAAACTCGGCGACGGGGTCCTTTGGCGTGTCCTCTGCGTCTTTCGTTGGCTCCACGTCTGTCTTTTGCTTCTTGGCTTTGGGCTTTTTGCCTTCGTCTTCACTGTCGCTGATGTCGATCTCTTCGCCATCGCTTTCGACGTTGATCCAGCCCTCTTCATCTGAATCATCATCTTCTTCGAGATCCCATTTGCTCCAGCCTGCTTCTTCATCTTCCTCTTCCTCATCTTCGTCAGCGTCAGAAGCATCGGGATCAAGACCCTTCTCAACGCGTCTCTTCCTTCTCTCCTCTGCCTTCCATTCTTCGAGCAACTCCAGACCTTCGATACCACCCACTTCGACCTGGCCGAACTTTCTGTCTTTCAAGGTGCCCTTTTGTATGCCTATTGAAGCATCCTTGCCCCTGTCTCTTCTGCGCAACATCTCCGGACCAACTTCACGGTAGAGACTCAGCAGACCTTTGGCGGCCATGACTACACCCTTGTCCTTGCTCTTTCTGTATTCAACAAGATCCTGCAGGAGGGTCTCGTTCATGGCAAGAGGTTGTCTCACGCAAATCTCTCGAATGGCGTTGAGACCGGCTGACGCGACCTCCGAGGCAGCGGCTTCAGAGACGAACTCGTTGGCAATCTTTTGGACGAGGGGCTCGAGAGCATCCGGGGGGACGAGACTGTGGGTTGACTGGGCGAGCGATGCGAGGAAAGAAGTGACTTGAGGCTGTTTGGGGGTGAGGTACTTGATAAAGTAGGAGTAGAGGGGGATCAGAGTGAGGGTGTGCAGACCAACGAGGCGAGAAACGAGCTGAAGGACGATCAGTTTCTGGTCGAGCTTGAGTTTGGCCTTTGGAGTCTGAGTGTTGAGATGCTGATGGAACAGTCTCTCGGCGAAGCCTTGGGGATCGTGCAAGAGATGCAAAGCAGAGAAGTTGAGGGGGTGAGGGGCCTTCTTCTTCTTCTCCTTGCGCTTGACAGTGGCGGCCGCTCTCCTGAGCTCGTTGGCCTTCTTCTTTGTCTTCTTGTTGATGCCAGCCTGGTGGCGCAGCTTGCCCATGTCGATGTTCTCCTCGTCATCGCTATCTTCTTCAGCCTTGTCCTCGCGCTCCTTGTCTCCACCCAGGAAGAAATGAACACCTCCTGAAACCACCTTTTCGTGTTGAGACAGGGCAGCCTCTTTCATGATCTCGACGGCTTTGGCATCTGTCCAGATCTGTCTAGCCCACATCTCGCGAGTGATACGTACAGCCCAGACGCCCTTGGCAGAGGTAGGGTCCGAGGTGAGCAGGTTGTACAGAACCGTCTGGATGGTGCGGTTGAGCTTGTGGTTGGTGGACTTTGAGTTGGAGGTGCGGAGGTCAGAAATGATCTTGGTGAAGAGAAGAGTACGCAGGGCTTTGCTGGGAGTGTCGACTAGCAAGGGGAAGAGAGCGTTGAGCAGACTGCAAGAGCACAGGATTAGCGACGGCGATTGATGCATGGCTAGGTGGCGCGCTTACACAGCCGAGTCGATGATGTCCTTCTTGCGTAGCAGCACCAGACTGCCAACGACCTTGTCACGCAGTTCGGCTTCCAGTTCGGCATGGTGCAAGCGAAGGAGAGCCATGAGGTCGGTAGGGAAGTCGGCCGTCAGTTTGGGGTAGCAGTCGGCGCAGTGCGCGACAAAGTCGATCAGCTCTCGGAGACTGACCAGACCCTGCGAATCCGTCGAGCTCGGCGCCTGCATGAAGAGCTGCAAGAATGCCTGGTATTGGCTGTACTGGTTGTTGAAGTCATCCTTGTATGATCTGCCATGTGTTAGACCAGACCCTTCGCCCGCTGTCGCGCTGCAACTTACGCTGGGTCTCGTCGGACCTTGTATTGCAAATTCGGCAAGTCTGCATCGACTTTCTCGAGCGCTCCGACCTTGCGCTTGACCATCTTGTATGATATGCGCGCGTGTCTTGGTACTTGTCGTCGTCTTTGTGTTCGTTAGTATTTTCTCTATTGTATGCCGGGCGGTAAGCTCAAAACACGTCGACCCCACAAACTCTAAATATCCTATCATGTCGCAACTCTTGGCACATCCTACCCCCCGTATGCAAGATACCTTCTGTCACACCCTCTCTGATGATCAAAGCAGGCAACGACGAGCTGTAGAAAGGCACAGTCATATCCTATCTTGAGAAATTCAGCATAGGGAGTTGTTGACAGAATGTCTCCCGATGTCGTCGCTCCAGATCCAAAAAGGGGTCTGCCTTGAGACAGCGACAAGTATGGCAGTGCTTCGCACACTAAGAGGTAGTTATTATGCCTCTTCACATCTATGTGTTGCTCTACTGGTGTTATGCAGAGTTTGATAACCGGCAAGATGGGCTGACCATCACCACAACACCGAATCAAGGGATACATCAACGATTATATCAATAACATAACATCTACATTGCCTGACAAAAGCTACGCTGTGACTGATCTTCTGGCCACCCGCTCCTGGAACCTCTTCAAGTCTTCGATACTTACCAGCCCTTTGTTGCTGGCTTCTATCTCACCAGCTATGTCCTCGTAATGTCCAAGCAGTTGCAGCTCAAATCTACCCAATACGTCTTCGTTCATGACCCGCCCTTTCGAGACCAGCTCGTCTTCTCCGGTCCACTCCCACCATGGAGTCTGTGCTGATTGTCCTGTTATCAGCTTGGAGTTGATTGAGAAATCGTTGTGATGTTTGTGCCCATCATGGAGTCTCCAGAAACGTAACGCCTCGGGCTTGTACAGAGACTTGCCATCTCGACCTACAAGCCTCTGCAGCCATTGCATAAACCGTGACCAGGTACTAGTCTTCGGCTCTGAAGCAAAGCCTCCAAGATCCAGACGTACCCTGACCGAAGCATGAATAGACTCGTGCGTGTCTCCAATCAGCACACCGCAGTGCTTCTTGACGCCCGTCAAAGGGTCAGTGACCCTGTAGCGTCCGGGACTCCGAACCACTCGGCCAGCCAGACTCTGAGGAAATGTGAAAGAATCATAGATGGTGCCCAGTGACCAGCCCCTTGCGGGAGGGTGTCTTTGGTACCATGTCTTGTTCAGGGCTTGCTGTGTATCCAGGTAGTCGTCGTAGAACTCAATCCAGTCTTGAGCTCGCCATGTAAAGCTCGTGCCTTTGGTACTCTTCGCACTTTCGCCTGAGAGCTGATCCATCATCCAGGCTAGGGATATGTCTGCTGTTGCTGTATCATCATATGACCCGCCAACATTAGAATGTGCTCCTGGAAACCATGTCTGTTTGAGAAACTGCAGTCAAATCAGTATCTCCGTGATGAAAGCAAGACAAGGACGAGCTGTGGGAAGGCACAAGTATTTTTGAGCCTGGTGAGCCCCCACATGAAGTCGGGACAGAGCTTAGGGCATTGACTGACCGTAGGGCTGCCCGTAGGCTTCTCCCATACAGCAGGGGAGAAGGGCGCCCGATGCTCATCTAATGCCAATGCCTGAAACGCATTCTCTACGTTATTAGAAAGTCTGGTGTCAAGCCATTTGTACTCGTGTAGAAACGAAGGGAGTCCGAGGAGTTTTTGAAGACTCGGATTGACAGGTATTCCAAGAGCACCTAGGAGGTCAGAATACTGGATGGACTCGTTTGAGGGACTTCTCTTACCAACGGTATCCCAGACCCCAATCACTTTTATGGGTACATCGCGCAGCTCGTTCTCTCGGATGGGGACAACGTGGGTCAATCCAAAGCTCCGAAGCACTATAAAAAGCGAGTTAGCATAGCTGGGACTACGAGGTATTATAGATAGGCCCCAGACTGTACGTACTAGCACGATACTCATCTAGATATTCATCGACTCGCGCTGGGTCGTTTGACGGAGTCTGGGGCATGTGCTTCTTCTCCGGGTCCAGAGGGTCGCGGTAATGCTCCCAAAAAGAAGAGCAAGATTTTGTAGGGTCCCCCGCCTCAGTCCAATCTAGGAAGATCGAATAGAAGAAAGGTAGACCTTTTTTGTTCAACAGTCCAAGGTTTCCAACAAGACCTCCTAGACTTCTCGCGGTAAAACTGCCTCGTGAGAACCCTATCAGGAATATGGAATCACCGGGCGAATAGTTGTTAGCGAGGAAATAATACGCTTCTCGTATGTGCTCAGAAAGCCCCAATCCAACGCCGCCTCCCAGGAGTCGATCCTGCAAAGAAAGTCCAGTTCCTACTCCACTCTGATAGTAGACGATCTGGGGGTGGTGCTCGCTGTCCTCGGGCTTGATTGCTCGTGAGATCCTAGTCACGTTGCTTCCAACTTGTAAGTGGCCAGGTTCTCCACGACGTCCCTTGACCCAGCCAGAATCGCTGTCCTGCAGATCCAGTCAGTCGGCCAACACAATGGGAACAGACAATTATCAATCGAACCTGCCAGGTACCTGCATCCTGTCAGTCGAGATACCATAACTGCTTGATGAGGTATCCTACCGTCAAGAGCACATATGATCTTCTTCGGGTTGCGAAGAATAGCTCGTCCAGCTGTAGGAGATTCGACCATGGCGAAGCGTGAGGGTTTCGGAAAGTTACGAATTATCACAACAAATTGCAAATTGATGATGTACTACCGTGGAAAGATATAGGATAATGCGAAATAATGAAAGAAGAGGCCGAAGATGACTGTGTTGTTGAACTGTTCTTCAGGCGCAGTGTGAGGCATAGTGTAAGGCGCCCACAGCCTTGCAGGCAACGTGTTGGCTCCAGAGAAACGGTATATTGCGGCTGAGGATTTGGCGCATTCCCCTCCTTCCCGCCCCTTCTGCAGCCAAAACAGGCAATGGCCCTCCGTGATGAATGCAAAGCAGGAACGAGCTATACAGAGGCACAGTTCATTCTGAGATACGGGCCCTATATAGGGAGTCGATGGGGAATTAAGAGGACGACGACTCTTGAAAACCATCGTGCCTTGGTTTACCTTATGCGTCGCTGGCTGACTCTAGCACGTAACGATATCATTGTTCGTTCTCTTTCGCGACTGAGCCATAGGGGATAAACGAGGTATGCCAAGTGAAGGAGGAGCTCGGCTGGCGCATCCAAGACCGGGTATTCGTTGCCGGTACTGCAGGCGATGTTCTTCCGAACTGAAGTCCTCCAGCTGGTACGAACACAACTATTGGTGAACCAATCGCCAGGCATCGACAACCACCACTTTTGGCGGATCAGATGGTAACAAGTTCTGATTTATGCTCTCACATGGCGCTACTTCGTCGAGAATGATTGTTCCCGAGTCTGCCTCAGCAGGTTCGATACGTCTCAAGCGCTGATTTCGCAACGTACAGGTCTCAAAGATGGGTTCCAAGATCACCGTAGGCTTGTTATAAATGGCGTGAACGGTGTAAGACGGCAGTTGTGTTGGTAAGAAAGCTACAACAAAGTCCGGAACGGGGCAAAGGTACGAGTACTCGCGTGGGGCCTTGCCAAGCAGTCAGATCGTAGTTTGATAGTGTTTGCACAGTCAACAGCGTGCTACACAGAGCATCACCTCAAGCAAACCACAAGATATCTGAGGTTGCGAAAACGACATGGCCGCCATGATGTCGAGACGGATGGTAATTAATCTCTTGGAGTTTTCCATTGGAAAATTATACTGACTATCTCCAGCTATCAAAAGAGGAAGAAGGCGAAGAGACTGAGGTGCGCCGTGAAGATCAAGACAAGATCAACCGCTTCAGCACTTTACATCAGAAAGAGAAACTGTTGCAAGCAGATCTCAAAACCAAAGAAGTAAGCCTAGGCTTCTGCACGAGTGGACATGTTCGATTAGCTAAATCCATTCAACCCAGAAAGAAAAGGAAGACCTAGAAGAAGTCTCATCAGAACTTGAGCTTGCTGATGAAGACGAGAAGGTCTCGTAAGTTATGCAGAGTCTGCTTGCCGGCGTCCCGTCTCACCACATCACTAGGTACAAGATCGGAGACTCGTTCTTCCTGCTGCCCCTCCCCGAGGTCCAGGAACTGTTGGCAGCATCAATCGACAGAATCGATGTAGATGTGACAGCAGTCGAAGAAAAGTTGAGCGAGCTTCGGGAAGAGATGCAGCAGCTCAAAACCGCACTGTACGGTCGCTTCGGCCGCAGCATCAACCTTGAAGCATAGGGGTGGAATACTTTGGCTGTGGAATCAGAGACATGGTCCGCTTCGAGCATCCGACAACTTCTGGCAATGTTCCGTTATTATTAGCATCAAATGGATCGGAGCAAACATCGACTCGCAACCGACAAACACATTCAGGGGTGAGAAACATGAGGTTATAGTGTATGTGATGGCAAGACTATCTGTACTACAGATGACACAACTCCGGAAACAAACTTCTCAAAATAGCCAGACGCAGGCGCAGCTGCTGACGCCGGGCGAACAACTGTTTTGTGGGCTATGTATCAATCATATTATACAGACACGCGTAGCCAACGTCGCGGCGTCCAGATAGTGTATCGGCCCTTTACGCCATGCAACGAGCTCACGTCAACAATACAATTTACAGCGCTGCCATTTGCGCTGTGTTTCAGCATGTCGCTCAAAAATAGTAGAAATCGATCCCCCGTGTACTGAATTCTGTCGCGGGTATAAATGCATCAAGATACGATACTTTCCAGAGGCTGGGAGACGCCCGCCGCGAATCGTCAACTCGTTGACTTTCTTCGCCGTATTCTCCGATCCAGAGCTGGAGACCAGAGAGTAACAGAATTTCCTCCAGAACCCGATTAGACAGTCGAGCAACCCAATCTTGTCATGAATCAGTATTGATGCCCTTAAGTACCTGTCGGTGCCAGACAAGATTTGTTTTTCAGCAGCGTCAAACAGCCCATTGTGACGCTGGACTCAGGGCTCGAGAGGTAGTCTGCCTATTGGAGAGAAATGCGACATGGCAAACGTCGAGTGGAAAACGTCCAAGAAGAAAGTATGAAGGCTGCGGCGGGCACTGACGGCAAACTCGGCCACGTACGTGTTGCGTATGAGACCCAGCCTCAGGAAAAATCGAGAAGTTCAATTCAAGGAGCTAGAGCTGAGAACTTCTAGTGAGCGGTTTGGTTAGTCTCAACGCACAACAGGTTGTGAAAGTCAGTGCTCGGGACATAAATCGATTCGTGAGATTACAAGTCGGCGCAGAGGGGTGCCGTGAGTCCGTGAGAAAGGCGTTTGGCAACTTGGCACAGCGTGGAGAGTAGGATAAGCATGTGGTTACAGGGCTGAACGAGGCCGGTGAGCTAGGGCTGCGGACCCGAGGATAGTTTGGGTGGCAGACTGCGCCGTGTTGCTGTCAGAGCAGCGGGTTGAACTGGTCTGTGTTGCGGCGAGGCTGTGCGCCTGTTTCGGGAAGGGAGGCCCGTCATCGTTCCTTGCCTTCCCTGGTCGATTCTGCTCGGTCGCAACCCTTCGTTTCTTCCTTCTTCTCCTTTACCTCCCTTCAATCTGCTCCCGGCCGCCAGCACCGCATCGACATTTCCTTCTCCATCGCGCCAAACTCAGCCCCAAGGCCGAATCCACTGTCAACCCGCCCTCGTTTCGATCATCAGTCGCTCGCTCACCCCCAGATCCGAAAGGCGCTTCTTGGTCTTGGCACTAAGGCCGCGTAATCCACAACGTGCGCATCCGCTGTCTCCATAACTTCACACGCATCGCTCCTCTGCCCCCTCGCCAAACACCAGCATCATGGCCACTGCTCAATTTGCCCAGATGGGCAGCCTCCCGCATGCCCTCAAGCCAGATCTTGATATGGAGTCGTTCTTCGACTTCAACCAGGGCACTTCTCTCAACTCTCCTCAACTCTCGGGTCCTACCCCCCGCCCTTTAGTTGATGCCTCGGCCTACTACAACGCCCCTTCGCCCTTCGAGGCAGACGACGCCCACATGTTTGCCGGTCCCAGCCATGAATACGATCGTTTCAAGCAGCAGACCGGCCTGCCGGTTGGTTCTGTCGCCAGTTTCTCCGCCTTGAACCAGCCCGTCTCTGACACTTTCACCCCCAGCCATGCCTTTGGCGGTTTCAACTCGGGCATTGACGACATGGCCTTTGACCATGGCTTCAACGGTTCCTGGTCCTCCGGTATTGATGTCGACGCCGACATGAACATGGACTTCAACGCCACTCAGACCATTCCCACCATCTACTATCCCCAGCCCGCTCCGGCCCAGTCACGTTCCTCCGACTTTGTCGACCCTGCTTCTATCGGAGCCCACGATGCTTCTCCCAGCAATGTCGGCAGAGTGTGGCCCGGCATGCACCAGCAACAGGCACAGCAGGCAGCCATGGCCAAGGCTCAGGTTCAAGCTCATGCTCAGCAGCAAAGAATGCAGTTCGAAGCACAGCAACAACAGCAACAGCAGCAGGAGCAACAACAACAAAGACGAATCGCTCAGCAACAACAACAGACACAGCAGCAGCTCGAGGCCAAGCCTAGCAGAAGCCGTGCTTCTTCATACCAATCAGACCCCCACACCGAGGAGAGCATCTCACGCCTCCTTAATCAAATGCGTCAAGGAAGTGCTGTGCCGTCTGGCAAAGACGACTCTGGCATGCTCCCCCACGTCGCTCGCATGCGAAAGGAAGAGGAGGACATGGATGAGGACGAGCGTCTGCTAAACAGCGAAGAGGGCAAGAAGCTCAGCAGCAAAGAGAGACGTCAACTTCGTAACAAAGTCTCCGCACGTGCTTTCCGGTCCCGCAGAAAGGGTAAGCATCATCAATATTCTATCTGCCAAGACATGCACTGACAACATGACAGAGTACATCTCCCAGCTTGAAGGCGAGGTCGCAATGAAGGCACAGGAGGCCAACGATCTCAGAGTGGAGAACCGCAGTTTACAAGAGGAGAATGGCCGTTGCCGCCGTCTGATCGAGGTTCTGTTGCGCCACCCTGCGTATGCACCTTTCATCGAGGACATTAGTAAGGACCCTAGCATTGCTGGCCCTTTGGCTCAAGCTCCACAGGGTACTGCCGGCTCAGTTCCCTCGCAGCGTGAGGCCCCTATTGATATGTCTCTGCTGAACCTGAACAACGGTCTTCAGGTTCCCAACAACTTTCAATAGAAAGGCTCAGTCGGCTTGGCGGAGGTGCTCAATGAGCTAGCTCCTTGTTTCTTGTTATCCTGGCGGTGGTTTGGTGGAGAAAGACCACACTCATTTGTTGCCGCTTGACATCTCTCGGCGTCGCATTTCCTTTGTCAGACAATCCTCTCCTTGAGTCTCCAATGATTCACTCTATTCCCCCGCCTTGTGGCTGCGTTCTCGGGCAATGTTGGCGTTCGGTAGTCAGATCATTTCCTTTCATGATGTAGATATTGCAATCCTTTTATAGACTTGGGAACTGGGGCTTACTTTTGATTTGTCTCAGAACGTGCAGAAGATCTCTCGATACTTTTTGGTATTCGGTAAACAGCCGTATCTGCCCTGTGTGCGTGCTGTCGCACTCGAAGGAAGCTGTCTCAAGACACAATACTTTCTAGATCCGTAGTAACATGATCGAAACGCTTCTTTTTTTCAACTCCCTATGCCAATTTTGCCGATATGGGAATCGACTGTGCATTGCCGCGACCCGTCGTTTTTCTGCTCCGATTGTCGAGAGAGAGAGAGAGAGATGGTGAGAAGTGATGTGAGGGACCTGAGCTGTCCAAGTCGGTCGAGGAGCATATCGAGCACATACGAAATGGTGGTGGACCGTGCTTGGAGTCGACAAGAAATTCGGACCATCGTCATGCATTGGACGGGCGAACAGAGCGCTTGGAGGACTTGACTTAGCAGAACCTTCTCTCGCCCTATCGATGTCGACCAGTCGTCTTCGGCAGCAACAGTGACCGACTACCACCCTGGCCTACATACGGACCTTACCGTCGAGTCTGAGATCAGCGACTTGGTCACAGCGAAGGCTCCTAGTTGCGTGTAAAAGTAGCCCAGGTACTGCTCTATCTCGTTTGCAGATCTCGCGACAATTCTCGACCGTCAAGCCTGGTGCGCGAATTAGCACGCCCAAACTTAGAGGAAAGTCGCAGAGACACCACATCGTCTTCCCGCCGCCCACATTTCTTCAACCACCCAAAGGCACGCTTCCACAGCCAGGTTACATCAGGATGCGCTCTTTCTTTCAATTCATTACTACGCCAACTGCCGACACACCTGGCACTACACTATTGTTGCACTTCGACAACAAGCGCTACCTGATTGGAAACATCGCCGAAGGCACTCAGCGAGCCTCAGTCGAACAGAAAGTTCGTCTCCTGAAGGTCTCCGAGGTCTTCTTGACAGGAAACACGACATGGGAAAGGACTGGCGGTTTGATCGGCATGGTCTTGACCTTGGCCGACTCCGCTTCGTGTAGTGCTCAGGCCAGCTTATTGGAAACTAAGAAGAAGATCTTGAACAAGCTGGAGCGAGATGGCGCCCAAATTGATGAGGAAAAGATTGCTGAGCAGGCTGCTCGCGAAGTCAAGGACCGAGTGCGACTCTCGGTCTTTGGAGGACCCAACCTCAACTATACTCTGGCTACTGCTCGACGTTTTGTCTTCCGCAAGGGAATGCCTGTAGATGTGCACGAATATGGTAACGATTTTGGTCAACTCTCGCCTCCTTCAACGAACCCGACATGGTCAGACGACAACATCCAAGTATGGGCGTTGCCTGTTTCTCTAGCCTCCAATGCGTCAAGTGCTTCGAGTAGCCCTCGGAAGCGAAGCTACGATGAGCTCAACGGCCGACAGTCTCCGCAATCTCGCCCCCCTCTCCGTCAACAAGACAAGGAGAAGGCCTTGATGATGTCCAAATCGGTGGTCTCGGAGATGTTCGACTCCTCATGGCGTATGGACGCGCTCGTCGAAACCCCGATTAACCAGGTGCAGCTGCCCGCTGCACTATTCGTACGCGATCCTCAGACACACAAAATCACAAAATATACTGGTCCGATGCCTGGAGGCAAACAACCTGTACCAGACATCAAAGTTCTTGTCCGGCGCCCCTGGCCTGGAGCCCTTATTGAGTCCCTTCCTCGAACAGAACCTGCAAAGGTGGCCATGTCATACATCTTCCGCAATCACATACAAAGAGGCAGATTCCAACCAAAACGGGCTGAAGCATTGGGTGTCGAAAAGGGGCCCAAATGGGCAGCTCTTGGTAAGGGCCAGAACGTTGAGAACGATAAAGGAGAAACGATCACTCCGGATATGGTATTGGAGCCTAGCAAACAAGGTGGAGGCGCGGCCATTGTTGATCTGCCCTCGCCGGAATACGTGGAAGCTCTCGTCTCGCGTCCCGAGTGGAAGTCGGCCGAGATTATGGCTGGCGTTGGTGCTTTCATATGGATGCTAGGTCCAGGTGTCGCGACACATCCACTGTTGAAGCAGTTCATGGAGGAGATGAAGCACATGAAGCATGTCGTTTCTTCCCCAGATCTCTGCCCAAACCGATTAGCCCTCGACTCTGCCGCCGGTGCCACCATCAGGCTGAGCCAAATCGACGCTCTTCGTTACAGAACCCCGGTGCACGACAACGTCCCTGCCTCAGGAGCTCTTGAGCATGCAGGCGAGCTGCAAGATATTGTCACTGTTGCTGACCGGGGACAGAAAATACAGTTGGAACCATCTCTTGAGATTCAAACCAACGAGATTACTGCCCTCCTAGATATCGAGAAGGTAAAGACAGAAATGTCAAAAGACGTCCTTGATCTCGCCCGTGTCGCCCGTGAGGACGTAGAAGCCAGCAAACAAGCTCTCGATGCCTGGGCCAACACTCTACCACAGAAAGATGTGGAAATCACCACCTTAGGCACGGGTTCTGCACTCCCTTCAAAGTATCGTAACGTATCTGCGACACTGTTGCGCATTCCTGGCTGGGGTTCCATGCTTCTCGACGCTGGCGAAAACACTTTGGGTCAGCTCAGGCGTGTTTACGCTCCTGAAGTCCTCAGCGATATTATGAGAGAGCTTCGAGTAATTTGGATCAGTCACATGCACGCCGACCATCACCTAGGCACTGTCTCTGTCATTCGAGAGTGGTACAAGACCGTTCATGGCTCGCAACCAGCACCTATCATCTCCCCAGGAGACGACTTGGATTTCGATGCGGCCTCTGCGTTCAGCAGACAAGACCGTCTTTCTGTGATCTCGGAGGTAGCGATGTTGCACTGGCTTGAAGAGTACAGTCACGTTGACGACTACGGTTACTCACGTTTGGCGCCACTGTGCATCACCCCAAACTGGCCTAACAAGAGTGTTCAGTCGACCCTCTCTTGGTTCATCCCACCTTCCTTGACTAGAGAGCACGGAGGGAATAGCTCTCTTTTGGCACGGAAGCGATCGGCCGACAACACTGCTCGTGCTCGTGTTATGCCACAAACACTTAACCTGCAGGACATACAGTGTGTCCAGGTTCAGCACTGTCACGGTGCTCGCGCGGTCTCAGTGACATTCCCCTCGGGCTTCAAAGCATCGTACTCTGGCGACTGTCGCCCGTCCAAGCCGTTCACACAGATTGGGCAGGGTAGCACGGTCTGCATCCACGAAGCCACATTCGACGACGAGCTACAAGGTGATGCCGAGGCAAAGAACCACACCACGACTAGCGAGGCCCTCAGCGTGGCACTAGGCATGGGAGCAAAGGCTTGCGTGTTGACACATTTCAGTCAGCGATACCAGAAGGTCCCAGTGCTGGAGTACACTGAGGAAGAGGATGCCATCTCCTCTCTGGAAACCACTGGAGATGAGATGGACATATCGATCAACACAGACGATGAAGCTGACGCCCCAGTGGATGATCATGTTGCAGCCCCGATCGAGGTCAAGGCTCCTACTGACGCAACCAATGTCACCAAGGCAGCAAAGCACATCAAGATCAAGTCAGGGAGCGACATGAAGGTCTGCGTCGCCTTTGACTATATGAGGGTCAAGGTTGGAGAAATTGCCCAGATGGAGAAGTACACTGACACACTCGTCGCTCTCTTCGCCGCAGAGGAGTCGGAAGAGAACAAGGTCGAAGCCCCAAAGAAGAAGGCTAAAGGTGGTAAGAGTCAGCGAAACAACTGAACTAAAAAATCATCTGTAGATTCCATACACTACATGAAGATTAGCTCATTGTACATACGTTGCACTCCAGCCAACTTGAACAACCGTCGTGCGATCGTCATAAAGTGCCAGTGACAAGTTTAAAGAGAGCATATGAGTTGATGATACAGGTCGGTCGCAGCCTCTACGTCTTGCGAGAACGAGAGACGTGCCAGAGGCCAACTTATCTCATTTGAGTTAGTGCGAGAGGTGTGACGGCGTGAGGGAAACCCTGGTGCATCTGGTAGGCGAGTCCAAGACCGCATGCATAAAAAACAAGCACTCCTTGTGTGGATTTCAGCTACAGCTCGTCCGATCATTCTGATGCCATGTTGAGCGTCCTGTGTAGCATATGATGAGGAGATCTACTGAGAGCTGCTGTTCGTGGGCTAGAATTTGCCAGATATGTAGCTGTGCCTAAGTCCAATTCGTGATGCAACGATTTCCGTCGAGACCCCTTGTCCAGCGTCAAATGTGTATAGGTAACTAGCTCTACTCATCGACGCTACGATATGCTGTGGGTGGAACAAGAAGAGATATTGACATTGCAACGACCTCCAACCAGGGCTGCCTCGACCGCGACCAGCACGCGAAGCAGCACATTGGTCTGTACTATCGACTCACACATACTGGAAGTACGACTGAGCACGAGAGATTACAAATGTGTATACAGGAAGTATAACTAGACTAGAACCCGACGAGAGACTAAGGGCCACATCTAGAACGCCTCTTCTCGAAAAGTGAGAGCACCCATTACCACCAGCAGATGAAGAGAAGACCCACTGAATAAGAAAACCAAGTATACCGCCGTCTAACATCAAGATTCGGGATCGCAAAGCTGGAAGCTGTGGAATTTGAGCCGCCTGAGTTTGACACGGAACCTGTGCTGGCCAATTCGCGGAGCTGTGCTGCTTTTGTGGAGAGGATGACTGTACTCCTTCCGCCCGGACAGAACACAACTTGGACGCCAGCTCCAGAAGGGATGATGAACGTGGAGGACTGATCGTCGTATGCGAAGCTGTAGGCATCCGGACACACGGTCTTTGCTGCTTTGGCGTAGTAGTTGGGACTGCATTGATCAGGCCTGTTGTACTTGCCAAGGCAACAGTACTGATCGGAGTTGTATTTGGCGCAAGCCGAGAAGCAAGGGTCAAATGCAGGTCTTTGAATATTGCCGTCGGGATAAGGATATACATTGTCTCCAGGGGCGGACGGGGCATTGACCTGCAGATCCCAAGGACACCACTGATTAGCATTACTTGTGGTGACTTTTGTCTCAAATGGCAGGGGATATGAAGCATTTGTGCCGAGGAAGGTTCCACTGCCGTATGGGTTGAAGCCGGATGGAGCAAGCATGGAGCCTGTGCCTTCGCAGGATGGATTGGTGAGATTTGGAGGAATGTCATCTAGCGAGGAATTGCCATGCGGAACAAGGACGATGGCCAAAGGAAGATTGTATCCGTCGACAAGAGAGATGTCGTAGTAGCTTTGACCGTCACCTGCATCAAGCGTGAATTCAGCGAGCGTCACTGGTACAGCACCCTGGTAGCTATCAGCATATATGATCCATCAACACGATAATAGTGAGAAACTTGCTGCTGCTTGACAGGGTATCACACCATTGCAGTCTCCAGTAGTGCAGGCTGGCCCGCCACCATTTGATCTGCCCTGAGCGTTGAAGCTGCAATTTGACCTGCCCCAGACACGACCTTGCCAATCTTCAGAGACCGACTGTGACACAGTCGACCCAGAAGTGAGTTCGAATCCAGTCTGTCCAGGTGCGATGCCGTGCTGTGTGGCAATGCCGGGATAGATGGTGTCTGGACAGTAGTTCGTCACGACGAGTGGAGTGTTCGCAGCGTTGTTCTGACGAGCAACAAGCTTATGCTTCATATGATGCGTTTGTAAGCTATTTGCACGCGAGACGACAGCCAAGATGGCGGCCACCACTCGCTGTCTCATGCTGGAGACGTAAGAGAGTAAACCAGGTTGAGAATAAAAGGTATCCGTTGTTGCCGAAGGTCGATTCGTGTTCCAACGACTTGTTAAATCACACAGATAGTAGTTCGAACGACAATCGTGAAAGTGGTGAGGGCGGGCAGAGGTAGGGATTGATGCTATGGAAATGCTGTCGCAAGAGGTCGGTAAAGGTATATAAATTGGCGAACAAGGGTAGAGGATGGAAGAGGATGGTGAACGAAAACATGGCGATGATAGATTGAGACTGCAGGCATGGAATCAAGGAAACGCAGGAAGGCGCGAATTGGTTTGTTGTTCGAGGCATGCGATTGGAGCGCGATTTCTCTTGCTGCTTCATATTGGCGCTGCATGACGTTGCGGCTTCAAGACCTACACCTCCATGCTACAGATCGAGCTCACTTCGATCAAGACATGTTATCCGGGCTCGAAGAAATCACGATACTTAGCGGCGACGACTCTCGCTTGTGAACTTTGAAGGCGTATTAGCCCGCGCGCGAAGGAGAGAGTGTGTGTTTGTCGCGACCTTCTCGATTGCCCCAGAGCTAGATGGGTGGGGTCCGTGCACACTAGCGGTTACAATGATATCAGTTCGAATGTCTGCTGCAGATAACACCCAACCCGAACTGTGTCCTTAGCATATCGAACATACGATGCGTGATTACGGACGCTTGACGAGGGATGCGATGGATTTCACGATTGAGAGTAGTCATGATTTGGTCGTATCTTCGCTCAACGAGCTCAGCATAGCGGTCAAGACTACGACATATCTTGATAAGTATCCTGGTTAGTCTGTCAAATACCTACTTGATACCTGCCCGCGTACTAAAACTTGATCACTGTCTGTTCCCTGATACACGCAGAGCAACAGAGAGCTGTGAGAAGGCACAGTCCTTTTCATCATCAAGACGCTCCCATGGAGAGTCGATGAAATGATAGCTCTGGGTGGAGGTCGTCAAGATCACGGGAAGCATTGTGTCTTGCAGCAGCTCCACCGGATAATGTCTAATACGCGGGGAGGTAGCATCCAATGAAGCTCTGCTAACATTCGAGAAGCAAAGGAGCATGCCCAACGAGTCGCCCAGGTTCTAAACGTCGACCACGGTCTGATTTACCTTCCTGGTACCCAAACAGTCAATTGGCCGGATAGTGATCAACCTCGCGCTTTTAGACAGCTGAGGTATTTCCTGTACCTAAGCGGATGTCAAGAACCGGATTGCTTCCTTACGTACGACATTGCTGCTGAGGAACTCATCCTGTGGCTGGCTCCTATCGATCCCCGTAAGGTTGTCTGGACTGGTAGGGGATCAACCGTTCAAGAAGCACTCGACAAGTACGATATTGACCAAGCTCGTTTCGCACTATCGCTTGAGCACTACCTCGAGCGATGGGCTTCCAATAATACAGGCCACATCTATCTTTTACACCCCGATAGAGCCCTTTCAGAGAGCTTCCCTTCCCGAACAAGTTCTAAGCATCTCCGATCCGCGATGGACGAATGCCGAGTTATTAAGGATTCGCACGAAATTGCGCTTGTGAGAAGGGCCAATCGAATCAGCGCATTAGCCCATGAAGAGGTGCTGCGAAAGCTGAGGTCGTTCAAGAACGAAGCGCAGGTGGAAGCTGAGATCTTGGACGTCTGCGTGGCCCACGGTGCCAAACACCAAGCTTACGAGATCATTGCCGGGTGAGCGCTCATATCGAGGGTTTAGAGGAAGCTCATCACTAACCTGTGCCAGATCTGGGCCGAATGCTGCGGTCCTACATTATATCAAGAATGATGAATACTTTGGAGACCGTCAGTTGATGTGTTTAGATGCTGGTGCAGAATGGGATGGATATGCTGCAGATGTCACGCGGACATTCCCACTTTCCGGCAACTGGCCGTCTCGCGAGGCGAAACAGATCTACGATCTAGTGCAACGTATGCAGACTGATTGCATGAACATGCTAGGACCAGGCAAGCGATTTGTGGATGCCCAATATCTCGCGCACCTTGTGGCAATTGAAGGCCTACTCGAGCTCGGGATCTTCCACAATGGCTCAAAGATGGACATCTATCAGGCTGGTACATCTGTTGCTTTCTTTCCACACGGCCTTGGTCATCACATGGGCTTGGAAGTTCACGACGTGGCGACAGTGCTAACGAAAAGGGTTGCTACTGCGACAGATGAGAAAGTCACATCCGAGGTAATAGCTTCACTCATAGCCATGGATTGTGCTAATTGTAAGCAGATCAACCAACATCTGCCCAGTGTGAAGAACAGAGGACAACTAGAATCGCTGTCGGCAAACATCGTTCCTGCAATATGGACGAGTGCGCTCAGCGAACTAAGCGCACCTGATCTGCAGCCTGGAATGGTTATAACTTGCGAACCCGGAATGTACGCTTCCATCACTTATGCATGCGTTAAGAAGCAGTGACTAACACAAACACAGCTACTTCAATCGTGAAGCGCTAGAGACGGTCTTTCTTCCCTCTCCAATCCATTCCAAGTTTATCAACACGGCAGTTCTGGAGCGATTCATGCCGGTAGGCGGAGTACGTATCGAGGACGATTTGCTGATCACCAAGGACGGATGGGAAAACTTGACGACAGCGGCCAAAGGAGAGGCAGCGCTAAAGATAATTCGAGGCGAGTAGTAGTGCTGTAGCAAGGCATGGTAGTTCTTCGTATCTAAGAAACTGACACCCGGAGGAGCTTACTCACAGACGCATCTAGTGATCACTATGGAGTGGTCAGGATGTGTTGCAGGTGCTTATAGTAAAAGTGCTACTTAGTACTGGCAACTTCAACCTAGTCATCATTGTGATAACTAAGCTTAGAACACTAGCTACTATGAACTGGTAATAGATACAGAGAAACGAATAGAGAAAGTAAGGAGATCAAGTGGCAGATTATAATTACAAGGGATACAGAAATACCACAAATCTGTAGCTGTAAGAACGTCTCCTTTCGTAAGTCGTGTCATAATCAATCAAACGTTCTCGTAATGGAGGTCAGGGAACGTCAAACCGAGGTGGAATATTGGCTTGGCTTTTGAGAAAGAGTCATGTTGCGCTAGCACTTTGCGTTGAGTCGTTCAGGCTGCCACTGCGCTCTGCTCCTGGCTGAGCTTCATCAAGGCCAGCAATGCCCAACCCGCTAGACTTTGGCCTAGATGAGGCTTCCAATTCGTGAACGACCTTGGGTGTGGTGGCGGTGTCTTGTAGGGCTGGTGGGCGCTCATTCCTTGCACGTGCCTTGGAGAGAGATATTGTATTCTGGCTGTAGCTTGTCGTGACTTTGCCGTTCGAAGCATCGTAGTCAATGGTGGCTTTCATGAGCGCGGCCATCCACAGTCGACCTTCTTGCCTGCTGTTCACGGCAAAATAGTGTACAGTAGGTTTGGTAAAGTTCACAGCTTTACTAAGACCCTGGCGTGGAGGCACCAGCTTAAAGATAAAGAGCCCTTGTCCGTCGGCAGTGGGTGCTGCAGTGCCTTGAGGTACCATGGGAGATGATCCGGCTCCTGTCAATGCAGCGTGCAATCCGGTCATCTTCTCATTCTCTGCCGGTAATACGCGATGTGAGGATATGTCTATAAGACCCTTCTCTTCAGTGTCGTTCTCGGAGTAGTAGTAGGATAGTCTGCGTCCACGTAGCACAAATAGGCGAGGCTTCCACGAACCTACCAGACTCGAAGACTTTTTCTTCATCCAGCCGCTGTAGTCACAGTCGGCGATCTGTTGCGCAGGCGGTTTCTTCTCGAGACCACGAGTGTACGCAGATGTTGACTTCTTGCTTTTTGCCTTCGGTCTGGCACGCGTTGAAGCAGGAGGGGGAGCAAGCGCGCCAGAGGAGCCAGTTGATACTCGAGATTGATTGTCCGACTTTTGCAAGTCAAATGAACGAGTTTCGGTGGAAGGAGTAGTGGAGCCGGTACGTGCAGGAGAAGCGAGAGGCTCATGCTTCAAGGCACTCTGCTTCTTTTCGTTCTGTGTCACGGCATCGGAGGCTATACGAAGACCGCCACCAATACGAGGCTTGGAAAAGAAGGATCGAGTATTAGAAGCCGGAGATGGCGAAGGATTCAGTGACGAAGACTCACTGTCGACCAAAGTTTGGTCTAGACGAGTGACGATAGGCGATATGGGTGGCTGATTGGAGATCAGGGAATGGGCTGCAGAATGCGGGCTGCTAACGGCGCGACTGGCAGAGGGCTTGTTGAAAGAAAAGTGACTGGAGGCGGGAGACATTATGGGAGAAGCAGGATCGCGCATTGAATCCGCGCTAGACATCCTGGGAAAGTTTCTGTACGAGGCACTGTGTCTAGCGGAGTCGGTTGCGGCACTTAAGTTCCTGGTGTGAGCCGACGTTGCCTTCTTTTGCAAGACATTGCGCTTGTTGCGTGCATCGACTTCATTTCCAGAGAAGTAGCCTCTGTCCGCATCTATAGGTGACGAGAGCGTCCCAAATCCATAGTCACCCACACCACCATCAACCTGCGAAGTGGTGATGCTAAGGTCAGTTGGCGGTTCATGAGCAATGGACAGACGGCGGGTAGTGGCAGGTGCCCCCGAAGTGGTGCCTATTGAAGACTGTCTCTGGTGCGAGTAACGATTCATACTGTCAATTGAGCCCATAGATGAGTGCCTGCGAGAGTGACCAAGATTGCGGATCGAAGCAGCTGAGGGACGTTGGGTTGTGTCTGGTCGAGTGAAGGTCATGGACGGGGTTCCCATGCTGCTAATGGGTCTGTACGGCGAGGCCGTCACGCTCTGGCTCCGTCGTCTTCCATTCTCACTCTGCGCGTCGTCGCCAGCAGCCGAATATTCTGACACGCTCCTAGGCGCGTTAGTCGAGCTTTGGCGGACTTCATCTTGAAGAGCCTTGACCTTCTGCCACGTCTTCAAACGCCGTCCCACGGAACCAAGTTCGAACTCTTTGATAAAGATGGCCGACTGCTCCATGGTCAAAAGGACTTCGCCAGATATCTCCTGTTCACGGAATGTGTCGCAGTGCGACCTTTCGACGCCGTGATCTTCGAGGTACTCGGCGACACGCACTGGTGACCACAGCATGATTTCAGCCTCGGTATGCAGCTGATTCTCCTCGTCGTCGGTTTCGTGACCGTTGATATAGGACAGACGGTTGGGTGCGTGCGAACTGTAAATGCTCTCGGTATCATGGCTGTGGATATTGGTCAAGGGGTTCTCGCGTGGAGTGCGCATATCCGTGATGTGCTCGTCGATGACACTAAGGGTTTCGTGCATGACCGAGTTGTGCTGCGATGAGCGTTGAGCCGGAAAAGGGTTGGACGACTGCGATGAGATGGACGAAGCGGCAGTTTGAGGCCTGTTGAGTTGGGAGGCATCGTTGCGACGTGCTGGGGGTTGTTGGGTGGACAGCAGAGTGCCTCTGGGGGCGGGGGTAGTGTAGACTGTTGGGAACGAGCTGGCGTGAGCGAGAGAGTTTCACGAGAGTCGAGGAGTGACGGCGACTCACCTTCAGGAAACAGGCCAGTGGCACTATTGTTCATATGGCGACCGAGGAACCAGCCATCGCCAAAATCATCGTCCCGCTCGATGAGCTCGATGCGGTCGCCCTTGGCCAGGCTGAGCTCGTCGGGGCTACGAGCAATAAAGTCATGGACGACTAGCAAGATAGAGCCAGGGGGGACCTGCAGAGGGTCCGAGGGCTGGCGAGTGGCCATCGGATGGTGCTGTGGTGTTGTGCACGCGCTGTTACTGGGGCGCGATCATCGAAGTTTTGCGACGGCGGGGCGAGGTGTCATCGAAGTGTCGAGGATATAGAGCCTGTGCGGTGGAGGACGGAGGGCGAAGTCCGAAGGGGTCCCCTTGGACGCCGTGCCGTGGTACGCTTGGTGTTGGAGGTGGTGCCGGGATGCGAGCGGTTAGAGGGTCGAGCTGAAACAAGAAACAGGAGTCCGGTGAAGGGATGGTCGGAGGAGTCGCAGTCGTTGTGTAGCAGTGGCAGCAACAGTAGCAGCAGGAATGTCGAGCGGGCGGCGAGTGCCGTGCAGCAGTCAACGACAGGCAGGTGCAGTGTGATGGCGCGAGGCGGCCGCTAGCCTTTGGGCAATAGGCTTCAAAGTTCAAGCAAGAGCGGTGCACCTTCAGACTTCAGTGGCTTGAGCCGCATCTCTCAGCCTTTGACTCTCAGGCGAGGCGTCTTGGGTCATACGAGCCTGCCTTGCCCAACCCCTGCAAATACTCTGCGTGCCTTTGCGCTGTTTTGCATCCGCCAAACGCGCTTTCCTCATCCGTCAACGCACCTATATCCCCGACCTCTGCCAACCATTGCGATTGCCGACTGCCCTGCAACTACCTTTGCTCCATCCCACGCTCAGATGGGACCCACCTATATGCGCCCGTGACATGCTCGACTCGATGGCTCAATCGCCGCCGCCTAGCGATGCTGCCCCGAGTGCACGAAACATCTTGGGCCGCCCTACCCAGTATTCCTGGATGCAGCAGTCGTCGGTCCTGTCGCAGCCTCCACTGAAAGCTTCCGGGAAACACGTCCAGCGACAGCTTGCCATTGTTACCGACACACTCGCCTACGAGTATCCCGTGCAAGTCCAGCATTCTGCCACGGCTGATGCTTCGGCCCGGCCAAACTGCCTACCCTCGCCTGCTCCCAGCGACCACCATGACAAGTCTCCGAGCCTACATGCTGTCCACCAACCGCCCCCTATGCCTAATGTCCACCAATCGCCCACCATACCCAGGATAGCCACTGCTCACCAATCACCCAGCATACCCACTGTCCGAATAAGCAAGAAGAGACATGCTTCTGCCACCTCTTCGCTCGCAAACACGCCCACCGTTCTACGTCGCTCAGTCTCATCGTCTCAACCCCCTCCTCCGCCCAACGCTGCTTTGCCCTTTGGTCCACAGTGGTCCGCCGTCTTCCAAGCAGACGAATGCACCAGACGTCTTTCAGCCTTTGCCTCAGCTCACGCCCACTTGAACGATGCTGATCTGGAGAGACTGGGCACTCTCTATGATGCCACAATCCAGAACGACTGGTACTTTATCATTCTGCTCATGCTCTTAGCCTGTCACTTTTTAAATTCCCCGTCCCTTGCCTCGCTCCGCCTTCCACAACACAGCCTGCCCATGTTTGCAAGACTTTTGGGAGAACAATGCGAGGGCAGTCGTCTAAGCCCTGAGGTCCAGCTCTTTATTAGCACCTTCCCCAAACCTTTGGACGAACTGAGCTTTTGCTTGACCGAACAGTCTTTCACCACAGCCATACGCCACATTACCGCTTGTCTTCATCAGATAACTTTGAATCTAGACCGTGTGCTTTCGCAATGCCGCCAGGCAGAGACTCTTCCGACTGTCCATGATCTCATCGAGGGTCTTGGTATACGCTCCTTGCTGTTTCAGCGTGCCACTTTTCGCTTTCTCCTGCGCAACACCTGGGGCTCAGATAGTGGTCCATTGGCCGAACTTGCGATGAGAGAATTCATGGATGAGCAGCAGAGATTCGGGGTGGAAGGTGGCCAGTCTCCTGATGTGCGTAGTCGACAGCAGAGTGTTTATCGCAACATCTTTCGTCAACACAAGTGCTCCACCACAGCTCCGCCTATTCAGCAGTCCACTGTTGCTTCGGGAATTTCGGCCCCTTACAACGCCACACCTCTACAGCCGCATCCATCACCTCGTCATTTCCAACCTCCTCGTCAGGCTCAAATGCCGGCACCGGCACCAAATGGCGCCCAGTTGCAGGCGACACAGATGAACACCCAGATGCGCATACAAATGCAAATGCAAGCGCAAATGCAGATGCGTGCCCGAGCCCAAGCCCAAGCGCAACCAGTCCAACCTCCGCAGCCTGCCTTGTTCCAAAGCCAGCCGCAGGCTGCCTCACTTCCACTTCCCACATCGGCTTATTTCCAGAACAATGGCGTTCCTTCACCAGCGCACACCGCAATGCCATATCAGGGCATCACTACATCTCGTGATCTTACCCAAATGCAAGCATTGATGATGTATTCACGTCAAATACAACCTCCACAACATCCACAACATCCACAACACCCCGGCTTGCCTTCAAGCCCCTCACTTGCAACTCAGAGATCTCGCCCGCAGCGATTCACTCAGCCGCCTCGACTGTTCTTTCCTGGACCAAACGCTTCAGTCGCCCAGCCTGCGCACCCTGATTATCGAAAATCGGCACTCCATCAGGCTCACATGCGCAGTCCTATCCTTGTCCCGAAGGATGCCTCCGTTCGTGGCACTTCAAACGATCATTACCGTTGCGTTACCGGCTTTGGGCTCCAGCCCCACAGGCTGACAACCGATCCTATTCAAGAAATCCCTTTTCATCTGACACCAGATGTCTTTGCACACCTTCTTAAGGTGAAAGTGAGCATTGATGGCGATCCCCCGTCTGGAGAATCTTACACCAACTCAATAATGCTAAGACTCAGATGCTGTGAAGTGAGTCCACTTGAGCCTCTTCCTGCTGAGAATAAATGGGCACAACTCGATGGCAGCTGGCCAATCCAGGCCTATTTTGCGGTCAATCAGAATCCGCTCGAACCGAGACGCAAGCTGCATCATGGCAAGTGTCTACCTATCGACATCACGCATCACGTCAGTATCGGCACCAACAAGCTTGTAGTGAGGATAAATCGCTTGAAGCACGACAAATCGGCCTTCAATTACGCTGTAGCTGTCGAGATCGTTGGCTTCATGACTCGCGACAGTATCAAGGAGGCATGCATGAACAGACTCGTCCCTTCCGAACAGATCCTGGCTTCAATCAACAAATCTCTGGCCAGCGATGATGATGATTGCATAATGCAATCAAACTTCACTCTACACCTGTTCGAACCTTTCTCCAATGCCAAGATTTTCGACACTCCAGTCCGCAGCAAAGATTGCTTGCATAAGCAGGCCTTCGATCTTGACGTTTTCTTGGAAACTCGACTTGAGCCCTCAACTAAATTGTCCAACGATCGTATTAGCAAAGTGGATTCCTGGAAATGCCCTATCTGCAGAGCCGACTCCAGACCTCAAAGCTTAATAGTGGATGGATTCTTGGTAGGCGTTCGTGAAAGTCTCGCAGCCAAAGCCCTGCTAAACACACGTTCCATCATCATCGAGAGTGATGGCTCTTGGTCACCCGTACAAGAGTCTCACGACGAAGAAGAGACCGAGGACGAGGCAGCTCCAGCGCCAAAGAAGAACATCGAAATCATTCTCATCGATGATGACTAGTCATCGAACTCGTCATCGAACTTGTTGTAGCCCTCGCTCAGTCCCTGCATTCCCATCGTCATGATCTTTCGTCTTTGCTTTCTAGTGCCCTAAGATACCCTGCAGCAACTTCGTTTGCTGCTCGTTTGCTTGCATTTTCATCCTCTTTAGCATTATTTCTTCTCACGAATCACGAGTTCTCATTTGCATCAGAAGCGTAACGCAGGTTGACGGCGTTTCTCCCACCGGGTATCTTTTGATAGGCCAGATAATACAAATTCTGCGATGACTACTACCTGCGTACGACCTCGTGAATGGTTGACCATGCTCATGTTCATTTTATTTTGGTACAACTAAATGTATGTTTGAACCTCTGGCCTTCTTGTCCTCGGAGGGTTGTCATTGTATGTTCAACTGACTGGCACTCTAGGGTGTGCTTGCGACTCATCGAAGGTGCAATCAGTACTGCATCGATTTGAAAGAGAGTTTGGTCAAAATTAGGATCTCAATGCCGACCGATAGCCTCTATTCAGCATTTAATTCCGCATAGATCAACCGTACGACCAGCCGTATGAACGTTCTCGCGCGCGAAATACAGTGCGGCCATTTCCTTGATAAAATCACCGTCACTGTGGCTCCATTCGTCCAAGCCCATCCTTCTCATGTCTTCACTGTGAATCGTGATCGTGCTCTCTCCTCCGTGCTCACTCTCAGCATCCGCTGCTTCTACAATCTCGGCCAATGTCTCCAAGACCATTGTGGTAAGACGATGCACGTAAGCTATCAGAGTCACTGCCACCGACTGGGCACTCAGGTCAACTCCTTCTGCTGTATCGTAAGTCGAGGAGCGTTTTCTACCACTACTCGAACTATGCTTGCTGGTGATTTGTAGAGGCAGGTCATCAAGTAGTCTTGCGTCTTGACATGCCTCGTCATCTAGTAAAGCATCCTTCTCACCGGCCGAAGCCCACCAAAGGAAAGTGGTATAAGCGATCGAAGCCCACGAAGAGGGTTCGACTAAGCCTGTTTCCCCTTCGAGTTGGACATATTGATCCAGCTCATTGAGAGCCTCCGGTTTTGATGGGTTCAGCGGGGCACTGTCGCTATCATTGTCGGCTTCTGGTGATCCATCTTCGGCATCGTGATATGCTATGGGCCTTGGATGTTGCCCTTTATCCAACTCTCGCTTGAGTGTATAGTAACGTCTCAAATCACGCTGGGTCGCTTTGACATGTTCGCCAGTGGATGTGCGAATTCGAGGCCATTGTTTAACGTCGGGCGATTGATGATTAGGCAACTCAACAAGGACATCATAAAGACTCGACTTGGTTCCTAGTATATCGTCGGTGCTGCATGCAATCCAGGACACGTGTGGCTTCGAGCTAGCGGCTAACTGAGATAGGTAGTCAATGTCGCGGATACCGACATTGAACAAGGGCCTCAAGGGGTACAGAGCCTCCTTGTGTCGTGCCGTGTCAGCTGCCAGAGGCGGAATGTTGGATAGAACGGACAAATTGTATACAAGATTGCAAGCGTCGTGGACAGGTGCAGGTGACATGATCAGTATCCTCTTCTTGAGAAGCGTGGCTCTTTGGAGAGGGAAGAGCAGCGGCCCAAACGTGTCAAGATGCCGTGCAAGGGACATGGCTGGATGATGGTGTGATAGGGTAGGGTTGCTCGGATGCAAGCCAGCAGCGTCAGACAGTGCGCGACGTTTGCGTTGGGATGAGGGCTCGCCATGGTCTGCTTCTTGGCCGTCAATGCTGGGTATACGATTCTGGTGCCAGTATTCCTCTAGTACATGAAGACTACTATCGTCATGGTCGACCAATTCGCTAGATGTGGCTCAGCGTGATGTATGGCAACAAGGCGGAATGGAGGCATACCCGACCAAGCGTCGTAGTTGCCGAGCATGCAACCAGCTGCGGCCCAGGCGTCCGTATGTCAAGGGTACAAGAACACCGACGGCGGCAAGGTGTGCATTTCTTTCCGACTCGTGTGCAGGGCGATTCGCAAAGGCGCTAATGCCGGCATATTGTTCGTGGACGAAGTAGACGAGATCGGATTCGCAATTGTGGAGGCCTGAGGGGAGCGACTTGTATTCAACCACGCCATCCAACTTGACTAGAAGAGTGAGCTTCAGGGGCGTGGTCATGACAGTCGGGGACATACCGTCTGCAATGCTGCGTTGCCATGCTATCGTATATCTAGCCCATGGTCATCAGCGAGGTTTCCCGAGGTAGCGTGGTCCACCACACACCCTACCTTGCGGTCGAAGACAACGAGGAAGAGCGCGACTATCGGCGGTAGCGCGACTTCTGGGCTCTTTGGGCTGTTTCCGCCTGCCATGACCGCTCGCAAATTGAGCCTTGTTGAGTGCGTGTGGTAATGTCTGGGGGAAGAGCAGTGCGTCCATCAATGTCCTTTCTGCATTGAGCACAAAGGGCTGAGCCGAGCATGCCGGTGGGGTCTGGTAAGAATACCCCCTTGGACGTGTGCTCCTCGGCTACCGTCGACGTACTCGAGTAGTTGTTTCAGTGCACAATGCTTTCTTGACAGACAATCGCTTGTTCCCGTCAGTCTTCACTATACAGACGCTGGTCCAGAGGTCGCTTCACTTCCGCATGCGCGCAACGAGGTGACGCCCTAAACGTGACATTCGTACGACGTCGTCGACGTACCTATATACGCATCATCAGTCATTGAAGTCGGCTTTTCCTTCTTAATCGACTGCGCAATTTCACGCGACCTATAACCAAACATATCGAGAGCATCTGAACATGGTATCGGAACCAATCAACCTCATTAGGGGTTGGCCTAGTACATCGCTGCTCCCTACCCAGCACCTGAGCAGAGCAGCCCAAGCAGCACTAGCCGACCCAACTGTCGCTTTTCCCGGCATGCTGTATGGGCCCGATGAGGGCTATGCCCCTCTGAGAGATACTCTTGGAGACTGGCTTACGGCGTTCTATCAACCAGAGCAGCCAATTGTGAGAGAGAGGATAACAATCACAGGCGGAGCATCTCAGAACTTGGGCTGTCTTCTTCAGGTCTTCACCGACCCAGTCTACACCAAAGACGTCATTTTTGCTGCACCAGCATACATGCTAGCTTTCAGGATCTTCGAAGACAATGCTTTCTCGGGCAAGATGAGAGCGGTGCCTGAAGACGACGATGGCCTGGACACTGTTCGCCTGCGCAAAGTACTAGAAGAAAGCGAGAAGTGCTGTCCCCGACACGAGGCTACCGTAAGTGACTGGTCTACGCTATCTATATCACCTTTGTTGACTCATGCAGACGTACAAACCCTCGAGACCTTACGCAAAGTACTACCGCCACGTCATCTACTGCGTACCTACCTTCTCCAACCCTTCTTCTCGCACCATGCCTTTACACCGCAGGATCGAGCTCGTAAAGCTAGCTCGGGAGTTCGATGCCTTGATTGTCTCGGACGACGTCTATGACTTCTTACAATGGCCCGCAGACTCTAGTAAGCCCTCTAGTCTCACGAAGGCTCTTTTTCCTCGTCTAGTCGATATCGACCGCTTCTTGGACGGAGGATCCGACCGGGCTGGAGCCGATGGTTTCGGTAATGCGACTAGCAGTGGAAGCTTCAGCAAGATCTGTGGACCGGGTATACGCGTTGGCTGGGCCGAGGGATCGGCCAAGTTCGCACATGGTGTTTCGCAAGCTGGCACCTCTTGCAGTGGAGGAGCCCCGTCCCAACTCACGTCCACCTACATGGACATCTTGGTCAAGGAGGGGACACTGTCCAGACACATCTTCGAGACCTTGCAACCAGCGTACGCTGCGCGTCACAAGACACTGGTCTCCGCTATCGAGGACTACCTTTGGCCCCTTGGAGTCACGCTGCCGCAGTCCAATCGGCGTGTGATGGGAGGCTACTTTTTGTGGATGACATTACCTGATACGGTCAAGGCGGTAGATTTTGCGAAGAGATGCCAGGAAGAAGCCCAAGTCATCGTTGCACCAGGAAACATCTTCGAAGTTCCTGGCGACAACAGCGTCAAGTTTGAGCATTCGATAAGATTGACCTTCAGCTGGATCGATGAGGACATCATGGTTGAAGCCGTAAAGAGGATTAGAGCTGTTCTCGAAAGCTGCCTAAACGGCGAACGTCCCGTGGAAGCTTGCAAGCAGGCCGAAACTGTACAAAATCCATATTGAGAAATACGATAGACGACTCAATCTGCTTGTTCATTATCTGGTGGCTGAGACCAACGTCACTGGGATGGAACCACAGGCTCCATACATAGCTAGATTTGGTAGTTTCGAATACGCATAAGGACGTCAACAACTAATGCAACAGTGATTGAGAGATGTTGGAAAAACCTCTCTCGATAGACGACACACAAACCTCGAAATGATGATGCATTTTCGCAGCTTTTGAGAGAGCTGACACGTGCGGATGAGATAGAGTCGGGGGTAGGCAAGTGTAGGTACACGTACCCCCGCCTTTGTTCCCTGTGAAAGCCATGAAGCCATCGACAATCCATCCACATGGGGGGGGAATTCGATTTAAAATATGACTGTGACTTCTGCTGCTTCGCTTGCATGGCATGTGACAGGATCCAGCATAGGGTAAGTGAGGAGTCAAATCACGTGAGCAATTCGGACAGTGAGCGGCGGAGGATCTTGTCCATGTCTCGCTTGATAGGAATATAGACAAAAGCCGATAATTGGGGCCAAAGGAAAAGTTACGCATGGCCCGCTCAAACCTTGATAGCGAACTGCTTCATGTGCTCGTAGTCCTTGACATTGTCTGCGACAGTCTTCTGGATAATCTTGGCAGCATCTTCACCATACTTCTCAGACCACTCGGCAAAGAGCTGCTCCTCACTCTTTTCTGCCTTCTTCTGCCACTTGTCAGTGTTTGTCATCAAGACCAGCGCGGCAGACATACGTGGGTTCTGGGCTTGAGCTCAGTCGAGTGGATAGCATCCTCATGGAAGCCTCTCCACTTCTCGAAGGCCTCCTTGGCATGAGTGTGGTCCTCCTCGTTATTCCAGTTCAACATGCTGGGGCTGTATTCGATACCAACGCTCTTGCAGAACTGCTCAAGGATGGCCGAAGGGTTATCCAACAAATCATCCGCGTCGATGACACAGATGTCTACAGCTCCGCTCTTTTGTTCGCCATCTGCCGAATCCTGGCCTGCAAGCTTGGGACCAATCTGACCGCAGGAACGGAGATAATCGAACAAGCGGCGCTGCTCGTCGTAGCCGGCCTCGGAAGGCATGAAGTTGTAAAAGCCAGTGATGGCGTCGAGCGGAGGGATGGTGCACCTCCAGTAGCTGGGAATACTGTGCTTAGGGTGACGAATGAGGAAGGCGAAATGGAACTTGTTCAAGATGTCTGTGGGAACGACGGTGGGGTTGCCAGGCTCGGCCTCTGTGGCATAGGGATAGGGTGGAGAGCTTTCGGCGCCAGATGAGCCAGAGCTCTTCTCAGAATCACCAACAATGTCTGTCAGAGGGTTGCCGCCGTTGGATTCGCTTGTACCGACACCACGCTTGACCTTCATCAAAGATGGTGCAATGGACGCCGGCTTGGAGTCAGGAGGCGCCAGGTAGTGAGTGATATCCTTGATGAAGATGCGTTTGCCCTGATTCTGGTGAGTACAAGGACAGATTCTAGGGAAAGTGTAGCTGCGTGCAGCATGCAAATGTCTCTCGGTGAGGGGGGACAGTATTTGTTGGTCCATGAGCTGCTCCAGTGTGATGATTGGGTCTTGTGTGGTGGCAGTTGCCAGGGAAGGATGGTAGTTGACACGAGGGGGAGGATTGGGATCAGTGGGAAGCAGAGCAGAGCAGCCTCCTCGTGCTGAAAGGGATGCACACCTCTTCGTTCTCTTTCATAATGTTGTCGAAGATGGTCTTGTATGTCGAGTTTTCGAAGCCGCTCTCAGTGCGTGCCTTCTGGTCTTTCTCATATCTGTCGCTAAGTCTCTCTGGGCCGAAGTAAAATGCATCGCCGAAGGGTTCATGAACGCATTGGAGGGTGTCCCGCTGAGTCATGAAGACCTGGTGGACATGGTTAGTCGTCGGTGCTTGTCGATGGCTGTGGCTCAATATGGGGGACGGACTCGCTCGAATGCTGTCGAGCATGCTCTAGGGTGAGTCGCAACGAAGATTGGCTTGTTGGACATGGTTGCGGATGCGGAGAGTACTGGTCTCGGAGCTACTCGATGGTGGAATGGAAAATCTACAAATGTGTGCAGAATAGAACAGGCAAAAGGCAAAGATGGGTGAAGAAGTCAGGAAACAGTCGTGGGATGTGACAGAGATTTATCAATTATTATTAAACGGTAGCCCGATGCAGCGTAGAGCCGAGCTGGAGACCAAAGTGCAGTGTTGATGACGTTCAATTCATGGCAGGTGGAGCGGTTGAAGTTCTGGTGGGCCCGAGGCGTTCGGTGTGCGGTGCCAGTCGCTGCCCTGGCATGGCGAGCCGTTTTAGTGGCCGAAGTAGCGCACCTCAGATGGCGAGTGTCTACGGTGCATGCTGAACTATGTCGACAAGGCTTGCGCACCTGGTTGGCTTGGGCAGATGGTTAGCGGGGTGAAGAGAAACACCCCGCTTCGACTTTTTGTCGGCAGCGGCCAGCTTCCAGCTACCAGCCAACTTTATCTTTGCCCAACGTTCAACCGAGCCGCAGTCGTGTTGCAGCCTCGCAGTTCCCCAGTGCCAGTGTCTCAACCAAATGAAAGCTCTCGGAAGTCGGCGAATTGGCTGTCAGCAAGGCGACAATATATCATGTGCACTGCGCATCTAATTATTGCCGGTTACGACGCCGAGTCTGATCATGGCAATTTCTGAATGGTGGCTTCTGTCTATCGACTTATGTGGGTATACAACATGTAGCGTGCGCTTGAGGCGCCGTACTATAATCAGCCAAAGACCCGTATGGTTGCTGGTTTTAGACTCGACACTTGCATCACCAGCTCCCAGCGCGGCGCGTCGCTGAGGTATCACAGTGCAAACGAGTACGAAGCATGCATCTGGAGCATTCAAGACAACATGGCGACAACCATAAGCCAACGAGACATGTCTGAACGCCTGTGTCTTGTACAGGCGTGGACTGGAATCCGCTCCATGGGACGCTGATTATGATTCGTCTTCACGTCTGCCTTGTCGTGTCAAGCACAAGTGTGCAGAGTGGAAGGGGTGCCTGATGATAACGGTGTGCGGACACATGTCGTCTTCTGACCAGTCATGGGCAGCGGAGATGATGACATTGACGGCGGCGGGGGAATGGGAAGGATCAATCGGCGCCAGCGCTGAACTCGGCTTGATAGTACTTCAAGGTGGTCAGCATGAACTTTGACACGGATTCAGCATTGTTTGGCGGGCTTGGGGAGTGCTAAATACCTCTTGAACTTGGCCAGCGAGCCTTTGGTCACGCAAAGAGGCGCGGGGAATGTTCCAATTGTTGGTCTTCCACCACCACCTTCTCAGACGCGCGCCGATGCTGGAGCCCGAGAATTTAGACGACGTGTTGTGTACTGTGTTCCAGTTCCTCCAGCCGGCGAGGACCAAGGTCCAGAGCAGGCCTTGGGTCAAGGGCATGAACAGTTGGTCTCTGAAAGTGATCCATGCGACCATGTGCCAAGAAGTGGCATTCTGGATGCTGGCGAGGTAGCTCTGTTCGAAGCGCAGGTCGGGGAGCGGAGGGAACTGTTTGCTGCGCGGCGTGGGTCTCAGGACAGACAAAGGGATCTCGTCATGGTCGTCGGGCAGGGTGTCGAGATCAGGGTGGTGGTCGAGGCGCACGGGCTGCTTGGTCGAGGCGGCCGTCGACGGATTGGCATCGTGAGCGGGCGACGGGTGTCTGTTGATTGAGGCAGTTTGGATCGTCTCTGCGAGCTGGAGAACGGCGTCGTCGGCCATGGCGAGCGCGTTGTGCCGTCTTGTGTGGGTGAGGGAGCGAGGTGGAGTGAGGAGGTGCGAGCGCAGGTGGAGTTGCAGTAGAAGGTGCGAGCGCAGGTGGCAGAGCGGGCGAGACGTCGCGGAGAGAGCCAAAGACCAAAGACGACGCTCGAGCAGGCAGGAGCGAGGAGCCAGCAAGCGCCGTCATCTTCCCAATCCCAAACCCACAGCACATCCCACGCCCTCGTAGCCAACGCAAGCATGGGCAACGCAAACTCTCAAATGCTCGAGAACCTGGTTCAGGGCAGCAACTGTGTGTTTTGCCTCTTCCTCACGCCTTCCCTTCCCTCAAGCCGTACTGACCAGCCCTCTTGAACAGTCGACCGCGATGAAGTTGACCGCCTGCGCAAGCGTTTCATGAAGCTCGACAAAGACAACTCTGGTACCATTGAACGCGACGAGTTCCTCTCCCTCCCTCAAGTTTCTTCCAACCCTCTCGCCACACGTATGATTGCCATTTTCGACGAGGACGGCGGCGGTGACGTCGACTTTCAGGAGTTCGTTTCGGGCCTCAGCGCCTTCAGTTCAAAAGGAAACAAGGAGGAAAAGTTGCGTTTCGCCTTCAAGGTCTACGACATTGACCGCGACGGCTACATCAGCAACGGCGAGCTCTTCATCGTTCTCAAGATGATGGTCGGAAGCAATCTCAAGGATCAACAGCTGCAACAAATCGTCGACAAGACCATCATGGAGGCCGATCTCGACCGCGATGGCAAGATCAGCTTCGACGAGTTCAAGAAGATGGTCGAAAACACAGACGTGAGCAACAGCATGACTCTGGACGCTTTCTGAGTCCTGACTCCACACCGCACACACACTCTACCCAAACTACAGCGGCTTGCACTTCCTTTTTCTCCATTCAAACATGAGATACCACGGCGTTACGGAGTTGCACATCATAGTCCTGCTACCGCACAGCGAGCGGCCTATCCATTCTGAATAAATGTCTTCTACTTTGTCCCTCCTGTCTCGCGCTGCGTCCCTATGCTCAAACTAATTAGAGTCTCCTGATCAACCACGATTCCATGCAGCCCCTGGACCTCGTGCTCGAATTTGTCCGAGTCCGAATTCATCTCTTCTCATTTGCAACCCTCCCCGCGTGCAGATACTGTCACAACAGTAGCTGTCTTGAGGCATAATGCTCTCCGTGAATTGAAGTAACGTATACCGAGCTCCATTTAAAACAAGAGATTCTGATGCTCTATGCTCTCGGCAGGCAGAGCTTGGACCCTGAATTACATTGTGTCTTTTTACAGCCCCCCATACTAGTCGTACACATCCTCTTGAAGATACAAGAAGCTATGTCTCTCACCAGCAGCTCTCATCATCTTGAAAACGATTGTACCTTTTGACGGCTCATTTTACTACAGTCTACCTTCTCACGACATACAAGAGAGCAGCAAATTCGGGATAACCTGATAGCCTTCTTCTCGTTAGCTCTCTTCGTGAGCTCCCTCGATCTAGAAAATGAATGTGCCTTTCTACAGCTCGTTGGGTCTTCCCGTAGCTCTGCTTCAATAATCAAGAGAGAGCGTGAGTGACAACTTTTGGCAGTCGGAGAGGTTTCTACCAACTGGTCGCCCCACCTTCGGGACTTTCGGTGCAATGACATCCCGCCATCTCCACGACGCTCCGCAACGATGAAGGTAGAACCAAGACGAGAAATGTTTATTATCAAGATGGATCCTCTAGCCCTCTGGCATCTTCTTGACTGCAGTCCTCGCCCTGACGCAGCCTCCTCTATTCAGAACACGATAGACAAGCAACCGCAATGACTTCAATACTCGCTGGAAAAGTCGCCGCAATCACGGGTGCCGTGACAGGCATCGGACGAGCTATCGCCCTCGAATATCTGCGCCAGGGAGCAGCCGTCGCCGTCAATCACTACCCGGATTCAAAATCAGACAGTCAATTTGAAAGTATGAAGAGAGAGGCTGGTGCTGGCGCAAAGCTCATTGCTGTTCCCGGTGATATTGCAAAGCCGGAAACAGGGACCGACCTCGTTTCCAAGACCGTGTCCGAGTTTGGCAGATTAGATGTTTTTGTGAGCAACGCTGGTGTTTGTCAGTTTGCCGAGTTCCTGAGGTACGTTTACTGCAACGATAGTTTAGGATTCACCGGTTTGTTTGATCTAACATTGTGCAGTCTAAGCCCTGAACTTCTCAAATCGACAGTTTCCATTAACCTCGAAGGTGCCTTCTTCGCTGTTCAAGCTGCTGCTCGCCAAATGAAAGAGCAATCTCCTCAAGGCGGCAGTATCATTGGTGTCTCGTCCATCAGCGCTCTGGTCGGTGGCGCTGGCCAGACACATTACACACCCACCAAGGCGGGAATCCTATCGCTCATGCAGAGCTGTGCCTGTGCTCTGGGCCCTTACAATATCCGCTGTAATGCTCTGCTACCGGGAACTATCCGTACGCAGCTGAACGACGAGGATCTGGCGGATCCTGATAAGAAAGAGTACATGGAGGGTCGCATACCACTTCGCAGATTGGGCCAACCTCATGTATGTATGTCGAAGATGACAAAAGATATCTTGCTGACGACATGCTCAGGACCTCGCTGGGCCCGCAGTATTTCTTGCTTCAAGTCTTTCATCATACGTTGTAAGTGTGCCCCTACCGAGGTATATGATACACAGGACTCACATACCAATCACAGTCCGGTGCACAGATATTGGTCGACGGTGGCGCTTTTGTAAACTTCCAGTAGATATCTGTCTCCGTTGAGTTTTCTTCCGTAGAGAATATTGTATATTTTGCCAGTTCATTGACCCGAATGAGAAGAAATCACCATTCCTAGAAGGGAGAAGCACTGTTCTTGGAGGCTGAAGCATCCTTGTATACTAACACAACTCATGCTTGTGGCAATCCCAGGGTAGAACATAGTCTCAATTGCTTAGGCTGCAATGTTGACCTTAGATGAGCTTACGTTGGCTCTCCTGGATGGCTCTCCTGATTTAGAATAGAACTGTATAGCATTACAACTCGCCATCGCTCTGTATCATCATACAAGAGTGACCACGGGGTTGAAATGGACTTCAAACAAACAACGCCACGTGGAAACTATGCAAGGGGTATCTAAAGTGTTGCGCTCATTCCTCAAATCCACCGAAGCTTTCCCCTGAATCTGATGCATCGCCTGATTCTTGTGGGTTTTGACTCGCTGCGACAGCACCCTTTCTGTTATTCTCCATCTTTCGGATATACCCACTTTTGGTACTGATACGCGCCTTGGGCTTGCCGGTCTTTGTGTCTTTGCCAGAAGCAGATCTTCTAGTCTCGATGCCGCGTTTCTTGAGTTGCTGCTTGTCGCGCTTACTGGGCGTTGGTAGCGCATCCAGCAACCATTGTTGGATGTTTGTTGTACCACCTGCTTCTCCTCTTTGCTTTTGGCTCGCGACGATAATATTGGCGACCGTCTTGATGGATGACACATCGTCGTCTGTGTAATAAGTCAGGGCTACTCCGCCCTCCCTACCAGCACGACCTGTACGGCCAACACGATGGACATAGGCGGCGGCGGATGTCGGTGCATCGTAATTGACCACAGCGTTGATACCGCGGAAATCGACGCCACGCGACAAAAGATCGGTAGTGATCAGAATCCAGACCTCACCCTTGCGGAAGCGTGTCATGACATGGTCGCGTGCAGTGTCCGAGAGATCTGAATGCAAAACAGAAATACGCGAGATCCCGCCAGCTTCAGCGGGAATATCGTATAGAAGTTCGGAATGTAGGGCAACTGCTCTCTCTATAGTCTGTGTGAAGATGAGGAACGGTGCTCGTACGACAGGTTGCTTGTCAAGACCGGTGGAGGTCGGATGTAGTAGCTGACGTAAAGCCATGAGTTTCCCTTGCTCGGTGGCAGCGTAGATGAGACGATGGTCAACATTCGGCACTGCAGAGTCTTTGAGGCCAACAACAAGGCGTACAAATGGTGCGATTTGAACGGGACTAGGACCAATTCCTGACAGCTTCTCGGCACGACTCTTAATGGTGGCCTTGACAAGCTCTTCGATGCTGGAACCCATGGTGGCAGACCAGAAACCTAGACGGAGGTCGGGATTGGACAAAGCATTCCACACAGCCAGCGTCTGATCTCGAAACAAGGGGTCCAAAAGGACATCGGCCTCGTCCAGAACCAGGAAGCGAATTTGGGACAAGGCGCGTGAAGAGGTCCGTACGTCTCCTATGGCGTTCCTCAAGGCAGCCGGGGTTGAGACGAGTATGTCAGCCTTTACAGGGGGTACGTCCTTCGACGAGGCGTCCTGATCGGAAGATTGGTCCGAGTCGATGTGCATACCCTTGCGCACATTAGTGATACGTATAGCAGTGTTCAAAGCCAGCTTCCTGCCCTCGTTGGCGATCTGACTAGCGAGTTCTTTAGTAGGGGCGAGTATGATGGCCTGCGGGCCGGAGATGGTCTGAGAGCGGCGTGAGAGCACCAGAGCATGGATGAGCGGTATCATAAAGGCCAGAGTCTTTCCACTGCCCGTCGGAGCGATGCTCAAGAGATCAACGTCCAGCACAGATGCTTCTTCGTCGGTCTTGACTGCACCCTGTGTGAGCACATCAGCACGGGAGCCAAGCAGGAGTGGTAATGCGCCGAGCTGGACTTCGGTCGTCGTGGTGTATCCGTTGTCCTTGATGTTGCGTAGAAGTGCCTTTGAGATGCGGTATCTGGGTCCCAGGTTGTCGAAATGGCTGACGGGTTCCGGATACAGCACTGTGGCCTGGTCCTGGCGGCCAGAGGTCTGAGGTGCCGTCTTCTTCTGGTCCTTCTTCTTCTTCTTTACAGGCTCGTCACTCCCCCTCTGGAACAGCGTGACCTTGACCTTGTGTCGTCCGAGTATCTGTTTACACTCGTCGGCGCTCAAGGCGACGGGCGCTTGTGCCATATGTTGATGCAGTTCTCCGGCTTTCTCGTCATCGTCATGCTGCTCTTTCTGCTCAGCACTCCTCTCCTTGGCCGAAGCGCCGCCACCAAAGAAGTCCAGACCGGTCGTCACTGTCTCGCTTCCTCTCTTGCGCTTACGTTGCGCTCCTTGCGCCTCGTTGGCATGATCGAAAAGTTGCGGATTTAATGCTGGTCCAGACGATGGTGTGTGGATCTGTGTGCCACTTGAGGAGCCCTTCTTCGCGAATTTGGTTGATCTGGTCAGTAGCCGTAAGGGATCCATGTTGACTTTTTGTTGTGTGTCTTGTCTATAGACAGGCGTATCGAAGGAAAAAGTTATTGCCATGACCTGGAAATTTTGGCCGCTGCGGAAGCCAAGCTTTGCTCGTGACAGTGCCACAACCCTGTCCGATCGAGCTGCATGTTTCGCTTGCCTCTTGCGATACCATTACAACATTATCTCGTTGCCAGCACTTCAAGGGGCTGTCGAAATGCACTGCTCCTTGCATAGTTCTGTGTCTTCGATGGAGAGCGGGCTCATGGTACCCTCAATCATGATCGGTGCCGTTTCGAGAACATTGTTCATTTTGACAGCTGCAGATTCGACGGATATTGACAACGAACATAACAGTTGTTTATAGGGCGTGATTCTTGGAAGGCATCACACATAGCTGATGCGATCCACAATACATATATAAAAGGAGAGACACAGAAGCGGGAATAGGACAGCTGAATAAAGCATGGGACAAGTGCGTGCTTACAATGTCGGTCAAGCCGCTTCGACGGTTCCGGGGACTTGATGTAAAAAAACATAAGAGCATGCTTAAGCAGGCTTTTAAAAAGTCCTGAAAGAAAGAAAAATGGCGATCTAGGCTGTTGTACACGGCTGAGAGACAGGCTCATGTCGCTCCCATATATGTGCATTGCAATGCTTCTGCAGTGTCCGCCCCTCGGTGCCTCGGCCAAGGCGACCATCGCCAACCAAGCCTCTCCCTCGTCCAGCTTCCTCCACCTCGGTATCGTGTAGCGTTTTTCGTCCCAAGCTTAGTGGTGCTCGTCGTGAGAGCTTGAGTGGTAACCAATGAGCTTCATGCGTCCGATCATCTCGCCGACGGTGAAGAAGCCAATGATCTCGGCCACCACAACACCAGCAGTGACGAGCTGAGAGGTGCCAATGTTACGCACGGCCTGGAAGGGGTTTGACGGGGTGTTGGCGCTGGGGTTCTTGACGGCGCTCATCAGGTTCTGGCCGTAAGTCTGGAAAGTCTGGACGTTACTGCAAGGCGGGTCAGTAGGGGGCTCCATGGGACGGATAGTCGATTGAGACATACGGGGGGCTCATCTTCTGGCCGCGGGCGATGAGCTTGGCGAGCTCAAGGCCAACCTTGCCGTAGTAGACAGTGGGAGGGACCATGGCTGCAGAGCGCAAACGAGTCAGCGGAAATGCATGGAACGGGCATGCGACACCGTCACGTACACTGAACGAAGCTGATGACCTGTCCGGTGCGGCCGCCAATGCTGTTCAGAGCGCTGCCGGCAGCTCCGGCAGCCTTTGAGATGCCGGACTCGGCCGACGACTCGACTTTTGAGAGACCTTGCGAAGCCTGGCTTGTGGCCTTGGACGCGGCTTTGGAGACAGCATTGGCTGCTTCGGATGTCGTCGAGGCGTGGCGCACGGCAATGCGGCCAATCTGAGGGGTGCGCAGGAGCATACGGGACGCCGAGAAAGACATGATGAAGACGCGGCGCAACAGCAAAGGGCGAGGGTGGGATGGAGAGGTGAGGGTGCGTGGTTTGCTCTCGCTCGACTGCCCGACACGCGCTTGCCAGAGGTTGCAAATCTACAGCATCCGCGTCTTGGCACGAGCCCGTTCCTCTCCGCTCCCCAGCCGACCTGAACTCTGTCCGTCGTCAACTTCACCTCCTGCTTCCATTCCGTTAGCAACTTCTCCTCTCCAAGCTAACACAGATCCCGAAGCATGTGAGCAGACACGACCAATTCTCAGCTTGGATACTTCTGCGCAGAGAGTAATTGGGATTGACCCTCATCTCGGAAGACTAAAATGCCTCTATATAGCCATACGAGTGACGAAATCTAGTATACCAAGAGGCGGTCCTTGTTCTGACTCTGCCGCGTCTTTAGCGAATACCTACATTGGAGCATGCCAAAATCTCCGGCTGCCCTTCTGTTCATTGACACTATAAACCACGGTCCGCTCTTGGTCGACCGAACTCATCCTCGTGGGGGGAAATATGATCAGTCAGATCGCTATTGATTGGAGGCACCGTACATATCTACCTTGTCCATCCGTCTGACTCCAAAATCTCAACACTTTGGATACCAGCTGTCAGGATTAAACGGCAAAACAAAAATCAAAATCAATAATCAGCCGCAGATGGCTTCTGCAAGTATCTTATACTACACCTGCGCACCATATATGAAAGGTAGTCACGGAAGAGTGGTATGTGTCTCAACACTCCTCCCAGTACGAGACTCGTGTATACACTCAATACGAAACATAAACGCTAATACAGCTTGCCGATCTTGCACCTTCTCCCAAAAGCTGAGTGTGACCGCCATCAAAACCAGTCCAAACGGCTCGCGAACGCAAGCCAGCTGTCGCATGTGATTCGTCTATTTTCGAGCATGCAGAGGTCGGAGCCGACGAATCCCGGGCTTGGCTTCACGTGTAGCCAATATGTACACCAATATGAGGTAAGCGAATCGCCCATGTAGCCCGACTGTCGAAGGCGATGATCCCACATGTCGTCAATCATGCCCACTCGCAAACAACCTGCCTTACTGGAAGTGTTTCTTGACAGTGGACAAACAGTATATCGCTTCGGAACGGCTACGTGCATACCCCCGGCGATCATCACTCAGTAGAGTGAAAGCCACGATTCCACCCCAGATATCAGCGCTCGAGCTCACATGTCTGTTTCAAAACGGCTTGAGAATCAGCTGTGCTACCCATGAGCACAAATATCAATAGTTTTAGTCTGGTGACAAGCCGCGAGCATTTAGCTTCAATATGATCGATCGCTCGAGTGTGCATCCATCTACTCTACTAAAACAACCAAATCAGCTTAAGGTTTGGATATTCGACTAAGAACACCGAGGGCTCACTTCAGTTCGAGATCGAAAGAGCGTGTCAGTGCGAAGTTGGAAAAACGAAAATACAGGAGGCGTTGTCCAGCGCATGTGTGCAACATCCGTGACGGAGTTGCTGTAACCTAGAACATCCTCACTGAAAAAGCTTGATTGAGAGCCACTTCTCTTTTGGCACTTTCTTACACAAAGCGTTTGTGCATACTTGTCGCCAATTTCGTAGTGATACATCGTCTGGGACTCTTTGTGTCGGATAAGGAGATATGTCAATTTCCGCCAGTCGGCTTGCGGCTTCCTTTGACGGCAGAAACCTGCATACTGGGTACAGCATTACATGTACCCTTGGTCTGAGCGTGTGGATGATTGCCTATCGGTCCACACCAAATACGTGCAACACAGTCAAGGGCTTACAGCCTCAACCTCGAACTTGTCATGGTAGAATCTGCTGGTCGAACAAGAGTGAACCTGGGATCGGTTCTATTGCAGCATTGAAGTAAAATCAACTCAAGGCTTTTCATCTTTTGTTCACCGGATAATGAGTCTACCGAGCGTGATAGTTCTGTCAACACGTGCGTCTTTCACCAAGTTACTAAGATGTTGACTTGTGGTTCGCAGATGATGCTCGGACCATGCACACTAAAAGTGGCTGGCGTTAGGGCCGTTTGTAAAGACAGCGATTGCCGTGACCTTGAGGTGGTCAGTTATCGCCGATGATATGCTCGTGCTGGTGCTGTTGCTCCTGGACCAACTCTCCTTCAGACTGCCGACCCAAGCATCGATATACCAGATGATACGAGCTGCAAGTCATTGCAGAAGGCACTGTGCAGCGTACCTTGGCCTGCAGTCATGCTCGTTCTCTCGCCTGCGGATGCCCATGCACGGCCTTGATTGTGGGCAGGCGGATTGGGGTGGCTCACTCGTATGTCCTGTGCCAAACAAGTGCTCTGACTAGACCACTACGTTCTATTCGAGCGCCGATCAGGCCCTTGCACCAAGCGGCTTGAGGTAGACGGAGGGACCCCTCATTCGCCATACCGCGACTAAGTTAGCCTATTGTGGGCAGGAGCGTGCGCATGTCCATTGCTTCCCCACCTCCAAAGCGGGCTGGCCGGTTTCTGCTCTGAGGAAATCAAAGTGGATTAGGTAGTGGGTGGTATCGGCGGGTGATAGCTCAATGCGGGCGCCTCAGCGAGACAGCCGGCGTCCGACGCCTTTCATTACCTTCTGATCTCATCATGCCATGCCACTATTATCCACTACGCGAACTCTTGACTAGACCAAAAATTTCAGTAAACCCACCAAGACTGCACCGCGACGCAGCCGAGCTTATCATGTTCATATACCTGGCCCCCCCAGCGGCCCTGCAAGCCTCTTTTCTTATCCCTGGATGAACAGAGCCTCTGCTTCCACTTTCGTTTTTCGTCATGCTATTGTCTGTCTGGGTGTGGTCTGCAGTTTTGCTTTTGTAAGTCATGCTCTGATCTCCTTTGGCCACGCTGGACACACGCTTACCCCAAGCCGTAGTATCTTCCGTTATCTGCGACTGGTTGTCAATCTGATTTCCAATTGGACATACAGACCTGTGCCTGTCCCCAACAAACCCAGCTACACCAACAACGATGTCACTGTCATTATTCCGACTATCGAAGGCGAGGGGGAAAATCTTTGCCGGACGATAAAGACCTGCCTATCAACATATCCTTCTGAGATCATCGTTGTTACTATCGATGCTAGCATCAAAAGAGCCGAGAGGACTGCTGCATCTCTCAACAGCAGTAAGATCCGCATACTGAGTGTTGCGAAGGCCAACAAGCGCAGTCAGATGTGTGCTGCCATACCTGAAGTGACGACTCCAATCACTATATTTGCAGATGATGATGTGATATGGCCAAAGACCATCTTGCCATGGATACTCGCGCCTTTCGAAGACGATGAGATGGGCGGTGTAGGCACATCTCAGCGTCTAATGCGTCCCAAGAAGATGACTGTGTGGAGCTTTCTCGGCTCCCTTTACTTGGAAAGACGCAACTTCGATTGCTCTGCATGTCTTCACATCGACGGGGGTCTGCCTTGCCTTTCGGGGAGGACGGTTGCCTACAGAACGCGGATCCTACAAGACGAGGACTTCACATGGGGCTTTACGAACGAAACGTGGAGAAACTTCCAGCTCAATGCTGACGACGACAATTTCATCACTCGCTGGATGTATAAACATGGTTGGAAAATTTTCATGCAATACCACAAGGCTTGCGAGGTACAGACAACTCTCGAAGATGGTCCAAAGTATCTGAAACAGTGTCTTCGCTGGGTACGCAGCAACTGGAGAAGCAACTTAACAAGTATGTTCGTCGAAAGATATTACTGGAGGTATGTACACAAAGTGATCACTCAACAATAGATGAAAACTCATGAATCCTAGATTGACGCCCTGGACGACTTACGCGGTGTTCCAAACCACCTTGACTGCATGGGCTTTCACGGATCTCCTCCTATTCTTTTCCGTCTACAAAGCAACCGAGACTCTGCCAGCAGGCGATCGACAGAAGACCCTCACTGCAATTGGCATCTGGATATTTGTGATTGCCAAGTCATTAAAGCTCTATGGTCACTGGATTCGCTATCCAGCTGACATTCTTTGGTTGCCGATTTCAGTGGCATTTGGATATGTCCATGGTTTCATCAAGCTCGCAGGACTGATGACTCTTTCTGCTGTACGTTGATACAGCTTCTCCGACTATTCAACGCTACTAACCAATTCCCAGACCTCCTGGGGAAGTCGTGACGGTGCAGACGAAGACAATCAATACAGAATGATCAAACTTCCTCCTTACGACACAGGCGACCTTGAAGCTTCTCCTCAGCTGGCCTCGATTTCTGCCACTTCACTACCGATGACACATCACCCCCCTCCTTACAACAAACACGCGCCCGACGAGACTTGCCCACTGCAGGGCCGCTATAGCCACGACTTATGACGATGTGATACCCAAGAAGATTTAATACTAGACAAAAAGCAGGAGTCCGATATTCGGGATGAAAAGGCTTGTTTCATAGGAAAAGGTCAGGATTCGGAAGATGTTCTGTCATACTCCAAAAAGTCCTCTATAGCCAATCGAGGCAAGGAGATAGAGCGAGAAACTCTTTCTAGAGCTGGTATAGAGCGTGCGAGCGCTCCTTGATATTTCCCTTCATGTTCATAGGTGTAGCTTAAAAAGCAGCAGAAGATTCGTATACCCAACGTCGCAGAAAGAACGTAACATCCTTTTTTGGCAAGAGGACCACAAACAAGCCGGAACTCGCCAATCGATGCTGTCTCTACAGCTGCTGTTCCTGCATCAAGCCGCCCAGCCGACTCGCACCGACATGAATTGCTGGTTGACATGCTTGTGCAGATCAATTCGTGATATTGCAGCATGGCGGTCCGTCTCCGTTACCCGAGCTCGCTCGCTTTGACCTTGCTCTACAGTGGTGGTGGGCCCTTTTGGCGACTCGCTGATGAGTCTGGCCAGCTGATATCTGACCACATCTCTATCATGATGCTCTCGTTGCAGACGAATTATTCAACATGTATACTTGATATTGCTTGAGACGTTCTAAGATTGGCGTACATAGACGGGATAGTCAGAAGCGCCTTCCTGGCGGTTACCTGCATCCAGCAAGCGCCATTGGCACCGCTGAGAGGAAGAAGCAACAGAACCATCTTGCGCAGCGCTTGACAAGAATGCCGAGCTATTTCAACTCCTCGCTTGACTCGAGAACAATGGTTCTGATTCGGTTGAGATCAAGAACGATCGCCGACAGTCCTGCTGACTTGCAAGACTTCGACACTCTCTTGGACTCGGGTCCTATCAACACAGAAGTCCGAGCTCAATGCACGGCAAACCCTGACGTGTGGAGGGAGAGTGCGCATAGAGGTATGTGCATGACGCGGTAACAAGCACGAGCCATACGAGTGCCTTTGTATCCTCATTGCTTAGCACCACCATAAACTGTCCGAATGTTGAGGAGCTATCATGGTAGAAAAGTGCTTATGCACCACTTGATGAGGATACCGCACCCGATAGAACCAGATCAATGGTTGCGTTGTACATTTTGATCGTATGTTGCGCAATCAGGACTCACATCGCGCACGTGCTTGACCAGAGGCGCTCGCTCGGCGATTTCAGAAGGCCAAGTTCAGGGCAGCAATCCACACTTGAGTGGTGGATGACACGGGCCTCTGATTGTTGTGTGTACCCGCAAGCGTAAAGTACAATAAAGTAGGACGTGGGCTCGTGCTGAATGTCAGACCCAACCTTAATCCATACCCTTGCAACTGTCACTTACTATCGCGGCGGGCCCATTCAACGTATTCGACTTTCCTTATGTTTATTACTCGACACAGTTTAGGTGAGAAGATGCCGGATTTCTCATCCTTCCTCCCGGTGTGCGAGGTATTGTCACATGCTGTAGCTGTCTCAAGACACAAACTTTTCTGGTTTTGAGGTGATGGCACCGAGATACGTCTTTACAACGACCTTCTGTGTTAAAACTAACAATCGGAGATATGACCGACCTTGCTACAGCTAGTCGTTGCTCTGCTCTGATAAATGAGAGAGGGTGCGACAGACAGGTCTTGATACAGAGGGAATTTCGCCTCAGCCACCTCTTGACTAAATCGTTACAGAGTTTAATAAGATGTTGAAGTCCTATAGGTTTATCGATTGGAGCCGCACAAAGCCAGACTATTTCTGGGCTTTTGAGCTGGACGCGTTGCTGCCTAATATCGAATCAAAAGTCAAGTTCGGATCATAAATACTGACTGGTCTTGATCGGTGCTTGCCATCAGACGGAGTCTGCGCCGAGTCAGGACTGAGATGCACAGCCTTTCGATCTTGGATGCTGCTAGCAGGGCTACTGCTTTTGTAGGACCGTTCTTGAGTTTCCACCTCAACAGCTTCATACAGGACTGTATTGCCAGTGGTCCATTGCTTCGCCATCTGCCAGCAGTGGCTCCGAAAGTATATCCCCTCAGTTCCGTGATGGATGGTGTCAGCAGGAAGGCAGGATACATCCCCTGCTCTGGTCGATCTTGTGTTGCTGGTATCGCGTAGGGCATCCTCCGTGACCCAGGGCACTCCGAAGCTGGGAGGTTCACACAAGAAGTACTCGACTTCTTGAGTGTATCGAAGCTGAGGCCCGTCGACAACTACCATTGGCAAGGTTTGCAGAACGGCGTATACGAAAAGCCATTGACCTATTCTTAGCTCCGATAGCTCCTTGATAGTGCAATGCCTCGCAGCCTTACGCTCAATCTCCCTAAAGGAATTCAAGAACGGAGAAGGCGGGACGTCTGTGTTATGCGAAGCGGTCATAATTTCGGCAATGTCATCATCTTTCAGCTTCTTCGAAATAGCCTTAATTTCCCTCTTCGAGTCGGACCACCCATTGCCGGAGCGCGTCTGTCTTAACGACGGGATGATTGGTAAATCGAACGGGATGGGCGGGCGAACAGGTGGTGTAGAGCGATCATACTCGCTCAACACCGCACGGAGGGCTCGTATTGCTGGCAAGTCAACGTCCTTGTCATCAATCAAAACACTGTCTGCAGTACGATTCGTGAGGCTCGACCGATCTACCAAGAGATCGTATACAGCACAAAAATCATGGTACAGATTTTGGCACACAATCCGATTGAGACCGTTGGTCTCGAGCTCATTCTCCTTGGAAGCTTTCGGTGGCCACGAACCATAATGAGCCTTGTAAAATGAGAGAACAAATCGTCGAGTTGAGAAGAATGAGTTTCGCAAGAGATCGAAATCGACGTCCTTGCGCTCATCCACTGTCTTGCTGTTCAGAGTGCCCGAGAAGATCTGCGGAAAATCGAAGTCTTTCAAGGTATGTCGAACGCTGGCCGTACGCTTCTCCAGATTCATTGCTGCGCGATTCAATCTGTTGAAAGTTATAGGGCTCATGAGTCCGAGTTCTGGGCTGCCAAATCGAAAGAGCTCGTCATGCTTTCCGACAGCATGTGTAAATGCCTCGTTGTATAACTTGACGTTCTTCAAACGCTCCCCTAGGAGGATGCCTTGGATAGTTTTTTCGTTGCTGTATCTCACATCTGTCAAATCGAACTCATCTACGTAGCTATCGAAACAAGACGTTGCGATCTCGCCAAATGTAGAGCCGTCGAGATTGGAGAAACCGAAACGCGTAAGTGTCTCTGCCAGTTTTACGAACACGGAAACAACAGTCGGATGCGCGCGCGTGGCAACAAGCGGCCGGTTGGTTAAAAAGCCGAAGAGGTTACGCACTGCAATAATGTTCTCGTAGTCACTTCGCAGTGCCTGAGATGTGGCAGGCATGAGAATCCAGCACCTCGATCCGTGCTTAGGGTCTATAGAAGGCGTGTTGAACTCTCCAGGACGCGTGGAGGAGACCCCTGGAGTCGCAAAGCAATCAGTAGGTACTCTTGCGATTCGTACAACACCTCCTCCCCAAGTACTAAGGTCTGTCATACATGGCTGGAGCAATGCACAGTACTGTTCAGAGCCGCAGGGATGTCCACCGAGATCCGTCGTCTCCTCAACGTTTTAACGAACCTCTGCTGTGCATCCCCTGATTCAGAAAACCACTATGCCTTTCGGCAGCTCATTACGGCTGAGCATTGTCTTGGGAGAGTAAGAGCTACAACCTCCAATACATAGGGAGGCTGGGTACGGAATACGAACGTACCTGTTTCGAGAGGTAGAATCAGATCGGACAACAGTTTGGATGAAGCCAGTATGGTCGAGTCAATTCGGAAGGAAGGGCCTTGACTGGAGGTCCTTGGGAATATATGCACATCACAATCACCGGAGTCGTCCCACACATCCAGCGGTTGGTTGTTATCCGTTATAAGAGTGGTGTCGTAGGGAAGTCTTTCCGGATGATTGAGGATCCATGCTGCAGGCTCTTGCGCCACCTTCTCGGTGCTCTTGCTTCGTCCGAGCCATGACTTGCGGCGACTCTTCCTCTCGTCTTTTCCATCCATAGAAACAGGGTTGGATGAGACGGGGTCCGATGTGTCCGAAGGGGACAAACCCCCGGTCTTCTCAATGATCGGAGATGCCGCTGGAGAGCCAGTACTGCGATTTGATTGTCCAGAAGCCTTTCGGGACTGGAAAATTGATGATACTGTTTTCCGTAGTCGCATACCCATGGTGACTGCCAAGGTATCCGGAATGTATGTATTTGCGCAGTGGGATACTTCGACACGTTCAAAAACGCGATGTTTGAGAAGAGTAGGTCGAAACTTCAGGGGTTCCAGGCAGACGATGAGAGGAGACAGTTATCGTGTTATCGTCTGCGATTCTGGGTGGCCTTCCTGCTTTGTATCTGAAGATTGAGCATGCGTGACGCAAGCCCGTGAACAGTTCCCGCCGAGAGAGGCGAAGTCTGCATGCTCCGAGTAACGACCAACGAGCACAGAGGTGGCTATGTCCTTGGAACAGTCCGTGACACCTTCGGCGTCCAAAATAGCAGGGTTCCGGGTACATCGAATGACACGTCCTCATCTCGCAATCCAATAGATTTTGTTGTTCAGCGCAAGTCGTTGTTTTTGCACATTTAAGAGCATCGTCAGGCGTCTATTCGATCGAGACATGATCACCCGTCGCACCCGATGGAGTTGTCCATAGCCGAAAGAGCGAATATGAAATTTTGCATTGGTTGTTTGACGCGTCTCGGTCGAGGAGGACCGCGCGTGCTGTAGAAAACGGCAAATCGGCCTGTGTCGGCTATCAAGGTCGACCCTTTCTGTCATCTTGTAGAACCTATCAGCTCGCAGACTTTGAAAAATTCTCATCATCGCGTCAAATAAGTAATGACCATTTTAGCCATCAAAATGCGATTGTCATAAGTCGGTCGCGCATATATCGGTACAGTTTAAGTACCTAGGTGGTGCTTTAGAACATACTTTAGAACACTACTTAGATGCTTACGCTAAGCATCTTCCCCGTCTGCGAAAGAGTGCCACACTTATAGCTGTCATAAGGCACGAACATCTTTAGATGCAAAGCGATGGTAGCGAGATTTTGACGGCTCCCCGCGGTAGGTGTATCGATAAGAAATATGACTATGCCTTTCCACAGCTCGTCGTTACCCTGCTTTAATCATTGTGAAGAGAAGATGGGAAAGTATGTTACACAAGAGAAGGATGCACGCATGTATGTTTTCTGTGGAAGTCGTCACCAGATGACATTCATCGTTCCAAAAGCAACGGTCTTCTCTGGAAGAGTAGTGCTATCATAAATGGAGCATGGCGTACTGTATGGTAATCATTAGCTATCTATCTGAGGTACTCCAGAGACCGACTAGGCCGGCTCGAAGCTGAATTCAGCTGTGGTTATGTCGCAAGCTGTTGCCCGACTCGGCATCTGAAAGTTTCTCGATTCCATCAACTCTTACTCGAAGCTCCCTGTCAACAAGTGCATTGCACAACCTCTGCAGATCTTGGCCCCCCCATCCAAACCCGTCATCTCTGTTGAAAGTCTCCAGACCCATTAGGATCCAGCTCTTGCACCAAGGAAGATGATGCAGTCCTGAGAAGAAAACTTGCTTTGATCTTTGAAAAGGATCTACTCTCGAAACATCCTTCTTGCCTGTGGTGAGAGCCTTTGCAGCCTCCATGGCTATGTGCTTCTCAAATCGAAACCACATGGTCCAGAGTGTCTTCGAGGAACGTACTGCGCTTCCGATCGTCATCAACGCCTTTTCGAAAGTTGATCTCACCGATTCCACAGTCGAGCCAGAAGACTGGCTCGCATACCGAAGCAATTCTTGGTCAATCGCAAATGACCATGTCACAATAGGCAGTTGACTATGAGTGAGAACCTGGCTCCTGAGTAACGATCTTACTCTATCGTCAAGCCGGAACCGCACCTCGTTGTCCCGGTACAACTCAAGGAATATGTTGTTATTTGGAAAGAGTGCAATACTCGCCTCCATCTCGGACCTCACGAACGCGGGCTTGTATGGCCGTTTGTGGCGAACATGGTAGTCAATAATGCCAGCCTTGATCTGATGAAACGCCTCAAGAAGCAAGCGATTGCCTGCGGTTTGCGTTTTCACGATGTTGCAATATTCGTGTACGGCAGTCACAGATGCTTGTAATGCATCTGGTTCCGTCAGATACGCAACAAGCGCTAACATCTCCACATTCAGAGCAACTAGGTGAGGTCGAGTTCGACCGACGGAGTACCAGAAACCGTCCTTGAAAGCGTTGCGCAGTCTTAATACAGACGCAGGCGACACATGAGTAGGCTCGTCATCGTTCAAACTCGCCGGGCCTCCGAAGGAATTTAGATGAATTAGAGCCTTCCTCAATTGGTTCGCTTCAAGATCGCACCAGACCCATCCTCGCCAGAGTAATATGAGCTCCTCCTGTGCGGCTTCTGGAAGACTATCTTTCATGTTGATTGCACCGGACCAAATCTGAGCAGCTCTTTCGACTCTTCCTAAGCTCGCCTCAATGGTGGCACATGCGTTGTATAGTCGAAGGCTTGATGGGCGTTGTTTCAAAAGATTCTTGGCGACTTTAGGTGCTGCCTCAGGAAAACAAGAAAGCTCGAATGCCAGATAGTACTCCGCCAAGTTGTCGTCTCCAGGGAACCGTTTAACTATACTTGACAGTATTCTGCCTACGAATTGAGTGGTATGTTCCCGCGATCGCTGAGGGTGACGGCCCTCATCCGAGAGTGCGGGTACCGAGATCGTCTGAAACGCCCGAGAGAACAACAGTTCAGTCGATACCTGGTAGTGCTGTGCGCGTTGGGTGTTGAGGTCATCGCCGTTATCATCCCACAGATCGAGTTGCAAAAGGCCTTGGTGGATAAACGAGTTGAATCGCCATTCAAGCGGCAATTGAGCACGCAGACCAGTTGCAGATGCTGAGGGTATACTAGGAAGGCCCAAGTAACATAACAGGGCGTCCAGCAGATGGCATTGGTCAAATCCAGCCGCTGTCGCCTCCAGTACATCACAAATGTCCGAGAAGAAGACAACGTGAAATGGATCTTCGTTACCGGCTTGGTCCATAGTTCTGCCTGGAAATAGCAACGACTGGCTCGTGGATCTTTCAAGGGTAGCGAAAGACTTAAAAGGCAAGCCCGGGTCTTGCCTCTCGGCGACAATTGATATATACTGATCGGATGCAGGGTCATTTTCCTGCGAAGCGCACCATCCATTGGCTCCGACTTCACCAAGTCTTGGAGTCTCGTTCTCCCAAAAGTGTTCGAAATTGGAAAGAACCTGACTGGTATCGCAGGTGGCTAGGAGTTTTGGCCGAAAGAAGTGGTACTCACAAAGAGCTTGCCATGTTGCTATGGACAGCTCCTCGTAGCCAGTATCAAGTAAGAAGACGGTGTAGCGCAGGATCAGATAAAGTATCAGTTTCTGGGTTTCGGGATCTGGATCCGATTCCACCCTTGAGCCGAACGTGCGGAGGTTGCGAATAAAGAACGCTTTGACGTCTTCAAAACGGAAGTTGGTCGAATTTGCCTGATGTGCGTCCATGTAGAGGCTCCAGATGGAGAAGCTCTTAGGATGCTGTTGGAGAATTTCCTGAAGCCTTTGCAAATATTTCTGGCTGCTCCACACAAGAGAAGCCTCACGTAAGAGCTCCAAGGCCAGAGGTTCGCATTCATGTGTTTCGCTGCTAGGAAAGTGTTTCAGTGCCTTTTCATAGATAGATATACGCATATCTGCCAAAGTCTGCCGTTCGGTGTTATTTAGGGAATGAGTATCAGCGCCTGAACTGACAAGGTGCTCTTGATGAGTCGCCAGGTCAAGCCAGGTTTGGAGGTTCGAAGGGTCAGCCTTTGTGGCTCTGACTAACTCGACATTGCGCTGGCGTGCTCGCAAATCGGCAGCAGTGGCCTCAGTCTTGAATTCCCGCTTTTGATATTCTTGCGAGACCGAATCCGCTGAGCAACCTATGTCTCTGCACGAGTCGGGAGGATCATCAATCAGCGCAGCATCAGAGTCGCCCGTAGAAAGCGGGAATTTCACGAAGTCTTGATCCAAATCTAGTTCGTCCTTGCCTCGAATCTCAAAGACAGAAAGCTCCTTAGTCCGTTGTCGCTTCAAGAGCAGTCGCTGGGGATTCTTCTTGGTAGTAATGGAGGTGTCAGTGATGACGACCTTGTCAATGGCAGATTCATCGCGGTCAATCTTGAATATGGTGTGCAAGCCCACAACGTTTCCGAAGCCGATGCGTTGGTATGGCGGTATGCTATACTTGTGCAGTCTGTCATAGATAACATTCTGAGGGTCACCATTTCGGTCGAAAACAAAGAGATTGCGATCGTCATCATCATGTTGAATGAGAAGTGAATCGCTTGTGGTGCAAGGTTGACGTTTGTCACGGTGGCGTGTGTCGGATGGTTTTGGTGGATACTTGTGTGAAGTCTGGTCATGATTTGACGAAGAATATTGACGCTCGGATGTCCTTTGACGTTTAAGTGAGTGATGATGACCTTCAGTACTCAGGTGTCGTTTTGAGGCTGTCGATGGCGGCGATGGTTGTTTCTGCTGAGGAACCGAGTTTTTTGAACGGAAGCTCGAGAACTTGGGGACTTCTCTGGAGGGCGCCGACATGTATGCGTATGCAAATGCATGTGGAAGAGACTACCTTAGGTTATTGTTAGTAGAAGTGACGGTGGAGGGGGCGGGAGCGGAAGCTGGACGGCCGTGCAGTTCACCGCCCTCGGCGTACCTGCCGTCGCGAGTGCCAAGAGCAGCGAGTTTTTGGCAGAAGGTGGAACTTTTTGAATAGGCGTTGGAAGAAGTGGTGCATAACACATTACAAGAGAGCATTCCTGCCGCCACCGCCAGCTACATCACCAAGCGGCCCTGTAGAGCGTGAGAGAGCGCCCTCGATAGTTGGGATTCGCAGGCGACAAGACACGGCACCATGGCCACGGCGTTACAACAGCAGTTGGCGCAAATCGCCAAAAAGTCGACGGACCAGCTTGATCTCAAGGCACAGCGCGCACAGCATAGCAAGTCGCTGCTGTTTGATGCCAGAGTCGCTGCCAACCAGACCTTCGACACGGTCTACCAAATATGCGTCGAGGGTTTCCAGGAACTATGCATGCTCGACGCCCGCTTCGCGCCCTTTGCCGCCAACCTGTTCAGCGATCAATCAAAGTCCGAGGAGCGCATCAACCTGACCAAGCAGGAGAATGAAGACTTGGACCGCATCATTGAGAGTTTCCTGGGACTGGTTGCTTCCAGACTCTTGTTACGGCCCGGTCTCAAGGCGGTAGAGTGGCTTGTCCGTCGTTTCCGGTATGTCGACACGCCGTCCATGAGCCTGATCACGACCATGGCCGTCACCAAGACCGATCATGACCACGTCCACTCGAACGAATGCTGACCTGACTGCAGCGTGCACGAATACAACACCGAGGCCCTCGTCTTGACCTTCCTGCCTTACCACGCAAACCCCGTTTTCCCGACCATGCTGTCCATCCTGCCAAAGGCACTTCCTCCCACCCTGAAGTTCCTGCAACCATACATTCCTACCTTGTCGAGTCCTCCCAGCCAAGCTCTCGTCTACGCCGCCATCAACAACCCTTCCTTCTTTACCGCTTTCAACACACATGTCGTCCGTACCGCGAACCTGGGCCATCATTCGGTCATGCTCCTGCAGTTCTGGGCCGGCGTCATGACCCCGACTGTCAACGGCATGCTTGACGCCGCCATGTCAGGCCGTGCCGACGTGCGCAGTCAACGCCAGGAAGACCTCTTGCTACGTCTTGTGCCTGTGCTCCAGCAGACACTCCGCATCAAGAACGTCCCCGAGCTCTATCTGGGTTCGTGCATGATCATCTGCATCCTGGTCTCCAAATCTCAGCTTGATGACAAGGTTTTGGACTCTTTCATGGACGCCTTGCTTCGAGGCTGTACCACCCAAACTCTGGACCAGGCTTTGGCCTCTCTGGCCATCATTGCCGAAGAGCGTCAGTCATTGAAGCTCACCCACACCGTTGCAAGAGCCCTGCTAGACATCCCTGCCCTGTATACTCGTATTCTTGACCTACAGACAAGACAGCACACCGGGAGACTCCTTACTGGTCTTGCTGTGACGTCGCTCGACGGCGCCTCGAGCGAGGCGACTCTTGAATTGATCGAGCATGCTGTTACCTCTCACATTCCCACCTTGCCTCAGAAAGCTGCCATCGTTCAGACATGTTTCTCTGCGGTATCCGAACTCCAGTCTTCCTCAGCACCCGCTGCTTCTCAGGAGAGTCTTGCTCGCATCTTCGCTGCGCTGTGCGAATCGCCCTCTACATTGCCTTTGGTGCAGGCTGAGGCCGTTCGACTCAACCTGAGCCTTGAATCTGTCGAAATCCAGCTCCAAGTCTCCTTGGCTCCGAGTGAAACCTTGGCCCTAACTTCGGCCGATGCTGACACCGAGATGACCGATGGTCCCATTTCCACTCAGCTTGACCACCTGGAACACGCCCTTTCTTCACTACCTGAGAACCTGCCCAAAGATTACTCTTTCGTCGCAAGCGCCGATAGAGCACCGTTTGACGCTTTCGCTCGCGCGTTCCTTCTACTGCTTCAGCAAAACAAGGGGTTGGGCCAGATTCTAGACAAGCCTGTCCTCCGTAGTGCAGGTGCTCTGTCTTCACCAACGTGTCTGTCCTTCTTGGCAAGACTCTGGACAAGTGCTTATCCCATAGTCGCGCGTGTCTCTGCTCTACGGTCTGCCACAGAACTACTCAATGCACAATCCAGCGAGGTTGTCGACCTACAGACACTGACGCCATTCGCACTTGTAGCCCTGGCTGATGCTTCGGAAGCCGTGCGCAAGGCAGCCGCAAGTCTACTGATTATCATCACGAAACTCTACCATCCCGATGCGGTCAAGAACAAAGTATCTGAATCTATCAGACTATGGGCAGCTGAGAATTTTTATGGAGCGTCCTCCAAGAAATCATCCCTGACCGGACCTAATGCGCACAAGGTTTTATCAGAAGCAGTTGTTCCTACGCTGGAAGAGTGTGTTCTTGATCCCAGTCAGATCTCACGCATTCTAACCACTGCTCTCAATGGCCCAGCCCAGACACAGGCCGGTCATCCATCTGCCGCTGGTGTCGAGCTGAAGTCAACACTGAGGACTTCTTTTGCATCATGGCTCTGCGAGCATGCGGCCACTGTTCCCTTGGCAACTGTCAAAGTCCAGCTTCTCTCCTTTTTGAATCCTATTGGCAAGGCTGCTTCACCTGGGCGCGCACAAGTACTCGTTCCGTCCCTCCAACGTTGGGTACAATCTGACCTGCAGATTCGATCCGAATCGTGTGCTTCTGCCCAGATTGATGTTGAAACGGTTGACAAAGCCTACGTTGATTGTCTTACGAGCCGAACTTCAGAGGAATTGACTTGCCTAAGAACCCTTGCCAATGGAGAACTGGGACAGAGCGCGTCTTTGTCAACCATGGCAATTCAACGGTTCAGAACACTGTGGTCTAGCATGAAGCCAATTGCGCAGACATCTGCTTCAGGCTTTTTACTGGATCTGGCTCTGGACGATCAAACCGACGATGTGTCTGAGGCTAGACAATCAGAAGCCACCGATCTTCTTCGTCAGGTCTCAATGCCTACTGAAGTCTTGTCCTCGATGTTGGACTCAGTTCCCAGCATCGCCCAAATGGAAGACAAGCCTCCTGCTAACAAGCGCAGGAGAACGAGCAGATCTGAGCTGGCCAAGTCTCAAAGCATCAATGTTGCAGATTTGCATAGCGTCGTTCGGAGACTGACTCTCGTGCTGGAAATCATTGAGGGCTCTCACCCGGAGAGACACCCGGAACTGCTCAAAAGCCTGTTCCATGTTCTAAGTGAGCTACAGCACTACAGGACACAACTCGGTTCAAACCTGGTGTATCTACAACAGCTTGTCATCGGATGCCTCTTCTCAATTGTCGATTCGCTGAAGCAAAACCCTACTGTTAAGGTGGATCGATCTGTCTTAAGGGCAGACCTTATCGTGGAGTGTGTTCGAACCAGCACTAATGCCCAGATTCACAATGCCGCGCTCTTGCTTATCTCTAGTCTGGCAAGCTGGGCTCCCGACTTGGTCCTGCATAGCGTGATGCCAATCTTCACGTTCATGAGCAACACCCTACTGCGTCAGAGCGACGACTACTCTGCTCATGTCATCGATCAAACTGTGTCCCGAGTCGTCCCTCCGCTTGTCGCATCCCTCCGCAAGAAGAACCAGGATCTTGTGACAGGAGCTGCCGAACTCTTGCTCAGCTTTACTGCTGCGTTCGAGCACATTCCTCTCCATCGTCGCCTACGTCTTTTCAGTCATCTCGTCAACGCACTGGGTCCTCAAGATTTCCTTCCTGCCATCACTGCTATGCTCTTTGACAAGTACCCGACAGATAAGCGGGTCCCCACATTCTCTGCTGAACTCATGGGCTCGTTCTCTCCTGAAGTCCAGCTGGTTGCTGCGTCTCAATACATCGATTTGGCTACAAATGCGTTGCACCCTAAGTCAGTCGTGTCTGAAGCAATCTTCGGATTCAACGACAAGACGACGGAGCAAATCGAGCAGTCCGTAGCACATCTTCTACGTTCCTTGGGACTTCTTTTGCAACAGCGCTCTCTCCATGTACAAATTCTCAAGGCCCTCGACAAGGCCGAAGGTGCTCATGACGGTCTCCAATCTGCTGCCGCCGATATTCTGCAGAAGATTATGCAATTCTCTTCTTCCAAATCTATCCAAGGCAAGCCTGATCTGCAATCGGCCTCAAACAACGTGTTAACGGCGGCTTTGGGCCTCCTGCCAACACCATACTTCATCCGCACTGCCGAGGACTTGCTGAAGAGACCCGAACAAGACCTTCGACTCATGGTCCTCCGCTCTCTTGAGCAGCGTGGTCGCGAAGCCAAGCCTGCTGACTCCGTTGCGGCTGGTGCTATGCTCTCCGTTCTGCCGAGTGTGGCTAAGGTTATCAGCCAGGAGTGTCCGACCGAGCTGGTACACAGCGCTGTCACATGTATCGATGTTATCTCGGAGAAGTTCGGTAAGAAAGATACCGACAAAGTCATGTCAGCCGCTCGTGTCGTGGCTTCAAAGCATGCTTTCGGCAGTCAGAGTGACGAGCTCCGAATCATTTCCTTGCTTTGCCTTGCTACCATGGTTGAAGTTTTGAGAGACGATCTGGTGGACATCCTGCCCCAGATCTTGACCACATCCTACGTTTACTTTGATTACGCAACAAAGGTCGAATCCAGCAATGCCCGGCTGCATAATGCTGTCTACTCGTTCTTGACAAACGTTATCGAGTACATCTCCTGGATGTTCTCCGCCGATACTCTTGACAAAGCTTTACTGCTCACTCAGCAATCTGCATGTAGCGAGTCCATGGACATCCGAACCTCGGACAGTCGCCTGCAGTTCACGGGTTTGCTTTCCAGGCAGCTCGACGCGAGAACTATCTTGACAGCTTTGGAGCGCACTTTTGACAACGCGGTCGCCCTTGGCTACTTGGCTTGTCAGGAAGTCCTTGCAACCCTGCACACAGTCATCAAGACACACCCCAAATCGGCGCTCCTGAAGAACGCCTCAGTCTTGTTCTCTATCCTCAACAAGTCTTTTGATCTTCGTCGTTTGCTTTCTCAACAGCCTGCTCCACCAGAGGTCGAGGAACTCGCTTCAATGGAAGCGCAAAGGGACAGTCTGTCTTTGGACGCAATCATGAGGCTTAACGACACAACGTTCAGGCCGTTCTTCACTCGTCTCGTCTCTTGGGCTGGCGAAGGTCTGCCTAAGAAGGATCAGGCTGGCCGTACTCTTCGTCTTATCAGTGTCTATGGTTTCCTGGCCAGGTTCTTCGATACCTTGAAGGTAAGTTTATGGCCATGTCTTAGAACCCGCAGTTGTTTCCTGCTAACGTTACGTCTAGTCTATCGTGACGGGTTATTCTGGCTATCTCCTTGAACAGGCTGCATCCATACTCCGGGGTGTCAAGCCAGAGGGAGACGCAGAACAGCTTCTTCTGAAATCCCTACTCCAAACTTTACAGGCCAGCTTCGGCAACGACCAAGACGACTTCTGGCAAGCCCCAGCGCATTTCGAAGCCATAATGCAGCCTTTGTTGCTTCAAGTGACCTATGCCAGCGAGCCCGAGCTCAGAGACTCGCTTGACATTGTCTCTGCTGTCACTGGATTGGCAGGCGCCGCGGCCTCTCCAGAGCATCATAAAACACTCAACTCGGCCATTCTGAAACTCATGAGAAGCGACAGTGAACTAACCAGATTAGCGGCAGTCAAGTGTGAGCAGTCCTTGACCAACAAGCTTGGTGAGGACTGGCTTGCTCTTCTTCCTGAGATGCTACCGTTCATCAGTGAGTTGCAAGAGGATGACGATGAGGATGTTGAAAGAGAAACAACTGCCTGGATCCGCCAGATTGAGGGAATTCTTGGTGAGAGTCTTGAGGGCATGTTGCAATAAGGGTGGACAAAAGTGCTTAGGCATGGCGACGGCGTTTTGTGTTGTGAAGGGATTCATATATTTGGTGTGTACATAGAAGCTCCTATGAAATGTTCTATTTATGAAGTCGAAATCTCTGCTCATGGTGTCCGAGTAGATGTTTCAGCCACCGATTAATCATCTGATGTACATAGGCACAATCGGTAGCGCACACCACATCCACACGTGCTAAATCATGTGGCGCTCGCAGCTGTTTCCATGACACAATACTCTCTAGGGAGACTTGAAGTGTTGTTGATTGTCATCACGAGCTCTCTTATTCATAATAGTGTTGTGCCTTTCTACAGCTACTTTCGTACCAAACGATCAAAGCATCCTCGCTCAATAGTGTCCTTCGAAGGTATCGATCTTCTCGTCGCTCACCTGCTTTACTGCGGTAGGGATAGATGTCTCGCCACCGACAACATCAAATGCAAGACCAATGGTAGATGGGGTCTCCATAACACGCACGATTAATTCTGCGACATCCTCCCGAGAAATGCTCTGGCCCAAATGGACTTTGCCAGCTGCGACCTTACCAGAACCTTTCTCTGTGTTTAGCGAGCCTGGCCGGAGGATCGTGTAATCGAGCTGACGAAGATGGTTCTTGGAGACAAGATCGCGATCAGCAGCCAGTTTGGCTTCACAGTAGACCCCAATGGCGTTCCACATCTTGTTGCTGACGGCAAGGTCATCGTCGTTATACCTAAATACCCGAACGTTGGCATACATTATCCGTGTTACTGACTTCGAAAAAGGGACTTACCACTCTGGCGTTGGCTTGTTTTCACGATCGCGGATATCTATTGCACTGACGATGATGAATCTCTTCACCCCTGCGGCGGCGGTAGCATCAAAGACCTTGACAGCACCTTTATCTACCATTAGCATGTCTCGGTGATCCAGGTTGTTATCTGATCGGGCCGACCTTCATGATCTACAGCTCTGGTACGTTCGGGACTGCCTCCTCCAGCTCCTGCACTCCAGATGACTACGTTGGGCTTGTGCTTTGAGATGGTTGAAGTGAGTTCGTCGACACTAGAGCCCTCGATACTTTGGACTATAGGTCGGGCTCCCAGTGCTTCAAGTTCGGGCATCTGTGATTCCTTTCGGATGACGGAATACACGGTATAGGAGGATGCTTTCAATTTTGTGGTCAAATGTCTCGCTACCTTTGTGAGCCATTAGCATCGCTCGATTGCATGGAGAGCGTTGGGATCTACCTTGCCGGACCCTCCGAAGATTAGTGCGGTAGACATGATCGGTTTGTATGGCAAATGTGTGGTGAGAGTATGTGAAAATCGAGAAGCAATGCGTGATGATTGCAAATGTGCCATCTGTGATGGTGTGCTCGCTGCTTACAAACACAGCTATGACGTAACTAGCGACAGCAGCACATCTGGACCGATGATTACGAGACTTGGCCTAAAGCACGTAGAGTATGGCTTGGTCGCATTATAGAGACAGCCTTCGCTGACATTGGGGGTTCTTGTGGTAACTAGATGATGTTGAGAGAGGCCTTTGCAGTTGGCTCGAAAATATAAATTCATGCAACAATCGTAAATGGATGAAGCCTATGAAAATTGGCGCGCTATAACCGCAGAACATTAAATGCAGCAAGAATATAAACACATTACAATCATGTACAATCTAAAAGGCTTGCCGGTCATGTCGAGCACTTGGGATCTGCTTCATCCCGTAAGCACCAAAATCACAATACGCGACCCAGCTGCGCCGCGTCTACTCCTGCACCGATCATACTCGGTTGGACTGGATTACTGCCGGGCTCTAATCCTGTTCCGTTCAATGGATGGTTTGTAACCACAGTGTCCAATTCCTCGTTGCGGTCGCTCTCTTGTTGGCGGCGTCTCTCCATCTTCTGGATTGCCTGTTCTGTAAGTTGTTGTCTGAACATGCGCTCCACCACATCCTTCTTGCGGGTAATTCGATCGCCAATACTGATTATGACGCCGCCCGCGATGTTGCATGTGATCGAAAAGCATAGGATGACTGTGGTGAGCGCGAATGGTCGCACGTGGTAGGAAATAGCCCACGTGCATGTGCCCAGAGCAATCTGAAGGAGAGAATGACAATCAAGGAGGACAACAACAGCGACGAGGAGTCGTAACGGGAAGGCGTGGTGAGTCTCGGTTTCGTGAGGCTTGTAGAAGGTATGAGACTTGGAAAACTTGTCCTCGTGGTGCTTCAGTTTCCTCTGTTGCTCTTCCGTAAGCACGCTTTCCTCCGATTCATCTTTACTCATAGATCTGTTGGACTTGGCATCTGCATTGAGCGCAGAAGCAGTCTCGTTTATAGAAGCAGCTTCGGCAGTCGAACCAGACTCGATGTCTGCATCTATCCCGGGTTGTACAGGAAGATCATTCTCGTTTTTGAGTTTGGGCATGTTACGCTTCTTGCGCAGGCGCCATGTCAAATGATGGTAGTGGGCGATGTATATCATGTGGTACGTGTCGACTGCTCGGAAGGGCGCCAAGCCGTCTCCAACGATGGCGAACAGGGCAACCAGTACGTTGTCAATGACGTTGATAAGGTAAGATTGTCGACCTTCGACGTTGATCCATCCAATAAGAAAGAGAACCCAAGCGAGGCCAAACAAGGTCACAAGAGTGGCATATACAGTGACGAACAAGCCGAGAGCTAGAAGGCAGGGGTCAGCAATGGTGAGTAAGAAGTTCAAAGCTTCAACACGACTTACGACGGCGAACGTATTGACCAAAACCTTTCATTCCTCGTTTGAAAGCAGCACGGCGAGAGTGTAACATGTGTCTAACATGATCGTTCAGTTCTTCCTTCTCAGCCAGACTCCAGCCTTCGAGACTAAGGCCATGGGGAAGGACAGCGTAGTGGTCATCAGTCTCGCTCAGGCGTGAAGCAATGGTGAAAGTCCGGTCCATACCAGGACGTTCTAGAACAGTGTCGGCATCTGTCTCGACGCGAGACTGTGTCATGACAGAAGGGGGCTTGACAGAAGGGGCTTTGGTGGGTTGATTATGATCGCGGGAGAAGGTGGGATCCCGCGTAAGATTATAAGTCGGACGACGGTTCAGGAAGGAACCCAGATCCGGGATGAATAGAGAATTCTGGACATTGGTAAGAGTTGCAAGGGTAGCGATCTCGGGATCTGTGACATTGTAAGTCTCGAGTGCTTGTTAGAAGTGACTGGGCGCTGGTGGAAACTCACCCACGACATCGAGGATATCGACCAAGTCAGAGTCGTACTCGTTGGCCCAAGTTCCTCGACGGGGCCGTCTTCGCGGACTGGCTTCCGGATTGTCGTCTTCTTGATTCTGCTGGCGTCTGAAGGGCTGGAGGGCAGCGACACTTGCTCTCTTCCACAAGCCTGGACGAGCGGGAGTCTCGCCATCTACAGCGTAGCCAGCAGCAGCCAGCTGCTCGATGTCCACGTCCCGAGGCACAGACATGGATGGTCGACCAGTTTCCTCGTCCAGACGCGGCATGTGGGTGGAGATGGGTCGTGCGATACCTCGCGGAACACTCAGGCTGTTGTTGTTGGCACTGCTGCTGTCGATCCATGGTGGACGCTGAGGCTCCGAGGACGAGCGACGTCTGCCCGACGTGTCCACAGCAGCCTTCTGCGCAAAGTCGGTCGTCGCAGTCGTGTGTTGGGAGGCCAGTGTGCTGGCAGATCCCAGACGGCGGAGTCGAATACTCGGCTGGCGACGGTCCTCCAGAGTCGGCCTTCGTCGGGCATTGCGGGGAGTCGAGGGTTGTGCGTGTTGACGCGAAGCAGGCGGAGGAGGGGACGGCGACGACATGCGTCTGTTGTTGTGGTGGTTGCTTGTGTAGTTGGGGGCGCTTGCTATGGGCTGCAGTGCGAGAGCATCTCGCCCAAGGCCCAGTCCGTCTGCATTGCCGCCGTTCATATTTGCATCTTGTGCAGGAAATTGATGGGAAGGATGGCAGCACTCTTGCTCCTGCTCGTACCTGCTGCCGCGGAAAGGCGAAGAGAAATACTAGGGTCAAAACACGCTTCGTTCTAGAGCGGCACTCTCTACCCGGCGCCCACGGTACCTTTAAACGTCCACTTAGTCCCTAAGGCCATGACGCACTTTTGTACTACCCAATTTCCACTTGCCGCCTCTGCAGATTGCGCCAACCGTACATCTCGCAGACCCTTGCCGACCAAGTCGTGTGTTTTCTGAACAAAGCTACGGGAATAACCTGTTTTACTTCTCAAGCTATTCTGCCAACCTCGACTACCCAAGTGTCTTTTCAAGCTTTTGGCAGCACAGCAGTCCAATCAAATCGATTTCCATCAACGTCGCTACGTAGTCGTGCATGACAATTGACATTCAGAACCCTGACGACTTTTCTCCTATCGTTGATCGGCCATGCATTCTACAATAATGTTCGGAACTGGAGCCAGTCCTCCTAGAACCCTAGCTCCAGATCTAGCATCTCTCAATCATAGGTTTGAGAAGTTCACGACATAATCATGCATGCTTGCCTTGAAGACTACTAGAAATGTTAGATACCTCCGGTGATAGCACCTATATCGAGCAGGCATCCTGCCGACTCTTGCCCCAGGTCACCGAACAACAGCATAGATTTCTCACATAGCTAAGATTATCGTTTCATAAACAATGCGCATCAAGTGTCTGTACAAAGACACGGTGCTTGTGAGATCATTTAGATCTGCTGGAGCCGGTCGACTTTATCTTCTTTCTCTCTGAGCCCCGTGTGATGAGTTGTAGAACGAGAAAAATAAATCTAATGCATTCCCTGTAAGACTCCTAAAAGTACAGACCGGGTCGAAAATTATGTAGGATCCCAAGGTAGTAGTTCCAGCCATGTCTTCGACTCGACAAGTGATGAGAAATGGCCAAGGGTCGACGAAAGAATAAAAGTTTCCATGTCTAATGTCCATCTCCCGTTCGCCCTAGCGAAAATCCTGTTTTGGTATAGTCATGATCGCATCTACCACTCCATCATACGACGTAGAGACGCTTACTTGGCGATCTCTACACCGCCCTCAGCTCCGATGGCCTTCTTGATATCGCCTTTGTCTGTTAGCGCTGAGAATGGTGTTGAGATTTAGAAAGAAACATACCGTAGATCGCGAATTGACCAGCAGTGATGGTACCGACCATGAAGAGACGGGCACCAATACCAGAGTATGAACCCTACAAGGCATGTTAGCCCTAATTGTCAAGGGAAAGTCGCTGACTAGGAAACTTACGCGAAGACCAAGCTCCTTGGCGATCTTGATCAGACGGGAGGTGGTGCCCTCACCGGGTGCGCCCTTGGACTTGTTGATCTTGGAAAGCATGGTGTCGGCGGGTTGAGAGACGAGAGCGGCGGCGAAACCAGCGATGAGACCGGAACCAAGGTTGATGGAGGTCTGCATACCGGGAGAGGCGGTGGCCTTGTCGACACGCTTGTAGATGGCCTCGGCAACCTTCTCGTAAACGACGAACTTGGACATAGTGTAGGGGACCCTGGGATTGGAATGAGCATGCGCACTTCAGAAACCAGAACAACCAAGACTTACTGCTTGAAGAGCATGGGACCGAAACCAGAGTAGAAACCACCGAGACCCTCAGTCTTGGCGATCTTTGAGAAACCAGAGACGAGACCGGAAGCGAAGGTGGGCTCAGAGACAAGACGAATACGGGTGGCCTCGAGAGGGCAGAGGGCAATGTCGGCGAAGAACTCAGCGAAGGCGGAAGAGACGAGGTAGACAGCGGTGCGGTTCTGGACAGCGTTCTCGTAGCCGACCATGAAGATGGCCTGCTGCTTGAAGAACTCGTAACCACCGAACTTGAAGGCACCCTGGAGGAAGTAGCCGGCAAAGGTGGGGCCAACACCGGTCAGGAGAGCGCCAGCACCCTCGTTGGCGATGACCTGACGGAAGCCACCAATGAGACCGCGGTTGTAGGTGACGGGGTCGAGCTGGATTCTGGTCTTGACGCTGTTTCGGAGGCTCACGTCAGTCAATGCTCTTGATAGGGCAGTGTCGGCACGCGCAGAGTCGGGCTGGCTGTTGCGCGCGCCCGAAGGATTAATTCTTACACATCGACGGGGGTGAGACCACCGTGGGTGACGGAGCAGCAGACGGCACCAGCAAAGGCGAATCTGGAGTAGAGAGCAAGACCGCTGAGCTTCTGAGGAGCGGCAGCCTTGATGTTCTCCTTGATGGCATCCACCTTGGTGGAGCCAGTAGAGGTGGGAGGGGCAGTACCGGTGGCAGACATTGGACCAGGAATGAGGGGAGTGGAGAAGGTATGGGCTGGAGTGTAGGGAGGAACAAGAAGAATCGCAGCGGCCGATTTTTAGAAACCAAGTCCTGGCAAGCCTTCTCAACCATCCCGCGCTTTGACCAATCACTTCGGTACTTCGGAACAACTCGGGCATAGCCGATGACGTCCGCAAACATTTTGATTCTTTCTATTCATTATTATTGAAGCAACTTGGAAGCCTGCAACTTCTCTGTCTAGCCGCCATACTGAGGATTATCTTCTTGCCGAGTTCCTTCGTAGTTTCTTCGTGATTCCTTAGCGAATTGATCGCTTGGCCCTGAACTAAGCAGTAACGTTACCACTGGTGATTTCGATCTCAACCAACAACATCCTAAGGCTCTTTAGACGTCCAGCATGGCCCACAGATCCTTTCTCTGAACCTTGACCATGCCTGTGTCCTTGCATGTCGAAGCTGACTGCTTCTAACTCTGTTTCTGCTTCGGCTTCTGCTTCTGCTCTTGCTGCGCCCAATACTCCCGCAACACTTCCTTGTCCTCGAAACTCGTTTCCGGCTCCCATGTTGTCTCGTCGTATCCCTCCCATTTGACTTGAAACAGCATAACTGGCTTCTCACCATGGATGGATTTGTCATGGGATTTTGGATCTGAGAGATTGTGGGCAAGAATTCTTTCGACAGTGTATATTTCCGAGTCTTCCGAGCCGGATTCGGAGTCAGAGGATGAGGGGTCGTCCATGTTGATTACTGCTTGACGGTTGTTATTATCAATATTCTGTTTCGTTGTCTGAGATGCTTGAAGAGATTTGCTTGAGGCGAGTTTCAACGCTGCTGCTTTTGCCAGGGCTGAGGATAGTTGTGCTCCAGGTGAGGAGCGCGTAAAACTTGTCTTGGTCGGTTGGGTTTGAGAAGATCTGGGTAGAACGCCTCTTGATGCAGATGGAACGGCATGGTCTCTGAATGTGAAGAAATTGCTTGCCGCATCTTTGCCTTTGGTCTTGTCCTGCACTGTGGCTGATATGCTCCGCGTTGGCTGCCGGATCGGCATCTCCACATCGTGGTCGGATTCATCGTCGAGATCCATATTGTCATACTCTTCGTACGCATCTGGGACCAGACCTGCTGCTTGCTCCATAGCTGAGGGTGGATGAGTGAGTCTCTTGACAGAGCCTGTACTGTAGACGCTCTCGGTGTCTTTAGACGAAGCGATACTGCCATCTCGATCATCATCCAACCGCCGTCTTTTGATGCCTCTATTGTTTGCTAGACTCGAATTAGCTTGGCATGATTATTATTGAAAGAAAAAAAAAGAGGTTCGACTTACAGCCATTGAGTCCTGAATCGGCCGTTCTGTTGGACAAGGTGACTCGAGCTGAGGAAGCGGCCTTTAGAGAACCTCTCGGTGCTCGTTGTTTGGGGTAAAACTGGGTGTAAGTCGGTCTTTGTCTGCCTCTGACTGCCGCTCTAGCATCGTCTCCGCCAGAAAGTGACGCGCCAGAGATTGATTCGTCGCGGGCTGATCTATTGGAACTTGAATCTGAGTGTGTAGCAGTTCCCTTGAGTCGTCGGGCTTGTGCTTTGGCGGCTAGTCGGTCTTTCTGCTGCAACTCTTGTTCGGCGATCTCCCTTTCAAAAGTCTGGTTCTCGAAGACTTCTAGATCATGGGCTGAGACGTATTCCTCAACTTCGGCAAGCGAGAACTGCGGGATAATTGCGGTGCCAACTTCCAACGTGTATGTCACCAGGCCTTGTGACGGTGACGACCTAGAGATTATTTTGGCCTTGCCGTCTTTAGGGACGTGAGAACTGAGCCTTGAATAAAAATTACTGGCTTGTTGAGAGTGACCTGCATTTGACGACATTACTAGGAAGTGACGGTTAGCTGAAGTCTTAGATAGAAGCGCGTATAAGTAGAAGCGCACCGAACTAGCATTAATAGAGGTTAAGGTATAAATAAGGATCGTAGGGCATTTAATAGAATAAATAAGGAATTTACTTACTATTTAACTACTAGTCTACAAGTAACAATTAATAGTAGGAAAGTCTAGAGAATTAGAAACTAGTTAGAAGGTAATTAAGATTAGAAATTTAAGCCTAAGCCTACTAACAAATATTAGTAAGCTATCTACTAGCTTAGATAGACCTAGTAGTCTATATTATTAAATAGATTAATTTTAAGTAAAGATTTATCTACCTAAATTTACCAGATAAGATATCTAGTATATAATTAGTTAATAGTTAATTAGCATAGTTCTACCAGTTTAAATTCTCTAAGGGTTTAAAACATTAAAAAATAGAAAACATATATTTATTAGACTTATATAGAGTCGTAGACTAGGAAGGTTAGGGTCGCCCTGTATGAGCTCGGGCCACATAAGTCAAAGATATATCAATTAGCCCTAGTTCATGATCATGCAAGGTCATTACAGTATCAATGCGGTTCTAAAGAGCAAAAACATGCGAGTAGAATTGTCTGTTGCTATCGCTATAGTCTGGATGGCATGCGCATCGCACCGTCCAGTCGTAGCGCGACTCCGTTCAACATGACATTTTCGATAGCATGCCTCGTCAACTCGGCAAACTCCTCGCCTCTACCTGCCCTCTTTGGAAACTCCATAACACGTTCAAGCGACTTGCGCACTTTGTCGCTCATCATAGCCGTCATGTTCGACTCGAACAGCGAGGGTGCAATGGTCACCACACGAATGCCGAATTGTGCGAGATCGCGAGCCATTGGCAGGGTCATCGACCTCACTGCGCCCTTACTGGCAGCGTATGAGACCTTGATTGGAGTCAGTATAGCTATCCAAGTAGGATGAATAACAACATAGCGTACCTGTCCTGGCTGTCCGTCATAAGCAGCTGAAGAGCTGACCAAGATGACGCAGCCTCGTTCGTTGTCTGGCTCTGTGGGCTGGTTCTTGGTCATGAGTGGGAGCAACTGACGAACGAAATCCAGAGTTCCTCTGAGGTTGATGTTCAAAACAAAGTCGATTGATGACAAGGAAAGCGGATCGTTGTTACGATCAATCATCTGTATAGCCAGCATCAAATGACCATCACCACTTGCGTGCGCAACAACGTTATTCGACATACCTTTCCGGGGTTTCCTACACCAGCGGCGCTGACAATACCACCAATCGGTTTACCAGTCTTCCGTACCCATTGAGAGACGGTCTTGACTGATTCCTCGATAGTTTCGGTATCACTGACGTCGGTTTCAAAGAATTGGCATCTGTCGGAGCCAAGCTGCTTCACTGCCTCTGCTCCAGAGTCGGCGTTAAGATCAAAGATGGCAACATAGCCGCCTTTCTCGTGCAAATTGCGCGCTGTCGCTAATCCTAGGCCGGAAGAACCGCCAGATATAACGAAGGTTCTGTCTTTGATATGCATAGCTGCTTGGTTGTGTCTGGAAAGATGTGTTGTGAAGGTGCTCTTTTGTTTGGAGTGAAGGAAGGTAGGCTCTAGAATAAGTCCCTCGGTATCACATGCCTCGGCACCTAGATCCCCAGATCTTGGCAAGTGAACAAAGCCTGAGGCTCAAATGTGATGTTTGAGAAGCACGAACTTATGCTACAAGTACTCCATGATGTGGGAAAAACTAGCTATGAATGTCAACAACATATCGTGCGTTATGCCGTGGGTCCCAAGAGTATGGTACTTTCCAATGGTATACACTGGTTCTTCATGAGGACTACTCCGCAGCGATGCTTTCTGGAGAGCTGCCAATCGTATGGCTTCGGCTTGTAGTTGCTGGTCCAGTCTCGTTCCGTATATCCATAGCGAACGGCGGTCGTCTTGGTATACGTGAGGCACAAAGTGAAGAAGGTCTGATAACTCGCCGGGTCACGAAGATTCGTGGGGACTGGAGTGGCAGATCGACGGAAAGTGTAAATATCGGGCATGGTCCATTGAAGAATGTTGAAGAAGTGTTCCATTATTAGAGGAGGAAGATCGAGAATACATACCGAAGAAGAAATGATGATATTTTGTACAAGATGCCATGCTCAACGCCATTCAAACGCCTGCCTATGCCCATGTTTATGCAAACGTATGCTTGCGGACCAGCTGCCATGACTGAGGCAGCCACACAAAACACCACACGCTGTATGCGATGTGCATCATTTCGGGTCTTTTTCAATGCGCTTGCCATTCTCATCCAAGCCCCACCACTCGCGGTGGAACTTCTCCTGCTCTTTCCTCTTCTCTTCCTTGGCCTCTCGTTCTTTACGTCGCAGATCACGAGTTGCGAACCACTCTTCTCTGGCGGCATCCTGTTCGGCTTGGTTGGCATATTGAAGCATGCAGGCATTCATCAAGCGGCGTTCGGGTCGGCAGTAGAAAGGCGCGGTGAAAGTACGATTGGTTGCACATGCTGCGAACTCTGTATTGTACAAGGATTAGCTCGACTAGATATATTGGTTGAGACATGATGAGTCAAGCACATACGTCGCACTTCTTCGGCGCACTTGTTTCGCACACGTTTGTGGTATATCTCTCGCACTTGGCCTTCTTGTGAAGCAGATAACGGTAGAGGCTGGCGCGACGGCACAAGCTGGGGGCTGGTTTGAGGTACAGAGGTTCCTGGCGGCGGAGGCGGTTGCGACGGCGGTATCTGCGGCGGTTGCGAGACTGTCGCCATTGTGGAAGAAGGTGTCAAGCTGCTCGTGATGGAAGCTGATCGTGTCTTCAAGAGCGATCTGTGAGTGCGGCGGGCTGAGTGTGTGGCTTCGGCAGTCAATGGCAATCTTGCTGGTGGGAGTGATGATGCATGTCCAGTTGATTTTCCATGGACCGTCAACCCACTCCGCTCTCCGCTCGGCAAGCAGAAAGGCCACATGCTTGGCATCTTCCAACTGCTTTGCATGCACTCTGATGCGCTAAATACCTGAAAACAACATGTATACCTGCAATGGCTGTCCTTGTACTGCTGCTAGATTCGCTATTCACTGATATGCTGCCAAACTATGCTAAAGTCATCAAATCCGACCCTGCTATCTTCCACAAAGAGGGTATATCCATAAAACTCCACGCTCATAAATCGAATGCAAATGCTGGAAACATGCCCAAACGCGAACACCCTCCCACGCTGAAACCATCAAACATCTATACAAATATCCATCGATGCAATGTCATGTCTTGCTAGAGCCTCAAGCCTTGCCGCCGCAGTTGAGAAGTCTGGTCCGTGTCCAGGCGAGCATCCTGTTCCAACCACCTTTTGCCTGCTTGGTTTTGCTGGGTGCTGGTGGCGAGATGGGCACTGTCGGAGCAGCACCACTCTGATCCCCTTGTATAGGAAGACTGAGATCATGGGCAGGGGTTTGAGTGGCATAGTCAGTGCCAGCGACTGCCTTCTCCTCGTCGACCACGATGCTGTTACTGCCATTGCTGGTCATGCTTGCACGCGGGTCCGACTTTCGCCATTTGCGTTCCTCTTTCTTGATGACCGAAGCTCTTCGCTTGACATCTTCTTTCTCGTACTTGCGATCTTTGGCCGCTTCCTTTTCTTCGAAAGCCCGACGAGCAGCACGAATGGCGGCCGCTCGCGAGGCCGCATCCTCTGGCTCAGAGGTCCGTGTGATGAAACTAAAGGCCTTGTCTATCGAAGTGCGAGCAGACGGGGTCGCAGGATAATCACTGCCTCTACCGTTGTTGCGAGTCGAGCGACCAGATTTGAGCTGATCGTATGAAGGTTGCGAGCGGATCGAGAGGTTGGATTGGGATGCACTGGTCAGCTTTGTGAGAGAGCCCGCAGTGTAGGTTTGGGAGAGAGGAGTGATTGCAGGATTCGAGGAGATGGAGACGGATCTGCGAGGCTTCCAAGGCTCATAGTCGGGTTGACGAATGTCGTTGGTGAGCACACCTACGCTTTCCTCCGCCTCATCGTCGGATGTGTCGCCCTGCGAGACGGTGGCAGGCGGGGTGAAAGCACGAGGGGCTTCCCGCAGAGGAGCAAAGGGCTGGGTCGGACGCAGCGGGCCGGAAGCAGCGACGGCAAGAGAGGCGGGACCGCTGGTGGCACGGGAGTGAGAGGCCTTTCGGCGAGTGGATGGGATGAAGGAGACATCCGAGGTAGATCTCGAGAAGGAGGGAGCGTCGTCGCAGATACCGATGCCAGTTAGCGACTCGTTTTCGGCCGACGGACGCGACAGATCGAGACGGCCTTGGTCCAAGTCGTCGTCCCGCAAGGACATCTTGCGGAGGTAGGGCTTGATCTTGTTGGCGGACGAGTGGCGGGCATTCTGAGTGGACGTGTTGGCCGTGGTGGTGGACGAGAGGGCGTGGGTGAATTCGTCCTGGATGGGTGACGGCATGGTGAAGACGGTGGGGGCAGCCGACGAGGTCGAGTCGGAGCGCTTGTGCAATTTGGCATGACGCGGCAGGTGCGAGGCCGAAGTCATGCTGCGGGCCAAGGGCGGGCGGGCAGCAGGAGCAGCGGCAGCGGCAGCGTGGGCAGCGAGCGAGAGTGAGAGCGATGTCGAGGTCGATGTGCGGCGGTATGGAGTGGTGAAGCTGTCGCGCCGGCCATTGGAATCGCCAAAGGGATTGAGCGAGTGCGATACGGCGGTCCAGGGAGGCGAGGTAGGAGGAGCAGCGGCGTGTGTCGTCGTCGTCGTCGTCGTTGTCGTGGCTTGCATGCTGACGGGCGGAATGGCAATGCCAGCCAAGTGACTAGGCCTTCTCTGCCGTGCGGCCACCATGGTCATGGTAACGTGAACTCAATTCCAATCTGTTGAACCAGAATACCCGCGTCCCGATCAGCCGCTCGTGCTTTTCCTTTCACCTCTTTGCTTGTTCTTTCTGCTTTCTTTTCCAGACAACTGCACTTCACTCCGTCGACAGCGTAGTCAGGGAGCGAGGAACAAAAGAGGGCAAGATGGCGGCGAACAGGCCAAGACCGATTGACTATCTATCGCTGACCGCTCTCGGCAACTCGGATCAAATGTCTTCTTGTCCAGCAGCATGGGGATGCTGAGAGATGGAGCCAGCCAAATCTACAACATCAACTATCCCTTCTCAATCAAGTGCTCGCCGTGTCATACATATATCTCATCTCCCATGCCAGCTCCAACATGCCTCGACGCTTCTGTCGCCCCGCCGAGTATACATGCCAACCATGCGTAGCCCGTTTACCGTCGTCCGTGTTGTCAATAGCACCCCCCGTTTCTATCGTTTCTGCTCCAACTGCCAACATGGAAACCCTTGCTCTCCACACTCTTTTCTTGTCTTGTTCGCAAGCCCTTCGCTTCCCAGGTCTGGGCCCTCCTCTTTTGTCAGATTGACACCACGACTTCTTGGCGGTTCTTTTCCAACTCAGCCGCTCGGCCCGCGAGCCTCGATCTGTTCTGCGATGGTGATCGGCAGCATTTCCCCACATGATTTGTCCTTTTGTCATGCAACCGCCATCAACCTCATATTCGGACTCGTGTGCTGTGCTTTCTGAAATGCTCAGTGTAAATATACTGCGTGTGTGGCAGGCGCCCTTACTCGTTCAGGCCCAGTCTGCATCTTGGCTCTTCTTATGCTGGACGTATCTTCGGCAAGCATCAGGATTGAAAGGGCGTCGATTGCAAGCCGTATCTATGGCGCCGATTCGCACATTGGCTTTACAGCCCTCAAGCCCTCAACTGTCAAGCCATCTCGTCAGTCTCACTAGTCACTATTGTACCCTTCCCCACAGAACGAGGCTTCCATCGCGTGTATGTCATTGATCCGCAAAGGCATCCTGATTTCTCCTCGTCCCAATCGCCTTGTCGCGCAGGCACTGTTTCGCTGTGGTACTGTGAGGCTCATTCTAGTACATCATACCTCAGATGTGCACAGACTGCGTGACCGATCCGGCATCTATATGGCAAGGATACCGTCAAGCTGCAGAACTAATCCGATCACTGGCTCGCTTGACCCTCCGATCTAGAGTCCTACAGGGCTGTAGAGTAGAGACACAATCCGCTGGAACCTCGCCGGTACACATGAGACTCCACGCAGGGCTCGGGCCCGTTTCGCATCGAACACCTCAGAGGATCCTATTCTGGGCCTTCCAACAACCATTTTGGCATAAGTGATTTTCAATATTTTCCTTTCTCCGCCACGGTGATCATTGGCTACCACAAGTGCCGGGCTTTCCATCTATACCTTTTAGGCCAACCAGAGTCTAGATATCGCTTGTTGGTCGGCGACTTGAAAACGTGGTTTACAACTATCGAACGGAATTTGCACTTTTCTTAGGCCCCCAACAATCCATCATGTTTGAGTCATGGCGGCTCTGGACCACACATCGTAAATCGAGTGAACTGTCATCTCACACCCTCGCAGATTTGTCCTCCAGATTGACGAGGGGATCTCCAAGGCTTCGCTAAGCTTTTGAAAGCTTCGTGGTGAAATTCAGCAGAGTTTCCAAATATCTGTAGTGTCGTCGCCTGATGATAGTTCAATTTCGATCAGCCGCATGTATGTATCTTCACACTAGTGACAACACATGTCGGTGTTCAATGGAGAGATTCAACCGCCTGTGACTCAAGGATGCCTGCGCAAGAGTGAGGACCAGGGTCATTCCAACAGCGAGTGAATTGACTCGGTTCGATGGATTGCGCCAGCTTCACACGTTTGTCACCCTGTTGGATCTACTTTTCGGGCAATTCATAGTTGTGAATAGGCTCCATGCAAGTGATACAAGCGAATTATTAGAAGAGTGGACGAGATGGAGGGCAGTGTCATTACGCAACATCATGAGAAGGGAAACCAAAATTTTGGCACAGGGTACACCCAAGAGCAAGTGACGCAGAGGTGATCGTCAAGGCGAATCGTTAAATCAAGAAAGAACATAAGTAGAAACTGGGTATAGATCTTGATGATAGTAGACAATGGCCGCTCGACTTCACCCACTCACTTTCCGGTCCTGGCCTCATCTGACCAAGCCATTGACGGAGATCTCGCTCCCCATACCAGACGCCGGCCCCGCCTTGAGCTCGTGTATAAGAAATAAGAAAGAAAGATATTTGTTTTTGTGTGTGAAATCTGTAGTGAAATGTATGGTGAAGTGTGCTTGTGTGCGTGTGAGGTCGAGTTATTTTCTTCATACGCTTCGACCTTCGCTGACTGAATATGACTATGAAAATGAAAGTCGTTTAGTCTCGGAGATGAGCGTGTTGAAATAGTACGATCCATATGCGATGGTGGTATAAGGATAGATTCAACCGTTCGTCGTAAGGGGGTTAATATATGATAAAGGAGATGACGCGACTGCGGAGACGCTTTTGATCGGGCGGAACAAGAATTAGACCTTCGTAATGGTCTCGAGAGACGCGCTTGTGACCACAGCATCAGGCTTCGTCTGAATGTAATCGACATATCGTACTACCGAAGCCAGATCTTTGTACTGTAGGTAAGCACGTCGAGCGGTTTTCGGGTGGCAGAATACAGTGCGTGCTCAGACATCACCGCCTGCCTCGAGTCCGCCATCAGTGCCAAAGTTCATTCCGCTGGGATCGAAACTGAAGCCATCGGCACCGCCATCTGTCGTGAGGAAGGAGTCGAAGTCGAAGTTGTCGAGCACGTCGGGACCGGTCATTTCGAAGTCAAGACCCATACCACCAAACTGTCCATGTGTCAGTGTGATTTGGGTCAGGGGTACCGGGTGACTTACGTTGTCGTCCATACTACCAAAAGGAGCACCGATGTTGGACATGTCACCACCTTGGTTTTGCTGACCGGGCATGCCAGATTGGCCACCTTGCGGTTGATTTTGTGCTTGACTTGGCTTAGGAGGGAAGGCCGAGGTAGGTTGAGGGGTGATTGGAGGTGCCGGAGTTGGAGTAGGAGGTTGCTCAGTCGACTCTTGAGGGGTAGCACCGGTGGTTCCTTTCTTTCCACCCTGAGAAGGACGATTAGTATTCGAGGCAGCATTGGAAGATCTAGCAAATGTTACCTTGTTCGCCGAGGCCTTTGAATCCTTTTTGGACTTTGTGTTAGGTTTGTTTGCCTGAGAAGGCGTAGGTGGAGCTTGGTTTTGGGAAGGAGAAGATGGGCCGGTGCCAGCTCTTGGACCATCGTTACCAGGTGCAGGTGGAGGTGGCATAGCGGCGTTGCGCTGCTGAGGAGTCATGTTGGGCGGTTGTGGCGGGGGCTGGCCTCCCATCATGTTTGGGCCCTGGGGCATGAAGCCATTGGCCATCTGAGCCTGACCATTGCGCGCCTGAGACTGACGGAACATGTCCATCTGTTGCTGTTGGTTCATCTGGTTGAAGGCAGGGTGAGAGCTGGGAGGCTGCATCATCTGGCCGTTGGGGCCCTTCATCATGCCCATGGGGAACATTGCCGGGTTCATGGCGTTGTTGGGATCAAACTGGCCGGGGGCAGGCGAGGCGCGGCCGGGCATGCCGCCGTCGGCAGTGGGAGAGGGGACGACGCCGGGGGCCATCTTGGGAGTGCCGCGTCGCATCTGTTCGTTGGGGCCTGGTGAGGGACCTGCCCGGCTGTTGGAGGGCGACATTGCCGGGGCGAAGTTCTGCGGCTGGCCAGAGGCGGGCACGGGGCCGTTGGGGCCATTGGTCATGTTGTCCTGCTCTTGGCGGGCCATCAAGAGGCGCTTCTTGTTCTGCTGTTCCAGCAGCATCAGTTGCATCTGGTAGTCCTGTAGGGCGTGGTTGCTGTTCGCGTTGGGCGGCGCCTGGCCGGGCATGGGCCGTATCTGGGGATTGAAGAACTCGGCGGCGTTGGGATCCTGCGGCATCTGAGGCGTTCCGTTAGGCATCAACCCCTTGTCCACGTTAGAATCCATGGCGGATTGCATGTGCTGGCGCATGGAGTTGGCATATACCTGTTGCATCGCTTTCGCCTGGGGATTGGGCATCTGCATCTGGTCAGCGTCAGTTGCAACATCCTCACATGAGAGACGGGGAGAGAGTCCAACCTGCTGTCCCGGCATGCCCTGGGGCTGACCGCGCCCCATTGGGCCCATGGCACCATTGAAGTTACCGTCCAGTCGTTGACGTTTGGGTGACGGAGCAACATCACCGGCGCCAGGGGAGGTGGGTCTTTGTTCCATAGTCGAGCCGTCTCTCTGCATGGCATTCTGCTGCAGTTGCGCCATTTGTTGCATACGCATCTGCTGCTGCATCTGGACCACTTGCTGTTGTGTGCTGTGCGTCTTGTTGTCAGCGGCTCGGCCGAGAATAGCGCACACGGAAAGAGCACTCACGGTTGGCGACCTGGTTGCAGGCCGAACTTCTTGGCCATCTCCGGAGGCACGGGTATGCTGGGGCCCACCATGCCGGGGCGCATGGCCATGTTGGCTTGCATCTGGGGATCGACGCGCATCAGCCTCTGTCGCTCGTTGGCCATTCGGGCCTAGGGCTGCGGGTTAGTGGGACTGGTGGAGGGGAGGGACGGGGCAAGGGCAAGACAAGGGGAAGCAGCGGCGTACCTGGACATTGCTCAGATACTTTGCAGTCTGTGTGTTGTTGCCTCTACCATGCTGGGCATTGAAACACTCCCAGAACTGGTGCCACCAGTCGTAGAGGAAGCTGCCGTCTGAAGCAGCAGGCACATTGGGAGAGGGGAGGTCGTCGGGCTTCTTGTCTTTGGAGTCGGGGTCAATCGAGTCGCCCACGCCATTGATGTCTTTGCGATCGGGGCTTTGGTTTTGGTCGAGGTCTAGATCGACAGTCTTCAGGATGGCGCGCGCGACATCGTGGTTGCCGTGCTTGAGAAAGTAGTCGTAGATGTACGTGTTGAGCTTCTGACGAGAAATGTCACCGCTGGACGCGTTATTTGGCGTGCCGGAATTGGGAGTGGGCCCGCCCATCATGTTCATTGGTTGGCTCATGCCAAAAGGTGATGAGTGGGTTCAGCCAGTTGTGCGAGAGTGTGAAGCTGAGATGGTTGCGAATGGAGGTGTCTGGGACTCGGGGCGCGTTCACGGACAGGCAAGACGACGAGGTCGATGCGACAAGCGGTCGACGGCACGCTGCAGGCTGACGAGCGTAGAGGTGGTAGAGAGAGACGTCGCAGCTGAGGGCAAGGGCCGGGACAAGGGCGATGGCCGAGTGACGGTCGATGGAGCGTGTCGCGGGAGGTTGGCAGCAAGCAAGCAAGCAGCAAGCCGAGGCGTGAGGGTCGCCGATCGGAACACGGGACACGGGGGACGCGGGCTGGGGGCGCGTCAACGGCAGTCTGTCGTCGCTCGAGATGCGCAACACAATTGATGCGCAGAAGGAAGTCGCAATAGCCTAGCGGCACGGCGGACGGGGCGAAGTGGATCAACAAAGGAAGAATGTGGGTGAGGTGATGAGGTTAGGCTGGGGGAGGACGGACTGCCCAAGAGGAGGGCGTTGACAGCGAAATGCCAAGACCGCTCAAACGCTTAATCCGTTCAACACACCACCACCTATAGATGGCAGCTCTTGTGGAAAAGCTCCTGCTGGCGAGCTCAAGGGCTGCTAGCCATCTGATACAATGCCATTGAAGCCTGCACTCTGCCTAGTTGCCGGGTCATGCAAAGCGCCGCCCCTTGTCCGCACTGTGTCGCGCACTCCGATACTGTCGAGTCAGGAGTCACGTGGGATTTCCATTCATCGTGCTTTATGGTATGAGGTGGTCTCTGCCTAGCTTCCTCTCCCGAAGCCCCTATTTCCTGCCTCTCGGGCCATTATGATATCTATAGATAGTCGCCGCGGGACGCTGCCCTAGAACTATTCATCTGACAGGCAACTCTCGTTCTGTGTGCGACTAGTGCAGCTCATCCTTGGCTTAAGCCATTCGTAAGTCTCGGACGAGGTTATTCGACGAGCCCAGAGATGAAATGTTTTCGTAACTTCGTGACATGTTGTAGTAGACGGAATGGCCAGAAAGGGCCAGCCTGGAAGTGCTCGTCTACTCGTCGTCTGGTGGCATCTCGTCCTCGATATACCTGATCAGCGTGACGCGCATTTCTGTAGTGTCGTTGCCACGAAGGACATCGCTTGTGAAGTGGGTCTCGACATGCATTTGAACCTGGAGAGAGTTAGTAGAGGTCGGGCAGTTGGTCGGAAAGCTGCTGACCATCTCCAAAGCGCCTCTCAAAACGCCACAAAAGATGTTTGAATACCACAGCTCATCTTGAGCTTTGGCGTCGTCGGGCAACTCGACAAAGTCGGCAAGAGGATTCTCATCGAAGAGCAGAGTGAAGGACTTGTTGTCGGTCGACCAGCTTGTGACTACAGGGGTGATGTTGAGGAACATTTTGAAGCCGACTTTGGAGATGACTTCGGCCGTCTCTCGCAGATTGGAACAGGAACCCGAATTGGACTTTGCCAGGAAGTCCTCGATCAGGCGCATGCCCATGTTGTAGCCCATCTTGTCCAGCTGTTTGTTGACTTGGGCATAATCTTGGTTGTAGTCTTTGCACAGTTGGGCGACGATGGTGCCGTAGGTGAGGGTGACGAGTTCGGCGTTGACCTTGTCAACACGGGTCCTTGTTACCAGAGTCAGAGGAGACCGTCATGGGCAGACGAAAGGCAGACGGTCGACTTACTTCCAGACCCTATCGCATATCAGCAAGTCTGAGTCGTCTTTGACAAACACAAACAGGCAAAGGACTCACTCTTCGCCGAGACGAGCAGCTTTGGTAGCCATGTCTACAATGTGTATGTGGGGTCGACGCAGGTGCTGCTTGACGAGAGGCTGGCTAGTGCGCGCGGAGGAGAAGGTGAATATGAGGCACGAAGCACGAAGCACGAAGCATAAAGCACGAAGCATAAAGCACGAAGCATAAAGCACGAAGCATAAAGCATGAGCGCATGCGCGTCGCGCCGGGGTCCAAGCTCGACAATCTTCATCGGCTCAAACGAGTACTAGCTATGCGACATCCCAATCCTGTCAACATCCACAACCGCGACCCCGTTACACGCCATGTCGTCAGAAAAGCGCCCGGCATCCAGCTCCATGGCCTCGGGGCAGATGGTCAAGCGCCAAAAGTCGGACAACTCAATGGCCTTGACGTCGGCCTCGCAGAATGGCGCCCTCATCCAGAGCACCCACCGCGGTCCAGCTCTGTCTGCGCCCGTCATGGAACTGTCGGGCCATAGCGGAGAGGTGTTTGCTGCGAGGTTCAACAACGAGGGCAACTACATCGCTTCGGCAGGCATGGACCGCAACATCCTCCTCTGGCGCACTTCGGGCGACTGCGAAAACTACGGCGTCCTGTCTGGTCACAAGGGCGCCATTCTCGACTTGCAGTGGTCACGCGACTCGCGCAACATCTTCTCTGCCTCGGCCGACGCGCACATTGCCAGCTGGGATCTCGAGACGGCCCAGCGCATAAGGAGACACCAGGGCCACGACGAAGTCATCAACGCTCTGGACATCAGCCGTCGCGGCGAGGACATTCTGTTCAGTGCTTCCGACGACGGCTACATAGGCATCTGGGACCCTCGTCAAAAAGCCGCCGTCGACTTCATCCAGACAAACTTCCCCGTCACGGCAATCGCCCTGGCCGAAGCTGGCAACGAGCTCTACTCGGGCAGCATCGACAACGACATCAAGGTCTGGGACCTGAGGAAGAAGCAGGTCTTGTACTCGCTCATCGGACACACCGACACCATCACATCGCTCGCCGTTTCGCCCGACTCGCAGACGCTTCTCTCCAATTCCCATGACAGCACCGTCCGCACCTGGGACATACGCCCCTTTGCGCCTACAGAACGACACATTAGAACCTTTGACGGTGCACCGACGGGAATGGACAAGTACCTAATCAAGGCTACTTGGGATACAAAAGGAAAACGCATTGCTGCTGGCAGCGGCGACCGTTCGGTCGTGATATGGGAAGCCAATACCGGCAAGATGCTGCAAAAGCTGCCCGGTCACAAGGGTTCCGTCAACGATGTCCGCTTCGCGCCCAACGATGAGCCATTGAGTAAGACTTTCCTCCTTAGCGACTGCTTGCATCAAAGGCATACTGACCCGCTCATAGTGCTCTCGGCCTCGACCGATCGTAACCTAATGCTAGGAAGCCTCTCGACGTGACTCGATACCTCCAAAGCCCATAACGTCTAGACGTATGAGATCCCCACATATAAATGCCTAATTGACAGACAAGGCGACCGCACGGGCCATGTTCCTCGATGATAAAATACTGCCTAAGGACAGGCTGCACATCAAGGCTTCTACTACCGCATCCAGATCGCGAGAGAGGCGTCGATGACTTATTCGTTCCATACGGACAGGACAATCCGGGGAGGGTCAATATATGCCCCGCAAACATGGTCTCAACATGATCTGGTTTGAAGAGTTCCATTCTGTACACTTCCAGAAACGATATTCTGCCAACGCTACCAAAAGTACATGACTCCAATTAAAATGCGAATATTTTACTCAACACGACCATGCTTCTACTGGGGACCTTCGATGATCATCTTGATACCCTTGGCTGCGTGGACGTCCTTGAAGGCCTGCTCGGCGTCCTCGAACTTGACACGACCTGTGATGAGCTCCTTTACGCTCAGGCTACCAGAAGTGATGAGGTCAACAGCCAGTTGGTAGTCGCCTGGTCCGTATCTGAAGCTTCCCTTGACGTTCAGCTCCTTGGCGCACATGGCCATGATAGGCCAGTTGATGTCAGCCTTGCCCATGCCACCCTGAACGTAGGTCCCGCCAATTCTGACGGCGTGGATGGCTGTCTGGATGCACGGCTCGGCTCCTGTGGCATCGATAATGGCGTCGGCACCTAGTCCCAGATCGCACTCATCTGTGAGGAGCTTGGCGTTCTCCTGAGCGCCGACTCTTTGCGAGCGGAAAACGTGTGTGGCAGCGTACTTGCGAGCAAACTCGAGGCGCTCCTCGTTGATGTCCACAGCAACAATCTTGGCGGCACCGAACGACTTAGCGACGGCCATACAGAGTAGGCCAACAGGGCCGGCGCCGAAGACGACGACACTCTGACCGGGCTTGATGTCGGCCTGTCTGGTGATGTGCACTCCGACAGCCAAAGGCTCGACTAGTGCGGCTTCGTCAAGAGGAACGTGGTCCGCAATCTTGTAGCAGAAGTCCTCGGGAAGACGGTAGTATTTGGCGAGGGTCCCATCGTAGGGTGGGGTGGCAGCAAAGGCCATGTCGACGCAAAGGTTGTACTTGCCCTCTCTGCAGCGCGGGCATCTGCGACAAGGAACACCAGGCTCCAATGTGACACGGTCGCCCTTCTTGAGCGTTGTCACCTTGTCTCCCACCTCCTCGACTATGCCGGCCGACTCGTGACCCAGAACCATAGGGGCCTTGACGACGAAGTCTCCAATAGCACCGTCAGTCCAGTAGTGAACGTCCGACCCACAGATACCCGTGTACTTGACATTGACGATGACATCGTAGGGATCTCTCAGCTGGGGAATGGGACGGTCCTCGAATGTGACGCTGTATGGCTTCTGAAGGACGAATGACAAGTTCTACGCATCATCTAGTCAGTTCCTGGAATCGTGGAGTGAACGCCGCCAGGGGACGTACCTTTGCCTCGGCGGGGTTTACTTCTTGCACAGAGGCCATCTTAGGTGTTGCTGTGGCGGAGAAGCTTCTAGTGACTTTCTTGGAGTTGAGATGGTATGCAGCGGCTGCACAGCTACCACAGCTTCTTGAGGACTGGAGGTTGTATGTGGTCGAAGAGGGGACGCGTAGCGCTGAACCTCTCAGGCTTCTCTGGAGACCGGATTTGAGGACTTGAGACATGATGTAAGCAGATGGGACGAAGAAGTCAACCAAATCAATAGAACAAGATATTTCGAGTGAGAGAACCAGCTGACTCTTGAATTGAGACGACGGGCAGGGAAAGGGGAGAAGAGTGGAAATGGGCAAGAGCGAGAACGCAACTTACAACAGGAATGTATGCAGGCTCAATTGAGGATGATATCAAGCAGCCACGGATGATAGTGTTGGCTCGCCGAAGGATCGGGTCAGCGTATGCAGAGCTTCGAAAGGGTGATAGTGATGCTTTTTTCCAGGTCAGTGGTACCGCAGCCTGCGGATTGCAGAAAACAGAAGCCATTCATCGTGTGACTTCTGTCCGACTTGCTTGCTGACCCCGGCCCCACCATCATGTCATTATAGCCGTCGGCTAAATGCCCCGCCAAATTCACCAACTCCCGTCGGAACCGCTGGCTTCGTCTTTGCCCTCCGATCTAAAAATCACCGAAGACGCGCGCCGCCTGGACCGCAGCCCGACGGAGCCCCTTCATGCGTGCAACCTGGGCACGCAAACAGCCTGATCCCTCGAGGGTTTCTTGAGCCTCCTCCCCCTGAACGCTGCTTTTGCCCTGGCTGTCCATCTGCCTAAAAAGACTGCCCGGAGACAACTCCTACGTGAACCCAAAGGTATGGTTTGCAGGTCGACCTTCACGAGCACGATATAGTAGCAATGATCGGAGGAAATTGAACCTCATCATTTGCGCGAAATTATGTCAATCCTGGGGCTGTCGACATTCACGGTGCTTTTCAAACCAGCAGGTCTCGAGATTGCAATGCTTGGCTAAGATATGCTTTGTGGGTGATTATAGCTTCTTCAAAGATAGTGTGCATTCTCTCGTCCCAGATACCTTATTGGACCTAAACCAATCACTCTGGATTATCCTTGACAACATTGGCTGTCGAAGCACTCCTTACTACCTCAACAGGACTTGTGAATCCGTTTCTGCACTGCCAGGGGTAGAACAGTGCGATCATCAAAGTGAGCCCGCCGGTGATCGCAGACGAGTAGTTCATCGTCTCAGCAGATACAGGCATCCTATCCAGGTCAGTCAGTGCATGTCAGAAATCAACGAGACAAATAGGTAAGAGCTTACGAGTAAGGGAAACAGAAGATGACGATGAAGCAAGCGATATAGGCACACGCGATCGGCATAAGAACCGCAGCAAGCTTGTCTGGCATCTTGAAGGGCCCGAATTCGATGTTCTTGCGTCCACTCAGCAGGTGGGGAAGTATAGCAGCCAGGTACGAGGCTGATGAAAGGATGATGAATGATCCGACAAATGCGTTGAAGGCCTGGACAATGTCAGTGGTGTTCTCATACTTGCTGTTGTCTTGCGACTTGACTTACTACAGCGCTACCAATATAGATCAGGCCTAACACAGTGGTCACGATCAGACATGCAACGGTGGCCGCAAAAGGGTTACCCCACCGAGGGGAGATGACAGAAAGAGTATCCGAAAAAGGCGTGGCACGGTCTGTATCGTGTAAGTCAAAGTCATCTTGCACAACTCCATACATCTAGGAACGTACCACGGGATAGGGTCCACAACATGCGTCCGCATGTGATGTAAGTCCCTATACAATTGGCCACTGTAGGCTGCGATGGAAGCTCTGTCAGCATGGCGATTCGAATGACGAAGACACGTCCAAGCCAGACTTGAAGACAGAGATGGTTGACTCACTAGGAATACGACGATGAGCAAGCCACAAGACCCAGCTCTTGACCCGGTGGCTTGTCTGTAAAGCTCAGCTAGAGGATTGGTGTAGGGGTTGTTCATCAAGGCATCAATGTCGTTGATGCTGTAGAAGATTGCGATGAGATAGAAGAAGCCTGTGACGAAGCCGACAGCCAGTTGTGCAGCAATGGCCTTGGGTACGTTGCGAGATGCGTGGGGAATTTCTTCCGCGAGGTGCGACACGCAGTCGGGTGTGCCTACGCTGAAAGCGCCGTTGAGCATTCCCGTAACAAAGACCAGACCATTGGACTTGTAGCCAGTGTCGTTAGACCAAGAGGACCAGACAGCCGCTGCAGTCGCATGCCCAGATCCAGTGGTAGTAGGCATGATGGCGCAAACCAAGATCGTAAGGAAGCAACCACCCAACGTCAGAAAGAGACCAACGTTATTGACCATCGGCAGAGCTCTGTTCGCGAACAGTACGACACCACAACATGACCAGGAGATGATCATGTACACGACAAAGACATGCCAACGCTCGTTGATGTATTCGGGGTGGAATAGTTGCCACATGGCCAAGACTTCGTTTGCTAGGATGGACGACATCGACCTGCAAGATAGAATTACGGTCAGCATGACTCTGGAGTGAAAGTTGTGCGATACCACAAGACGAAAGACCATCTCGTGGCTGTCGGCTCGTATCATCTGTATTCTGGCGAACGTACGCTGATCCAAATATCCAGGCCAACACGTTCCACCACCCTGCTAAGAAGCCGACAAACTTCGAGCACCGAGCTGGTGATGTGGCTGTGGCCCAATGGTAGACGCCTGAAGATGATGGGATAGCACTTGCCAATTCGGCTATGCAAGCACCCACCATCCAGTAGAATACGCTGACTGCGAGGAACTCAAAAATGACTCCCGTCGGACCTCCGTTGTACAGAGCGACGACAATACTACCACCGAGAGCGCACCTGAATTCAAAGTTCAAGTCAGCTCGGTTTGTACAATGAAGGAAGGATCAGCATGCTATAAGCAGCGTGGCCACAGAGCTGGGCTCGGCATTACCATGTGTTGCCTGTGACGATGCCTACAGCGCATATTGACACAATGCTGAAGTTGCGTTCGAGCTCTTGTGCGTGACCAGAAGTGTTGACAGTAATTGTGCCTTCTTCAACTTCAGCTTGTTCAGATCGGTAAGGCGTCAACTTGTGATCTGCTGGTCGCTTTGAATCCATGTTGTTGCAAAAATGCCTAGCAAGCCCAGATACCAGAAGGGAAGAACGAACAAGGTATCTCGAAAGCGAATAAAGCAACGAGATGGCACGTCGAAAGGGATATATGAAGTTGGGAAGTGGTATCGAGGGCTATGCACTTATGGATACTGATGATGAGGTTACAGGATAGGAACACCAGAGTCGTTTTGCTCGGGAACGCACGATAAGATGTATTTGTTTGGTCGAAGTCCGGTGGCGACCTAGACAAGCAATGGCCGCTCATACTGTACCAAAAAGTACAACTAAAATACTGGTGTGTACGTCCCGTTTGGACTGCGATAAGCGGAGATATGGAGGCAGAAAGGGACTGTGCACTGTCCATCTCTTGCCGCTGCCTCTTTAGGACGGAGTTCTTTTGGGATGCGGGGATGACCAACTGCCATGTGAGCCCTAGAGGCCGATAGCGAGCTCCTGTGCTGTCACGTCCAGACTTTAGAGTTACAGCGTGGTCCTCCGATAGCCATGTCTGATAGCGCGTACGCTAGAAAGGACCGAAGTAGGAAAGTACAGGAGAGGACGATAACCCTGGTGGTCAACGGTAATTCGCGCCTTGTCTTGGGAGATTGAAATGACACTACAGATTCTACACTCACAACACTATGACTTTGACATGAGGGAGTCAAAGAGTCCCTTCATGGCCTTCGCACTCTTCTTTGGAAACCTCTGCTGACCGTTTTCGTAGTCGACGAATGTGACTCCAAAGCGGGTCGTGTATCCCTCTGCCCATTCAAAATTGTCCATCAGACTCCATGCCATGTAACCCCTGACATCGACATCGTCATGTGTATATGCATCTGCCATAGCGGTGACGTACTCCTTGAAATACCACACGCGAAAATCGTCTTCCAGGATCTCTTCTTTTGCTAAATCATTCTCGCCCTTCAGACTCGTACCATTCTCAGTGACGTATATGATAGGACGCCCGTAGCGATCAGAGATCCACTTGAGTAGTTTTCTGAAACCAATGGCATATGGCCTCAACCAGGGGCTCTGAGTCTCTGGGCCGATGTCTTGACCTTCCTTGTTGGAAAGCAGAGATTCTAAGTTTCCGAGGTAGTCTTCTGGCTCCGGGTCGCCGGACCTGTGCTTGATGTAGTTCGCACAGTAGTGGTTCATACCATAGAAGTCGTTGCTGCCCTGGACCAAAGCCCGCTGCTCAGGCGTGAATTTCGGCAGGCGGTCTCCAAGTTGTTGGCGCATGCTTTCTGGATAGTCACCGCGGTAAACAGGATCGGCGAACCAAGCGATCGAGAACTCGAGTTTTCTCTGGCAGGCTTCGATGTCCTTAGGGTCCTTCGGATCCCAAGGCTCGACCCAATCACCTGAAGACGTTAGCTCGAGACACAGTGCTTTCATGCCAGCCATCAACACTGGCACAGAGGAGTTGAGAAGATAGACGTGCTGTGAGCACGTCCACACATCCGATACGCATCATACGTACCATTCAAGGTGATACCGATCTGTCCGCCCTGCCTCGATTTGAACTCCTCGCGATATACCTTAACGGCTGCGCCATGGGCAATAAGCAAGTTGTGCCCGACTAGCCAAGGCTCGGTGCTGCTATCGCCGACTGAGCTTTTGGAGCGGTTGCTGGTCCGGCCGGGTGCAAAGACACCTTCGTTGTATCCAAGAATCGAGCTACACCACGGCTCATTGAAAGTGACCCAATACTTTACTTTGTCTCCCAAAGCTCGGAAAATGGTACGAGAGTATTGAGCAAAGTCGGCAACAAACTCGTCTGTGTTTAGCAGGCCGCCATATCTCTCATCGAGAGCTTCGGGCAGGTCCCAATGATACAACGTCACCATGGGCTCAATGCCGTTGGCAAGCAACTCGTCCACAAGGTTAACATAATACTGCAGGCCCTTTTGGTTGACAGGATCCTCGCGTCCGCCTAGAGGAATAACGCGAGACCAAGAGATGCTGAATCGATAAGCTCGAGCACCCATATCTTTTAGAAGCTTCACATCTTGCTTGTATTGGTGGTACGAATCGCAGGCAATGTCCCCGTTCTCGTTACCAGCAATCTTGCCTGGAATGCGACAGAAAGTGTCCCAGATACTGTCTGCTCGACCATCTTCATGGGGGGCTCCCTCTATTTGGTAACTGCGCTTTGTTAGTATTGACAAAAAGATACGACTTACATTGCACTCACCTTGCTGTCGCAAAGCCCCAAAGAAAGTCCTTAGGCAGAGTCGATTGAGACATGCTAAGGTCGTACTGGTTGTGTTGAGTTGCTAAGTGTTAGAGAAAGCACAGGGAGGTGACTTTTATATTAGCACACAAGAGGGGACACGCTCGAACAAGACGTGGCCAAGACGATGACTTGGATGTTGACACGAGGTAAGGCGCCACACGAACAGATGGAGACGAGCTTCATGGCATCACATCTTGTAGACGATTTCACGGCACTCGCTCGTCTGAATACTGTAGCGCTTAGCAACAGGCACAATTGAATTTAGCCTGCCTCGGAGCTAGAAGAGCCGTCTCTTAACGTGGAAGGAGCTCGGCTTTTCGGGCCGTGAGCCCTCAGTGCATCATCCCACTGGCACTGCACGGCTGCGTCAGCCATCAGCGTTCGCAGTGCCGGCACTCGCCAACTTACCTCTCTAATACGACTATTTTTTGGACTGACTGATCAAGAGTCGAGACAAATCTGCAGACTTGGAGCGAATGAAGTCTGACCGAAGAGCTGCAAGTAAGCAATTGACATTGTCGACCTGCCCTAGCGACTGCAAAATTTGATCAAGGCCTACAATTCAGGATGATCAAATACCGTTGCAGAGCTGCATTGCAGTCTGGGATCTTGAGGCTGCAGAGGTGTCGTCAAGAGAGTATGGCAACTCATGCTCCGAAGAAACCAGGTGAGATTAGCGATGCATTTGCCTCGGTTTCGGGTTTGATGCAAAAATCACTAGAACCTCGCTTCGCTACTCTGAAAAGCGACTTGATTGCAGGAAAAGAAGATGCTCTCGAAAAGTCCTTTCACCGTCTGCTAGAGGCATTGCGTGAAGAAATTGCTGTCATCAAGGCGCTGGGTAGTAAAGTGATTCCTGAGATTGACTTCAGAGACATCAAAGATTCAAGCTCAGTGTTTAGTACGGAGTATAAGAAGAGAGGAGCGGCGATCATTCGAAATGTTATTCCACCCGTCGAAGCGATGGAGATGAAGGAAGAGCTCCAGAAATACATCGCTGCGAATCCTCAGACAAAAGCTTTCCCAAAGGACAACCCTCAAGTTTACGAACTGTTCTGGTCTCCAACCCAAATCTCTGCAAGGTGCCACCCGTATCTTTTGGCTGCGCAGAGATTCCTTCTCTCTCATTGCCACTCCAAAGACGCCCAAGCTTTAGTCTCCACTGCACACCCAACTATTTATGCGGATCGCCTTCATATTCGGTCACCAGGAGACAGCATCAATTTCCCTCTGGACCCAGACATCAGTGGAGGTGGACCGGAACGATGGGAGCCTGTCGGATATGGGCATACGAGAGTGTACGACTCAATCTGGCAAGGATGTTGGGAGGACCATGATCCTTGGGAAATCAGTTCTCGACTCGGTATCAAATCGGACTGTAGTATGTTTCGTGCAGCACAGGGATGGCTGTCACTAAGCACCATCAAGGCAAACGAAGGTACATTGTTGGTCAACCCAATGTTGAAGCATGCCACAGCTTACTCTCTGCTGCGGCCCTTTTTCTCTGCCAAAAGCGGCCCGATGAATCCTGGTAGCGGCGTGTTGGATGAGTCTTTCTTGTCACCAGATAACTGGGTTCTGGACTGCCCTCAAACGTCTTGGGTCCAAGGTGCATCACCAGGAAAGGACCATGAGCTGACTGATGTGCTGTATCCTCACCACGAGCTTCAGAGCACCATGGTTCACCTCCCTGAGGTGCGACCTGGCGACTACGTAGCATGGCACTGCGATCAGATCTACGCAGTCGACAGAGAGCACAGAGGCATTGCAGATAGCTCAGTCTTGTACATCCCTGCTTGCCCTCTTACAGTCCAGAATGCAGAGTTTCTCGCCCGTCAACGACAAGCATTCCTCGCAGGGCTTCCTTGTCCCGATTTTCAGGGGGGTATTGGAGAGGCAGATCATGTCGGTCGGCCAGGGGTAGCAGAGGTGGAGAAGGCGAGCCAGGGCAAAAATGCAGGTATGGTTGCGTTCGGTCTCGAAGAATGGGATAGTACGGCGGCAGGATTGAGCGAGACACAGAGAGAGCTGTTCGACAGAGCAAATAAGGTACTAGGTTTCTATGACTAGAGTGACCAACGCTCAAGGAGACTCGTTCCTCCTGGGCTACTAGATAGCCAGAAGTACCGAAACTTTGGAACGGTATATGGACCAGTGCGAAATCAGGTAGTGCAGTCAGATTCTACTGGCCGTAAGGGTCCGAGGCAAGGCACGAGATGAGGAGATCGGAGTAGTAAATGTCGAAGGAATTCATGAATGTGATTGCGATGCTTGTTTGAAATGCCGCTGGACTTTCCTCCAACAAATCGGCCACCCGACGAATACCATAGCTCCATACTCCATGCTAAACAGTTTTAAATACATATTAAACATCATAGGCTTCTCCTCTCTCTGTTTTAACCCCAGGCTGAAACCCGATAGAGTGCGCGCTCGCTTTTTGAAAAAGAATTGCGTTGGTAAGTGCGATGCGAAGAAATCAGATCACACGGTTGGCCGCCGGACGGCGGTGACAGTAGAGGCGGAGACTGCAGGGGGAATGACGGATACCGTGGTGAGATCGGATATGGGTGACAAGACATCAGAGTGAGTCATGGGCCCATCAACAGGCCGCGATGTGGCCAACAGGTGACCACTTTCGACCAGCTCTTTCAGATAGGCTTCGAATTCCGGGTCCATCTCAAAGTTCAGACCTTGCTGTCTGGCGGCAATGGCAGCAAGGAGACGGCGATTCAGCTCGTGGCCGATGCTCTGTATGTTCTCTCCCACGTCGTCCTCATCGTCATCATCGTCAGCATCGTCGTCTTCATCGTCATCATCAAGGTCATGTTGGGCGTCACGAAGGTCCTGTTCCAGTGCCTGGTCTATGTTGTCTTCTCGGGCACAGTCGTCGACGAGCATGTCGACAGGATGCCTGCCCTCTGTGATTTCGACATGGGTCTGGACGCGGATCAAGCCCTTCTGGATTGGCTGGGTGCGGGGATCAATCCAGTCGGCAATACCGTCACCCGTTGTGTCTCTGACCTTGATGTTCTCGTCTCTTTCAAACCTCTGGCGTGCCCACAGAGTACCTTCCCATCTCACTAGATCCATGACTTCTTGGTCGGTAATGCGCAGGTCGTCGATGCCGGCGAACAGACGGGCGTGGTGGGGGAAGCGACCGAGGCGCATGCGGTGTGGGCCATGGCAATAGTTCAGGCCGGGATATCGAGCCTCGATGCTGTCAAGACTGCCGTAGAAGGTCGCCGTCTCTATACGAATCTCGGGGATCAGGTCGCGCGCAAGATGGGTTTGGAAGTTTGGAGGATCCGAAGGACCTGGGTTGGGAAACAGGTGAGCGTAGAGAAGCGAGGCCACCGAGGATTGCCTGCGCATGTTGGCCGTGGGATGGAGAGAGTCGAGCGTCTGAGGCGGGTGGGAAAAACAGCCTCCGTCGGCCAGAGGAGAGCACGCGCGCGCAAAGTGGAAGGCACCGATCACTGAGCACCAAGCACTGAGCAGAGCCGGGGGTCGGGAGAAGGACCGAAGCGATCAATCTTTTTGCAGTCTCTTGAGCGTGGGGAAAAGAGTGGAGAGGTCAAGATTGACAAGCAGATGTTATTATCGAGTGCCGAACGAGAAGACCGTCGTGCGTCGTGCGTCGTGCGTCGTGTCGAGTGTCGAGTGTCGAGTGTCGAATGTAGATTCTACGAGGAAAGCAAGACCAGCGTGAACACTGTATTGTACCGCTGAGAGCAGGGAGAAAATTCGTCACCCACTCCCGACATGCATCAGGGCCGTTTCCTTCCATCTCCGGCCTGGACCAAATGCGGGCCTTGATAATCGCGGGTTACCGTGAGCTTAATTTCGCCGTCGTGATCACAACCAAAATGCCTTCTCTAAATTCGCTTGCCTGCTCAATTTACTTGCATCGAATTAACAATAATCTAAAACACACGCTCTTGCTCCTGATCGAAGCTGCGACAGCCTGGCTGCCCTCAGAACGCCCTGCTATTATCATATGCCTTGTACCTCTGCTCTCCTGACCCGTAGTGCATGGGCTCTCTGTTGGCCAGCAACTCGCTCATCGTCCACGTGCCATGCTCCTTTGTGCCATGAGACTCTGCCGTACTATCAGCTCTGCCGCCGCATGCGCTGCCAGCCTCTCCTTCTGCCTACTTCGGTCCTTGAGATACCTCTCCGCCTCGGGTCGCATGCGCAGGATTCTCAGGATCATGTCGTCGCTCGGTTCGGCTTGTGCTTCTTTGCGCTTTTCCTCCTTTGCCTTCTTCATCGTGCCAAGATTACGGCTGAGCATGATGCTCTTGCTTCGTCGTGTACTAGGCACGCCTACTAGGCTGGCCGCCCCACTGAATGAATGTTGAGCGAGTGTCGCTGGTGCTGACATGCGGTTAAGCTCCCGACTCTGCCTGGCTTGTTGTCTGGCAACTGTTGCTTTGGCCATGGACTCTGACGTTCGGATCAGATTCTCTGTCGACTCAAAGTAGAAGAAGTTCAAGTTTTGCAAGTCGTGGTATTTTGATGACTTCAGAATATCAAGCGGTACCCCGTGCGCTGTGCCATCTTCTTCATCGACCGCATGGAAAAAGTCAAACAGCATCTGCAGCCATTTGAAAACTATGTCCAGCTCCTGTTGTGTGAGCGGCCGCTGTTGCGAGGGCTTGTCAGACAGCGGAGGTACGAGCAATGATTCGATAGTTGCGAGCACTTCCTTCCAGAGTCGAGTCATGACCATGACCATTGCCGAATCCGTCAGCGTCTGTTTCATGATCGCAAAGTTATCATCGAAGTAGGTGAAGAGAGGCTTCAGTGCGTTCGCGATGTCGACTGGAGTAGGGCCTTGTATGACGGACTGCGGTCTGGTTTTCTGGAAGTATCCGCGCACTGCGTTGATTGATATGCCTTGGCTGAGAAGACCTCGAAGAGCTCTGCGTGAGAGAACTTGCTGGATATATGAGGACAGCTTATGCTCGGTTAGCTTGCTAATTCGCCCATACTCGTGAACAGACTTACCTTGTCTGTAATCTTGCGTGTCATGTCACGCTCACTTCGTTTCAGAGTACGGAAAGCTTTGCCAAAGTAGAATTGGATATCATCCCTCTCTCCTTCCATACTTACTCGCAACAACAGCCTACCCTGAGTATCGAGGTCGAGCCAGAATTCTCGAGGCATGTAGTCACTAAAGTGCGAGGGATCCAACTTGAGTGAAGTTCGACCCACACAATCATGATCGCCCAAAGCGTCCCAATCCCAAATTGTGGCGATGATGTTCAAGGGACCCTGGGTACTGATATCGACTGTCTCGTCCCATCGAGGATTTAGACTGCCGTAGACAATGCGAGTTTTGGCTAGCCGTTTCTGGTATTCGTCTCCAAGGACGACATACGGATCGCTCAATCCATTCATATCACAAGCTTTGAGATCCTCAGCCTCGATAATCTTGATTGTAAACACAAATTTGCTCGACTGACGAAGCTTGACTGGGTTGATGGGTGGCGCGTGCTTTTGAATGACCTCTGCACAGGCGTCAACATTGATCTCCTTCTCGATCTTGTCCAGCTGTAACGTCGTGTATTCGATGTTGTTTAATTTGACAAGAGATTCGGGCAAGAATTGAAACGGCTCAACCTTTTCTCTATTAGCCCAGGTGTCCTTTGCCATTTGAACCCACTTCTCCTGCCTCGTCTGGCGCGAAGCAGCTTCCTGTTCGGGCGTCATTCGATCCATCTCCTTGACGAACTTTTGTTCGACGAGTTCGCAATACCTAGCAATTCCGATGCCAATCGATTTTGAGATGGCTGTCATGAACTTCGCATATTGCAGGTCATCATCCCACTCGAGTTTGATGATTTGATCGATAGTCTGACTGAAGGAGCGGAACATGTCCACAGCAGACACACTGTGGCGCTCCTCGTCTGTCGCGATATTTTCCGGATGGGAAGTTCGAACATTGAAATCATCTTGGTTGACAGCACCTTCAACCCAACCCAGCATGTTTGCATCAGTCATCGCGATCCATCGCCACACGAACTCAGCCAGTAGCCCTTCGATATGGAACGCAAATGGAACACTAGGAAGCGCCTGCGAATGGACCTTGCGAATGCTGACGAGCTCTTTGTAAAGGTCGAAGCCATCTTGTATCGGGACGTCTTCATTCCGTCCTCTGACAACCTCGATCACACGCGATACCAGGTCTCGAGCATCAGCCGCGAACGAGGGCAAGATCTCTTTGACCAAAGCAGTCAAAGGGTTGACTCCCATGATCTCGGGATTTTTTCGGTAACGCTTCTGTATCTTGTCAGCAAGCGTGACTACCGCTTTGCCAAGTTGTATGACATGGTAGAACTCCCAAGACTCTGCGTCCTCGGGGACATGTTTCGAGAGCATGCCGTTATAGGCCTCTCGGGCTTTCTGTCTCAGCGCGTCATGCAGAGCCACCGTGAACTCGTCCAGATCCTCAGGGGTCTTCGCGAAAAGAGGATCCTCATATATATGGGTCTCTAGGATATACATGGCGGGGCCAACGGATGGCGGTTTTGGCTCGTAGCAGTGTTGTAAAAGTTCGAAAAGTTCTCTCAGCAGTGCGTCGTGGATTGAAGAAAGCGAATGTTGTTGGAGTGTAACGTCGGCAACCGTCCATTTAGATGCGTCGAACATGGCAGCAGGAGTCATTTGACTCATGCGATTGACCTTCTTTACTTCGATTGGAGGCGTTTTCACATACATGAATGCTGCGTCAAGAGTGTCCAAGGTAATTTCCTGGAGATCGAACTTCTCCCTGATGACATCCAGGAACAATGACATTTTTGAGGTCTGGGGCATACGCCATCGCATAGCCAGCTCGTTGAGGACGTCCGCAGATCGTTTTGAAAGCAGTTGTATTTCTGGACCATCCGTACCCTCTGCCTCGTCATCTTGGAATATGTCGTTCTCTAGAGCTTTCCTCAGCACAGCACGGTAATAAGCTCTTGGGTCAGAAGGAATATAAGTAAAGGCAGTGTCATCGCTGACTGAATCACGCGGCGAATCGCTTAAACTCAACGTGCCCGCGTCAAGAGAACGTTCGGTCGAGAAAGATGAATCAACATCATCGTGCAATGCGACAGGTGGAGATTTGGTAGCAGCCGAGTTGGTAGTGCTCTTTGCAAGCTCGGGATTGGATTGTATGATGGCCAGCATCAGCTGTGAGAGGTCCTGAATCTCTGTCTTTTTCCATGTCTCATAGGCATCCTCGGATTGAAAGTCTTGACTACCAAGGGTCCTACTTGAGTTTAGGCTGAGATGCATCTGATATAATTTCAAGTCTTGGAGAGCGGCCTGCTCAGTCCACAGCGCCTTATGTGCATCAATGTCGGCCTGTATTTGGTCGTACGAAGTGCCAAATATATTCGCGATACGGAGGACCAACGGCATGTCTTTGACCTCAGAGCTACGAGGAACCTCGACTTCGATGGTTGTGCTACCCGAAGCTTGAGGCGCACTGGTAAGATCCTGAGCATGTACCAGCAACTTGCTCTCGAGCGTCTGTAGGCGAGAGGTGAGCTCGGGACGATCGCGCGCCCAGTCGTCTTTCTTTAGAGTCGAGCTTATAAGGCGCACAAACAGAGCAACATGACGATCGACCATGAGCTTCCATGAATCGTCTTCGGACGTCTTTCCCTTTTGCAACTCGGATGTAGCCTTGGAGAAGAAGATTAAGAGGAGGTCCTCAACACGGCGATCTTTCTCCATGGACTTGCGGAAGGTAGGGTTCTTGAACTCGTTCAGAAAGGTGGCAAAGGTGCGCTTGACCAGGGGATCGTTGTACTCGGGCATGCGCTCTTTGCCAACAAGCACGCCGGTGATACGTTTGTCAAGCTCGCCGGTGAAGCCATGTGGTAGGCGGGTACTCTTGGAGTCTCTGATGGAGGAGAAGTCTTTGACCAAGTCTGTGATGGAAGTCGAGGAGCGCGAAACCGGCTTGACGGGCTGGGCGACATGTTGAATACGGCGGGCCTTTGGTTGCAGTAGGTGCGAAAGATAGGCGGTGCGTAGGGCAAAGGAATAGGCATCGTGCTCGTCGACAAGCCTTCGCGCAGGCTGCAGGCTCTGGACACGGCGACCCGTCACAGATGAGCGAGCCGACGCCGACGACATGATTCCACAGTCGACAGGGGGTCGTTCAACGAGGGCGCAGCGAGAGTAGCGGAGAGGTGGTCTCGTTGGACATCTGCCATCAGTCGGGAATGGCAAAGGGGCCGCTCGCTTTCTTGTTTAGCCGTTGCTGGTGATGCTGTGTTGATGTTTCAGCTGCTGCTGTTGCCGCTGTTGCTGTTGCTGCTGCCACTGACGCGCTGGCCTTCCCTTCAAGCAGATGCAGATCCGAACAAGGCAAACTCAATAGAAGACGACCAGTCCAAGTGCTATCGTTCTTTACCTCGTGCACTCCCTTTTCTCAGAAGCCTTTTTGACCGCAGCTTACCAGCGCGCATCCGTATCCACAGCGTCTCACGCGTCATACTTAATTGGCCATTCCGTCTCCCGCTAATTGATCGCCCGCTGCGCTCGCCGTGTTTCAGCTTTCTCTTGGCTCCCACCCTGTCACAGTAATCATGCCCACCTCCGTGCCATCGTAAGAATGTCTTTTGCTTGAGACCAGACTGTTTATGTGCTTGCACGCGCTGGCTCTGCACACGCAGTAGCTGCTCAGTGGCAGACTTGGCCTGACCCAGTAGACCAGGCTGCTTCTGCTCGTGCTTTCCTAGACTCAACGCCGATGCCATGCCTCCCTGCTGACATGCTGCTCTCCACTTTCCTGTCGAGGGTGCCTTCTCCATCCGTCACCTGCATCATACCAGTCCTCTTGCACCCCCGATTCACTCCTCGCCGACCGCCCGCTCACAGATTGCTCAAGAAGAATCTTCGTCAGCCTTCCTCTCTCCCATCTTCACTCCCATCTTTCACCCACGTGCTGCTGCGTTGACCGCCTCTTCCAAGAGTGTCTTCTCCTGTCTTTGCATTGATCACAGTCTTCAGTACTTGCGCAAAGCTGTTGCCTCTTTACTCCTCCACACACTGCTTGACGCCCTATTGTCGATCATCAAGTTCGACTGCTATGGCTAACAACAATGCCGGCGCATCCAACTTCGCCGATAAGCCACGCCTGACAGAACAAGAAAAGAAAAACAACCACATTGCGTCGGAACAGAAACGCAGACAAGCAATTCGCGAAGGCTTTGACCGTCTGGCTGAGATCGTTCCCAACATGTCAGGTCAGGGTCGTAGCGAAGCCGTCATGCTCTCTGCAACCGTCACATACATGAGGGCTCAACTGGCCAAAAAGGACACGCTCAAGGAAATCGCTGCAAAACTCAACGTCAGTGATGGCGATTTTGAGCAGATGTATCGTGAGGAACGTGCCAGAATCAATCAGACCTACGACCGTTCATGAGACCGACCCACGACCGTCATGTCACATCGACGCGTCCCCTAACCACTATGCCCCGTGCTTCTTCACCAGGTGGGTATGTGTTGCCCCGATTATTATCACTATTTCCCCCCTATTGATCACCGCTACCAGCTCTGTAACAAATTAATTCACCTCGCTATCACACTGCCACCAGCTCAAGGCTGTTACTTTGGCGATCAGCTCCAACACGACTTTATCGACATCTTATCGCATATATCATCGACATTGGAGGATTGCCTTCACCGCATGCTTCAACCATCCTTTGCAATCCCTCGCACTTATACAAGTCATCTCTTACAGCACTATCGAGCTTGGCGCTATTGTCGACCGTAGCGATGCTTCACCTTTGCGCTTGGAAGCTCTAAACATTACTTTCAGGAAGGCATATAGAATAGTTCGACTGCATATCGACAAGACACGGCTTCGTCATTACTTTTCGCATGACTAGTTTCACGACGCACTTGAACTTCCCTCTGCAATTGTAGATGTACAGAAGAACGTTGAAGGATAGAACGAGTAATCCAATAAGAGAGGATGTGGTCCGGTTTTGCTCACAGCGATATTCTTCTTGGCCAATTCTCGTGCTGCTGAAGACTACGAGGTCCCAGTGTCCCACTATGGGACAAAGCTCTGTGCGGAGTGTCTTACCCGGATCTCTCAGCACTCATGTTCCGTTCCTTCTCAGTACTTGCCGCTGGTCGACGTACTCTTTTTTTTTCTGCAAGCCTTGCACCCACCTAAATAATGAAGCTTGACTGAGTGGTAGAGTGAGCACAAACTTGTATGTCAGAAACCATGTCTGCACCAATCGATAGTTTGTTTGCGTAAAGAGCCTTAGGGAGTCTAGGCTCCAATACGCCGTGTAGGGCAGTAAGGTTCGGCCGTTGGGACACTTGCAGGAGAACCAAGTTCGCACTTGTCCGGCAGAGACGGATCAGCTCGGACACGCCTCAGCACGTGTCGCATACATGTTGCGCAGATGGCAGCTACTCGATCAGCAGTAATTCGATCCGGTGCACTATCACTCGTTTCCTGTGGTAGTTTCTCGATCCAAACGGTTCGCAGGCCGGACTCGAGAAAGAACGGGCAAATCTGGTGGGAGGAATGACTATCAGTTCAATATTCACCGGCTACCCTTTTTGCTCGAGAAGTTTTGTGTAGGTTCGTCTACGGTGCCGAGTTTCGAAGTCCACTCATGTTACGGACGTATCGAGTCAAAACGATGTCTTGCATTGTCGATCGCTGAGTTGCAGTTTTCTGGAAGGCACGCATTACGCCGAGAATGGGACGGGCGCTGATCCTCCTTACCAAGTTGCGATCCAGGGGAATAGGGCCAGTGGCCGGTGTCATGCGCCATTATCAGAAGCGCAGGTCATGATAGCCCTGAGGTAGAAGGAGATTATCGCAAGTCAGACAACTTGACCCTATAGACAGTGCTTTGATTGCTATCGTGGCCCAAACATTGTACGATCTAATCGAACTGGGCGCAAACAAAGGGTGGTTCGGTGGTGGTGCCAGCACAAGCCACCTATACCCGTTAGAGACGTCGTCTCCCAAGGTTCTAGTGCATGCCACGGACGATGCGGGCGACTCATGATCTCGGCCTTGAGGCGTTGAAGCCTCATCGTGCTAAGTCCTCCAACCCTTGGACATAATACAGTGACATTGCCCGGCATCTCTTCTGAGCCAGCAGACTTGCAACAATCATCTCTAGCATCGACCAAAGGTGACCTGGAAGTCATTTCGGCATACATAACACCACGTTCTCAGAATTCAACACTACAACATGTTCGAGAACTACACAGTGACGGCATCGCGCCATCCTTCGTCGCTACCGCTCTGCCACGAAGATCTGTTCGGACCCGAATGGAATGTTCCTCGCACTTCTTTGTCCTGCGAATCTCAGTCGTCCATCGCGCAACTCTCTCTACAATTCAGCGAAATGCGTTACACATCACAGCCCTTTTCTCATTCTCAAAACCAACAAACAAAGCCCAAACACGAGCTAGACTCGGCGCTCGAACCTGTGGACTATGTGGGTTCGCTGTGTCCCTCAAGGAGGCGGGCTCAGAGGCAACACGGAGGACGAATGCTCTGCGATCCATCTCATCTTCGGAACATCCAGGCCATGGTAGACAGAATGGTGCAATCTGGAGATCAATGCGCTGTATCACCATCTCGAGCATCTAGTGTCGAGACAAGGCCGTTACCTGCGGAAGACGAAGGTTACAGCAGTCTCGACGACAAGCGACGCCAGGGATCAATTTCATCAATATCATCTGCCGGGTCTTCTGGGTCTGCCCTGTCATTTCGACGTTCAGCGGACTCGGTCACAGGCGCCTGTGTGTCGAAACAGGTCCGCGTCAAGAAGGCCCGCAACGCCAGAGGACCTTCCAAGCAGCAGTAAACAGTCTTCGGAGGAAAAAGTGGCAGGGTGGTGACGATTTATGAACTTTGATTATTGGGGTGGAAGGATGTGACAGACATTAGGGAACTTTTGCCATACTGCGGGCGCTGATGACAGCTGCCAGAGATACCCCTCTAGAAGATATTAATATAGTGCAGAATGACATGTGTCAATCAAGCGCAGCTGACGACTGCAACTTCATTACTCTGTCATGACAAGACTGCACTTGGACTCTGCCTATAGGACTTGATGATAGAGAAGGCTCGGAAGCAGTTGATTACTCGAGTCCTCATGGGTCAGGCTTCAGCTCATGGGTAGACGGCGGGGTCAATGCCAAGACCAAGCAAAATCCAAAGCATGCAAAGTCGTGAGTCGCTGCGTGCAAGCAGACAAGCATGGCGCTATCGGGACTTGTCAGGCCCATTGGCAATCGCGCAGTCCATCTACGATTACACCCGCGTGTAGAGACGCTAGCCGAAAGTCGTGAGATTCTGCGCCTGCTCCAACAGTACGGACGAGTCGACATGTTTCGCAGCTTCAAGTACGACGCGCTGCCCATGCCCAACACGATGATCGCCATGTACGAGAGCGAAGAGGCGGCACGGAAGCTAATGGAGGCATCGCCGCTGCGCTTCGTCATGAGAGCCGAGGAGTCGGGCGGCCAGCGTCAAAGACACTACCAGCTACAAGTCAACAGCTCGACCTTCCACCATCGCGACCACATTGAGCAAAACGCCTACAACGGCTCCTTCGCCGTCTCGACCAGGTGTCTCGTTCAGGAGGATCTGGCCAAGAACGTGCCCATGCCGGGCCTGAGCGACTTCACTCTGGGAAAGGAGGAAAAGCCTTGGAATGTGATCCGCTGGGAGAAGCACAGAGAGGAGACGCAGGCAAAGACCATGAGGCAGCTTGCACAACAAGACGACAAGTCGACTGACTGATGTTACCACGCCCAACAACACTCACCCTCTCGCCCTCTCGCCCTCTCGCCCTCTCGCCCTCTCGCCCTCTCGCCCTCTCGCCCTCTCACTCCTACGCCTACTGCAGCACGCACGCCTCATCTTTGAGAGCATCCAACAGATCCACTGCCCTGCCGCCGTCCGCCTGCTCCAAGCGCCCAATAACCAATGCCTTGGCCAGGAACTTGGATCTGTAACCATCGTCCGCTGTAATCACCCGCCCACGGTATACGTTACGGGGCAAGTGCCGCAGCTCTGGCGCGATGCTCGTGTCCTGTTCACTGCCCTCTTTCTCCAACAACCTCTGAGCCATGACACCGCCACCCTTTCTGTATGCAAGCAGATGGTCCCCACATACTATCCTGATCAGAACCAGGTCCCCTCGACGCTCTCTGGCAAATTCTTCTTCCAGCTCGCGCATGTTCAACACCCCAGTCGTCTTACGCTCGATCGCTTGCTCTTTGAAAACCTGGCCGAACTGATAAAGTACCGTGTTGCCGCTCTTTCTCATAAGCGTCGCGAGTTCTGCCGCCCTGTCGACAATCGTGTATAGCCCTTTCACCACTTCACCATGAGGGTCATGCTCGGTGGAGCGCCTAAGCTCGAAAAGTGGCTTTAGCAATTCTGCGATCTGTAGCGCCATCTTGAAAACGTCATGCTTTCTCACGCTGCTAGTATTCAAATTCACTCGATGTTGAATCTCGTAAGACGTGATATATTGCGCGCGTTGCTCTGCACGGTAAAACCCTGTCACTTAGTCAGATATCTTATCCATGGACGCGCAGTTCGATCAAGACGTACCATCCCGGCCCTCCTCTTGCTTCTCATTCTTATCCAGTTCGTCCTGTAGATCCTGAGGCGCGCCAAACAAGAGACTGTTAAAGACATGCCTAACAAGCACTCTGTTGATTATGGCGAAACTGAGTCCATAACGACAGGTTTTGTCTCTGATTACGGTCAACCATGTGTCTGGGCCACCACCACCATCGGCTACCAGTCGTGTAATGTCCAGGAGTTCCAACTTGCCCTGTCCTTTGGCGCCGGCCCATGTTCGCCATTGCGTGGGCGTACGTGGATCTGCCTGGTGTTCGAAGTGCTTGGCGCAGAATTCGTTGATGTGAGAGCGGAGTGCATCCAGTTTGCACATCACTGTGGCATCTAGCTCATTGTCCTTCCTCTCCCGTGGCGTTAGACTTGCTAAGGGAGTCGGATCCGAGGTTCCTGTGTATTCTCCCACATCCTTGTACGAGACCAATTCATCCTCCCTGGTTCTTAATGGCGCAGGATCTGCCTCGGTGGAGCGAGCTGTCGGAACATTGGGATGCTGAAATTCCTCTTGGACTGGACTGATGTTCTTGTCGAATACTCTACCAGGATCAACCCTGGACGTGCTGCGAGCGGTAGAAGATGCCCTATGGGAGTCGACTTTCGACGTGCTGCTTCCAGAAGAACTTCCAGATCGCGATGCCTGCGTACGCGGGTTTCTCGCCTTGGATGCCTCTTCCTGTAGTTGTTGACTGGCGTCACGATCGCGACGCATAGCTTCTTCTTCGTCTTCTAGTTCTCCTTCGATGGTCTCTCCAACTGCCTCCCCCTCCGCATCAACTAGTCTTCTGCTGTTTTGGGGCACGGTAGCTTCTGATTGCCACGATACGTTCTTTGCCTTCACTGGTGAAAGCTTCTTGTCGTTACGTGTATGAATGTGGCGCTCATGCTCTGCGAGGTCGATATTGGGTGATTCTCCATCTGATCGGTACTGTTCTAATTCATCCTCACCAGTCTCATCCTGCGTGTACTGTCTGCGTGATGGCATGGGCATATTTTATAGCAAACTTCGACTGAAATGTTAGGAAATGGAAACAGAAAAGTTGGTTTGGATGTGGACATTAGCTGCCATGCTAAAAGCTTTTGCAGTTTGCTGGTCTGCAGGCTTTGTTTATGTTTCCATTCCGTTCCAGAGGCTGCCGGAATGTGAAAGACAAGGAATGTGAAACGGACATTTGAAGCAATGCCAAATCATATGACAAAATTTCCGAACGACTGTATAATCCAGCAATAATGTCGCCAACCAAATTCGAGAGTCGAACACATCAACCAATCCAATCACTTGCAGCATCGCCTGGCTTTGCGTGGCCTAACTTGAGAAATTGAAAATGATCATGAGTAGAAGCAGATGCGGCGCCATCAACGCTGCCAGCACTGCCAGTATCGGCGACGTTTATAGATGTGGTTGCGGCGGAAAATGTATTCGTATCGGTTTGGGTTGTTTTAGGAAGGACTGTAGCCATGGGAGGGCTGATCGAAACCGAGACAGGCAAGAGACTGAGAAAGGTGGATGGTCTCCTGCGTTGCTGGTTGGCGGCGACTATGTTTATCGGAGTAGAAGGTGAGGCCATCTTTGTCTAGGCCAGTTATTGCTTGAGATATTTGTGGGACGTGAGACACTCCTAGGATATTGTTATCCAAGGGTCGAGCCAGGCCTTGACAATATTCCTATTTACAATGGACTTCTGAGAGCTCTATATGTTCACCAACAAGCAGACTGACGTACGGCTTCCCCGCTACTGTTACCTTGGACAGCATCTTACATCAATCGTTTTTAGACAATATTACCAAAGTCGTTGGATCCGGATGAGTGGACGACAATGTTACGGACGCGGGGTGCACATACTAGCTTAGCATATGATTGTTCATGGTCACAGAATACATTCGACATTGACTTACCCAGCGGCAATCCGTTCTCTTCCGCAAACTCGATGTTGTCGCCATCTTTGATAGATACCCGAGCGAGCCACTGGCCAGTTTCGAGGGTTGTCTGACTACCAAACAATGTTGATCTGCTGACCAGTCCGAATGATCTATACCTTCAATGCTTGTAAGAAAGATGTAAACAAGGGCCGAGTGATCGGATGCTGGTCTCGACCGGCCAATCAGACGTCAATGCGACCTCCAGCGAGCAGATGGTGTATTGGAAAGGTGTTCTTCTGAGTGAGGACGATGTGCAGCAGCTGGAGTGCTTTGAGTAGTGTATACAGGTCGACATCCTGAGCATGAGCAGACCCTCTGTTCGCATGCATGGCATTGCATCAAGGAGCCGCGGGTCGGACATTATCGCGGACAAGAGTCCGTCTACCGTACGAAAAGGCAGGCAAGGCTCTCGCTAAAACAATATGAACGTGACAAGCATGCTCTCAGTTGTCAAGACGCACGGCCCCTATCTAAGATGATGTATATCCCGTCATATATTGATCCGAGCACAGAGTCGATTGCGCAAAGTCAAACGTGACATCTCGAGTTTGAGGAAACGAAAGAATGTGAGCCGTGAGCCTGTGAAACGAAGCCCACCAATTTGTTTTAATTGCTCGCTACTGGGCCAAGCAAGGAAGCGGGGCAGGCTTCGGTGGAGCAGTACCGTAGGTAAATGCTGCGCCGGCGAATTGCTGCCATTGAATGCTCGTTGCCTTGTTTATACGAACAACGAACATTGTCGCCAATTTTACACGAGCGATTCGTACTCCTGGACACATTGCAGAAGATGACATGACGGGCAAACGACAACAATAACTTCAGCAGGCTTGGGCCCGAACCCCACGGCTTTCGAGCCGCTAGCAGCTCGATTGTTTCAAGCGAAAAAAAGTGAGGGGCGCCCATTATGATGACGGACACGGCATGCGTAAGCGCAAGGATAGTCGGCCAGGTATGCTGCCCAGTCGTAGTGGTAAATAAAACTGTCGTACAGCACGCGGGACAAAGTTCCGACGGCAACAGGGCAAGCAGAAGACAACGAGAGCACAAAAAGAGCGGCAGGGAAAACAGAAGCCGTTGCACCATCTGTCAACCCTCAGGATATGAATTTGTTGGCGCGCTTGTGTGCAGTAGTCGGCTGTCAAGACCTTCGGCTCGCGGGTACCCGCTCGTAGTCTGGGAGGACCCTTGCCTTTTGATCGCCATCGGGAGGGAGCGCATGCCTGCGGGTCTTCTAACGGCTATCCATGTGTTGCAAAGCTGGTGCAAACAGTGCTAGCATTTCGTGAGACTATCCGACGGGCTGGTTGCTTTGCCCTTTATAAGACCCAACGCGAGCCAGTGCAAGTCAAAAGATGTCCATTCGTCGTGTGTGTGCACCTTTTCAAACATCTCTTGTCCTTGTAAACTGCGGCAGATAGTGGTATTTCAACCAGGTCAGTGAGTGTATGATCGTCAATAAAAACGCTCCATCAAAGCTAACGATTTCTCAGAGTCGAATATCCCTTTGTAGCTTGGCTGGTCTCCACGCTTGTTGCAGACTGCAACAAAACATCCTTGCCCAAACCACTCGTCCTTCCGGAACATTTCTCCTCGGCGCCCAACAACAAACATGTGCACAAAAATTGTCCATGTCTTCAAATGCGGACATCAGCAAGTGGATCTGGCTCCTTGCGCCGCCTCGAGAGTCGCAAAATGTCCCAACTCGCAAGACAAAAGGATCAACCACGATCAACGCTGTTCAAATTGCCGGAGATGACAAAGTAAGGCTTGGAATCTAGAGCCCCCCTGGACAAACGCTAACACAATTCAGTTCCACTCGAATGATCAATTGCGGTGTAGGATAATGCAGAGACGACGTCCGATCTGGAACGAAATGTTTAATGTTCTACGAATTGGTTGTTGGCAAGAGTCATGGCTGGCGTTGACATGGGTTGGTTTTTTCATATTTTACTGGAACTCATGGTGAACATCGTTCATCGGCGTTTGGCTAGTCAAAAAGGGCAGGTTTAGCGCGGCGTATGGTTATGTTGGCAGTCAACTCGTCCAGCAAACACTGGACAAGAAATGATCAGTGAATTGCAGTTTGCTTCAGAAATCAATCTCGTCGCCCATGATACGATCTTCAAAGATTTTTCTCAATGTGCAGAAGCAAGGTTCAGCTACTGTTGCAAGATTCTGTACGCGTTGAGTGTTGATAGATTCCAAGTGGAATGATCAATTATGCCGTTATCGAAATGCTCTGATCGAAAGTGACCTGCATCTGATACGTACCTCTTCCCCATGTCATGATTCTTGAGTTGTCACAAACAAAGCAGCGACTGGCTGTCAGGATCCGGTACGGGCCGAGTGGGCATTGCAGGATACAGCAGATGGCTGCAGGTGTGCAGCGCGCTTGGGCAGCTTTCCGCTGTCATGCCAGACAGAGCCTTAGGAGACCTGAAACGTGGCTGCAAGGGCACAAGAGCACCTATTCTCTTGGTCCAGGGACTGTTCAATTGTCGTAAAGTAGGAAAGTCCATTGGAGATGATCGTAATCATCCGATTTGCTGTCTGGCCGAAGAACGAGAGACAAACATGTAGAAGTGTCGGTGAGTCGAGCGAGGTTCAGTTGGCTGGAAAGTGGAGAAGGATCCCAGCAGCCGACAATCCGCCTCGACTTGCCCTGCCCCGACAGCGCCTAGCAGATCCGACGTCTTGTCAGTTTTGACGGCAAACATGTCGATAGACATCAACTGGGACACCCTCACGACAGGTCCCGACGGCGAGGCGCTGGCAGAAAGTATCAGAGCCTTCATCCATGATCGCTTCCAGAAGATCGCGCTTCCGCGTATGATACGCTCCGTCAAATGTCACGCTTTTGAATTCGGGAATGTCGCCCCGACTATTGAACTCAAGGACGTCTGCGATCCTCTACCTGACTTTTACGAGAATGATGCAGATGACAGTCAAGAAGATAACGAGACTCCCGGTCAATTGGATGGAGACCAGCACAACGTTGCAACTCCTAGAGTCTACGAAACGCGTCCTCAGTATCAGCACAATGCGTCACTAAGCCGCGACGAATTTCACAACCCTCGATCGACAAATTCTCGAGAGTATATGGGGAACCCGATTCTATCCAGAACAGCTACGCCAGGAATCTTAGGAGGAACGTCGAACCTGGGCTATTTTCACTTGCCTCTATCGGCAGGTCTCTCAGGCACTACGACCCCGTTGGCTGCTGTGGCCGGCGCTCAATTTCACAACGCGCGACACGGTCCGTCTCAGTTGGCTCAGTCACCAGAAAGTAACTACTCTGACAGCGACACGAGGCACCGCTCAACCTCATTTGGCTCCCTGACTCCCTCCTCTTCCAAGTCGTCGTCACGGCCCACATCCAAACACCTTGACTGGCCCGAGGAAGCTCTAGAGCACGATGACTGCGACTCAGAAACATCTCACCATGGCCTTGGGGAGGACCAAGAACGCAGTTCAGAGGACGTTCAGATGGTCTTTCACGTGGCGTACTGTGGTGATGTCAAACTAAGATTGACTGCAGAGATATCACTGGATTATCCAATGCCGAGTTTTGTAGGGATTCCTCTGCAGCTCAACATTACCGGTCTTACTTTCGACGGTGTTGGCATATTGGCTTATATCAGGAAAAAGGCACATTTTTGTTTTCTTTGTCAGGAAGACGCCGAATCTCTGGTCGGTGGGTCGTTGACAGGCGAGCATGAAGAGCACAGCACCAGTCGAGAGATTCCACCGCAGGGCTCACGCAAGCTCGGTGCTCTCTTGGAGGAGATCAAGGTCGAAAGCGAGATTGGTCAACGCGAGGGAGGAAAGCAAGTTCTCAAGAATGTGGGGAAGGTGGAGAAATTTGTCCTTGAACAGGTGCGTCGCATCTTTGATGACGAATTTGTGTATCCCAGCTTCTGGACGTTCTTGGTTTGAGAGACAGCTGTCGATAACGACCTGCGGTAGCAGCAACGGAGCTAAGAGGCGCCGATCCATTCTTCATATCCTGACACTATGTAGTTCGATATGATATCGCGCTCGATTCCCAATGCGAATGACATAAATGAAACAAGTCACCTTTCCAAGCCCCTGATCTTGCTCCTTGACACCGCTTGTTACGAATGATTTTGCAAGCACATAATCTGCAGGGCCCGACAAAGGCATCCCACAGCTGTCAAATACAAGCCTCTCTGTGCGACTGAATGCGGCCATCGGTCGATGTACAGTAGACACGGCTTTTCAGTTACACCACACTTGGTGATTACGGCACGCTACCCGTTCGGGGCCAGCGAACTGGACTTTGCACAACGGATACCATCGCACACTGCGTTGTTCATTTTTAAACGACAATATTCAGCTTAGGTTCGTCCTTCCCGTTGGTCGTGACTCGTATGGGCGCCCGGAAGGAAATGGAACAAATCTGAGACTCTGCCCAGCACATTGAACGCCATCGGAATGCGTAGAAAGAGGCAAGACGCGTCGATCTAGCAGTGAGAACACCTTCAAGTGTCTTGTATTGTAGAAGTAACCTTAGCGAAATTAGAATAGACTCTCTCCATCCGGATAAGGCAGCCTCCGCTTGTGACCGCTATCAATAAGCCACCATACTAGCCAAGCCATCAAGCTCGCGCTGGTAGTTCTTGAGCTGCGACATGGCATACGAGAATGCCGTGGTGAAATCCTTAGCACCCTTTACCAGTTCCACGGTATCCTTGAAGCTGATGGCCTCGGTCTTGCCTATGGTAACGACACCGTAGGAGTCGATTGCATCACTTCCCTCAGAAAAGGTCATACCGAGAAGCTGGCAAGCGTCCTTGACGAATGCAACAGCTTCGTGCAAAGCTCCAATAGCCTTGAGATGGCCGAACGCTTCCCGTACATAATGAAGAGCACGATTATTTCGACGAAGAGTATTGACACTCTCTTCACCACCAACCAGGACGATCGAAGCATACATCGTGCTTCTTTGTCCCTAGAGGTTATGATCAGGAACCACACCCTTGCCAAAGTCTCTGCTCTCGCCAGCAGCATAGATGGGAAGGCGACGAGGAGCAATGGTGAACGGCAGAGCCCCTTGTGCAGATAGGGCGGCCTTGATGCCATTGTAAGCAACAGCATCATAGCCATCTGCGATTAGAATGGCCACCATTCTTGTGGCACTGGTCAAGTACGAGAGGCTCGGGATCTGCCACATACATGACATCTCTACAGCTAACCCTCAAATCAGCCTCGAATGCTTTCCTTTGTAGTGCAATCAATTGTTAAACATACGTCAGACATACTATATCGACGATCTTCTGTTCCTGATAAGTTCGATGCGGAGAACCTACCCGAACAGCGTCCACGGTGCTTCAAACGGTTCATGTATTCTGCGGTAATCTCCGTACTCAGGCACTCGTTGTTCGGCAAAGAGTGAGACAGTCCCTTCGTCGCGTCGCCAAGTATGGAACCTGATAAAGGACCGTCCACAATACAAGCCACGAACTGCCGAAGGACTGAGTATTGGAGGACTTACCCCATTGATCCAGTCAAGGGAGTTGAGCGGTCAACGGTGCTGCCAACTAGCAGGCAGCTATCATGGTCAAGGCTTGCGATCAACAGTGGGGCATACTTCGTCGCATAGAATGAAGCTACAAGGTGAAGCCCGAGGACTTCGTTCCGTATGCCCATCTAGAAAACTTGGGCTCCCTCTCTATGTGCCGTTAGATAGCTCCGAAGTCCCTCTCTCTATCGGGGAAGTTTTCGAACCGATATGATATCGTGTGTCGCGACAAATCTTGATGCGAATGTTACTCGACTCAGGGATCGACGTTGTCTTGAGTGTCAAGCCCACGTGCTGGCCATGCGGCTCTGAACCAAGGGTTTACAGCCTCATTTCTTGCTTTTGTTTTGCCGGCTAGCTCGCCGTGTGTTAAAGTCTATTGCTTCTGCTCTGTCTGCTCTTATTACCTTACCGATACTGGTATCAGACAGCGGATTTGACGACTAGGCTCAGATTGAGCACGAACAACGGCAGGTCGTCGACAAGTGCGCCGTCGCTCTTTCTGAACACCTAATGTGTCTAACCTATAGGTGTTAATAAGTGTATACAGCGTTCAATTTGTCTATAAGGATGGGAGGGAAATTAGAAAAAGAAGGAGAAAGTAAAGATACCCTTATCACAAATCTAGGGATGATGCAGAGACCATCCTGACCTTTTATCAGACTCACCTTTTGCATGTGCCTCACAGTATCAATCCCAGCATTGACGTAGCCTTCCCCAAGATATAATTCGAAGAGGAGGACTTTTGCTCGAGCGAGGCATCAGTACCACGATCACGTAAGCCTTCCACACTCGCCTTACTACCACGACTTTCTGGAGTCCTCGCCTGTCCACGGAAGATCCATGTCGTCTTGCAGCGAGGATGCATCTCTCCCTTTTCCACGCCCAAATGTGTCTACTTACTAGATCGATTGAAGAACCCGGCGCTCACGCCGTACGATTTCCGCGCTAGCTACATCGAGCTAGATGGCCGCAGAGAGCGCGAGAAGCATTACGGTTGCTCTCGACAACGATTGGCAAACAACGCCAGCAATGAGGAACACATGATCACCAACGAACAAGAGTTTGCGAACTTGGACGTGGATATTATTGATCATGTTGAACATCTGTCGTGGAATCACGCTGTAATTTTACAGATAGAATTATTGACCAGAACATAGACGAGTGCAGCACGGATCGAAACGAGAAAGCAGGAAATGTGCAAGCATCGGCAATACTAAGTCAATCAAGTATATACACATAACTATCAGGAAACTATTGATTGTAGTGTAGACGTTTAAACAGAAGTGCAAGAGGCGTTAGAAGAGAAGGAGAAATACATCAAGGGTATACACGTCATATTAAGAACTCGTAGATCAATCATTCATAAATTCGGGAAGACTCTCCTCAGAAGCTTGCGCGCCTTTGAGGTTCTTGGTTGTGGCTCACTGTCATCTGCAGACTCCTGGAGCCCAGACATGGCCAGCGCTCGTCTCCGAGCCCATTCCCTTCGCCCTTGTGCGGTGGTAGGGGTGCTCTGGTCCGTAGCTGCGGTCGATTCCATGTGCGCTGGTAGAGGCGTCATCTCTACCGGAGGACCGAGAACAGGCGGTGATCCGCTGGCGTTCGTAGACGCACGCGCGCGTGGACCGAAGAGCATTAAATTGCTTGCAGTAGGTGCGTGAGTCCCGGCAGCATGACGAGCTCTGCGAGTCGCGTTCCGTCTCAAATATCTCTCTCGCCTAACGTGAGCATTTGTGATCTTCCCAGGGACGTAGCCTGGAGGTAGGACCGACTGCTTGCACAACGGACACAATGATGATGTTTCCAGCAAGAACAGATCAATGCATTGCGAATGGAAACAATGGGCGCAACCTAATTGACGTACTTGACTCTGTGACTCTGCGAAATCGTCCAAGCATATTGCACAAGTAGACTGCTCAAGCGGGAGCGGCGGCGGCGCTTGTGACGAGCCTTTCTCCGGTAATACCGTGATTGCGGAAGGCGTGTAGGTGTTCATCCGATCTATGATCTCTTGTGGAACGGTCAACTTACCCAAGCCTAGAGCTTCAAGATTGACTTCGCCTCTAGCTATTCTGTCGCGTAAATCATTGCGCCTCTTCCTCTGCAGAATGTGCATGGTCAGGGACAGAGTGCCAATGAGGGCGATGAGAATTGCGAGGATGATCAACAAGAAGATCCAGATGCTTGGAAGATTTGTTCCACCGTTGCTGGTTGCGACTTGCATCATGAGGCGGACTTGCGAATCCGAAGTAATGCCGTTGTCAAGTAGTTGTTGATTGTCGAGCACATCAGAGGCGTTTCCAGAGTATTTGGACATGGTTAGGGTAATCTGCTGGCCAATCTGGGAAGCGATTGCATAGACCGGGTAATCGATGACAGACTTCCAGTGGCCTCCATCTCCGAGACTCCACGTGGGGGAGTTGGCGGAGGCAAGAGGGGAGTTGGTCTGGTCAGGTATGTAGAAGATGAAGGCAGAAACCCTGGGCGCAGCTTGAAGATAGCTGAGGGTACAAGAAGGAGAAATCCATGGAGCTATAGCGATCTTTGGCGAGTCAATCGGAAGATGTTGAAATCTAGTAACGTTTGCAGGCAAGGACTGGGCGCATACGCCAGCAACATCAGGAACATAGAGAAGGCCCAGAGTTTGTGAGGGTGAATAAGCAGTGTTCAGGGTACGAATACTGATGTCTGACGAATAATAGAAGGATGTATTTTGCGGCAGGGTCCGATTAGCAGAGGCATCGTAGCTGCTTATGACTACGCCCGTCATGGCGGCTGCAAGATGAACAATACGACAGAACAGCGCAAAGCTTGGTTGATTTGCTGGCAAGAGGTGGTTGGATCAGGATATCAGCAAGGCCATTGCAGGCAAGCGACACATGCAGAGGAACAGGAACATGGACGAAGGCGAACGGGCGGGCGAATCCAGGCTGGCGAGTCGCGACCGAGGAGCTGAAGACTTGGGGGCGTGATGATGCGGGCAGCGGGATGCGCCTTCCCGGACTTAAGCATGTCAAGCTCCGGTGCACGGCCATGTGGAGAGTGGAGAGTGGAGGGAAAGTGACGGTGATCAGACACTCCCTCGACTCCTCGCACCATCCATCCATCAAGCGCAACACAAGGCGCGCAATCCATGTACTCGGCCAGCCATCATGGCTCCGTCATCCAAGAATACGACATCGCAGGGCCGCCCGCGTGAGAAGCGCTCGCGGTCGCGCGCCACGAGCCCGACATCTACCACCACGAAGACAGCGTCCGTCGGCGCATCCACGACGACCCCATATCTCCACACTTCTCTGCAGGTGCTATCGCCAAATCTGTCCATCGATGCTTTGATGGACAAGCATGCTACAAACTCGCTCAACCCACCTTCGGCCTCGAGCTTGCACGCTTTACATGACAGCATCAACTCACACGTCCTGCTCAACGTCCGCTCCCGAAGCGACGCTTGCGATCGCAGCATGCGCGAACTGTCAAGGAAAAGGAAAATTCGCGCCGACCAGGAAGTCGATCGAGAGCGGCAGGAAGAGGAGGCTGAACAACGCAAGAGAGCCCGCGTGTCCAAGAAGAACGACTCGCACCGGCCACCCGCTGTCGGCGCCCACGGCCTTGCGCGCCAGGACGGTCAGCCCTCTCCGACCCCCGAATCGCCGTCTGCTGTCAAATCCCTGCCTGAACAAAACTCATCTTCGCCCGCCCTCTCCGATGCTGAACACCAGCCCCCTCCCGCGCCTGCAATCGCCCACTACGAAACATTTGGCAACGATCCCACCCAATTCGATGATCCCACCGTCTACCACATCCGCGACTGGACACCAGACATGTCTGACGACGAGAAAAAGGCCATCTTCTGCGTTGCGCGCTTCCCACATGATGATCTGCACGACTTGACGCCAGGCACTCCACCCGACATGGACTTCAGTAGCGCCAAACCCGCCAGTCAGATCAACTTCTCCACCTTTCAAGCATACGTCGAGCCATATATTCGGCCCCTGACCGAAGAAGATGTCGCCTTTCTAAAAGAGCGCGGCGATCGTGTCACACCATACCTTATTCCACCGCGAGGCTTAATGCCATACACCGAAGTCTGGGCCAAGGAGGACGGCGTGAGCCATCACGACTTCAATCTCCGTCTACCTTCGAATGAGCCTAGAGGAAACATCGAAGACATGAATGACGACGTCGCCGAAACAGCGCAGGTCTCTGCTGGTCCCTTGATCTCGCGTCTCATGAGTGGCTTCCGGCATGATCCACATGTGACCAAAGATGATCAATCCAACGGAAATGCCGATGTCTCAATGACCAGTGGGGAAGGTACTGCCGGCACTCAAGAGAACGAGCAAAACCCAAATACCGAAGAGGCATCAGATGCAGTTGCCTCGTTCAAACCTGCGACACACTTTCCCGATCAACACAAGATTCCGCCCAATGTCGGACGCGACTTTGCTCCGCTAGAACAACGAACGTTACAAGAGTTGCGCTATTGCGGGTTTGTCACTCCAGAAGCAACACCCGACTATGACTCGCAATATGATGATGAAGTCGCCGCTCGTCTGCGCTACCTACAATCAGAGCTACAGCGTGTGTCACGAGAGAACACATCACGAAAAGCACGTGTGCTAGAACTGACCGAGGAACGCATGGCCATGCAAGAATACTCGACTATCGCCGATGATTTAGACTCCCAGATCAATACTGCCTATTTGAAGCGCAACCGCACCATGAGTAAGCCCAAGAAGGGAGCAAACAAGGGGAGACCTGGCGGTACAGGCGGCGTGGCTATCAGCAGAAACTTGGTCAGCGAAGGCGTCAAGATGTTGATGGACAGAAGAAAGGAGTGGAGAGAGCTCATCGGTCCGGTTGTCGACTTTGGACAGCAGCGGATACCAAAGGAGACTGTCTTTGACAGGGAAAACATGGAACGACTCGAGACGGTGGAGGCCGATGCTGGTGAAGAGGAGATAGAATAGGTACAAGTGCCATGCTAATTATTGCTAGCGGGCTTGACGCCTAACTGAATGACTTGATGACTACATACGTGCTTGTCATAGCTATGTACAGTTCTGCTGAAATTCGTACAAAGTGAATGCCGTGATTATCGCATTATCACTCAAGGTTACACGGGCTAAGGATCCGGCCGGGATGAACTGCTGTATAGGTCTTTGAACGCTAATTTATCCGGGGCGTTCTTGGCCGTCGGCCGTGGCCGATCCATCTCTTGGGAGGCGGAGAAATAACTAGATGGTCAGGTAGGTTTCTTCAACAGTCGCGTCCCTCAATCTTCTCGGTCGTCCATCTGTCGTTGCAAGACTGAAGCTGGCTTTCCATTTACGTCGAGCAATTGCGTGATATTCGCAGTCATTGCAATTCCATGACTGCCTCTGGGGTTCATAGTAGTTCGCTACCAGAGCGAACCATCTCCAATGACACATCTTTTCTGGACCCGCCGATTGTGCCATTGACCTACCATGGATCGGCAGACAATGAGAAACCACATTCTCTATACCGAGATATAGAGTCTAGGAGTCTACCGGACCAAGACGTGTCTTATCCGGAAGGAGGCAAAGGCTGGTTGGTCGTCTTCGGATCCTTCTGTGGCATGCTTGCAGCCCTGGGGCTTATGAACTCCATAGGCATGTTCTCTTGGTAGTTTTTTGGGATGTGATTCATGGCTAATTGTAACAACAGGTATCTACCAGGCGTATATCGCCAGAAATCAGCTAGTCGATTACACGGAAAGTCAAATTTCTTGGATATTCAGTGTATACTCATTTCTATCTTTCTTCTGTGGTGTACAGATTGGCCCATACTTTGACGCCAAAGGACCTCGCTTCTTGGTACTAGTGGGGAGTATCTGTCTTATAGCTTGTACCCAGCTGCTAGGTATATGTACAAGTAAGTCTCGAGTTTACATCCGGTAATAACAGCGTCTGATGCAACCGAGCTAGAATATTGGCATTTCATGCTTTGCTTTGGAGTTCTTGGAGGCATTGGAACGAGTCTGATATTCACGCCTGCGGTCTCCAGTATCTCTCACTGGTTCCTCTTGAAACGTGGCAATGCGACTGGCATTGCAGCCACTGGAGGTGCCGTTGGTGGTGTCATCTTCCCTCTAATGCTCCAGAATCTTTTCCCAAAAGTCGGTTGGGAATGGGCTACTCGCATCCAAGGCTTCATCTACATCGGGCTTCTACTCATGGCAAATCTCTTCATCCGCTCACGCCTCCCCCCCAAGCCTGGTGGCAGCGTCTTGCCAGACTTTAGAATCTTCCGGGACGTGCCTTTTGCTCTGACCACAGTCGGAGTCTTCTTCGCCGAATGGGGACTGTTCATTCCGATATCTTACCTTACATCCTACGCATTGAATTCGGGCATATTTGGCGAAACATTTTCCTATCAACTCATCGCTATATTCAACGCTGGAAGTGTTATTGGCAGATGGGCTCCTGGGTATCTCGCAGACAAGGCTGGGAGAGTAAACCTGATGATCGTCTGTCTCATCTTGTGCGCTTTTTCGTCGATGGGACTCTGGCTTCCAGCAACAGTTCTCTCTGCATCTGGCAGTGGTAGTGATTCGACAATTATGGGCCTCACAATCTCGTTCGCCATCCTTTTCGGATTCGGCTCTGGGTCCAACATCAGTCTGACCCCCGTCTGCGTTGGGCAGCTTTGCGATACAGAAGAGTACGGCAGGTATTACAGTACTTGCTACACTCTCGTATCGCTTGGTACACTGACCGGTCTACCGATCGCAGGAACATTGCTCGAAGCCTGCAATGGCGAGTACTGGGGACTTGTACTGTTCACAGGCTTATGCTACATAATCTCGTATGTTGCATTCTCGTGGGTCCGAGTGATGAAGCAGGGATGGGGGTTAACCAAGGTCTATTGAGTTATGGTACCATTTTTAGGTGTAAACTGTACAAATTCTTGGGATGATAGCATTATTGGCCAATGCATGGCGAATGCATGGCGAATGAGGCTCCTGTAAAGAGCTGATGAGGCAGATCTTATCTCAGTCTTGAGAGTATTAGCCTTATGACAGCTACAATTTTGATCGTAATGAGCACCTGGGAAGGTTGCCAGGAGTCGGTGGAGCACCCAAAAGTTCGTCGCATCTCTCACGTAGTGTGACCCTGTGATATTTGCGCCTTGTCATCCGTTTCTTGCCTGGCTGTGTTCACCGTACAGCTCGTTTGAACACTTAAGGTCGTCCAGATTCCAGGTAAGCTATATTGGTGTTGATGACCTCTTGTGGAAGACTGTGCCTCTCTCAACGTGTCTATGCATCTGAGATTGCGGAAAAGAATATCTGCGAAAACTCACTATATGACAATGGAAAAGCACAGATGTCTTACTGCAACTAGTACACCTCTCAGTAATAGTAGTATGTAAGGCCCTCCACTGCTTTTTGTAAGTGTGTACTACCAGAAAGTGTAATTGTGGACAGTGCCATGATAAGACCAGGGTGCTCCCATCAACATGGTCACAAGGGTGTAGTTTACAGACGCGAAAACAGAATACGATCATGCCGAACCTTGAAACATATGGATCGCAAGAGCAATTGATTAATATGAGATTTGTCAACTTTAAAGTACATCTGGTACTCATCAGATTTGGATGACACCACCCCTAACTTCGGCTTCTTCGACGCCAAATCCTAGGACCAGACGATAGAGGCTCTCCAACCATTGCCATTCCTCATTCCTGCCTAACCACTTCACCGCCCTAGCGATCTCTACAGTTGTAAGACTTCGGCCAGGCATTGATGCTATGGAACGTAGACTTTTATCAACAAAGACGAGACGCTTGTATTGTTCGACCAGATGAATCTGCCATGTCTGATTGCCAAAAGCACTGGCTGGTAATGATTTGACAAATGCAACGACAGTTTGTCCAGTCGCTCGAGAGAAGCCAGCGTTGAGGGCCGCTTTAAGGATCAAATATCGTAAGCGGAGAAGATGCTTGCCATCAGAGCTTGCGCGTGCAGTGGATGATGTACGCTGTGAGTCTGCGGATTCTGAGTAATCACTCAATATTGATGCATTACTAGACCAACGGTCATGATGTTTGGTACCGCGTGATGACCCAGCGAGACTCGTCGGGATAGCAGGACCAAGCACCAGGATATTGGGCACACTGACAGATTCTGGAGACGAGGCTGTAGTTGCATCATCAAAGATTGTGGTAGGGGTCTCTGGCGGTAATGATGGTGCATCGTGATACTCGCTACTCAAACTTGAAGGAGCTCGTTCGGATTGACCGGCCGAGCGGTGTGATCCTGATGAAGAGAATCCACTTTGGTCAGGTCGCGGTGTACTCCTATCAGGACGAAGATAACTCCAGCCTTCTCTGAAGATGTCTGACAAGTTCCAGCAAGCCTGGATAGCAGATGCAAGTAACTCGTCGAGCCTTCTTGCGTCTTTATCGACCTGCCTCAGGTTGAAGAGAGTCTCGGCCAAGGACCAGCAAGCTCTGAGTAAGGCGTCATTTTCTCGAGCCAGCGAGGTTTGCTGCTTCATCATGCGATGACACAAAGTGACATAGAAATCCAGGGTCCTTTCTCTAAAGGCTTCGGGAAGATGACGATCATGTGTATTGTAAAGGTGGTTGTTCATCTCGAAGCTCACCCTTAGAACAGAGTCAACACTTTCGTCGCCTTTTAGGCGAACGTCGAATAAAGCTTGACAGAATTCTCGACAAATTTCCAGGATATGCAGGGTATTACTACGATCGTTGCAGGACGCATAAAGCTCCCGACAAAGGTACCAGCAGCTTCTCCACGCGTGCTCCTGCCCACTGTCCAATTGCGACTCAGTCAGGTATCGCTGACGATGGTTAGAGCTTAGATTAGATAGAGTGTTACAAAGCGTCCAGCATTCGCCAAGTGCCGATTGGAGCTCAGTGACTTCATCAATGGTGTCCGATCTTGGACTGAAGTCATCTGAATGTTTACCGACAAAAGCGCTACTAGCAATGGTTTCTGGAATATCTTCCCCTCGTCAGTATCAACTGTAGAGTCTTGGGGGAGTTCACGAACCCTCAAGGCTTGACGTGCGTCTAGATCGACTTTTATATTCGTCTTCTATCTCTTGCCGGGTTTGAGCTCGTGGCGTAAATCTATCAAATTCGGTCTCGATCGGTAAATTCGTGTTCAAAGGTGAAGTCATGGACGATAGCCGCTTGTCTTCGGGTCCCAGAGCCGCATCGGGGGTGCTTGGAGATGTATTTTCATAGGAAGAGGCAGGATCTGACATGCGTATACCGCTACCTGAGCCCAATTGACTCGTATCACCCTATTCAAGATGAGTCAGATGACTACTGAGGGTAGCACACGGTGGCACTCACAAGTTCTCCGAATCCAGTGGGCACATGTATTACAGACGTAGGTGCTTCGTCCGAGCTCGAACGTGAATGTGTGGCGACATTCATGTCCAGCTTAGTGAGCTATTTCAAGTCTATGAGTTATGTTGTGGCCAATAATGTCTCATTGGTGCGTACGTTTTCTCGACTCTGCGGCCGACTGTACTGAACAGCATCATCAATCGTGGAATTCTCGATCTCGTCCTGAGCGTCCTCCTCGATATCCGTACTTTCTGTGCCATTGGAATCGGTTGGTGAAGGATCCACCTGTTGAGGATACGGTGATGGAGGAGGAGCTAGATTGTCTGATGTAGTGGATGTCCTAGTCTCAACGGTTAGCGTGTACTGCGACATGAATCTGAGGATTGAGGGCACCTTTTGTGATCAGCAATAGCGGACTGGTAGGGAGCAGGTGAACAAGAAGCTTCAGCGAACAGTTTGAGTGCAGATTCAGAGGGCATTAACACAGCCATAGCGAGGTTCGAACTCAATGCTGTCTCGCGGTATAAATGTGTAGGATAAGGTTGAAGGAGGGGCAAAGGATAGGCGGGTGGACTGCCCTCACATCGCCAGTGGTCTCTGCAAAGACGAAGAGAGACACAGCTTCATGCAAGATCAGACAGTGTAGAAAGTCCCGACTTGTGTATGAAGAGAGTCACTGAGAATAGAAGATCCCATCTATTGACGAGTGAACAACTCGGGAGAAACTACAGCTTGTCGGAGCTGGACTCGAACAGCACATGGACACATACGGCTAGGACTCGCACCCAGGCTTGCGCGGCTAATATGTAGGTCATATGCCATTTGGCGGCATGCTCAGATTTCGGCCAGTGAGATGACTTGTGGAAGCGCCAGGCTTCCCGAAAAAGTAGCGATCGCCATCTGCTGTTTTAACTCTCAAGTGACTGCATGGAAATTATACGGAAACGCTGCAAATAGCAAAGCCGTCCACAGGAAAGTGTGCCAGCAAAGCATAGACTGTCGGATGAGAGGATTTGGTGGTCGACCGATCAGTTCAGCTGCATGTATACATTGACCACAAGCTTGGCGATGGGCATCTGGGTTGAGTACATAATGTCATGCGCTAGGGCCAATTGTATTCGTGCAGAGCATAGAACACTTCCTAAGCGGCTGTAGTTATCGCTGTTCTCATTGCACGTACAAAGTGTATGCATATGCCTCCCCTCAGATCGAGGCCCTCTCAATGGAAGGCCTCACCCCCGTCAACACCGTCCTCGTTTTTGACAGTTTACATAGCACGAGTTCAGGTGACGGGACAAGCCTTTTACCAATATTGCCTGGGTCCCAGGACACAAGAGTTGTGGGTAAGAGGGATTCTGGGTCAATTTGCCCGAGACCTCACACAAGCACTGCGTCTTTAATATTTCTCCATCGTGCGTGAAGAGCGAATCAATAGGTATCTCAGCAAAACTCGATCCTGTCTGGCACAGACTTATAACGACAGACTGAGCTTCTACTAGGCTCAGTCTTCAGGGAACCTATCCATGAGCTCTTCAATCTTCGGCATCAGCTCCGGTATACGGAATGGTTTTGGCATAACATCATCCTGGAAGTCTGATCAGTATAACGGCGACGGATCAGATAGGTAATGAGCTCACCATGCCAGCGCTCATGGCAGTCTCAATCTGCTCGATACGCGCGTTGGCCGTCACTGCGATGATGGGTACGTGGCGGATAATTTTTCCTTCTCTCTCGAGTTCTCGAATTCTCTTCGTGCAAGTCAGGCCATCCATGATAGGCATCTCTTGGTCCATGAGGACAATACTCAAGGCTATTCGCTCAGTTTCGGGTGTGACTTGTTCGGTATCCGTATCGTAGTTCCAATAGGTCGACTTGTGCAGAATGTCCAAAGCCTCACCACCATGGTTAGCGACATGGACCACGCAACCCAGATTTTTTAGTTGCTTAGAGAGCACACGTGCATTGACAACGTTGTCCTCAACGAGCTATGAATTGTTAGACAAAGCACCAGGAAAATGTGACGGAGTGCAATGTCCGAAAGGACAGAAACTGCTCAGAGAGTAAGGCGCGTGACTTACGAGGACTTTAATCGGCCTTGACACTCTGCTGGCCTTCGTATTGACTGTCGCAGATTCCCCCTTTCCTGTGGTGTCTCTTGCAGCACGCAGATTGGAGCGTGTCGATCCCTCAGCTTCGGGTGGTGCAACGCTTCGCTTAGCCTTGACATAGAAAGCAAATGTACTACCCACACCTGCCTCGGAGGCCACCCCAATCTCGCCGCCTTGCAACTCGGTGAGTTCCCTGCTGATGAACAATCCCAGCCCCGAGCCGCCGTATTGTACATGCGTCCGAGGTGAAGCTTGCGAGAAGCGCAGGAAGAGCATGGTTTTTTCTTCTTCGTTGAGGCCACGACCCGTATCCTGAACGGCAAAGTGAATGTAGACCTCCTCACCGTCGCCCCAGTCCTTCTCTCTAGTAATATCTGGACGTTTGTTGCGCGTAGGGATGTAGTTGACCACGCTATCAGTCAGTTCAGAGAAGCGCTTAGTCGAGGCTGCTAAGACAACTGTGATTGTGCGTTTCTTCTCGGTTGTCGTGAATTTGATCGCATTAGTAGTGAGGTTAATCTAATCATCCACATTAGCTTAGTTTCGGCACGAATCGAGGCTGTACGTACCAGCACTTGCAATACACGTGAGGGATCGAACTTGACCCAGTCAATGCCAAGATCTTTGTACGAGTCCTCAATAACGAATTGTAACTGTATATCAGCAGCTTGGAGCTGTCCTTCATGCATCTTCATCGCTCGTTGTGCGATTGCAAGAGGTTGTCCATCGACCGGTGTAACCAGCAGCAATTGTGCGTCTAGCTTGCTCAAAGACAACACGTCGTCGATAATACGGCGTTGATGCTATTACCAATTAGTACGTTCTACGTAGTGGACTGAACTGAGGAAAATCGCTCCAAGAATGTACTTACCTGTGCACAAAGAGCAATTGTCTGAGCAGAGTCTACTGTACTTAAGAGAACGCTGTCAAGAGTTCCTCCGACGGCAGGGTTGTCTTGAAGAGGTGCCACCAATACAGCTCTATCGACAGATCGTTCTCTCAAACAGCTCAAGGTCGAGACTATCTCCTCTGCGCATTGCAGTATGGCTGAGAGAGGGTTTCTGATCTCGTGGGACGTCATGTCGAGATAGCGCTCGTGCTGTTGCTTGAGTTCGACAGCCTCCTCCATCTTGCGCTTCTGGAAGCCTTCGGCCCACTTCTGCTTGCTGATATCTGTGAGACTGCCAAAAACGCTCTTGAGATTGCCGTTCTCGTACTTCTCAGGAAAGGCGGAGAAGAGCACCCATCGATCGCCTTCCATGCCTTCGGTATCGTGCCATCGGGACTTGAATCGGAATGTACCAGTTTGTGGTTTCTTGTGGACAATAAGATCGTGCCATAGTTTGTTGATCAGCCCGCGATCTTCGTCGTTCACAGCGTCCATCCAGTGATGATCCGGAGTATTCTCGTCTCGTGACACCCGGGAGATCTCGAACCACGTATTGTTGCAATATGTGATGGTACCTTCTGGATCAGCTATGAACATACCAACTGGTGCGAATTCAGCCATTCGAGTAAACTTCGTCTCACTCTCGATGGCTTCTTTGGTGCGAGCTGCTAGTTGCTCAGAGAGTTCCATCCTGTCAATAGCTGCGAGCTTTGCAGCCCTTTGGCCACGCCTGATCTCTTCTTCGAAGAGAACCACAGAGGCCAAGGAAGTCGCAAGCTGTCTGCTGAGCAATTGAATGAACAGACCGTAATCCTCGTCATACGGTCTTCTCGGATTGACCCCCACGACAAGGAACCCAAGAACGGCTTCTCCGGTGGTTGGATGTACAGGGCATATCACGACGTTGCGACACGCATCATCGAAACCTCTGCCACCGAGTCCCTTTAGAAGATCTACGGAAAGATCTTTAGAGCCTACCTCAAGAAGAACTGGTTTGTCTGTCTTCATTACCTCACGGAAGACCGGACCAAGTCCATCCACACCAGTTTTGAGGTCGAAACATGAAACAGCCGCAGGGTGGTCTTCCGGTACACCAAGAGTTCCTTCAAGAACACATTGCCTGTTAGCCAAGGCACTGCTGGAATTGATCGAAGACGCATCGCTGTCAGTCTCATCTTGGACAGAGTATAGCATGACAAAGGGGGTATCTTGTTCGTTCAAATCCAAGGCAGTGAGAACTTGATCCCAGAACCCCTTAACATCCCTTGCAGCGGCAGTCCGCTCACCAATCTCACGAAGCGTTATCATGCGTCTCTCGGCAAGTTTCCGCCTTGTCTTTTCGAAAGCGGGGTTATACAGACCCATGACACTGCCATCCCCACCGACTATGGGAATTATGGACCAAGAAAAATAGGTCTCCTCAAGGTAGTCGTTGCGCATAATGAAAAGACGATCATCGTCTTTCATAGTCGCTTCACCAGTGTGGAGCGCATTGGCAAAAACATCCTTGACATTGGGCCATATCTCGGACCAAGCATCCGAATACCGTTGGCCCATCAGAGCCGGATGCTTCTGACCGGCCAACATGACATAGGCTTCGTTGTAGATTGCGACCAACTCTTGGCCCCAGTACATGGCAGCCGGGTGGGGACTGGCCATGATTAGATTACACATCTGGCGCAGATCTGAGGACCAGCCTTCGATAGAGCCTAAAGGAGTCTTTTCCCAATCGATACTACGAGCAAACCTAATATGAGAGGGCATTGAGTCGGTCACAGGTAAACGTGTCCAGTCAAAAGAATGGCCTTCCTGATAGAGACCAGTAGACGGACTTTCGAGCCAGTCAACATTGCTCGCAGTTTGAGCGCGTGACACTTGCTCATGAACCAAAGATGATTGTATGTCCGGCAAGGCAATATCGCGGATGCCAAGTGGTGAAATGTTGTCAAAACCGGGCAAGGAGGAGTGAGGCGAAGCTTGTTGAGCTTTGTCGTCGACAGATTCGGTCGAAGGGATTATAGAGGGAGACACCTCTGCAGGACCAGGGGCTGAGGTTGGAGCAGGTGCTACGCTGCCAAAATAATCATCAGGCTCTTCTAACGTCATTGGCAAGGCCGATCCAGATCCGGGCAGAGATGCTGACGGCTGCGAAATAGACATGGCAGATGTTGAGGTCGAGCTGGAAGAAGGTCGGCTTATAGACGATGCCGAAGGTCGTGTCGAAGTCATGAGGATCGACGCACCACTCACGATACGTAACCTCTTCCGCAAGGTCGAACATGACCAGCTGGTACCAGCATAGAGTTGAGTCGGCAGCGGGACGGTAAGTGGTTCGTCCTTGAGGGGACAGCCCAGTATCCACGCCTTGAATTGAGCAAAGGCGGATTCATCCTGATCCTTGGCACTGCCCGTCAGGGCGGTAAGCAGATCCGGACACGATCGCAAGGAGGCGTTTGTAAAGACAGGTCGTAATTGGACGTCTGCATTGTTTGCAGCATCTGCCAGGTCTATGATCATGGTAGGACGAGCGTCGTGATCGAGCAGCTCAAGGATACCAATCGAGCTCAGCGAGAAATCATTACGCAGGTCTGGAGAAGAACTACGAGCGGTGCTTGAGCCATCATTAGAGCGACGTGAGGAGGTAGAGATGGTACCACGTGCCAGAGTTACAGTCTTGACGTGGGTGTCCTCGCTGTTGGCCTTGGTCAGCATCGTGGCTCCTGCTTCGAACGAAGTAAAGCGCGCAGGCAGATTCGGGCGCGGGCGTGGTGAGTTTGAGAAAAACAGGGGCGACGGAGGCTGTAACTGATTGATCGAAGGGCCGCTGAAGGTGAAGCGCTCTTGACGTGGGAGCAGTCGTGGCTTCTTGCGCACCGGAGGCGCGTCGATAGCGTCGCTTGATACAGATTGGAAGACAGGTGGGCGAGGCGGCGGTAATAATACGGAGGAGCGTTCGGTGAGCGACGGAGGAGTCGAGTTGAGATGGGCAGACGGGGTCGAGGTGGGTGGGCGCAGCGGAGGGGGTGGAGGACGGAAATGGTGGAATGCTTCGGGGTGATGGCGCTTCTTTGCGTCTGTGGGTCCGTCGCTATGAGGATGCGGGCGATCAGAGGCAGTCGGGGTGGTGATGGAGGGAAATGTCATTCGGGACACGTCAGGAGTCGTCGCGGTGGGAGCTTCATTATCCTCTGGACGCTTCATTCTTGACCCCCGGGGCGATGACGTCGGCCCCGAGGGTGGCAGGTTCACGGCTGGCCGCGTGGAGTGCGCAGCATGTGTAGAGAGGTCCCGAGGCAGTTGAGACGGAGGCAGAGACGATGTCGAGTTGATTGCCGATGCGACGGCGAGGGTGGCTTCGTCAGGCGTTGCTATTGTTGCCCTGGACGGTGCTCGTGCTGCGTTGGCGCCATCTCCGGGCTTGGAATGAGGCATTGCACCAGTCGACACTCCATCTACCCTTCAGCGGACTGTTCCTGCTGCTGTGATGCTGATGCTGATGCTGCTCTGGCAAGTCGTGGCTTTCTCCACGCCCGTGCGGCCATGCCACTGGATACCGCGTCGCTTGAGCCTCATGCTCTCTAGCTCCGATGACGATCCTCGGCTGACGCTCCACCATCGCCCACATGCCGTTTGCGCCCAGGTTCCCGAAACCTCAACACCCGTATCACGCCGTATCACGCCGCTATCAACAACTTCACTTCCCCTATCTTATGAGTCGCAACAAGAATTTTCATGTCTGTCTCTTGTTCTCATCACGTCCTTGCTACATCTTGCCCTTGGTTCCGTCCTTGCTTGTTGGAACCTCTGCCTGGCCCCCAATTTCGAACCGCACTCCGCTTCTCTCCGCCTTAACCACAAACATGAACTTGAAGAAGTGTAGGTAAGCAAGCCCTGTATATGTCACGGGCACATATCTTGCCCCTCTTCGAATCCACCACATGGTCCACTTTGCAGCCCAATCTGCTGAAACAATTGCCGGCCCCATCTTGGACGAGAAGGCCGCAAGCACAATGTGTCGGTAGACCACCGTATCGCTCGCATATAGCGACTTTGCAAATGGCAGGAACCGACGCTTGGACGCCGAATACGCCGCCAGTGATTTGTTTCCCCAACTCGGATGCATCTCCGATTCACTGCCGGCATACCACACCTCAGGCAACTCGGTGGGTCGCCGTCCTGTGCGAGGCTTGCGTTGCTGGGAAAACACTTCCACGAGACGTTTGCTCGTCTCGTAATTGGCCTTCATCACGTCGCCATGTCTCAGTCCGTGGGTCAGTATAAGTATGTCGGTTTTGGCCAGTATTTTCATGCTGTCCTCTGATACCGATTCTTCGTCAAAGTGCACTCCAAATCGCAGCGCTGTGATTGATTCCACGTTTTCGCACTCCAGCTGTTTCTTTATTGCGGCTCCAAGAGCGCCGCCAACCCCAGTGATGGTGACACGTTTATTCTTCAAGGTCGAGGATGTTCCCATTATCCAGTCGAACAGCCTAAGGACAGAGCCCATGAATTGATCAGGGTACATGTGGCTGTAAACATCGAGTTAGCTACAGCTCTTGACAGCTCACATCCTGAATTTACTTACTGTAAGGAATGGTACTCAGGTCCCACCAAGAGCCACCCGCCGTCCTTGGGTACCGACAGATAGCCTACATGGTTGGAGTCTTTACCCTCAAGGATGACCACGACAATGACTCTAATCACTTCAACACACAGCGTGAGATGCAAGATTGCGGTTGCGAACCCTTGGTCGTCTTCTCGTAGTACCATAGACAAGGCTCTTTGAGACAGCCAGGAGCCAACAAGTTGACATGAGAGCTCTAGTGGGAGGTTCGTCAAAGCGTTGGCCAGCTTGTATCGATTGTTGTATCGCAAGTGCCGGTCGAAGTACCAATGGTGGACGGAGTGGACTTTGGAGATCTGACGCAAGACCCTGAAAGGTGATCTGGCGCATTTGTGAAGAAGGAAGTGAATGATGTCGAACAACAACGTTCCAGAAAAATAATACAACACAAAGTATGCCACAGCAAGTGAAGCATATATAGCTGTCTGCCAACTTCAGTATTGTTAGTACTCTTGATCATTCTATCGCTAGTCTTACACTCACATGGCAAGACGGTCATCAAATTGGGAACCCATGATCGATTTTACAAGCAGTAGTCGAGCGTGGGTCCTTTATTTGAGCAATAGCGAGGAGAACACATTGTGAGCCCTGAAAGACCGAAGGAGGCGATGCTGCGCCGACGACTGTTGTCGGTCCGCAGCAAAGGACGTAATCATAGCATGGAAACAGGGACGCAGAGGTTATTCAGGGCAAGGAAACTATGTTGTCGAACAACACCACTCCACAGGGTGATCTGCAGGCCAAAGGCTCTCACACGTACCGCGTACTGCGTATATACACAGACACATTTACCCCTTTCATGCCATTCTATCAGGAGTTGTATCCAATGCATGCACATTCCTCGACTCGGGCCTTTCAAAACTCTGTTCCTCATTGGAGGAGCATTCGCTATGTCTCTGTAAGGCAACCTTATGACTGCGTGCATCTTGCCGGCCGTAGAACCATAGAACGCTTAGCGAATGTCATGAAACCGTATTGAAGCTGGGGCGCCCGTATTCAGCGGCGTGCACTGATGTAACATGAAAGTGACGTTTATTAGTTGAAGTTAACCCGCAAAGTTCCTCTCGTGTCTGGAGGATCATATTCATGTTATAATTAGCATCCTTACTCTCGCTCGGGTTCTATCATAGCATCAGGCCGGTGCTGTACTCGAGAGCGGCAACACAGCTGCGCAGTGTCATTGCCTACGTTCAAGAATCAAAGTGACGATCTCGACAAGGAGCCACAGGAGGCGAAAGCAGAGCTGTGCTATGCATGCTGACTGAAGATGCCTTGTCATGCATGAAGAGATGCCACGTCGAGGAAGGGTCAATTCAATGTCGACAGGAAGGTCTAAAGGCGTGCTCGGATAATCCTTCCAGATTTGGTAGAGTGAGGCCGAAGTCCCTGCACATGCAGTAACGGCAAAAGCCGCGAATTGCCGTGGTTAAGCGACCTGGCTTCGAGAACGCCCTCAGCAGGTCGTCCAACTCTTCGTCTCAATCCGGAGCACCATCGTATGCCATGCCAATGTTTTGATCGTTCTTCATTCAGCCATGCTCGGTATGTTTGCAGAACAATTGCAATAATAGCCGCTAACACAGCCCCACAACCTCGATGCGACTGAAACCGTCTTAGGCAGCAACTACGCAGGGCATCAGGTACGGCATTTGAATAACATGGCGCGCGTTTGTCTTGGCCAACGAAGCCACTTGCTTGCGTGAGAGACCTGTGAGGGCGCAGTCTAGTCAAGTTTTGCCTTGGTTGTCGGAAATGGTGTTTCGCGAAGAACGAGTTCTGTTCATTGTGCTTTTTGCGTCGCGATCGTCAAGAACATCCACAGCTTTTTGCTTCTTCGGCCAATCTCTACAAATGTCAATGTTGCTTCTGGGAAAGCACAACTCAAGGAATACGAAGAGGAGATAATCGACGACAACGCAGAGCACAAAGAGTTTGCCAGCCCAGATACCACAGCCATAATATCTCTTGAGTCGATCAATCAGAGCGAAGGATTGTGAAGCAGGAGAGACATGCTTTCCATATTGGCGCCGTTTGGCATCTTGGTTATCAGTGTAGAAATCGTTGTAAGGCTGTTCCTCATTGCCAGTGATCAGGTCGTAAACGCGCTCAGTACGGCGGGCGATATCAGACCAACTGTACATCATGCGCACCTGCTCGTGAAAGCGATCTCTGCGAACAACTGTACGTTTCTGGTCTTGTCCCATCAAGAGACCGACAGCCTCGCTGGTCGCGCGAACAAGGTCGTCCTCTTCGGGTTTTGCGAAGACAGTCATATGAGCAGGAAGGACTTCGGGAATGCCGCCGACTCTAGTACATACAATGAGCAAGTTGCAGCTTGCAGCCTCTACCAAGACGGTTCCAAAGGCCTCGGTCAAACTGGGATGCAAGTATATGTGGCCACGGACCATGACGTCGCGAACCTCCTCGTGACGGACCGGGCCCAGAAGTGTTACTCGATCATGGAGAATATGACGATCGAGCATTTGTTCGAGATCTATGGCTTTTGGCCCGGAACCAGCGATAATAAAGCGCACGTTGGGGTGTGTAGCGAGGATGCGTGGAATGGAAGCGATCAGGAGATCGGTGCCTTTGTTGTAGAAGAGGCGAGAGATGACAACAATGGTGATGGTATCAGTTGGACCAAGGGGTTGAGAGGACTGGGGCGGCGGAGGTGGAAGAGCGGAGCGCATAGATGGTTGGGTGGCATCTGCGGCATTGAGTGGACGGAAGTTTGAAGCAACGACAGCATTGGGTATGACCGAAACCATCAAAGGGTCGAGAGAAGCTCTCAGGACGGTGTTTTCCTTGCAAGTATGGCTGACACAGATGACATGATCGACGTCACTAAGAGTAAACTTGAGCAGCTTGTTGGTAAGGATACTGGCAGCGTCGGCAAAGCCAAACAGACTGTGGTCAGTGAAGACGGTGCGAAGACCCATAGTACGGGCGTGCAGGATAGCCTCATGGCACAAGCTGCTGAGACTGGCATGGCCGTGGACGATGTCGATCTGCTCCCGGATAACGATGTTGCGGAAGATGGGAAAGAAGGAGAAGACGGTGGGGAAGGTCGTCTCGCGGTAGACGACAAAGAAAGGCACATGGTAGACCTTGAGGCCGTTGGTCAAGTAGCGGACACCGGTGCGACCTTCATACTGGTGAGTGATGATGATGACCTTGTGACCACGGTCGATGAGCTTCTGCGACAGCTGGTAGATGTGACTCTCGACGCCTCCAGGCTGGGGGAAGAAGAAGTCGCTGACCATGGCGATATTGTATGGCATGATGAGGGCAGGAGCGAGGCAGCCAGCAGAGATGCTGGCGGCATGATTGACTTAGACAGAAAAGGCCATGTCAAGTCGAGCACCTGCAGCGGGAGACAGTCGACGCGCAGCTCAGGAAGGGCAGTGACGAGCAGATGCAGCAGATGCAGCAGGAGCAGCAGGAGCAGCAAGAGCAGCAAGAGCAGCAGCAGCAACTTCGGCATGCCGACTCGGGCTTGGCAACATGATGCAGCCGGGCGGTGAGAGGGCGTCTTGTAACTTGTTAGAGCTTCTCATGCGTCGTCGATAAATTCACATCTTGTCAAAACACTCCAGATGGCCCCTTACGCCCGCTACGTCCCGTCCAAGTCTGCTGCGCCTGTCGTTGCACAAGTTGCACAAGTTGCACCCGCCACACAAGTCTCGAATCCAGGCAAAGCGAAGCAAGTCAAGGTGCCCAAGGGCCCATCGAGATCCGACGACAATGGCAGAAAAAAGAGAAAGCGCTCAGAACTAGACTCTTCGCTGGACCAGGACGACGACGCGCCTGCCATACCAAACAAGCACAGTGCCGTCTATTCGAAGTTCCAGAAAGCTGCCCTGCGCTCAGAAGTTGCCAGAGCCTCTGCGCCAGACGACACACTCGATCCAGCAAGCCTGCCCGAACTTCATGGTATGTCTCCGGCCCTGCCCTCTCTACCCGCGACAAGCTCCTCACCACCCACTGTCCAGATCTCATCCCCCTACCACAGCCCGAGCGCGCACCGACTCCCGATTTCGTACCCTCTTTCTCCTCGCTACCGCAATGGCTGGCCCATCCCACCCTCGTCTCGCAATCCACTACTTGCTCTTTCAGCCAGCTATCTCTTTCCAAGAAGACTCTGGCCCACCTTGAATCCAGAGGCTATACGACCGCCTTTGCTGTTCAGGCTGCCCTGCTTCCTCTCCTTCTCCCACATCCCTATCTAACCCATCTACCGCCGAACGATATTTGTGTTAGCGCTCCAACTGGTAGCGGCAAAACTCTGGCCTACGTGCTCCCCATTATCGAGAATCTGCGCACGAGGCTCGACACGAAACTACGTGCTGTCATTGTAGTACCAACCAGAGAGCTAGTCGCCCAGGCATACAACGTGGCATCCTCATGCTCTCAAGGTTCTGCCATCCAGATCGCCCTGGCTGTTGGTAATCAATCCGTTGCTGTCGAGCAGGACTCGTTGGTCAGAAAAGGTCGATCATATGATCCCGAGCGTTACTGTTCCCTCATGGAGAAGGCAAGGAAACGTCAGTGTTTCGAGCTCGAATCGGATCTGGATGACATTGAGGCCACGACGCTCGACGACGTCGTTCGTCTACCGCCCAACTACGTCCCAACCTACACTTCGGCTGCCGACCTACTGATTTGTACCCCTGGCCGTCTGGTCGAGCATTTGACTGCTACAGCGGGATTCACCTTGGACCATGTCGAGTGGCTAGTAGTCGATGAAGCCGATCGTTTGTTGGATCAAAGCTTCCAAGAATGGGTTGCGAAGGTGACCACTGCTTTGGACGTCCAGAAACCCCAATCAGATCCAACCCCTGAGACTGCTGCTGTGCGCAGCCTCATGCCACGTCGAGATAGATACGTGAGGAAGATCATCTTGAGTGCCACAATGACCCGCGACATATCAAAACTGAGTGCCCTCAGATTACGACGACCTACCATGGTTGTCGTCAAGACGGAAGCCGATGCTACTCTAGACGACAACGCTACAACAGCCGAGAATGCAGAAGGCTTTGAACTGCCCACAACTCTTTCGGAGTTTGCAATTCCCGTTGGAGATGGCTCTGATAAGCCATTGTTCCTGCTTGAACTACTCCGATCTAAGATCATGTCGCACTCAATGTCTGGTCTGGTCCAGACCAAGGACGTCAGCTCTTCATCATCCTCCGAAGATGATTCGTCCTCCGATGAGGATTCGTCTTCTTCTTCTTCTGATGATGATGATGATGATGATGACAACGATGATAGCAGCTCATCTGACGATGGGGATGACAGTTCGGAAAGTAGCAGCAGTGACGACGAGAGCGTTAGCGATGCTTCCACAACAACAACGACATCAACGAAAAAGGCAGCAGCTCTCACATCTACCCCTCGTGGAAGCAGTATGGTCCTGATCTTTACTCCAAGTACCGAAGCAGCAGCTCGCCTATACCATTTGATTACGCATATCGAACCATCTTACAAAACGACTACCCTCCTCCTTACCAAAGCATCCACAAATCTCAACTTCCAGACAGCCTCCTCGCCCCGTATTATTATCTCGACTGACCGTGCTTCACGAGGTCTTGATCTGCCACTTTTGACGCATGTCATCAACTACACTATCCCACGCAGCCTGGCATCATATGTGCATCGCGTGGGACGTACAGCGAGAGCTGGGCGAACCGGTGAGGCCTGGACGCTATTTACAGAGAACGAAGGTCGTTGGTTCTGGAATGAGATCGCAAGAGCCAAGGGAATAGGCAGAAACGCAAAGGTTGAGAGGGTCAATTTGAAGCTCGCTGCTGAACAGAAGGAAGATGGAGAGATGCGTCGTAGGTATGTGGATGCTCTCGAGGGCATGAAGGAGATTGTTACCAGCAAGAACACCAAAGCAAACAAGGGAAAAGGCAGAAAGGACGACGATGTAGAAATGGCTCTATGATTGGAATGAGCAAGAAGCACAAGCTCACCCTGTGTACATATATATGAACTGAGTACAGTCCAGCAACGACTTCTGGCTGCATGAGGTTTTATGACACTTGCTTCCCGCTCTCGAGCAGCTCTGTGTCCATCCCATGAGTCCCACTCGCGGCGTGCACATCTGCGGTCCGAAACCGGTCTTGCCTTCTACTGAGCACATCTTTCCACACGCCACGAACACAACGATAGGACATTTGCCACGATGCATCGTAACCGGCAAGACACTCGATCAACAACTTGGCATCTGTGCCGAAAGCACTACTTTGAAGTGAGCTACAACAATGTAGCTTTACTCCAGTCTTGGAACCTATCCACGTGTAGGCATTATTTCCACAGCAGTCTTCGACCCGTCGAGTCTGGGGACATGCACGTTTCCCTTTAGGCCGTATCGCCTATTCTAGCATACCGAATCCGTGGCCAAGAGACTGACTCCATCACGATCTCGGGGATACCACAACGGGCTGGAAAGTATCGGAGAAGGAAGGAGGGGCGGAATGTGCTCGCTGTGCGGCTACTGACGGCTGTTTCCGAGTCATCTCCAGCTAGTCAACTATATATTGTGAGCCGCCAAACAGTCAGTATGTTATCGGAGAGGATGCGGTGCTGACTCGGAACAGGGTGTAGCAGCTGCACATCAATCAAGGGAAATAACATTGTGAGGAGTAAGCTCAAATTCAAAACTCGAAGCGACGTGATTCTTGCTGGCTAACACATGCATTCGATGACGAAGGGCGACACTCGGGGGAAATCGCTGCTCTACCTTGCACGGTGCTTGATTGTGAGCTCTCCAGCAGACGACACTGTTCCGACCTACCCACTCGAGATTGGGGATTAACGTTGTACATTCGTTTAGAGTTTACGCAAGAGTAACATGTGGACGAGCAGTCCGTCTCGTCTTGTGTTTGCAGCAGATCGCGTAGTCGCTATCAGGATATCCACACGGAAGTGTCTTCGTTTTTCAAGTCTCCTTTGTCGCGCAAGCAGCTTAAAGATTGTGTTGCTCCAGTTTTCGAACCTGTATGGCCATTCGTGTCGGTGTACGACGGGGACTCGTGGCGTGTAAATAAACTTCAGCCTCGTCTCTCGTGGCCTTACTCCATGCTGACGAGTCAGCGACGAGATATCGATCAAACCTTACTGCGTCACAAAAAGCAAGTGCATGATCGACGTGCTTGACACTGGTTGCCTCTCACAGCTCTCGATAAGCCAAGGAACCTTCGGCTGCTGTCGCTAAACATTGACATAGATGTTCAACGAAAGTGAGGATCGTCCTTGTGATTTATGCTTCTTCGCCTTGTTCCTTCTCAACCCTTTGGTCCGCATGCAAGACCAGAGTGCTTGCGATAAGTAACCAAGCTTGATCGCGCAAGAGAGGGCACACTTGAGTCAGAGAAGCCGCCACGAGTATAGCTTGGTAGACATCATAATCATCTGCTACGGTTTGAGGTACTTCGTGGCAGGACTCTTCCCATCAGAGGTACCAGGGTAGACATGCGCTCTCATAGAATCAGACACATATGCATACGAACCCCAAAGCTACACTCATATGGTCATGCAAGCGTCATATGTAGCACTCAAGTACTTACAACAATATCTCGGCTTTTCGAGCACTTGTGTTCGTCTGACTTCAATGCGTTGCAACTGTCCTGTCGACCGACGTGCAGGTAGTTGCCCTCGACAATGTCTCAAGTCCTCAGCCGCTTGTCGGCATGTTACAGGCGATTGGGCTTACATTGCTTAGCATGCGCCTCAAGACAGCAATACAAACGTATATTGTGACGCATGTACTGCACATCTCTAACTGCGTTGCAGATCATGATTCACTGAATGCGTGTAGCTACGCAACATGGTCCCACCAAAGCTGCACATTATGATGCACTCGCTGTGCAGCACTAGCCTTTCGGAGCCAAAAAATGATCATGGTGCCCTACAATTCGCATTGTGTCCTTCGTGGATGCTCCTGAGACGCCGCGTTGACGCCATGGTGAGAGCTGATGCGTTTGTTGTTTTGAACAGGAGGACAGACGGATATAACTAGCGCATAGTGGTGTTCCAAGAGAATGGGGATGTACCTATGCGATAGGATGCCGAACAAAGCCCGATGACGCTGAAACCTTAGTTCTGCTTTGGGGGCTACTTGAAGTAAAAGGCACCTGGCGCCGCTGCGATTGGAGAAGCTCTCGCCCTGCTTGACCACTAAACACCATAAGCGTCTACGAGGAAGCGGCTCGTAGACGTTGTTGAGCGCTCAGCCCCGGGACACCTCGCGCGTGTGCAGCAGAGGCTATAGCTAGCCACACGTCTTGCCAGCTTCGCAAGGTATCAGTCAATAAATCCTCGGCGTCGAGGATGAGAAGGAGGTGGATTAACATGGGGGGGATGCTTTGGCGTCTGCCAGGGGGGGTAGTTTGAGTTCCATCGTTAGCTGTCATGAGGCTCAGGGTCCGAATCAGACTAAAAAGTGGACAGGCACGCGCGGAAATTCGCAGCCCACGTTCCTATTCAAAGAATCCAGAAAACGTCACTTGCCTGACGGAGATGTCATACAGGATGTAATGTGTTCTTGAGCTGAACAACTTCCAAGTGGGTATGTATCATAGCCAGGGTGCAGAACCGATTCCTCAGGATTAGAGATGTGCAATGGCCCGGCTAACGTGCACGTCCATACCAACAGCAAGCCAATTTCCTTGGGACCCATAGACGGTTCAGGGTCTTGCAACCACTATCCCTGTTTGCCCAAAGTCCTTAGATGCGCTTGACAAATGGAAACAGTGAACAGACGCTTCTTGAGTGTGTGCTTTGTCGATCTATGAATGGTGACGGGGACATGTGGTAACCAGTAGTACAGATTTTCATTATGTTCACAACGCCTACCAACATGCTGGTGTTTGTCAAGCACATGGCGACCCGAGATTTGACGGTAGAGCATGTTGTGGAGAGTTCCACAGTGTCGGTGAAAGTGCTGCCTCAATACCAATCAGACACCTGTAATTGGGTGCCAAGGGATAGTGCGTCTGTCTTCTAGAAGGACGTTACTACGGAAAGGGCGCATCGACAAGTGCTTGGTAAGGCCGGAGAGCACTCGGTTGGTAGGCCTTTCTACGGCACGTGGCTTTCAGGGAGTTGGCGGTCCAACAAGAGGGATAAGAGCGGGACGAAGCGATTAGTGGTTGAAATAGAATGATTCATGTCGCATGGACAGCAACTGCAAAAAAGGGCATAGCAGCCGTTTGCTGTGATCTGATTCGCAAGCAAGCGTACTTGTAGAAAGCGGCTATCGGATGCAAGGTACCGTAGACGCAAACGACGGGGGAAGGGAACATGAACAGCAGTGGTACAAGAGCAATGCCAGGTAGAGCTAACCGTGCGGCCGTAAGAAGTCGTTTGTCTACGATATTACTTAGGGAGGAAGGGGCTTGATGGTTTCGGAGGTGTAGCGGGAGAGAGGAGGGACAGGAAGGAGCCAGGATGGTTCTCACAGGGCTAGGACTCTGGACTCTGGACGCAGAAGCAAGGCCAACCAGGGGATCTGGAACAGAAGAAAACATGAGTGGAGAGAGAGGCTGGGAATGCGAGCACAAAGTCCGATGGAGTAGTTTGAATGCACAGAGATCGGATCCTCGTCGTGGGAGCGCAACGACTCGACGTCACGCATGTCTTGACCTCAGCTTTTTCCCATAAGGTTCACGGGTTTCTGAGTGTTGTCGCGGCGGCGCTAAGATTGAGTTCCCACTGCTGCAGCTCGCTCGAGTTTCCTTCCCTCGGGCGCCTTGGCCACGGTGACGCTCTCGTAACCATGCTCGGTGGATATAAACGTCGAGAGAGCACCCTGCTTTTGTTCTGCTGCTCTGTAATCTCGAGTCGATCCGCCTGACGAGAGGAGCTACGATTATATAACGAAGTGTTGCTTCTCGCTCTGACCCTCTGTTCTCGGTCAAACCCATCGTCCATCAAGCTGCTCGAAGTAAGATCTGTTGGCTGTTCCACTAGTCTCTCTGTCAACTCAAGCCGTTCTCTTTTGGTTCTCTCGTGCCGCCAGCCGCCGCCCAGGCCATTGTTTGAGCACTTTCGAGTTGCAACGCAGCAGCAGCACAGAACAGCAGAAGCGAGAGACACGTCGATAAAGTTTCGCTGCTTGCCGAGGTTACATAATACACTCGCCTCGCCGTCCCTACGCAAGCGGTAGTTACTCTACGCCCTGCCCTGCCTTGCCTTGCGACTGTCCGTCCGACGCTGTCCGCCGTCCGCGATCCGTCTCGAAATTCCAGAATTTCCGTAATCATCCCGTCGACACCCTGCTCCCCGGCCACGCCACAACAACTACTACTTTGCATACCAGCTCGCTCTCCGACTCCTGTCTCGACTCGACCCATTCATTCTTGCCTTGACTCGACCTTCTGGCCCCAGTTCATCTTCGAGGTCCTGATCTCTGCCTGACGCGGTCCCGCTTCTGGGAAGTTTCCAGAAATTCTCTCAATAACCATCTTTTGCCCTCGACACCCTACACATCATGGCCTCGTCGGCTTCCCCCATAGATATCGCCACGCCACGCGCGTCGCCCCCAAACCAAACCTCCAACCTCACCAGCCAACTGCAAGCCGCAAATGCGCGAAGCGGCGACACTCAACCGCCGACTTTCATGGCCAACATGGAGCGTCGCGGCAGCGAGTTCAGACCCGATAGCCTGCGCCACGGCTCCATCAACATGGGCAACTCTTTCCACTCACGTCCCATCTCGATGCGTGATCGCGGTCGTCGCGATAGCACTAACCACGCTGGCAGTCTCATGGCTGGCATGAGCTGGGGAGGTCTGTCCGTGGGCAGCTTTATCCGCGACGAGTAAGTTCGAAACGCTGCTTTGACACCCTGGGTGCGTTCACTGACACGCCGCCGCAGTCTGATCATGGCAGGCACCTCGCCATACAACTTCCAGTCTCCATCCTTCCACTCGTCTTCATACCTCCCCAAGATGGAGGCCAACTTCATGAAGGACTACATTTGCTGCGGCATCACGCTCGATTCGCTGCACGAGCTGCTTCAGCACTACGAAGAAGCTCACGCCCAAGTACCTACACAAACCATGGGTCGCACTCCCAAGGAGCACTTGCTCGCCAACGCTCGCAATGCCAATGCCGGCACTGCCGCTCAGATGTTGCAGCAGCAGCAGCAGAGCCAGCCTCACAATCACCAGCAAGCCCCCCAGTTTGACCACCCCTCTGGTCTTTCTCAAGGCCTGGCCCGCGACCCTCTGCAAGATCACGACATGGACGACATGGACATGGACATGGACGATTCGACTATCGCTCCCGCTGTGCAGGACCCATACCACAGCCACCAGTTCCAGCCTCAACCACAGTTCGGCAGACAGCAGGCTAGAGCCCCGTCAATCAACATTGGCATGGCAAGCGCCTTCCAGAACACACAACAAGTCAACAATGTGTCGACGCCCACAACACCACAGCCCGGCCAGACCATGCATCTCGGTGGCTTCAACCCTACCGTTTCCTCGGTAAACACGCCGACCTTTGGACAAACATCACAGACCGTGAGTCCATCAGAGTCGACAGTGCACACCCCAGGCGAGATTGACCCGTCCAATTTCAATGCATCAATGTCCGGCTTCGGCTTCCCTGACATGAACGGGCAACAAGACGAGTCACGGTGCATCGATGACCCCGCCAAGCGTTTGCTCAGCAAGCAAGGCGGTATGGGCGGTTTCAAGAACCCGAGTCAATTTGCCAACAACAGCGAATTGGCCAAACGCCTACGGGAGCAACAGCTCATCCAAGGCTTCGGCTTCCCTGGTGAAGAAGCCAAGCCTTTCCGATGCCCTGTCATCGGCTGCGAGAAAGCATACAAGAACCAGAACGGTCTCAAGTATCACAAACAAGTATGTCGCTCACACAACACTCTTTCCAATGCCCTTTACTAATTTTCTCCCAGCACGGTCATCAAAACCAGCAACTCAAGGAAAACCCAGATGGCACCTTTTCCATTGTGGACCCCGCTACATCAATTCCTTATCCCGGCACTGTCGGCATGGAAAAGGAGAAGCCTTATCGCTGCGAGGTCTGTGGTAAACGCTACAAGAACTTGAACGGCCTCAAGTACCACCGTCAACACTCGCCGCCTTGCAATCCTGATCTCAAACTCAATCCTGTCGCCGTTCCGCAGATGCCTAATGGAATGCAAGCTATGAACGTCAATGTTGCTGGAGCCGGTCTCTCCATGGGTATGGATGATGGCCTGGGTTACTAGTACCCTTCTTACTGCTCTCTTTACCTGTTCTGTCAGAGGCGTTGGCGGCGCCCTTGTGTCTGGATCGCTCTTGCTGTTCACGATACACATCCGCTTCACTTTGTGATACCCGGCACTGCACGATCCTCCTTTTAGGGCGGCTCTCGTCCTGCGCTCTTCTTTGCTTGATTGCTTTTTCGGTTTTTTGCGGGTAATTTTCAAAATTGTTTTGATTCTATTTTCGGGTTTGGCGTTATGGCCGTGTGTACACGTTGCCTTCTGAGGGGTCTGTTTATGCTCTTTGCAGGTCGCTGCTATGGTTATGGGAGTGACGCTCAACGAATTCGTTATTTCTCTCTTGTTCACGATAGACGTGGTGTCGGTACGGAAAAAGTTGGAGCAACAAAGTCTATATTTTTCACATTACAGTCGTTCCTCTCGCGTCCTCCTTTCATCCGGTACATCGTCATATGATTCACCTCAACGTTGCATCTAGCCGGTTCCAAAGACCCTGTCTTGCACTTGCATCGCTAATCACCCGGTGCGTGCACGTCGTGCCACGGGCAGAGCCCCAAGGCTTTTGGTATCCTCTCCGTGTAATGAGATCTGTCATATCTGTGATTGTCTCAAAACGCAACACATTCTAGGCTCGCAGCGACATTACTGAGACTTCAATTACCAGTGTCCCTTCGCCGGATCTAATGGTTCGAGATGTGACTGTATCTTTCCTCAGCACCTCCTGGCTCTGCAATTACAGTGGAAGACCGTAGTGGTAGAGACTATCAATCGAGGAGGATAAAGAGCCCTGAGCCAGGAAATGTGCGGAGCTGGGACCGATGGCACGAAACCTTGAACCTCAGGTATCGGACCGAAGAACAGTTGGCGACAAGAAGCGAATGGTTGAAGACAGCACAAGGCTTGCAGACGGTTCACATCCGCGTCAGCCATGTCAATCTGGGTTCCGACAGGCCATTCGACGCACGCGATCAATCGTACACCGCTCACGATTGTGGAGCTGTACTCCACAAATCGAAGCCCATATTCCGTGCCCCTGAACGTCAGAGACCCTGCACGAGCTGGCGGTACATATCAAATGTGGTTGCGTGCTCTTCAACTGCACTCCCCCAAACAACCTGCTTAATCCACCAAACTCTTGGCTTCCCCCAAGGGAAAGCGCGACTTGAGTACAGTAAGAGCAATTCATCTGACACGTACTTTTTTAGCACAACGGTGCCTGATCTCCCAGACAGGTTGAGACGAGGGCTATTACCCGCGGATGGAACTGAGTCGCGATATCACTGTTCCAGCCTTTGCTATCCCACCACTGGTCTGGAGAGGCTACTTTGGCACTGCGTTTGCGCTTGTTCTACTCTACATACATCGGCATCATGGGTCTTGGTCTTGAGAGCGCCGTGATACGGCGACGCCATACCTGGCGGATTTGGGCTAGCTACATATTGTAGATCGGTATCATATGTACTCACACTACCACACTCGCTGAGGAACAGGTGCTTTGACCGGTCCACCATAAAGCCGGCAGTCTTAGCTCGCTTCAGCCCCAGCGCGAGTCAACTTGCAATCATTAAATCGGGAAGTTGCACTTGGTTTGATATTATGATACGGCTACAAACGAGCCGGGGCACATGGTCCTTCCCGTTCAATGATTGCGTTCAACAATTTCCTTGGCGAATGTAGCAAAGTTACGCTTCTCATCAACCATTTCCCACAAGTTCGGCTGGGTGAATACAGCCAGGGTGTTCCTGGCAACCTGGCCCCCTTTGCCGGGAGCGGAGCCTTTGACGAAATGAGGTACCGCTCTGAACTTACCATGGGTGATGACTTCTAGAGCCTCGCCAGTCTGGAAAGCAAGACAGTCCTTTGGAATGTTGACCTTGGTCACCTTGCCCGAGCGAGAATGAATGTACAAGCCGGCGGCTGGGTCAGGAGGTGAAGACAGCTCTGGCAAGGGTGAGATGTTTGCAGAATCGATGTGAGGAGGGTTCGCTGCTTCATCGATGAACATGGCTGATGTCAGACCTGTCAGACAACCGTGGTCCAGATGTGTGGCGCACCAGTCGTCAGGTGAGCTTTCAGCAGCACCCTCAGTTGTGGCCGGCGAAGGAAAATAGTGTAGCAGACGTGCCTTTGTCGAAATGCTCGTCTGGACAACATGTTCCAGGTAACCTTCCTGGTATTGAGGAACGTTCTTGACTGCGTAACGATCACAAGCCCGGGCGACCAATGCAGCGGTGTCGACGATAAAGTTGCAAAGGTTTTGGAAGGTCTGCTCAAATCCAGGGAGAACCTGGTTGCTTGGCCATACATTTGCTGCGTTGTATTCTGGAAGGTTCGGAAACATCTCGATGGCCTTCTGGTGCAGAGTAGAATCCTGCACAGGATTGGCGTAGTAGGAGCCTTTAAGCGTATCATAGCGACCGTTCTTGAGAGTTTCTTTTCCACAGCTCCAGCCTACAAGATAGCTGCTCTCGGGGTTCTCAAGTTTTTCTTGCCAATATGAGCGCTTATACACAGCCCACGGTGATGTGAGAAGGCCTACCTAGTTCAGCCTGAGGCAGATTGGCCAGATAAGAAGAATACGACAGCAGGGTCTTTCTCATGGTAATGAAATCAGACGGCAGATCACGAACGACGATGATACCCAGAGAGTCTGGCCCAAAGGCCTGTTCAAGAGCCTCGAAGGGTACCGAACCTACAAAGTGATGAGAGGTATGTTTTATTTATTTTTGGAGTCGAGTGATCTCTATATTTACCTGACTGCAGGTCGCGGAGACTCACGGTCACGGGTGAAGCGGTTTGCACACCGGACTCGTTCAGATTGACAGCCATTGTGAGGTGATGCTACGGTGGTGATGAAGTGGGAGGTTAGAGAAGAGGTCAGGAGGAAGGAGATGGTCTAGATAGCAGCAGACGGACGGAGCTAGATAGAAGGTGGTGATTTTGCATCTTCGGCCGGGTGCGCCGCAATATCAGCCGAGCTCTGACAGGGCGTCGCCCATGTCCGACAGACAAACCAAACATGGTCAAACCACTCAGTTTCAAGGGCGACAAGAAGGTCAAGAAACGCAAGCGCACGCGTGACGAAGATGAAGAGGGACATGGTCCAGCGGCGAAAGATATCAAAGCCGGCGCATCGCAAAAGCAAGACGACGACGACGACGAATCGTGGGTATCGGCAGACGCAGTGAAAGACGTCGCAGGCCCCGTCATCTTCGTGCTACCCACAAGGCCGCCGACATGTCTCGCTTGTGATGCCAATGGCAAGGTGTTCGCCAGTGCGGTTGAGAACATGATCGAAGAGTCGCCGTCGACCGTCGAGCCGCACGACGTCAGGCAAGTCTTCATAGCAAATCGCATCGCGGGCACCGATACCTTCAGCTTCAAAGGTCATCACGGCAAGTAAGTTTCTCTCCAGCTGCTCTCCGACCTCCGACCTCCGACCTGCAACAACATGTTCCTTACACACGCACTACAGGTATCTTAACAGCGACAAGTTTGGTATTCTCTCAGCTACACGCGACGCCATCTCGGCTGAAGAACAGTTCACCTTGCTACCCACCGACAGTCTCCTCTTCAGCGTACGCACTACACGCGATGCCTTCTTCTCTGCCACAAAAGACACCGCTGTCGAGGTCAGAGCAGATGCCGACGACCATACTAGCCCGACCTGTGCCATCAGATTGCGTATGCAGGCACGCTTCAAGCCTGTCCACAAGGCCGCAAAGGAGGAAAAGGCAAACGAGAAGATAAGCAGGGCCCAACTCGAACAAGCTGTCGGTCGCAAGCTCGAGGACGACGACGTAAAGCTACTGAAGAGGGCTTGGAGAGATGGCACCTATCACGAGGCTCTGCTCGATGTCAAGGTCAAGGGCAAGCACGATAAGTTTGCTTAAGCAGCCAGCTCAACCTGCTGCAACTATTGCTCCAGTGCATCCAATACAACCAGGAAGCAACAGCTTCTAGCATTTATCAAAGCAATTGCACGAATAGATACACCATTTGACGTATCTAAGTTTCACAAGACCACGTGAAGCGGCTCAATCTGAAAGCTTGTCGACCACCCTCCCTGCTTCCCCGCATGCCCGCATACAACATCCTCCACCTCTTCCTCACAATCTCGTCTACCATTCACTGCGCAGTCGACACGTGCCATGAGTCTGCTACTCGTTTCCGTCTTGCTCATGGTCTGCGCCGTCAAGCTGTCCGCGCTTTGTAGCTGGGTGCTGTTCTCGATGGACTGAGACGCTTCTGCTCGCTTGACACGGATGCCTCTCGCATACACAGCATATCAGCCATCATCTCTGGATGTTCGCGTGAAATTTGCACGGAACATAACCATGGGACTCTACAAGCAGCGATCACTACCGTCATATCAGGACCCAGCATGTTAGGCTTGTCAACGGCATCGGTCACAATGGCGATAAAACTCTTATGGATTGACCTCGACCTTCACGCGGAGCTCTGAGTTTCTCATCCAATGCTGTCAGCACAGGTGTCTTCTGGCGAGGGTCCAACTTCACCAGCATCAAAATCCTTCCATATCACCCGGACTCTTTTTGCCCCCATTTGGCATGCGTGTACGAGCGGTCGACTGCGCCGATTTTCACGAACATGTTACTGGTTATTCTTTGCCGGTGATAGCTCCGTTGGACCAGATATCATTGTTGCACCGGAGCCTCAACGCACATGTTTTGCGCAGTACAGGAATGCGACGGATTGGCTGAGCACCTCAAGGAAAACATACATGTCGCGAAGATCTGCACAGCGATGCACGCTCTCCTATCAGAAGACCAGATGCTTGTCCCCCGGGCAATAGTATGCGTGATATTTCTTGTATCACGGCGGTTCCGACTTGCATTGACACGGTCAACATACCTACTTCTGCACGATCGAGAGGCACACTCGTTCGGCGGACAACAGCCATCACATCCTTGGGCATCGGTGTGCTAAAAGTTGACATTATTGTTGTTTTGTCGGTGTAAGGTGGCTTTGGGGAAACAACAGCATCGAGTCAAAGTCGGTGTCACCCAGGTTGTCTCTGAGAAGCTCGTCGACCTACCATCTCGATATCAAAGTAGCACGATTGTTTGCTTGAACCTACTGTATCTTACTCTGACTCACACATCATGGTACAAGGCTGTAAGGTTTACAGCCCTCTTAGCCTTCGATTCAGTAGCAAGTAGAGAAACAGCAGAATGATCGTGTCGTATCTGCAGGCTGAACACTCGGTGGTAATCACGCATTAGAAAGACCATGCATAATGTAACACGGAAAACGGGTGCTGAACGAGATAATTCCTTCGAGGAATGGAATCGAGAGAGGAGGTTTCATGTATTTGCTCCCCAGTATTTTACTACTTCACAAAACCTGTTCCACTTGCAACTCAATCTGTCATGGGTTTTTCCAAACTGCTCGGACAACGATAACATCTGTCGTGTGCCCCCAGGGGTTCCATGTGAGTCGTTCTCCGGTCCGCTGGCCCACCACTCTCGCTTTGTGTCAGCCGGCGTCGCAAGCATTCATACCGAGTCAGAGTGTCGGTCAATGCCAGGACAGGTGCACGCGCAGTGCGCGAGTAGCTAGCTACGTGGACGAAGCAAAAATGTTCGGTTCGCGGACCGAGACGTAGCGGGCTGGTCTCAATCCTTGCTTGAGCATCTTTTCGTTTCGGATCTGGTCCGAATCACCGATGTTGGCCATCTTAGCTCTATGTGATGTATGATGCGCTTCTGGTCTTGCCAGTGATCTGATAGTCAGGCGTCCAAACAGTCGGTCAATGATTGAAGACATCAGCATGAGTTCATTTTCACTGAAAACGGTGCGTCCTAAGCAAATGTCTGTATGTTCATGATACAACTATTCACACTCTCTCGGTCTCGAGCATCAAGCTTGCACTAGCTAGCTTGTGGGTCTCTTGTTTGCATATCGTCATATAAGATCGCATCGAGCGGTCTTAGTTACATAACCGTTAGGCATATCATCAAGTCCATCTTTGACTCGGTTCGGCGGGATACAACGCTCGAATTTTGCACTTCCTGTCAAGTGTGGAAACACATGCTGATTGTCGCAAATGTCTTTAATTAGCAGCTCCAACGGCTCGGTGGAATCGGACGTCTTCTCCGAGACCGTTAACCGTTGTTCAGCCTAGGACGAGTCTGTAGAGCAACTCCGGATTGAGGTGTCAGATGAGTCATGTCAAGTTCAAATTGAAGTAGATCGTCATGCATCATAGCCGTAGGTTTGCTGGGAAGTGCCCTCGCGATACGCCATGGGTTGACTGTGGGCCTGCTGAGGTTGGCCGGGCATGAAGTGGGCAGATCCGGCGTTCGAATTGTAAGTTGGAGGGGCTAGGCTGCGGGGTGCGCCATGGAAGTCTGCAGTGGTTGATGCGACAGGCGGTGCTCCGGAAACAAAGCTGGCGTGACCTTGCTGCTCATGGTATGAAGGTGTTGATGAGGCAGCGTATTGAGGCATTCCTTGAAAGTCGGGGTGAGTATTGATGCCACCATTGTGGAAAGCAGGTGTTGGTGCTTGAGCGGTGATCGCGTGCTGGAACTGTGCCGTTTGTGGATGACCTGGGTAACTCATTGGGTGTGCTGGGGACGAATAGCTTGTCGGTCGGTCGTTCTGACGGACTTGATAGCCATATGAAGGGGCGGTGGGAACGTCCTGAGCTCTCCATGACGCAGCACTCTGACCAGCAGTCTGCTGTGCCCCCTCGGACATGAATGGTGCGGAAGCTGGAGCGCTTCCAGGACTATACTGATTGTGCTGTCTCCATGCTTCCGCTGGTTGAGCAATGCCTCTACTCGTGGCTGAAGACGAGGGTCTAGCAATGTTCACGCCTGCGCTCAGGTGAGCCCGAGGCGAAGAATCAGGAGCAGAGACGCTGTACTGTGGTGGTGCTTTATCTACGACGCTAATGTTAGTATCGGCCGTTCTGAGCAGAGGTTGGGCACTCTTACCATCGTTCTCATTTACATTGATGGTAAAAGTTTCTCCGGAGAGCCTGCTTCTGAGGTATGCGTTCTCCTCCTCGAGCTCACGGTTCCGTTGCTGTGTAGTCAAATACAACTTCTCGCGGCCTTCTTGAGTGCCAGTCAATTCGCTGATTCGTCGCTCGAGATTCTCGATATGATCCTTTGTTCTTTGACGAATGGCTCTCTGTGCTTCTCTGTCGTTTGCGCGTTTCCTTTCAAGTTGCGCAGCCGAAAGCGTGGACACGCTACGTGTACCGGCTCTCGAAGCCCGCTTTGAGGTAGGCTTGGACTGGCTTCCCGAGTCTGAGCTGTGCATAGTACCACTAGGGCTTTGACGAGAGCTCGATGATGTATCCTGATTCATGATGAAAAGTGATCTCGCGCGCGGCTGGACGTGAGTCGTGAAGAAAGGAACAACACTAAGTGTATGATGTGTTTCTGAAAAGCCAAGGCCAGTCAAAAAAACGAGATAATATATCAAGTGTCGAACACTCAAGGGTGGTGGCTGGTGAAGATCGCCAAGGGGAATGAGCCAATGAGGTCAAGGAGCAGAGACGTGGTTCAACTCGAGTCGAGCTGGGTGATGGTGCACGACAGTGTGAAGATCGGTAACAGATTGGATGGGGTAGGTGGGCAAGATCAAATATAACGACGAAAGATGATGAGGAATAGAAGAGTCAATGTGAGAAGCAGTCTCGCCCTAATGTTGCAATCTTGGGTCTTTGCAGACAGCGAACGATGGGCCTTTTAGAAACATTGGACACGGACTCACAATCACTGAACCATGGCTGGATAGCTTGAGATCTGGTCAGAGATGCACACACCGCAGCCGCACCGTACATGACGAAAGAACTTTTAGTCTGCACGTTAGCGGCTTCCGAACCCTGCGTGGAAGGCAGGAAGAAATTTTCTGGGTGACTGTTAGACCTGGCGGGAATAATGGACCAAGTGTTGCGCGCGCACGCGTGAGATAAGTGCTGCACAGACTGGCGTTAGACTGGGTAGAGAACCACACCCGCCAATGGTAGACCGAGGAGCAACTCTGGTGGCTGCTGCTAGAAAAGACCTCCACCGCGGCAGATCACCGCCTTGACGCCACGCCGCGCACGCGGTTGCATGTTACTGTTGGCTATTATTTTCCACGTCCGGCTCCTGATTAGGCTTGAACCGAAGCAACTGCCACGTGTAGAATCTGCTGCCTTGCTGCCTTGTATCTGAGCGAATCTGTACCAGATTGCCAGACTGTCATGTCGACTTCGACTCATGTGGCTGGGGGTGTAATGGGCGAAATGACTTTGCAGCGTCGTTTCAGACTCTACGATTGCGTTGACCACCCGTCCCTTCGTACGTTTACGCCATGCCACCTTGATATGACGACCCGAAGGGCATAACAGCTTGCTCTCTGTTTCCCTCTCGCTGTTCCCTCCGGACCACACCCCAATTAGCCCTTTGGGACAAGGGTTGGCCATCGAAAATTTAGGTTGGGTGCCTCGAAACGTGGCACCCGACGGATTCTCGCGCTGTAAGTATCTTGGTGCAAAACGTCCACCTTTAATCCCGAAATTGAGTGATAGAGTTCTTCTATGGAGTGTAGCCTCACGATGGTGTCGAGCTGGAACATGAAGGATTCTCTGACACACTGAAGGCTTGTTTAACGAACTTTGTTCTGTACTTTTTAGCCCATTCCGGTCGCCTTGAGATGACTAGCTTGGTGTTAGCAATGACGGTGATCGAATTGAGCTGAGGAAAGAAATGAGCCAGCCCACTCGGGTGCTCGTACAAAAGAAGGATCTACATGCCGCCGCTATACCGGAAGAGCCGCACCCTCTGGAATCGCATTGGAAAGCAATACAACTCATGCTGCAGAGGAGTGTTTCGTCAACACGTACGGACAGACTTCCATGTCTGGCTAGAAAAAGGATCTGGTAAGGCAATCACGTAACGAAGGTCTTCGCTGCTAGCCAGTGGTCATCATACAAAGCCTGGACACCGGCGGGACCGGGGTCTTTCGTCGAATGTGGCTTGGCGTCCAGATACCTGCTCCTTGATCGAGCGTAGGTGGCTTGCATTTCTGAGCTCGGGAGGTCTTTGCTGGCACGACCGGTGCCCAGCCAAGCGGCGCGTAGAATCGTACGTACAAGGTAACCAGCATCTGCGATGCGGCAGGATCAACAGATGCAAAAAAGGGCAACGTTCTACGGACCCCAGAGAGCACATGGAGAAGCGTTCTGTACGAGTCGTGCATTCTGACTCGAATTAAGGTTTTTGCTTCTTACTCCTCAAACATTCCATCGGTCCACTGTCCGAGTTAGAATCCGAAATGTTCCATGCAGCATGACATCTAAACTCTGGAGATGGAAGACGGGCGGCAGGAAGCGGCTGCTCACGGACTACAGGGAAAATATCTCTATCAGAGTTCGCCAGAAATGCTGAAGAAGCAATAGGCAGCGTATGTTTTCCCCACCTCGAACTTTGATGCTTCACGATGCATAGATCACAGTCGCCGCCTTGAGGTACGGTTGAGGTCATTGTGATGTCCATGACAGCCCCTACGATTTTCAAGGTCTCTACAAGTACACTCAGACGGGACGAGAAGGAAGTTCCTCGGCTGCAGCACGCAATTGTAACGCTTCCTTATTTAGTAACTACCTATCCATGTAGGAGCCGAAATCGGCACTGGCAGACGCTAGGATGTGTGTCGGAATGATGATGATGCCCTTCCAAAGCCGAAGCAAAGGGGGCTGGGAGGGGTTGTTGCGCCAAGTCTAACATTTGCTTGTATGCCCAATCACGTACGACTCGGATCAAATGTTCCGCGGGACGGAGAAGGCTCGCAATTGAGTCGCGCAGAACTGACAGACCACAGTAGGTGGAGCGTCCTGTGCTCTTCCGTGGTCTGTCCTCGACCCCAAACTACCGATGCATACCGCCTTCAAAATTTGATGTCCCAATGCGGTCGCGCAATCATGGCTTATGACCACATACGCTGACATTTTCAGACATTTGGATCCTCGTTGCTTTTGCTGTTGAGGCACTAGATGGCATCTGCTAGCAGTCTCTCGTGTCAATCTCTACCACTCCTGCACCTCACCAGCCTTAGGCTGTTGTACCCGGACGACTTTGTCGCAATTGAGTAAACAAAGAGGGTCAAGAGCAAGCTTCATCTGTGTCCGCATGTGTCAGCTACGCAGTAACAACAGAAGTAATCATGCGACGACTTGAGGTTCTGGTCCGCCTTAGGGCATCGAACATCGTGCGTTCAAAACTTACCTTTCTCATCAAATCGACAGCGCTGCGTCCAACCTCATGCTCGAGATAATCTCTCTTGACCATGCCGACGCCATGCTCGCCAGTAGCTGTACCTTCCATCTCGATGGCGCGTTTGACCATACGATGGACTAAATCTTCTGCAAGACTGTGCTCCTTGTCGTTGTAGAGGATGATTGCTGTATGTGTCAGTCACGGATTGTGTTGTTGTTTGCATTAGATGAAAGACCGCTCACCATGGAAATTGCCGTCACCAACATGTCCAACGATAGCTCCTGTCAAGCCGCTCTTCGCGATGGCTTCCTTAGTCTCCTCGACAATATCTGGTAAGCGCGAGATGGGCACTGCCACGTCCGTAGTCCAGACATGGTCGCCGTCGTTCTGCTTCTTCGCCATGACGCTCCAAAGAGCTTCCTTTCTAGCACTCCAAAGCTCTAGTGCCTCGTCCTGGTTCCTCGCGAACTCAAACGTCTTGCTGCCTGAGGACTTAGCAATCTTTTGGACAAGGGCGATATGCTCCTTGACACCGGTGGCAGTTCCGCTGAACTTGAAAAACAGGGTTGGAGCCTCCTTCCACGATCGTGAGGTCTGTCCAGCGTCGTTGATGCATCGCATCTGAACGTCGTCCAGCAATTCAATTGCCGCAATAGGCACGCCTTCTCCTACGACTTTGAACACAGCATTGGCCGCTTCTCTGACTGACGCAAAAGTACAAACGGCAACGCTGGTATTCTGAGGCTTGACGGTAACCTTCAACGTCGCCTCGGTGACCAATCCAAGCGTGCCTTCGCTTCCAATGAACATGCGGGTCAAATCATAGCCGGCGGAAGACTTCCTAGGACGCTGCTTGGTCTTGACGATAGTTCCATCTGCGAGAACAACGGTAAGGCTGAGAACCCAATCCTTCATAGTACCGTAGCGATAAGCATTTGTGCCGCTACATCCTGTACCCACCATGCCACCAATCATGGCACCTGGGCCCGGGTCTGGAGGAAAAAATAGGTTATGGTCGGCGAGTTCTTCGTTCAGATTTTCCCACCCAACAGCGGGTTGCACGATTATGTCCAGATCATCCTTGTTCAGCTTCAAGATTTTGTCCATGCGGCTGAAGTCGATGCATACCCCACCTCTTGTAGAAGCAAAATGGCCTTCCAGGCTCGTTCCACCTGAGTACGGAGTAACCGGAATACGTCGACGATGGCAAACTTTCATTATCTCGCTCACTTGTTCGGTCGATGCAGGCCTGACGACGCAGAAGGGCTGATCCCCGGGGAGGGCAGGATAAGAGCTCCATTCAGAGCCTGCGTGAGAGGTAAGATCCGAGGCCTCTGTTGAAATGTTCTCCTGTCCAACGATGTCGCGGAAGTCGGTCCATGCTGCTTCAAGATTGGTTGGAGCAATGTTATGCTTTGGGGGACGGGCGGCCGTGAGCGGCAGTGTTGAGTTCGGAGCAGGGTCAGCTGGAGCCTGTTGGCCAGCGATATAACCGCCGAGAGCACCAGTCAGTAGGACTAGCAAGAGTAAGCATTTTGTGTCTCGTCAATGGGATTTGGACCAGAATATACCGAGTGGCACCATCCAGACAGGTGACCCTCCAGAGCCCTTCTGAGCAGCTCGGGCTTCGGCGAACCGAAGCTGGTCAGCCCGTTCTCTCTGTAGCCTTTGGGCAGTACTATCATACAACTGACCCTTGAAGGACTTGCCTTCGCTTTCCGAGGCATAGCCTCGATTCCCTACTCGTCTAGCTGCGCGTGGTGCTTTTGCAGCCGTTCGGCCTAGCTGCTGCATGCTTTCGACGCGAGCAATGCTCTTGGAAAGCATCTTGCCGAGCTCCTTGGATGCTTCGAGGCAAAGAGTAGAGGTTGAACGACTCTTCGAGGAGGGGACGACGATTCGGTGAAACGGAGGCAGTCACGCAGCATGACGAGCGGATTATGCGCGAAGCGATTTCTGGCCAATCAGCGGTCGACTTGGCCGACCTCCGCTATTTACACTTTTAGACAGGGTCATACAAACACCAAGCTGAATAAAATATGAACAAGACAGTGAAGTGTAAAAAACATCTTATAGGAGCGTCCGATAAGTTCAAAGCAATAGATAAGCCAGTTTAGTATGCGTCTATGATTTTTTTTACATCACATTCGCTCTGGACGGCTGCTGTGGAAAAGTTGTCATGTCCCAGTGCCTTGGCAGTGTGTGCATACACAAGCGTCACGAAGTTCGACTGGAAGTTTTAATGCGGTATCTTATTTCTCCTTGCTATTATCGTTGAGACCAAGCTTAGTGGAGCTGGTATCGAACTTGAAGTAGCCCATACCCCGGTTTTTTGCATTGTGTTGGATCAAGACGGGCCAGGCGAATTGCTCGAAATGCTCGGTATCAGCTACTTCATGTCGGCAAGACGCTCCTTGACGTGCTCCTTGGCCTCGTCAGAGACGCTGTCGTTGTGAAGGGCAGCCTTGAGGCCAGCGGCACTAAGTTTGTTCAGTAGAGAATCGCCAAGATCATTGGCTCGCGCTCGGCTTACACTCTGGTGGAATTCTTGCCATCGTCAGTCTGAGAGGTGGAAGTGATGTCGGCGAGATGGTGCGAGACATTCTCCTTGGCTTCATCAGAGACGTTGGGATTGTGAAGAGCAGCCTTGAGACCAGCAGCGCTGTAGGGAATCAGTATAGATGTAATGGATATACGGAAGTGACTCCACGTACACTCGCACGGGGTTCTTGCCGTCGTCGTTGTGAGCAGTAGCACCAACGTCAGAGCTAGACTCAGTGCCGAGCTCCTTCTCGATGACTTCGAGAGAGTGCTGCTTGGATTCCTCGGAAGTGTTGGGGTTGCTGAGGTTAGCCTTGTGGCCACCAAGGACGTTACCGATGTTCGACATGTTGTTTTAGCTGGAGTGGTTAGGATTGTTGTTGTGATTGTCTTTGTGTCTGGAGGGAGGGTGGGAGGGAGGGAGAGAAGAGTGTGTAAAATGGACGGAGCGGGTTCTTATAGCATGTTGGAAGTGAGAGTGAGCCAACGAGGACCTTCTTCACTCAAAGGACGGTGTTGTTTGTCAGGCAGCTGTCACTTGTACATGCAACTTGGCAGGCAGGTGCCCTGCAGCTGTCTCACCAAACATGGAGCCTTAAACGCGTACAGACCAATTGTACTTAGCGAAAAGACTCTCATACGAGCGATGGTCATGGTAACAAAGCTCATATCTCACCTCGAGAGCTTGCAACACCATGTCATCTCTGGCATTGTAGGAGCTTGGAAAAGCACCACATGGATAGGATCACAGATCGAGCACACTTTCTGCAACATGACAAACTACTCACACGTCCATGACTGAGCCCCTTTTGTGTCTTGTAGAGCGGAAGAAAGGAATTCATGTGAAGAGGATGAAGTCCATGGCTTCAAATATGACGCGTTCGCGACGCGACGTGATTTGTGCCGCATCGGGACTTTTTGCGACCACGCGGATTGCCCATTATTTTCCATGGCCAAACGCAGATGTTGCGTCCGGTCGATCCGTCAGAGAACCTCGTTTGGGGGTGCTCGCACCGATGCAGAAAGCATAGCAGGTGATAGTAGAGACCATATGAATATGATAGAGAGCATCACATGCGACGTGCTTAGCAGCGAGCCGGGCCGAGGCTCCGAAACAACCGAGGCTCGATAGCAAGATGAAACATGGAAACGAGAGTGTAGGAAGGACGTCGTCGACAACAACAACAACAACAACAACGAATCTGCCTCGACAAGTAGCAAATCACCCACCATGGCGACTCTGATCAAGCCACCGCCTGCGGATGCCAGCAAATCTCCAATCGAGAGTGTGCTTGAGCTCAAGCAGCTGACAGACATCGACCCTGGCATCTTCACTAACACACGTCCATTGTGGCATCCTCCCGGCGCTCGAGGAATATACGGAGGTACGCACAGATGGCTAAGTGCAAGTTTCGATCTCTTATGATTCATAGGTGCCGTGATTGCGCAATGCCTGGCGGCAGCCCAACGAACAGTCCGCGACGACTTTAGCGTCCACAGCATGCACTGCTACTTTGTGCTTGCCGGCAACGCCGAAATCCCAATCATGTATCACGTCGAGAAAGTAAGAGACGGGCGCAGCTTCGCTACACGGACCGTTCAAGCACGACAGCGGGGACGCCCCATCTTCACGACGACCATGTCGTTCGTCCGAGAGAACAGCGGAGGTGCTGAGCGTGTCGAACATGCAGTCGACATGCCCACTGTACCTGGGCCGTCGGAAGACCTGGACATTCCGCAGCAAGACAACAGTCCTTTCCAAAGCCAACGCATCCACATCCTCAACCATGAATCGGGTCGGCCACAAGACAAGAAGACACGACAATGGATCAGGGCTAGGGGCAAGATCAGCCCCAGCGGAGGACACCAGGCACATCTTTCTGCTCTGGCATACATGAGCGATAGCTATTTCATAGGCACAGTGTCAAGAGTGCACCGACTGTGGAGGTTCTCGACATCGGACAAGGATGGGAAATCGACAATCGACAGTTCGGTGCTCGAGAAGCTTCGTGACATGGACGACGACACTCTGCGGAGAATGCAAGGAATGGACGAAGATGTCATAATGGCAATACGAAACATGAAGGACATCAACAGCGAAGAACAGAGACGGCCAGAGGTGGGCATGATGGTAAGTAGGGCGGTGCTTGTGACCATGGCGGCAAGGGAGACTGATGAGTGCAACAGGTCAGTCTGGACCACACCATCTACTTCCACTCGCCTCGCAATTTCAGGGCAGACGAGTGGATGTTTACAGAAATGGAAAGCCCATGGGCAGGAGACGGCAGAGGATTGGTGCTTCAGAGGTAAGTGGGGACTCGATGAAGCAAGCAAAAGCTAAAGAGAAGCAGGATGTTCACCAAAGACGGCGAATTGGTTGCAACATGCGTCCAAGAGGTAAGTGAACAAAGTGGTGCAAAGCACGCGGGCCAGGCTGACGAGTGAGTCTAGGGCGTGGTCCGACTAAAGGAAAGTAAGAGCAAGGCGGATGTGTCGAGCAAACTGTGACAAGGACCTGTGGGAGTGTGAGTCAAAGGCGTGATAGGGCGTGGTCAGGAAGAGCGGATGGCTAGGGCGTGGTAGAGGGTAAGGGCACATAGCCTATAGGGCGTGGAGTTTTGGAGTCTGTTGCGAGCGAATGGCGGGGTAGCAGCGGTTTTCGGCCGGCGTCATAGGGCCCGGCCCATTTTTTCACAGACCAACAGTCACGATGTCGGCGTGATGCTGTCACTCAGCAATTGCAGTCTGCATAACAGTACCTAGGTGACTCTATTGCCCTTTGTTAAATGCACCTGTCCCGACGCTACTCTGAGCCAACCACTTAGTCTGCCATCGCTCTGTCCCGACAGCAGCTCTTCGAACATCCTTCACCATGCCCATGTATGCAAAAGCCAAGCGCCGTGTTTTGCTGTAGCTGACCAAAGCCACAGGCTCAAGGAACCATGGAAGAAATATCCAAAGTTCCAACCTCTTGATCTGCCCAACCGCCAATGGCCGTCCAAGACGATCGACAAGGCGCCGCGATGGCTCTCGACCGACCTCCGCGACGGCAACCAGAGCTTGGTCGACCCCATGGACGGCGAGCAGAAATGGCGATACTTCCAGATGCTCGTCAAGCTTGGCTACAAGGAGATCGAGGTCTCGTTCCCCTCGGCCTCCGACACGGACTTTGAATTCACGCGCCGCCTCGTCACCACGCCCGGCATCGTGCCCGACGACGTCGCGCTCCAGGTCCTCTCACCATGCCGCAAGGAGCTCATCCGCCGGACCGTCGACTCGCTCAAGGGCGCCAAAAAGGCCATCCTCCACTTGTACCTGGCCACCAGCCCGTGCTTCCAGCAGATCGTCTTCAACATGAACAACGACCAGTCCAAAGCCCTCGCCGTCGAGTGCACAAAATACGCCCGCAGCATCACAAAGGACGACCCCTCGCAGAAAGACACCGAGTGGTCCTACGAGTTCTCGCCCGAGACCTTCTCCGACTCGAGCCCCGACTTTGTCCTCGAAGTCTGCGAGGCCGTCAAGGCCGCCTGGGAGCCGAGCGAGGAGAAGCCAATCATCTTCAACCTGCCTGCCACGGTCGAAATGTCGACCCCCAACGTCTATGCCGACCAGATCGAGTACTTCTGTCGCAACATCTCAGAGCGCGAGAAGATCTGTGTCTCGCTCCACCCACACAACGACAGAGGCTGCGCCGTCGCCGCTGCCGAGCTCGCTCAAATGGCAGGCGCTGACCGTGTCGAGGGCACTCTGTTTGGCAATGGTGAGAGAACCGGAAACGTCGACCTCGTGACACTTGCTTTGAACTTGTACACTCAAGGCGTCCCGCCCAACATCGACTTCAGTGACATCAACTCGGTCATTGACGTTGTCGAGAAGAGCAACAAGATCCCTGTCCACCCCAGAGCCCCCTACGGCGGTCAACTTGTCGTCTGTGCTTTCTCAGGCAGTCACCAAGACGCCATCAAGAAGGGCTTCCGCCTGCGCGAACAAAACGGCAACAATGACGACGAGCCCTGGAGGATCCCATACCTTCCTCTCGACCCTCAGGACATTGGTCGTACCTACGAGGCAATCATCCGTGTCAACAGCCAGTCGGGCAAGGGTGGTGTTGCTTGGATCATCCAGCGTACACTCGAGCTCGACATGCCTCGCGGCCTCCAAGTCGCCTTCAGCAAGATTGTACAGAAGGAAACGGATGCTCTGGGTCGCGAGCTACAACCCACCGAGATCAAAAATCTCTTTGTCAACGCCTATCATCTCGAGAAGAACCCGCGTTTCCATCTCATCGACTACGATATTACCACCGACCGCTCTGCACCCGCCGCTCCCACCGACGGAAAGACTGCTTCCAACAAGGACCTGAAGCGTCGCTTCGACGGTGTCATCGAGGTCGACGGTAAGGAGCACCGTCTCCAGGGTGTTGGCAACGGTGCCGTTTCATCTCTTGCCAATGCTCTCAAGTCCCTCAATATCCATCTCGACGTGGACGACTACAAGGAGCACGCTATTGGTCGAGGTAGCGACGTCAAGGCCGCCACATTCATCGAGTGCTCCACTGGCTCAAACAAGGTCTGGGGTGTCGGTATACACCAGGATGTCGTACAAGCTACCCTCACTGCCCTCCTATCCGCCGCTTCCTCGGTAAGTCAATAAATTATCATCTCGGCTTTGTCCTTTGTAATCTGACTCGTCATTTGCACAGTTCTTGTCAAGCAGGCCTGGTACCCCGACTCCTTCTGCCGAGCCCAAGCTTGACTCGTAGGAGCGAGACGGTGCATCCGACTCCATTGCGGATCTCCAGACGAAGTTCGAGAACGGAAAAGCTTAATAGGAAGTAGACTCGACGATTTTTCGACGTCGAGCTCTTTCTACACGTGTGATGTCCCGTCATTTTATTTCATTTTACTGCCTCAAAATACCTAGCTTGTTCATTTGGTCGTCCCCAGGATCTGGGAAAAATTGCCTTCTATTCACATCAATCAAAAACTTTCTCCCACAAGTCGTATAACGCTATTTGTAGCTACCAGAATGATCACTCGCCGAATGTCTGCTCTACGGCCAATTGTCAACTCGATTGCTGCTCTTCTTCAGGCTAGAGCACATAAGATCAGACGACGGTCAAGTCATTTCAGTCGCAGGACCCGAGAACTAGACAACACAAAGGTCAATGATAGAAGTGATATCTATGTTATGCACATGTAATGCTATCTCGTCATTCCCGTCCACATGGAGGGACACTAATCATACGATCTAATCTCTCCTGGCATTTCTTGTGAAGACATTCCCTCATCCTAAAAAGCGACTTCATACATCCCAATGTTCTCTTAAAAGGCCGAAAGTACAGTCTTTTACAAGGTCAAGAATTGGAAAATAGTTCTTCTAACTCGCATTCAAGTTCAAATGCCTCATTGCATCTTGTGACCAGTCTTCATCACTGTCGATGCTGGTGCGATTAGCGATCCTCAGTCCGCCCGACTGCACCGGTACATCTACTGGCGAGTCGGGCTCTTCGCTGTAATTGCCTCTGAACTCCGATCGAGGTGGTGGTTGGAATTGCTCGGGCGCCGCGCTTGCAAAGTCTTGCTCGTCAGAAAAGCCGTAGATCATGTTACCTTCTACGGGAGAATAATCGAGTGTGGTGTTCAGCGCGAGGTGGTTCGGTCGCTCGTTTGTGGGTGTATGGTCGTTATTGCGCAAGAACTCTGCTGATGGTCGTGGCAGCTCGTCCGTGTAGAGCTGCTGCGGCATGCTTGGCATGTCATACGCATGTGGTTCTTCGGCCAATGGCAGTTGTGAGATGCTTTCGACATGACGCAACGAACTGCCTGCTGTACCGGGAGCGCGGTTAATACTGCCGGGCCCTCCTCTGAAGGCGCCAGCGCCCGCATTACCCGACTGTACGCTGCTGCGTCTATCAGTCGCACCTTCATTTGGCACCGCTGTACCCACGCTTCCCTCTGCGTCAGGATCGCGGATACTAAACTGAGCTATCGTGCGCATCTTGCGAGAGACCCAGCTGGCCAAGATCTTGCCTCGCTGCTTTTCGCCAAGTCTTGATCGGGGGAAGTCACCCTTTTGGACAAAGGCAACAATGTCAAGCACAAGCTGGTGCTCGTTCAGTACCGTGTTCACGATCATTGGTACTATCGACGCGAGGAAGGCACGGGTGCGAGACTCGGCGATGAGGACCAGGAGTGAGCCGGCTTGGAAAATTGCGCTATTCAAAAGTTAGTATGTTGATTGTTAGAGATAGATTGATACCACATACCATCCACCAGAGACAAGAGCACGGTGACATCTCTCTACACTGGCTTCGACATCCATGGGGAAGTGTTGGAGACCATTAACCTCGAAAGTCTCACCAATTCCACCAAGGACGAACAAGACCTGCATTTCGACCATGTTGCCACCAGGTCCGATGGGCCTACTGACACTGTGCAGGAAGCCAAGATCTCCAGTGCGCATGTATCTCACACCAGGATCACCATCCACTGTACGGCCGTTGAAGCGTTCGGCATCGAACGCATCCTTCGATCCGTAGAATGAGTAAGCGGAAGCTTCGCTTTGCACCCAAATCTCACCGTACTCGCCTGCCAAACACAGACGGTTGGTCTCTGGATTAACGATACTGATTTGCGTGCTAACGGGTACCATACCCGAGTCCTGGACGAGTAGGGCAAATGGCTCCGTGTCCGGATCGACAGGAGCCACCAATCCTCGGCGAAGTGCGTTGGTATCAAGATACAACTCGATGGGTTCTATGCACATGTAGCTACGACTTGCAACCATCGGGTTCAGCACATGACTGTATATGGTGTTAATAGCAGTCCTATCAAGCGCCGCTTGAGAAAAGGCTACGCGAACTTTGCTGTAAACATCTGCGCGAGGTCTCTGATCTGTGGCAATCATGAGATTCTTCAGCTCGAGGAGGGAGGTCGACTTTCCGGCGTTGTGAGCCATGGCGTGATCAAGCATTTGTGATGTCGCATAAGTATCCTTGATCTTGTAGCGCGACAATATCTGGAACAAGATGCTGGGGTTTGCAGCAAAGTCGACTGGCGAGACCAGGTATGTTGGTGCGGCCAAAAAGATACCCATCAAGCAGGTATGCAAGAAACCGATACCCATGGTGGATCTGACGCAGCCCAGAACTGGACGAGTAGATGTCATTTGGCAGGTTTCCTTCTGCACTTTGCACAATGCCATAATAGTGTCGTGGCCGAGTTGTACGGCTATCCTTCGCTGGTCTGGCGTCCAGTATGTCCAGATAAGAGCAGGGAAGCCTTGCGCTACCCATGCCGGTCGCATGGTAAAGCCTAGATCGCGACATCCATGAGACTGTTTTGGCGGCTTGGAAGTGTTGTAGATGTTGGGCAGGTTGACCTTGAGAATGAGTGCGGATTGTTTAAGATGCTGCGAAACAGCCTTTTGCCTTAGCAGAGAATCGACATCGGCGTTGACGACAAGCGCTTTGATGCGGAAATCGGCGATGACGTGAAGCAATGCAGGCGCATCCTCGTGCAGTCTGTTAGAATCGATAGGTGCCATAGGAACAGCCACCACACCTAGACAGAAACAAGCATGCATGGCATAAACGAAGTCCTCCGAATGAGTGTACATGAGCAACAAGTGGTCGCCAGGCTTGACCTTGACCTTGTTCTTCAGGTACGCAGCAACGCCTGCAACCTTGAGGTCGAATTTTTTCCAGTTGACGCCTTTACCTTCCCGTCCACGACCATCAATGGTACAATAGGCGAGTTCTTCAGCTTGTCGCGAAACACGCCACTGCATCAGATCATGGATGTTAGAGAACTGATTCAAGGGAGTCGAGGTTCTGTCATCAATCACGACCTCGCGGTGATCAACGCCGGAATATTGCTTGTCTTGCAACATTAGTAGGTCTTGTCTCGCCTGCGAGGCTAGAGGCGACCATATGCCACCGGCCGGGTCGTCTCCCAATGGTAAATTCTGTACAGCCCTCTCGACGCCAAATTTAACGTACACGCACTGCAGAGCTCCGTTGTCAAAGTCTTTCCTGCACAGCATGTTTCCAATGTCTCTTCTGCCGTTCTTGACAACACGCGGCAGGGTATTTGGAGCTGTCAACATGACACAGTATACTCGCAGGTGATGTTCCTGATAAAGCACTTCCATGACGCGCTCAGTAAGCGAGTCCAGGAAGGGAATGTCTAGTTGTCTTGGTGGTCCGCCAGCAGTGGTCGGAGCTGTAGAGGCAGCTTGAGACTCCAAAAGCACGAATGGGAGATATTCACCATTCACATGTGCGTCAAACGCAGAGCAATCGAAAATCTTCGGCACAGTCTTCATGATGCTTGTGACCAGGTGCTGGACGAAGAAGTATCGATGCTCATGCTCATGCACGCCATTCTCCACCCACTCTACTCGCTGCCTTATACGATCCTCGTAGAGGCCGAGCACATACACTTTGCCTTCGATAACACATCCCAGGAGTCCAGTACGCAGAAACTCAGGTTCGACCAGGACTGGAGTAGGACTGCCCTCAACAAAGCGGTAGGGTCTGGCGTGGAAAATACTTTCCGTGTGTCTTGGAAGGGCCCAGAAGCCTCCTGAAAGGGATGGAGAGTCCACCCAGATTTCGCCGATTGTGAAAGGCGAGCAAAGCAGACCAGTCTCAGGGTCAACTAGGGCAAGTGTCGCGTCCGGAATGGGATACCCAAATGCACCTGCTCTGACAGTCCCAGGCTCGTTGGCTCTTCTCCTGGCATCCTCGCCCATGGCCAGAACAACGATCTCGTTCGTTTTGAGAGCTTCCTTATCGAGCAACACCTCACTCAGCTCGTTACGGCTATTCTTTTGACCTTTCTTGGCGGTGGTACCCCCTACACTACCCAGCAGACTGGAATAGTTGTTCGAGTTTCCTTGACTCGCAGTTCCATCGTCCTTGAGATCGTGCTCGGCGTCATCTATGCTTAAGAGACATCCCATCCTCTCTTCTCCACCAAGCCAGTCCCTGACGGATACAATCATGCCTCCGTGCTCAGGCAAGCAAAGCATAGGAGCGACCAGTTCCCTGGCGCGGGGATTGCGCATCGGTCTGAACCAACGATCTGCCAGAATTTCGTGAAATTCGCTGTCCACAGTGATGGTGTCAATCAAGCAGATCTTGACTGTCGAGAAGTTGGGCTCTGCATTCTTCTTGAAGTTCCTCGTGGCCATTGGATCCTGTTGATAATTGTAGGCAGTTCGTTTCAGACCAGGATAATCGGCAACCATGATGGTGGACCTATACTTGGTAATCAAATGCGCGTACATTCCAGGGGTATCCACAGTTTTGGCTTCCAGCCAGACGGTCGTATGACCACCATAAACACCGAATAGTACGCCGAGGATCAGGCCCACACCCTCTCTAGGATCGAGGTAAGACAAGATGGTCTCTGTTTTTGTCCCCGGAGGGGCTCTAAAGCCCGAGTCGGGATCACTGGTGGGAATAGTAGACACAATGGCGCTGACACAGGCCATCTGGTGCATGATAGTGCGATGGCTCAGGACGACACCGCGTAAATCGCCAGTAGGAGCGCGAGAAAACTCTATATAAGCGAGATCTGGCACCTGCAAAGGCGGAGTATCGTCCTTCTTCTTTGGATGGTAGCTCCCAAATTCGTTGGTCTTCCACCACTCAACGCCAGAAGGCCACTTCAAGCGCTGTTGGCTGATATCGCGATGGAAAGCTTTAAGATTGTTGTCGGTAGTCAGGGCGAGATGTGCCTGGGTTGTAGTGAGAAGCAGGCCGAGCTTTTGATAGTCGTCGACATTGTTTATGGGTACAGCAACGACACCAGCGATGAAGCAGCCCATAAGGGCAACAGCGAAGTCAATGACCTCAGTGTCACGGTATACCAGGGCGACACGATCACCGCGGTACAGGTTGCTCTTGTCACGGATAACTTGGGCGACCTTCTCTGCCCTACTGGCTAGCTTCTCCCAGGTGATGGAAGCAGTCTCTTTGCCTCTTGAATCCAGGACCCAGTATGCAGGCTGGCGGCCATTTGACCTAGCACGGTGACGGAGGACGGCGCCAATGTTGTCGAAGTTGGACATGGGGACGGACTTGTTATGGGGGTCGTATACGGCAAAAGGCACCTCTCGCGGTTCCAGAGGCAGCTGGTGGATCGGGGCGGATGGATCGATGTCGGACGAAGACATCAACGGAGGGGGGATGTTTGCGGTGGGCGAGAAGGCTTCGCCCATGGAATAGCGCTGAGGGCCGCCGTAGCTCTCCTCGCGAGCGTGGTCCTGCATCTGCTGGCCGGCGAAGTCGTCGAAAAAGCCCTGCTGCGAGTCGAGCATAGTGCTGAGACGGCTCTGTACATCGGGCGATTGTTGCTGGCGCTGAGGGTGAGAGAGCAGATGGTTGTACTGAGGGTCTGGATTGAAGGCATAGTCGGAGCCGTACATGCTGGCGGGCGTGGAGCGGCCTTGGAAGGCCGAGGCGGTGCGTTCAACAGCAGTCGGGGCATTGCTGAGGCTGTCGTCGGCGACGTAGGGGCCGGCCGACGTGTTCGCCAGCGAGGCAGTACGCGAATGGCCGGCCGACGACAGGGCGTCCAGCTCGCCGTGTCCATAGAAGTGCGACAGCAGGAGCGTCCGGCGCTTTTCGTACCTGTCGCGGGTCAGTGGTTGGAGCGCCGACGGAGCTGCACGGCATGGGCGGGCGCGAACCCTTTCTTTGTAATGTCGCCCTCCTCTAGCTCATGGTCCAGCTCGCGCAGTTTGGCCTGCAGCTCTTCCTCGGCCATGGCGGCGGCATGGGTTGGAGGCCGTCGCTTGCTCTAGTAATGCTTCGCTTGATGCTCGTTCTTGTTCAATCCTTTTCAGAAGGCCTAGGGAAACGTCCGAAGAGTGTCGTCTTTCTCGTCGAGCATGTGAGGGTGCACATGCGATATTCCATGTCATTGACACAGGACGCGATCCATGTGGGTGCTCTGCCAAGCAATCAACGTCTATCCGACATCCATCACCTCCAACATAGGTACGACTTGCCTGCATTGACTACCGGCTATCGCTACGACTGCCGTACCTGCTTACCGCCAATGTTTCAAGATTGCCGGGAATCTCGCTTGTCCATTTTGCACCGCAACCATGTTTCATCCTTGTGCCTGTCGACAAGTCATCACGGTACTACTTGTTGTCACACAGACTCCTGACATTGCATCTGTTGCTCGACCAAATTGTATGCAGATTAGAATGTGTGCTACCTTGCACATCTTTGTCTATGTACCACCGTCAAAACGCTCCGCAAATGCTCATCATGAACTCGCTGAGAAGATAAAGGTATCGAACAGAGAAACAAGAAAACTCAAAATCTTCCGCCTCAATACGTGAAGGCCTCTTCGTGGAACGTAATGTTGCTGACATCGACCTTTTTCCGCACTGCCGCTCGTACGCTGTCTGCAAATGCCCCAGGCCCGCAGACGACAACGCCCATCGCTCCAACTTGTTCCGCTGCTTCTTTTTCCAGCACCGTCGAAGGGTTGCAGCGCCCAGGGAACATCTGCACTGTGCCTGTTCGACTGTTGACTTCGTTTTGATTTCGAGGCTTGGTGACGAAGAGCTGCACACGTAGCACCTCCTTGCGTCCCTCCATCTTGAGAATCTGATCCATCCATGGTCGTGCCCATTCGAGCGCTTCGGTAGTGGGCACCGACCAAACGAGGAGGATTCGACGTGTCGAGCACGTCCCTTGAGAGTATTGTGTCAATAGGCGATGCACATATCCGACGCAATGTGTAATGCCAACACCTCCAGCGAACAATACTGCTGTGCCGTAAGATGCTAGTTTTTCGTGTCCACCATACGGCCCTTCCATAGCACCAGGAAGAGTGATTATTCCACTGGGTGACGCGCATGCCTTCTCGTACAATTTGCGCGTCATACCCGATCTGGCACGGATGACCAGACTCACATGCGTGACTTCAGGTCCATCACTGTCTGAAATTTGCGTCTTGTAATGCGAAATGACAGATTGATGCTTGGGCATATTCCAGGATGGCAACTTTTCCATCTCAATCTCAAGCGGTGCGCTTCTCGGTTTGGTTTCTGCCCAAGCGACCGAGAAAGGATGCGATGCCCACATGCCGACCGTTGGAAAGTATACATGGACATGCGATCCAGGAACGTAATTCCAGGACCTGGGAAGCTCGAAGGTGACACGACATGCCTCACCAGGAAGCGCTTCGACCTGGGCTCTAGACATGCCGGACTTCAAGCTGAAATTGTAGTAGGCAACACGTAGGAAACGTGTGAACCATTCTAGTCCCCATAGTATGATGACGAACTTGATGTAAGGCGTCTGAGGAAGATGGTGCTTTTCGAGATGCAGATGAATGCCAATCAGACCTAGCATGACCAGAACACGGTGCAAGTTGAGAAAGGTTTCGTAGAAAGCGTGACGCAAAGGTGAGAAAGCCTGGAGGATGATGGCAATGAAGGTGCAAGTGCCGACCATGCCCCATGCGTAACTTGGAATGGTCAGATTTTCCTTGAGTCCATCGTAGCCGACGGAATCGATGACATTGACGAGATAACACATGGTGTGAACAATGCTCTCGATTGCGCATACTCTAGCACACCATCTGTGGAGCAGGTTGAATGTATCGTAGGAAACTCTGAGCAGAGGGATTAAGGGGTTGTTGCGCATGGCGAAAAGCATGGTTGGGATGATGTTCAGCGCAGCGAGCTCACCACTGCGACCGCGAAGTTCAGCGATGACGGCTGCACGATCTTCAGTGCCCCAGTGCAGGACCAGGCAGTAGGCAATGTTAGAAAACAAGTAGACTGTCAGTAGAAGAGTGTGGAAGCGTGACGGGAGGGTTCCAATGCTGATTGCCGATGAAAGCTGGATCTCCTTGTTGTGGCGGTTGCGACCCAGTGGGGCGTAGAGTAGGTGTTTCTTGATTTTAGGCCATATTGAAGTGTGATTTCGGGCCCAATAGACTTGCCTATTCGGGTTGCTCATGGTAAGAAGATGTCGGATGTGCGCGTTACCCATGTTGGCCCATCGGAACAATAAAGTTAGCACGCACAATCCGCCGAGAGACACACAGAGGACGGCGGCGAAAAGGTAATTTGCAGTCTGGTCTACGCCCGAAAGTCCGTGGGCATAGGGCGATAACTCCTGGACAGTAGCATTGGCGAGTGCATTGAGCTCACTAGTGAGCCCTCGTGGAGCGACAGCCATCTCCGCAACGCGATCAAGGGCAATGTGCAGGTGGGAATGCGAATGGTGAGAATGCATGGCGACCGGCGCAGTGAGGGAACAAGCCTGTATAGAAGGACAAAGAAGGAATTGGAGGTGTCGCTATAATCAAATCCGGAAAATGGATACAAAGAACCGGCTTTGTAGAGGCGAGGCGGAGTTTGTGGCTTCCTTGTAGTTCAAATGCTCAGGCTGATGCGATGTATGTTGGCGAGGTTGATCAACAAGCCAGAGAGAAGATGCGTATTAGCTCGCAAATGTCAAGAAGATGCGATCGTCGTTGAATAATGCGAGGCCGAACAATAGGCCGACAATGGCTATTGTGACATGCCTTTGCGAAGGGCACAAGGAGAAGTGAAGTGCGTGTCGTTTGCTTGTGTGGCAAGTCCGAAGCAGTGAAGCAAGATTGATGTTGTATGCACGACAGGGGTAGATTCAGGAATGCGGCAGGCTTTGGCGCGTGGTGGAGTAACTTTAAGCTTGTTCTGGGTGTCCACAAAGAAGCGAGTGTAAGTGAGTGCGAGTGAGTGAAGGAGTGAAGCAAGTTAGGTATCTTCGAATCCCGGCGAGTGCAACAACAAGAGACAGTGTTTGTCAAAGAAAACGATGTGGAGGTGGAGGTTCGCCTACATAAACACACATACCCAGATTGACCTCCTGGCGCTAGGGACGCAACGGTTATTGGCCTGATGCAGTACCAAGGCGCCACCGGGTTCCTGCAGACGTGTTTCATCTTGGACTGATCTATTTATCTGTTCTTGGAGCATGGCCCGATTGCTCTCTGCGGCTCTTGCAGTTTATCTCGGACGTATAGAGTATTCGACTCTTGTGCCCTCGCCTACCAAGTCTAGTCGGCTGCGGCAAAGGGGGCTGGCATATTCTATCTGATTCTTGTTCAATCACGGCCCTCGCCACATGAATTATTGTTGATGGCCGCTAGGTTGCACCAAATCGATCAGGGCTCCTTTCGTCGTCCAAGAGCTATTCGTGTGCGTCACTTAAATTAGAGCCAAGCGTGCAGCGTCCGTTCTCACGCCATGTCAGTTGCTAGGCTGACTTGGAGCCCATGCTGATGTTTATTCTCTAAGATAGGGTCGGAGAGACGAGGAGACGATGGGAGCGATAGGCGCAGATTGGCTCTCGAACGGATTGCACAGATAATCGCCACTTGATATGTCACAAGTCCAACTGCCGGTGCAACAAGGAAAAGTCCTTTCCCGTAGATTCATGCACATGAAGGCGAGTGGAGACAAGGTGCAAGTCCCAATTTCGACGTTGACGAAAAGGGAAAGCAGAACTTGGCGCTCGGCAACAAAGTAGAACCGAGTGGCCGTGTGGCTGTGCAGACTGAGTAGTACGTAGGTGTAACCGCTACACAGCCTTCGCAGGCAACCGTGTGTTATCTATCGTCTTTGCGAACTCGCCATCGACTTTTCAATCTGTTTCTGCCACGACTCGATCTGTTTGCGGTATCATATACGGACTACCGCTCGCAGCTGCCCGATCTGCTCCGAAGCATACCATCTCGTGTAGAGACAGCTCGCGCCATCGCCAGCCACCATGTCACACCACGGTTCGGACCCCGATCTCCACCGAGCCATCTCTCTTCGACCCAGTCCGTTCCACGCACATCCCGAACCATCGACCCGGATTTCCCAACTTCCAGATGGTGTACTTCCTGTCCTCCCATTGCCACAGACCAAGCCCGGTGCTTCCACATCCTACGAGCTCGCCGAGGCGCACGACCCTGTCTCGCGTCCCATCTATGCCCGCAGCACCAGCGAAGCCCAGGACGTCGAAGGCAGACCGCTTCCGAGCTATACTGCCGACAATGATCCACTGAACCTCCACAGTCGTCTCAAGACCACGGAACAATTGGATGCCATTCGGGCAAACACCTCCAGAAGACGCCAAGGTGCTACAGACCGCCTGTGTGCACCTATCGCTCAAACCAAGGATGCTGTCCAATCGCGCAGAGTCCGAGGCTTTTACGAAGGCCAAAATGATGCTATCGAGAGAATGCTCAAACCAGTCGACGACCATAGGAGAGAGGCCAAGGAAGAAGCCGGTGCCGACCATCTACAGTACAAGATCGCCGTCTATGGCTCGTTTGCTGCCAACATCCTCCTGGCCGGCCTGCAGTTGTACGGCGCCATCTCCTCCGGCTCCCTCTCGCTCTTCACCACCATGGCTGATGCCATCTTTGATCCCCTGTCCAATCTCACTCTGATTCTGTGCAATCGGGCTGTCAACCGCGTCGACCCTCGCAAGTTCCCTGCCGGAAAGGCTCGGATAGAAACAGCTGGCAATATTTGTTTCTGTTTCTTGATGTGTAGCGTTTCCTTCATTCTGATTGTCCTCTCCGTCATGGAGCTCGCAGAGGGTTCGAACTCGGAGACGAAACGATTCCATCTGCCCGCCGTCCTCGCCGTATGCATTGCCTTTGCTACCAAGCTTGCGCTCTTCATATACTGCTGGTCTCTAAGGAACAAGTACTCCTCGATCCGCATTTTGTGGGAAGGTACGTACACAGAAGCTAGGATGAGATTTTGCGTTGAGAAAGCCTGTGATTTTGTGGTGTTCAGGATGTAAACGCTTGTGAAGAAGTACTGTCTACAACGCTACTTGCGATATCTTGCTTTTGTTTCGTCCTGAAATTATGCTGACAGCAAGCAGATCACAGGAATGACTTGTTCATCAACGGGTATGTATTGAGGTTCGCCTCCATTCGCTATTCTCACTAACAGTATGTCAGATTTGGTGTCTTGACCTCTGTTGGAGGCAGCAAGCTCGCTTGGCAGATCGATCCCGCAGGAGCAATTGCGCTCTCATGCCTGGTCGCTTTCTTGTGGCTTCGCACCGCTTACTCTGAGTTCCAGTTGTTGATCGGTGTTACAGCTCCAGTTCCTACGCTGCAGCTTCTGACCTACATTTCAATGACGCACAGTCCGGATATCGTCGGTCTTGACACCGTAAGGGCTTGGTACTCTGGCCCTAGAATCACTGTAGAAGTGGACATCGTTCTTCATCCGGACATGACGCTCAAGGAGACTCACGACATTGCAGAGGATCTGCAAAACAAGCTCGAGAGCCTCCCGGATGTCGAAAGAGCCTACGTACACAGTGACTATGAAACCGAACATAGAGCGGAACACTTTCTGAAGAAGGAGCTCTGATAGTTGCACGCCATGCATGGCTGCTATCTGTGGTCTGAGCTCCCAGAGCGACGGTTCAGTCTGAGGGTGACAGCTGCTTGCCCGTGGTTACCCGCTCACGCTCTCTAGTAAAGATGTTGACTAGGTGTCTCTTGGGACACAAGAATTGGTTATGATAATCACGATCTCCTTTGTACCACTGAATCACAGGTCGAGCTAGACTTTAACTTTCTCTATGGCCCAACCGCGACCATGTGTTTCTCAGACAATTTCCAGCGGCCGTTTCTGCCGTACCTCTTCGTGTCTCACATGCACGTGCTGGAAGTCGTTGAACATTTGCATCAATGTGTCCGTTAAACCCAGACAACCTATAGGTACATACATATTTTTCGTGCCGCCGCGGTACGATGTCCTCTCGCTGATACCTTCGATGCCGCTGGGCCATGCGAGAAGGAATCTGGAAATTGATAGTGCACAGCTGTACGATTGACTTCTTTTTCTACACCTGCAAGTCGGACTTCTTTGAAGCATATATACAGTCTCCTGATCCTGTGTCTACACCAAACATACCTAGCAACATTATCGCTTGTCGCTTTGCTAGCTATCTGCTGCGCACGATGTCATGGCGCAGAGGTCAACGTTGGCAGTGTCTCAGTAGGGCACCGCTAACATCGGAAGTCGCACTTTCGAGCCGCTGTGGTCTTATTGCATGGCTCACCGTCAGCTCCTGGTGGGGAGGTGACAACAACATGTTTAGAGACTCGATCTACTACGAAAAGTGCATAGTCCGTTATGGCGTAGACATGGCTTCACTTTGCACACGACCATACCTCGAGGGCCACATTCAGTGAACTTCCATACTAGGTTTCAACCAAGCTCTACGCCCTCGGCGCAAAGTCATTGTTTCTTGCAAACTATGCATTCGTACTACTCTCTGACCTTCGATAAACCATGCTACGCAATATCGATTACATGGCAACCCCAGAAGGGAGAGAAATCTCGGATTTCGAGGGGCAACCGTTCTGAACGGTCGGCAAAGACAACGGCATGGGCAATAGCCTAACGTGATCATGATTTGACTGCAATCGAATGCCTAGGTTTTAGGTGATTTGCCACAACTGAGTCAACTCGGACTCGACCCGAAAAATTACAGCAATCCAGATCTGGGTGTCTGCTAGGCAAGATTGCATGGTAACCCTCATCAGGATGGTTCATAAACCAAACCCAGCACCAACGGCCGGTCGAAGACCGATTGGCAACAGCGGTTGAGTCGTACCCGTTGGCCAGCCAGACACTGGCAACGCAAGCCATCGACCACTGTATCGACCCAGGTCGATATAAAGCATATATCCATTGAAGCGCCCTAGGCAGATTTCAAGTAAGCAACTTCTCGTCTGCGAGCAAAGAGTCCATCTTCTTGCCCGTGTCGAACCCATACTCTCAATATGTACTTTACTTCAAGCTATGCCCTGGTGGCATGCCTCATTTCCTCGGCTTTGACATCGCCGGTCGATGTCACAGGCAAAAAGACCGTGTCCATTGCAGACATCAAGGGCAAAAAAACTTTCTCCGTCGAGCAGGTCCTGGCGAAGAAGCAACAGATGCAGGCTCCTGCGTTGTCAATGTTGCAGACCTATGCTAAGTTCTCCGGTTCACCTCCTGTCGAGCTCAAAGCAGCTGCAGCAGCAATCCAAGCCGGAACCGTTCAAGCAACGCCACAGAATGTACGCAACTCCAAACATGTATCTTAGTGTCAACGCTGACCTTGACATCAGTATGATATGTCCTACCTATGTCCTGTTTCTGTTGGTGGACAAACCCTCAACTTGAACTTCGACAGTGGCAGTGCAGACCTTTGGGTTTACTCCACACTGCAACCAAGTTCGCAGCAAAGTGGGCACTCGATATACGATCCTACCAAGAGTTCAACATCGCAACTACTAGTCGGCAACACTTGGTCGATCAAGTATGGCGACGGCTCCAGCGCAAGTGGCAATGTCTACGCAGACAAGGTCATAATCGGGAGTGTGACAGCAACATCTCAGGCCGTAGAGGCGGCGACGTCAGTCTCGAGTTCTTTCCTCAAGGATGTCAACAACGATGGGCTTGTTGGCCTGTCGTTTAGCAACATCAATACTGTCTCGCCCAGCCAGCAGAAGACTTTCTTCGACACGGTCAAGAGCTCACTAGCGCTGCCTCTCTGGACCGCCAATCTGAAGAAAGGTTCTCCAGGCACTTACGATTTTGGTTACATCGACTCTTCCAAGTACTCTGGCAAAATTACCTACGTTGATGTGAATAGCGCCAGCGGGTTCTGGCAATTCACCAGTGATGGATATCAAATTGGTTCTTCTTCTAGCGTCAGCTCTTCCATTGTTGCCATTGCTGACACTGGCACTTCGCTCATGTATCTTCCCTCGAGCGTCGTGACTGCGTACTGGAGCCAAGTCAGTGGGTCTGGATACGACACGAATCAAGGTGGTTACACTTATCCTTGCAGCTCTGGGTTGCCTGACTTCAAGCTGGTAGTCGGAGGCAGCAAATTTACAGTGGTGTGTATCATGTTTCTCACGTTTGCGATCATTTCACTAACGAAGGATACAGCCCGGCAGCTACATGAACTACGCTCAGATCTCATACACCACCTGCTTTGGAGGTCTGCAGCAGAACACGGGACTGAGCTTTAGCATTTTGGGCGACATTTTCCTCAAGTCCCAGTTCATGGTCTTTTCTGAAGTTGGAGGCTCGGCGTCACTCGGGTTTGCCGCCATGTACAACGGTACAGCAGGCGAGGGGGACGGCGATGAATGGGAATGCGAGGACTAAATGATATCCAACTGACGACAAGTAATCTAGATAGAATGACATGTTAATAGAGTAATGATCAAACCCCCATACCACGGATGTTTCATGAGCATATCCACAGCTTGATCACGTCGCAACGAGCTGGACAAGATGGGAGTGGTCTACAGTACCATCATGGTGAAAGAGTCGAGCCTCGAGCAACGAATGGCTTGTGCACGGACGACGATTCATGATGTGCGTCATCTCCGAGTGACGAAACCCACAGCATTAGGAGTTGGAAGCCGCCGCAGCCCTTACCGCTATGATTGCGGCCGAGTGGCTTTCTGATCGTTGCAAGGTTGCTGTTGACATGGTTATCTTGGCATTCAAAGATGAAAACGACAAGACTGTTCTGTTGAGGCGCTGTTTCTACCAGTCTCCCACTTGCAAGCTCTCCTGCACGCAATAGACACGGCGAAACAAGAAGGAGCCCCCCACGACGTCAAACACGATAGCACCGCAATCACGCTCCCATTGCACAACGTCGACACGGTCAACCAGAAATCTGGCCCTCGGATGGTCATCAAGTCCAGCATCGATCATGTCGGAATTCATATCATTTCTGCCTCCTCCGGGTCTCGCACTCGCCAAATACGATTCAGCCGCGCTACACACAACGCAGTCGCCCGATGTGCCAGAAGTGTTCCGTGATGCCATGAGCGTGCGCGAAGATGTCTTTGTCAAGGAGCAGAACGTCGCGTTGGAGAACGAGGTCGACATGGACGACGCCCGCAGCTTCCACTGGGTCGCTTACGCCTCCGTTGGCACGTCCAGCAGCGACAGTAACACAGCTATGGGCGGAGTCGACAAGGACTCTGCGACATCTGCGGAAAATCCGGGTCGCAAAGGCAGTACCGCCATGAGACTGCCTGTTGGTACAATCAGACTCGTGCCTCCTCCTCACCCTCCCCACCCTGAGCCTGGATCAAGTCAAAAGATTGACAACCACGAAGGCTTGCCGCAAGACATGCAGAGTGGGTTTAGCAAGACTGATATGCACGACGGCAAGGAAGCATATATAAAGTTGGGCCGACTCTCTGTCCTTGAAGCATTCAGAAAGCTTGGGCTTGCTCGCCTACTCATTGACGCCGCTTTGACGTGGGCATCGGAGAATGGAGACAAGATCCTCCCACCAAGGTCACCGGCAGCAGCGGAGCAGCGTAGACTCGAGCTAGGAGGTGGTGCCGAAGCGGAGGATGTATGGAGAGGGCTCGTGTTGGTACATGCACAGGCGTATCTGGAGAAGTACTGGGCCTCATTCGGATTCATCAGGGACTCGAGCATGGGAGAATGGGAGGAAGAGAAGATCATGCACGTGGGCATGTGGAAGCGTGTAGAAGTGGGAGCACAGTCACCGGTAGCGAGGAAGTCAAGCGTGGTGGGTTGAGTCATGGGTATGGGGTAGCGAGATGTGAGCGGCGTCCTGGAGTTGGCATTTTCAACTAGAGATATCCCCGACTGACGAATAGCAAATGACAAGATCAAGTAACGCGGACAGAGCGGACATGTCTATCCGCTGATGGGTAGAGTGCAGATATATATATCACGTCGAGCATGGTATGAATGCAGCCATGAGGGCTGACGTAAGCGGGGCATGGCATGGCACGGCGAGACAAAGTTGTTCAGTGACTTCAGTGGAGATACGGACAAAGGCTCACAAAACACAACATGTCTGGACTGCGGAACATTGCAAAAGGAGGATGGCACCCCGGCGGTGGCAAGGACAACAGTAGCAGCAGCAGCAGTGGAGGAGGAGGTAGCGGATGGCGGTCCAAAATCAACGATAAAATCCCAGGGCGCATCAACGACAGGATACCTGGCAGTACAAGCAAGTCGGAAAGAGAGCGGATAGAAGCGCGAGAGAACCATGTCTCGCAGCCCCTGACCGCTCTGAGAGATCGTGAGTAGCGCGAGAGCGAGACGGGGGGTTGTGAGCCTGTGCTGACGATTGATGCCGCAGCTGCCTCGTTCGCGCCTCCTCCCAAGCACATGCACTACCATGGTCAAGCGGCGGCCAGCAATGCATCGAGTCCGAGCTATGCTTCTACTCCGGCAAACACTGCTGCCACGCGCGGCCTGGGTGCCCCACTGCCCAAGGAGATGGTGCAGCAACAAGAATACATGCAGCAACACGCGCAGCAGGAAGAAGAAGAGGCAGCCCGTCCTCCCCCAGGTCCCTATCGAGTCGATACGACCGGTCTCTCGACTGCAAACTTGCCCAAGCCTCCGGTACGACGACTCGACAACGCCTCGCCCGCCTCCGTCTCCTCCCAAGCCAGGCCCCCTCCGCGAAACATTGCTCCGTCTCCGGCTGCTCGCGCTCCACTCCCACCTCCTCGCTCGACTCCCACCCCTCCAACTGCCCCACCTAGACAACAACCTGCATTACCACCTCGACTCCCTCCGCGACAGAACTCGCGTCCCGATTTGAATGCTCCACCACCTCCTCCCGTCTACTCCGAAGCCATTCAGGCCCCTCCACACGTGCCTGCTCCAAACCAAGCCGCCGTCAGCAGGCTTGCACGCGCAGGTGTCAATGTGCCTGGCTTTGACATTGGAGCCAGCGCTTCTCCCCCTCCAGCCAGCCACTCACGACCGCCTCCTTCGCAACTCTCTCCCATGAACGAACTGCAGTCGCGTTTCTCCAGGATGTCTTCTTCGGACTCCTCCCAAAACCAGCTACCACAATCTTCAGACGCCATGTCCTCCCGCTTCGGAAACATGGTTTCGCAACAAGCAAGCAACCCTCAGCTCCAATCTCGCCTTGCCGGTTTGGCCAACTCGCCCACTGTCAGAAGTCACGCAGCAAATATTGCCTCCTCTCCTGCCGTACAGAAACAGGCCGTCCAACATGCCGGCACTTTTGCTTCCGCCTCTGGTGCCTCTCCACACCAAGCCCAAGCTCTGCAATCAGGCTTCTCGCGCGTTGCTGCTTCACCCAGGGCCATGAATCTGGCCACTCAGCATGCTGGGACCGTAGCTTCTGCCGCTTCATCATTTGCACCAAATGCCGCTGCTGGAAAGAAACCACCTCCTCCGCCTCCAAAGAAGAGGGAACTTCAGGCGGATACCCCACCGGTACCACTTTCGAGCAAGCCCAGGTTTTGATCTCGAGTGCTACTCTAGACTTCAAGAGTACCATTGAAAGTGTAAAAAGTAGCTTCTTGCGTATGCAGAGTAACATACGGTCAAACTCGATGAACATATTATTTCTACGACCGCCACATCAGGATCTCTACCACAAAGACCAGAGCTTACGACGGTTTGGTCATATCGTGATTGTAATGTGTGTTATGCGTAAAAAATCTACACCTGGACAGGTCATGTCTCATGAGCCATGATAGAACATGAACATTAACTGGATGGGATTCTTCTTGTACTGTGGGTATATAGTCGACGCACGGTACAAACTCCACGTTTGACCTGGCAATTTTACATGAGACCTTTGCTTTACAATACAAGCACTTAACCCTCGGCTTCAATCTCGTAGCTGTTGCTCTTGTGCTTAGGCTGGAACTGGAAATCCTTGTGTGCAGGTCCCAGGAACATTTCACTGATCTTGTGTTAGTCAAACATGTGGTATGCTGGCAGGTCACGAGGTAAACTTGCCTGATCTTGATCCAGTCCTTGTAGTTGGGGCTGCTGAGCAACGTCTCGAGCTCGTTTCTACCACGATAGGCAGGAGGTCTGTCGTTCATTTGAGGCGGCAAATGTTCGAGCAGTCCCAGAGGGATGTATCTGCAACTGAAGCTCAACCACTCGAGCAGGAAACGACGAGTAACTCCAACACCAATCTCATCAGATCCCCAGTTCTCCAGACCGAAGCGTGTGAATTGTTCAATGTATTGCAGTCTCTCCGTGGCACTCTTATCGAGGTATTGACCCGTCTGAATCTCCTCGAAGATCCAGGGCTTGATCAGTGCACCGCGACCAATCATGGCAGAGTCGACATTGGCGTTGTTGACAGCGTCAAAGTAGTCGACATGTGAGTAGACGTCGCCATTACCGCAGAAGTAAGGTGTACCGTTGTTCGAAGCAGTCATGTCACGAGCGTCAGCCTCCCTGATGGTGTCAGTTACCTCTGCCTGCTTCTGCTTGAGTCTGTTGACAAGGGCCGAGCACTCTGCAATGTACTCCCAGTTGGCTTGACGAGTGTATCTTTGCTGACGGCTTCGTCCGTGCAAGGTGATGGCAGCAACACCACAGGGGCCGTCCCCAGTGGCGGCAGCCTCTTCACCTCCAAGCACAAGACGCTGCACCAGCCTGTCAGCGGTAGGGTGATTGTCCTTGGTACCCATGCGAATCTTGACAGTGATGGGAACTTCTCCGGAGACGGCGTTCATACCGCGGAGGATCTTCTCGAGCTTTCCGGGTGAGTCCATGAGTGCAGAGCCAGCACCTTGACGGTAGACAAGGTCTATGGGACAGCCACAGTTCAAGTCGATGGCGCGAATGCTGGGGCAGAGAGCAGTAAGAATCTCGGTAGTCTTGAGGACGTTCCATGGCTTGTTGCCTGCAATTTGAACACCAAACTTCAGGTCCTTGGAGTTATCGTAGCCGGCGACAACAGACTTGGGGTGGTACTTGGGAGGAGTAGTCTCTGACTCGTGTGCCTTGGCCAAAGCCCATTCACCCTTTTCACCTTGGATCAGTGGCAGACCCATGGCCATCTCGGACCAAGTAACCTGAGCACCCAGGCCGACACATAGACGTCTGAATGGGAGATTTCCTTGTGTGGTTAGCGGAGCCAGAACCGGAGTCTCCGGACCGTAGTAGATTCTACGCTTTTCCGAAGCGCGAACCGGGCATTCGGTGAATTGGGCACGACGGTCCTCAAGGGACATCTTCTCGGCCTCTGCTGCTTGTGCTTCCTCTGCCTTGTTTGCTCCGTAGTATTTGTTCATCTCAGTTTGGCGCTTGTCCAGCCAGTTGACGTAGGCCTCGGATTTGGGCATGCTGGTCTTCTTCTTTCTGAGTTCGATCTTGGCACCCATTGTAACAATGTTCACAACTCCCACGCCCTCGTCCTCTTCTGCTTGGGCGTCGTGACCTGCGGACTTGTCGTTGTCCAACAAGACAAGTTCCTTGCGGCCATCGGTAGTCTCCCTCTCTGTAGAGTGCGAGCCGGCGAAGCGGCACTTCCAGCCAGCACTACACTTGCCCTTGACCTCGAAGATGGGACACTTTGTGTTGAAGGTAGTCAGGTCTTCGCGCTTGCCCTCGGCCAAGTACTTGCGGAGGTCGTGCTCCATTCTGCACTTGTCGCCGAAGGGACAGTCGGCAGGTGAGAACTCGTTGTAGTGTACACGGGTCTTGCACAGCTGAAGGGCGTCGCGCGAGCTGCCAAAGGTCCTAGCCTTATTTTGACCACGATTCTTTTGCTTCTTGTCCTTGGACTGTTGTTGAGATTCGTGCTTGCTTCCTTCGGCGGCATCGTCTGGGTTCTCCTCCGAGACCTGCTCAGGTCTTCCGTTGGATGTAGGGTTGGAGATCAGGTACTCCTTCTTGATGGGCGCGACACCCTTTGTTCTCGGATTGAGGTCTGCAGCGGCCAAGACGGGGTCCTGCTCTAGCTTGACTCTCTTAGAGGGCTGTTCATCGCCATGACGCTCGACTTTCTCGGCGCGTGTGAGGGCCGAGTCGAAGGGAAGAATGTCGCTCTGTGGATTGGCGGGTTCGGTCGAGTCGCCGGGGGCAGGACGCTTCAAGGGCTCGGAAGGGTTCAAAGGGTTGACGCTGGGTTGAGCGGGAGCAGTAGTTCCAGCTCCATTGAGCGATTTGTCGATGTTGTCTGCCATTTTGCGCGTGTTACAGCGGCGTCGACAGGGCGTGTAGAGAAACACAATTAAAGAGCGGCGACACTTTTCTTGGGCCCGCTCGCGATAAGCTTCCTTATCACTCCAGGTGCACAGACGCCAAGGTTTGCTTCTCGGCTCAGACTGGCAGTGACGAGGCTGGCCGCTGAAGCTCTTCGGAACAAGCTTGGGGTGACGTAGGTACGTGTTGGCTTTTGGCTTGCTGCTGGACCCGGACCCGCCGCGGCCCTGTTTTGAGCTCCACGTCGACATCCTACTTCTACTCTGCTACATCCTTCTCCAATCCCCCTTCTCCCCTTCCCTACACCCAGATCAATCACCCCACCACCGATTGCCCCCCATGACGCTCTACTACAGTCTCGTCTTCGGCCTTCTCGTCTTCGAGATGGTCGTCTTCATGTCGCTCATCATCCCCATGCCCTTCACCTGGAAGCGCAAGCTCCTGACCTTCATCTCCGAGAGTCCTGTCATAGCAAAGCTGCAGTACTGGATCAAGGTGCGTTGGCCCGTCGGGTCCAGACAAGCCCCGTGCTCAATTCTTACTCACACGCCCGCCAGATCACTTTTGTCTTCATCCTGATCCTGTTCGTCGACAGTGTCAACCGCGTCTACCGCGTCCAGCTCGAGCTGGCCACAGCCAACAAGGCCAACAATGGCGCCGGGTAAGCTATCTTTACCCCTCTGCAAAGCTCGATATCCCCCCGCTAACTCACTCACTCAGTGCTGCTGCTGTTGGAGGTATCGAACGCATGGAGATCCAGGCTCGCAAGTTCTACTCGCAACGCAACATGTACCTCTGCGGCTTCACCCTCTTCCTCTCTTTGATCCTCAACCGCACCTACGGCATGATCCTCGAGGTCCTCCGTCTTGAGCTTGAGAATAGACAGATGAAGGGCATCGACAAGCCCAAGGACGGCAAGCTCAACGAATCCAGCAGCATCGGCGAAGTTGGCCGTCTGAAGAAGGAGCTTGCTGCCAAGGACCGTGACATTGAGACTCTCAAGAAGCAGGCTCAAGGTCTCTCTACCGAGTACAACCGTCTTGGTGACCAGGTCTCTGGCACCTCTGACAGCACCCCCAAGAAGGACCGATAAACATGTCGTCCCAGATCCCGACACTGTCAAAGCCTCAAAAGCTCTCTTCACTTCTGCTCATCTAGCATTCCATCAGAGCCAAGGCATATGCCTAAAAGAAACTATCACGGGCACCAGGCCAAGATGAATTCTTTGTTGTATACGATAGCATGCAGTCCATAGCTCTACAGACCAATTGTCTGTCAATATGATTTTTGCTCCGAACTGCAACTCATGTCACGCGACCCAGATTCTGATGTCTTCTACTCTTCGTGACCTTGCACACTGCTTGTCATAACTGGAGTCCTTCTACTACAAGATCACATCTTTTCTGACAACCTGTCCTGCCTAGTTTTCATAACATTCTCGTAGAATAGTCGTATGTTTTTGTGCACTCGGAGACCACATCATAACTCGTACAGCTCGAGTCTTAATCGAAATCGGATCATGCTCGCAATATCGTCAGATCAGGCACTCATGATCTTGACGAATTCATCATCTTCTGGATGTTAGTCAATCGGCTCGTAATCTGGCTCTGAACCACTCACAATCAATGTTCCCATCGCCGTTGGCATCCGCTTCCTTGATCATCTCATCAATTTCCGAGTCGGAGAGAGTCTCACCAATACTCCTCATGACGTTTCTCAGCTCCTCGGCAGAGATTGTTCCGCTGCCGTCTCTATCGAACACGGCGAATGCTGCTCTCAACTCTGAATCGCTGTCTGATTGTTGAACCTTGCGGCCCATCATGGACAAAAATTCATCAAACTCGATCGAGCCGGAGCCATCCTTGTCAATCTCGTTGAGGATATCTTCGAGTTCGGTTTGAGATGGCTCCTGGCCGAGAGAGCGCATTACTTCGCCCAGTTCGTCGACTGTGATGTTGCCGTTTCCATCCTTGTCCTAAAGAGCGGGTGACTGTCAGTCTGTAATTCTCTGCTACATCATAAGACTCCCGTCTTTCTGGTCTGAAAGATGGTGTTGGAATACTTACAAAGACATTGAAGACTTCCTTGAGCTCCTGGATTTGCTCTGCTGTAAGGTTCTCCGCCTGCCGGACATATACGTTAGCTGGTTCTGCAGCCTTCAGGTTGTTTGTGAGTCTGGCCAAACTGCTAATTCTCGCGGTCCGGCTAGAATCCCATCTGATGACATACCATGCTAGGTCTTCTCTGGTGGCCCGACATCTCTGCTGTTCTGTATGATAAGCTCTCGGGAGACCGGAGATGTCGTACTGTGTTGGTGAAAGACGAATGGATTTCGGTTGTTGATAGATGCTGTTGGTTGTTGACTGCCTTGTTGTTTCAAAAGAAGGGGGCAGATTGTTTCGACTTTGTGGTCTTTTTCGTGTGCTTCAAGGGTCTTTCTGGATCCTTGGTTCTAGAGCGTCACATCACATGCTTGCTTTTTGCGGCCCTTTGCCCAAATTGCGCCTTGCCGCTTTTGGAAGTGGGGTCAGAGGATCTTAATATACCTTCTCGTGCTTTATTTTATCTTCATCTGTTGTGAACCTATGGTGTCTGCATACGAGTCTGCTCTCTGGCGGGTTTCTGGCGGGTTCCTTGTCGACCTGTTGGTGTGTGACATGTTGGTGCGTGTTGGTTGGTGTCAATGTCCTCGACATTCAGGGGCTAGACATGGTTTAGGTGAGCATGTGGGTCAAAGTTCTTGAAAAGACGTCATCACATGAGAACAGAGCATGCTTTCGTTATTTTACAAGAGGTGCAAATATTCCACGATGATATACGGAGATCAAATTCGCTATTATCTGCTGATCAAAGGTCAGACTTGGACGCTGCACAGAGACAGGGTGGTGGGCTCAACATTCGAGATGCTTATGTCATTTCTAACGTATATCAACTGCACAGTAGACGAATTGCGCGACAATTCGTTACCAGACTCTTGGTCTACTTTTGCGGCTTGGTGCAGATAGCGCAATAACACTTACCAAGCAAGGAGGCAGACCAATTATGCTGATGGATTTGTCGACTATGCAGTGGGAGACAAGTCAGAGGAAACACACTGGATAATCGCCATCCCCAAGTCAGAGCCGTGTACGTGGATGATGTTTTCTCATTTTTTTTAGTCCTGTAAGCAATACGGGGGCTATCTTCTTCCTCCCTGACTGGCCTTCATCAGCTCTGTCCATGCACTTTCATACCCTCTCTTCACCTCCCTGTAGCTAACGACGAAGCAGTTTTGCTCATCCCTGCTGACTAACATTATCTTCTCCTCACTACCAGCGTCCAACTTGTTCAAACATGTTAAGATGTGTCCGAGATCAAGAACAGGCCGGCCATCCGCATCGATTTGATGGAAAACATAGTCGCGGAACAGCTTGAGGTAATAACGTTCTCCGGTCTCGGACCAGGCAGAAGATGTGTGGTTCAAAGTGTGAGGAGCAGCAGGCTGGTTCGGGTTTGCAGAGCTAGACGTTAGAGTCGCCTCTGGGCGCTCAAGAATCATATTCAGCTTGGTGAGTAAACGAACGAGCCGTGCATTCTCAAGTTCACGGGATAAGTTACTCGTCAGCGAGTCTGCTTCGTGTAAACTGGCGTCGAAAGTGAGTGTTATTTGTGACGACATGAGTGAAAGGAAGTTGTCAATGTTGTGGTCAGAAGTTGAGGTCGACACTGCAGAAGCCGGGGAGCCCGCAGGCGCCTGAGTGGGTGTCGTTGGTGTTCCTGGAGTGAGAAGCCAGGTAACTACTTCACGCATCTTCTCGCTGTAAGCCCGACCAACATGCTCGAGCGATTTCTGCGTGTTGTGATGAGCCGTAGGGTTCTTGTTGGCTATGCAGAGGATCAAGCGGCCCATCTGTAGCAAGTCGTCTTGTTGGAGCTCCGAAATGCTGCGACCCTGTTCGTATTGGGTAATGTCGAGAATACCACAAGCGTTGAGTCGCAGTCGACTCTTGGAGGTAACCAAGATCTTCTGAGGGGTCATTAGACGTGCGGCAAGGCCTATAGAGTGTATGGCCTTGATAGCGGACGCCAACTGAACAATGTAGCCCCACAATTCGTGATCTGTGACAAAGCTTCCTGGAGATCGTGCCAGGTTGACGCCTGGATTCCTCGAGTTGGGGGTAAAGATCTTGTCAGCCACAGTCTGCGCAAGAGGATGATAGTCGGTGACAACTATTAGCGAACTGTCTCCGAATGCCCTAGTCGTGAAAGCATCATGAACAGTGACGACGTTTCCATTACTGATGCGTTTCCAGGTCTGTATGGCACGTATCGCGTTTTCGTCGGTCAGACGGAAGCCTAATGGTGCGATGTAAGCTTCCAATCGCTCTCACGTATTGTCTTCGACTTCTTACCTTCTAAGCGTCTCAGGGCATAGTTGTAACCGTCCTTGCTTGAAGTGGCCTTGTATACCCAACTTGGGTAGCCATATGCCGACGTAGACTTTTGGGCGTTCGTGTCGAGAGCCACTAGGGAGTGAAAGTGCTCTATGTGTTGAGGCAGGGCTGTATCTGTTATCAGTCAGCACTGTATATAAACACACTCAACGATGTTGTGTTACTCACTGGAGAAAGTTTGGAGAGATGCCTCGGATTTGCGTTGCATCTCTTCACGTAAGTGATCGGGGATGAATAGATCATGAGTTGTTCGCTGGTAAGCCATGAGATTCTCACGATGAGGCCCTAAAGGCGCGTAAAGGTGGTAGCTAAGCTGAATGCAGTCAGCACATGCTTACAAAAGGCTAAACCACAACGTACTGGATGGGCGAAGGCAGCGGCAGCAGAGAACATTGTACTCGCAGCCAGAGCGGAAGCATCTTGCGCGTAAGGGTTGATTTGCGGAGCGTGTGAAGTATCAGACATCTGGCCAGCGTTGCTTTGCATGGTGAACGGGTCAAAGGAGGCGAGATTGTTGCCGGATTGACCATTTTCGGCCTACACACAATACTGTCAGCACCGTACTATTTGGCAAGCATAGAGATGCCATGTGGGAATATCAAAGGGATCAAGACTTACTGCTTGAGGCACAAAGTTCTGTGGCACGAACTCTTGTATACCCCGCTGGGACCACTCTGTCGATGATTGTTTGGCTGCTGGTGCAGGTGCTGCTGCTGATTTGAATCAATAAATCAACACCGTATTGTGGTGACTTGGCTGGATCATACCAGTCAATTTAGGAGTGAAGATAGCTGCCGAGGCAGCCTTTGGTGAGATACCGAGAGTCTTCGCAGGCTGCACGCTGTTCGTGACTGGTGAAAGCGGCTTGAAAGAAGGTGAATCGACGTTCAAGAAGCGTTTGGCACTATGTAAATTGTGAGTTTTAGAGTAATCGTTGCACAAGTGCCTGACTGACATACCTTTCCGTCTGTTGATTAGATTTCGGAGGCAGATCATGATTGTAGGGACAGCCTAGACTGAATTAGAAACATGATCGTCCAAGACAAAGGAGCACGCTAAACTAACCATTGTTCTGTGCTCTACAACTGCCATATATGGTGATGTTCCTGCAAAGCACGTTCTTGGTATTTTCTGTGCTCGTGTCAGAACAGGTCATCAGCTGGGTCCAATGAAAACAGTCTAGAGTACATACCACGGCCTTTGGGTCGAGGGGACTGGTGCCTTCGTCGCATATCGCCTGGACTGCTAGTACCTGGTGCTGCCATGGTAATGAACGTGTTTTCGCCAATCGGTCTGGTTCGGTACAAGCTGCGAGTCCTTCAAAACCATTCGCGGATGTGAACAAGCTCACAGATGCGTTTGTTCCTGTTATAAGAGGACACAGAATATAGCCGGATGGAGGAGGCTTGAGACTCAAGCACAGAAAAGTGAAGAACGCTGACAACAGAAATTGAGGAAACGATGATAGAGCTGGAAAGGGGTTGTTGACGATTGACGATGGAACAGAAGGAATCGACGATAGCCTCTGGGTCAAGTCGAGAGCAAAATAAATACGCAGTCTATGCATGAATTATGTCAGATTCGGCATGATGCAAGATGGCATATCAAGAAAGTGCAAACGATAGGCAGGAAGATTGCAGCTGTAGTATGGCAAGCCCAACGATGGGGTGTGCAATCTCCTATGCTTGATTTTGCACGTACCTAGAGGAATAAAACGACAGCCAACATGGTAGACACAAGGCAACGTGTACGCAATACAAGGTGACAACAGAAGTTCGATCTGATGTGACCGGATATGCACAAGCAACGGATGGTGAGAGCGAAGCCAATCGTTGGTTTGGGGAAGTATCGGTATGTGCCGGGCAGTCCTCAACAACAGCAAAGTGCTAGTCGGTCTAGGAGGTGTGTCTGCACCCACGCAGAAGGAGACGCAAAGAGCAGAACAGACAGGGCTTTGGAGTGCACCTGGGCTCAGACGAGATTGCGATATGGATGGAATTGAGAGCGTCGGGCGATGTGATCAGACGGAAGCAGGCCTCGCATTTCTCTGGAAGGCATGACGAGTCATGGCTAAGGCTGAGACAGCGGGGCCAAGCATGACAGACAACCTTGGTGTAAAGTGCGGGCAAGAAGTCGATGAGGGTAATGTCTGCAATAATAAATTTGCATCTTCTCAAGCAGCATCACAGGCCGTAGGGTACGACGACATGTCGGCACCCTCTTTGGATCTATCGCAGCTGTCCGAGGAGCAGCAAGTAGCGCTACAGCAGTTCACGTCGGTCACGGATCAGGAGCTCGATAGCGCTTTGCCATTGCTGCAGCGCTGCCAATGGAACGCCCAGGTATCGCCTGCTACGCCAGTCCGGGAGCGAGCGCGCAGTGGCTGACATGTCGAGTAGATAGCCATAACGCGCTTCTTCGACGGCGACAGTGATGTCGTCGACGTGCCTCCGCCGCAAGACTCTCGCCGTTCCGAGAACTTGGCCGCCAGTCTCGATGCCGCCGCCTTCAGCAGAAGCAGACCTACACCAAACGGACTGCAGCAGGCTCCCCGCGTAGTCCCTACACCGGAAAGCCAGTTGACCCAGCCGGCGCCGTTTGTGCTGCAGCTGCTGTTCTTTCCCTTCAACTTGACCTACACCATCTTCGCCCGTGTCTTCGGCGCTGTCGGCTACCTCTTTCCCGTCATACCTCGTCTCCTTCGCCGTCTCTTCCCACTCCAATCTGCTCGCCCGCGCAGCACAGATAGGCGTCCGCTGAATCCTCGCGACACGGCCTCTCGCTTCATCCGTGAGTTTGAAGAAGAACACAATGTAGAGCCAAACACGTTGCCCTTCTTCGACAACGGCTACGCCCAAGCCTTCGATCTGGCCAAAAGAGAATTGAAATATCTGCTGGTCGTCTTGCTATCCCCAGAGCACGACGACACCGCTCCTTTTGTTCGCGACACCCTTCTCTCCTCCGACGTGAAGCTCTTCTTGCAGAGCCATGCTTCTGACATGATCCTATGGGCGGGGAGTGTCCAGGATTCAGAGGCATACCAAGTTGCCAACGCTCTCAACGTCACAAAGTTTCCCTTTACTGGCCTGGTCGTGCATACCCCTTCCGTCTCATCCACTTCCATGTCCCTCATTGCTCGCCTCGCCGGCCCACTTCCCCCGTCCGAATTCCTTGCCAAGATGCAGGATGCCATGCAGAAGCGTGATCAAGAGCTGGAAGGCGCAAGGAGACAGCGATCCGAACATCAGGCCTCACGATCTCTGAGAGAAGAGCAGAATAGTGCCTACGAGCGATCCTTAGCTCAAGACAGAGAGAGAGCTCGTCAAAGAAAGGAGGCCGAAGCCGCTCGTGAAAAGGCCGAGCGTGAAGAAAGGGAACGAGCAGAGGCCAAAGCACGCAAAGCACAAAACCTCTCGCAATGGAGAAAGTGGCGCGTCCAATCACTACCACAAGAGCCTGCCTCTACAGCCAGCGATGCGGTGCGTATAAGTATCAGAATGCCCTCGGGCGATAGAGTAATACGCAAGTTTGGCGCAGAAGCCCAGCTCGAAGAGTTATATGCATTCGTCGAATGCTATGGCAACATGCAGGGTGACGAGTCTGAATCAGAAAAGGCCGTCTCCGAGCCTCCTGACTACACGCATGAGTACGACTTCCAATTAGTCTCACCCATGCCCCGCGAGGTGTACGGCCTTGATCAGGGCGGTACAATGAAGTCTCGTGTTGGGAGAAGCGCAAATCTGATTGTGGAGAAGTTAATCGATGAGAACGACGACGATGTGGACGAGGAGGAGAGCTCCGTATAGACATAGAGCAAACCAGAGCCCTTTGGCCATCAAACGACGGTCAATATGTATGTGAATACGTGCAAGCTTTTGGTTGTTGATATGCAATATATATTCTTGTATTTTCGTCTTGCTATCCTTCGCCCTCGTGAGTATCGTAAATCTGTCTCTCAGCCCTCAATTTCTCTAATCGCTGTCACAGTAGCGGCTTCGTTCGACGCCTTCTTCTGCATCGTCTCTGTGACTCCAGTCTGGCTGGATGTTTCGCTGTCAAGATGCTTTGTTGAGGTCTTCATCAACGGCCAGCGACCGTGTTGCTCCTTGAAGCGCATTGATACGAAGGCGATGATCACCGCAATCCAGTAAAAGTTGTAGGAAAGCACAGAGCCATAAGTCGCAGAATTCTGCCAACCCAAGATGGCGTTGAAGATACCCCAGCCTGAGGTGTTGATCTCTGGATTGAAACGGTTGACGTGCCAGACAGACTTGGTGATGTCGTAAGATCCGGGTCCACTGCCAACCTCGGAAGCATCACCACCGATGAGCTTACCCCATGCATTGTTTTCGAAGAACCAAATTGCTTTGGAAAAGAGACCAGCAGCAACGAGGTAGAGAACACAGGTTGAGACAATCAGGAAGATCTGTAGAGATGCCAAGTTGCCACCACGGTAGATCAGATATCCGATGAGGCATCCAGCGGCGAGGCCACTGATGACAGCGAGAGGAAACGAGGTGGCCGGCAGACCCAGCGACACGCCTCCGATGAACACAACAGCTTCGAGACCCTCTCTCATAACGGTGATGAAAGGAAGCATGAACATGGCGTATTTCTCTGCGAACCGTTTGAACCGAGTGGTCGCTTTGCCCTTGTGTTGATCCTTTTCTTCAAGGGCCTTTGCCAACTTGACTCTCCACTTGGTCTGTAGCTTTGATACTCTTAGGAGAGCGGCTCCCATGATCGAAATGATGATCGATGCGATCAAGCCAAACACACCCTCCCAGATGTCTTCGGTAGCAGAGAAGTGGTTTTTGCCTCGAGTGTACGTTAGAGTCTGTAGACTGATCAATGCTGCAAATAAACTCACCAAGTCCATAGAATACTCCGATGAATGTACCGCCGATGATCAGACAGACCACCAACCCAAGTCCAATTCCCCACCAGACCTGAGCTTTCAGTTTCTTGTAGACGACTGGATCATGCTCGGGACCGAGAGTCTGCTTCAGGAACGACAGCAAGACGGACACGATAATACTACATTCGAGACATTCTCTGAAGCAGATGAAAAAGACTGTGCTAATTTCAGTATATTATCTATTGTTCTCAAGATGGGCTTTGTACATACTAGGCACAGCAAAAACGTTGACGCCCATGGTCGCGATTGATGCTTCCAAGAAGAAATATAAGGATCAGATAGATTCAATCAAGATTGATCTGATTGAAAATATGAGAAGAGGGGAGGGCTGATCTGATAACGAAAACACTTCGCGACCTCGGCCACCAACGCTTCGTATTTCCCTCAGTCTGCTAGTGTTTTCCAGCATGGGAGCTAATGTGGTACGACCGGCGCCCTAGGGTCTAGCTAACTTTTCGTGGCGTTGCTGGCTTGCTCGTCTTCACGATCCTTCCAAAATCTGGCCGAAACCATAAAGGTGAAAAGTAGCGATGAATCATAGCAAACATTTGTTTGTGTCGAGTTCTGCATGCTATTGATCCAACCATCTTGTTTTCTATGAAGGAGACCAAACACAGAAATATGATAAGAGATCAGACCCTGGACTCCATCTTTCTTAATTCCAATCTATAACCAAGATTTCTTAGTCCAGAGCTTCGAGAGGCTTGGGCTGCCGCTACACACGGATCAGATAAGACGATCCGCTCACGGTGGGGCATGCTGAATCACCACGTTTTCACCAGCTCCCCAAACAACAAGAGTCACACGAGAGCATAGGCTTATCGTTACAATACGAGCTGACAAGTCACGTCTTTCGGCAAAGCTCGCAAGTGCTTGGTCAAGAGATACCACTTTTGAGCAGAGCCTTGATCTGAGGATACTCCTGCGGTGACATCTACAAGGTTACGCTTCGTCAAGGGTCTGTCGTAGTACGAGATACCCGGCCGGTGCAAAGGACGAAGTTTGTTCTGTCATAACCGCTACCAACACAAGGCCAGGGTCAGTTTATGAGCAGATTGCAGCCGTCAGAATTGGAGATATCGGGTGCTCTGTGAGGACGCATCCACTTGTAACAGCATCAGGGCCTTCTACTCGTAGCGACCGCACCATCGATGCGCTGTTGAAAGAAACAAGAGAGACCGGAATATCACGGAAGCATGTTCCACGAGGTACAACGCAAGGTTTGGTAACTCGAAAGTTGTGGCGTTCTAGCCCAACATCTCGCCCACCGGTGCCGCATCTCGTAAAAACTTCAGGGCTGCCAGGCCCCTCCATCTTATCAATCATGTCATCTGCCCGTCCTTCCACACCCAACTGAATTTCTCGTAGTTATCAGATCATCTTCAGCAATCTGCTGGCAAACCTATCACATTTGGACACCATGCCAGGCCGGATCACCTTTCTCTTGCTGGCTCTCACGCTGTTACTCACAGCATGCAGAGCTGCCATTGTTGAAAAACATTTCAATCTCACATGGGTCAACGCCAATCCTGACGGACTGCAAGAGAGAAAAGTCATCGGTGTCAACAACGCGTGGCCACTCCCTGTCTTGGACGTCAACAAGGGCGATCGTCTTATTGTCCATGTGTACAATGATCTGGAAACAACTACCTCTTCTATCCATTGGCATGGCCTCTTCCAAAATTCTACAAATGAAATGGACGGACCAAGTATGTTTACACAATGCCCAATAGTCCCTGGCGAATCCTTCACCTACGACTTTACCGTCGATCAGAGTGGCACCTATTGGTACCATTGCCACACAGATAACTGCTACCCTGACGGTGAGAGGCAAGCTCTCGTCGTTCACGATAGCGACGCTTGGTTTGCAGACCAGTACAAGGAAGAATTTGCGGTCACGGTCAGCGACTGGTACCACAACATGGTTGAGGATATCACTTTCCTGGACCTTTCCAAGTAAGTAAACCAGTTTTGTATCGGCTTTATCTATGATTATGTTTCTTCACCACGATCCACCGCACTAGACAATGGTCTACTCTAAGAAATTGTTCAGACTGGATCACAAATGTATCCCAATCTGAGCAAAGAGGACAGCGAAGGCTCCCAAGCACATCGAGTACTATGCTAACATGGATTGCTGCTCTAAGCCCGACTGGTGCGGAACCTATACCCGATTCTTTCCTTTTCAACGATACCATCAACACCAAGATATCGGTAGAGCCAAACACTACCTACCTTTTGAGGATCATCAACACTGGTGCATTCGTTGCTCAGTACTTTTACATCGAAGATCACAATTTCACAATCGTTGAGGTAGACGGTGTTTTCACAGAGCCTGAAGAGGCTTCAGTTTTATATGTTGCAGTGGCTCAACGGTATTCGGTCTTGTTCACAACGAAGGAATCTACTGCTCGTAACTACGGCCTTGTCACGATCGCTGATCAAGTGCTACTCGACGGTATTCCGGATACCCTAGTCCTAAACCAGACCAACTGGCTGCAGTACAACCCATCAGCCTCTTTCGACGCAGTCAACGTGACACTCAACATAGTGGACGAAAATCCTGGCTTTGACGACTATTCTTTAGTCCCATACGACAAAGAGCCTCTATTCGAGAACCCAACAAAAGTCATCAATCTGACGATTTCAATGGGTATTCTCGACAATGGCAAGCCGTACGCTTTCTTCAATGACCAGACCTACACTCGCCCCAAAGTCCCTAGCCTCTACACCGCTCTTACAGCCGGTGAAGAAGCAACCAATGAGGCTGTCTACGGCGAGTACACCAACTCTTTCGTGCTTAACCACCTTGAGGTTGTCGAAGTCGTTCTGACTAACAACGATGGAGGCAGTATGTTCTACCCTCTTTCCTTACGTTCTTTCTTCGCTGATCAATCGTGAAGGTCATCCATTCCATTATCACGGTCACAACTTCCAGGTCGTCAGTCGTTTCCCATCTTACGGCGAGGACTTCTACTCGCTATCTGACGATGTGAGCCCTAGCGCTTTTGATCCCAACAACCATACCGCTTTCCCCACGTACCCCATACGCCGCGATGTTGTGGTTGTTCCGCCCATGGGAAATGTTGTCCTCCGTTTCATTGCAGACAATCCTGGTGTTTGGGCCTTCCACTGTCATATCGACTGGCATATGCGGCAAGGCTTGGCTGCTACATTCATCGAGGCACCACTCGAGATGCAAAAAAGAATCAGTGTTCCTGACGATCACTTTGCCGCTTGCAAGGCTGCTGGAATCTCGTACGAAGGTAATGCCGCCGCCAACACCAAGGACTACCTAGACCTGAAGGGCCAAAACAAACCAGCACGTCCAGTCCCAGCAGGATTTGAAGCTCGAGGTATCGTAGCATTGGTCTTCAGTTGTATTGCAGCACTTGTAGGATTGGCGGCAATTGCCTGGTGAGTTTTTCAGATCCGCACTTCACAAGAACGTGGCACATGTGGCATTGGCTAACAAAGATTGACTTAGGTATGGAATGGCACCGCTCAGCTCTAGCGAGCAAGAAGCAGCCGAGCGCAAGGTCGCAGCCTCGATTGTTCAAACACACGATGAACAATGAACTAGAGAGACGTCGTTCACTAGTGTCTCGTGGAAGCGTATCAAGCTGGTGGGTGAGGAACGACTCATCTGGATAGCACTAGCAAGAGCAATTATCCAAAAAGCAGTCGATGTGTGGCCTCAACACCGCTGTGCGCATGACATGATCAAAGTCAAGGCCCTCATAGTCGGTATAGCATTGATTGAAGAAATTACAGAGTTGAGCTACGCTCGAGTTGACCTTCCATCTGACATCCTTGGTCGAACAAAGTGGACTCCGCATCGACATGTCAAACTGCCCGAGCGTGGCTAATGAAGAGCATTGACTACCTCTTATTAACATGCATGTGATCCAGTCAGTGTTTCTGGCGAAGATGGAATGGATTGAATGGGTCAACGTAGAACCTCTCAGTCCGGCAGTAATCGCATCGACGAGAGTGTTTACGAAATCGGAAACCAAGAACAAGGTCTTTGAAGCTTTACGTAGCTCCGCTCGATGTTAGACAAGATCCTTAACTCAAGGTCGTTCTCGCAATTTTGAAGCACAGCATGCCTGCAACGCGGAGTTTGACACGGTGGCAGCCGTAGGGAACCCGCAGTTTTGGTGGCATGAGATGAATTTGTGGTGTATCAAGCCTGAACACCAGACCCCATCAGTATAGCGACGTTTAGCGGTGAAAAGGACAGCCGTTAGATATTGCCGCATTTGAGAAACGCGACTATTGCTGCAGATCTGTAGCCATCAAATGCTTGACCACAGCGGGACCAAGTGTCCACCGTCAATTGGTGTACGTGTACGCGCATACACAAAGATCCGCGGATCGGATGATACCCCTATTGTGGCACGGCAAAAACAGCCCTTGATGCTCCGCCCTGAGTGCAAAGCACAGAGTCGTGTTCAAGTAGGAGCGTCTGTTGAAGATCTCGACAATCACCAGCAAGGCCTAAAGACAAAAAAAAAGAGGGGATGCAGACTGTTGTGGAGAAAGTGCAGGAGAGAAAGACAAGTTCGGCGACGGCGTGCGCCGTAAGGCATGAACTGGCGACAACAGTGGGCCTAGAAAGGATTTACATGGCTTGGCTTGGGCTCCGGTGGAAGAGACGGAGGGGTTTCGAGCAGTGAAGAGTCAAGAACAGAAAGGCGCGCGCCAGGTGATTCAATAGCAGGGAGCTGGCGGGCGGTGAAAGCGGACAGAGGGACAGGTGATTGTTTCTGGCGTCCAGTGCACGACCTGTCAATGGCCTAGTCCCTACATTGGTGTGCGACTGCGGTCAAGCAGAGTCTTGTGTTTCTTGTGCTCGGTGGAGCCGCTGCGGGCTCGAAGTTGCAGCAACGGCAGGTTTCAGAGCGGCATCCGAAGCCCTCGGGTCCCACCCCACCTTGGAGGCTTTTGAGCAACAGTCAACAAGCGTGAAGTAGCAAGTGTGCAGGCAGGAGTCGGACGAGACCCGCATGCTGCCTGCCAGAAAGAAGCATAATAGAGTTAGTTATCTAGACAATGGGTGTGCTGCAGCGAGCGAGCTCCTTCCTCATGCACAGTCGAGTCGTGCCTTGTTGACTTGTGATTGAGTACTGCACATAGCCGGCCGTGTCCTCTCACTTTGGCTTGCTCGGCGCAAATCTCGACTCGTCTCAGTGGTCTGGGCTGGTGCTCTTCGCTCGTCATTTGACATTTTGCTTCACCTTGCAACTTCCAATCTGGTACCTCCTGCGCACTGCATCCTTTTGACTCTCGACTCCGGCCCATAGCTTTTCGACAGCATCCCAACTATCTGATCTCCTGGCCTTCCGCTTTTCTCCACCGCCCACAGCTTCGCTCACTCTACAGAAGCCTCTCCCACCCACTTGGCGCCAACATGTCCCGTCACCCAACAGTCACGCAGTCGTACCAAGAGCGAGCTTCTCTGCCCAAGACATCGCCCGTTGCCTCGTATCTCCTGCGATTGATTGCCGCCAAACAGACGAATCTTTGCGTGTCAGCAGACGTGTCGACGACCAAGGAGCTTTTGCAACTCGCAGAAGAAGTCGGCGACTCAATATGCATGCTCAAGACACACGCAGACATCATCAATGACTTTGGCCCGCGCACCATTGAAGGGCTAAAAGAAATTGCTGCCAAGAAGCACTTCCTCGTCTTCGAGGACCGCAAGTTTGGCGACATTGGCAGTATGTCTATGCCTGACACTCAATTCGGCTTCGCCGATGACTGATAGCTGCTTCTAGGCACGGTGCAAAAGCAGTTCACTGCTGGCCCTCTGCAGATCGTGCGCTGGGCCAACATCATCAACGCACACATCTTCCCCGGCCCTGCCATCATCACCGCTCTCTCTCAAGCCGCTCACGATGCTGTCTCGTCCCTCAATACCGCAGTCACTACCTCCATCTCGGCCTCGCCCGTTCCTTCGTACATGGATGACAGCGATGAAGCAGACTCCCCTGCTTTGTCTCACCACGAGGACTCGGACGATCTTGACAGACTTTCTAGCGACGAAGACGACGACGTCAATCAATTGTCCACACACAGTGACCCTACCGGACGCAAACCCAGTGTGGTGTCCGTCTCGACCACCATCAGCACCAAGACAGAAAGCATCTCGCCTCAGCCTACACCAAACCACCTCGGCGGCCCCAGCGACTCCATCTCGTCCATCAGTGCAGGTCCGGCTGGTCAAGAAACTTCTGCATTGGCTCGTCTTGGCTCGCCTCCTCTCCTTCGAAGCTTGCTTATCCTCGCAGAGATGAGCAGCGCCGGCAATCTGATGACTGGTTCATATACGGAACAATGCGTGGTGGAGGCACGCAAGAACCCAGAGTTCGTCATGGGCTTCATCGCACAACGCACGCTGAACGAGAAGCCTGGTGATAACTTCATCACCATGACTCCTGGTGTACAGATTGGAGCCACCGGAGACGGTCTCGGCCAGCAATACAACACGCCGGAAAAGGTCATTGGCGAAGCTGGTACCGACATCATCATTGTCGGCCGTGGTGTTTACGGTGCGCAAGACAAGAGAGCCAAGGCCGAGGAATACAGAGTCAGAGCCTGGAAGGCGTATGAAGAGAGAGTCGGCTCTACTTCCGCCACAAAAGCCAACAGGTGAGAGTCATGATGGCATGCAAGGAAACAAGAACGTACTTTGTGCAAATTGGGAAGAGCGATTTTCCATTTGTGGTCGGGAACCAGTAGGAAAACAAAAGACTTCCGAGACTGCCGAGGACAGACTGGACACTTTGAATCGGAGCTCATGTTGTTTGAAGGAGGAATACAGGCGCATATCGCGATGCAGATATCATAAAAAGTGTAGAGCAGCTATGGAATCGTCCAACATCTCCCAACCCCAATTTGCGTCGGTCTACACTAAATCTATTCCTACCGGCGCTGGGGCGGTTCGCGCGGCACGATGCTAAATTGATTAGGTAGTATGAGGGCCCATGCAGTGCCGGATTCCCATACAAAGACTCCACTACCGATGATCAACGGTAAGAACTTTCACAAGATCCGGCAGAGCGATCCGACTGATGTTGTCTAGTGACATTCGGCAAAACGCTGCCAGTAGTGGTAGTGATTATACGTTGGGTTATGTACAGGGATGATCGGACAAGCACTCTCAACCCGCCCAGAGCCTTTCATTAGCCATGAACAGGTCTCTCGTATCAAGATGTTTGAACAAGTGACTCTGAGTTTGTCGAGTCTGGTAGTGCTGATGCATGCTCGCACCCACAGAGTCCTTCTTCCATATGAGTGGTCTCTTGACCTTTGACCAGGCGTAATCATGCCTGCACTCCTGCCAGCACCACCAGCATATGCCGACCTCGCCAAGAGCAAGCACTAATATATCTATTAGAGGCAGGATGCGTGTACGAATGCCACAATGATGATGATTCTTGTCTACCTGATATTCCGGCGCTTGTTTGAAGCTGTCAACTAGATCCAGAATGTCACCCTCGTATGGTTCCGGCAGATCAGAGGTTGCAAAGATGGTGCCTTGAAGAGATAGCGTGTTGATGCGCTTGAAGAACTTGATCGTCTGGCCTAGCTGAAACATGTCGCATTCGGCCGAGGAATCATAGCCGAGCTTGCACTGCCGTTCACGAGATGTATATTGGGTGAGGAAATATGTCTGTATGGACTGGGTGGTCTCAAGAATGCAGTCGCGGCGGAACAGCAATTCATCTTCGATGCCCATTGGAAGATCCCACCACAGAGCAGCATCTTCTTCGGGATCATGGCCGACCCAGCCGCGGTGGAGCAGACGTAGAGAGGCCTGGTAGACCCAGCTGGCATTATCCAAGAAGATGGCAACGAGCAAGCGTTGGCGCACGCGCTCTTCGGTCCACGTGGCAGCACTCTTGGTTGTAGATCTGGCATCCAGAGCGGCGATCATCTTGTGAGTCTTGCAGTAAGCACGCCAAGTTGCAATGCAGTCGAAGCGATCAGCTACGATGCAGAGATTCGCGAGATTGGCCAGTGGTGGAGTGACAGTGGACATGTCACGCGCGTGCAAAGCACATAGAAAGTCGGCCATGAGTTGACTGATGCTTTTGACAGTAGCAGCTATACGGCCGACGTCTACAATCTTGACTTGCGGAAGCTCGTCGGCAGGTACAGAAGCGTCCAGATCGGTGTACTTTGTCTTGAGGTGTGCGTGGCGGAGGGCTACATCGGTGCCTTCTTGAAAGTCGCTCTGTAAAAGTCGCATGAAGTAGGTCGAGGCGTCTTTCAGTCTACTGGACTGGACGCGGTATTTGCATGTCTCTTGTGCTGTAGCATCTCGTTGGACCACAAGTACGACATCACCTACTGGTGAGATGATGGTGATTCCAGAGGGTGTCGTTTCTAGCTCGGCGACCTTGTGCTCTTGCGGCGGCTCGCGTTTGGTGGCTTTCGTTTTCTTGATTGGGGTTGACATGGCAGGGGGCCGTTCAGAGACTCTGTCTTATGGGTAAGGCCAAAACATGACTTTTGAAGAGGCGTTTTGAAAGATGTTCTATTAGAGATGCATCTCGAAATCTGTCGCGCTTCTGGCTGGACGCATGACGTGACTTGCCAAGCGATGGATAGGTAGGCAGATATCACAACAACGCTCGCATATCAATCATGTATTCTACATAGACAGGGTATAAAGTTATCCACAGACCATGCCCTCTTTTGGCACTTCCACCTTCTCGCCGTTGTTCTCCTGCGTCTCAACTCTGCCTTCTGGAACGAGACCGACTTGTTTGTTCTCCTCTTTCTCACGCTCCAAACGCTCCTTTTCTTTCTTGGTCAACTGCATCGATCCCTTTTCAATGGCTTCCTTTGGTAGTGGTCGCACATATGGCTGACAGATGAACCATGGCCTTTTACACCACGCGACTGAAGCCAGCGAGCTCTCATCTTTCGTTGGGTCGATTTCGGGTCTGATCTGTGGTTCTGTTTGAGCTTCTCCGGGCGTAGCGGCTTCATACTCGAGCAAACCCTCCTTGACTGCAGCCTCCACCATGCTAAGAACATTTTCGTAAGCCACAATGTCGCCAGCACGGCAACGAGCGAGGGCATCCCGAATGTTGGTGTGCTTGGATACCAATGGCCGGAGCATATGGAAGAGGTGAGCCTGCATAGGGGTGAGATTGGGATTCGAGCACTTCTCGGTCTTCTTGCGACTTTCGCCTTTTGTCTGTTTCTGCCTCTTCGCTTGAGGTTGGCCATCAAGATGGTGGGTCGCGTCGGCATCGGGAGTGGTGCCAGCTTCGTCCTCGGCGGGTCTCTTCTGTGCAGAGACATGGTCGATATCCACATGTGGGACAGGGGCGTCAGCTGTCTGATCGGCATGTTCAGGCATGAACAAAGGCTGCCGTGCGGGAGGATCCTGGCCAAGCACATATCTGTGGATGATGTCCATGTAGCGTCTAAGAACGGCATCCATGCGGTAGCCACCCTTCCCGTCTCTTCCTCGCCAATATTCACTCCCTTCTTGACCCAGGGGAGGAGGCTGGGCGAAGACGGCCGGATCGTAGAGGTTCCCTTCGGCACTCATGACACCGTCGGCACCGGTAGCCTCGAGACAGGCAGGAATGTCTTCATGGCGTAGAATGTTACCATTGGCGAATATAATTGTATCCGGAGGCAGGTTGTCCCTCAGGTAACGCAAGACAGACCAGTCAGCCAAGCCAGTGTTGTGACCCTTCTGATGGCGTTGGCGGCCGTGAACGGTGATGATGCTGGCACCGGCGGACAAGATCATCTTTGCATAATCAAGCGTCTTTTCGCGCGTCTCGAGGATGCGCATCTTTGCAGTGACGGGAATGTCGAGATTCTGGTGGAGGTTGTTGATGAGTCTGTGGATCAGGTCCCAGTCTTCCTGCAAAAAGGAGCCGTAGTGACCCTTGCGTGCGATACCCTGAGGGCAGCCAAGGTTGAGATCGACGGCGTCGCAGAAGGGCTGGACATGACGGGCAGCAGCGAGCAGATCGTCGGGGTCGTTTGCGCAGAATTGGACGAACAGAGGACGGTCGGTTTCGTGGTTGCCGTCAAGATAACGGTCGTTTCGGTCCGAGTCGGAGAGAGGGTGAGGGAGAGGCGTGTCGGGCATGGAGCTCTTCAAGGGTTGAAAGTGGGTTTCGCGGTACTTTTGATTCTCGTGGAACAAGCGAGCGTGGAACATGGGCGTGTAGGCAAGAAGCTGCTTGTTCTGCTCAGGCGGAAGGAATGAGCGCGTCAACAATCGCCATGCCTGTCTGTTCGGTTAGCCACAAGGCCTTGCGTGCATCCTGTTCCATCTGTGCCAGACGTACAAACTCGCTCTGCTCGACCATGGGCGCCAGGATCAGCTTGGGACAGCCGATGCTCTCGTAGAAAGCCCTGCCATGCAGCTTTCCTGTCGACTGGCTCATGCTAGCTGATTGTGCTCTGTGTGTGTATGCAAGTGCAAAGCGTTGGCTGCGGGACGCGGTTGACCGTAGTCCTGTCTGAAGCATGAGCGTCTCGTCGAATCTATTGCCCCAGCGCAGCGCAAACAATTGCACCACGAGAAAAGTCGAGCACTTCTCCACACACGCCACACCCGTCGTGCCAGAACTCTAACTTGAGCCGCAGTATCCCTGAGGGCCGTCGTTTCTGGCCGACGTCTTGTGCTGCTTTAAATCTGTCCAACGCGCTTGCCCTATGGCCATTTTGTGCGGCCTCGGAACGTTTTCTCTAGATCAAAACTTGCGCCTATTCCATGCAGTATGTACAGGATATGTGCCGAGCGGAGGCTACTCCGACTCGCAAGTACTCGAGCAGTGTATTTCGGCAGCACTGCATCATGACGTGGCTGATCACCCTGCAATTTCCAGGTCTCCCTCTTCCCAGAGATTGGACGCCTTTATCTCTACCAGCGGCCTAGTAATACATGAACTTGTCCAAGATAGATTAAAAGGGTCGCGTACATGAGTATACACGGTAAGCAGGTATCAGCACGGGAGAATGTTTCGCCATAATATGTCGATGCTTGCTGCACACCACCCTAGACTTCTTCACTTTGACTTCATCGACACAAGCGATAGCCGTTGATAGAGTATCTTGCAGCCAGACATCAACATTCCACACCTGACCACGATGCTCCGTACGCTCTGCTACCGAGTCGGCATAACTCTTCTGAATATCTTCTTTCCTCCACTCGCTGTGGGACTCCTTGACAACTTCAGTGCAGACTGCCTGGTCAACAGTATTCTCTTCGTCTGTGGCGTACTCCCCTCTCATGTGCATGGCTTTTATATCAGTTGTGTATACTTTTCACGCAGACACAAGGTACGAAAAGGTGTCTATCCAGGAGGGCAAAAGCCGTTCATCTACACAGACATGATCTTAAATGGAGGCGCTAGCAATGCAGAGGTCAGACGGATAGCAGAAGGGACTAGAGGAAGAGACAGCAAAGCGCATAGAGTCGGGTCAGCAAGGTCGAAGGTCACGTCGACCGAAAGAGCACGACTGTAGGATAGGATACGAAGGAATCAATTGCGCAGGAATCTAGGAAGGAGGATGAATGTCCAGAAGAGACGGTATGATACGAAAGATGGGCTGCATGCACAAGGGGTTGCCTTTCCTCGCCGATTGAAGCAACAAGAGAAGGGCAATACCGGAAAACAAGCCGTGGGACAGAGAGTCATGAGGCCAGAGAAATGCTTCGCTGGAAGGAAGTGAGGGCGACAGTACGAAAAAGAGGAGCGGTGGTGGGAGCAGGAGCGGCAGTGCAGGAGGGTGGTCGGCTACTCCATCTCTTCGTCGGTGAGGTCTTGGTGACGAGCAAGGACGTTGCGCTTGAATTCGTCCATGTTGGTGTCCCAGAGCTCAGCGGCCTGGCCATTGAGGGGTGAGGCGCTGCAAGAAGCGTTAGTGGGTGTTGCAAGGCAGGGGATTCGGCTATGGGTACTTGTTGGGCTCGCCGAGCAGACTTTGTAGCGACAGAAGGACGGAACCAACGTTCAAGACGGCACTCCACTTGTCCTTGAGAATGTCCAGACAGATGCGGCCCTTCATGTCGACGTTGGGGTGGTAGATGGGGGTGGTGAAGCGGACCTCCGGGGGCACGTAAGGGTAGCGGGCGGGGAAGTTGAAGCGCAGCTTGAGGGTTAGGCCGGCGTAGGGCGTGTCGGCAGGGCCCACGATGGTGCCGTCCCAGACAGTGAGGTCGCCGTTATGCGGAAAGGCACTGACGCCAGGTGTGGGCGATGTCATCAACGTCATGAGCTCGCCTTGCAGTCTGGTGCCTCGTCAGTCAGTTGAGCGTAGCCGGTCGAGGAGAGGCAACGAACCGCTTGATGACATTGCCACTGTCCTTTGGCTTGGATGGGCTCGCGGGTGCATTTGAAGCCGGGGCGACGGCGGCCATGCTGCTGTGTCGGAGAAGGGAAATGCTGCGAGGCTAGAGATGATGCGAAGAGGATGAGGACGCCGAGGCGGAGCTTTTGGATGGGAGAAGAGGATTCTGGATGGAAGAAGAGAGGTCGAGTTGGAAAAAGATCAAGACTTGTGCCTATGATGTGCTCCTTATTGACATGTACGACAAGCTCGGCCAGTGTGTTCGAGGGAGGAATTGCTTCTTTTTCTCGCCATGTAAACACACACCCGTTGCCGGGGCTGCCCCACACTCGCGTCCGCGTCCGCCTTCGCGTCGACTGAAACACTTCACGCGTCATTCAATCTGATCAAATTTCCCCATCATGTCAACTCTCTTGCAATTTGTGCCTAGTCATGAGCAATCTATGAACGCCGTCTCTTCAGCTAATGCTTTTGTCTCTCCCACTGTCGTTGTCGTCGTCGTCGTCCTCTTCGTGCTATTTGATCATGCTTTCATCATTACTGCCTCCTTACGAACAACCTGCATCGTCCGTTGCTTAGAGAACCTGTTTATCTGTCAGAATGGCTACTTCACAAACGCATGCCTTATATGCTTACATCTGCGATGTTCTGGCGCACAATGATGCTCTTCTGCCTCTCATTGCGGCTGATGCGGTAGTAGTAGTCTGTGTAGTCGGCACAGTTCATGTATCTCAAAAACTCCTCGTCGTGCGTGATGACTATCAGCTGGAAGTTCGACTGTTGTCGTCTGATGCGGATGATCTCGGACAGAGATTCTGCCAGGGAGCGGATGTTGTCACGGTCGAGGTTGGTTGTGGGTTCGTCCAGTGCGATCAACCCACAGTTCACCCCGAAACACTCTGCCAGTGCTAGCCGGATGATGATGGACGCGAGTACCTTCTGTCCGGCCGAGCAACGACCACGCATGTCCATCTCGGCATCTTGCTTGCACATCACGACGCGGTAGTTGTAGTTCTTGTTGCCCTTCTGCGCGTCGTTGTCGGATCGAATCAGAATCGAATCTACGTCAGTGCCGCGATACGTCTTTTTCCAGAGCTCTTCGATGATGCGATTGATCTCTTCCATCTTCAGCGCGTGGTATCTCATAATGGCCTTGTCGAGTGCACCGCCGTAACGACCAAGGTCCTCGATGGCCGCCTTTGTCGTCTCGACCTTGATGTGAGCTTCCTTGAATTTATAGGCAGCGTCCTTGTAATCCTGTTCCCAGTCCTGGAGAATTTGCTTGAGCTGGTCATCTTTGCCCTTCAGCTGGCCTATGATTGATGCTTGCTCAGCTGTGAGTTTGTTGCGTGCCATCTCCCAGCGGCTGCTTTCGCGTTCATGAGTGGCCTTCTCCTCTTCAGCGTTGTGCGTCTCAAGCTCCCTTATCTCGGCGCCAATCACCTCCACTGCAGCTAAGTCATGGCGGTATTCTTGATTGTCCGCGATCTGGAGCTTCGTCTCTTCAACGTTCTGGAGGTTGTTCTCAAACTCCTTGACCTGCTTGGTGATGGCTTGCATGTTGTTCTCGAGACGCTCAATGCCTTGTCTCATATCATCGATTGCACTTTTCGCTTGTGCCAGCTGAGCAGGGCCATCTCTCTGAATATAGCCACTGATCTCCCGCTCAACCATCTGCAGCTTGTTCACGCTATCGTTCAGAGCAGCTGTCTCATCACGGAGCTGTTTATCCTTCTCTGCGCCGCGGCGAGATATATCGTCGTATCTCGATTGAGCTTGGGACATCTCGGGGCCAAGATCAGTGAGCTCCTGCTCAAACGATCGCTGGGAATCAATGAGTTCGTTATTCTGTGCCTTGAGCTCATTGACTTGTTTCTCAAGAGACACCTTCTCCTTGAGATGATAGATGACAGTGCTGAGCTTGGACTTGATATCACGGAGCTCGAGCTCCAGAGCGTTGATGTTACTGCGGGCACCGTCGCGCTCACCAACAATCTTTGTCATAAAAATCTTGGAGCCGCGAGACTGCTCGTTGACTGTCTTGAGATCATCTTGAATCTCTTCAATGCCTCGCGAAAGGCCCTGGCTCTTCTGTTTGGCGGCCAGCTCTTCAATCTGCCTTTCGAAGCTGACAACTTCTTGAGCGTATTTGACGATGTTCTGGACGGTCTTGGAGAGACTTTCAACCTCCTGCTTGGCTGATTTGCGCTCGCTGACAATTCGATCTTCCTCTTCAACTTCGCTTGTAAGAGAGAATACGCGGGTCTTCAGGCGCTCCTCTTCCTGCTCGAGGTTAGGGATATCCTTGCTTCTGAGTCGGTCCCAGTTGTCATAGGTGGAGCTGATCGCTCTGACCTCCTGAAGGTAATTTTCGGTCTCGTGAAGCTCTTCAACCGCGCGACCAGCCTCGGCTTTGTTGATTTCCATACCCAGGAAGTTGATCAACTTTTCGAGACCCTGGCGATCCTTCTCATAGCCTCGACGGCACATAAGACAGCACTTGTTCTCCCGAGCAGCTCGCACTGCGCTCTCGTAGTACTTCTTGAGGTGTCCGGCATACTCACTTGAGCTTTTGCGATCATCACGCTCGCTCTCGGTCTCTTCCAGAACCTTCTGATATTCTGAGGGATCTGTTTCAATGACGTTCCGAATACTCTTCTGGTTACTCTCGAGCTCTCGTCTTCGCGTAGTGAGATCTGCTTTTGTTTGCTTCAGACGATATTCGAGCTGTTCGAGTTCACGGGCTTGGCCATCGCGCTGACGCTCAGCCTCTGCCACAGTCTTGTTGCTGCTGCTGAGGGCACCTTGATAGTCGCTATCGAGCGATGTAGGCTGCCAACCAGCGCCAACGATGCTATCGATTTTGGTTCCATGAGTCTTGGTCATCGTGTCAAGGCTGCGCTGGCGATCCTTCACTTCCTTTCGCAGAAAATCCAGACGTGCCGAGTCGCCTGCCTGCTTGGTAGCTTGGACAAGTTCCATGTCTAGCTTCTCTTTTTGATCATCTAGACGACGCAGAGTGGCGTCAGTCTCGTCAACTTGCTTTTCCCATCCCTTGATCTCGTAGTCAGACTTGGCGGCTTGCAACTTGCTTCCAGTATCCTCAACTGACGACTCGAGCATAGTCTTGGAGCCCTCGTCAACCTCGACGTTGTTCAGATCAATCTGGAAAGCTCCGATGCGGCGCTCGTTCGCGGCATGAGTAGCCTTGGCGCTCTCCTTCTTCTGGCTCAGTGTTGATCTCTGCTCGCTAATGCGGTTTAGCACGCCTTGAGCACGTTGCAGTTCTTGTTGTGTCTCACGTCTGGCACGTTCGAAAGTGGCGTTCTGCTCCTTTGCCATGCGACTGATGCGGTCAATGAATTCTCGAGCCTTGTCCTCGTCCACTCCCAGATCATATCCACGGAGATTGTGTCTGCGGGCAGTCTGCTTGACGAGCTGTTCTCTGGATTCGAGCTGACGATCGTAGTTGCGCTGATCGGATTCCAACGAGCCGACCTGGCGCTCCTTCATGCCGAGCTTCTCGCGGTCTCCTATCAGCTCACGACTGAGTTGTTGGTATTTGCGCTTCTCCTCGTTGGCTTGGTCGTGCAGGAGTTGAACGCGCTCTTCGTATTTTTGAAGTAAGGTCTGAAGTTCTTGGTCCGAGTCGGTCATCTCCCGGAGGTTGCGTTTCAACTTTTGCACGCTTTCTTGCTTAGCACGTTGCTCGATACGTTTGCCTGAAAGCTGGCCGACAATGCCACCAAGAAACCTGATCTTTTCCCAGGCAGCGTTGTAATTTTGCTTAGCCTCAGCAATCTTGGTGTCCATCTCCTTTGACTTGGAAGTCAACTTGTCGATCTCCTCGTAGAGCTCTCGAGATCGCTTCTCGGCCTTATCACCCTTGTCCTTGTCTTCCTTGGCGTGTTGCTCGATGATCTTGTACTTTCCAAGCTCTTCCGTCTGCTTCTTCTTCATGAGCTTGATGTTGTCAATGGCCTTTGTGTACTTCATGGCCTCGAAGATTGCATCGAATCGATCTTTGAGCTTACTAGGCTCGCTGAGTGGCCACAGACTCTCATCCTGATGACAAAATATAACAGAGTCCAAGATAGCCTTACTCACACCAAGGTATTGGGGCATGAGTTGATCGAGTTCGGCAACACGAGAGGAGATGGATGTACGCTCCCCCTCCTTGATCATGAGAAGCTGACCTTCAAGTGACTTGACCGAACGAGTTGCCTTTTTGACCGTGAGTTGCAAACTGCGGGTGCATACCATCTTAGCTCCAGTAGTGGCTAGGAAGGAGATCTTGACTTGAGCGAGCACCTCTTTCTCGCCGCAGAGCTACCCTTGTTAGTTCAGCTTCCATTGCGTTGCTAAGGAAAGAACACACTTTTGGATCATGAATGAAGGCGCCACCCTTGCTGTTGGGCGGTTGGTCCCCGGTTGTAGCATACTTGAGACATTCAATGATGGTCTTTGCATGGTAGTCAGCATGTTTGTTATATGTTTCCACGAAGCCGAGACTCACTGTCTTTCCAGAACCGTTGTGTCCTACGATTAGGGTGAGGGGTGCGTAGAATTGGATGGTCTCACTGCGTCCATTATCGAAGGAACGAACTCTGTAGGGCGGGAGGATATCAGCGATCATACAATTTCAAGTGAGTATTATAGGCCATAACTGACCCTAGGATGGAGAGCTTGTCAATCTTGGCTAGAGGACGAATGTTGGTAAGTGGGTCCGATCTGGGAGGACACGCCGATTTACATACACCTGTTGGAGGCATTAGCTTCGGGAATCTTGACCGATGCGGACAGTAATAAACTTACATAGTGGATCAAGCTCGGAGTGGACTCCGTGAGGGAGAATTGGACAGACGAAAAACCCAGATCGGAGCAGGAGGCGCCGTCTTATACCAAAGTCGAAAAAGGTGTTGGATCAGAGACTCAACCTCAAGTTCAATTCCACATGGAGTTGGTGATAGGCAACGAAGTGTCCAGGACGCGCTAACTTGATTGACGCGGAGAGTGAGCGAGCAAGCACGGGAAGTCGCGACAGCCGCGACGACTTTTGGCAGCTTGGGTGCAGGCAGGGCTGCGCGGTGTTAATCTGTCGCACAAGGGCTGGAAATCACAGACAAAGACACGGGTGACAGATGGTTGTATGGACAGCTGCTACGCGTATTTAGATAGTTCCCATGCAGAGCTGGAAGATTCAAGAAGGGCGATCTGATGGAAAACAAGCATTTGCACAATCGAGGTTCGGGATCAACGATTCGGTTGGCTGGACCAAATCGTTGGCCAGGGTAGATGGGCAGACGTCAGAATTCGGTCGCAAGCAGCGCCTGCGGATCGAGCAACTCTTCCTGCATCGTGGAATCACCTGGTGGGCCTCCCGGGACAAGGCGCGTTTCTGTAACTCATCTCGTTGACTGGGCCCAAGGCAGGCGCGACTGATGTCCTACCTGTCGTCGGTCGATGGCTCGCTACCCCAAAACGTAAGTGCCAGTGCGAGTGGCAGAGCGCGTCCAGCAAGAATGCCCACTGATCATTGGTTCTGTGCACCAGATGGCCGGGGGCGTGTCCGCATCCGATATGCTGGACCCGAGCGCCAACCTCATGTCCGACTTGCAGGACCAGATTAATATGCTGCCCATGGACCTCGATCTCAACGACCCCAGCCTCGATGTCTCGCTGAGCAACGTGCCCTTCGCCGACCCTTCGGCCTTTGGCAACAACCAGAACTCCATGTCGCTCGCAGCGCAAACCCTCCACCAGCATGACGACGGCCAGGGCAACCACATGTCGGGCATTGGCGCCGGTCCGCTTCCCACTGGCTTCGGCATGGGCCCTCCCTCCAACGGCGGCAACACTCTGACCGAGTTCACCAAGCGACGCAACTGGTCGCAACGCGTTATTGAAGAGCTCAGGGACTTTCTACACATCCTGACCCCCGACGGTCGCATCCTCTACGTGTCACCCTCCGCCAAAACCCTCACAGGCTACGAGCCACGCTATCTGGTCGGCAAGTTCATCGGCGAGTTTGTGCATCCAGAGGATAGTGGCATCTTCATGCGCGAGTTCAACGAATCTATAGCCTCGGGCAATCCCTTGCGCTTCTTCTACCGTTTCAAGAGAGAGGACGGTACATATATCATCTTCGAGTGCGATGGCCATCCACACATCTCGTCTGAACAGAGTGCCTATGGTCACATGAGTGGCTCGGGCCAGGGCGCCATGAGCGCTGCCGGTCTTTGCAGAGGCTTCTTCATGATGGCACGCCCCTATCCCACAAAGAACGCCGCCCTGCTCGACTCTTTTCTGGAGCACAAGATCGAGAATGAGCGCTTGAAGAAAAGGATCGAAGAGTTGAAGAGGGAAGAAGTTGAAGAGAACCAGGTGCAAGAAAGACAGTGGCAGGAACAATCCAGACGTGACACTTCCGAGGCCGGTCGCGTCGAGGGCTCAAGCGAGCATAGCAAAACCCCAAACTACCAAGGCATGCCGCCACCCGCCAAGCCTCCAATATCAAATACTGCTCTTACTCGTCAAAATCTGGACAGCGCTCTATCAGCACAACAACCTGACAGCATAGCGGACAAGATGTCCCGCTATGAGGGCTCGAACCATCTTGAGACTATTGAGATGCTGACTGGCTTGCGCTACCGCGATGGTGAGCGAAGTCACGGAATTTCGACTGGCGACACATCACCCGCACTCATAAGAGGCGACGCTGGCATTGCAATATTACTCGATAGGGACCGCGATGGAACTAAAGAAAAGAAGAAGAAGCTTAAAGTTGCCGAGGAATACGTGTGTGCAGACTGTGGTACTCTTGACAGCCCCGAATGGCGCAAGGGTCCCAAGGGTCCCAAGACACTGTGCAACGCGTGCGGCTTGCGATGGGCTAAGAAGGAAAAGAAGAGGGCGGTGGGTGATAGCGGCGCAAATTCGAATGCCGGTATGACTCCTGGGGGGGTGCCATCACTATTGCACAAGGATAGTAGTGGGAGCAATTGAACACAAATCCTCAATCTGCCTCGGTTCAATGTGCTATCTGCATCGTCCCAAGGGCAATGGGCGTTTCAGCAGGCATACACAGGTTGGCACAAGAGCTCATATTCATCAGCCTTTACTTTTCTTCAGTGTAGAGATTTATTAACTAGATACCAGAGGGCATTGCGGAGTTTTGTACTACATCATGGCATGGTTCTTTATTGACGATTCGGTTTGAGAACTGTTTATCTACACTCGCTTCGATTGTCCTGTTCGGGGAGTGTGGTATGCACTCCCATCGTGTAGAAAGCATGCCATGAAGTCATCAAACCTCCTGTTGAGCGACAACGGCGCTCAATAGATTTGGCCATGCTCGTAAACAATTTCGGAGACGAAATCGCACTGACAATACTCACATGATCTTTGGTGCACGCCATCTTGTATGCGGGCGATCGCTTGCGCAGCCACCTGATATCGGCTGTGAGCACAGGGTAGTATCAGGTGGTTCCCGTCATCCGTTCTGGAGTGCGTCCTATGGTGCAGTTTATCGCTCTTCGCCCTCTACTAAGCAAGCAAGGTCTGCCAGATTGCGAGACGAAGTCAGCCAATTACATTGACCTTTAGTGCATATGCACGGTTTTCGAAATGAAAGGACCAGGTAGCAAAAACAGAAACAAATAGGGACGATTAAATTGGGGGAAATGGGACCAAGCTGACATGTCAAAATCACAATGATTTGGAAACGAAGCTCGAATGCGACTTGTATTCTATGTAGCTCCATAACAGCACATTTATGCACCCCATCAAGCCACTCGGAGTATGGGATGCAGAGAAGCAGGTGCAGCCGCAGCATGCAAGCGATACTCTCAGCTGCGCGTGCGCCCTGCCGTTGATCATGTCCGGACCTGAAAATTGCTCGAGGCCCTGCGCTGACGACCCGCTACCCGAACTGGCATACGGTGCTCAGATTGTAGCCCAAACATGTCATCCAGGTTTTACATCGCAGAAGGTCGCAACGGCGTCAGCACTCGTCTGTCATCGGTCCTCTGGTTGTCGTTGAGACTTTATCTACACGTTTGGATCGCAAGTCCACCAACGGTTGCGCCACTCTTTGACGCGTTCCGGAGCGTGGCCGAATTCCTTTTTGGGGACGTTGCAGGGGCGGGACTACTGCCGAATATCGCGTAGGAAAGATCAAGGGCCAGAGTTCTGGCCAACAATTGCTCTGTCACTCGAGCTGAAGAGCAAAGCATCCGAAAGACCACGTTACGAGCAAGAGCCATCAAGGTCGGGCGTGTCCCCAGCATGCACGATCGCTGCCCTTATGCCCTTATACAGCCGCTAGGACCCCGGGTTGAGGCTACTTTTGGGACGGGGCTAGTAGTGATGCACTGCGCTACGTAAGACCTTGGCCGTTCGTTTGCCAACCCCCAAACCGTACGAGCCATGGGCTTGGAACACCGGGATGCATCTTGCACAAGGCGAGCTGCCGCCCTTCCTTTGTCCTGGGATGGTCTTTGACGGCTACTTGGCAGAAAGCCGAGACACCATGTCTCGTCGAGTCTTGCATGGGGAAAAGCACAAAGCAGCAGAGACAAAAGCGTGGAGTCAGTGACGGGCGGGAATACCCAAAAACAGCAAGGTTTCTGAGAGAGTATCCGCCAACGTGGTGCGTAAAGTAAAGTGTATTGTAGATGGACGATGGATGGAGCTGCAGCTGCGGGCCGGCCGGTCAAGTTTAGCCTTGCACTCTTGGTTGGCTTGTGCTTTGTGCCCTCTGCCAGACTGCCTCACCCCGTCCTTTGTCTCGCCGTTTCATTCCGTCGTCTCCTACATCTTGTTCCTGTCTGATTGTTTCCTGTCTGGTAGATAGTTTCCTGTATTCTCAGACGTGATGCAGGCTGTGTCCTGGCATTAGGTGAGTGAGCTTCTTTCTCCCAAGATTGTTTGTCCAACAGCACGCACGCTGGCTGTCCGCCGAGGGACGTCATATCGCTGGGGAGGCCTGACTGGTTGCATTTGCCAACAATACACTGACAAGGGATCTATACTGTAGTTTTGCTGTGTGTTCGTGGCACGTGTGATGTAGCAAACACCCTCCACCATTATTCCTTCCTCCGTATCGTTATTCCGACGTGGATATTCGCAAAAGCCCCTCGCTGCTGTTGATCACCATGGCTTCGACACGGATCTCCGGATCGACACTGTCGCTCCACGGAGCCCCGAACAAGACGGGAGACAAACAACACGAACCCAGCCTGTTGAGGACGGCTATCGTGGTCAGACTGAACGATCAAGTCATACGTGACTTGCAACAATGTGCCCAAGGAGGCAAGGCGGTACAATTGTTGGGCGGAAAGACACCGGTATGCCCACGAGCGTCCTATACAAGCCATGAAGGAATCTTCCCTGACAAGTGCAGAAAATCCGTTATGGTGCAAAGCTGTTGGACTTGAATGTCAGGCCAGAGACATTTCGTCGCGAAATCTATTCTGCAGACGATTCCGCCGACCGACTCGGCTTTTCTGCCTTTGTGTCACATCATGCAGAACCCCGAGTACTTGTCGAGAAGAAGGTGCAAGAAGATGGTGGTGTCGCGGACGCTGCCGTGGAAAACCTGAGGCAGTCGCTAGCATCCATGGCGAAGCAGAAGGAAGAACGAAAGTGAGGATGAAGAGATGGTCTTTTTCAGGAAACCATTGTTAACGTGTGACAATAGGACGACGATAACGAACCCGGTGGCTGCTGGTGCCAAACACTCTAGATACCTTCAACCCTCGGCTCGACCAATCTCCCTCTCACAGCGCTCCGCTTCCTCCTCGTCCACTCCTCTCCCAACTGCCCCCACGTCTGCGCCTTTCGACCCTCACGCTCAAGCAAGAGAGAAGGGCATGCGATTCGCACTTGTTCATCTGCTTGCCATCAGACCCTTGTCCGAGAAAGACATTCACCATAAGACTCACATACCCAAGACTCAACTTTCATCACTCCTGCCCAAGATTGCCGACAAGCAAGCTCTCACCTGGGAACTTTCCAGCAAAGCATACAAAGAACTCGACCCCTGGTCGTTCGGATACACTGCCACCGAACGGAATCTCGCCATCGACCATGCCATCAAAGCCTTCGACAGAGCCAGACTACCAAAGGACGACAAGTCCTGGCAGGTTCTATTGCCCAAGGAAGAACGCAACAAAGGGAAGATTCTCTCGCGCCTTCATCTAATGGCTGATAAGTTGGACCAAGCTGAAACACCCGGCCTGATCTCTACTCCGGTCCACACAAGTGCAGCTGTCACTCCAAAACTGGGAAGTACTGGAACGCCTCGTGGTGGAAGCGGTACCACTGCAACTGGAAGATCCGGCGCTGGCATTTCTATTGAGAAGCGGTTGAAGGAGATCAAAAAGAAGGGCGCAATGGAGAAGAAGAAGCAAGAGAAAGAGGCAAAGGACGCCGCTGCTGCTGTGAGCGACCGTGAGAGCAAGCCGAGAAATGTGACTGCCAAAAGAGTGCTACCTCCCAAGAAGATCGCCTCAAAGATCAAATCCGATGAGCTTGTACACAGCTCGGATGATGAAGAAGAGGGCGAGGTCAAAGAGGATGCAGCCCCAAAGAAGAGCGACAATACTAGGAAGGAGCCCACCAAGCCACTTTCCAAAGCACGACCTGCAGTAACAGACAGACGAAGCTCTTCGTCGAGTGAAACCACAGTGCCACTCAAGGATAGCAAGGCAAAGCCGAAACCATCGACCTCTGATAAATTCGCTACGGGTAGTGTCACAAGAAAGGATAGCGCAATTACCAAGGCCAAGACGAATGCTCCGTCCGTTCCTAAGGTCCACGGCCTCCCAAAGAAACCTGAAAGCGTGGCAGCTTCAGTTTCCACCACAAGATCCAAGGACAGCTCGGCCCAGAGAACGACCAAAGCTGTGGCTATTCAAAGACCCAACATCAGCCCACGAAGACTAACTGACACGAAGCCCAAGGTGCCCTCACCTTTGGGCACGAGCCCCCCGCGCAATGCTTCTGACGCTGAGAAGTCGATTAAGCACCCGGCTAGATCATCAACGACCACAATCGCTACGAAGCCGGTCAGACCCACACCCACTACCAAAGTCTCAGAGCCCTTGAGCTTCTTCGGCGGTGTCAAGACTGGCTCGCAATCCAAAATCGTCACGAAGAAACGCCCTCTTGAGTCGGATACCGAGGCTGTTGAACCAGCAAGAAAGGTGGTCAAGTCTATTACTTCGACGCCTGCCAAAGCTTCGTCCATTGGACCATCCAAACTTTCTACGGTGAAGAACAAAGCAGCGAACAACGTCACACCTGCTTCTCTCGCTACTAGCACAGACAAGTCTTTGAAGCGCAAAGCTAACGACCTCTCCTCTGGTCTACACGACCATGCTGCTCCCTCTTCGTCCAAACACCGCAAGACCGACTCAGGAAGCACGCACTCACTCACAGCTACGAGTTCATCAGTCGCTTCTCTTACCACAGCACCTACTGTCTCGCCTCATTCGTCTCCTATGGGTTCTGACTTTTCAGACGACAATCTCGCGGGCATCCTGAACGATGGTTACGAAGGCGGTCCGCTCACATGGGAACAGACTCGCGCAGCAGCCGAGACCTTCAGAAGCAAACTGTACCCTGAGTACCTCGAGCTTTACCACCGTATTGCGCAGACGCCCAGCGAGAAGGTTGCGAAGGAGGACACAGTGCGCTTGTGGCAGCTCCACAATCGTCTCGAGGCAGTCAAGCATCGTATCGAAGTTGCTTGTCGCGATGGCGACAATGCTTAAGTCTAGGAAGAACTCGTCACTTTTCACATTTGCATTTATGGGGGGGCATAGGAGTTCCGGGGAGCGGTCATCGTCGACCTAAACACTTGGACGGACAAGGACAGCGACGCATCTGCATGATTTCACTAAAAGGGACATTTTTTTCTTAGCGCAGATCTCATTACGAACACGATATGGTCTTACTTCCAAGAGGTGCTATCATTGCATAAAGACACAGAACTGATGACTTATTTGACCTGAACGACATTGCGTCGGATTGCCATGAGCTGTGGATCACCGTGACCAAATGACTTTGATCGTGCAAACACAACACCGGAGCTTCCCTCAGCAGCGCCTGAAGTTGCCATGACTTCAGTCTTAAGCCGCTGAGCAGTCTGAAACTATTATTGTGTCGATAGATGATGATCCAGCGTAGATAATATCGTTATACAAGGTAAACAGGGTCATCCCAACAGCGAGTCAGACGGTTAAGACCCGTGCACGCCGATGAGCAACGAGCAATAGAGAGTCTTGGCCAATTGCGTCGGATGACGACGAGCCAAACCCTCCCTTCTCAGAGAATACCTATCTCTTCTTGCCTAATCATCTATCTGTCTCCACACGTTCTCCGGTCTCAAGATGTTGGCTAGCATAGTCCTTGACCAGAACTTTCCGCATTACACCAACCTGGACTACATATCCGGAAGAGTGTTTGTACGGACACCAACAGCGACGACAGTGTCTAGTATCGTTGTGAAATTGGAAGGTGAAGCCAGGAGTCGCCTGTTGCCCCCTCCAAATCCCAGCAATGATAGGCAGAAGCCTCAATTAGAATTTCACAAGGTTCGTGGAGTGTTTCTCTGATTTATCCTTGGTCATACCGTGATCCCGGAACAACGGACGCCAGTTTATCGAGCGGCCAATATTCAAGACCAATGTGCTAATGAGCATTCAGATTCTTTACAAGACTGTGGAGGTGTTTCCGCCTCCAGAGATCGCAGGACAACAGAGCACGTCGGGATCTTTATCCGGCAAGACTGCATACACGCTACCAGCTGGCCAGCATGAATACCCGTTCAGGTTCAAGGTATGAGCAATGTTCAGACGACATATTGCTCTTGCTGACCACAAAATAGTTCCCCTTCAACAATGCATGTGACCCCGCGTCAAACTCCAACCCGACGATAAGTTTGTTCGGAGGACTTAACGTTGAGATGTACAAAGCTCCCCACAGCCACGTCAAGAAAACCTTACCACCGACATTGGTAGGGTTTCCTGGCGAAGCCGAGATTCGTTACTATGTCAAGGCAACTGTGAACAGACCTAGTCTTTTCAAGGAGAACGCTCGCGCTTACGTGCCTTTTAATTTCTGTCCCATCGAACCTCCACGTCCACCACCGTCTGATGCATTGGGTTATGCAAGACGTCGACATCAATTCAACACTGACTTGCTTTCCACACCCACCGCAGCGCCTAGCAAATCGAAGATGGCATCTTTCTTTGGTGGCTCGAAGAAGACGGGTGAATCCGCTTCTGACAGCACGACACCACCAGCTCCATTTATAGCCGTCGATATACGACTACCAGAACCTGCTATATTGACCTGTGCTAAACCGGTACCCGCTCGCGTCATAGTCACAAGCTTGAACGGCAAGACCACAGCTTTGACACTGGTGTCTCTGCAACTTGAGGTCGTGGCCATTACCAAGATCCGTGCGCAAGATGTAGGCAGGGTGGAACGCAGCAGTACGATTCTGTTCTCTCGCAGCGGCATAGCAGTACCACTTTCTTTCGGTGACAGCGCGATAATGAATCCGAACCAGTCTCACAGCATAGAGACTGAATCAGAGGCCGAGATTGACTCTCGACTCTGGGGCGATACACCCTTACCGAACATCGTGCCACCCAGTTTTGAGACTTGCAATATCACTCGCACCTATGAGATCTTCGCACGTATTGGCATACGCTATGATGGACATGCATCAATGGTAAGTATTATTATTATTCCGATTTGTTTGATCTGCTGTATTCTGTCATGAGCTGACGTGAATCTAGCCTCAAATAACCACCATAGATCTCAGCCTGCCCGTGCAAATATTCTCAGGCATCAGACCACCACCGGAGCTCCTGGAAGCCATGGCAAGAGCTCAAGCCCAAGGTGCAGGCGAAAGCTCTTCTTCTGCGCCCCCAATACCGCCGAGACCAAGTTACCCAGCAGACGCCAAAAGCCCATCAGGAGCACCGCCACTACCGGCTCGTAAGCCAGTCGCCTCTACAGCAGCACCTATAGACACTATACAGACTCCAGTGCAGCACGTAGAGCATTCGGGCGACGAACCACCTTATGGCGATGCGCCTCCAAGTTACGAGGACACCATGGCAACAGATGTGCAACCCATGAACGGCATCCAGAGAGCTGATTATGCTCCACCTGTTGTCGCCGAAGACCCCCTGCTGAATTCTGGTCGAGGAGAAAAGAGTGGTTGGCATTGAGTCGGCAGTTAGATTGCTCATCCGGCCAAAGGTTTCAAGCATGGTATCGACGAATACATAGCATAATCATAATTAATCGTTCCTGTCTCGTCTGTTTCAACAGCAACTACCACAATGAGCTCAAGGTGGACTCTCCATCACATACGCCAATTTGGAACTGCCTGAGATGATGATCATAATTGTACTGTTCTGAGCCGAAAAGACTGAATATGGATGTGTTGCTCCATTGACCACTCTTGCCTTTCCTTGACCAGGGCTTTTCTTTCTCCCACAACCATGAGGCGATGCTCTTGTGGAACTTCTTCTACCTCAGGGAAGAGGAGGAAATTGCTCATCATAGTGATCTTGACGTCTTTGCTCAAGAGGTATGACAGTGGGTGTGGTGGCGTCGTAGGCACCTGTGTTTATGAGCGCCCGCAACCTCCTGATCATATCGCATATTGTGCATAAGTTTTGATAGCAGCCATTCTACTCCACCATAGCATCGCGCTCAGCACCACTGCTATGCGAGAAACCAGATGGACCGCGAGCTCCGCCTTTGAGCAGACCGTGGAATGCCCCGTCACCGTTGGAGTCAAGAGAGTCACTTGCATCAGCAAATTGCAGCTTCATGGGTACATTATCAGTCGTGTCCTCACGCTTGTAGACCGCGTGATGTTCCGACATGTGTCCATGGACGAACTGGTCCGAACGATCTTGTTCGTTATCGCGCGGTGCAGGGCGGTAGTCTTTGGATGACAGCAGCTGGGTTGTGCGAACAAGGCTGAGTGCCTCTTCGAGACTCTTGCGGTCGGCCGTTGATAGAGCTAGAATCAAGGTGCAGTTAGTATGTTGAGATTCTTCAGCGAGGATTATGGATCGTTAGGAAAAATACCTGATTGCATAGAGGCCAGGACTTGATCGATCAAAGAATCAGCGCGGGCTAGGAAGTCATCCGAACCAGCTTCCACCGTCATGCTATGTACGGTGGCGAGATTTTCAAGCTTCTTATGCACTTCGCGAGAGGCATTTTGGCCTCTGGCCCTACTAGCAGGGCCTGTGGAGATGACTTTGTCGTCCATGTCGTCAAGTTGAGGAGCGGCCACAAGCTCTTCGGCGATAGCCGAGTGGCTGCTATTCTTACCTTGATTTCCATGCTGGACAATGTTGCGGGAATGTTTTGCCTTGATCCTGGCTTTGCGCACAGCTCCATTTTGTCTGTGAGCTTCCAATCTTGCGACTCTCTCTGGATCAGCGGCACGACGGGCAGCCTTCTCTTGTCTCTTGGCCACCTTGACAGGATCTGGGGGAGTCGGAGCGGCCTTGTCCTTCTTTTGGTCACGCAGCTGTTGCCTGCTGAGTCGAGCCTTTTTCGTAGTTCCGTCGAAATTCATCCTCCTGAGAGCCTGGGATTGATGAGCGTGTGCCGGACAAGACACGTGAACTGTGACAAACTCACATTGATCATCTGGCTTTCCTCGTTCTTGGTTCGGTTCATCGCTTTAACTGCCTCCTTCGACATGTTGGGTTGCTTGGTGACTTGGTGCCCACTACGATCATCGGGCTGAGCTTGTTGTGACTGCTTTGCGGCGCCAGCTTCCGATTGTCGTTCCAGAGCCCGAAGGTACATATTTTGATGCAGCGGGCAACGAGGTCCAGTTTCTGGACAACTTGCGCAATCCTCACGAATAGGCACGCCTGGAAATATTATTTCAGACATGGTTGTATTTTGCGTCTTACGGGTTACGGGTATAACGCAGTGAAGTGCGGTATTGCGTCGACACGAAGACCAGATGCAGCGGAAGCAGACCAAAGTGAGGCGCGCGTGATCGTGACAGACGCACAGCCGGGTAAGTGACAGTGGTGGTCCTCTCAATACAGCTAGGAGGTGGACTCTCGGCAAGAGGGTGAGACGTGACGAATAGTTTGTGCCGCGATGCAAGAGCAGAGTGGCGTCAATGGGGAGAATGAGAAAGAGAGAGGGAGAAATGTTGAAGGGAGCTTGATGTGACACAATGAAAGACAGCTTCACTGGAAGCTCTCACCAACAACTATGGCGGAAGTCACTACTAAACCGCGACTGCCAGCCAACCCGTTCCCGGTTAATCACACTAGCTCTTCTTTTTCTTGCAATACTGTTGACATTAGACAACAATTCTCCGCAACTACCCATGACTTGCACCATATGGAGTCAAGAAGAGAATAAGAAAGTACTCGAGTACCTGACACTCGGTCTGCTAAGAAGCGGCAGATCATCGGCGGAAGGTCCGTGCGCCGGAAGTGACGAAGTTGAATCTCCAGCGACAACTTGCCTTGTCAACTGCAATACGGTCATCACGGTACAATATCAAACCAGCCTCTCGTCGTGCCATACCACTGTCAAGAAGCGTCCAGAAGAATCAAGAACCAGACGCTCAGTCAGCAGAAGTAGTAGACGGTGCGCGCGCATTCAGAAGTGGCCTATTTTCGCCGGCGCAGCCCACCCAACATCAGTGTCGCACGACTATCGGATTCATCACACATCGCTGCATCGATTTCTCGGCTTCCCGGCTAAAGACTGCTGAATTGGATTGCAAGGGGACCCAGTTTCGGTAGAAGCCATCGCTGTCATGTCAAACACCATCACTGTTCGTGATCCCTCTGTTCAGCGACGTCTTGCATGCCGGCGGCTAGAAACACCGAACTTTACTAACACATCCACAGGGCGAGATCTATGAAAAGATCATCCAGGAAGTCATCAACGCCTCGCAGAATGATTTCGAAGAGAATGGTGTCCAGCAGCAGACCTTGATGGAACTGCAACAGGTTGGTCAACCCCTTCTCCTTTGCAATTTACCTGTATTACATGCCTCTCGTCCGATTGTCTGAGCGTCGCTGCATTTTTCTGTTGTGATTCTTCTGTTGGCGGATTCTCCTGTTGGTTTCTTGCTCAGCTGGTTGATGCTTGCGAAGCTGAAAACTAGCAAGTGGCGGAAGCGGGGCTTATCAAAAAGCCCATCTTTATACTGCTTGGTCTTTGGCGTTCTGACCTCCGAAGATTTGCCGAGCACCTGACATGCTACACCTCTTGACTTCCTTGGATCACCTGTGTACTAACACATAATCAATAGTCATGGCAGCACAAGATGTCTCAGCGCGATGTTGCGCAGATGCCTTGGGACCCCAAGCCTGCTCCTCCTCCACCTCAACAACCGCCTCAGCAGCAGCAACAACAACAACAACAACAAGCACAACAATCTGCTACAGCATCCCTGCCTATGCAAAATGGTACCTCTGTACAGCACCAAACTCCTCAAAATGGACATCCTCAGCCCAAAACGGAGCCTGGTTCGAACTCTCAGCCCATGCACAGCTACCCTCAAGCCCAACAAGGCTATCCTCAACCAGTGAATAACCAGATGATGGCTCAGCAACGTGCAGCGTCCTTGGTCCAGCAGCAGTTTGGTCAGCAAGCCAACGCATCACTGAACGCTATGCAGCAGAGGGGTATTGCACTTCCTGGAGGGGCTCAAAACGCTCATCCTCAACAACAGCCACAGCAACAACAGCTACCTCAACAGCAGCAGCAGCAAAGACCTCAAGGCCTGCCGCAGCCTGTGCAAGGCGGGCAAGTAGGCGGTCAGCCAGGACAAGCTCAACAGCAACAACAACGTCAGATGCAAGCGCAATATGCACAACAAATGCGTCAACAGACGGCACACCAACAACCCCAGGTGAAGACCGAAGGCAATGGGCAGTACCCTCAGCAACACGGAGTCAACTATACTCAAACGGATGGTTCTGACGAAGCCGCACTTGACGCATGGAACCGATACATAAGCGAGAGGCGCAAACTTAGTTCAGCCCAGGTGAACAACAACGATCGCATCATGAGACGTCAGATCGAGGATCTCCAGCACAGATTCGAGAATGGACTGTTGCTTCCTCTTGACGATCGCAAGGAACATACACGTTACAGGAAGCGAGTATCTGGACGCAGAGTAAGCGCTAATGCCGGTTCGCGCTTGGCTAGCATTCCTCAACTGGATGGTGAACTCGAAGAAGAGGACGAAGATGCCATCAACTCGGATCTGGATTCATCAAGTGACGAAGCTGGCAATAATGCCGATGAAGAAGACGAGGAGATTGACCATGTCCTTTGCACATACGACAAGGTGCAGCGTGTCAAGAACAAGTGGAAGTGTACTCTCAAGGACGGCGTCATGTCGGCCAATGGCAAAGAGTAAGTTCATGTTGGTCATATGCTGATACAATGACTGACAAGTGTGGCAGGTACCTTTTCCACAAAGCTCAAGGAGAGTTTGAGTGGTGAAGTGTGAGGTTTACACGACTAATGGGCAAGAGGAGCTTGCGCCATGGTGAAGCACAATCCGGCTGCCAATCCTTGGTCAGTCTAACCTCCACATTGAATCACACGAATAAGGGGCGAGATGTTATGAGGTTGGCCAGATCCATTTCACGCGAAGTACAGAAAACTATGGCCATTTGACGCAGGCGGAAGGCATAATGGCAGGAGCAGAGAAGGTTCAGCAGAAAAGGCCGAAGCACGCAAGAAGAAAACATGATGGAGAAATGAGAAGTGTGGTCTGGTTATGGGGAGGCGACATCACTCGAGCAGACTCGAGAAGTCTCGAGGCAGCGAGCATAGTGGGCGGAGAGGATGCGTATCTTCCATTAGGCAGAGAAGAGCGAAAGTAACAAATCGAAGCAAATTCTTCAGCACAAGGTCATGAATAGCCAAAGCAGATAGAGTTCCAGGGCGGGCCAAAAGGCTGTCGGAGGATTTAGAAACCCCACAAGGCTCGGGAGTGTCCAACGGCGGCGGCGGCGTGGACGGTGGCACGCGAACAGGCGGAGTCGAGTGTCTCGCATTTAATTTTCCTCCAGCAATTGCACATAAGCCCCCATCTGTAGCCTGCTGCATGCAATACTTTCGTTTCTCAATTTGGGCTTTTATTTTGTTCCCCAGTCTCGGTTGTAACTTGACCCAGCATCGCCTCTGCTGTTTTGGTAGATAGTTCACACGCATCAATTCCTAACGGCCACGACTCTGTTTACGAATACATTTCGCAATCATGAACCCTCTCAGCACGAAACCCACATATCTCAACTATCGCGCATCTTCAAGCGGCACAGGTATCCCCTCGGGCATCCGTACCAGCAGTCCCAGTACATCAGCGTCGGCTCCCATGCTCAATAGGCTACCGTCGGCCAACTCGACTCTGTCCAGCAATCCCAACGGCAGCAGCATCATCCTTTACGTGCCCAATATCGCCTCGTCTGCACTGTCTCAGCATCTTTCTGTCCTTTTGTCCACCCACCGTATCGCTGCTGTACACCTGATTGGAGGCCGCGATGTCATACTCAGGAATCTGCGTACGGAAATCTATACTCTGGCTGGAAGAATGCGAAGCGATGTTCAAGTGTCTATCTCGGTGACGGAAAACGCAAAGGGGCTTGAGATTGCCGTCAGGGATATAGGCGCCAGGAAGCAGAAGGTTTTGGGTGCTCTTGTCTGCGAGTGTGACGAACAATCAGAAGAAGGAGAACAAGAGAAGGACATCTTGACACTCGAGACGGATGAGCTTGACGCTATCTGGAAGGTAGATGGGCCTCTCTCGATTCTTTGCCTTCCACAGTCCGAGCTAACATAAGATTTAGACATCAGTGCTTCCACTACACACTCTTCTCCGCAGCCTACTGCCTCTGTTCGCCGACACCACCACTGCCACGACCACCGCCCACCCCTCAGCCATGCCGTTCATCTACCTCGATACCCCCAGTCACCTCTCGACCTTCGCAACGACCTCCCGGGCCGCCCTCTTATCCTCCCTTACATCCTCGCCCGCCACGAAAAACATCACAATCGGTCCTGCCGCTGAATACCTCGTGCCAGCACCCGTCCTCTCGGAAACACAGAGCATGAGAAGCCTGCAAATCGACACGAGCAACGGAAACGGATACTCGGCCACCACACCAGAGACTAGCCCGCTCTTCAGTGCCGAGAGCCCGACGAAACTCTGGGCCAGCTGGGCTGCTCAGTACGAGTAAGATACAGATCGACAGGCCAAGGCACGGCTGGTTCGTGACTCTTTACAAACGCAAAGTAGCGAGAACAACAGTACAAGAGGAGTTATTACTCTGCATGGTACCCAGAAAAAGCATTATTGTATATATTCCTACTACATTCCAAACACAGTTGGGGAAAGGCAAGCATTGTTCATATATTCGAATACTTGTACATCATTCTATATTGGGCCGGTGCTATTCTTTGCCAACCAATCCGCTACTCTCGTGATATGATCTCTTGATCTCGAGAAGGGCCGCGCAGGTCGTATGTCAAGATTGGACCATATCTGAATGTGAACTGATGCATCTTGACTCTCCACTAACATGGATCACCTCAGTATGAGAGGGAACGTCTAAAGGCTTGCATTTGGAGTGAAGATATGTTATCAGGAACCAGGCACCTAGAGCCCTTCTTTGGCCAGCATATCTGGTCACATTAGCTTAGATGGACACGCGAATCTCCTACGCATCCATTGAAACTCACCAGCGATATCCAGATAGAAAGCGATGGCGTTGAAACTGTAAAAAGACACATGTCAGCAACCCAGAAGCTCCAAAGATTAGGACTAGAACAGATCAAAACATACTTCCTCTTGTTCCCCGTCAACTCCCACAAGAACCAACGCAACCTATTCGTCCAATTGATCATGTCCAAATGACTAACATCCTTCAACGTACCCTTATAAGTACCCCACTTAGCACTCTGCACACTGACCAATCCATCATTTTCACCTTCCAGTTTCTGAATAATTCTATGACTCTGTCGAAACATGCTCCAGAACCTTGGGTCTACCGTGGCACCGTAGGAGTAGTAGGCAATACCTTCACGATCGGGTGTCTTTGGGTTAAAGGTTTGTTGCATGTATTTTTGGGTTAGTTGGCTGAAGGCGCCGGTTTCGAAGCCGAAGAATTCGAGTGCTTTGTAGAGTTTGGGTATGTTGGTTGCTGGATTGGAGATGTGTGTGTCAGTTGTCGATGCAGACGTCACGAGTTTGGGATACTAACGGCCAATCCAAGAGAACATGACATCTGCAAAAGATGAGCCTTTAGGCATACGTTAGCAAGATGTACGTGCATGACAGCCGCAAAGAGCCATCATACCTCGGTGTGGCGTTGCGATTGTGGTCAAGGAGAGGACTTTGACGTTTGTTGGTTTCAATTGGCTGATCATGTATCGAGAGTCTAGGCCGCTGAAGATTATAGCCTGTCAGTTTCATCCATGATCTGGGCTAGTTATTCTGCGTTACCCCTAGCAAATCAATTAGCGAGACGTCATGAGAGATACGATGAGGAGATCTACCATGCTGTGTCTATCTCGCTAGTTAGCTGCCAGTCTTGTAAAGTGTCAGACATATGAGGCTTACGCGATAATGTTTACACTCTTTCCCTTTGCCTTGTTGTGAATGTCCTCACTCAACTTCTGAGCGCGAGCCTCGATGGACCCAGATGGGGGTACGGTGCAAGTAATGACTTCGATACCCTTTGCCGCTAGTGCTTCACGGATTCCTCTCCAGTACTGGATACCAGGAGCGACTGCTTTTGGGATGATGTTAAGCTCTTCGAATCCAAGTAGTCCATGGGCTAAGATGATTGGATTTTTGGGTGTGTCTGAATGCGTTTGTCAGAACAGGATACTATTTCGGTGTTCGCAATGGCTCAGAACTGACCGTACTTCTCGCGGAGAATGGCATACTGATCTTCTATGACCAAATCGCCGAGTTCTTCCTTGAGGCGAGGATCCTCGACCTTCTCTTCATGCTTCACGGGCGCATGGCTGAACTGTGCAAACCTAATACTAGTTGGAGAGATTAGTGACGAACAGTATGGTCGAAAGATCCGCCTAGCCGGTAATCGGAGGCTCATTGCAAGGAGGGGGTGCTTTTGATGTGGAAAAGGTAAACAGATGAGATGGAAAGCGACCCCGGGCATGACGTCAGATTCTCAATCACAAGCGTGTTCGTGGACGGTGGAACATGAGCTGAATTGCTTAGACAGTGAGGTATCCAAGCAACACTCTGGAAATGAGTTCTAGAGTGATGCAGGGATGTTGTCAGACGTTCGGAGTGTACAGTAATTGGTAGACTCGAGGAACATGTCTCATTGGTGAAGATCAATCTATGATTCGAAGGAGGATATCTACAACGATGAAAAAGCAGAGCGGCGGGAAAAGCAGGGGACGTGATTACAAGCACCAGCACAAGTCAGGATGATCATGCGACGGGCTGCTCGATTCTGTCGGGGACTTGAGGCTTGACATCGGTGACGGCGCGTAGCAGGTTCTCGACGACGGTGCTGCCCTCCTTGTCTCCAATGCTCTTGATCTCCTTCAACTTCTCATCTGTGTCTTTGGAAGCATCCTTCTCGGCCTGCTCGTTACCGCTGGTGTGCTAGAAGTGATGTGTTAGAATGCGCCGGTCGTCGGGAGACATGTGCAGGACGCACCTGTGTTGAGAACTGCTTGAACTCTTCCTCCTTCTTGTTGCGGTATTCGTCGATTTCCTTTTGAGCTTCTGAGCGAGCGTCCTTTACGCGCTTGGTGCGGTCTGGTGTGAAGGGTGGTCAGATGGAGCGTGGTGGATTATGGGATGCGGGTGAAATTACACTCTCTAGCTACGAGTTTGTTAGCATGTGCTTCAGATCGCAAGTCTTGTATCACTGCGTACCTTGTTGGACAATCTTCTGGGCTTCGCGCTCAGCCTATGGTAGCAGGTAAGTTGAAGTCTCGATGGGGGTGCTATCGGTCTAGCCTACGTCGAGCAGCGTTTGGATTCCAGCAGAGTTTTGAGCAGACTGAGAGTGGCGAATTAGTACACAAGCTCAGCAGAAAGAGCAGCATCGCAGCAGGGCAACATACCATGGTGAATGGTACAAGATGAGTGACGACGGCTCCGGGAGTGGTCGTTGGTCGGCTGGTGGATGTTGTCCAAGCGAGTGGTCCAAGCGTATGCGGCCGACTGTTCGGTGTTCGCGCCTGCCCGCAGGATCGCCTTCAATTATTGTAAACCACTCCCAAATCACATCATGTCGACCAAAGCAAAGTTGACTCTGGCCGCCACCTCCCTTGGTGCCCTTGGTATCATCATATTTGTCCACCATGGCCAAAAAGTCGAGAAAGCTGTACGTCCAACAAGACTTCTGCTCCTTTTGAATAGCCGTTCTCTAACTCTCGAATAGGCAATGCATGCAGGCGTCATTCGTGACATGGAGCAACAACGAATAAAGAAAGAACGCCAATTGGACTTTGACCTGCAAGCTCAACTGGAAAAGGAATATCGCAAGATTCAAACTGTATCCGACGGCCGCGATCCGAAATAATCTCGTCATCTCGCCATCAATCTACCATCTCTACTCCAAACATCCACACTCAAACAACGTTCGCATACGGACCCGTCGAGAATCGCTCTGCACTTCCGTTTGCCGACAAGAGGCGACGCTACTACGGCCACAACGCGCTGCTACGCTGCTACCCTAATAAGGGCCAGAGATGCACAACCAGCAAGCTAGATTGAAAGAAATCTGGGAAACAGGATGGGACAAGTGGGACTATATACCATGCGGCTAGTCTCTCTGGGCGCGTCCCATGCTGTCGAGCTGCACAGCCTGGCTGTGGGACACTCAGATGCATGCCATCTAGCATATGGTGATACGAACAAGACATGGCTAGCAGTTGCCCACGCGCTCAACAGCAAGTGTAGCGTGGCTCTTGTAGCTTGAAAAAGTGAATAGGGAAGGACTACAGTAGAAAGAAGCTGTTCTTGGTCATCATCTCATTTCGCCTGCGCAAGTGCGCTTACTCTTTGTCAACGGCAAACTTCTTGAGGTCGTCTAGCGATACCTTGTCGAGGGCCTTTTCGTTGGTAGCGTTCAAAAAGATCCTGGCATGGCCGCGATTAGTATTCATGCAATCTTGGTCCAGCCTGTTTTTGACATACTTGGGAACAATCTTATCACCTTCCTTGCCTCTGGCGTCGAAAGCTTCCTTCCAACGTGATACACAAAGACACCACTTGCAGCCTCCCTTGAGTCCGATTTGGCGCAAGTCGTTTCCGCGCTCTGCTGAGAACTTGAGGAATTCGTCAGAGACCTCTGCAGCGATGGCGTGGTTGCCAGCATCTGACGCAGGAACCTCGCAGTATCCATTCCTGAGATAGCCAGTCATAGGACTGGTAGAGTGGATAGCCAATGGCTTGGAGAGAACTGCATCTTGTAAGTGCTTGTCGAGCAGGCCTTCTGGAGATGCATTCTACATGCCGTTCAATGATCGCGACATTTCTTTGAAATGGAACTGATTGTGAGTTGAGCCGATCACGATACTGAACAGAGTTGCAAGGCACAGGAGACAGTGAAGCAGCGTGAGATGCATGTAAATAGTTATGTTGCCTTCGAAGCTTCAAGTCACTTTGATGGTCAAGAAATCATGCGCTCATCGTTCGCGAATGCCAAGACTGTCAAGCGGAGTCATGTAATTCGACCCAACATGAGGCTCTGACCGTGCTCTGTCTCCAGATGCACAAACTGGGGGGAACTCCACTCTTGTCCTGGACCTCTGGTGTGAGAAAAAGCTATCTTGCCGAGTTCCAGGGACGCTCAAGCTGAACTGTAAGTGAATTGGAGCTCGGAGTTTCGAAGGTCTATGTCCGAGCTATCTGGCAGACGAGGACGGCAATGATGAATTCGAGTGCCGTTTGAGCCGGTTCGTTAATTATGACAGCCAAACTTCCTTGACGATTACTTCGACATGCTTTTTTGACTATTTTCTTTCTATCAGTACTACCCAAGGACTGAGGCATCATGTCGCGCTCACTTTCGCCGTCGTCAACAGACGATTCGCCAAAGGAAAACTCCAATGACGACATACCCTCACAATCACGACATCCACCAGACGAGGAGGCCGCTGAAATAGCAAAAGAAAAAGACCAAGGAGATTCGTTTCTTGTGGGCTGGGACCCAGGCGAGGAAGCTAATCCTATGAACTGGTCGACAACGCAAAAGTCCTTCATCACTTTTATCCTCGGAATGCTTGCACTAGCCGCCAGTCTAGGATCTTCCATTATCTCTCCCGCCCAAAGAGACATTGCCGAGTACACTGGCATCTCTTCCGAGGTAGCGGTGCTTTGTATTAGTCTGTACATTCTAGGCTTCTCGATTGGCCCTCTGGTCTGGGCACCAACATCTGAAGTCTGGGGACGCAAGGTTAGTATGCTGCCGGCAATGTTCTGCCTTGGACTCTTCAGTATAGGCACAGCCATTGGCAAGAATGCTCAGACGATATTGATCTGCCGCTTCTTCTCGGGGATTTTTGGATCGGCACCTGTCGCAAATGTGTCGGCGGCGCTTGGTGATCTATACCTACCTAAGAAAAGAGGTGTGGCAATGTGCTTTTACGCGATTGCTGTCGTCGGTGGTCCAACCATAGGGCCCGTCATTGGCAGCTCGCTTACTGCCAACGTTGGTTTTAGGTGGCCTTCGTATATTCTCGCAATTTGGGTATTTGCAATCTTCGGGCTTGCTCTGTTCTTTCTGCCGGAAACCTATGCGCCTGTACTTTTGAAGAAGAAGGCAGAGCGGCTACGAAAGAATACTGGCGACTCACGTTGGCACCATCCACACGAAGATGTCAAACTGGATTTCAAGTCGATCGTCACGAAGCACCTTGCAAGACCCATCATCATGCTTACCACGGAGCCTATGGTCACTTGCATCGCTTTCTATGCCTCGTTCGTTTACGGGTTGCTATACATGACTCTCGAAGTGTTTCCCATCGTGTTCGAGCAGAACAGGGGCTGGCCGCTTATTTCAAGCACTTTACCCTTCTTATCACTGTTTGTAGGTGTCTTGTTCGCTGTTCTGATCAACTTGGCCAATCAACCACGATACGCTCGTGCTGTTGACGCCAATAATGGAAGACCTGTAAGTTGACTGCTGCTCGTCCTCGCCATTCGTTACCTGTTGCTACTGAAACGCACCACTTCATCCTGGTTGAATGCAGAGAAGAATCTTGCAGCTAGACTGCTCACTCCGGATCTACTCTACTGATCGCACTTGCAAGGAATTTGCTAACCACATCCCTGTATTAGTGTCCAGAGGAACGCTTACTTCCAATGTTTGTTGGGGGTTGCCTCTTCACGATCGGTCTGTTCTGGTTCGGATGGACCGCTGATCCATCCATACCGTGGCCGTCTTGCGTCGTTGCAGCCGCGTTCATTGGAGCGGGCTTCAACATCATCTTCCAGCAATGCATCAACTTTCTCGTTGATACCTACTCACTCTATGCAGCATCGGCGGTCTCTGCCAACACATTCTTACGCAGCTTAATCGCAGCCGGCCTGCCCCTCGCCGCGAGGCCAATGTTCAACCACCTTGGGGTCGGACCTGCTATGAGTATCCTTGGCGGAATAGCTGCACTGGCATTGCCCGTGCCATTGATCTTCATGAGATATGGATTTAAGCTTCGAAAAATGTCAAAATTCGCTCCAGTACACGAAGACTGAGCTATTGGTGCACAAGCGAGAAATTCACACTCGACTAGGCCTAAGGGCCCGGGAGAAGGTCGAGTAGACGTTGCAATTTCGGCAGAACGTAAAGTAGCAACAAGCGTTCCCAGCCACTTCGGATCTTCGCACTTATACGAACCTCGCCAGAGCGTTTCCCCCTCCTTAGATCAATGCACCCCGTATTAGATTGTGCTATCCAACCTCTTACGCCACACAAAACCGCCAGGATATCGCATGCAAGGTTTCCTTTGAGACCAGCTCAGGAGCGTCGTCACAGGAGCACCGCCGTAAAGGCCTGGCGCAGATTTCTGCATGAAACCTCCTTCTCTCGTCCCTATACTGGTTATTCTCACCCAAGAAAGGATCGATCTCGCATGGACCTTTGTCCACCTCGAGTGCGGTTGAGGACCTCAGGCCATCTTGTCGTCTGAGTTCGGTGTCTCCCTGGATCTACTATGGTCATGATGCGCCTGACGTCAGACATAGGCAGAACTTAAGTGATACCCTTCCTGCGATGGGTAGGCGATAGCTATCACGTGCCGAGTTCTTCTCTGGCGATTCTTTTTATGAGCCATCAAAGAGTAGATATTGGCGTGGACCTGATTATGCTTCAGGACATAATGATTGCGCCAACTAGATAGGCCAACCAGAGTTACATAGACTAAAGATTACAAGTAACACACAATAACAAATCACGTTCACGTTCCTGATCCTGGTTCATGCGGTGTTGGAAGTCTTGTACGCTTGTCCGACCTTCCTAAGATGGCTCGAGATTCCGGGTTTAGATCTTGATGCGGATGCTATTTTATGGAAGCCCGGATGCACGGTGACGTGCACGGGCGCAGGCATAAATATGCTTATCGCTGTAGAAGACGCGACCAGACAAGGTGACGCGTAAACTTGAGTAGCTCGCCAGGTTCCTTCACAACCTGTGCTAATATGGTGACTTTGTAGAGTTTATCGCTTAGTGACTGGCCACACGGTCATGTCTCCCAGGTTCTACGCAGACCAAGATGGCTTCGCCAGCGAGCACTCCCAGGTTGAACATGAAACACACACTCAATACATGACCGCCGCCATTGTAGCACTCTCCTGGCTTGGACTTGCTGCAAACCTGTCAGATCAACCGACAAGATGGAACAACACCCTTTGGGTGAGGAAACAACGTATTCTCCAGCCTCGAATCACAATTGACCGGCGCTAGGTGCTGGTCGCATGCCATAGTTTGACCTTGAACTTGGATCGAGACCCTCTACTGGTGTACAAAGCAGGACTCAGAAGTGCGCTATTGGCGAGCTTGCCTCTGGTTCAACTGCTACGTATCAATATACAAGCCCAGATATACTTCAACCGATCGACGTCAATGCTAATAGCCTTCGCTTTGGTAATCATATCGCTCTCGATTCGCCGTAAGCCAAGGTTGTTCACAGAGAATGGCATCGCGGTGGACGCTGAGAATAGCTCTTCCATCCTCTCGCGTTGCTCCATGCATTGGTCTCGAGATGCCATTCGTAATCCTGGTGCCTTGCCCGCTCTCGATCGAGATACAAGGTCCAAGAGTCAGCCCCCTATAGACGAAAACGTCCGATCATTGTTTGCTCAAATTTTGACCCAACGTGTTCGAGTGTTCGCCAAACAGTGGATCTTGACCGTTCTGCGGACGCTCCTCACATTCGGTTCCCCATACTGTGTTCTGCGACTGGTTGCTCGTCTCGAAAGTGGGGATACAGAGGACGCTTGGATATGGTTATTTTCCATGGCACTCGTTTCGACCTGCGAGACCGTCATTCACTATCATCAAAACTGGATGCAATGGTCGGAGCTTGGTATTCCCATCCGAGCACAACTAATTATGGCTATCTATCGGAAAGTGCTGAGAGGTAGCACTGGAGAGCATCAATCTGGCAAGGATCAGTCACCATCAGCTAATACCCTCTTGAACTCTGACACGGCTATCGTCAGTAAGTTTTCCTCAATTCACTACATACTTCCTCTATCGGGAGCCCAATTCATCATGGCACTCGTTTTCTTAAGAAGACTACTAGGCTGGCGAGCTCTGCTGATCACGCTCCTCTTCACCGTAATGACTATGCCCATGAACAACTTCATTGTCAAGAAGAGAAGAGCTACGCGAAAAGAACTAAGAAGGTCGCGAGACCAGAAAGACAGGGTTGTTGGAGAGATGATTAAAGCACTACATTACATCAAATTACAAGCCTCCGAGGATTTGTGGAAAGAGCGCATCAAGAAATACAGGGACGACGAACTGCGGGCTAAGGAGAGAGATTACTCCGCTCAGACCGCCGGCTTCATGTGGAAGATCGCATCACCTCTCCTGGTTTCAGGTGTCTCGATCTTCACAAATGCCTACTTTGAGGGGCAAACAACTGCTTCAGTTGTGTTCACGATACTCGAACTTCTACCCCAACTTCAAGGATCTCTAGGATTGGCGCCGCTAGTGATCCAGGACTTTTTGAGTGCAAGATCAGCCTCGCGGCGTATAGAGTCCTTCTTGAGAACTTCGGACCAAGAACAATATCGCCAACGAAGTCACTCCGGCGCTATTAACTTCAAGGATGCTTCCGTGAAGTGGCCCTTTAGCCGCAAGAAGTCTACATACCCAGCGCAAGATGACTATTCCGACTTTGAACTCCGAGATGTGAACGTCAGGTTTCCTGTTGGAGAGTTGAGCATCATCCACGGCGACACTGGGTGTGGGAAGAGCTTGCTGCTTGCTGCGATACTTGGAGAGGCTGAGCTGCTGGACGGCGTCATCGAAGCACCATGCGCGACTCATGACCAACCCGTCGCCTTCGTCACGCAGACCCCCTGGCTTCAAAGTACCACTATCAAGAACAACATAGTATTTGGAGAGCGTCTGGATATGTCACGATACAATAGCGTATTGGAAGCATGCGCTTTGATACCGGATCTCAAAGCACTCTCGAGAGGCGATGAAACCTTGATTGGTCCACAAGGTATCAAAGTAAGTGGAGGACAACGTGCGAGGATATCCCTCGCAAGAGCACTGTATTCCAAAGCGAGCACCATCCTGCTGGACGACATACTTTCGGCACTGGATACTCATGTGTCTGTACATGTTCTTGGGGCCTTGAACGGCCCTTTGGGAGCAGGGCGAACACGGATTTTGGCGACACATCAACTCGCGCTCTGTATGCCAAAGGCGAGTTATGCAGTCTGTATCGCGGACGGAACAGCGCAAGCCAAAGTGCTGGATACGTTTGGTAGTGGGCAAGACATTGTCGCAGAGCTCGGTAATGGTGGGTGGGAGCTGGCAGTAACATACGATGCTGACAGCCCCGAGCTACCTATTGAGGGCGATCTGCATAAGCACCAGCCGACACCAGATAAAGTGCCGACCACCGCAGATGCCACTAGAGCGACTTCCTGGACATACATCGAAGCACTGGGCGGTCAGAAATTCGTATTGATTTACTTCTTCGCCCTCGTGTTGCGACAAGTACTAATCACGCTTCCAATATGGACGCTGAAAAACATCAAAGCGCAAGGCCATCCCTCGAAGATAGCCCTCAACGACGTCTCATACCACACTATTCTGTACGCAATTGGCACTGCTTTTGCCGTGCTCTCAGAGCTGGTATTCAATGCGCATGAAGCTACCGGAACGCTAAGGGCGTCGGATACTCTCTTCAAGATGATGCTTGACACTGTCCTTCGCATGCCTCTTGCCTGGCTTGACAGTGTGTCTACGGGCGATTTAATACAAAGATTCTCTACGGACTCTCAAGCGATAGACGACACGTTGATGGCAGTAGTATCTGGGGTTTCGCAATGTCTCATTGAGATAGCGACTATCGTGATAGTTGGGTACGCACGAGATCATTTGTTGTAACGAATGCATGCTGATTTTATCAAGTCTCAATACATCCGCATATACCGGCTTGATGGTGGTTGGCGGATTATACGCCAGCTTCACGGTTGGTAATCTCTACAACAAGGCTCGCAAAATCATTCAGCGCGCCGATCGCAGACCTACGAGTCAGATGCTCGACCTTGTCACTACCACTACGATTGGATACTCGACGATCAGAGCCTTCGGTGCCCAAGGAATGTTGACAGAACAGATGCATAGTCACGTCGACGACTATTCGAGAGCAAGACGTCACTTCTGGATGGCCAATCGCTGGCTAGGTCTGCAGATGTCTCTGATCGGTATCGTATTCAGCTTCATGACTGGCATCGTGCTTTTGCGTTCTGGATCGGCCGTCATTGACCCTCCCTTGTTCGGATTCGCGCTCACCTTTTCCATGCGATTTTCAGGCGTCGTGTTCAAAGCGGTAAATGGTCTTGGAGCATTCGAGAAATCTGCAATCTCTGCAAGCGCAATTGCGGCATTCCAACATCTGGAGACTGAGGACCAAGACGGCTTGGAGACTCCTAGTGACTGGCCGCGGACTGGGAGTATTGAGGTGCGAGGTCTCAAGGTTAGGTACTCGGCTGCTCTACCTCGAGTGCTCAATGACATCAGCTTCAGTGTCGCTCCAGGTCAGCGTATAGGGATCGTTGGTCGCACGGGAGCAGGGAAATCAACATTATCATTGGCCATGCTACGCATGATGGAAGCGGAAGAGGGTACCATATCCATTGACGGTATTGATGTCTCTACTATTAGGCTGGCAGATTTACGTCGCAGAATAGGTTATGTTCCACAGAGCCCGCTTTTGTTCTCAGGTACGGTCCGCACGAATTTGGACCCGTCTGGTGTGTATTCCGATACAAAGTTGGAAGAAGCTCTCCAAAGAGTTATGCTGTTCTCCAGTTCAGGAGAGGGTCAATCGGGTGGCTCTCGCCTGCTAACACTGGATACCCCTGTCACGGCTGGTGGAGAGAATATCTCACACGGGCAACGACAACTCCTCTGCGTTGCGCGGATCTTCTTGCAAAACCACAAGCTCATCATCCTTGACGAAGCTACGTCAGCAGTAGATGACACAACGGACGAAGCAGTTCAGACTATTATCCGCAATGACTTGGAGCAGACTCTGATAGTGGTAGCACATCGTCTGAAAACTGTTGCGACGTTCGACAAGATTATTGTAATCGACGAGGGGAGAATTGTTGAACAGGGTTCGCCGAAAGAGCTCTTAGAACTCGAAGGCGCATTCTGTAACCTGGTCACCAGCAGTCGGGACAGCGGCAGTCTCATTGCGACGATAGCCAATAAGTCCACCATTGAGAATTGATACAGCTATGGGTTGCCCAACCAAATCACCCGATTTACGACCATCTCTTTCGCATAACAGTAAGATCTGCCACGATGAAGCTATATTACGGTCTTCGGTTTTCCTTTCAGCTACAGAATTCTTGATGGTGGCCTATTACTCAGGAGGCCCGTTTTCAAACACCACCTCTTTGCAGCATCGTCGATCGTACAATGAATTGCCAAAGTCGGATATTCAGTGAGATCCTTTGTCGCTGACGCCCTAAGAATGGTCGTGTGCCGGATCCGGCGTTTGCATGGTCCTGACATGAAGAGACAATGACTTGAGACATATGTTGTCGTGCATGCACAAATAGCCAATCTTTTCTCCTGCGCTTCATCCATCTGCAAAACTCATTACCCTTATCGTCTCCTTAAAACACTCTACTTTACACTAGTCGCTTACCAACGATGCCTCCCAAGAAGGCTGGCAAGAAAGGCAAGAAGGCCAATAGTGCCAACGACAAAAAATCACCACCCAAAGGTGTAGCAAGACCTGCAGCAAAGACTGCGAAAGATGACAAAAGAAAACGCGACGATGACAATGACGAAGAAGCCGACTCTGGAAGAAGGACCAAAAAGTCTGATACCAGAGTACGAGACTTCTCACCAGAGGCAGCCAAGATCAATCGAGTAAAGGAGTACTTGAGTGCCAGGATTAAGGATCTTGGATTCAAGGTAGAGCCTGTCGAAGGTCACGAACCCGACGATGAGGACGAAGAGGAACCCGAGGACGACTGGAACTCCATTGGTCGCCTACGTAAACGCTGTGACGACCGCCTTGACGATATTGAGGAAGCTATCCGCGCAGTCGGTCGCGAACTGTATGATGGGCTCGATCTCCCGGAACGTCAGAGCGATGAAACTCGACATGATAAGAGACAGAAACAATTTGACCAAGATGCGTTGGACAAGGAGATCGAGCCTCTTGTAGATAAAAGGCGTCTAGCGCCCAGCAAGAACTTTCCTGACGGCCGAAGATACAAGACAGCAAAACAGCTGGGAGATATGGCAAAGCACTTGTCAGAACTGCTTGCGACTGAATTGCTTCGTCGCCGTGTCCAGCATCCAAATGACGTGAGTCGCTTCGCGCATCCAAGCAAACGTATCAGAAAGCAAGGGCAAGAAACAGAAGCTACAGGAGAGGACCCACAGGAAACTAGACCGCTCGAGCAACAATGGGACAAGCACGGTCTTACGCTCCGGGAACTACTCGATTTATACAATCAGCAGGGCCATGTAGGCCAGGCTATTGCTCGGGACGACCTCCTGAAGAGATGCAAGCAGTATGGCCTTAGTACTGTCGGAGACCTCTGGGATCTAGAAAGGGGAATACTCCTTTACGAGCTTGCAAACAAACAACGCATGTATGGACTATCTCGGGATGCGATCAATGCTGTAATCACTGCTATAGGCGATCTTAGAGCCCCAACAAGCTCCGACGCAGCTGGTGGTGCTGCTGGTGATGGTGATGATGATAGTGACGATACTGGCGGTTCGTTCGGCGACCTGGAGAAGAGTAAGGGAGCACTTGGCAAGGGATCCCCGTGCAAGGGGAGTCCGGGCAAGAAAGCTCCGGGTAAGGGGGCTCCGGGCAAGCGCAGTCCGGATAAGGGGGCTCAGGCTAAAGGGGCTCAGGCGAAGGGGGCTCAGGCAAAGGGGGCTCAGGCAAAGGGGGCTCGAGGGTACAACACCAAAGGCAAGCCAAACACAAGATCGAACAAAGCGATTGACCTTGTCGCCGAAGATACGGTGCTCATAGAACGGCCTCAACTGACAGTCACCGACGGTGGTCAGAGTCAAATCTTCACGCAAGCCAATGTCAGAGGCACAGGGAATCGTTGCATGTGGCATGCAGTTCAATTGGCCTGGCTAGGATCGCAGACCGGGGTGGGTAATCGTCAAACCAACGCAATCAGATATCCCGTGAACATGCGGGTACGCCAGCTCTGGGCTGCCGTCATGGGCTCAGACGATAATCCTGCTCGTCGAGCAAGACGTGATCTTTACCAAAACATCCAGGCAAACAGTTTGCTCAGCCAAGATGGCTCCTTACAGAAGCGTATCAATAATATGGCGATGGGTATGTATGCAAGGTACTATCTTTGTACGCGCGCGCTAATGTGATTCCTAGGCGATCTTGATATGCTACAGGTAGTTGCCGATGCACTCGACGTAGAAATCTTTACATATACCCCTGCTCACCTGGACGATGGTTCTGTCGCGTGGCATAGGTACGTGAGGGGCCAACAGCAGACCGACCCAGCACGTCAGATCCATATTGCCAATTACCTTAGTGCGGTTCATTGGACAGCTCTTACACCAGTGGGCACTACCAGCAATATTACCTTGCCTGCACTCCCGCAAGGAAATAGGGAGCCGATACCAGGGGTCGGTCCTCCCAACCCGATTCCACGTCTTCGACCTGGGCACGCAGATAACACAGATCTGAGGCCGCAAGATCAGCGTGATGATCCGGAGGATGGACATGTTGCCAGATTAAGCAAAGACGAGGACAAGGAAGATGACAGGATGGAAGAAGATGAACAAGTGGAGGACGATGATGGCGATGGTGGTAATGATAATGATGGTAGAGACGACGGTCCACCCGATAACCAAGACGACCAAGGCAATGGCGGAGCAGATACCAGCGCAGCTCCCGCCGCCGCCAGAAGACAGTCATCTTCGAGAGCACGCTCGACCCGCTCGGCTTCCAATGCCCCAGCAAGGCCACAGCGGACGCGTGAGAATGGCGCATCTCGCAGTCCATTTCAGAAGCTTGCAAGACGACGTGCACGTACGAAATCGAAGACCAGATCGCGAGGCTCGTCTCATCCAGCCGGTGTACGAAAGACCAAGAAGAAGGTCAAGGCGCTCCGAAAGATTTTCCCGAATTTCGACACTGCGATGTCCAGCCCACAAGTCACTGCCGGCGCTATACGCTCTCCTTTCCGTCGCTCGACTTTCGCTAGTCTTTAGATGCCTCTGTGAGCCGGGTATTCCAATCGCTTCGTAAAGTGCAGGGTTGGCCATACATCAGAACACATCCTTTTAGCAGACTTTATTCGAGCTCCCAAGCCCATCGTTCATGTCTAGAGCTGTATTTGTGTAGACACTGGTGCGTAGACAGACCAGAGAAAGTGAACTCTGACGATTGTTTTCTGTGTTCATGTTCTGTACAAACAATGTCAAGATCGCTTCCCGCATGTCAAACAGAGACAGAGGTGAGCCTTGACTTGATTGGTCTACCAAGACACATGATACAAAGAGATGTACTTCTCATCTCCCTGGCGATCGTATGCACAACTCAACTACCCTGCATAGTCTATTTTTGCTGGGATTGCACAGAGAAATCAGGACGATGCAAAGCCGCAGAGCATTGTTGGTTTGAATTCCTTCGCCACACTCGCTCGAGCATTGTTCAGGTCTGTGAGAGTCATTGGTCTGGGCATCAGACGCTCAAGGGTCACACAACAAGACGCTATTAGTTACACGTTCAAACGGCGAGTGCCTTCCCCGGAACACATTGCTTGTACTGTTTATAACGTATGCTGAGCACAGCACCGTTGCGTAAGACGGCAGAAGTATCCACCACCGATCGTCATACGAAAGGGGGAAGTCCATAGAGATGATGCAGAAGCGGATGGCTGCGCATACGCGTCCACCGCCGAACAAACAACCAAAAAGTAGAAAAAGAAACAGCCAGGTGCCGCCTTCGGAGCATAGTGGATTCGCGATCGAATTGACGGATCGTAGTTGCCATGAACGCGGGAGCACAAAGCGTAGACGAATCCTTAAAGGCAGAGCTTATGCGTCGCCCACGGTTGCGGCGCAAAGGACAAAACGGACGGACGCAGCAGACCTGCATTGAGCCAGTGGCTTTGAGCCAGACTTGGACTTCGACACCCTTTGTTTTGAGATGACGACAGTGTTGCTTTCTGCACGAAGCGACATGCCTTGTTATTCTGTAGCCCACGAGGGAAATCGAAGGTCGATTTCACGATAGGCGTTGCAGTAATTGTAATACCATTCGACAAGCTTCTCGTGGCACAGCACATGATGGTCTATCAGGTGGCCAGAAAGTCGACTTGATCATCATTGCGGGTCTGCCCCGTGATGACCGTGCTTCTCGAACTTGCCTGTTCCTGGCGCGCTAGAGAAGAAACAAGCCTTTTGTCCCCCTGGACTGATCAACAACCGTCTCTGACAAAGTCAAAGGGGATGTCGCAAGCAAGGAGAGTGTGGCTCCTGTGTCGCAGCATCTCAATTTTATGATGCTGACATGCGCCCTGCCACATGCACGGGTAGATGCAGCGAAGACGGTGATGCTTCTGGCGCCAATCGCCTCGGCAGACGCTGCAACGCTCCTGCTACAAGAGAAACGACCGACTAAGAAGTACCCCTGTGTCTGTCTTCACCTTGGCCGAAGCCTTTTAACGTGTCTTTGCTCCTTTTGAGACTGCTTTTTCTGTCTTCCAATTCAATCAACTCTTCTACATCTCTCGCTGATCAGGTATTCGCCGAGCTCTTGTATTGCTGTGCAATTAAAGCTTCTCTACCCACATTCCTCTACTGGATAATCACCTTCATCTCTCTGAGCATTCCGCTTTCAGATAACATTCCAATCGGCTTCCATCAGCAACAACCGAACCCAGCGACACCAATCAAACAGACTTACATAAAGGTATCTGGCGTATACCTTCAACGTCTTTGGTCGTTGGCGGCGAACATAATCTGGTATCGGAACATTATCGCGATATTACCTAAACCACTATGTTGTTCAAACATGCAGTTGCCGCATTGAGTGCGGCAGCGACAGCACTCGCTGCACCTCAGTAAGGATCCCTTCAGATGGTGATTCAAGGGATACAACTGACCATCTTGTCACAGTATGAAGCGTGCCAATGGCTTCAACTGGGGAAACGAGGTCATGCGTGGAGTCAATCTCGGTGGATGGCTGGTCCTCGAACCGTAAGTCTGGCCTTGTCTATCTCACAATTGCACCATCTGACATGCGTAGGTGGATTACTCCCTCCATCTTCCAAGCCCATCCTGTGTCACAGGGCATCATCGACGAGTACACTCTTGGTGAGAAACTTGGTCAAGATGCTGCATACAACGTCTTGAAGCCTCATTGGGACTCCTGGGTACAGCTTGCGGACTTTGAGAAGATCGCAAAGTCTGGTTTCAACGTCGTCCGTGTTCCGATAGGCTATTGGGCATACGACAACGCCAATAGCCCATACGTCTCGGGAGCAGCCCCATACATGGATCAAGCCATTGAATGGGCGAGGCAGACTGGACTCAAAATAATTGTGGATCTCCACGGAGCGCCCGGTTCTCAAAATGGCTTTGACAACTCTGGCCAAAAGACAAACAACATTGATTTCCAGCAAGGAGACAATGTGCAGCGCACTTTGGCTGTCTTGCAGACCATCCAAAACAAATATGCTGACTCTTCCTACGACGATGTTGTCGCTGGCATTGAGCTTCTGAACGAGCCGCTATCCACAGTGATGAACCTGGACGACCTCAAACAGTTCGAGCGTAATGGTTTTGGTCAACAGCGCACCGTCTCGAAGTCTCGCGTCGTCATCATCCAGGATGGCTTCCAGCCTCCCAACACCTACAATGGCTGGTTGACCCCGTCCGATAACAACGCTCAGAATGTCGCCCTCGACCACCACGAGTACCAATGCTTCACCAACGAGCTAGTCGCCATGCAACCTTGGGAGCACCGCCAGCATGTCTGTAACAACGCCAAGCAATACTCAGGTGCAGACAAGTGGACCTTTGTAGGCGAGTGGTCGGCCGCGATGACCGACTGTGCCGCTGCATTAAATGGGTATGGTGTTGGTGCCCGCTACGACGGTACGTATCCAGGCAGTAGCTACGTCGGATCATGTGGCAGCATCAACTACATCGACCAATGGTCCCAGACTTTGAAGGACGACACTCGAGGTTATATCGAGGCTCAGATGGAGGCTTTCGAAAGGAACACCATTGGTTGGGTCTTTTGGAACTTCAAGACCGAGGCGTCACCAGAATGGGATGCATTCCGTCTGATTGATGCTGGCGTCTTCCCTCAACCTTTGACCAACAGAAAGTTCAGCCAAATCTGTTCTTCGTGAATCGATTGTGTTGTTCAGAAACACTGGATTTGTGGATGAATGCCCGAGAGCTGACGCATACTTTTCCACAACATGTGCATAGGACTGCAGGAGCGTTGCGACTTTTGCGCCGGGCTGGCGATTTCGTATTCTCGTTTCTCCTCCTCTTCTTTTTCCTACTTGCTCTTCTAGCCATGTTTCCATACTCTTGTTGTGGTCTATGCGGCCCATACGATATCTTTGCTGGTAGAAATAATTGTATTGCATAACCTTTGATCATACGTCGTGTTCAGAGGTGACAGTCGAGGTTGTGTACCGTTAGCGAGTGAACCGTTTTGAAGCCGTCCATTTTTGTGTGTGTGGCATACATCGACACCTGCGCCTGTTTGTGTGAGCGCTTTGCTGTTCAGCGCCTTTTGACCTTCACATCCTAAAAATGTGTCGTTATGCCGAGGAGCCTTTGTGCCGAGAAGGAGGTCTTGACTTGAAGTCGTTCATGCCATGATGTCCTTCTGACATGATGATAAGACCAAGTCGTGCCCAGATATCTTGCTCACCACTGAAAAGCACCCGGCACTTTACAGTTCTCTAACGCTTTGCCTTCGTCTTCCTCTTCCTCATCGTCAACCAAACTCCTCAACACAGCACACTCCTTCCAGACCTTCAACTCTTGAGCATATAAATCCATGACACAAGGATCACAACTACTACCACAACAATCTCCCGCTGGTGGTTTAATTGGTCTTGTGGGGGAAGAAGCAGCAGTCAAAAGGGCGGTCTCTCGTATAGGAGCTGGTCGTGCTTTTAGTAGTTTGGTGAGGGTTGGAGAGTGGGATTTTAGTGTTGAGGTCGATGGTTGTGGTTGCGGGGGTGGGTGTGGTATTGGCATGTTGCAACCTGTAATTGTTTACCGAAAGAAGGGCTAGGGATGACAAGGACGTGGTGTGTTCAGAGAAGAGGATGAGAGTGGGCGAGCATTGGATTGGTTAGGCAAGAAAAAGAGAGAGGAGTTACTGATATTGTTTCTTCGCGGATGGTCGCTCGGTATTTGACTTCGGGTGTTGTCGGAGCACAGATGCTTCGAGGATGACCCTGATCACTATTCTACCGGCGCCCATCTGGTAGGTAGCGGTATTGATTGACTCTACAATGGTATCATAGTTGCTCAGTCATCCGAGAGGTACGCCGTGTATATCATGAAAGTATCCAAGGAAGGTGCTTGTTATGCACGACCTTTGGCGATTATCGAATGGCTTCGTGTCGCAAACGAGTTCAGTCGACCACAACATCCACCACAGCACATAGGAACAGCTTCCACTTCAGTCTCGATGGCTATGAATTTGACACACGACCGCATGATGCATGCGTCAACAATTCACACATAAAATAAACATTAGGACTTGTCACGAGAACGTCGGTTTCCAACAGGCACCCCCAAGTGATCTCATCCTTCTCAATTACAGAATCGTATAGTACTTAAAAGTGCCTTGGTTTAGTAAAGTTACATAAAGTGGGTAGTCTGGATTGATCTCTATAGAAGACAAACCAAGTGTAAAGCTGCAGAAAGAAGAACCCAACTTCATCCGTGAACCCCCCATCCAGGAAAGAAGTGAAAACTCCGTTATATGCTTCGAGTTCTTTTTTCGGCCTCATCTGTGTCTTTCCTCGTAGCGTGATGCTTTTGTGCTCATCCTTGATCGGCCGGAGAAAGCTGTTAACGGCGCTTGTGTCGGGCGTAATGTTTTCTGATTTCGTGATTTGATCAAACATCTTCAATGCCCTCATCTGATGCTGACACCGCTGCGCTTGGTGTACATGCGCGTAGCCACGTTCATGGCTGCAAGTTCTTGGAACATGAGCTTGGCGGCGTAGGGGATGATGATTTGTGCGATCTCGGTCTTGTTCTTGCAAGGTCTGCACTCGAACTGGTTCTTCTTGAGGGAACTGGGAATATGTTAGCAAGTTCCTGTAGGCTAGGAAGAAAGAGACTTACGCAATAGGAGTCATAAGACCACAGATCTCGCAAACGTGGACGCGGAAAGCATCCGAAACATCGAGCAGTCTTTCTTTCAGGAAAGCCGAAGCACCGTGAGCGATCATACAATCACGTTCCATCTCTCCGAAACGCAGACCACCATCACGTGCTCTACCTTCCACAGGTTGACGAGTCAGGATTTGGGTAGGACCACGAGCACGAGCGTGAATCTTGTCATCGACCATATGACGGAGACGCTGGTAATAGGTAGGTCCCAAGAATACCTGGGCAGGCATCTTTCTACCAGTGTGGCCGTTGTACATGATTTCGAAACCACGCTGTTGGAAACCGTGCTGACGAAGCAGGTCGGAAATCTGAGTGACAGTAACGTCGGTGAAGGGAGTGGCATCACCTTCCTGACCACGAAGCGAACCAACCTTGGACAGCAAACATTCGATCAAATGAGCAATGGTCATACGAGAGGGAATGGCGTGAGGGTTGATGATGATATCAGGAACAAGTCCATCGGCAGTGAAAGGCATGTCTTCTTGACGGTAGGTAATACCGATGGTACCTTTTTGACCGTGACGAGAAGCAAACTTGTCACCGATCTGGGGAATCTTCGTTGTTCGCGTACGAACCTTGACGAATTTGAGACCCTCGACGTTGGTTGTGAGAAGTACCTGATCGATGAGACCGCTCTCTGTGGAACGCAAAGGAGTTGAAACGTCACGCTTGATGTGGAACTTCGTACGCTGACCAAGCTCTTCGGCATCGGGTGCCATAGGTGCAGTCTTGCCGATGATGATATCCTCACCAGAAACACGGGTTCCAGGCGCAATGATACCGTCATCGTCCAGCTTGTCGTAGGTTCCGTGCTTCATTCTCATGGTGTCTCCGCGAGTAGGCTTCTCGAATTGTTCCACAACTGACATACCGACACGCTTCTCTTGATCCATGTAAGCACGGTAGAACAGCGAGCGGAAGAGACCACGATCAATCGAAGACTGGTTCATGATGACGGAATCTTCTTGGTTGTAACCACTGTAACAAGCGATGGCGACGATGGCGTTTTGACCAGCAGGCAATTCTCTGAACTTGAGATATTCCATAGAACGTGTGGTACCAAGAGGCTTCTGGGGGTAGTAAAGAACGTTGGCCATGGTGTCCATGCGCACGTTGTAGTTGGTCAGGGTAATACCCATGGCCTGTTTACCCATGGCAGACTGGTAGGTGTTACGAGGCGACTGGTTGTGGTCGGGGAAGGGAATGATAGAAGCGCAAATACCAAGAATCATGGCAGGGTGAATCTCGCAATGAGTCCATATCCTGACGTTCGGGTTGGGTCTACTCTTGATTCTTCGGTGAGGGTCAGTGACTGGCTCTTCGTAGATAAGGCCAGCTCTCATCTGGCGATGCTCGTCAAGGTCTTCAGGAGTCATGATCATCATAGCAGCCTCTTCTTCTTCCGCGTCCAGGTATTCGATAACTCCCTCGCTGATCAAGTTCTTCCAACCGTAGATTGATTCATCACGCTCTTCTTCGCTCAAACCAGCAGTCTCGGTCTCTCTTGCATTGAGAAGACTGGAGACATGCTGTCTGTTGAGAACGAGCTGGCCCTTGTTCGGACTGGCAGGGTCATTGTTGACAACGAACAGCGGTCTCATGACACGTCCAGCATCAGTGAAGATCTTGAACTCTCTTTCACGAACATCTCTGATGAGAGAGATTTCGAAGGAGATGGTGCCATTACGACGAAGACTTTGAACAACCTTGACGAGCTGAGAAGGGTCTCTGTGGACACCAACCCAGACACCGTTGACAAACACCTTGGTGGCGTCGGGGTTGTTCTTGGGCTCATACTCTTCCAGGAGCTCCATGTTTCGCTGGTTCATGAACTCGACGATGGGCTCTGCAGGAGTACCAACACTGACGTAACACATAAGAGACAAGTTCTTGACCAGGCCACAAGCCTGTCCTTCGGGTGTCTCTGCAGGGCAGACGAGACCCCAATGAGTGTTGTGCAGTTGGCGAGGTTTGGCAATCTTACCGTCACGACCGATTGGTGTATTCGTTCGTCGCAAATGTGATAGCGTGGAAGCATATGTGTAACGATTCAAAACCTGCGACACACCAGCCTTTGCCGAGGCAGCCTTCTTCTGATCGCCCCAATTACCAGTGGCCAAACAGTAACGCAGACCTGACGTAAGGATGTTCGACTTGACAGCGAGAGTGAGATTAAAGTCTCTGCCCTGTTCAATACAGCGAGAGAGGTAGACACGCATGTCACGCACAAGCTGCGTAAACTTGAGGCGGAAGACCTGGGCCATCAAAGGACCAGCCAGGTCAAGACGCTTCTTGCCGAAGTGATCTCTGTCGTCTTCATCGCATCTGCCGAGGGCGACTTGACACATTCGGTTGATCATGTAACCAAGGAAGAAAGCCTTTCTGGTCTCACTGCCCTCTCGTTGCGAGATATGAGGCAGGAACTCCTTCTGCAAGATGTCGCGGGCGTAACGGATACGCTTTTCTTTTGTTCCTTGCTGCTGACCACGCTTGCCGATGAAATCAAGTGCGTATTCACGGTCTTGGACGACGAAAGCTTCTTCCAAACATGGCTTGATCATCTCGCGCAACTGTGTGTCGTTCGCATCATAGCAAATGCAGTCAAGAATTTGCATGTCCGAAACGATACCAAGCGCACGGAAAACGATAGCAATGGGAATATCAGCCTTGATGTAGGGCAAGGTAGCCTTAATGGTGCCACCCAGATGACCACCCTTTCTCGCCTCTCCCTTTTGGAACCACTTCAGCTGCATGGACGAAAGCAATCGGGTGCCCTTCTCGATGGCACTTCTAATCTCGGCGACGATTGGTGTGGGACTGCCCTTCTTTCTGAAGACCTGAACAATGTTGGCGGCACTGCGCTCTTGTGCGATGAGAACCTTTTCTGAACCGTTGATGATAAAGTAACCACCTTGATCGTAGGGGCACTCTTGGAAGGCGTAAAGCTCTTGTTCGGAGCGATTGCGGAGGGTGCAAATCTTGGACTTGATCATGACGGGCAGTTTTCCAATGAAGACGCGCTCCTCCTTCTCGACGGCATGAGGGTCCTCCCTTTCCCACACCAACTCAGTCTCCTCATCCTCGTTCGGCACATGGTCCGGGTCGTCTTCATCGTGTTGTGCTGCGTTGACGCGTCTTTCACGGGCGACCAGAACGCGGCTGGTCATGCCAAGATAGATGGGACTTGAGTAGGTCAAGTTACGTAGGCGAGCCTCGTTGGGGTAGAGAGGGCGAGTGGAACCGTCACCTTCGGTGATGGCGGCTTGAGAGATGGTGATGTTTCCGAACTCGATTTCGTAGCGGCGCTTTACGATGGGGTCGATTTCGTTGTCGTCTTGCGGCGCATTCTGATCGATAACAATACGGCCTTGCTCGGTGATGATATCCTGCATGGTAGTGCCGGCAAACTCATCGAAAGAGTCGAGCTGTTGCGAGACCAGACCCTTTGAGTCGAAGAAGGACTGAATGACGGTCCAGCAGTCCTCACTTGTGATAATGTCGTCCTCATCGTAGTCGTCCTGAGAAGGACTACCCGCTCCGTTGCCCCAGACGTCGGCCATGATTGATTAGAGAAGAGAGATGCGGCGAAGACGAAGGGAAGTGAGATTGACGTGTTTCGTCGGCGGCAGAAGTGAGCGAAAGAGGGCGCGCGCTCTGTGGCGACAAGCGAATCGGCGGGAGCGATATAACGACGCAGTGAAGCGGCGCTAGACAGGCGGTAGATGGTATAGAGGATGGCGGAGTTGACGAGCGATGGCGAGCAGGTCGGATGCTCTTGCAAGGGGAGGGTCGAGATGCGACTGCTGCTCTTCGACACGCCGACGCTCGATGCTGGACGCTCGGGCCCCTGTAAAGCGCCGCTGCTGCTTCTCCATGTCTGTCGACAAGTCTGCGTTGCGAATCTTGGCATGCCTGTGATTGGCTGCACGCGTGGACGGCTGCCACTCTGGCCTCGAGCATCAGGTGAAGGTTAGCATCAGAACTGTCTCCTTCACTGTTGTCGTTTCTGTAGTCGTCCGTTCAATCCATTCCGTCGCCATGTCTGTGCAACCTTTGAACGATCTCTGGGAAGCTGCTGCTGGTCAGCCCTACGAACCCACCATTGGCAAGGACTCGCAGTTCAGCGTCGGCATCACTCTGCTGTTCACCGGTATGCCACGAGATGCTATGTGTGCATCCTTCTCGGTTTAAACTAATGCGTACAGCTCTCATCCTGTCCGGATACTTCGGCCTGAGTATGCAATCCCTAAGCACTCCAGCCTGTATACAACAACTAACACCTATCTAGATCCCTCGCTCAAGAACCTTCCCCTGATTGGTCTTCCTGCTTCTCTTGCTGCTGGGTTTGTATCGCCTTCTTCCCAGACCCTTGCCCCTTGCTAACAGGGCCCCAGTTTCGGTGCTGTCTACATGATCTGTGCCGTCGGAGTCTATGTTTGAGCTCCTGCTTGTCCCATTGTCCGCCTCCCCTTGTTTTCGCTACTCGAGATACCCACGTCAAAGCAACACAGCCTTGCACTACAACTTATGCATGACACCGACCAACAAATAGCCCTGTGCGTGGCCGATTCGCAAGGTCCTAGGGGACGAGTGCCAACACAAGCGTCCAATACAAAATCCCGCCATATATGGCAGAGGATGATAAGGCAGACATAGAGCCTGAAGGAGAAACGCGGTTTCGCGATCTGTGATGCCAAAGCAGAAGACCCAGGCGCGAAAGCCCATAGTTGCCTACGGCTGACTAAGCTTGGCACCTCCAACTTCCATCGTCCAAACCGCGTCCATCTCGCGTCACTGCCATGTATCATCAATAAATTACAACGCTTCGTCCAACCTCGACATTTCTGCACGCTTTTGTGATCCAATAGTCCTAGCTTCTTGATAGTCATTCGCCCATTGCAGTCAGACCACAATCCGGAGCTAGGCCTCCACGACTATATTGTAGGGCAAGATGGCATCAACAAATACATGTCTTTTCAGTGCCGTTTCTCCTGCGGCTCGTGATTTGACTCTCCTTTTGAGATGTATCGCATTTGGCTCGAAGACTCGAGTCCGTCTAACTTCCGAGGGCTTGCGTTTCAGCGCTCAGGAGACCAGTGTCATGGAAGGCAAGCACTTTCTTTACACTTACTTTGCCGCACTATCCTGACAAGAGCTAGCTTTTGTGTTCCTTTCAAGATCGTTGTTCACAACTTGGAGTTACCGGGATCCTGAAGCCGCTGAGGACGACCAAGTCGAGGACTCTCCTCAGCCGCCAACTTTTCAGATATCTCTGCCTGCCTTGCTCGAGACATTACAGATCTTCTCTCTAGGCGACAGTAATGCCTTCCGTCAACAACAAGACCCATACGACACTTTCAATGCTTTCAGACAGAACCGCAACGCGAATGATCCCTTTTCTGCCTCTGCACTTGGATCGTCTGGTCTCTGCCGTATTTCATACGACAACCGCGGCAGCCCTCTGTCAATTCAACTTTCAGAGGCAGACGTTACCACCAGCTGTGATCTCACGACTTATGAGGCCGAATCAACGGAGGACATTCCGTTCGATCGAGAAAGCCTGGCTCTCAAAACCATCATGCGGTCGGCGCATCTGGCTGATGCGATATCAGAACTTGCTTCTACGAATCCTACCAGTCTCTCCTTGACGGCCTCGCCCACAGTACCACACATGTCGCTATCAGCCACTGGTCCGCTAGGCTCGGCCACTGTTGACTTCAACAAAGATCAAGATCCTCCACTGCTCGAGACCTTCCAATGCCCGTCTCGCTTCCGCACCACATATAACTTCCGACACATCAAGGCGGTCTATCGTGCCATGGTTTCTGCCTCAAAGGTCAGTGTCCGCGCAGACGAGCAAGGTGTTTTGAGTCTTCAGTTCTTGATCGAAGTGGATCCGACCGCACAAGCAGAACCGGGCACGGAGGGCATAGCCTTTGTAGACTTCCGGATTGTGCCTCAGGTTGAAGGAGAAGTGCCACAGGATGACTCGGAGACCGACGATGAATGAGACAAGAGTGTCATAGCGTGGCTCAGCCAGAAATCAACACAGCACCTCCACCAGCAAGGCGAGACTAAACGCAATCTACGATCTTTGGTCACCGTGGTATGGATATCAGGAGAGGTGGTCCTGACAGATGGGATATATCGAGTCCGATACACGCAAAGGACTAGTCTGTGACTTTCCCATAAGCTTTGATAATGATTGATTGAGAGACAATTGGCAGCTGGTACACATGACCACAAATGCCGAGCACAAACGAGAGCCGGGATTGACGTCAGGGAGCAGACACAGCAAGATCACAATCCAATCTCAACAAAAGCACAAAGCTGCAAAATAGAATAGTAATCATTGCAGTAAGTAGGATTCGAACTTACACCTCCTCATATCCATCCAAAGACCCCCATGCCAGTTCAGCGGAGGTGAGGCTGGTTTTACTGGACAGACCGCAAGAGCCTTGTGTTGGCAAGAATGATGGTCCGCCTCCTACGTGGGCCACGCCGCCGTGGACCCATTAGCCCCGCCGCGTTCGTGGTCGAGGCTCGCAGGAGCAGTCTTTGGTGACAATGCTTGTGTTGGCAACGTCATTTATTGGTGAAGGCGCCCTACCATTGGGCCATCGCTGCTATGTATTGAATGAAACTTGAATCTTTGCGTTTATAACGTCTTGATGTAGGCAGTGTGTTCGACTCTCATATCGTCCGTGTTGTCTTTTAGGACCATATCTTTGCGGCGTGGCACATACATGACAGAAGACATGTCGATAGTGAATTACACTCGTGTTCAAGTGTGACAATAGAGAGGATACTGGTGCCGGAACTTGCCCGCTTTCTTCTCTCTACATTACTATATACAAAATCGTCTCTCGTAAATTACATTCAGTTGTTCTCCGCCAATGTATCGCACCTCCTCGTATGTGTGATACTGTCACACTCGTAGCTGTCTCAAAGCACAACGTTTTCCAAGCTCGCAGCCATGTCATCGAGAAAGATATATGGGCTGGCTGCAAGCGTCGGTCTCGTCCGTTGGAGATACTGTTGTGCCTTGCTTCAACAGAGTACAGGAAAAAGGAAAACCAAAATCAAGAAAATCGTCAAAAACGCTCGCTCGCTAGTCGTGCTGTAGAAATTTAGAACAAGAAAAGAAACGCGATCTTGGTGCACGAAGAAGATCTTACTGCCTAGCTTCTGACAGTGAGTCCTTGGGACAATATTGGATAGTAGGATCGAGTAGCGACAGAAAGACTGGGTTCGGTGATAGGGTAACTGCCTGCGATGATACTGTGTCGGAAAAGTCAGGACTAGTAGCCGAACTGGCGATTGAGGGGCTTCGATCGTAAATCACAGAATGTTCGATGGCGTCTTCGGACAGGCATGCGGTGAGTAGACCTGGCTTCGACATCTCATATTTTTCTGTTCGCGCCAGAGCATTCTGTGGCCCAGCAATGCCTTTTGTCCACATTGGGTGTCGCTTCCCATGGCCAACATCGATCCGTGTTATGCTAGGCGGGATGGTAGCTGTGTGAATAGCTTCAGTCTGGTTCGAGGCTTTGCTGATGCCATACGTGATGGATGCCAACAAGGTCAAGACGAGAGACAGAATAACGACGTTTCGACGATTCTGCAGTACGAGATTTATGTAGTTGCGTAGAACGAGGCCCAGAGGAACGTCCTTAGGTTGATAAATCAGGGGAAGATGGTCGTGTAGAGAAGGAACATAGTCAGGAGCGACAGCGGAGTCCGATCGCTTGTCCTGATCGTGTATCTGTCGTTCGTTGGCGATCTGCTCAGCCGATTGCATGTCATCAAGTCTCTGGCATAGCTCTTCCGAGATGCAAGGTCGAACCTCAACATCCACCCTCTCCATCTCAGACCAGCAGGCTGCCCATGCGCCGGCACGCATGAGACCATTGGCAGCATATACCCTGGTATACCACGAGACCTCGCTTGTGTGTACTCGCTGACAAGTCTCACAAGGTTTCAGCTCGCTGTCCACTTCATCCTCTTCCCCATCCACAACGGTGCCTGGAGTTCGAGGTCTATATTGTCCATCATAGTCGATGCGCTCGGGAAGCAGATCCAAGGCCTCAAGCACACCTTCTTCCAACAGTTCGAACTCATCTCGCGGGTGGGCGATAAGGATGCCTCGTTGAGCTACAAGTCCAGATGTTGCGGCTCGGAGCACACCAAACTGTCGCTTGAGTTCGGAAGACAGAGTTGCGTCAAGGACAGAGCGATTCCAGGGTAAACGCGGAGGCAGTACCGAGACATGTAGAAGGACTAAAGGGGCGGGTGGTTGAGGTTCGTATCGTACAACATGCCTTTCTTTGTTCCGAGGTGATTTGTCCCTCTCTTCTCTGCTTCTTGCGCGACGGGATGTGTGCTTTGAAGGCCGCAGAGACGATGGTGATGGACGTAGACTTCCCACACGATACGCAGGTCGTGGTTTTGTGGTTGAGTAATATGGTCCAAGCACATCAGAGTCGGATGGCCAAGTCGATTCCGGAAAAGAAGAGATAGATGTCGCGGTGATGTTTGAGATGCGGCGTTTCGGATCGTCGCTATCGTGGTATTCGTAATCGTTGTAGTTGTCGTCTTCAATACTAGTCGAGATTGGGCTGTCGGCCCTGTACCCAGATGAGCGTGCCATGAGGACTCACTGGCATTCCTTAAGCATCAACGACACCAAACTCTGTTTCATGCAAGGACTCAAAGGGTAGTAGTAAGGTGACTGTTGGCGAGTCACGGAGCAGCTGGGGGAGAAACGGTGTTGACACCTTCTCCACATGTTTGGTCGTCAAGGCAACTGTCGCGCGGCAGTTGTTGCTCCTACGAACTGCCATATGCTTCATCTCATCAACGGCTCTTTATTGTTCGTTGCACTTTACCATCAAATTCCCAGAGCTTGTGGATGTCGTGCAGAGATTGGTTCTTGCACGGCGACTCGGCAACTATATTGAAATGTGGTATTGTTGACAAAGAGAGCATGTCTTCACTGCTTTGATTGTTGGTATATGCCGAAAAGGACATGGGAATATCATTACTGTCCACTTTCGGACTCTCAGAATGTCATAAAGCTCGCCTAAAAGAAGCTGTAGACTAAAGTCCATAGAAAAATCGTAATATCATAATTCTGAAATGCTGTGATTCAATCCTCCAACAACCCATTCAAGCGTCGGGTAGTAGCAGATTCGGCTTTACTTCTCCGTCATCGTTTCCGCTCCAGATGCGTGCACTGTAAGCTTGCCTGGCCTGCTGTAGCTCGGCAAGTAATTGACTCTGTGACTCGCGTCTCTCAGACTGTACAGTATCGAACTGGACCATGACTTCATCCGAACCAACCGCAGATGTTCTTCCAGATAGGTCGTACATTTCGACTTGTGGCTCGCTCTTGGAGCGGGACTTGCCCTCCGAAGCAAACCCATATTGAGCGAATTCTCCTCGGCGAGGGGACTGTGGTGGAGATGTGACACCGCTACGGGAGGGAAGGCCACGCTCTGCGGTCGACAGTTTGTTCTTCCCCGAGGAACTCGAGATGTGAGTGCGAGTACGGTCCAGGACGCTTTTGAACAGTGGCCTCAAGGTTGCCATGCATGCCGCTATGATGCCCATGCCGGGCTCGATCGTGCTGGCGATAGCAATGGTTGATGCATTGGAGAAGAATGTCGTGGCGTCTTGATCGCCAGAGTGGAGGTCGTTGATGTAGAAGAGACGGACCACTGATGCCACACTGCCGAGAACGCCGACGATGAGGACGAATACCACCGACCACTTGTCTCTGCCGCGCATATTGGCCTTGCGGACGACGAGGATTGGAAGAGAAACAAAGACCCAGTCTGTCAAAGCGTTCATGACTCCATGGATGTAGTTCAAGGGTCCGAGAGCGCTCCACGACATGCACTTTCCTTGCACCTTGTGAAGGAGGTATTTTGACGGGTCACCGCATTGAAATATGGCAACAAAGAAGAAGCCGAACGTGTACAGCGAGAAAATAACAGTGCTGATGATGATGGTCTGACGCTGCCACTTTTCCAGAACCTAATTCACATGCGTCAGTTGAGCCAGCCACAGTTCGCAGAACGGGGAGCTTACGATGCGCAAAAAGAAAACAGCCAACGATAACTTCAGTGCCAAGCTGGTGAGTAGATAGAAGGCAAACTCAAGAACGACATACTAGAAATTGTCAGTACATGTAATACGTTGACGTGATTCTCACTGACCTCCAAGGTGCTGGACAAGGGCTTTATGAGCTCTAGATTGTGGGATTTCTCCATCCAGGCAATGTGGATGAGGAAGGCCGCTTGACAGATGAAGCTGTTGAGTGCAAGTAAGATCAACCAATCGTCCCAACCCAAAGCGCGAATCATGTAGCCTCTGACGAAGAAACGGAGAGAGGTGAATGTGACCGTGAGCGCAAGGAAAGTAGCGGCAATTGCAGTCAAGGCTTCATAGTGGTAAGATGACGGCGCGTGATAGCTCGCATCGGGGCTCCAGGCTCCTGTCTCCCGTACTAGTATATGAGTGCTCATGATCATGTCGTCTGCGGTTGATGGAAGAATTATGCCTTTCCAGGCAGGTCGATGCTAGGTAAATTTCTCGTTGTGTAAGTGACAGGAGATAGAGAGTGTGTGAGCAGAGTAATAGCGTGCTGAATGAGCGTGATAATTTCTGGTTCAAGGAAATGAAACGAGAAGCCTGTGGTAGAACCAACACAAGTTGCAAAGCAGGAGATCTTTCGAGGACAGCGAGCACATGATTGGTATGTATATGCCGAGCTCATGTTTTCAAGTGCTCAAAAGAGCAATGACCTGACCGTAAGGTTGAATAGCGTCATGACTAGCCTGTTGCTTACCGGACAAGACATGTTTAATGCCACGTGGGTAATGACCCACCTGAGATTGTCGACTGCACCCGCCGTCAGCAGCTTGAAACTTGCCGGTGTGCCAGCAAAACTCTCTTGCATCAGGCTCACTAGACGGTCCTCAGGCTTGCAACGGCGAACTTGAAGAACCACTCAAGAGGATCATCTTGTTGGAGAACGACATCAACCTCGGCTCTTGTCCTCTGCCCAACGGCGGGGGCTTGCTGAGTCCGAAGCGTTCGCCTAGCAGAGTCCTATATGATGGCTTCCCATGAGCTCACGTCAAGCGACTTTGTGGAGAAGTTTTTGTCAGATGTGTCATCCAGTGCTTACTCTCAGGAGAGGCTGTAGAACTGCAAAACTCCAGGAGTGCATGTAGGCACGATTTATCGCAAGCGCACCGAACCACAGACTGAACCATTCACCTTCCCGCGGTGAGCCAGTGTTCCGTCTGGTATACTTTAAGCGAAGCGGCCCTGCTCTTTTCGGAAGCGACTCCTTCTACATCAGTCTTTCAGTTGAGGGCGCAGAAAGAGGTAAACTCTCGCAAGCCATGTGTGGGTGACCAATCGGCATGCTCGGCATGCGGCACCCTTTTACGAGGCAGTAATTTCCACTCGGCTGTGCGTAGAATCTGGCCTGCTCGAAGTCTACCATAGGACACGAGGTAGATGGCGAATGGACCTGTAGCCTGTCGCGAAGTACCTGCCGTCTGCATTCTTGTGGAGAGAGAGGTCTGACGCAAGTTGTGATCGAAATTCGAATTGTGATCAAATTATGGGCAAACGGTAACATCGAAAATGACGATTTCGGTCCAGGCAATGTCGTCGTTGTCGCAGATTTGCGACCCCCAGGCTCGCTCTCTCGTTCGAGAACGACGGTACCGATCCTCAACTGCCCCTAGTCGGAGGCATTTGTACATGAATAAAACGTCGAAGCAAAGAAGTTTTGGCAGAGCGAATGGGGAACGCAACGGCAGAAGCGCTCGGTTTGCTCCGCTTCTCCAAAGTGACCCTGCCCAACGCGTCCGAGTGCCCCAATCTCTCTCCTTGGCCACGACGACATATGCTGCAGCGCCAACCAAGCGTTGATAGCTCATCAGTCCCGGAGATGAAACCTTGAGATGCCTCCACCATCCCGCGCTCATACCACCGCTACTGGCTCATATCAAGCGCGTCAGGACCGAAATGCCAGGGCGAGGCATTCGCTGGACAACACTGGCTTCTCCATCGACAGCTCTGAACTCCCGTCAGGCTTGATCGTCGACTACAGCATAGATGACATGGTAAGACAGAGCGGTGTCGCGGACTTTGGGCGCAGCCAATTGTCAGAGAACGTCCATCTGGATGATGAAGACGAGGACGATGGGGATGCGGATATAGATCCTGAGGCAGATTTAGGTAAGACAGAAGCTGTTCCTTTCCATTCACCAACCCACGAACCATCTTGCGTTTGAAGTAGTTGGCGGTGGTGTTCCTCTCCTTTGCATTAATCGGACCAATGGGCATGATGAAGCACACTAGGTTTGGAGTTGCAGCATTAGAGGAGCTCTTGTGCTTCACCAAATGATGTGCATTGTGGAAGTCGCGCACTACAAAGTAGCTCTGTGGGAGATGCTCGTTTGCTGTCACTTCATGTTGTTTTCAGCCACACAGCCGCACCATGGGCTTCTGCAACTCGAGGAGAGAGACAGTACAGCCGCTTTGACTGCGACCTTGATCATCACAAATTCCTCTCACCATGTCGTCTGGAGACTCTGACGCGGATTCATCCATTCTGTCATACCGTTCGTCTGCCCTCTCGTATCCCGTCAACAGTGTCCTCTTGTGCTCTCTCGCGCATTCTTGTTAGACAACTCAGCCATGACTTGCACACATTCTCCCCTGCACGACATCACCCCGACCATAGCAAGAGAATTGACAAGTAATACAGATGGTGCACAATCAACCGCTGGGGACCAACTTCCCCCTCGTGGTCTGAAGGAGATCTCATCCCTCGCTTCCTGGACCGTCAGCACAAGCAAGCCTGGTTGCGGCGTAGCTGCACTACGCCATCCATCCACCTCGATGTTCTGGCAGAGCGATGGACCTCAGCCTCACCTCCTCACCGTACACTTTTTCAAACAAGTTGCCGTTGCCCACATCCGCATCTACCTCGACTTTGAGAACGACGAAAGTTATACACCCACTCGTATGCAGTTCTGGGCTGGCACTGGCCTTCACGACCTCATTGAGTTTGCCGATATGCAGTTTGAGCAGCCCCGCGGTTGGATCCCTGTCGACTTCTCCCAGGTGGGCCCTGTAGAAGAAGAGGACAATGAGGATCCTGACACGATCGACTGGAGCAAAAGACCTCTACTTCGTTGCTTTATCCTGCAGGTCCGCATCCTTGAGAACCACCAGAACGGCAAGGACACGCACCTGCGTGGTCTGCAAATCTTTGCCCGCGACGAGAGAGCCGAAGAGATGGCAGGCTTGGCCGAGGACGATGCTGATGATGTCAAGGAGGGCGCGCGTGCCGATAGAATGGACATGCCTGTTCGCTCCAAGGAGAAGCGTAGACGTTCTGAGGGCTTGTCTAAACCCAAGAAGGCATCGTTCATGATGGAGCCTGAACTGAGATGATACTATGAGTCGGCAATTTCTCACCGTTGTGCCGATCAACGGAGTCTTGGTCCTCGAGAGACGACGATGTCAAAGCATGAAGCAAAGCACGATCCAAGTGCTAAAAACCGAGCACGGAGGACAGGGAGCTGATTGGCACTGAAGAAAAAGTACGTCGCCATGCACATGCGACTATTATAATTAACATCGCAAGACTCTACTCTCGCTGCAGCGTATCAAACGCTGTACTCTAATATAAAATGCTACGCTCACCATGTCTTCCTGGTGCTTTGCTCATGGAGCCAGTCCGATGAAATATGACAAAAGAAACTTTTCCAAGACCAAGTCCTGGTAGGTACTGACACTAACAGCAGCCTCTTCTTCTGGGACCATCAAGTCTAAAGACCTCTTCCCACTCACGCAAGCCAGAAGCCCACTGTCCCGTGCCCGCTCTTTTCCTTCGTCTCCTTGGCCCGTCCACGCCGCTCTTTATGCTGCTACCACCATCATCGATAGCCCATGAACTGTCGCCGTACTGTATGCCAGAGAGCGGATCATCGGGATCAATCTCGCCTAACTCAATCTTTGCCAGAATCATACGGGCGAGACGGTTGAATAGCTCATCCACGCCATCTCCGTTGAATGCTGAGACTTCGACTGCCATGGGGATAGTTTGTGAGGTTGCCCATTGCGTTGCTTGAGTTGTAGAGACCTGGCGACCATCGGGTGCGAAAGTCGCGCGTGCGCCATTGCCGCCTCGTGGGATGGTTCCTCTGGAAGCGATGCTGTCAAATCTGCGGGAGTCGTAGCTTGACGGTGATTGTCCAAACGACGGTGAAAGTACTCCGCTGTCGTCGATGTCATCCTCGCTTTCGGCGTCACTGTCGACAGGTTCGGCGAGGTCGGCCTTGTTGCCGGCCAGCAACAGGGTCAGGTGTGGACTCGCCAGGGCTCTCGCGTCGTTCAAAAAAGTGCCCAGTTGCGCAAAACTGTCCCTGCTCGTAATGTCGTAAACCAAGATTGCGCCAGCCGCACCACGATAGTAACTCCTGCTCACGCTCCTGAAACGTTCTGTGCCAGCAGTATCCCATAATTGCAACTTTATTCTCTTTCTGCGATTTCCGTCTCCGACTTTTACGATCTTCGTAGCGAATTCGACACCGATGGTTTGAGAAGAGAGAATGCGCCAGGACTTGTTTATGAAGCGGTGGAGGAGGCAGGATTTCCCGGCGGAAGAGGGACCGAGGAGGATGATTTTGGCGAGGTAGTCGTACATGGAACCCAGTTCGGATTCCGGTGGGAGAGAAGTGTCTGGCGTCGTAGCGGAGGCAGTAGATGGACGTCGTTGTCGACCCATGATGGCGGTTGTGTGTGTTGTTGGGCGCGTTTGGTATGCGACCTTTGTTGACTCGGAGATAACGATATGGTTGGCCGGGGATGGTATTGTAGTGTGTAGATGTTTGGTTGTCGAGCGGACCAAGATGATGTCAAGAAGCTGAAGGTTGCATGTCAAGAGGCTTCAGATGTCAAAACGGAGGGTGTAATATCAAGACCAAATTGCAGTGGCCTGTTTCAGCCTGGTGCTGCTGCAAGTCGGAGCACCAAGGCGAACGAGCCAAACATCCCCAGACTTTTTGTTGAAAGGATGCGCGCGACCCTCGGATATCGCCGTTGGCTGCTGCTGGCGTGCGTTGGCAGAGCAGAGAGCTTCCCACCATCTTCAAAGTTCCACTTCTCTCCTGCCCATACACGACAAACTGCTGTATGCTGTTCAGCTGATATGCGCTGTTTGTCGCATGCTCCTCGTCCTCTGTCGGCACTTTCTTGTTCGCTTCCAAATCCAGCATGCCTTAGTCATGGGCTGTCGCGTGCTCTTTGTTCGGAGGAAGTGCATAATCCCATGGCCACCGAAGAAGCAAGTCGTTGGTGACGCGTGGCTCAGACCATATGAGCGCCAGCCACACTAAGCAAGGAAGGTCGGATGCTACATGCTGGCGCCCTCGACATCAAGACATGATATCGGCATAATCTCCTCAAGACCTCCGTTGCCAAGGCGGCTTCTCAAGGACGTCATCTTTGATCCGGTAAGTGGTCGTGTGCGCTAAGTTGATCTTTCACATGCCTTTTCCCTGAAAGCCCATTTGCATTTTCAATCCCCCCTTCTTTCTCTCTGCTATGACTTGATTACTACTCTCCCCTACTCTACCATCACTTTGCTGCATTCCCCATCACTTTCCTCTCTCTACCACTCGCGTCTCGACGACTGTCGCCATGGTGGCTTTTCTCTCACGCCTCAATCCAACACCGGCCTTCCCGGACTACCCCGGGCCTCACACTGTCGGCACCGTCGACGTCGAGATCCCTGTCGCCGACTTGCCCTCTACTGCAGCAGCCCCTGCCGACGCATCCCCGACTGTCTCGTTCCGCATATTCTACCCCTGCCAGGATCAAAAAGAGAGCGCGAGGCCTGTCAGATGGATCCCCTCGCCACAGCGTCCTAACCTCTCTGCCTTTGCTCGTCTTCTCGGTGCTGGATCTCGTGCCTCGGACTTCTTCTCTTACTTTCCGACTATTCTCTACTACATTACGATACCCGCCCAGCGCAACGCTCCCCTACTCGCCCCTCCCGCTAGTAATAAGAGATGGCCTGTCATGATGTTCTCCCACGGCCTGGCCGGCAATCGCAACCTATACTCGCACGTCTGCGGATCTATGGCTTCGTACGGTCTTGTCGTCATAGCCATGGACCACAGAGACGGCAGTTCTCCTGTTCAGTACATCCGAGCAACCACAGATACACCCAGCAAAATTGTCGACGAAATCAAAATCTCACACTCGCCAACACCTGAAGTTTATGCTGCACGAGACAAGCAATTGCGCATCAGATGTCACGAGATGTCGCTGATCCACGCAGCATTGCTCAAGATTGACAAGGGTGAAAAGGTGGACAATCTGGACGACAACACTTCGCACACTAAGAAAGAGCGCGTCGAGGTCCTGTCCCGCTTTGCTGGTCAACTTGACGTACACACACCTGGTCGTATTACCTTCGCTGGACACAGTTTCGGTGCTTGCACGACTGTTCAATTCCTCAAGTCCATCTTCTACGCCAAAGAACGTCCTCAGAACGCCCACTCTCCTCTCATTGTACCAACCGACTCCTCTCTAACTAGCCAGGTCACTCCCGCATCTCCGGTACTGCTACTTGACCTCTGGACTCTGCCACTGCGCAGTCCTACCCAATCCTGGCTTCTAGAGCGCCCTCTGCCCTCATACGCGGATTCTTCAATTGGCGGCAAGAACATTCTCAGCGTCATGTCGCAAGCCTTCTTCAAATGGACCGGCAACTTCAACGACGTCCGCCGCGCGATTGCACCTCCCAAGAACTTCTCTGGACCAAACCCCCACCTCTTCTATCCCGCCACCAGCCAGCACTTCTCCCAGTCAGACTTTGGCGTGCTGTTCCCTTTCCTTACCAGCAAGTTGCTGAAGACTGAGGATCCAGAAAGATTACTGCTGTTAAACACTCGTGCTATGTTGCAAGTGCTCAGGGACATGGACATTGAGGTGGCAGATGTTGGCGAGAAGAGCCTCGAAGGCGAGAAGGAGGAGTCTATCTTGAAACCAAGTGCCACTGGAGAGGAAACTGTCAGGGGCTGGGTCAGAGTCGCTGTCTCCGACGCGGACAATACCAACGCTGGTATTTCAATTGAACAAGACAAGAAGCAGAAGCCCTCGGATGACAGCGAGGGTATGGACATGTAAATAGTGGGGCATTGCTTCCAGCATAATTGGCGTTCAGTGGTTGGTCGCATAGCGCTTTATTATCCTTTTCCTTTAGCAGGCTGGCGAATTGGAGGCTCAGACCGTGGAAACAGCAATCGGGTTCGGGCAGTAGACTGTACATAAATCTCGCGATATTTTTGAGCATCTTCACATCTATTCATTTCTATCTTTGCCAGAAACTGACCAAGACATAAAAAATACGGTCATTGGTGACTGCTGCTGGAGTTGCTATTCTTGGCTCATGCCAGCCGCCCAAGGTAACTACCGCATCTCCGACCCAAGCGCCCAGCCCACAAGCTCAGTCACACCCTTCCTCACAAATTGAATCCCGAGCTGACACGCTCTTGCAGACATGAAGTTAGGGCTACAAAACATGAAACAGAGTACATCTCTATCCTCATAGATCGGGCGGCTTGATAGGCCAACCACAGCATGTTTGTGCTAAAAACGTGTCTACTGAATTAATAGCAAGAGCGCCTATGAGACTTCACGGAGCTACATGAAAAGAAGAGATACGACTGGATGATTGATAAGAGTAGGTTGCGAAGCCCTCTTCATGTTCAGAGGTCAACTCTTCTTCCCTTCGTCAAAGGTTTATTTCATACAAGCACTGGATTGCTTTTATCTTCGTCAGTTGCATCTTCGTTTTAAGTTACCGCTGGACCGGACATCTACGAGAATCTCCTATATCACTTTTCACCACAACTTATCCATCTTCTGAACGGCACAAGAGGTCTATCCATACGCCACAATGGCCATCCGACCAATCACGAGATCTCCTATCTTTCTCTTGACCATCAGCATCTGCTTGGCGTTACCTCTTCTCGCCATCTCATCACATGTCCTGTCTTCCTATCGTGTCGAACATGCCTCGAATCCGTGGTGGCTACCCGTCTGGCACGAACACTTTGACAACCGTGGTATCGTCGCTGTTATTGTGACTTCTTCCATCGTCTTTGCTCTCGATATCATTTCTATTGGGCTAGTGGTTGCTGGAAACAAGACTGATGATAAGGTTAGTCCTCGCTTTTGGTCTCAATTGAAGTGATGCTAATGTCGAATTAGAGCAAGATCAGCAAGTGGACTATTGTAGCAGTGATGCTAGTAGCTACAGTGGCATCTCTGGTCGCTATGATCATGCCAGCCGTCACCAACGCTGCGGTTCCGAGTAAGTCTGATACCATTCAGACCTGGACCTGTCATTGGAAGGATGTCGACGGTGCACCCAAGAACTTTACATCTCTGTGTCATGAGAGTGTGAGTGTATCCGCTGGCCTGCTCCAACGACCACCTTGACTGACATCCTGTTCAGAAATTCTCCTCGTATACTCCTATCCCGATGTTCGTCATACATCTTCTACTTTTGGTTCAGAGTGTGCAAGCTGCTGTTGCTGTGCCTCAACCAAAGCCGACCTTTGATGAAGAGCTGGTCATCATCACCAAGAGTGTTGATGTCGCTAGTACAGGCTTACACGACAGTCCAAGAGTCGACGACAGCACCATGGTGGCTGGGAAAGAGTATAGAGTTTAGTGCGAATGATCTCGCGCGTCGTGCACTAGATACATAGCGAACGACCATCCAATACTCCAAGTCGCATAGAAACAAAGTGATGGTTGGAATACAGACCAGGCAATGGACATTAGATTGTACGGGACATTCAGTCGAGCAAGAATTAATTTTTGTGACATCTACTGGGTGCCATCGAGCAGTAATGAATGTTGAGAGATGTATGGAATGAGGTCTTCTCTCACTACCTGTACTCGCATCTCACCGGAGATAGTCTGCGCTGAGGTGCAAGTGATCGAAGCATTGCCGCAAGTAGGCTATTTCGAATTATGCAAATCATGCATCTCGACATGGACAGAACAAGCGCATCTAGACAGAGCAAGCAATGTTGAGTGTAGCCCATGTCTGCTGCGCTCTAGGCCCAAAACTTCACCTACTCCGTGCCATATTCCATGCGCAGACGATGTGTTGATGGCTGTGAGAGCTGTTCAACGTCAGTCTGAATTACCGTTCATGGTCTAGCTTCTTCTCGTCCTCACAGTGTTGACTTTGCAATTGATGGCTTGACTGTCCCTTCAACCTGCTAGCAAACGTCGTCTGCGTCGGTGCAGAAAAGTAATTTCAAATGATGGTCGTGTGTGGCGAAGCTGTCAATGCAGTATATGGAGTGTCACGAACTTTGTTCCACCTGCTTTGTGTTTGATAGAGGACAACCCTCGTCATGTGCCATGATTTGGTGGTTGAAGCCAGCGGTATGTCTCTCGTGGTATCTGGATCAGTCCCGGTCCCCTATCACGCGCGATACGGAGAATTTGAGCTGTCTTTCCTGCTAGTTTCTCCTTCACGGCGCGTTGGGGCATCTTGTGTGCACGACTGTCTGAAAAGGCGAAGCAAGCTGGTGACTGTATGCGAGGGAACTTGTCAGATCTTGGGTCAGCAGCATCACGATTCCAAGGAAGTTTGCGCTTGAGATGTGAGTTGAATGGAACGATGCAAACTCTTGGGCGCAGGACTGTGTACTTCCTGATGGGTTCATCTTCGGGTCTGCTCAGCACGATCACAGCGTTACCTCGCGGCAGTCTCCTGGTAGTTCCGTCCTCGAATCTGGCGATGAACTCGACCCTGGAGATATCCCGAAGCTCATGCAGTACTTCAGCGTATCCCCTGAGACTGGCTTTTCTCCAAGACTTTTCTAGTTGTACATACAAGAGCCTCACCATGATGTCTAGCAGCTTTTCTTATAAGTAGATGGCTGTTTCCTCATATTAAGTTTAAGAATCTGCTAATCTACCTGGTGATCTACACTCGAGATGCATAACTCGTTCAATACCCTATCTCAACGCATGAGTGGTTTCAGTGCTGGCTCCTGCCGTCATGACAATAAGTCAAGCATGCCTGCCAATGATCGATACATAGACCCTCCACCACCACCGCTGCCACCTCGAATCCCAAGAACGGAAGACGGCCGACCATCGATCTCATTGCCTGTTCCAGGCACTTTCGTGGACTTCTGCAAGAGTGGAAAATCATCGAGGAATACCGTGGTTAGGGAGAATATCTCGTCTTCGGATACCAAGTCTTCTAGGAAATATTCCGGAAAGGAGTCCGAGATGCCCCTCTCATGTCATCCCCCATTCGAGCCATCTTGGATTGAGATCCAGCCGCTGACCAAGCATACTATCAAGACTAAACTATGCTTCGAACCTGATGTCAGGCATATCAGTACGGATATACCGAGTCTATCAGAGCGTGAGTGGTGCAAGAGGCCACCCCGAGCGCATTCAGCCCATCCAAGTCGGATGGATTTTCTGGTACCACCAGCTGCCTCTGATGCTCACGTACGCAGTTATAGACCCCACAGTATGTTATCCACGCTGGACAACACCAAGACCAAGACCGTAGCCAGTTCCTCAGAACGACTTAACGTACCGCGACAGACACATCGCCGTATGGAGAAGGCTCGAGAGTCGCCTAGGCCATCGAGACCACTAGCAATTGATAGTTTTCGCGAGCGAAAGCGATACTCTGAAGTCGGCAGTCCTCGCCGCAATTACATTCCCTACCCTTCTGCCCTCCAACAGCGATGGGCGAACAGGAGTTCACCAAAGGTCATCTTGGCTGACAGTTCACTTCAACTCAAGTCTCTGGCTGAGCTTAATATTGAGGTTGATGAGGTCATGAGCTTGTACACTACACCAGCCAAGAAGTTTTGATTGCGACATCAAAGTTGAATGCATATTGTACAAGGTTATCGTGTGGAAAAGCTACACATGGATGACAGATTGTAGTGTGGAGCGAAGCTTCCGGCAGGCCCGGAGGTGACGATGGCAGTTGAGATTGGAGTTGGCTCCTTACACAATTTGTTGTCTACGAGTATGGTATGAGTAGAAGTTGATGTTATTAGGATTCATGTGATTTTTGGGTTCTTATATACTCTACATCCACACGTATTTTGAATAGAAAGATAGAAGAGAAAATCGCTAAATGGAGTATTAAACAAAAGTCGTGAGACCCACACAATAGATAAACAAGAAATCCATCCCAATAGAATATAGACATCAAGGTCGTAGACGCCGTGATCGGAATACAATGTCGTTCAAACCTCCTCCTTCATGGTTGACTGTGACCAGCTACCAACAGGTGTGAGGTCGCGCATGTACTTGCCAAAGATGGCAGTCTCAACGTCTTGAGCCTCAGGTCCAGCCTTTGCTGCCTGGTGGCGGAAATAGATACGCTTGGCCCACTTCCAGGATTCAATGCCAATAAAGAAGATGAGGGTAGCGATGAAGACAATACCCCACTCCCACGAGATTCCGGTGTGACGGAAGACATCGTGGTTAATGACAGGGATGTAGAGGACGGGGAAGATGAGGACGAAGCCCACAACGACAGCAGTGAACAAGAACTTGTTGCGCCAGACATCGAACATCCATTGAGTAAGGATGCGATCAGAGTCGGGCTTCATGCGGAAGAAGCTGCGACGAGGGTCAATCATCTCCCAAGCGAGGAAGAGCGAGAACCAGGTCAGAGTTGCAAAACAGGTCGAACGAGCACGGAAGACGACATCGCACTCTGGAGACCACGAGTTGTTGCAGCCAGTGGCAGGAATACGACCGAGATTGCCTTCCTCAAAGCCATAAAGAACGAGGCAGAAAGAGCACAGACAGAGTGCTGCAACCCAAATACCGTAGACAAGCATGTCGATAAGGACTTCAAAGGTGAAGACACCACGCTTGAGACTTTGGGGAGGACGACGCATGACATCTGGTACGGCTTCCTCGAAACTCAAACCCATGTCAGGGAATGAACTGGTGATCATAATGATCCACATAATCTCAACGGGTGAGATGGGGAAGACAGAAAGATTGTCGAGATCCTTGAAGACGAGACCGATGAGCAGAATAAGTGCCTGCGCGATGTTCTGAGAGAGAAGATGGAGAATAAACTTTTGAATGTTGTCGAACATGCGACGACCTTCTTCAACAGCGTTGAGGATACTGGCGAAGTTGTCGTCGGTCAGAACAATGTCGGAGGCGTCCTTGGCGACATCAGAGCCAGATAGACCCATGGCGATGCCAACATCAGCGCGCTTAAGAGAGGGAGAATCGTTGACACCATCACCAGTCATGGCGGCGAAAGCCTTGCGTCTATGTAGAGCCTCGATCATGCGAACCTTGGTGTTGGGAGCGCAGCGTGCAATGACCAGTGGAAGAACAGGGAGTGCGTCAATTTCATCGTCGCTGAGCTTGTCGAAGCCACTGGCTTCCATAACGATAGCATCCAAGACTTCCTTGGACAGGTCTTTCATGTGAGTGGGAAGAATGCCAACGTCGGCGGCAATCGCTTGTGCAGTGCCCTTGTGATCGCCAGTTAACATGTGGACAATAATACCAGCTTCGTGAGCCTGGCGGACGGAAGAGGCAGACTCTGGACGAGGAGGATCGTAGAGGCCGACAAGACCTCTGAAGGTGAGACCATTTTCGATAGAGTTACGGTCAACCTCTTCGTCCTTCTTGATTTCGCCTTCAAAGTCCTTGCTAGCCAGAGCCAGACATCTCAGTCCAAGCGAGGCAATGGCCTCCATGTTTTGCAGAATGTCTTCTTGAATGGCTTCAGTCATCTTGACAGGGCTACCAGACTCATCTTGGTAGAGATGGGTACAGGAGCCGATGACACGCTCGACAGCGCCCTTGGTAAATATCTGCTTCTTGCCAGTAGCAGCTTCTTCAAAGATGACGGACATCTTCTTGACATCAGAATCAAAGGGGAACTCGGCGATCTCCTTCCACAAGGGGGTTTTCCCCGAAATGAAAGTCGATCTGTTCCAGCCAAAGCGGGCGGCGAATACCTGAATGGCGATCTCGGTGGGGTCACCACGGGCAGTCCATTTGTCGTCTTCATCTTTTTGAACAATGGCGAGATTGTCTAGGGCTGCTACTCTGAGGAAGTGTGCAAGGTGTTCGTTGTCCTTGAGTTCATCATCGTAAGCGACAACGTCGTACTTCTCTTCGCCAGCTTTGATGTTCCTTGGTTCTTCGGGGCTGAACTGGAGGTCGCCAACAGTGGGGTTGGAAGTTTCATCGGTCTCTCCGATGGAGTATGTACCCTTAGCGGGGATCCAGGCCTTCTTGGCCAACATCTTGCCCTGGGTCAATGTGCCGGTTTTGTCAGAGCAAATATCTGTGACACCACCAAGAGCCTCGAGAGAGCGCAGATTTCTGACGATGACGTGACGCTCAACCATTCTTCGGGTACCAGCGGCCATACAGATGGTTAAAATAACGACAAGAGATGCGGGAATCATACTGAGACCAGTGGCGACAGCATAGATGATGACTTCCTGTTGGCTGCTGAAGTCGTTGGCGGCTTCGACAATAACGGCACAGATGACAGCAACGAAGAAGAGCAATACCGCAAGTCTGGAGAGCTGTTTCTGGAGAGGAGTTCCAACGTTGATACCAAGGAAGCGGCCGACGGCATCAGAAAAGGTCAAAGTCCATGCTTGAGCGTATCTGTGAGGTCTGGCTGTACCATCAGCCTTACGCTTGACAGGTCTGACTTTTGAATCCTTCTTGCGAAGTGCTGCGGCGATCGATCCGATCTCGGTATACATGCCGGTAGCGTAGACGATGCCGCGGGCACGGCCTTTGGTGACAACTGAGGACGAATAGGCGACGTTGAGGCGATCTCCAGGGCCAGTGTCTTCATCGAATACGGCTTCGGCATCTTTTCTGACGGGCAATGATTCTCCGGTCAGGAGAGCTTCGTCGGTCTCGAAGTTGACTGCCTCGATAAGTCTAACATCTGCGGGTACCGTGTCACCTAAAGCGGGGTTAGCATCTTTTGAGTTAGATTGCGGGCGTGGGGCAGTTACCTGTCTTGATCTCGACCATGTCGCCAGGAACGATTTCGATTGTGGGAATGTTGACGGTCTTTCCGTCACGGACGGCGTTGGCAGTAGGTGAACTGAGTGACTTGAGGGAATCCATGGTCTTTTCAGCCTTGAACTCTTGCATGAAGCCGATAACGATGTTCAATCCGATGACTGCTGCGACGACACCACCTTCGATCCACGACTTGATAGCAAAACTGACGACCATTGCCATGATGAGCACCTGATATATGTTGTCAGCACGACTGGCGAATTATCGCATGTCTCCTCGTAATACATACCAATGTCATCGCGTTTGCAATTTGGCGGATGAGAATCTTTCCAGGCTCAACACCTCCGGCGTCACCAAGCTCGTTGGTGCCATATGTGCCGTGTCGTTCTTTTGCCTCTGCCGATGAGAGACCATTCTCGGCGTTGGCCTTGATGTCTTCGGTGACTTGAGCGAATGTGAGTGCGTGAGCAGGCTTCGAAAGGCCATTGCCGTTGGCCTGGCCTGACACATGTTGGTCGAGTGTGGTATCTTCTTGCTTGCCCATAATGAATGATTGGGCGTTAGGAATGGTAGATGGTCAAGTACAATGACGAGAGGGGGCCCTTGCATGCCTTATATGTGGCCTGCTCGCATGTCATCTCTAGCGGAGGGCGGACTTCCACCCTTGGCACCCTTATCATTCCTCTGGATGTTTATGCTGCCAAGCGGCGATACGCACAATGGTACCCACGTTTAAGGCATCTCCGTCATCCTTCTCTAGTTATCTTCCTCAGGATAGCCTTGGAAGTTGTAACTATTGTCGAGGGTTTGAGTCAGTATCCAATAAGGTGTCGCATGGCTGGAACCATGTTGCATGGCACCAAGAAACTCAAGAATCTGCCTTGGCGTCCGTCATTAACCTACCTGTTCGTCAACTGCTGCCACATAGATGATGACTATCTACATGAGGAACACAGCTAGAACAACGCAGCTACTTGTGCAATCATGCCGTGTCGACGGACTGTGATCATGGCGTTCGTTGTGTGGTTCGGGGTAGGGTCGAAGGCGATCACTAGACGTCGGCCAAACACCGGGCCAAGACTGTCCAAGACCCTGAAAGCGCCAAGCGCAGCTCGAAGCCGCGGAGGTTTGCTTTTGCCATCAATGCCATGGAGGCAACCCGGGGTAACGGTACACGTGCCAACCTTGTGGAGAGATACGTGATACGTAATGATTGTGAGCTGATTCAACGACCGTGAAGGAAGGCGATACTAGCGATGACAAGAGCAAGCCGAGACTGAAGTTGGCCGATACCCGAGTATGAACACTCGGCGTGCAGCTTACAAAGATAACAACCTTGAGGAAGCGATGCGAAGAGAAAGCTTCTCCTCTAGTATTGGGTTCGAAAGTCGAGCATGTTTGTGTGGTTGTACGACCTCCAATTTCAACAAGCTTCTTACAGGCACGTGAAATGCTTGAGATTAGACGCGAGGAAAGATGGACAGTCGATCCGGAACAGTGCACCAAGGATGCCAGGAGATCGCAGAAGAAGGTAAACGGTATCGGTCGTGGGAGACTTCCTCTTCAAATATTCAAGACCATGCGGCATTTTTGGTATATGCCGCAGGGCAGTGCAGAAACTTTGGTGTGATGAGGAACTGGTGGGCGTCCAAGACACCGCTTCCCAAGGAGCAGCTGTCAGCATGTCTGCGTTCCTTGCGGATCCCTTACCAAAGCTAGGCAGGCAGTGCAAATGCGGTGTATGACGAAGCTGATAAGAGCAAGACAGGGTGGCTGGTAGGTCAGCGAAACGCGCCAAAAGCTGAGCGACGTCTGCCTCGTCAACTGGCGTGCAGATTCAAGTTCTTGTGATTCTGCCGTCTGGGCATCGATCGCATCATGAGATAACATCCTCACAGCTTCCACATTCGCTTGCGGATTGCGCTTGTGTCCACGCTTGTGGTTCGTAATCGCATGAGCGAAGGATCAGCCTAGCGACCAGCCTCTCGTGAAGGGTGCTCCATAAGCACGAGGTATCCATCTCGCTTCTTGTTCTGGTCTCGGGGCATGCGCGCAGGCCTGAACTAGAGCTGATCCACCGAGATCCCAAGGTTCCACCGATCCGGTCAATCTCACCTCTTGCCAAAACGGTGTTGGTTCGCAACCTGAGACCTCGTGGAAAGAGTCGCCAAGATCTCACATGTACAAAAGAATAGTGTGGTACACCACGGGCATCTCCGATGGGCAATGCAGTATGTTTTACTTCATAATCAAGCACTGTAGGGTCGCATCCTGACTGTGTCAAGCCTCACATTGTTGAGGATACGAGCCAGTCAGTATGTGCCGGATGTGACTTTCTTCTGCACAAGCGCATGCCAAGCCATGTTCTGCATACCAAAAATAGATTTTTTTCCAGACTTCGACCAAGTTCTCTCCACTGTTTGCCAAAGAAACCACCTTGCCAGCTCTGTCATCATCTAGGTTTGCCATTAAGGTACCTTTCCAGAGCGTTAGACTTCGTGTCGTAGCCAGTGTGGCGCAAGACGACCCTGATTTGAGACTTCCGAGCTATACCACACCTCGCAAAAGGATTGATGAGGGTCGTGATGCTACCTCACCGCATCCTAGTCTAGCTTCTGATGCTATATTCGACTATGGGGCGTGGAACTCAATTTCGACAAGCACTGGTCGTCAGGTAGGTAGTCGTGACCTCTGACTAGTATATTAATCGCGGTGGGCATCCACTGGAAATCTCCTTCTCATCCACAACAAATACAGCTTGCTTACTGATCATCCTTTGCTCGGAACCACATTCGCTCCATCCATCATTCGCTTTTGACCAATCGTCCTATCACTTGAACCATCTTCCGAAGTTTTGTATCTCGGCATCAAACAACAGCATCAACATACATCTATCCATATTTCAAGATGCATTTCACCACTACCTTTGCTGCTGTTGCCCTCCTGGGAACTGCTTCTGCACTCCCTGGCAAGTTCCAGTTTGAGAAGCGTACCTCGACCGACTGCGAGTCTGCCTACAATGCTTGCCGTACCAAGTATGACGCAAACATGTCCACCTGCGCTTCGCAGTATGCATCTTGCCTTGGGTACAACCCCTTCACTGGTGTCGCTGGTCCCACTGCCTCTGTGATTACAGAGACTGCTCCTATTGGAACTGGCTCTGCAGTAACAAAGACTGAAGAAGTGTACACCACAACAACCGTCTGCCCAGTCACCTCAACCGCCTGGAATGGCAACAGCTCGACCGTCATCACCACAAGCACTACTAGCACAATCACGGTCACTTCATGTGCTGGTGGCTGCCACGGTGGCTCTGCTACCAGCAAGCCTACCACTCAGGCCGAGGGTAGCACTACCGTCAAGACACACGCCATTCCTACCGAAGTAACATCGACAATCACTAGCTTTGTGCCTTGCTCAACTCCCATCATGTCGAACAGCGAGACTACCTTCTTCAGCACCTGGTTGACCGTATCTTACCTCACAACCACCTACAAGACCGTGACAACCAGCTACGAGACCATCCACCCCAAGCCTACCACAGTTCAGGTCTCCACCGCTGTTCTGCCCGCCAGCACTCTTACAGGACATGCTACCGGTACTTGCGCCGCTCCTGAGACTGTCTACGAAACCGTCGTCTCTTACGTGACCGTCTATGGCGAACACAAGACCGAGACCGCTCCTGCTGCCACCAACACCCCCATCCAGCCTGGTTCTACTCTCACCTGGTCTCACACTGGCTCTGCAAGTGGCATTGCTAAGCCTACTGGTTGGGTCCACCCCTCTGGCTACGCTAAGCCCAGCGGACACTAAGCGTGTCCCTCAACTATGCTCGGCACTGGGCATTTGTACATGACCCACAGACCAAATGTACAGACATGAATATCATAATCTTCACGACACTCCTTGATGCCTTCAAAAAATGGGATTAAAAGCGAACTACGGCTTGGTATAGAAGGAAGGACTGGGCGTTTACTTTGGCATTTGCTTTTGCTTGGACACGTTCTACAGTCTTGGTGCTCGCGCCACTCTTAATGTGTTTACATAGCTTTGTGTTGTTTTGGTTTGGACAGTTTATAGAGATTTAGCGTTTATCATGCACTTTTGGCATTCTGCAATCAATAAACTATATGGAACACTCCTTCATCTTTCACCTCTTTATCCTACTTGGTGCACCTTCCCTTGCTTTGAAGCACCAGCTTTCGCACTCTAGGTCATGTGTATCACAAAGCAACCAAAATCGGTACTGGCTTTCATATACCACGACTGCGCACATTGAAGGTTTGTCTGAAACTTGCAATCGTACTCGAACTCTGAATCTTGTCATTTTGGGTATAGTATGTATAATCATGTCTCATGCAGAAGATTGGGCCATGCGAGCCTTGCGTTCTTCCTCCTCTTTCTTGCCATGTACGCCACGCAAAAAGTCCATTTTCCCAATATAGCCTTGCTTGCTTCGACCATACTCGTCCAACTCGTCCTTTAATCCTTCTTGATCGACGTGGGTAGCCCAATCGATGGCCGACTTCTGGACGGTATTGAGCTTGACAGCCTTGCCCTTCTTGGCTTCTTCTTCGAGTCTGTTTTGTAGTGCCAGCACGTCTGCTCGGGATGGAGTGCGTAGTCTTTGTCGCTCTGGGGGTAGGCCTCTAACCTCGCCGGTGGGATTGGGCTCGAATTTGGAGGCGCGGCGTAACGGTCGACGGAGGGTGGGTTGGTCGTCTTTGGGTGAAGGCGAACGTGGCTTAGATTGTTTCGCAGGGTCGTTGTTTGCGAGGAAGAGTTTCGCTTCGGCCGAGTCCTTGTGTACGCGCTTCTCTTCTGTGACTTTTTGACCGGCAAAGTCGTAGGACCGCTTGATGGTGATCATGCCTTCGCCATCTTCAACACCTTGCGTAGTTCGAGCCTCGGCTTTTTCGGGTGCGCTGTTCTGCTGGATCGCGTCTTGCTCAGGCTTCGGCTGCTCTCGTGATGGTCGACCGATCGGTTTGGCAGTCATCGAAGCCCAGAGGGCGTCCACATCGACCGTGACATCTTCGACATTGGCTCTTTGGTATTCCTGACGCTCTTGCATCCTGCGACGAAGGTTAGGAGTGTCCCATAGCGATGCGACAGGCAGACGTACTCTAGTTTCCTTTGCGCCCGCGTCTTGATCAGTCCTCCTTCGCCGCCGCTGTCCTCATCGTCATGTGCCTTGCGCTTCTTCGACCTTCTTAATTCTGTTATCGTCGCTTCATCTCCAGAATCCAGCTCTTCGACATCCGTCTGAGCCTTCTTTCGTTTCTTTGGTGCTTTCTTTGCCTGCGGAGCCTCGTCTTCGGACGAGGACAAGTCCTCATCCTGTGGTGCGTCTACCGCTTCTGGGTTGAAATCCTCATCTTCGCTCGACTTGTACTCTTCGTCTTGATCAATGGGCAATTTGTCTTCGTCTGGCATTTTCTCATTGTGAACTTGGTTCGCGATCAACAGGGACGAAACATAAAGACAGGCCGTGTTTGCTCTGTTTGACCCATGACGCTTTTCTCCGCCTTCTGATTTCACATGCACGATGCTTGTTTCTGTCCGACAGGAGATACAATTCTCTCGTTATACCATTAAAGATCTCATATTCTACAATGCCATGTTCATATCGGCATGATTTATCCGATCGTCTTACTTCTGGAAAGTGTTGTTCTCGCCCTTGCCCAGTTGCTCCTGGACAGTGCCACCGATGGCTCCACCAGTGGTGAACTGCTTGCCAATCGCGCCCTGCGACGAGAATGGTCCGCCAACCTTTTCGCCAATCTGACCAATTGAGCCACCAGCTAGCATTTGATCAGCAACCATCGTGTCTGTATGCTAAGGAGAATCGAGCTTACATGTGAACTGCTTGCCAATGGATCCTTCTGCACTAAATGCTGGGGTGCCAGTGCCTGTGGTCTTCTCGCCTGCGGGCTCGCCCCTGGGTACTGCGTCCTCATGGATGCCAGTCGATCCGAAATCGTCGACTCTCAAAGCGCTAGAGGACTGTCAGTGTTCCTTCGAAAGAGTCAGTGATCCGAATCTACTCACGCAGAAGCGCCCTTGTCCATGGTCTTTGCTGATGAGTCTCCGTCCATTGTGTCTGTATAATTTGTGTGTTTGCTTGAAAAGATTTGATTGAGTTATGTATTGATCCAGAAGTGCTCGAGTGCTATTCTCCTCGATCTCTTTTATACATGCTGCTGCTCAGCAGAGCTGTCATGATGGAATATCGAGTTCGTCATACTCCAAATATCATTTCGTCATTACGACATGTACGCAGTCAAGTGTCAACGGATCGTCTTACGCGAGAGCGATGGAAATGGTTCGAAGACGAATTCGAGTCTCGTACGACGCTGTCTCTGATGATCTCATTGACGTCCTTCTGTTGTTTGTTCAATTGTTGTCGTGATGAGTGTTTTCTTCATGATTCATGATCTCGGCTGTGAGCAGATAGGTCTTCGAGGAGCTCGACTCTGACCTATAAGCGTCCAGCCCTCCTCCACTTTGCTTCAACCGATTCATGCACCAAACTTGAGGCGACCCCACGTTGCTTCACGTCTTGCCCTACGTCGCCCCCAGTTCAATGGGACATGGTCAGTGGTCTTGAATTTCCAAATCGTTTCGGAAATACCACGGACTAAAGCCGGGGACTGCATTTATGGCAACCTCTAGATGGAGAACTGCCCTTCCACTAGATGTTAAGTTTTTCTGCCGAAATTACTATCACGCAGACAATTGGATGGACAAGATCTGAGGCGTGTTTCAGCTAGCACTAAAGATGGTTGGCTTGAGGCTCATTGAGTTCAGATGCCGGCTACTATTACGCAGTCCAGATGCGTGAAGAATGGTCCTCGGAAGAAGGAAGCCGGAACGAGTAAGGCTTGCCGTGCTACAGCCGAGCGCGATCTAGCGTCACCTCGAGACGGGCACGGATAGGGCGGGGATGGTCTGCCTTGTAGGGATGGCCGCTTGCTGTCCGAGTCCTCCACACATCAAAAGGCCAACCAGCTCTCACCACCGGACCGGATTAGCCTTTGCATGGGTAGTCTCTCAGCTGTCAGCAAGCACCGGTCTCCAGGCACAGAGATCGGATTTGCGCGATGCAGCAGCAACAGCAAGTAAGCGACAGGCTTCAGGTGGCGCGCGATAGCACATGGCTAGTTCTGCGACTTTTCAACGTTTTCTCCTCCCGATGCGTGCTGGTGTGTCCACATAACGGCGTTTGAGCCACGAGCTGGCGAGTCCCTAGTCAAAGCCCAAGTCTTTCCCTTTGCTCCCTCTCGTCCTCTTGCTTGCCTTGCGCGACTTGTCTACATGTTGGCGAGTGCGACAGTGATTCGCCCGTGGCAGTCGACCGGACGCTTTCGTTCTGCTACTTCCATTCCTTTGCATCCTAGTTTTGCCCTACTGCTTCTTTGTCACTAATCCACACCACACACACCACACACCACACACACTCTCTTTGTCCCACATCTCCAGGATCTAGGCAGTTGCAGTTGTACACACGGATTCGGCAGGGTGCATCCAGCACCGCACAGGTACCAAGATGCTTTTGGAACGACCACTCTCGTTTAAGCGCGCCTCTGCCCGGCAAACACTATATCCTTATCCAGACTCCCCCGCGCTAGGAGAACAGGACCGTCGATCAATGTCCACGACTGGCGGAGCTCTGCCTCGACGAGAAACATACAGGAGCGGCGTCTTTACATTGCATCCCCAAAAGACGGGAGAGCAACTTGCCCGGACGCGGGATGACGACGGATCCGGCGACGAAAGAGACCCAGCAGAGATCGAAGCTGCATATCTGAACCTCGTTGGCGGAGGAGGCAATCGCTCACGGAACATCAGCTCCGAGTTGTCATTCGGCATGTCTGGCGATAAGGATGGCATAGATGTGCAGGGCTACACAATCGAAGAGTCGAAGAAGAGGACAAACTACTACGAAGAGCAATTCCAGTACAAGGGGAATGGTCTGAGCAGTGTGCGCGAGAGAATTGAAAAGGACTCTCCAGTCGTGGCCGAGCTGCGGACCAATGTCATTGTACGTTATTGTTGGAGATGCGCTTGTCTGCACGTGGCGGCTAATGCAAGGCCAAACAGGTCAAGGACGAATTCAGCCTCGTGACCGACATGTCATACAACCTCAGCCAGCGCTACTCACGCCCCGAGAGCAGCATCATGGTCAATGTCGAGCATTCGGCCTGCTTGCTGCTCGCCGGCTCCTTCGAACCCGCGTACATCCTCACAATCACCGCCCTCCCCTCCCAATTACAACCTGTCACCAACAAGCGCAACTCGGCCCTCATCCAATCATTCATGGCAGACATCCTCGCCGTCCCCCCAGAAAGAGGCATCCTCCGATTCCAGCCCATCGCCGAAGAAAACCTCGCAATCAACGGCACAACTGTATACGGCGAGATTGAGCGGATTGAAAAGAGCAGCATAGACACGGACGTGACGGCTGCAAACGCCATCAAGCGTGCCTGGACCAGAGGTTCGCGAAGATCAGTCCACGCAAAGAAACCGACCGTCAGGAACACCGACGACGTCCCCTCGGCACTCCCACAAACCGCAAACACACACCTGCCCACCACCAGCCACTCTCGCCAGCCTAGCCAAAACATGTCTCAATCCGCTGTATCGCTCACATCACATCCCGGCCCAGCTTTCGTCGCTGGCGCAACATCACCAGTACTGGAGGAGAAGCCCAAGTCCCCAGAACAGACGCCTACACCAATAGGCACACCGAACGGAGAGGAGAAGCGAAAGAGCACACTAAACGGCATTTTGAAGAACGTCTCGGCTTCTCCTCGACCCGCATCGTCTCACACACCGGCATTAAAGCCTCCTCCAATTCCGCAAAATGCTTCGCCAATCAGTCCAAAAGTGGCCAAGAGGAAAAGTTTCATCTCAATATTCAAACGCTGAATAAAGCACATATACATACTCGAGAGCGAGGAAGGTGGATACAAAAGGTTGGTTTCTTGCATATCACGGCGTTTCTTCTGTTTCTCTACTCTCTTCTTTTTGCATCTTTTTTTTTGGCTCTGCTCGGTACCATTGGCTGTCTTGTCTCTTGTCGGTTCTTGTGCTTCCTGATTTCCATCTTGCTTTATACCCTATCTAGAAGCCCGGTCTCCTTTATTCACAAGGAGCGTCAACAGGTCCAGTTTTCTGGACTCTTGTAATTAGACCAATCCCCCTCTTTTTTCCCCTTTAATAAGCTCTGCTATCTCTAACTGCTCTGTTTCGAAAAGTGAACAATTTTTGTCACCTTTCTGTGTTCCCCTGTGATTGCCAGCCATGCCTATACTGAAAAGTCCAAGGCAGAACATCACTAGTAGCATATAACCTTTACGAGCCCAGACTTCTGATGATGTGAATACCTAGATATAAGGGCCAATGACGGCATAATCATGTACAGAGAGATGATAAGCACTGCTGTCTCGGGAGAAAATGCCAGTGTACTCGGCAACATCCCTTTCGGCGGGAGAGGTGATGGACGAATCCGAATTGGCAGACAGTCTCAGCATGCGAGGGATCACATCGAGTCCAATCTCATGGGCTATTGTGTCCAGACAACATCTTCTGCATACACTCCATGCACGTTTGGGCGTGAGATTGGTCGCAGGATCGTTGACACTCAGGTCGAGGAACAGCTCAGGTTTGAGACAAGATCCGAGACCTCCCATGGCCAAAAAAATTATTTGGACTGGATGAGATGGCGTGCGCGACAAGGCCTTTGTCGGGAAGCAGGATCTCAGGTTCGAAATGTACAGTGCCTCTCTCAACAGGGCTCAGGTTAGCAAACCATGTACTTGAGAGGATGTCTCCCTCGCGACTCTCTGTGCATCGAGTCACTGCTGCAGCAATGCACAATGAATTCCGAATAGACGATGCTTACGACGAGATTCTATCATGCAGATTACTCCAACTTCGCTTCGTCCGATCTGAAAAGTACTGTGCATTTCTTCACGCGAAATAATGTCCGGGCATGATATGCCGAGCAGAAAAGTCGCTGTTGGCATTTTTGTAAAAGTCGCTGCAGCACGAGACAAGAACAGACATGAACGCGAATGATAACTGTTGTAGTAATTTTGAGATTGTTTTGGAGTTTATATACGGTTTGTGGTTTATATACGGGCAGTCATAAGGAGTGTAAAGCTACCTCGCCGGCCTTTTGCGGTATACGCGATATGTTTTGGACACCATCAAAAGCTCTTTCAAGCCGAGATGTGTATGTGTCTGAGAAGATAGAAAAAGTGTAAAAGTAGACAGGCCAGAGGTCATTAAGGGGGTTCATCATTATATCATATCCCATTCAAGGGATGATCAAAAGAAAAAGTGTGAAGAAAAAGAAGAAAAGGGGTTACAGGAGAAGTGAAGGAGAAAGGAAAGCAGTAGAACGTCCTAGAGTTGGAGAGGGAACCTAGAAGAAGAAGATGGCAGCCATGGCACCGACGGCGGCCATGAAGCTGACGTTGTTCTTGCCAGCGGCACCGGTAGAGACAGCCAGGGTGGTGGTAGCAGAGGCGGTGCTGCTGCGAGTGCTGCTAGGGATGTTGACCTGGATAGAGCTGCTCACAACAGATGCGATAGAAGAAGCAGCAGAGCCGGAGCTGACTGGGACAGCGGGAGGGGCCGATGAAGGGCCAGGAGCTTGAATTTGACCGTCGCTGATCTGAGTGACAACGTTACCAGTGGGCTTTGAGGGTGAGCTGGCAGCAGGAGTGGTGGCGGGTGCACTCTGGACAGGCACAACGGGGTGTGACTCAGCGGAACTCTGAACGGGCGCGACGGGCGAAGAGGCAGGGTGCGATTCCGCGGGTGCAAGAGGTGTAGAGGCAGGGTGAGATTCCACGGGTGCAACGGGCGAAGAGGCGGGATGCGATTCGGAGGGTGCAACGGGTGTAGAGACGACGGAGGTAGTCATGAAGACCGAGGTCGATCCATGAATATCAGTTGTGGTGTAGGGGCAAGTAGTTGTGTACTGAGTAACAGGCACAACGATGGTGACCTTTCCAGAGCTGACGGGAGAGACGGGAGAAGACTTGGGCGTCTCGACAACAACATAAGGGAAAGATGTGGTCAAGGTCTTGGATCCTGAAGGGCACTCGGTGCAGGGCTTGATAATCTCGGTAGTGCTGTACTTTGTAACAGTGACGGGCTTTGTTCCGTTGCTGTAGACGGGGTGGGTAGGGACGACTGCGCCTTGAGTAGGGGCGGTGATAGTGACATCCTTGCTGACAGTCGAGCGGCTGATGATTGTAGTGGTCAAAACGGTAGGAGATGTCAGAGTGGTCTTTGAGCTACCCATGGTGATGACTTGACCCGAGCTGCAAGTAGTCAAGGTGGTGATGACGATCTCGGAGATTGTCTTGGTCGAAGGAACGGGGACGGGAACGAAGCCAGAGGGAACGAAACCTGAAGGTCCAGCATGTCCTTGGGTTGTTGCGTTCCAGACAGGGTAAGGAGCAACGACAGTGCTGTAAGAAGGTGCAACAGTCGACTTGGAGCAGCCTCCCTTGCAAGAAGTAAGAGTTTGAGTAGAAGTGGTGGTGAAGGTCTTGGTGAAGGTCTTGCCATCGCTAACAGTGGTCTGAGTGACAGGGCAGACAGTGGTAGTGGTGTACACTTCCTCGGTCTTGGTGACGTCCGGGACGGATTGAGTAGGCTTGCAGCCACCCTTGCATGAGGTAACGACAAAAGTGCTAGTGCTAGTGTAGGTGAAAGTTTGGCCTTGCTTGACAGTCGTGACGGGGCACAGAGAAGTTGTGGTGTAGACAGTGCTGGTCACGTTCTCTGCGGGCTTGGTAGGGTGAACCCAAATCTGGGTTGAAGGAGTCTCTGTGGGCTTAGAGCATCCACCCTTGCACGAGGTCACGGTCAAGGTCGAGGTGGTCAGGTAGATTGATGTATGGCCGTTAACGACGCTAGTAGCAGGGCAGACGGTCGTGGTGGTGTAGGTGATGAGAGTAGAAGTTGCGTTCACGGGCGAAGTAGATGAAGCAGAGCTTGATTGCTCGGTCCAGCCAGTAGGCTTGTAAACAGGAGCAGACGAGCTCGAGTCAACCCATCCGGTAGGCTTGTGGGCGGGCACCGATGAGGAGGTGCTGAGCTCAGAAGTAGAAGACAAGGAAGAAGAGGAGGATCCAGTGTGAGTCCAGGTCTCGTTCCAGCCACCGGCGGATGCAAGACCAACCAGGCCTGCGAGGATTGAGAAAGACTTCATTCTTTTACAGGTATGAGGTCGACGTCGGGTGATTATGGCTTTTGATGGATGTGTAAACGAAAGTATCCGAGAGACCGTAACGAGAGAGTCTCTTAGGGTGAGTTGATAAAAGCGATTGGGATGATGGAACCATCAACAGGACGAGGAAGCAAGACAATTAATATATCCCGCCTTTCCCAGCATGTTGACTGCCCAAGCTCGAGATGCTCCATCCTCCACCTCTGGTACTCTACCGATTGACGTGATTTAGAGTGCGCCACTGATGAGGATCAACCGGTACCAGCATTGGACATTGAGTATTGACTGCTGGCAGGCACACATCTGGTACGAGGTAAGCGGAGCAGCCGACTACCTTGAGCTTGGCAGAGACGAAGTTTTTTCGTATCGGGGTCGATAGCTCGAAGGTTCGTCGCCCAAGGACCGACCCACGCGATGACTAGGCGGCACGAGAGCTCCACCTGCATGCAGCGAGCGTGCCCTAGCCAACCGAGCTCCCACCTGCCGGCTGCTTGCGCAGGACACTTCTTACTCGCATAGAGCATGGGACTGTAATCCGGAAGTCCGCATGTCCAATCCTTGTCCAGCAGTCATACGTTTGCTCGAGTTGCTACATGACGTTGTGTATCCGGAGCGGTCTCAGACACGTTTCCGTATGCTCGTTGATTGAGCGTTTTATCCTCGACGAAACTCAACGGCGGGTTGAACGGCGTGATGGTGGCTTCCATAATCCAAGACAATGAACCTGCAGTAGCGTTCCAGTTTGGCAGAAGGAAGACCAAAAGCCAGAAGCAGAAAATAGAACATGGCATCACGTCGATCTTGTGGGGAGCAAAGGGCCGCCCATAACCGAGAGAGCGATCAACGAACCACACCAACTCTAACCCGGGTGTTCCTGACCATTGACAAGAGGTTGAAGAGACGCCATCGCAGTTTTTCTCTGCAAGAACTAAACCTTGCTCAAGCTGAAGGATTTGGAGACGCATTATGACACCTCGAGCTCTCAACAACACCGTGGAGATATCGTATTCCCACTGTGGACTCCATGCGTCTATCGGATCACTGCAATTGTTCACAAGCTCGATGGCTAGATGGCTTTTCCATACGAGTTGCGTGAGCAGACACATTTCTAGGCCAAAGGTGTCACGCGGTCACACCGGGAGCGAACAAGATACTATTGTTATACAGCAAGGTGTGGAATATACGAGTGACAAGCAGATAGATGTCACTTTCACCATGCCACCACAGCTCCAGCTCGGTCGGTGAGGTTGCATCCAAAACAATTTATCCATCGCTCGATGGCTGGATGCATGTGATGTGTCGTGCTTTGCTGCTGGCGCAGAAAAAGTTCCTACTAAGGGATTCAAGCCACCGACGCCATGAAAATGCTGCCTTGCGAGCTTTGACTTCCGCCATGTCCTTGTCTGAATCGTTGCCGCCATCCGCGCAAGGACTGACGATGCGCCATGCTCGAGCAGCCTCACGGAAGTCAGTCGGAACTAAAGTTCCTGGACTCTTGCCTTCTTTGACGATAGTGGAGCAAAGCACGCTCTCATATCCACCTTGCACCTTTGGTTCGCGTGGTAATAGAATACACATAAGCCAATCACAAAATAGAAGAGGCTGCGGGTCACCCTCGGCAGCGACTTCTGACTTTGTTCCTGCGCGGACTTGTGCCCAGCCTTTTCTTGCCTTCCGAGCTGCCTTCGCACCATCGAGTTCAAAGGCTGGCTGCGAACCTGTAGCCAAAATGGGAGCATTAATGCAGGTACCTGGCTAGTTTCCACTTGTCAAGTGCATAAGAACAAAGCATGAATTATTCTGGTGTCCTACAACCGAGAGGATACGAGTGTGCGATTTTTTGTTGAGGACTCTCTCTGCCTCTTACGATGCTTGCTGTTCGAAAAGCTTGCCCACCTACGCCATTACTCACGATATGCACTCCGCAAGAGCTAATGCACTCTCACAGTCAGATCACCGCCCAATTCAGCTTATTCTTCCGTCTGCCCAATTCTCAGTGGGCCCACCCAAGGGAAGAACTGAACAGGAAGGAGGGGGGTGCAGGGCAGAGAAGGCTTCCACCAACCCAGCTGTTGTGACTGCAAGGTTAGACACTGCCCTGTTGACCGGCTGTTGTCCTGCCTCTGTGTGCTGCAGCCTGCAGGGCAAGCAAAAACAACGCAACAAGTAGTTGTATCTTGTAACTTGCAGACTTTGCTTTCAGCCGGATCTTGTGGTTTCAAGAGTCATCATCGCTCTCGCTACCACTCTCCCATCCATCCTCATATTCCTCACATATCCCAACAAGTCCATCACAAAGTGCCTCACGCTCGTCAATTCCGATTATTGAGCGAGCGATCCTTTCCACCGAGCGTATTCTCTTGGCGACTGAAGTAGTTGTGGACAGAGTCGCTTGCACGGCGAGCTTCTGGACAATGTTACCAGACGCAAACACCTGTGGGAAGCTGTCGATGACAGGGAAAAGTAGTGAAGATTGGTGACTATAATTCTCGTCAGTATTGCTCGTGTTCTGCCGCACATGGCAGCATCGTATTTTCAATGTCTCAACCCACCATTCAATCCTGGGACCATGACCAAAGCGATCACGAGATGCAAGGTTCGCGTCTTCGATTTCGATGCTCGACTTCCACTTGCCGCGGAGACTCTGCAACTGACTGAATACGTGTGTTCGGCGAGACTCGTTGCCTCGTATGCCAGTCAGGTTTGCAGTCTTTGGCTGCATGTCTATATCGAGGTCTTTGGCGTCCGAATCATCATGACTGTGATTTCCATTTGTGAAGCCGTTCATTCTGCTGTCATGTTGTGTTGTATGGCCATCTACTTCTTCTTCAAGTTCAGCTGGATCTTTGATGCTCATATTGAGTTGGGCGACTCTGCGGTTGCCATCATTGCTCAACAAAGTCTCAATGTCAGCAAACGACGAGCGACCTTGATGATTTGAACGCAGTCTGGTTGGCAGAGTTATGCTTTCTATAGCCAGCAGCTGCAATGCAGAAGTGTGCCATCTAGACGACCCATTCAGATTGATGTACGACGGCAGCACATCCGGTAGTGTGGTCAATGGGATATACATGCTTGCCTGGCTCGAAATCTGGTAGATCGACTGTGCAACATTGGCGATCTGTAAGATTTGCTTGTCCTGCATCCAGCATTAGTACTTGTATCAAGATTCTCGTGCATGTGCATGTGCATGTTACCCTTGGCTTGCGTCCACCTTCCTCAAGACCCCATACCCAGGCACTCGTCTTTCCGAGTTCGTCTCGCATTCTTTCCAGATACTTGGCTGCGAATCCACCCCAGGCATCATCGGCGGAAGTGATCATCTGAATCGCTTGGAGTTGGTCACACTCTTCCAGGAAAGGCCGTAAGTCTCTGTCCAGGAGGTCGTGTTCTTTGTCAAGACTGTCGAACAGATCCTCTCCAGTTGCCCATTTCTCAAAGGGCATAAGCGCAGAGTTCAACTCGTACTCCTGCAACTGAACGATCGACTTGGGATGATAGAACACCCTGTTGAAGTCGGACCAGTAGCGAACAGTGTCTGGAGATAATGCGGGTGGTTCAGTTCCCTGGTCTAGATGTTGCTGGTATGCACTTTGCTGGATTTGTTCCGTCCGGATAACATTCGTGTTTCCCGCCCTGTGTACCTTGTAAGCCGATTGCGGTTATGGTCAGTCAATGTATACATGAAACATACCACATCTGCTGTGCAATAGCTGCAGGATCATCAGTGGCACCGTAAAGTGCATTATCTCTTCTCAAGGTTCCGAATGCGCCTTTCAGATCATAAATCAGTGCGCGAGGCGTGAATGTTTCGGTGCCATCTTCTGAATGACCGGGCCGGAAATGAACATCATGGTCTACAGGAGATTCTTCTTCGTCACCATATGTGAAGTATGTTTCCTAAGAGGCAATGATCAGTGTCTGCATCATTAATTCAAATGTCCATCCTTTCACTAGTCGTGTATTTGTATGACATAGTCTGCTGTCGATACTGACTTGGATCTCGATTGATCTCGCGCATGATCAATCACGCGTTTGAAGAGGCTGGGGACGTTGTGGAAGTAGAAGGCTTACCTGCGCGTTCCAAAAGTGAGTGCCGATATGATTGGCCTGCTGGCCAAATTGCAGAGTAATTACTTCATGCATCTTCAAAATGGCAGTGGTATGTTGGTAAAAACAAGCCAAAATCAGTGGCTAAAAGACAGAGCAAGATAAACCCTTGAAAGTAGTGAGGCGAGAGCTTCTACCAAAAGCGGAGGCGGGCGACAAATTGAGAAAAATACACAATAATGGAGATCAATTCGATTAGGTCGCGAGACGCGTATTTACAGGTTTGCATTATTCGTTATAGTTATAGGAGTGATATGCAAGCTCTACAGGTTGTAATGAGAGCAGCTGAAGATGACCTTCTAACCCATGAGCTGCAGGGGAGTGGTTGGTGGCCAGCGGGTTTGTGAGAAACTCAGGCATCTCTTGATGGACTGCAAGAATTTTCTAGTGATTTCATCACTCATGATATGCGCAGCATCCGTGTCGTTTGCATGTAGCTTTTCGCGTGCGGATCTCTCGTGGATGCCGACCATGGTGACACCAATAGGCCAGGCACTGGGATGGAGTTAGCGTTTGCATTGCTGTGTGGTACTGCAGAAGCTTGACTTACGCTTTTCCGATACTCAAACGTAGGTAGGCATCATTGGCATCGACGTAACGTCTCTCTTGACAGGCTCGGACAATCTCAACAATCGGACCCAAAATGCCCTCCTCAACCTCTCCTCTTTCCAATTTCCTATATAGCGGAACCATGCTGTCGCGAGCTTGAACCATAGCACTGTAGGCAGCTTTGCCGCTACTGCTTGTCTTTACAGCTTCATCTCGGAGAGACAACGAGACTTGCCATTCCGACAAGACAAGAGTGAAGTATGAGGCGAGTTGACGGCGGAGGAAGGATCGAGCGTCCGGGTCCTTGGGAACAGTGGCAGGTACCTTCATGTCGGCTTCGGGTACAGGCTGAAGAGCCGTCGGGATAGGGCCTGGATACATGACTGCTTTCGGCTTGCCTGTAGCATCCAGGCCAGCGAGTTTTCGGTATCTTCGCAATCGGCCAGTATGTGTTTCTCCGAACAGGCGCGTCGGCTCTTTCATCTCCCTCAACTTTTGTACCAGCTCTTCGTCTGGCGTGTCGTTCTCAGGCGCAGCTGTGGCATCGCCGCTCTCGAGAGCCTTCTCTTTCGGTGGCAGCTCTGGGAGCCCCAGTCTCTTTCGGCGGATCCTCTCCTCCTTCTCCTCTTCTTCCTCTCTCAGTCGTCTGCTCTCTTCGGCCAGCCTCTTTCGCTTCTCCTCTCTTGCTCTGTTCTTCTCCGTCTCGTCCTCCTCAAACTTGCGCTTCTTCTCTAGCCTCGCGAGTCGCGCGTCTTCGATTGCTTTCTGCTCGGCGGCGTATTCGGCTTGTCGTTGTGCCTCGACATCGGCGCGCTTGATGTATTTGGATGGCTTTGCTTGCTCCAGCGTCTTTGATTTTGACGCAGGTTTGCCTTTGGCGATTTGCGCCGACATGAGCGATGCGAAGTCCATGGTGTTTTCGAGAGCGTCGTATGCAATTAATATTATGGCAGTAGTTGTTGTGAGAGTCGCATATGAGACCTGCTTCTTGCTCGCAATTGATGATTTGAGAGATGCACATCTTATCGCGGATCTGCCCGCTGCGATTACGTGCACGCCGCGCATGAGAGAACAACCCTGGTGACCATCGCTCTGTCCGTCGTCTGCTTTTGTGGTCAATCAGTTTGTACCTGCTCTTTGAAGAGACAGCTGTCACTGTATTGATCTTGTGTCTTAGTGTACGACAATCACATGTCATCTTAGTCTAGTCTAATCTAGTTGAGTCTGGTGGACTTTCGGTGTGACTGAGGCACAGCTAATGTCAACCTTGCTGGAAAATTCTTGTAGTGCGTTTAGGCCGACAATAACGTCTAGAACGACGATAATTGAACGGGTCCAATATAACGTGATATTCAAATTGCATTCAAACCCTCGGCGATGGTCTCAGGGCTATACAGACATTGGGAGAGCCGTTTACGAACGAGAGACAGGGTCGTACACGCTGCAAGAATACATGGTCAAGTTGTTGCGTCAACAAGCACAGAGTGAAAAAAGTATACTAACGATGTCTCGCACAGCTCGCTTGCTGTGTAGACGATACACATCAGAATATAGAGGTCACGTCCGTATCACCAGGCTGGCTACAAGAGCACAGATGAGATCTATCAGTCCGTCTATCAACTCAATCATGGGTCCAATCTAACGCCTCCAGCCCCGAGGATTGCGGCTGCTGCCCATCCAAGACCGCCAAAGAGGTACAAGGCTGTCGCAACCACACACTTCCAGAAGAGATGCTCGCCGACCCAAGAGCTATACGCCGGAGGCTGTGGAGCTCTTGCTAATGCTCGACCAAGATCGTTACGTGGATCCCAAACCGTCCTTTGTCTAGTCTCGAGAGTCGGATGGATTGAACATTTGATCATTCCTCCAAGACTGACCGAGCTCACTGCAATCCATGTCAAAAGCAAGAGGAAAGTGAATATCCCATCGCAGACCACAGCTCCCATCGAAGGATCATCTTTCAAAATTTTCAGCAAGCCAGAGATCCCCACAAAAAAGTGACGGATGTCAAGATGGTCGAGATACAATCGGTTGGCGATATGGTCCTCAGGATCGGTGACAGTACGCCAGAATATGACATACTTCGAAAAGAGACAAAGCGTGACTGATAACAGACCGGTCGTGAAATAGACCTTGGTCTGTGACTCCTGGACACTATTGATCCGTCGGTGGTGATCGGGAGTTTTAGGCACGATCCATGAGAGTAACGGAACAAGTAACGTTAACAATGAAGTAAATAGCAACTGGCGTTGGAAGAAAGGGCTGTTGAGAAAGTACATCATCTGCCACACGAAGATGTGCTGGGCCAGTGACACGCATCCGATGATACCGTGCAGCCATTCGGTGTTGTACCAGTAGGGTTTCCTTGCTGGAGGCGTCAAAAGTATAAACAGGAACAGCAAGCAATGAGCACAGCTCAGACTTGTCATCGCTATCCAGACAAGTGCAAGCATCGGTAAAGTACTCAATCGACGAAGGTGAGCTGTTTACGGGTCTGCATTAGCCGATGGTGGTGTATTAGCGAAGGCACAGCTTTACATACACTGATTCAAGACAAACAAGGCAAAGGTGATGAGCCCGGCAAACCATTGCTGCGACCAGAACAGAAAATATCCCCATTCGGGCCGTGGGGTCTCAGTTTCAGCTGCCCAAGCACGGATATGTAGCATCTGGAACATGCGGGGCATATAACCCAAGTAATATCTGTAGGAGTGTCAGTATGACACAGGTGAGAGAAGTAGCAGTGGTTATTGAACGAACTGGTAGAACCTAGGCCAAATCGAGTTGGGTAATTCCCTCCAAGGGACCTCACGCCCATTGATTATTCTCTCAGAGTAGCCGGCTTGGTAGTCCGTGACGATGTAAGAGCAGACGACGAACGAAGCCAGGTATCCCGCGATGAAGATGTGTCGGGAACTTATCGAACTCGAGGTGTGAAAAACTGCGAATCTGTCTCTGGTTGGATTTTATTGGCGAGCGCGGTGGATGTAAAAAACGACTACGCCTACACACGCCCAGAAGAATGTCAGGCTGTGGTCGCCTGGGGAGCCTGGGAGCATTTGACGCAAAAGGTCGAACATGTTTTCACCCAATTTCAAGTGAGAAGAAGCGAGAAGCTGACAAGAGAAGGATGATAGGGAGAAAGTGGTTGCTCTTATTCGAGGTTTCTGGGAATGCGCATTCACATTCCATTGTGGTGAGTGGAAACATTTCACCTAGCCTTGCACAATGACAGGGCGATAATGGACGGATCCCTTGCATTGTGAGATGACAGAGGGACGGAGCGTGGAGCAAGGGTTCAGGAAGGGGGCAGTAGAGCACCTTCCCCGCCAGCGTCTTGACCAACAAGCTTGTCGCGTCTCTGGCGGAGCTTCTAGATGCCATGCGGTTGTTGACCCTTGACCGCTTCACACCCATGACTGCTTTCTTAGCAGTAGTCCTTTGCGGTACATAGCATGAAACAGCAGTCATGTACCACTTAGTCAAGTCGCTCTATCTGCACGCGACAAGCAAAGAAGGTATGGACCGCAAGTCGACAGAGCGTCGCAATTTGGCTTTGACTTTGGCTGACGCGACACGTCACAAGAGTACTCAATCCTCCTCCTTGGACTTGACAATGCTGGAAAGACCACCTTGCTCGAGCAGATCAAAGCGCTCTTCAGCCCGCACCTCCACCCCAAACTCAACACGGTTCCCACCGTCGGACAGAATGTCTCCACCGTCGACCTGCCAGACATCTACCTCAAGATCTGGGATGTCGGAGGCCAGCACTCGCTGAGGGGTCTATGGCAGTCATACTACAGCAGTTGCCACGCCATTGTCTTTGTCATCGACAGCACAGATGTAGGTGATGGAGACATCGAACACCTGAGCAATGCCCAAGATGTGGTCGAAGAGCAGGGAAGACTAGACGAGTGCCGGCTCGTGCTAGAGAGCATTTTACAAAACGGTGAGACCGAGGGTGTCCCTCTTCTCGTCCTGGCCAACAAGCAAGATCGCGAAGACTGTGTCGAGGTTGTACGCATCAAAGAGGGTTTGGTGCGCAAGATCGTCGAGGGCGAAAAGGGAGGAAGTGTTAGAGACAGCAGGGTTCTTCCACTGAGCGCCCTCACCGGTACAGGCGTCAAGGAAGCCGTCGACTGGCTCTGTAGCAGAGTCAAGTGGAACAAGGAAGCAAGACCACCTGCTCTGCGATGATATGGCGCGACCTGTTCGGCATCGAGCACCCTCATGCCACTCTTGTCAGCAGGCGTACAGTGTGAAACACCTGCTCGGGTCAACATCACAAGGCGCCTCCACCCGATACTGCCACTGTCCAGCCACGATTTAAGCATTTGCCCGCGTCATGTCGCATCGCGATCGAGTGTCCAGACATACTCGCCCAACCCGTTCGCGATCGCACGCCGTAGCTACAAAATGGACACATCTAGAAAGTACGGGCGGTGCTATCACAAACTTGCTTTCTGTTGGTCTGATTCTCTTCCACTAAACAAAGTGTTCAGTCTCAGACGCAACAAGTAGGACCTACTCAAGTCAAAAACAAGTGGAAGCGCGATAACTTCCTGTAGAGGGGATGCTCATCTCAGAGTGCAGCGATTTAGGTGATGGGCCATACTCACGACGATCAAAACTGCCCGCCTACCATATCACCACTAAGGCAATCCAAGACGACCGTCATCTTGTTTCTTGTATGTAGAATAGCAAGAGTGTACCAAGTTTCATGTACATACGCATCGTCATAGCCTTTCTCTATCTCCGGCTATAGCCGATATCTCTGTGACTCCAATCGTTGACAAAGCTAACCGGGTCGGGAGACTTGGCATATCGACCGTCTTGCAACCTGCAATCAAACGACTTTCCTTGCCCAATTACTGTACGAATTCCTGCGTTCAGTCATCAGCCACTCGAATCACCACGTATTTACCTGCAGCCGGAACGGTCGGGAGAGACCAACTCGCGTCTATCAAGAAGAAACCGGGTCATCGGGTGCTCATCCGACACACCCCTTCCGTCAGGGTTGATTGACTTATCAGTCTGAACTCCAACTTTGACCATCTTGCATACCGACTGAGCCTCCCCCCTTGCAAGCCACTGAGTAGCGCTTGGTAAAATATATGCTTGACACGATGGATGTAAGTACCAATACTGCCCCGGTTTGTGGAGGTTGGATCATGTCGTTTCCCGGCTTGGAAGGTGCGCTTGTCGATAGACTTGGTCTTTGGAAGCAGCTTCTGCAACCAGCTCGTCGAACAAGAGGCAAACATCCTCATTCATAGAAATGTGAGTACTGAACATGATCCCCCCGAACACTAGCCCCCGCATGCAGAGAAGAGAGTCGACAGGAGTTGGTCGATCATCTATTCTCAGCTGCTCTGCGCAGTCGCATTGTGATCTTGCCCTCACCTGAGAAACACGACGCCCGAACGTTCAGTGAACGCATTCTCCATTCCGGCTGTTTGACCGACCAACATCACTATAACCAGTCACCCGTCTGAACCAAGGATTCGTACTAATAAATATCGCTTCAGAAAAGAAGCATTTCACCGCTCAATTCTACCACCCTTATTCAGGACAAGACACCGCAGCTTCCAGTCAGTCGGTCGAAATGCCACGACCTAGCCTCCATGTTCTCGGTGGACCGATAGACACGTGCCTGGGCAGAGAGAGGTTAATGAGTTACATTCAGGACCAAACATCCGCCGAGTTTCCGGACATGTCTGCAGAGATATCGAATTCACAATTTCACACCGGGCGACTTCCCAATGGTGCCAAAAGTCGTAATAGACCAAAGTTGATGCTCATGGGCCAAAGAAGGTATCCTAGATCTCGATAACTCTCCAAGAAACGGGCACTGAATGATTTTCTAGAAGCGGAAAGTCTTCCATCTCAGGTGTGGTATTTCAGAAGATGCCACCTTCGGAGACCTTATACCTTGAGACTACAACGCGACCTGAAGAATCCTCTGCACAGTGGGTGCTCTGTTTTCAATACAGCTACAGCTCTATCTAATTGATGTTAGCTCTTTCATGGATTTCCAAATAGCAGAACTCCCGGGCCACGTCAACTACTTCACACCCGACTTCAACCAAGCTAACATCTTTGCCGAAATCGGCGCTGTCATTTGGGTTATCGACGCGCAGGATCAATATCTTGACGCCCTTAATCAGCTTATTGACACAATTACTTACCTAGCGCAAACCTGGCCTGCTATCAACGTCGAAGTCTTTGTACACAAGGTCGACGGTCTTTCCGAGGAGTACAAGAATGACACCTTCCGCGATATTCGACAACGAATTCTAGACGAGTTATCTGATCTCGGCTACGACAACGCACCTGTCAGTTTCTACCAAACAAGCATATACGACCACTCCGTATTCGAGTCCATTAGCAAGGTCATTCAGAAGCTTCTGCCACAGTTGCCTACACTTGAGAGCCTGCTCAACAGTCTGTGTAGCACATGTCGAATCCAAAAGGCATACTTGTTTGACATCATCACCAAGATCTACATCGCTTCAGATACAAGCCCGCAAGACACCAACAGCTATGAGATTTGCTCAGACTTCATCGATGTCGTGGTCGACATTGGCGAGCTGTACGGATGGTCAAGGCCACAGCAGGGTGAGAAGACTGAGTTCAACAACCATGCCTGCGAGAGTATGGTTACTATGGAGAAGAAGGGTCAGAACTATCTTTACCTGCGAGAGATGAACAGGTTTGTTTTGTTGATTACTGAAACTCCTCGGCAGCGCTAACATGGCACTAGGTACCTTGCTTTGGTCTGTATTATGGGTGATGACAACCCCATGGAGAAGAAGGTGCTCATAGATTACAACGTGGGAGTCTTTCAGGAGGCTCTAGCAAAAGTCTTTGGCTGGTGATATATAATCGGCACTGTACAATAGCCTCATAAGCTCTCAATGGCACAAGCAGTACCTATAAAACGCCTCGGCGTCATCCACCACTATCGCGGCAGCTTATCCAAATCTGGAGTCTTACGTGTAAGCCTCCGTGAATGGAGTGGAGTCGAACTCGAGTCCACAACCCGAAACGTAATCGAACGGGTCTTTCCTTCTTCCTGCTTCTTCCTGCAGACTGGGCGTCCGTGGTTGCCATCTGTCAATAGACACTAACGACGGACCACTTGTACGAGTATGGTGGAGATCCTAATGGCGAGACAACCGGAGATCTTGGACTGTGGGTCGACAATTTGCCAGGATCTGGAGGACTGCTCTGCCACGTTGTATCGGCTGATCAAAACGTCTTGCCTATTCTGTACTTGCCATCCGAGATTGTTCGGAGCTTATGGCGCTGTATATCATCATCGACTCGATCTTTACCTGGCAGATAATCAAGAACGCCAGCCACTGGACCTTGCATACATTCCTGTATTCTCCTGAGAAGCTCCTCAGCTTTCGGCCTCTCCACTGGATTGAATTTCAAGCAATCAAATATGATCTCGACCAACTCTTCGCTGTATTTGGAATTTTCGTGAACCAGTTTGTCGCGTTCCAGCTCGTGTTTACCTCTTGACGTTGTACGGAATCGCAGTTGCTCTTTCTCGGCGACCTCCCAGTCTGCTCGACGCATACCTCGCCAGTTCATTTCTGGATCTGGTCAGCTGATGTGATTAGAAGCATGTTATCAACTGATTGTACCCGGAAGATATGTGCATAGCCGCATACAACAGGCGATAAGCATTCCGATTTGCCACACGTTGGTCTTATTACTTAAGGTTGTGCCTGGTTCACTAACCTCCCAATCCATACCATCGTTAATTTTTGACAACTCCTGCATCAAATTCTGATCAGCTTCCGAAACGATTGCCTTTATGGACAAGGCATAAATACATACCGGCGGCGCGAACAACGCACAACACGCATCCCTTCGTACCAGATCGCTACGATTCCTAACTCCTGGATCTGCGAGCCTACGCGAGCTTCCAAAGTCGGCCACCTTCCAAATGTCAACTCTTGTTCCATGGTCAGAATCGGCTGACTTACCTTCGGTGTCGGGTATATGCCAAATCTTTTCGGATCCGGAGATCCAAAGAACACTAAACTCATTAGCCATTGGATCGTCTTCAATGGTCGATCAACCCTACCATTCCGCATTTGCATATCTCTGTTGGCCATCAGCAAGAGATCAGTAATGTGGCAAGTCATCTGACTCACCCATGCAATATGTCGGCTTTGTCCAGACCCACGGTCGCCTTTGCTAGGGATTCAAGCAGATACCATATGAACGGCTCAGGAAGTAAAACGTCACCATCTCCGTCATCATCGGCCTTCCTTTTGCTTCCTGGGGCGACCGTGTCCCGTCTCTGCGCCTCTACAATTGTGGTCAAATCTCCATAGTTGCAGTACTCGAAGTACAAGCGGTATCTCCACCTTGGTTCTCCTCTGCAATCACCCCATCCCAAACACTCGAGTACGTGCTCTGCGTGGCTTTCAGGAAGCGCACCACATACCGCATTAGCCATGGCACATTCTCTAGGCTCTCCACCCACGGTGCCGTCTGTCCAGTTCGAAGGATCGTTGTAGCGCGTAGCGCCGACGTGGATCTGCTTGATGATAATCCTGTCGCCTACGACGTTATTCTCATCTAGGAGGCACCACAAATTGACAAGACCTTCGGAGCCTTCTCCAAAGCCCCTCTTTCCAGGGCCAAGGGGAGCTGGAACCCATCTTCCGTTCGTTGATATCGATCTTCCGATGGGCCAATTGGTCGGTACAGCGAAAGGTAGGTTGTGGAATGAGGCCGCAATGAGCTCTTGTATTCGTTCCGGGATGGCAGCCCAGTAGCCCTTAGCTGGCTGCCCGGTAGTCATGCCGATCGTTTCGTGAAGCAACTTCTGTCCGTATACTGCACTGACGAAGGAGAATTGTAAGACGTGGACCGTCTCCTCGCTGGCCACGTGAACCTCCGGATGCGGTTTTACCACTCCGTCGCAGCTTTCTTTGTCTGAGAAGTCAAGACGATAGAAACGATTTGACCGATGTTCCCTATCTTTCAGCATACAGGTCCAAGCAAATTACCCATCGCGATGTGCGGAGGTCTTGCTATTTTCCATCCAAGAGAACTCCACAAAAAGCATAGATTTGACACAATATGAGCGAAGTAGAGAGTCTTTTGAGCTTTTGAGCTCTTGACTTAGTTGACTTTGAAGGCTTTGCTCTGATATTTGTTCAAACAGAAAATCTTCTTAATCCGGAAGCTCTCACTTGGACCGACGCGGCTTCTGTATCCGGGGAACATTAAACAAAGCCAGCATTCGAGAGATAGGGTAGAGTCACCCAGCATGCCTTAAAGAGATGGGTGAACTCGACGAGCATCCTCGATAAGTTGTTTCACACTTGCATCACACACATCTACTTTGGTCTTCAAGATCCTGGACGACAGTATGGCAGCGGCCCCTGTTCCTGCTGCGGATGCTAAGGCCATGTTGCTATCTACCAGAACCCATTCAAAATCGAGTCAAGGCAGCATTTCGCAACTGGTGGTTTCTTCCCCCTCCTCTTCGGACTGCAAATACAGAAGCAAATGTCCTCCCCGGCACTTGGGTCGCGATAAAGTCACCAAACGAAGTCATGGCCGTAGGTAGCGAAGGGGTGATTCACCTCTGGTGCCGGATCAAGCCGAACACATCGAAGATCTTGGAACGTGTCATTGTCAAACAACTCGTTTGGCAATGCCTCAGAAACGACCCTACCCACAGACCCAGAGTCCAGCAATTGGAGGCCTTCATTAGGACTTACGCAAAATTCAAAGGAACGAAGGCAGGGTTGGCTCGTGGTGCTCGGATTCCGACACAATTGAAAAAGTACAAGATAGCCCAGAGGCGGTACGATAGATTGCAGATTGGGCGCGGCGGACCTTGAGGAAGTAGTAGAAGCGTAATCAGTGCGGGTGGTCTATCCCCTAGCAATCTAGCTGCTTTGTAATAGACATTTACGTATGCTGCTTGAAGCAGATATTTGATGTCGAGGGCAGAGAGTCTTCATCCCTGTGCTCTCGGCATCATGCTATGGACGAGATGCACACCCGAGATAGTAGAGAGGCATCGAAAAGAACAATTTATAATGCAGCGGGGCGACGGCGACAATGGATCTCGTGAGTTTTTCCCTTTGTTTTAGAGACAAAGATCCTATTCGATGTCTGGTGTCGACTACTGATGCGATTTACAGATGCGGCGAACAAAGAGCATCACAGTAACAGCGTCTGAGGGAGACCCTCTCTAGGATAATTCTTCTTCCCAATTTCCGACTCCTAGTCTACAGTACAGTATCAACCACGCGAACGACGTCGATATGGCCGTACCCAATGCCCAACGGGCCTTCTTGGATATGACAAGGGCCCTACGAAACACGATCAAGTTACGGTTTAGAACATGGGTTGTCCAAACTCCAGCCAACCAGGCCGTCGGTCAGAGAGCTGTAACGGCCGGTACATGGATAGGCATACCACCGGCAGATGGTGTGCTAGCTACAGGTGGTGAGGGCGTTGTGCACGTTTGGTGCAAAGTCGATCCCGCCACCAACCTCATCATTGACCGGGTTGTTGTCAAACTTGTGGTCTCCGGATGGGCTCGTTTCGACTTGGCCAGAACCTGGCATGGAGGAGTCGGACAAGAACCAATGGAATGCCATCAATCCAACTTGGTCTGGGCAAACATGGCTCCCGCTGATCGAAAGTATATTCTTTCATGCTTAGGATGGGGAGACGTGGACCGTCAAACACGACGATACAAGCTTTACTATGAATATTGCGACCATGGTAACCTGAACAAACTCATGAAAATACAGAAACCGAAGAGGAAAAAAGTCGGAAAGAGCAAGAAAGGTCGAAAACAGTTCCCAGAGCCTTTCTTGTGGTATATGTTTGAGTCGTTGGCCAAGGCCTGTGTGGCAATGGAGGCGGCATATACGCAGGGCTTGATGCATGGGTATGTACTTGTGTGCTCAACAAATCTTCTGAATTGATCGGCTAACAAACACAAAAGCGATTTGCATCCGGGAAATCGTAAGTGCCTGGCTGGAGCAATTGGCATGTATTGATCGACTGACACTTTCCACTCAGTTTTTATGGGTAACCCGGACCCCAATGATTTTGGACTTTACCCAGTACCCAAGGTAAGTAGTTCCATGAGAGTGTGCTGTTTTGAGAGGAGTGGGACTGACGTCGTGCACAGGTGGCTGACTTTGGCTGTGCCCGTCAACTAATTCATGAAGTGACAAACCGCGGCCCCACCACTCACCTTGATCCAATCCTCACGGAGTTTGCCGCACCAGTGAGTCACTCCAGGAGCAAACATCATATTGATTACTGACACATCTTCTGTAGGAGCAATCCTGGCTACCACCAGACAAACACGCACTGCAACCACCACAGGCACAGAACCAAGCATTTGGGGCACAATGGGAGGTACCAAACACACGAATGTCTAAAAAGTCGAACATATACCAGGTCGGGCTCATCATGGCAGCGGCCATGAGACTTATGAGCGTGTTACCAGAAAATAATTGGAGAACACCTGATCATGGGTATGCTGTTCCGGTAGCGAACCAGCTACGCCATAACAGACGTGCACACCTAGGCGTTCGAGAACTGGGAACACACGCTGTGAACCCGGGCCCGAAAAAGTACAGCAACGTGCTTGTTGATATAGTCTGCCATTGTCTGAGACCAGATCGTATCAACAGGCCTTCGGCAGCTTTGTTGTTACAAACCATCCAAACGAATGCAAACTTCCAGGGGATGGATATAGCAGGAACTGGCGCTGGCGGAGTGATCACTCCAGCGATGAGGAAACAGATGGTAATGCTTGGAGACGATAGGTGGGCGATTGGGAATCCCCGTCCTTGATCGAACTATAAGGAGAATAATCGCAAGCGACCTATCACCAAATATCAGATTAGAGATGCTTTTGTTTTGCTTGTAATCACACATGTTTCCTGTTTATACGAGGTTAATGCTCACGTTGTTGTTAAATATGGTTAATTTTGTGACGGGTAGAAAGAGTGAAATGCTGCGAGTGAGCTCTCAAAGGATCATGGGCACCCGGAAAAAGCATTGTTTTGAGATGAGACAGTATCGTTCCAGTCTATCTGAGTCTGGCTGGCTGATAAGGTTTCTTTCCGACCTTGTACTTGTCTGCGAGACTCATCCTCAGAGCCTGTGAAAAATTCCAGGGAAGAGGACCCGGCCTAGCCTGCATACCTCCATCTCTCCCAGCCATGTATGTCTGGATATCGGCAAGCAACAAAGCTGGCGTAGGCCTGTTCTCAGGAACCGGCTGAATACACATCTTCACCAGTTCTAGCATTTTCACGCTGTAGTTTCTCATGCGGTTATCGTCAAGTCTCATTCTCATCGGGTTAGTAGTCCGAGGATGGGTGAAGCCGAGCTGTCTGGTATCAGGAACGTTGTAGCCAGGGGGTGGGTTTCGCCATAACGTTTCTAGAAGAGAAGGTTCGAGACGGAGTGCACACAGCATTATCAGCCCAAGTTGGTACACGTTCGTTCAGTTACTAAGCCTTGCTGGTCTGTGTGTCCACCGAGAGGGGTTTCTGCTACGATCGAAATATCTGAATCGGTTGACGGTATGCTGTGCAGTTAAAAGGTCCTTGTCCATCTCCTATCGCGGAGAGCATATTAGTGATAATCTCAGGAAGACAGATGGGTCAGAGATGTACAGTGGACAAGAGAGAGCTGTCTAGAAAGCGGAAAAACTCACAGGTGCACTAAAGCTTCTTGCCCACGCTCCCTGTCGTTGTCGATTCCTCACGGCCGCATCGGTAAGATCTCGAGAGCTGCCAAAATCACCCAGCTAAGCTCACGATCAGTATGGGCGGTACTTAGTCATGCAAAATTCTTGTGCCTTTGGGGTAGGCCTGATATTCTCTACAGAGTATGACAGTGGCGTTACTGCAAATCCGACTTTCCATTGTCGTTAGATGGAGAGGATAGCGTATCTACCGAGATGCTGCGTGGAACGCGTATTCGCCTGTAGACTTACCATAGTAAAGCTTCACCTGGGGTAAACCATTAGGGTATGGAGGGGGGCCGCGAATGTCACCTCATTCAGAGTCAGTGACAGGTCATGCCAGGGGATCAAGATATCATACCCCATCCAAGACACTCCGCGACGAATCTTTCATCGCCAGCATTGTTCATGCGAAGCCGAGCGTGGAGTCTGTTTGCGACAGAGCTCTCCATTGGCTCTGCACCAACGACTCCGTCAGTCCACTCAATCGGATCAGAGAAGGCCCGCAGACCAGGGAAACTGTTCTTGACGACCACGCGATCAATGATCTTGTCATTCCTACCGAGACGAACCCACACGTGAACAATACCACTACCACCAGAAGCAAGAGGCTCATACATGTGGGCTTGAGGAGCTGGCCTCCATGTACCTTGTGCAAATCCTCTCTGGTTGGCTAAGGAGGTATTGGGGGGCATCAGGAATATTCAATGACTGACAAACCTTCTCGTCAATCAGTTCTTTAACCCTTGCGACACCCTGCCTAGTGCGGATGGAATATCCAGTCCGGTTGGTTGTACCGGAGCGACAAGGTAGGTTGCCATATGAAGTGTATCAAGCCGATCGTGCAAAAGTAGGGACCTGTCGGTTGGAAGTGAATTGTCGACTGAACAGGGAATGGGACATACCGCTTTCCAAGGGGAATGTGTAGTAAACTGGGATCTTTGTTCAGTATAAATAAAGCTCCCGGATGCAGCCTGGAAAACGACGAACCAAACAGGATTTCATAAAGGGTCTAAACGTTATATATTTTCTGCATCTCATTAAGAATCTTGATCCAAACATAGGCCGAATCGACGATATGCACGTGTGGTGGCGTCTGCATGGAGTACCTAGAAGGAGAGGCTGGAAAAGCGACCCGGAAATCAACGCGTATAAACTTGAACAGCAATGAACAAAATCAAAACCAACAAAACCAAGCCACAGACGCGAAAATACAACCCCAGGAAGGTGACTCATGCTGACTATGTAGGGCCAGGTACTCATGGTCGGCAGTTGTGCGATTAATGCCTAGCCTACGGGACCATGTCATTATTGAGAGCATCTGCTATCCCAGCAGTATCAATCGTTCCAGCGATGATGCGAGGAGCAGCACCGAAGAAGTTGAGAAGAGACGTCCGTGCCCGTGGACCGAGAACAAAATCTACCATTGGCGTGTCTTGAGGAGCGGCGCCTGCCACTGCGGTGCTACGCCGGACGTTTTCCCAGTGTTCCTCATCAGATGTTCCTGCTTGTGGATAGATTTCTTCCGTCATTTCCCAATCTTCTTCGTCTTCTGGATGTGTGACGATGTACTTGTCTATAATTGCTACCTTGGGGGGAAGATCATGTTGCCCGTTGTATTTCTTAGGGTCCAGACAATCTCTATTTTGCATAAGGCCAGCATGATCCTTCACACCTTTGTCGATTAGTGTAAGAAGTTGTGTCGGTGTTGGTCGCTGGTCAGGGAAGTACTTCAGACAACAGATGACCGTGTCCTTGAGTAACTCGCTATAGTTGGTCATGGAGTCCTTTTGCTTGACAAAATCATCGATCCATGCATCGCGAGCGTCATATGCTTTCAACGTCAAGGCCGGAGCATAAAACTTCTTCGGGCACATCAACTCAGCGATGATCAAACCAAGATTCCAAACATTTACGGCAGTGGTGATTCTTCGGGGGGTGTTGTGCAGTGTGACGCCTGGTTTGCTGTCTCTTGCCGGGACCTCGTGATTTTCACCAGGCATGAGGCGGAACCGCAGTACCTCGGGCGCAACGTATCCGTTAGTCATTGCAGCTATGACCAGCGTCAGCAATATTGAACTTATACTCTTTGACTAGACGACCAACTCGTTTGCATTTTGTCGCGGTGTGTTTGGCGATCGTCGTATGGTCCAGATACAATAGCGCCTCCAAAGTCGGCCAACTAATCGTTTTGATATGCCTTAGCTCATTGGAAATATCGACAAAAATCACAACCACATACCTTGGCGATGGGATACTTGGGAAACTCAGACTCATCAGGCATGCAGAGGAAAACTAGATTATATCAGTAATCTACCTTGCAGATTTGCCAGACCGGATGAGGCTTACTATTTTCAGGCTTGAAGTCGCTACAATTTCTATCAGCATTGTAACTTGTTAGACGGGACGAAAAGGACTTACATGTGACCCACAAAGCTATCTCCAGGTAGTCCGTCACCGGTTGGATTATCCATGGCATATACTGCTCGAGCAAGATCCTGGAGAAGCTTCCAAAGATACGGCTCTGGAAAAACAAGTTCACGATACTGCTGCATCCCTTTCCATAAATCACCCCCGGGGCAGAATTCCATGTATAGCCGGGCCCTATCTTCACTCGCCCAAATTCGGCTTGCAAACACTTTGACTGTGTTTCTTGAATATGCTGGCATGATTTGACTCATGTAGTGTTCTTTGGGTATATCCAACGAGGTGCCGAAAAAATAATGTTCATGACCTCGCTTGGTCTTAGAGTCCCAATGATTTCGTATACCCTTAATCTCTTTGACCACCAAACGGTCGACGATTTTGTCAGTACGTGGGTGACGTTTGACGAACAAGCATGCGCAACTAAGTTCGAGGTGTAGTTAGCTTCTCTCTTCTGCGAAAGATGGTTCTGATAAGAGTCGGTATATCTAGTAGTCGTCGACCTCGACGGCGTACATCTAATCTTCAGCTTACGTACCCTTGTGCACCCACTAGATTCAAAGTCAGCGAAGATACCAAAACAGAGAAAGGGTCCCATATGACTGAGGATCTTGTAATATAGCACACTTACGTCCTAGTTGCTTCGCACTGACCCAGTTGGCCTCGTCCTGTGCCCATCCGGGCTTGCTCTTCATGATTGATAGTCCCCAGTTCGACATGACTGCGGATTGTATAGTAAGTTGCAAGTTACAGAGTGCGTGTCGAGGCTGTCTTACTCCTTGTGAAGTTTGACGAGAAAGCAGTTCTTTGTGCAAGGTCATAGGAAATGCCGCATTCGAATCTCCACTTCTTTTTGCCTTCTTGTTCAAGCAGACAAAGAGGGCGTCACTCAACTCAACGGATGTACTGAACAGGCGTCCATATGGAACTGCTTTGATACTTGGCTACTTACGTTTGGGAGGAGCTCCTCGAACTATGGGGTCGAGGACAACCTCTATCTCATCTCCACGCAAACTTTTCTATGTACGCTCAATCTCTGATCTGGCTCAAGAGTAAGCCCCCACGACTTGCTCCCGAAGTGTATAAGAAGAGCGCTGGGCCTAGACTAGGAAGCAGCAATTTGGGTCGCACAGATGCCCTCTGAGATTGCGTTCAAGAGCAAGCATCAAGGGTATGCTTGTCTTGTCGGAATCGAACGACTTGTTCTGTTATCTCAGACACTTACGGGTCTCTCAAACCGGCCGGAAGAAGATGCTAGACGCAAAAGCAGACGTGCACAGGGGAGGGAGTTGTTTGCCGTCGCTCTTGTGACCACTATGTGCGTCCATGTTGATATGACGGATGAATAGCTTCACCGCTTCAATCTGCTCTGCGTCGCTTGGTTTGGCTGTTCGCTGGCATGGTCTCTCCTTCATCTTCAAGAAACTCGGACTCAGGCCCTTGACTCTTGCGACGGTACTGACCCGCTCCGATGGCGACCATTTCGTCCTCACTATCACTGGCGTGAATGTCCAGCAGGACGGGCATGCGAAACTCGTGCTTTACCTGGCCTGGTTTGGCGGGGTCGACAGTCAATACATCAACATGTTCGTCTTCGAGGTCCAGGCGTCTCTTGTGTAGCTCTTCAATAGGGTGTATGTCGAATTCATCCTCAGCCTCGATGTATTCGATGTTCTCTTCGACCTCGACAAAATCAGGAGCGAGTGCGGACCAGCGTTGCGGTGTGTTAACCGACCACAGATAGATCCGACCAGATTCCACGCCAGTGGCAGCAACAAATGGTCTTTGGGGATGCCACTCAACGGCTCCTAGCTCTTCCTTGGGACCCTCCAGAATCTTGACCAAACTGCCGTGGCCGCGCTCCCAGATGTATATGTCGTGGTTCATGAGGGTTGAAGCCATGACAAAGTCGCCCGAAGGACTGAAAGCAACGTGGTTCCAAGACAGGCGGTTGACGACGTCCTGGAACTTGTGTTCGATCTCAAGACGCATGTTGTCGGGGTCGAAAGACGAGTCGTCAAGGTCGGGCAGATGGATGGTACGGATGATGCTGTCGGCGGCGTTGACCAGTAAATCGCGGCCAGAGGTAGTGAGGCGGATGAGGAGTAGAGCTTTGTTGCTGAGGCGGATGGAGTAGATGACGGAGCACGTGCTTGCTTTGATGATGTTGAGCCAGCCCTTTGTGGTGCCCGTGATGATGTGGTTACCGGAAGGGGTGAAGACGGTGACGGTTGTGCCATTCTTTGCATCTTGAGCAGCTTGCTTGTCGTCCTGCTCGTAGGCAGACCGCTTTGGGGCTGAGGGTAAAGAGTTTCTGATAGTCGAAGGGTGGTCGAGGGAGGCCAGGACAGGCTGGGCTTCGTAGAGGGCGGCAGTGCAGAGGAGGTGATTGTGCGGATGGAGTTCGGCAATGTAGATGGGAGCTCCAAGATTGACGGTACGGACACGCGAGCCGTCGTTCAAGTCCCATAGAATGGCCTTCCAGTCGACCGACGAGCTGAGCAGGTAGCGACCGCAAGCCGACCAGCTGAGCGATTGGACCTGACGGCCAGGAGTGTGGCCACGGAGCTTGCGAGCGACGCCATGCGTCTCGAGATCGAAGATGGCAATTGCGCCCTTTGCGGTGCCTGAAGCGAGCAGATCTCCTTGTCGGTTGAAGCGTAGACAGACGGCGGCACCAGAACTGCGCAGACGGGCGATGAGTGTCTCTGGCATGTCCTGCGCCAGCACGAACGGATCGACCAGGGCAAGATTCATGTTGAATGGCGGGTGATGGTGTCAGTGCATGGGTATTTTGGTCAAACGTCGAGAGGATAGTGGACGGGGCACAAAGACATCGGCAAGGGCGACCTGCGAGTCTCAATCGGCGAGTGAACTGCACATGCGTCTGGGAGTTGGCGGTGTGGTGCTTGTCTGCTCTCGCCAGCGCCTCACTTGTATCAGGAACGTCATTACTTAAAAGAGCGAATATTCCCTCACTTGCTGCAATACATTTACACTGTTCCGCGACTTTGGTCAATGGGGGAGTCTGCTAGTGCCAAGCCAAGGCAGTCGGTCTCCCGAAGCAGAAGCAGCGACCAAGCGGCCGGAGCCTTGCAACTTGCAACATCGACGCCCCGTCATATCCTCAATCCTCGCCCTTGCTGCCACCACTCCCTCACCACCCCAATCACCGTGCTCGCCATCTTCGCTGCGCGCATCTCGCCATTCCGAGTCGCGTCGCTGTTTCACTCCCGTCGCTTTTCTTTGCCATCGCCGCTGCCCGGCTGCGCGCGCGCCGACCGAAAGGCCAATCGTTCGACACGCGCTTTCTCGCCAGACGCAACTGCATTTCATCCAACCGACTCGACTTTCCATCGCGAATACCGTCTACCCTGGAGTTCCCCGGCCAACCTCCTTGTCGACAGCGCCCTGAACGCGGCAGCCGCTGATTCGATTCCGATTCTTACACAATTTCCCTTAGCCATTGCTATCAACAACCGCCACCATGAACATTCACTCTTTCCCTTATTCCAGCGCTCCGCTGAAGACCATTCAGGAGATTCAGTTTGGTCTCTTTTCACCTGAAGAGATCAAGAATATGAGCGTGTGTCACATCGAGTACCCCGAGACCATGGACGAGCAACGGATGCGTCCGCGAGAAAAGGGCTTGAATGACCCAAAGCTGGGCTCCATCGATCGTTCGGTTGCTTGCGGTACCTGCGGTGAAGATATGCTGGAATGTCCTGGTCACTTTGGCCACATTGAGCTTGCTGTGCCCGTCTTCCACGTCGGTGTGTTTCGCTCGCTACAAGCCCAGTCTCTCTGACATGCCGCTGACTGGTCCCAGGTTTCGTGACCAAGATCAAGAAGATCCTCGAATCTGTCTGCCACAACTGTGGCAAGGTCTTGCTTGACGAAGTGAGTCGCCCTGCGCGGCTGAAGCTGAACCCAACCTCGACCACCATGCTAATCTCGATTCTTCTAGAGCATACCCGCCTTTGCCCAAGCCGTCCGCATCAGAGATCCCAAGCGTCGTTTCGACGCTGTCCACAGATTGTGCAAAGCCAAGACGACTTGCGACCCCGATGAGGCTGGAGATGATGGTCAAGACCCTAAGGACGCTTTGAAGAAGGGCAAGCGATCACACGGTGGCTGCGGTAACCTTCAACCCACTATCCGCAAGGATGGGCTCAAGCTCACAGGTACCTGGACTTACCCCAAGGACGCCGATTCCGATTCGAAGACGGACAAGAAGTCCATCACTCCTCAAATGGCTCTCAATGTTTTCCGCAACATCTCGACATACGACCTGGCTAGAATGGGTCTCAACGCAGACTACGCTCGTCCTGAATGGATGATTCTGACTGTTCTCCCCGTCCCACCGCCCGCCGTTCGACCTAGTGTTTCGGTCGACGGAACCAACCAGGGCATGCGCTCCGAGGATGATTTGACCTTCAAGCTCAGCGATATCATTCGCGCCAACGCAAACGTTCGCAAGTGTGAGCTCGAAGGCTCGCCACACCACGTTATCGCAGAGTTCGAGGCATTGCTGCAATTCCACGTCGCCACATACATGGACAATGACATTGCAGGACAACCCAAGGCCCTGCAAAAGTCTGGTAGACCAGTCAAGGCCATCCGTGCGCGTCTGAAGTCCAAGGAGGGTCGTCTTCGCGGTAACCTCATGGGCAAGCGTGTCGACTTCTCCGCTCGTACTGTCATCACCGGTGACCCGAACTTGTCTCTGGACGAAGTGGGTGTTCCTAGGAGTACCGCCCGTATTCTTACTTTCCCTGAAACTGTAAATGCCTTCAACATCGACAAGCTGCAACAACTCGTTCGCAACGGCCCTAACGAGCATCCCGGTGCGAAATATGTCATTCGAGACACTGGCGAGCGTATTGACTTGCGTCATCACAAGCGCGCTGGCGAGATTCAACTGCAGTATGGCTACAAAGTCGAGAGACACATTGTGGATGGTGACGTTATTATCTTCAACCGTCAACCTTCGCTGCACAAGGAGTCTATGATGGGTCACAGAGTCCGCGTCATGCCCTACTCCACCTTCCGTATGAACCTTTCTGTCACATCGCCCTACAACGCCGATTTCGATGGTGATGAGATGAACTTGCACGTTCCTCAAAGTCATGAGACTCGCTCGGAAGTTTTGAATCTCTGCATGGTTCCCCTCAACATCGTCTCGCCACAGCGAAACGGTCCGTTGATGGGTATTGTGCAAGACACCCTTTGTGGTATTTACAAGATGTGCCGTCGTGACGTCTTTCTTGACAAGGAGATGGTCATGAACATTCTTATGTGGGTACCTGACTGGGACGGTGTTATTCCCCCTCCTGCTATTGTCAAGCCTCGCCCACGCTGGACTGGTAAGCAAATCGTTAGTCTGATCGTTCCTGCTGGTCTCAACCTTGTTCGTGGTGACGCCGAAGGCATGCATCCGCTCAACGATAACGGACTCATGGTCCACGGTGGTGAGCTGATGTACGGTCTGTTCAGCAAGAAGTCGGTCGGTGCCAGTGGAGGTGGTATTATTCACATCGTCTACAACGAGAAAGGCTGGGAGGCCGCTGTCAACTTCTTCAACGGAGCTCAACGTGTAGTCAACTACTGGCTCCTCCACAACGGTTTCAGCATTGGTATCGGTGACACGGTCCCCGACGAGGCAACGGCAGAAGCTATCACAGACGCAGTCAACGAGCAAAAGGCAGAAGTCGCTGTCATTACCGCAGCTGCTACCGCCAACGAGCTGGAAGCTCTACCTGGTATGAACGTTCGTGAGACGTTCGAGAGTAGAGTCTCCAAGGCTTTGAACAGCGCTCGTGATAATGCTGGTGACCGTACTGAAAAGAGTCTGAAGGACTTGAACAATGCCATTCAGATGGCTCGCTCGGGATCCAAGGGTTCGGCTATCAACATTTCACAGATGACTGCCGTGGTCGGTCAGCAGTCTGTTGAGGGAAAGCGTATCCCATTCGGCTTCAAGTACAGATCGCTTCCTCATTTCACTAAGGATGATTACTCCCCGGAGTCTCGAGGTTTCGTGGAGAACTCCTATCTTCGTGGCTTGACGCCCTCAGAGTTCTTCTTCCACGCCATGGCTGGTCGCGAGGGTCTTATTGATACCGCCGTCAAGACTGCCGAGACTGGTTACATTCAGCGTCGTCTCGTCAAGGCTCTCGAAGAAGTTATGGCCAAGTACGACGGCACTGTCCGTAACTCTCTGGGTGACGTTGTCCAATTCGTCTATGGTGAAGATGGTTTGGACGCCGTTCACATCGAAGGCCAGAAGCTGGACATCATCAACTGCTCCGACAGCCAGTTCGAGAAGAAGTTCCGTATCGATGTCATGGATCCCAAGATGTCTCTGTCGCCAGACATTCTCGAGCAGGCACATGAGATTGCTGGCGATGTTGAAGTCCAGCGTCACCTCGACGCCGAGTACGAGGCATTGCTAGCTGACAGAGTTCTTCTGAGAGATGGCCGTACCGACGACGAGGAGACTCACCAACTTCCTCTCAACATCACCCGTATCGTTGAGAGTGCCAAAACCAGGTTCCGCATCAAAGATGGCGCCCGTAGTGATCTTCATCCATCCGAAGTCATTCCCAAGGTCCAGAACTTGCTCGATCAAATCGTCGTCGTCCGCGGCGATGACCCTCTCTCTCAGGAAGCACAGTACAACGCTACTATTCTTTTTAAGGCTTTGTTGAGATCACGCCTTGCTTTCAAGCGACTGGTCAAGGAGTACTCCCTGAACAAGCTAGCTCTTGACAATATTCTCGGTGACATCCTGAACAGATTCTCAAGGTCACTTGTCAATCCTGGTGAGATGGTCGGTGTTTTGGCTGCCCAGTCTATTGGTGAGCCTGCAACTCAGATGACCTTGAATACCTTCCATTTTGCTGGTGTCTCGTCCAAGAACGTTACTCTTGGTGTCCCCCGTCTGAAGGAGATTTTGAACGTTGCTACGAACATCAAGACACCCTCCATGACTGTCTACCAATCCAAGGAGAACCGCCTTGATCAGGAAGCTTGCAAGAGACTTCGCAGTCTCGTTGAATACACCAGTCTTCGCTCGATTACCGAGAAGACTGAAATTTGGTTCGATCCTGATATTCAATCCACTGTCGTTGAACTCGACAGAGATATGGTGGAGTCTTACTTCATCATTCCTGAAGAGAACGCAGAGAGCCCCGAGACGTACTCCAAGTGGTTGTTGCGTATCGTACTCGGTCGCAGACAACTTCTGGACAAGGGTCTCTCTGTAGCCGATGTCGCTGCTGCCATCAGAAATGTTTATCAGCACGAAATGTCTATCATCTTCAGCGACGACAACGCGGACGAGCTCGTCATTCGTATCAGACCTTCAAACATGATCATGGAATCTAAGGAGGACGATGATACTGATCTGGAGGCTGATCTTGTCATTCAAAGACTGGAGGCTCATCTGCTGGATGACACCAAGCTTCGTGGCGTGTTCGGCGTCGAGCGTGCTTTCGTCAACTTCAAGGAGCGTCTGCGCGTCAAGGAAGACGGCGGTCTCACCATGTCGAAGAGTGACCCTCTCTGCAAGGAATGGTTCTTGGACACCAGTGGAACCGCACTCAAGGAGGTGCTCACTGTCGAAGGTACCGACCCTACTCGTACTTACACCAACCATTTCATCGACATCTTCAGTGTCTTCGGTATCGAGGCTACTAGATCTGCCTTAATGAGAGAGCTGAAGCAAGTTCTTTCTTTCGACGGTTCTTACGTCAACCATCGTCATCTTGCTCTTTTGGTAGATATCATGACTGCTCGCGGTAACCTCATGGCTGTCACTCGTCACGGTATCAACCGTGCCGACACTGGTGCACTGATGCGTTGTTCGTTCGAGGAGACTGTCGAAATTCTTTTCGAGGCTGCTTCTTCTGGTGAACTCGACGATTGTCGTGGTGTTTCTGAGAACATCATCCTTGGTCAACTGGCCCCTTCGGGTACTGGTGAGTTTGACGTCCTTCTGGACCAACAGATGCTCAGCACTGTTGTGTCCCGTCACCACGGTATGGGTGCAGGTACTCAAGCTGGCGCTGCTCCTCTGGACGGTGCTATGACTCCCTACGACATGGGTTCACCTCTCGCCGAAGGCGACTACGGTACTGCAGACTATGGTGCTTCGTTCTCACCCATGGTTCAAGCAGGTGGCGACGAGATGGGTGGTTTCTCTGCTTACCAAGGAGGAAGCTTCAGCCCTTACAGTGGCGGACAGAGCCCTGGCTACGCACCTACAAGTCCCTTCAGCATGGGCACAAGCCCATCTTCACCAGGATATGCCTCTCCTTCCTCTCCTGGCTACTCGCCCAGATCACCTGGTGCAGCTTTGGGCAGTCCTGGCTATGGTATGGGGTCGCCCGCAAGCCCGGCATACAACCCTACCTCGCCTACTTACTCGCCCACGTCTCCTGCATATGGCAAGGGATCTCCCACATCTCCCTCATACTCGCCCACGTCCCCAAGCTATTCGCCGACATCGCCCAGCTACTCGCCTACGTCGCCGAGCTACTCTCCCACTTCGCCGTCGTACAGCCCCACTTCTCCTGCCCATAGATCTGGTCCTTCTCCAACATCTCCACGTTACAGCCCTACCTCTCCGGCATATTCGCCGACTTCGCCCGCTTACAGCCCGACCAGTCCTTCGTACAATCCTGCCGGAGCCTCGCACTCACCTACGTCGCCGAGTTACAGCCCGACGTCACCAGTGTACAGCCCTACAAGCCCAGCACAGCAAGGCTACTCGCCCACGTCGCCACAATACACTCCCAACTCTCCTGGTCAAGCCTCGCCCAAGTATTCGCCCACCAGCCCCAAGTACTCACCCAAGTAAGTTTGACGTCTTGTTCCGCCCTTTTGGCCTTTCCATGCTAACACGTATTCTCAGCTCGCCTGGCCAATAAGCGAACGAGTCGAGCAGTTACCACGCTGAGACGTACCCTTCATTGGGCACACGTTCTTCAAGGGGCTGTAGCTTAGATCAAGGTTGTGATCGACCTCGATCAGAGCGTGGTCACGATGCTGAATCACGAAGGCAATGCATAAGCGGCAAGAGTACAGGCGAATAATCGAGGGAGTTTCTGGCAAGGCGTTTGTTTTCTTTACCACTTTAGTCTCCTTTCTCTACTTCTTTTCTTCTCGCGGGGTTGAAGATAGGAAGATCATCGAGGTTTTTTGTTTCTCCGAGCTCATAAAAAATTGCATATGGAGGATGAGCCAAAGCGTACCAGAAGGCTTTATTTGGAGCTGAGATAAATAAATAAAATTCAGAGTTAAGACCAATGCAAGTTCAAATGTTCATTTTTCTCCGTTGATCTTGACACCGACGGTGATCTTGATCTTATGCGTCGTTTGTCCTCTAAAATTCACGAAGTGCCTTGACCGACCCTGCTCTTCTCCATGTTTTCTCCTTTGACCACACACTGCTCCCCGACCGCCGACTTCGACCTTTCCAACCTATCATCGCAAACAGTATATCACACACACTGTATATAATGGCGAATAGCGAGTAAGTCTTTACAAATCGTTGTCGCGTTTGTTAGAAAGAAAGACTCTGATGGTATTGTTGATAAACAGGTTCGAATATGTGCGCAAATTTGAAGAGTGGGATGCGCTTGCGCCGAGTAATTGGATTGTTGTGAGGATTGATGGGAGGGGTTTTAGCAAGTAAGTGTATTTGGGTTTTTGCGTTGTTTTGTTTTTGTAGCTGTTTGATTTTGGATGGTTTTTGCTTGAGATGTTTCTGTTCTTGACTGGGAGAGTCGGTATAAATGGTTTTCAGCCATCATGAGATGGAGAGAAACTCAGAAGAGGGGAAGAGCATAGATGGCATTTTGCGACACAAGCTGGAAAGGCTGGATGATCGGGGACGATGGAAAGAGCGATACGATGAGATGTTCATGTTGCATACTGCCATGCATCATACTCGTCCCTTCCTCCTCATAGCCTCCTGCCTTTATTTCACCTTGTAGCGGTCCACCTCCAGCAAAACACAACACTGACACATCTACCATCATCAGATTTTCCAAACGCCAAAACTTCGCCAAACCAAACGATCGCCGAGCAATCGATCTCATGAACGCAGCCGCCATCGAAGTAGTAAAACAATTCACCGATATCGTCATCGCATACGGTCAATCCGACGAATACAGTTTTGTGCTCCACGAAGACTGCCAATTATTCGAGCGACGAGCAGCAAAACTCGCAACGAGTATCTCAACGGCGTTTTCGGTAGAGTATTGCATGCAATGGGATGCGTATTTTCCGGGTCAGGTCCTGGATAGACCGTATCCTACTTTTGATGGGAGGTGTGTGTTGTATCCTAAGAAGAGGATATTGAGGGATTATTTGAGCTGGAGGCAGGCTGATTGTGGGTTTTTTCTTTGCGCTTTGTTGGAGTCAAGTGACATGGTGGTGGGAAACGAGGTGTGCTAATCAAGAGCGATAGGTCATGTCAACAACCTTTATAACACTACGTTCTGGAATATGGTCAAGGGAAATCCTGCTACACACACTTCGCCGATGACGCCAACCGATGCTGAATTGGCACTGAAGGTGAGTCTTTCGGAAATTTGTTTTGACTGGCCTTCGCTGACGTGGAGCAGGGCACTTTCTCGGCAGACAAAAATGAGATTCTGTTCAAGAGGTTCAACATCAACTACAACGCAGAAGACGAGATCTGGAAGAAAGGTAGTGTTGTATACAGGAAGGTGTGTTTTATCCTCTGCTTTCATCGTGCCTTGCTGACCGGTCATTGCAGTTCGAAGACAAGCAGACAGACACGACGGCAGCACAGCAATTCATCAAGCCAACAGACGACCAGGCACGAAAGAAGCCACAATCTAGAACACAGATGGAGAAGGAAAAGAAGAGGAAACAAAAGGCTAGAGTCGTTGTTGAGCATGTTGATATCATCAAAGATAAATTCTGGCTGGAGAACCCATGGATCTTGGATTAGTTGGAGAATGAATAGAAAAGAGCCAAGCGAAGCGAAGGAAGTGAAGCTCAAGTCACTAAAGACCTCGTGCAATACCACAGCACCGTTCCCGCCTGGGGTGTCGGAAAATCAGTCTTTACGGACCCTATCCAATCATCGGCCAAAGCATCCGCTGTCAACTAATTCAGCACCATTCATCCATGCCTCCTCAAAGGCAGTCCACCAGTCTCGGCCTCTCGAGCCCATCTGACGAGCCTTACTTCTCCTCTCGACACAACAGCTGCATCCTTCGCAAGAAGATCCGCCCCGTAGTTTAGAACTCTAGGCACCTTCTTCCACAGAACTTGCACACCACAAGCTGCCAACTTCTCAACCTCATCAACGAAATTGCGAATAAGCTTCGACTTCACAATGTCCTTTCCGCTCTTCTTACCTTGATCCGAAAGGTCGTCCATGAAGGTGTAATCGCACAAGCAATCGTGACATACTTGCAGACCATGATCTTCGCATACGAGCTTGCCGTTGGCGAGCTCTCCAGGAGTGTCAGGAAGTCCCATGTCTATTATGGCTGTAGACTGAATCGAGAGATGAACACTCGATACCTCTGAGGGATGTGAAGAGGACGCTCGATGGTAAGACGAGAGGAAACACAATAGCCTGGCGTATGCCAAAGCTATCGGTTCCCATGTGGAAATCTGCACCGAGCTCGATTCCTTGTTTGTGATGTGCATACCTAGTTTGTTTGCTGGAGATGCTAATGAACGAAAGTAATCTGTTGGACACTAAAGTTCTTTGACGGAATATGTTCTAGCAATCGTAACATAATTTGTCTGAGTTGAACATTCTAGATGCTTGCAAGTCGTCCGTAGTGTTAGTTGCTTCAGCTGCATATCGCTTTAGCTGTTGAACCAGAGGCCCTTGGCGTGCTAGAAGACTGTGGATGTAATATCTCTATACACTTCAACAAGACTGATATCTCGTTAGTGGAGCAGCAGCAGACGTGTCGGAAATGTAAGCTTACCATCAATGATGCGTTCCTCGGCAACACCCATTTGATAGTCTACTAGTCCCATCTTCTCTATGCTATCACATAGTCTAACGAGCTCTCGACCCATCGCTTCCAGAGTGTCGGAAGTCATCACTGATTGTCCGAGTAGCGTGTACTGTCCAGTTTGCGCCATGACCTGCGTCGTTTTGTACTGCGAATACAACACCGTTAACCAGCAGTTGTTAAAGATATCCCAGAGCCTGAGTCGGTATTCATATTGTTTTATGTCGTCTCGGTCAAGGCCCAGAGCTTGCACGTTGCCTATCAGGAACCGTGAGATTTGAAGGAGCAGACCTGCTGTCGGTTCCAGCTGACGATCCCTCACTAGTGTAAAGATTTCCTTTGTCTGCATTTGGTAATGCTCAAACGCATCGCGCAGGCTTATGATGTTGTCTTCTGCTGTAGTTTGTTGAGTGATCTGAGATTGTGACGGGTAGTCGGAATGACAACTGCTTATGATGGGCTTTGACGTCGTATATACTTGATGCTCGTTCTGGATTAATTCCTGCATGCTGTATTCGGGTGTTGGTTTGATTGATCTTGGGTATGATGTATTCGAGGCATAGATGTTGAAAGTCTGAGGTGTACCGTAATGTAGGGAGAGTCCCGCCGACATCATGTTGTGCGTCCCATATTGATCTGCGTTCAGCGCCAGCGGGACCTGTCGGTAGTCATACATGAAATCAGTGACTGGAGACTGCAGCGTCTCAAGGTCGTTTTGATATGTAAAGTTCAGTAAGGATGTCTCGCCATGATGCGGCTCGTCGTCAGGAAAAGGCAGATACGACTGCCCGTGTCCTAAGTAGGATGTTTGTGCGAACGGCTGACTTGTCGTCCGTGGTATTCCTCGTCGTGGTAGGTGTGGCATCTTAAATCGACCAGCTGACATGAACGATGATGAATTGTGGTGAGCAGGGCTCTGGGCCGCGCTACATGCATCATAGTGGTATTGATGATCTCTACCAGGATAACCCTCCATTTTTCCAGAAGCGACGTAAAAACAACTACCAGGGTCCCGAAGTCATGAAGAGTATGTTTCAGTCAAAGTAGATTTCGGGATAGTTAAGTTTGGGAGCGACGTAAGCCCGAGAGGGGCAGTTGAGTTGACCAGTGCTTGGATAATGACAGGAGCTGGGGACGATGATGTATATTCAGAGAACGCTGGAACTCTTTCACTCAACTAACCAGGCAGACAATGTTGGATCACTCATTTATCCGTCAATAACGCCGAAAGATAAGTTGGTATTCAACCATCTAAGCAAGTGAAGAGTTGAGGGACCGTCCCGAGTCTGGGCAAGGACAGGGCAGAGACTATACTCTGAGATTTGCCTCTTTGGCCCTAAGATCGTAGGCGGATGCCGCCATGATTAGACTTTGAGTGGACGTGGGCGGAGGAGGGACAGGTCAGCAAAGAGCAGATGCTATGCACGGCATCTGTGAGCTTCTCTAGATCATGATCCCTGATAGCGAATTGAGGACGATGGATGTTGAAGGAGCTGTTCGGCAACCGGGCCGTAGCAAACCCTTGGCCCCTGACTGAAGGGTGTGCAACTGTCAAGTGTCAACCAGAGATACTAGAAGTATCCGAGATTGTGTTCAGAAACGGGGTTGGCATGCGGTTCTGACCTGGTCAAGCTGAAACACTCATCGGAACCAAATCCCCAAACCTAATGATATGTATGTGTCAAGTTGTGGCTTACAGTAGTTAGGCATTAAGGTGATGTGAAGCACGATGGATCTTGCCAACGTAAGTGTCAGCCGGACAAATAACAGGGAAGTCTATGCAGATCCCTTGGTCACCCTTTCCACGACGGCAAGGGGGCAGACACGATATGAAGCGCTCGAGCACGTGCATTAACCGCCGAACACCACACCATTAAGAATATATCTGCTTCACTTGTTGAAGCTTGCTTGTTTCTGGAGTTGATTAGTTTCATGATGTGTCGAGACATGATCATCGTCGCAGCGAGACTAATGACGAGTACATTTGGCAGTTGAATGTACTAGCATTCCTCGAGGCTGCTCGGCATGGCATGGAGCATTGACGTTTTGGTCACTCAACCATTTACAAGAACAATGTTTTGGTCGAAAGGATTGCATAGACAGTGAAAACCACGACTTGGTCGAGTTGGATTGTCAGGTGTGCTGTGACCCTGGTTCGTGTTACGCCCCCGACCAGGCTTTGAGGCAAGAAATTGATGACTCAGCCTGTGTCGCGGGTTCTGGTTTCCGTCAACTTTCTAGAGCAATGCCAATTGGATCTCATTGGGCCGGTACTGTGGTAACCATTCGCTTACAGACATGCGGAGTTCCTCGCCGAACGTAAAGCGACCGCTCGACAGAGTGCCATTCTACGTCGCTCTGTCGCTCTGAGAGGGACACGATGAGAAATCGCCTTGATGCGAAGGATCCGCAAGTGGGAACTTAGGGCATGAGAAGTTCCCTCGAGATGTCTGTGGAGGTTTGATACGAGGAACGATCCGGCCACTCTGGCTAGGCTCTTGAAGTGCCGACCGGGACTCATCGGTCCGGTAGCATGCATACGACAATGCTCATGCTCAAGTCGATGTCCTGCAGCATTGTCAAAGTTCAGCCCACGAGAGTACTGTAGTTGTGACAAGTCAAGATGGAATCCGTGCATAGTACATATCTCTCATCGGAGCGTGAGCCCGTCTCCGCCATTGTACTTTCCAAGTTCTGCATACATCTCACAATATAAAGCGACTTGGACGACTGCACCTACTGTTAGCTTGAGCTCGTGAGATTTTTACATTCTGACACCGATCTCGATCTAACAACAGCTTACCGCAATATCTTCGGGATGTCCTATTCGTTTTCAGAAGACCACTTGCTTGTTCAGGCAAGCAGGCTGCAGCCAAGTTGGCTCAATCTTCAGCTGAGTAGTCGCAGAGCGAGAACGAGAAGCGAGCCGCAGACGTGAGAACGGGCGAGCTCGCGGCGCGAATCCTTCGGCGGACCTTCACACCCTTCAGCCATCGGAGTTGCGTATGTCGTCGATGGATAGGACGCCACAAACCTCTTGGGGTATTCGCATCACAAACTCTAATTCTACCTAGCCACTAACGACTGTATACAATTGTACCGTAACTATTGACCAGGCGAGAGGCCAGATCCAAGTCGTGGAGCGTGGATATGAGTAGTCACAGTTGTGCTTGAGTTGGCGCATTTTAAGCGACATACGTGAACGCCTTTTGCAATATTACAATCGCCAATTTTATACAGCAGAGAGTCAGTCGGCATGAACGAATGCGGTAAAGTGGGGCCCTGTAGGCCGATGCGAACTCAACAAGTAACGTTGCTTGTTCGGCACTCGACATCATGAGGAGGGAGGATTACGATCCTGCACAACCGTGGCATCACGCAGACGATGGTTGGGACTGACCTATATCACAAAATCGATCGCCATGTAGCCGCGAAGCCTATCGTGACCTCGACGCCGCTTCCGATGCGGTCTGTACATCCCTGGAGTTTTAGCATGTGATCCTTCCTGCTTGTCACACATCTACTACAATGCAAGAGTTCAAGGACGATGGGGCACTTAGTCGGATCGACGCTCTGTTTCAAGTTCATGACTCTGTGCTTCGTTATGATTTGGAAATGTATTGAAAACTCTTTTGATTCCTCATCGTCTCATATCCTGCCTCGGACCTGCAGTGATGGCACTGGGCCTGGCTAAGCTTCTGTTGAAGATCTCACGCCGATGTCGATGCCAGCGTGGCGCTTCCTGACTTCGAGGAGCGCTTTATGTTCTTCCAGATTTCGTTGAAGAATTTCAAATGCGAAGAATGACTTTTGGGTGAGGCGTTCATGCGCTGTAGGTCTGCTTGGGGAAGGGGTATCTGCAGTCGGGATATGTCAGTCTTTGTTTTGGGGAGCGCATCGAACGGTGGAAGCTTACGCGGGACCCAACTCCTTGATGCTCAACTTGGCCAACCATGAGCCCATGTCGACACACTTCTCGACGCTCTCGCCCTTGGCCAAGCCGGCGAGGAAACCGCCAGCGAAGGCATCACCAGCACCGGTGGTGTCGGCAATCTCGTCCTTGCCAATGACGTGGACGGGGAAGCTCTTGACGTTGTCATCGCCCTGGATGGCAATAACAGTGGGCTCGGTGCCCTGAGTAATGATAACGGTACGCTTGCGCTGGGTGTTCTTCTTGGGCAGGTTTGCCATGTGCTTGGCAATGGTGGGAATGTCCTCAGTGTTGAGGTCGTGGGCGGCAGCGAAGGCCTGAGCCTCGGTCTCATTACCGACGACGTAGTCCCAGTAGGGGGAGGTCTGGTCGAGCTGGTCCTTGAAGAACTGGCAGATGAAGGGAGCGGACAGCGAGAGCATGAAGACCTTGTTCTCAGCAGCGGCCTCCTCGGCGAGGGCGAGGATGGCGGGGACCGAGACGGTCAAGTGGTAACCACCGACAAAGTAGATCTTGGCCTGCTTGACAAGCTCCCAGTTCTCCTTCAGGTGCTCGACCTTGTAGCAGTTGGCGGCAGCGAGGTCGGTGCACATGCTGCGGTCGTGGCCAGTGATGATGACACCGCAGCGACCAGTGGGCTGCTCGTCGTCGTAACGGTAGACGGCACGAAGACCGACCTGCTTGTTGGCCTCGACCAGCTTCTCGGCGTACTTGTCCTTGCCAACACATCCGACGAAGACGACCGAGTCAGCGGGAAGAACGTACTGAGCACCTCTGGCAGTGTTCTGAGCAGCACCTCCGGCGTTCAAGTCCACCTTGTAGTTCTGGAACAAGTCCTCGTAGAGGCCCATGTGCTTCTCCTCAGCCAGGATGGCGTCGTTGGACTTGAGTCCATACTTCTGAAGCAGCTTCTCGTCGCCGACAGCCTGGATATCCAGGAGAGGGTTCTCGAGGCAGAGGATTTCGTATTGGCCAGACATTTTCGATAGGTAATTGATGTGATGGAAGAAAGAGAGCGTCGCTGCTCCGGATTTGCTAGTCCTGACGTTCTCCATATTGCCATTGTTGGTGGGGGTCCTCGACGCCAAGCCAAGCCCCTCTCAGCCATACAAATGCTTCTGTGAGAGCATGCCCTCCAGAATAGTGATTGGCTTTCAGTCATGGTCATAACTGACTCTCATTACACCCGCAAGGGGCCACATTAGGTATATGAATACACAGTCCCCTGGCCTCCATCCATCGTTGTTCATCACTCCCTCACAAGCCACCAGACTCTGCCAACATGAAAATATCGTCCTTCATCAACAAGTTGATCTGTAATTACAAGAGTCGTTCGTCCAACAAAACAATATCGACTAGAAGTGGTACTCCTCTCCACTCTTGCTGATAACAAACTCGCATCCAAGCTTGCCAAATCCTTCGACATCAAGAGCTTCAGCATGTTCGTTCAGCTGCATCAGAATGCGCTCGCCTACATGTGGCCCATCTTCCATAGTATCTTTGACGTGGATGATCACCACCTTGATGCCTTGTAGAGGCGCGTCCGCCGGCACGGGCGTGTTCCTCTCTGTACCTGCGTAATCGGGGGTGTTCGCTTGTGATTCTTCTTCGGGAACCATTAGAGGTAAACTGCCTCGTCGAGGCTGCATGCTAGACAACCGGGTAACCATGCTTTTGTTCCGCTTCTTATTATCGGTGATATCATCCATCGTTATGTTTAGGCCGTTTGAACTGCGTTTTCGTTTCCTTTGGGCTCTATCCAAAGCCCTGGAAGCTTTTTCGTCCTTGACCATCTGCGCAAGTGTCCTCATCTCAGCAACAACGTGCCGTGGCGCAAGATGACCGAACAATACAGCATCTGGTTGACTATCATCGTATGAGCATTCGATGAAAATGCCCGAGAGTATTCCCTCTGCTATCTTCGGAGCTGCCTCTGACCAAATGGTGGCCAATCGTGGGACGCGTGAGATGCTGTCTGGTTCGACGTCGCCGAATATCAGTACTTCCTTTGACGTATCGTAGTCTCGGATGAAGAAGGCAGTGCTGTCCACCACCGAGTGCTGTGGTGTCGGGTCACTGGTGAAACTTCTACCTTGGGGTCCTGGAGAGTAATAGCTATGGCCTGGAGTCTGTTCGCCGGGGGTTCCAAAGACATGTGGTATCGAGAGGTTGCGGTAGTCTGACCCCTTAAAGGCAGAATAATCAGGTTCCGAGATGCTACCCAGCGAGCCACGCTGCGAGCGAGTCGGTTGTGACTCCTTCATGCAGTTTCCATGGCTGACTTTGAAGCCTTTGACTCCCAGCCCGTCACACACTTCGATGTAGCCCCGACCCTCTCCTGTACCAACCATGATATCGCCACCTTCTCTTAATCGCTGGAAGCTGACGAAACCTACGCCTCCGTCCTCATCAGTCAAGTTGGGCCATATAATGTCATTGAATATGTGCTTCTTGATGGCTTCGACGGTGAAGGGTAGGGCAGCCAGTCGTTTAGGTCGCGAGGTGGCATGGAAAGCGGCCGTGTTGATTGCGAAGCCCGACAGGTGATCAAGGTGAGGGTGTGTAATCAAGTAGGTAGAGACGTGCGTGCGTACGATGTGAGCGGCATTGGCGCGGGCAGAGGCATGAGGCAGAGGGAGGCCAGCAAAAGGGCCCTGGTCGAGGACGATGGGTTCGGGTAGCGTCTTAGGCTGTATGGGATTTCGAGTCGGTGGTGACGAGGTCGGAGACGAGATGCCATCTGTTTCCATGCGCTGAGGAGGGAGATCCGGCGCAGGAGCCTCGTTGGGAAGGTTCCTCTCGAGGATGCGAGTGATGGCGGCGAGATGTGAGCCGGCGTCGACTGCCAGCAGCGAGCCACGAGCCCACTCGGTGGCCGTCGAGCGCACCAAGAGCCCCGTCACGTTGTCTTCGCTGGGACCTCCTCCCGAGCCCTGAATGTGAAGATGATGGTCAGACCTGCGGGGTAGCACTGGCGCGTGGGGAAGAAGGAGAGCTTACAAGACATACGACCTGTATAGCCGCTTTGTTGCTCTGCGAATCTCTCGGCTTCATGTTGGGATATGTTGATCTGCCCGTGCCCCGTTTCGGGCGGGCGCTGGCCGACGGGGTTTACACTGAGACGTCGATGCAATTTGTATGCGATTGTTCGTGAAGCGCTGCGGACTTGGACCTGACTATGATGTCGTCGCGCGTCTGACTTGCTCGAGGGCGCTGCCAGATGACCTGCGTGCTACTGATGTGAGGTTTTGGCGAAGACGAAAGTGACATCGACCTAGTTAATCGCCAGCTTGCTTCGTGATTAAACTTGTACGATTGCCTGTCACTCATCAACGGCCTGCCCGTTGGACGTACGAGCTGTCCGGAGGCAGGCACCAGCCTTCCGCTTGAGCCTTGGGCGCGAATTTCACTTCCTAGGTGGCATGCGGTCAACCTTCCGTTAGATCATACGGGATCCCGGTAGAGTCAACTTCATGTTGACCAGCATGCAAGAACACTGTACACCTGGCGTGCAAGTTGTGGAAATAGAACCATCCATTAGTCGGGAGAGCTAGCTTCAAGTGCTGCGATTCACCCTACCCAAAACAGCTAAGCAGGTTTAGTAGCGATAACTTGTGGCCTGTCGAGAATTGGACCTGGTTTCTATTCTGGAACCGATGGGCACGGAAACAATTGGTAGCTTCTGCGGACGGAAAGGTGCAAAATTGTTTTACAGCTCTTCGTGGCAACGCTACATAGCACAACGTAGCAACGATATCGTCGAAAGGAGATGTCAAAACGACGCCGAATGTAGAGACTTACAACTTCGCTCCTGCAGCCCTTCTCTTCTCCTTCTCTTTGTCCCTCAAGAGACGACGCAGAATCTTGCCCGATGGCGATTTGGGCACGATGTCTATGAACTCGATTCCACCCTTCAGCCACTTGTGCTTCGCTTTGTGTTGCTCCACATGACGAGCGATGTCTCGGGCAACCATTCTGTCAGACTCCTCGAGCCCGACAGAGGGAGATTTTACGACGAACGCCTTAGGCACTTCTCCCTCCCGGTCTGAGGGCACGCCAATAACGACGCAATCGTTCACAGCTGGGTGCGTCAACAGATGAGCCTCAAGCTCGGCTGGCGCGACTTGCAAACCCTGCACGAAGTCAGTTCCTGTCATCCTCTCCTATTTTCGCTGTCGTCAACACACGTACCTTGACCTTGATGAGCTCCTTTAGTCTATCCACGATGAAGATGTGCTCATGGCCAGACTTTGGATGCTTTCTAACCACTGCCTCATCTCCTGTTCTGAGGTAACCATCCACGAATGTCTCATCCGTAGCCTTTTGGTTGTTGAGATAGCCCAGCGTCACAGCGGGGCCTTTGACAATCAACTCTCCAGGTGTATCGTATTCCGTTATTTCCTCACCTTCGGGAGTGACGATTCGCGCTTCAATGCCCGGCAGCAAGCTTCCCGACGATCCGAAATACACATCGCTCGGGATTGTGGAACACACCACGGTTGCACTTTCAGTCACTAGATGGTTGTCAGTCTTCACCTTCTATGATTCAACATCACAGGGAACTGTGACTTACTTCCGTAACCTTGTCTGATTGCCCAGGTAGGAAACATAGACTGCAAGTCTTGCGCCGTCTCCTCTCCTAGCGGGGCTGCACCAGTAAAGATGCTCTTGACGGAAGAAAGGTCATATTGCTTCACCACGTCTCGCGACTTGGTGATCGTGATGATGATTGGCGGTACCAAGTACAAGTTGCTGATCTTGTGTGTTTGTATCGTTTCGAGGAAACTCTTGAATTCGAACTTTGGCAGGACAACGACGCCGTCGCCACGGTATGCACCGAGATGGGCGACGACGATCAGAGCATAGATGTGGTTGAGTGGCAGCTGACCTCGTTAGTTTGACTCCAGCCGACAACATCAAAAGCGACTCACCAGTCCAAGGACATTCTCCGTGTAATCAGATTGGTTACCAGGTTCAATGAGCGTTTTCCTCCATGGATCCTCGAAGGCTCGCATCTGGAGTACATTGGCGATAACATTCTTGTGACTGATCATAACACCTTTCTTGTTTACGATCAGCATTCATCGTATCTTCGGTGCACAGGAACGTACGTACCGGAAGGCCCGAAGTTCCTGAACTGTAGCAGAGGAACGCTGTCCGTCTAGCGCCCTCGCCTTTAGACCATTCGAGGCCCTCTATTTTCGCCAGCTTCTGACCCTGATCAATCAATTGGTCAAGGGTTTTGTATCCGTCTCTCTTCTTGCCGGCAACGGCTTGAGGTACATCTAGCAAGAAGATGCGGTTCTCTGCAATCCCGACACTCTTTGCCGCTTGCAACGCGAGGTCCAGTAACGGTGAACAGGTGAAAAGACATTTGGCACCAGAGTCTCGCAATTGGTGCTCTAGTTCCTGAACTGTATAGGCTGCATTGGCCGGTGTCTGAATACCTCCAATACGGTGAGTTGCCCAAGCGAGAGTCAAAGTGTCGATCTAAAAAGGATTAGAAACTTGTCAAGACTCAAAATTTCAACTCTGCTGCTCACTGTGTTGATACTGAAGAGACCGATAACCTTGTCCCATTCAGATCCCTGGTTGGGATGAAAACCAAGCTCATTACTCAACCCTCTGGCCAGAAAGTCAACGCGTTCTTTGACTTCCAATGCGCTATACTCTTTGCCGGTGATTCCGCAAATGAATGGCGGTCTTGAGTATCCCAAAGGATGACGATCAAAGTTCTCGTCTAAAATGAATTTGTCTACCGAGATTGAGTCAGGTATCTCAAAAGGCAGTTTTGGCACCCAATTGGGAGCGTAGAATGGCATCCTAGTGTATTGGATCTGGAAGGTGTGTGAGATGGCTAACGACAGGGATGAAAAGGGTTTTGTTCCCATGAAATACTAACGAGCTAGAGCGGCATATCTGCCTCGGCCTTGTCAGCCATCGTTACACCCACCACAATCATCTTTGATTGTTTCGAGCTGCCTTCTCGCCGAGAGATGACGCTTCAAGTAACCTTTCTCCGCATTGGTGCGGGGTAGAACGCACGGGTGCAGCACGATTGGAGAAACGTCGGATGCCGTTGAGCTCGGACTTCCTGCACTTCGGAAGCGAGCTTCCGAAAACCTGGAAGGCTTCGGCGCGTCTTGCGTCTGATCGTTCTTGCTGACCGAGTACTTACATATACTTGAACTCCAACCTGTCAAAACATCGCCTTGAGCCCAAAGTCACCCACTGGACACTAAGAGCAATTCCTGTTGAAGATTACAAGTTAGGTCTGCTCATACCCAGCGCTTTCGCGTACATTTCCCACACCACCTCTGAAGCTTAAGAAACACTCTTTGACTTTGCACTACCAAAGTTGCAACTTGACTCATCTCACCGCCTGGTCATATCGTCCATCTGTACAGCCCTGCTCAGTTTCTCTCCCCTGCTCGATCCCAAGGAAGGCACAGAAGTTTGACCTCAAGTCTTCCATCTCTTCGAAAGTATATCTCAACGACTTCTTTCAAGCCTTCCAAGAACTTCAGCACTTTCTTCATCTCTTCAAGATCCGCATCAGATTCCTCACGACCTCGCCAAAACATTGCCTCTGGCAGAGTCCTGGTAAGTCTAACTCACAAGCATTCCCGACGCGACAAGACGCGTGTGGCTGTTTTCCTCATCCGTATAAAAGTTATCAATACCTACCTTGCACATGTCCTGAACTCAGATTCGGTGTCTACCACGTGAACTCGGTTAATACATTACAGACAGACACGTGCCACCTCAATTTCTCGTGTGCTGTCCGTCTGCGCAGCAACGCTTTTCTGTGAGCGCGACGTGACATCCATCATTTAGACATGTGCACATACTGATTCAAATCTACAGGTGCAAGGGACTCGTGATTGGTCCTCATCGGCTCCGAACATCAAAATACAAGTTCTGGATTCGGCCAGCAGCTATCATTTGAGCAGCTTGCTGTGTCGTCGTGTTGTTGCGTGTGTAGCTCGGTAGCACAGCACGAGTTTGTTTAAGGATTCGTAAGAAGCCTGCTTTTACAATCTTTTTCAGGCGCTGACTATCACTAGACATAATCAAGAGCCAGTCTTGCAGGATTTGCCAACCGACCATCTTCTGCCGTTCCAACAGGTCTAGCCTGCTGTCTTACGCTTTGAACAGGCATAGCACGTGCTCAAAACGACCCTGATAGCGAGCAATCACACGTGTATGTGGTAGACTGCCTGTTTTATATCGCCTCTTCCAAAACTCAAGAGCGCGTCTGCCTGTTTCTCTTCGTGGCACAGAGTGTTGTAACTCAGCAAAATCTCACGCTCGACCTGCTGTCTCTTGGAAAAGAGCCCAAGTTTCATCAACGCTTCTTGACTTGTTCCTCTCTCACGGGAAAACCCGAACAATCCAAGCTTCAAGCAACTTCGCGATATGGATCCAAGAAACGATTCATTTCTCGGATCTGAGTATAAGCTGTCTTCGTCCGGAGATAGAGAAGCACCCAGCTCACCGTTGAGCTCTGTCCCCGGAGATTTCGATTACCAGCAAGAGTACGTGCCGGTCAACCCTGCCCCTCAGTTCGAGTCTCAGCCCGAATCTCAGCCCACTCCCATGTTGACCAACACGGTGGCAGACACGATTGTCGTTGCTTTGAACGACGCAGAGCCATACAACGCCCACACTCTTGTTCGTAGATCCATACGAAAGCGCAAGGTACCTCTTCGTTTCCAGCAATCTGTCGACCTTGAAGGTTCACCTGAGCCTGAGCCCGAGCCTAGGCCCAAGCCGTCTGAGCTTCCGGTCAAAAGAAGAAAGATATCGCCGCCCAAGGTGTCAAAGCCCAAGGTCTCATCGCCCGAGACAACTCGCAAGACTCGTGCCCGTGTCAGGCAGGTACAAGATATCGTGGAACCACCCAATGCAGTTCTTCTTTCACCTGAGCCCAGCGATTTGCAAACCTCAAATGACGAATTCGTAGACCTTATGCCGATCGCTCAGCAGGTCAAGGAGTCCAGAATCGTGAAGTTCAGAGTCGATCCCGAAAGACTTGGTCATATTCTTCACGTGACAGCTCCTTCGCAATCGACCAACACCTCGTCGCCACAGTCTACGCCTCCGACCAGCCCTGAGAGCGAACCGGAGATCATGCTCCCACAAACTTCTCCAACCTCTGCGGCTGACGCACATAATTTGGCCACACTTTCGGTAGCTCTTACAACAAGAGTGCCAATCGATGACAAGCCGCTTCCTCGTGGCCAGCCAGACATCTGGGCAGATACTCGTCATCATCTCTGCGAGAGTCTCAGTGGACTCTATGCATCCTGGCAAGGCTCTTACTATGGCAAGAACGGCGTTGCCAAAGCCTTCATGCTCGATGGTAATGGCCATCCAAGAGATCATCTGGACGAGAACGTCATTATCCTGCGAGCTAGTGGCAGCATGGCAAAAGACGGCGACAGCGGCATGAAGCAACGTGAAGACCAAGAACAAAAGCATCAATATCACGCAATGGTCAACGCCATCAACCAGCAAAGCCCAATTGCTGTGATTTGTGGCGACAAGAACATCCAGGTGCCCAGCAAGATGCCGCACAAGTACAATTCTCTCGACTGGTACAAGGCTACTCATGTCTGGACTGAGAAGGACAGGTTCAATGTAATCAAATACCGCCTGGAGAAGCTTGATTCAAGCGTCACTGGATGGTGGGTGCCTGAAGATTCAGAACCCGTCGTTGAGCTCGGAGCACTTGGTCCTCCTGTCAAAGAACACTGTGGCTCGTGTCGTAACGAGTATGGCCAGCTGTATTTGTGCGGTTGGATGTGCCTCAACAGCAGATGCCAGAACTTCTGGCGTTTGTCCGATGGCAGCACGCCTGACCCTACTCAGTTATACTATGACCCTCGTTTCCTGAAGCAGAAGACACCCTGGGCAAACGAGAACGCTCCTCTTAGTTTCCGCTTCCCATTATACGCAGCTTCCGCGATTGCTGGCGAAGACTACAAAATGGAGAACCTCCGTGGCATGACCTGCCCTGATTGTGGCAAATGCAACGCACGTGTCAAGTGGGAAGGCTGGGAGTGCACAGGGTGTGGTTTCGAACACACGCCCAAGATCAACCCGCTTCCCGCAGCTGCCATTCAGGATCAGAATTATCCGGTCAGTGATTCTTACCCATCATCGCATGACTCTGCTCTCCCTCACGTCAAGATCTCGGTGGAGTTTTCGCACAACTACCGCTGGATTACATACAAGTTCCAGGTCTCAGCAGCCGAAGAAGGTGAAGTTGTCCACGGCATTGCAAACAAGGTCGTGCGCGACGAGCCTGGAGGCCCCAATGAGATGTGGGAACATCTCCAGGTCGACTGCCACGGATTGGTGCGCAGAGAGTTGTCAAATGCTCTCATGAACTCTTTCACCATCAACTATGGCATGCCTTATAAATTCATCGCTGCAGGTGACAGTCTTCCCTTTACAGCTGCCCCTTGGCCTGTCACAGAAGCCGTCTCTCGTCTGAATTGGGCTGACAGAATGACATCGGGAGACGCCATCAAAGATAAGGAAAAGTTCAATGAACTGTACTTGGTCGCCTATCTCCAAGACCAATCAATGAACTACCACGATGATGGAGAGAAGGGGTTGGGCTCTACGGTCGCTACACTGTCCCTTGGTGGTCGAGCCGACATGGGGTTCAAGCCAAAGTCACCTTTCTATCATGGCATGAAGACCATCCACTACAACAAAAAGAGGATGACTGTCATGACCATGGATGACCCACTGCCTGAGTTCCCCAACTACGAACTGCGCAAGCAGTTTATCGAGGAGATTCGAAACGCCAATCTACCTGAAGATGAGGAAAAGGCAAGACTCGCCGAGATGGCTACTGCGCTTCGCGCAGCCTACACAGGCAAGAAGAGTCACACCAAAGTCGACGACTACATCAAGCTGTCCCTCGGCCACGGAGACATTGTGATCATGCGCGGCGCTCATCTCCAGAAGTGGTTCGAACACGGAGTAAGCCCAAAGGGTCTTATGCGCTTTGCTCTGACATGCCGTACTGTGCTGCCTGGCCACTTGAAGAAGTCCGAGCTGCCTGACTACGATGTCGACCTTGTCCAAGACGAGTACGATGGAAGCCGAATCGCCAAGTGATGGCAACGAATATGCTGTTCCGAGACTCCTTCTCATTGCACTGATATGTATTGATGCTTTGTTCTTGCTTTTGTTTGCTATGGTTTCTTCTGTTCATTTTCTGATATTTGCTCTTATCACTCGAAGGACGAGTAGGCGTTTAGGACGATTTGCTATTGCTGTTTTTCACATATGGGTCTATGAATTTGGGGATGGAGGATACTTTTGCTTGATGATACCCACAACTTATGAGCTTCGATAATTAGCTGCACTTTATAATATACTTTGCTTCCACTCACGTCTTCCTGCCATATTCATCTTGTGAAGGGTGTGACTTGATAGATGGCTGTGTCTTGATCGTGAACAAGCACATCGAAGTGGCTCGTCGCACATGTGAGAAGTAGGCCGAGGCCGCATATGTAAATGCTGACGAGCAGACGTTGTTTCATAATATTTAAACACTGTGAATAGACAGCATGACGGCGTGCGTTCGAAGAGAGGTCGACGCGCCAAGATGACATGTGAAGGCCGAACCGAGCCTCGGCTCCCCAGACAATAATACATCATCTGCCCTTGTCCTATCTGTTCCCTGCCATTTATTGTTGCTCATTCCTTTCAACTTTACCGCGCCGCCAAATAATTGCTTCAGCAAATAGAAAACATGGCCAACCAGACAGGAAAGAACTCTGTCGGTAAGTGGTTACTATCCATGACTTGGTGATGTAAGCTGACAGGTGGATCGTTTCAAGCTATTGAGCGTCTCTCGCAGGTCACAACCCACCTCAAGTCGTCAGAAGTCGACCTGGCCCCAAACCGCGATGCCATTCTCAAGAAGAACCCTGATGATATCGTCGTAACAGCGTGTCTGCGCACACCCCTCACAAAGGGAGGCAAGGGCGGCTTCAAAGACACAGCCGCCGCAGATCTTCTCCACGGGGCTTTCAAGGCACTGCTCGAGCGTTCAAAGATCGATCCTTCGCTGGTCGAGGATATTGCTGTTGGTAGCGTGCTGGCTCCTGGAGGTGGTGCTACCGAGTTCCGTGCTGCTGCTTTGGCTGCCGGCTTCCCTGATAGTACTAGTGTGCACTCGTTGAACCGTCAATGCAGTTCTGGTCTGCAGGCTTGTGTCGAGATTGCCAATGCTATCAAGACCGGTATGATTGACATTGGTATCGGTGCTGGCGTTGAGAGCATGAGCAGTCAGTACGGCCCTGGAGCCGTCACTGAGTTCTCGGAGCTGCTCGAGAACCACAAGGAGGCTGCTAAGTGCAAGGTGCCCATGGGAGGTAAGTGTCTTGCCTCACTCAACTGTCTGTGACGTTACTGACTCTTCCTCCAGTTCTCTCCGAGCAAATGGCCAAAGACCGTGGTGTCAGCCGCAAGGACCAAGATGCATTCGCCGCATCCTCATACGCCAAAGCCACAGAGGCACAACAAAAGGGTCTCTTCGACGAGGAGATCGCCCCTCTCAAGGTCAAGTGGACCGACCCCAAGACCGACGAGACCAAGGAGATTACCGTCAGCAAGGACGACGGTGTCAGAGCAGGCGTGACCGCCGAGTCTCTGGGCAAGATTCGCCCTGCCTTCGCAAAGGACGGCTCCATCCACGGCGGCAACGCTTCCCAGATTTCCGACGGTGCTGCCGCTGTACTGCTCATGAAGCGTTCCACCGCCGAGAAACTTGGTCAGCAGATCCTCGGCAAGTACGTCGCTGCATCAATCGTCGGTGTGCCACCATTGCTCATGGGTATCGGCCCCTGGAAGGCCATTCCCGTCGCACTCGAAAAGGCAGGCATCTCAAAGGACGATGTCGACATCTGGGAGATCAACGAGGCCTTTGCCTCGCAATGCCTGTGGTGCGCAAAGGAGTTGCAGATCCCGATGGAGAAGATCAACCCCAAGGGAGGTGCCATTGCGTTCGGCCACCCCTTGGGATGCACTGGTGCCAGACAGGTCAGCACACTGCTTTACGAGCTCAGGCGGAGAGGAGAAAAGGTCGGCGTGACCAGCATGTGTGTCGGCACCGGTATGGGCATGGCTGCCGTCTGGGTCGCAGAGTAAATGGATAACCCTTACATCCTCATGTAATACCTGACGAATGAAATTGTATCACGACTCCCAATAAGAATAAAATGAATTGAAACACTGTATCCAGTCCGCCCATGTAATTGAGTGGTCTACAGGGCCCTTGCTCTCACTGTTCGTGTATCAGCTTTCGGACTAGACTCGGCTCTAGACTGAGTATGAGCTTCCTCCTATGCTGATGCTCTCAGAGCCTTGAAGGTGGAGCTTGACATGGCTATTTAGCTGAGCAAGGACGAGCTGCAGCAAGGCACAGTTACATCTCAATGCAACGAATCCAAGATGGGAATCGGAAAATATAAGACGCAGCCCAGTGCCATCGCTTTCAGATTCAGAAAACTTTCTGCTTTGAGACAGCCACATGAGACAGCATTCCGCGCACGGGTATGAGCTTTGACAGGTTTGACGGATTTGATTCGATCTATAATGCGATTTGAGTCCGTACGCACTGAGGGCTATCCATGCCAATTGCATCAGCACCAAAGAGCAGATCCCTCTGACCACTCCCTTCGCCCTGAACTCCATGTTATACCCATGCTGATTGATGCAATGCATAATCTCCTTTCAACAAATGTACACTCATCAAGAAGACTCTGCCTCGATAGCCTCGCCAAAGACATCATCCTCATCATCACTGTGTTCGCTCTCGCTAGCAGGCTCCCATCCAGCTTTGGCGCGTAAGATGCGGTTCTCTTCTTTCAACGCAGCGATACGACGGCGGTACGGCAGTGCTCCTTCCTCGTGAGCACGCTGAGCTAGACGCAGGTATTCGGATAGGCGCATTAATGAGGCTTGCCAGGCTTGGTGCGTAAGCTGGGCTTGGATGGTTTCGTTGCGTGACGTTTCGAGTAACGAGTTGTAGTGTGCGTGTAAAGCTAGCACTGGGTCAGCATTTTGGCAGGAACGGAGAGCCTGGATGGTCTGACCGATGGTTGCGCTCTGGTGGTTACGAGCGTACTCTTGAATCTGTGTTTTGAACTTCTGAACAATGTCTTCGGCGTAATCAATGACGTCGTTGGCATCCTTGCATTCTGCTTCTAGCTCGTTGATGCGAGACAAGGCGTCGGACAGTTGGGCTTGCAGAGCGCTTGTGTCGGCATCAGGGGAAGCATGAGGGACATGAGAGTCTGGGAAAAGCTTGAATATCAGCGAATGAACGAGGGAAGCATAAGGAACAGCAAGGGTATCTAAGCGCTGTGGATGACAGAAAACGAGCAAAAGCATGAACGACCGTACCGTTTGCATCTCCATTCGGCAAGACTCCATTCTCAACAGGTCTGGTGGTCTAGAAAAAGTCGTGTGAGCAGCCGAAGCAGCGTTTCCATTCCTTGGGAAGAGAGGCGTACCTGGGCACGTGTGAGGCCCTCTTGGAGTTCGTCATAGTTCTCGCGATTCTGTTGCAAGACCTGGCTCAATTCTTGCACCAACGACCAGATGTGTTGCATATCGCTGTGGTGACCGGCTGCAGGCATATTGCCCCCAAGAGTGTATGGGGCCGAGTTGGCCATAGCAGGGTTCTGTGCGGCCATGGAGATGGATCGAGAATAGATGTTGTGAAGGGCGCGGGCGAGGTGATGAGTGATGTTGGGATCGTTCAGCGAGATGAATTCCTCATGGTCGTCGGGGCTGCTGGAGTTGAGAAGAAAATCCGAGCTAGGGAAGGTGGGAGTCGGTGGCAGAGGACGGGTGACCAGGGCCAGTGACGTTGGGCTCTTGCCGGGGGTCGGTGTCGTTCCACCGTCTCGCTCCCTGATGGCTGTGCGTACCGAAGTGTCAGACTTTTTGTCGCCGTCGCTGTCTGATTCGCTGTTCGACCGAACGATATAGCTACTGTATGGCTGTGTGAATCGCGGGCTCGTCTCTACTGCGCCGTCGTTGTTTGGTACTTCTGCGGATGCTCCGTCGAAGTCGCGTGCAGCCTCTGCTATCTCGGCAATAACCTGCTCTACGGATCTGTCAGGCTCGAGCTGTTTCGTGTGCTGAAGTCGCTCAAAGGTAGCGACAAATTGATCTAGTTCGCGCTCGTGCTGTTCTTTCTCTATTGCAAGTCAGCGAGGAGTCCATGATGTGGCTCGTGCTCACTGTTGATCGCGGTTCGGCCCGCTGCCGTGTGCGGACCAAGAATAGCAGAATCTAGCACCCGGGAGACCATGAAACAGTCAAACAACGTACCTTCATGTTCGCGTCTGCGTTCGCGTGCGACTTTCTCTCTGACCACAAGCACATGCTCAGGAGTCACTCGTAAGAGTCCATCGTGTCCTGCTCGGAGCAGTAATCCACCGTGTACGAGAACTTGCTGAATCGCCTCAACTGGATCGCCATAGTGTGGGAGCTGTGGAAGCCGCGGCACCTCTTTCGCCTTGAGACGAACCTCACGGATTGGAGGTCTGGACGAGTAATCCTGAATCCTTGGGTCATCCGTCATCTCATCATCCATGTCTTGCCACTCGCTGCTGGGTTCCTCCCAAGTGTCGATTCCAAGCCCGATGACCTCTTGCTGGCCTCCCAACTTTCGCTCCATGGTCCTACCTCTCACTTTGAGCTCGGGTGCACGATAAAAGTCATCCGATCTTTGGACACCTTTGCGCAATTTGATACGTCGGAATCCTGCCCCCATATGGAATCTGGATTCGCTAGACATGGTTGCGGATGTGCTCGTCGGACTGCTTGTTGAGGTGAGTGTGGTTGACTCGATTCTGGGCTGCTCAATTGCTTTTTTCGATCAGTTTGACGGTCATTACTGCGGAGAGATCTTCAACATCATTTACAGCATGTATCTTCGTTGACGTTGGGCACCTTCGGTAGACCCAGCTTCAGAGTTCGTTTTGCGAGTCGTGGTGTGGGTGGTTGAGATGGATCTGATGCGTCGTCATTGTCATCACCACCACCGCGCAAACGTCCGCAACCTGACGAATAAGTCAACAAAGACGTCGCATCTTAGTATAACCCCACGCAACTTACCCGGTCTGTTCGCTGATGTTGTCGTGTCCATGGGAATCTATCTCTCTTGGTCCCGCACCATAGCAGACCAGTCCGTCTGCTGATTTTTCACCACATGGCTCTCGATCTTTGTAACGTCGAGATTATCGCTGTAGTTGTCCGCCTCGACGTAGGCAGCAGGATTACAGTCATCATCTGCATCATCTGCTCTGTTCGGCAGGTGTCTCATGTACTCGTTGCCTACTGAAGATTGTGGTTCGGCAGTTTCCTCGGCCTCTAGCTTGCTCTGCTTCGCTTTATCGGCAGGCTGTTTTGTCTCGTCGCGTGCTTCCTTCCTATCAAAGTCTGAGGCTTGACTCGAGCCCTCTCTACGAAGATGCGATGGTGGAGGCTCTGATGTTCGACTTGAACATGTGACACAGAGTCATCAAGCAGTCTAACGACCTCAAGATCGTCCTCGAACGTTCCCTGAGCCTCATTATCGATAGTATGCAAGGCCTTACTGAGCTTGAAGGAATCTTGAACCTTAGTTGTGCTTGTTTCATTCATGCTGAGGTCTCTCCCCAACCTGGTACTCCTTTTCGCGTTCCGTGTGGAGGCAGTTTCTCTTTCTACTGTTCGAGCAGCCACTTGGAGAGAAGGTCCTTCGACATTGGAAGCGAGTAAGCCTACGTCTCGTAGCTCTGGTGCTACTGTGCTTGAAAGAGGTTTCCCAGACATTCTGCCAGTCGACTGCCACCTTTTCGGCGCGGTCCAAGGTGCTGAGGCGCAGGCTCTCCTTCTTAGCATCTCTTCCAGGTAAGTATGCGCCTGCTTAGCTTGGGAGGCATGTTCTTCTACGAGCTTGTCATCAGGCATCGATGTAATATCCGGTGTGATGACGGTTGACAACGAGCTATGGCTCAACATTCTCTTGAGCGTATGACTGAGTGCAAGCTTCGGTTTGGCGGCCTTCGTCTCTTGCTTGTTGGTTACTTGAGCAGCAGTTTCTGTCGCGATGATTGCTTTGCCTTTGCCATTCAAGACGAACCTGAATGACTCAAGCGGCTTGTTCTCTTTGGTTGTGGACTTTTGCATCATGATGCCGATGCTGATTATACGTATAGATGCTGCGTACTGATGTTTAGCGAGGAATACAATGTTGGCAGGTCTGTTTTCTCGGTATGATGGGTGGTGCTGACGAATAGGTTCTCAAGCAGAGCAGGCAGATTTGGGAAGCAGCAAGAACGTGATGACGTTTCGCCGATCATTCCCGTCGTACCTTACTCTACGTTCATTTGATTGATACATGACTTCTTCGATAGTTTAGACAGGAAAGAAGCATTTCATTCAGTATTATGTTCGTTCTAGTCGCTCAATCGACAGATCTACTGGTCTTGCGACCCCAAACTTCGTCAGCATCAGCTTTACCTTTGGTTTCAGGCACCGCCCAGAAAACGAAGGCAGCCAGTATGGCAGCAAAGGCGGCGAAGATGAAGTAAACCTTGCCTCCACCGAGCTTTTCGTTGACGATGGGAAAGAACTGCGCAACCACAAAGGTAGCGATCCAGTTGGCCGCCAGTGCCCAGCTCTGGGTTGCCCCAACGGCATCAGGTCCAACAAGCTCCGAAGATAGGATGAAAGGCACAGGTCCCAAACCGAGACCAAAGGACGCCACGAACGTCAAGACAGTAATTGCTGAGAGGATAGGGATATGTCTCATGATACCGATACCTAGTAGCAGAGATGAGACGCCCATTCCGAAGATGCTCACAAGGAGGCAGACTTTGCGGCCAAGCTTGTCGGTAAGGGGAGCGCAAGACGTGGTCACAACAATGTTCAGGATTGCCACCAGGACGTTGAGCAAGGCGGCATTCGCTGAGAGCAGGTCAGAGAGCAAGGAGACACCATACATAACTATCGAGTTGATTCCACATAGCTGTTGGCCAATCATGATGACGACGACGGCAATGACAGCAGGACGGGAGTCTGTGTTCTTGAGGACAGCAAGAGCACCGAGAGCTTCGACAGCTTCTTTGATCTTCTTGCCTGCAGAAGCGTCAGAAGTGGGGTCGCTTTGTTCGATGCCGCCGGGGTGCACGCGGTCTTCGTTGGAGAGGAGGCTGTCTTCTTCATTATCCATGTCTTGCGAGCTCTCCAGGCCCCAGCCCTTGACTTCTTCATCTATGTTGGCTTCATGGCCTCTCAAGTTACGCAGAACGCGTTTTGCTTGTCTTTGGCTACCATGGTCGGCAAGCCATTTTGGACTCTCTTGTCCACCGATGAAAAGTCCGAGAGCTTGAGCAAGGCCAATAGCGCCACCAACAGCCAGGATGATGCGCCACAGTGAGCCTTTGCTCAGGAAGAGACCAAGGAGCTGTGCGATGAAGATGCCCATGTTGATCATGATTTGGGTAAAGGCACCGAAGAAGCCCTTCTCTTTGGGAGGGGCGATCTCTGAGATGAAGATGGGTGCGATAACGACCGAGGCCCCGGCACCAAGTCCGCTGATAAAGCGACCAATGGTCAGAATGGGTATATCGGTAGCGAGTGCTTCAAAGACGGGCCCGATGATGAAGGGGACGGTGCTGAAGAGCATGGACTTGTAGCGACCGTAGCGAGCTGAGACAGGACCTGCGCCAAGGGCACCCAGAAGGCCTCCCAGAGTGAAGATGGACGAGACGAGGCCGAACTGAGTCGAGTCCATAGGGATGCATTGTGGCAGGCTTGGAGCGAGGGCCGACGAGATGGACTTCTTCTCACATGTTATGATCGACTGGGGCGCGTTGAGTTCCGACTATAGCAACGTTAGAGAGCGAGGTGCACTGTCGACATGCTCGTACATACAAGATGGAAACCGAACAGCAGAGGACCGATGGTAGAGATGAAGAGGACATAGACAAAGTAAGGCGTGAGGTCCTTGAACCACGACTTGGACTCCATTTGGCAGAGACTGCTGTTGTCCGAGAAAGAGAAGACGCTTGCAGTGTTAGAGACGTGCAAGACGTTGCTGTCGGAGAGTGTCAGGAATCAGGATGACCTGCTCCTGCTGGAGCCGCACGCTGGAGCCGCCCTTGTCACATGCGGGCCGTGACAGCCGCGTCTTCGCGTAGAGGCCCGCCCTTCTCTAACCACACCATCTTTATGCCAACCGAGTCTTTCGCTGTGCCAATCCTCGTGTCTGATCATCCGCTCCCGACTCCCTCGTATTTGTCTGTCCTCGCCGCATGTTTCGCTGTTTGTCCGAGCCCTAGTCCCTAGCCACTCCTCTCCACACGCCGCATCATACCTCTCCCGACTTCCGTCGCCAGCTCGGCAACGCTGAAACTCAACTCCTGACACCCGACCGCCTGTGGGGTAAGCATAATCCAAGCATAATTTAATCCGTCGCCATGATCACTTCAACCTCTGCCCTCTCAAATGTGCCTCTTTCTGTGACCGCTTCTGCCGCCAATACTGCAAACCCACCCAGCTCCGCGCCGAGTGTTAGAAATGCAAATCCTGCTTCTGTCTCTGGAGGTAGTCTAACCCTCAAACGAAATCTTCACTCTGCTTTTAATGGTATGTTGTCCTGTGACGTCCGAGCCTGCCTCCATATTGCACTGGACAAGTAGCACTGCGGCTAAATCTCCACTTGACAGAGCCTGCCGATACGAAGATGTCGTCTATGGGATACACGAGTCAGAGGCGCATTAATGACAACTACGATGTTGTAGGCTTCATTAGCAGTGGCACCTATGGCAGAGTCTACAAAGCCCGAAACAAATCTGGACGGGGAGCACATCCGATATTGAGTCGGAACTCTGGGAAGCCTATCGAGGCCTTCGCCATCAAGAAGTGCGTCAAATTACCGTCAATATGAACAAAGACTAACGCCTTCACTCCAGATTCAAGCCTGACAAGGAAGGAGAACTACAGTACACAGGTATCTCACAGTCTGCTATACGAGAGATGGCTCTTTGCACAGAGTTGTCTCACGAGAACGTCATCGCCCTCGTCGAGATCATCTTGGAGTCCAAGTGCATATTCATGGTGTTCGAGTATGCAGAGCACGACCTCTTGCAAATCATACATTGGCACACACAACATCCACGCACTCCTATCCCAGCTCCAACCCTACGCTCCATCATGTATCAACTTCTTGAGGGACTACTCTACCTTCACCGTAATTGGGTCTTGCATCGCGATTTGAAACCCGCCAACATCATGGTAACATCTGGTGGGTCTGTCAAAATAGGTGATCTGGGTCTTGCAAGACTCTTCTATAAGCCACTTCAAGCCTTGTTCGGTGGTGACAAAGTCGTCGTCACCATTTGGTACCGAGCACCTGAACTCCTGCTGGGCAGTCGACACTACACCCCGGCAATCGACACATGGGCGGTTGGCTGCATATTTGCCGAGCTTCTGAGCTTGCGGCCCATTTTCAAGGGCGAAGAGGCAAAGCAAGACTCGAAAAAGACCGTACCGTTTCAAAGGAATCAAATGGGAAAGATCGCCGAAGTCCTCGGTATCCCGAGGAAAGAGAGCTGGCCATTACTTCAAGCAATGCCCGAATATCCCCAACTGCAAACTCTGGCCGCTGGCAATCCCGCAGTCCAGCGACCAATAGGTTTGGACAAGTGGTGGGACAATCTCACAAGAAACAGTCAATATGCGGCCGCGAACATGCCTGCACCACATCGTGACGGATTGGCAATGCTCAAGGCTTTGCTTGAATATGACCCCCTACATCGACTGAGTGCCGAGCAAGCACTTCAACATCCATATTTCTTACACGATGAAAGCAATCTACCAGCAGCGCCTCCGAAAAATTGCTTCGAGGGTATAGAGCACAAGTACCCTCCTCGCAAAGTCAGTTCCGAAGACAATGATATACGGTCAGGCAGCCTGCCAGGAACAAAGAGAAGTGGTCTACCGGATGACTCCTTCCTCAGGCCACCTAAGCGAGTCAAGGAAATCTGATATCGTCCATGTCGGGCGTCTCTTGGAGGGGCTTCTGCAACCTCTACCTACATGCTCGAGGATATTCTCGTGCTAGGTTTGATGCCCTGACGTTTGTTTCCCACAGTGGTCTCCAAGGTTGTTAGCATACCCACAGACTCGGAGGGCGGCTACCACTCTCTGGATCAAGTCAACGAGAGGAGAAACCATAGAGAAAATTTGGTTTCCTCTTCTTCGAGTCGGAGCATCTGAACTCTACACGAACTTGATCACCCCAGCATGACTCGATTGGTTTTGTCTAAGTCCAAGGTCGACCATGAAATTGTAGCCCAAACCCACGAGGCAATGTCGCGCAGGCGTGTCATTGAGATGCCAAGAGACGAAAATCTGCATGAGATATCATAAGAGGTCTTAAGCCACATCGAGCATTTGCAGCAGTTTAACCTGTCTTCAATGTACATATTCATGCCTTACTACACGTAGACTCGTCCTGATATCGTCACGAATGTTAGTTCGTCCGTCGATGATTGTGCGAGGCTTCTAGGCGCAGCGGTGTTCGACGCCCGTGCGCACAGTCTTGCTGGCACATGAGTGACTGCCACCTTCCCTATGCACATTTAGAGACGAACCTACTTAGTAACGTCTTTCGCGCTTTCAATACACTCAACTCATACTCAATCATCGTTACCACCATGGCGAACGTCGAACCAAAGTCCACATCAGAGTCCCACCCGGGCGACCAAGCACAGACTCGCATCCCGACGCAGGCAGAGCTCGATAAGGTTGCTCAAGTGGACATTCTAGACAAGAATGGCGACAAGAAGCAGTTCGGGGCGCTCTGGAGTCGTCATGGAGATATGCCGCATCGAAGCATCGTTATTTTTATCCGTCACTTCAACTGCGAGGTGAGAAGCTTATTCGCACAACGCTCTGACGTCGCTGTAAATACTGACCAGTATGCGGAAGTCGTGTGCCGATTATGTTCGTGCCCTATCGACCAAATTTACTCCCAATGGTCTTGCTTCTAGATCCATACCGACATCTCTTTACATTGTCGGATGTGGAAGTCATACTTTCATCTCAACCTACATGAAGCGCACTGGCTGCGAGTTTCAGATCTATACAGATCCATCGCGAGTCACATACGATACGCTAGGGATGACGTGTAACTTGGGGCTCGGAAAGAAGCCAAGTTATATTTCATCAAGCTTCATCGGAGCGCTCATCGGGACTGGAAACACCCTGGCTACCTTGCTTACAGACTCGGGCAAGAAGAGTCAGAATGGTGGTGAACTCATTTGGATCAATAGCGAGATCAAGTGGGCTCGAAGGATGCTAAACACTCGTGACCATATCGAGGTCGAAGATTTGGAGCTCGTGTTGGCTGGACAGGAGAAGGACAACCTCCAGTAACGGAGCACTTCTCATTAGACAGTAACCAATAGTAATAAGTACGAGACATTTCAGATCGTCAATATGCATCCGACCTGTACACCGTGCAGGCCTGGCAAGATCACTCATGCACGAGCAGGGTCATCCTGGCGACAATAGCTCTTCGTTTTGGGGATGCCAGAACACACTTGAAACGTGCACACGTGCTCGAATTGAGATTCTATTGTTTCCATTCCCAGCGGAGCGGCCGTTGACACTCGGTAGGCCAATATATCTGGATCTACGACGCCTCCTCTTGCGCGTTTCATCGACCGTGGTATAACGCGTGCGGAGGATCTGCAGGCTGGGAGAAGAGGGAGTCGCCTGCAGCTACGCGAGTGCGCATCACAGGATATTGTAGAAAGATATGTCCGAGAAAGATGATTCGAGGATACATCTTCTAGAAATGCAAGGACATTCTGTGATCAAGTGTGATGGAAGCTGGCCACATGAGTGGAACCAGAGAAGCGCGGCATGTGGCACTCGAGGAGCTGGAACGTGAACGATGCGTGCATAGGCGCCGGGCTGTCAAAGGACGGCCAATCAAAGTAAAGGCTGGCGATCCATCTAATTTGCTCGCACCTTTGTTGCGGGTCGTAAACTCTAAGAGCGGTGCTTTTTCCATTCAGGAGCTTCACCCGCGGCCGGCTGCCCGCACAATGGACATCGGTGGTGCCAGCAACATCCAGGGCGCAGTAGTGTACTGGTGGCTCAAAGGATTCGCACCTGTCAGGTGGTATGGGAGATTGTGAGACGAGTCGGATGCTATCGAGCGAGCGTTTCAGGAGATTCTTCGTTGCCCGTCTTGACCGCAATCAGCATAGTTTTTCTTAGCGCAGGGGTCCGAGTCAATGGGTTCACGTTATTCGGGTTCGTTCGCGCATGGTGCCAAGCGCAGCCTGCCGCAAACCCCTTCACAAGATGGCTCGTTCTTTATTCCAGCTTCCTTCTCTCTTTCACTTTTCTTCCTAGTGTGTCCTTCCTTCCCTTTCTGCCTTCATTTGGTGATTGCAGCCTTGTTTCATTTTCTAACTATCTATTTGTGTGTCGACCCTTCCGCAAACTAATAATCTCCCATCCCTCAAAGAGAGCGATTTCTACCCGCGGGCGCGTCCAATCTGTCTAGCATTCGTCGCTGTGTTCTTGTAGAGCAACTTCACAGTCACCTCAATCTTGACACCTGACCACTCATCACTCCGAAACCTCCGGACTCTGACTTGCAACAAAACACATTCTACACATCCATCTGTTCAAAAGCACTAGCGTCAACGTGTGCCTTCTGACAGCCTATCCCGGTAAACGCGTTGGTTCATTGACATCACACCGCACGGCAACACGACAAACACCTTTCCACAGTGTAATCACACGCACTCAACACGTCTGTCTGGTTGAAAGACCGACAAACATTTATTCTCTCGACCACATCTCATACCGCATCGGCCCACCAGATCTCTCTGTACCCGCCGACCGTTTGTGTAATTTCAGTTCAGCATCACTTGGTGTAGCTGCCTGCTTGTTAAGCACTTTGCCTCTACCACGGATCCGTCTACCCTCTCTTGAATAGCATCCAGCTTTCGACGAAGAGCCTTGTGACTTGCCATTCTTCTAACCGGTCCTTCAACATACTGTCACCCAACGCTCCGCATTCTTGCACGAAGCGGACTTAACGAACGGCCGCATCATCATCTTCACTCAGCATCATCGACATCATTTCAGCCCAGATCTTACCTGGTCTCACGAATCAAACTGTAATAATGAGCATGGACGCTGGCGGTCTCGCTCAGATGACTTTTAACGGTTTCTCTTCCAACGGCCTTGGCGCCCCCGGCTCTGGCTTTGCTTCTAGAAACAGAGGAGCCCATAATCACAAGCGCCTCAGTGTTGGCCTCCCTCAGCACATCAGCCCCAACGAGAACCACTCCGACTCAAATCCTACTCCTCGCACTTCGCGCTCCCACCTTCTCGCCGGTCTCCGCACCGCTCCGAAGACGCAGGCCGTCCCGGCTTCCGCTCCTTACAACCAGCTCGATTACCAGTCTCAGCTCGGTGGCATGGACCCCAATACATACAACGCCTACATGCAGAGTGTCCCTCAGTCGGCCTCTGCCGCTAGCTTTGGTGGCAACCACTACGGTGGTGGTCGTCAGCAGCAGCAGCACCAGCAATTCCAACAGCAACAGCAACAGCAACAGCAGCAGCAGCAGCAGCAGCAGCAACAACATCAACAACAACGTCACCAGCAGCAACAGCAACAGCACATGTATTCTATGCCCGAGCAGGTCTTGGCCCCGCCTACCTTCTACGGCCAAGAGGCTGAGATGGACCCCAGCGTGATGGAGCAACTTCAGCTCACCAGTCTTTTCCTCGCTCAGCGCCAACAACAACTTCAACAGCAGCTCGCCGCCATCACGGCTGCTGCCGGCACTACTCAGATGCAGAGTCTGAACATGAGTCAGTTCCAGCAGCCCATGTCTTCTCAAGTCAACAACTACAGCCAACAGCGCTCTCAACAACATTCGCCGATTGAGGTTCCCGGTCAGCCTGGTCTATACTTGGTGTACAACCCCATGACCGGACAATACCAGTACGCAGTGGACAACAACGCTCAGTCGCCCATGTCTCCTGTCTCGCAGAACCAGAACGGGTTCTTCAACGTTGACACTCCCCAGAAGCAGCAACAGCCTGTGTTCCGTGCCGAGATTTCACCGCCTCCTACCGAGCGTCCTACGCCAACTGGTTCGCGCTCCATCACCCCTCCTAAGAAGACATCTTCCCCTGCGTCAAACCTCGCTCACGTCCAGCCTCTACCTCCTCCATCTGCCAACGCCTTCCGCCGTGGCCACAAGAAGGCATCTTCTCTTGCAATCAACGCCATGACTGGAGCATTGGATGGCCCCAAGACCAGCAGTGTTGCTACATTTGGCTCTGCCAGGACCGTGTTCCCACCCACTCCAATGACTGGTACTTTCGGACCTGGTGCTGCTCGTGCTGGAGAACACCCCGTACGTCAGCCCCGCGGTCCTCCCCCGCTCGAGGAGCTCATCGCTCTGCCCACTAGCAAGCATGAAGGCAGCAAGAACTTTGCAACACGCCAACGTCGCCGCGCTCTCGACAATCTTGTTCGTGCTGGTTCTTTCCGCCGTGCCGTCAGTGGATCCCCTCGTGGTAGCCCGATCAGTGAGCGTGAGCTCCACTTCCAATCAGAGGAGGATGAGCCATGCTTCCGCAAGCAGAGTCCTATCGGCAGCGAGCGCAATGCTAAGAGAAGCTCAAAGGACAGCCTTGAAGGTCTCGGTGCAGGCGGTGCAGTTCAGACTCCAGGTAGTGAGAAAGGTGACGCCTTCGACATGGGATCTTTCGTCAAGCAACTTCCCAGTCCTATCCAGCAAGGTCTTGGTCGCAGACACATGATGTTAGGTGTTCTTAGCGCAGCTGAGAAGAGAAAGAGCATGTTCTAGAGCGGTGGGTGATTACTGCACAGGTGACACAGACCACGCAAATCTCATTCTGGTTTCCTTTCTATTCGTGGTTGGGCAGGCTTTTATGATCGGACACTGGGAGTATGTAATCGAGTTGGTAACTCGAGATGTGTCAAGGACTCTATTTATTTCTATTCATAAGCTCCGGCAAAGGCAGCGACTTGAGGGGCTGTGCCCTTTGAGTCTTGTACAATCAAATTGCCTGGAGAGGGGCTAGTTGCTATTCTTTCACAATGCCCCCTGTAAATGCCTTCCGACTAGCTTTTAATCAATAGTTCTCACAGAATTGGAGCAATACTTTCATTTACATCTAAGCCCTCGAGAATGTCTACTCTGCTTCCCGATTATGACTGCCATTCGCGATGTCGGCCGTAGAGGCCGGACGGGATCTTACGCGTTCCGTTGCCCCGCACTGTGCCCTATTCCTTCTCCACCACCATCACTTTCACCTCTCCACAACTCACCACAATCTTCGACAATGGCCTCTATCGAAAGCGTCGCGAACACAGGAAAGAAACTAGAGTGTCGGTTCTGTCAGAGAATCTACTCCAAAGCAGAGCACTTGACAGTATGGCTCAGCATCTATAATACGTACAGATTGATGTTCTAACATGCATGTTCCAGAGACACGAGCGTTCTCATACAGGTGTGCGACCGTTTACCTGCAAAGAATGCAACCGCGCATTCAGTCGACAAGATTCGTTAGCTCGTCATGAGAAACTTCATCTGCGTAGAGAGAGCATGAAATGTGCTTCACCTCCCAGTTCGATTTACACACCAGCCAAATCGAATGCATTGCAGCACTTGCTAGCCGCCGATGAGGATATTGAGTCTCACAACTATGTACCACCAACAGATCATAGTACTTCTCAAACTTGGCACGAGCAATCGTATCAAGTAGAGTCTGATATGATGGACATGCACTGTGCCACGGACCTCGACTTCCAACTGATCTGGCCTGATTCCGAGGAGCTGTTTCAGTCAATCATGTCAACGGATACTACAACGCACATGCCGGTGGGCACTTTGCCATTTCCCCAAGGGCTTGATCAGTTTACGCCGACTAGTCTCGATTCGCCTACCTCATTCGATGACCGAGGGACGGCTATCAAGTCTATACCAAATGGTGGTGGTCATCAGGCTGTTCACGGCGTCAGCAAGATGATCTCGAACTTGGTAAAATCGTCAAACCATGTCAAGTTATCCCCAGCTGACCCGTATAGTCTTCGAGCATCACCGCCGAGGCAGAAGCAACATCCATTACTTCGGTGTTCCTGGACGAGTGCCTGCACATGTTCTTCGTCCGCTTCATACCGACATTCCCTGTCTTACATCGCTCAACATTTGTGTTCAAAGAATGTACCCATCCTCTGCTCTTGAACGCAATCGCGATCGGGTCGTTGTACCTTGGTCCCAAGGATGCCATAGCAAAAGGCGAAGCCTTGTGGCGTCTTTCTCACACAGCGGTTGCAACTTCAGTTCGTTATCCACTTCTCAAGATTAAATATCAAAGTGTTAACGAACTCTGCAGTGGCAAAGTTTGATCACTCATCGAGGACCATACGACCCATGTAACGGCCTCCAACTGGTACTGGCTGCTTTGCTTGGTCAAGTCTATGCAGCACTCTCCAAAGTAAGTCCGTAGGTCAAATCTTGTGTGCCAGTCACTAACGGGTCAGAATCGTGCGCTTAGGACAACTTCGCAAATATTCCATGCTCTAGGTTTTTCCTGGGCAAGACACTGTGGCATGTATGACAACGACACATTCTCGTTGGATGGCTTGCCGTCATTGGATGCATCTCCAGCAGAGAAAGACCGACAATGGAAAACGTGGGCTGCTCACGAGATTCAAAGGAGGGCGTTGCTTGCTCAATACATACTGGATGGACTGGTGTCATCGGCTAGTGGAAATCCTACTTCGACGCGACACGCTGCCAATCAGCTTGGGCTTCCCTGCGACGAAAGCTTGTTCGAAGCAAGTACCGCAGATGAGTGGCTTATTAAGATGCGATCGCAACCCAGACAAGACGTCTCTTTCCGCAACATCTTCCGGTCGTTGTTCTTGCCTGTGGACATGGGCAGGTTACCAGAGCATACACTGACCTCTTTCTCACTGCGCGTCATCCTGGAAGGTGTACAGTCACTCGTCTCGGACTCCACGGATGGACCGTCTATCGGCGTACCTACTCGCTCTGAGATTCGTAGGGCGCTGGCTCAGGTTCATGAGAGCATTACTAAGAACACCATATCGACTCCAGAGACACTTGAGGCTTTGTTACGCTGGCATTCGATCTGTCTAGATGCAGCTACCGACTCGTCTATGTTGTGCCGCCATCTCTGTGCACGCTATAACATTCCACAACATGTCTTGGGCGGTAACAGAGGACTCAAAGCAGGGCTGGATCTGGTCGCCTGGGCCAAGACCGAAGATGCACGCAGAGCTTTGCTTCATGCCGTAGCGATTCAGGACATTGTCGAACAGCTTCCTCGTGGTCGTGCTCATGTCCTTCACATGCCCAGTTCACTGTTCGCCGCAGCGACTGTATACAGTGTGTTCTCACTAGCGGGCCACACGACAGTCAATCTGCCTCGCGTGGTCGACTGGAAAGACGCACTTTTCACCGAAGTCGACCCCTGCGTCATACTCGGTGACCTGGCGGGTACATCGGCAGGCTCAAGTCCGACAAGAAGATTTGTTCGTGGTGAGCAGCTTTCTAGCAGCGGATACGAGTCCATGACACGCAATCTGCTGTATGAGCTCAACTCGATGCAGAAGTTGTTCCGTTGTCTCAGCTCGCAGTGGGGACTGGCTTACGATATGGAGGTAGTCTTGAACTCTTGGATCTCACTCAGTCATTAAGAATGTCGTCGATGTATAGGATTAATTATGTTGGGATTTTGGGATAGCATTTTCTTGGTTAGATTGTTTCGGGATATCTACAATTTAGATTCAAATCGTCAAGCTTTCGTCTCTTCAGAGAGTGAAATTTATGAATGCTCCCCTCTACTTCTCGTCCTCGAACACTGTGGTCAATGTACCAATGTGTGGGTAGACCTCGACAGAAAACTCATCGCCGTCACGCAAGAACTCCTTGGGGTCCTTGCCAACACCAACACCAGCAGGGGTGCCGGTGAGAATGACAGTACCAGCAGGCAGAGTGGTGCCTTGAGAACAGAAGCTGATGAGTTTGGGAATATCGAAAATGAGGTCGTCGATGCCAGAATCTTGCATGACGTTGCCGTTCTTGCTGCCCTTCATGTGCAGCTTGCTCGGGTCTGGAATCAGTTTCGAGCTCGCCAACACGGGGCCGATTGGGCAAGCGCCATCGAAGCCTTTGCTATAGCACCATTGGCTTTGAGCGAATTGAGCTGCACGGCTGGACACGTCGTTTGCGGCCGTGTAACCAAGGACGTAGTCGAGAGCTTCCGACTCGGAGACGTTCTTGCAGGGCTTTGAGATGATGACGGCGAGTTCTGATTCGTAGTCGGCGGTGTCGGAGGACTTTGTGTGTTTGGGGATGACGGTGGGTGCAGGGTAGGGGTCTGCGAGGGAGGTGGCTGGCTTGAGGAAGATGACGGGCTCTTCTGGTTCGGCCAACTTGACTTCTTCGGCGTGCTTCTTGTACTGTGTCTCCTTGTCAGCAGACTTTCACTAATTTCCAGCTGGGGTCGAGTCTTACGTTCAAGCCAATGCAGCGTATCGTGCCGACCTCTGCTTGTGACAATGGTGAAAGCAGTTTGGCAATCTTCTCCGTCTTGTCTGACAAGGATCCAGGGCTCAGTGCCGACTTTCCGCTAAAGACCTTGACTTCGACATCTTTGCCCTTGCGGATAGCAAGACCAACATCGAGTTCGCTGTCGACAGGTTCGCCAATCAGAATGGCCTTGGAGTCGCTGGCGGGGACGAAGCGGACGAGACGGTTGAATGACATTTTGACGTGTGTTGATCTAAACAAATTTTGGTATGAGAAAGAAGTTCGAAACATTGGAAACAATGACAAGAAGCTCTCCAAGTCTATTGCCGATGTCGCGGAGAGGGTATCATCACGAAGTCCATCAAGTCCCGCACGCCAGTTCCGCACCCTGAGAAAGACCTTCCCCACCTGTACCCCTCGAAGGTGGAGAAGGTCTTCCGTAGCCCTCGGCCGAAGCCACTCCGAAGTACCGAGACAAGAACAATATGGTCTTTGGTCAGTCGCAACAGGAAAATGTACTCATAATATGCAGAGTATGACACCGAGAGTGCGAGAAGTGGCTTCAAGGCAGCGTATTATGGTGCAATGGCTCTGTTTCCCCCAATTGTCGAAACGGCACCACCCACTTGTATGCTGGTCAGAGCTCTACAGCTGGAGGGCGGCCGTGTGGGGCAGTCACAGAGTGTTTTGACAAGACAACCCGATGGCGGCCGAGAACATTTGTTCCACTTGGGTCTCTCCGAGTGTTTCTGACTTTCTATTCCTCAATCACAAACATCACACAGCACACAACATGTCGACCACTAAGCCATTGGGACCCTTCAAGCTCGTTACCGTCAACACAGCACCCGAGCGTGCTTACAGGTTGATCGGCCGCGTCGTCGAGAACGTCAAGGACAAATACACAATCATCCACGCTGGAAATGCAGACAGTATGTGGTTTCAGCTCGGTAGCCGAGCAATGTTGGCTAACTTGAGTGCAGGCGAAGAACAAGTCCGCGAAGTTGTCACCAAAGAACAGCCCGACGTACTGGTGTGTCCTGACAAAAGATGGACGATAGACATACAAGACGCTGACAAGATATGCAGTTCACAGCATCCATGTGGACACCGGAGCAAGCAAAGGCCATTCATGCAGAGGCCAAGGAGATTATGGGGCCGCAATTGAAGACATTCGCTCTGCCTCAGGGCCTCCAGGTTTCAAGAGGGCCGGACGCTGTGGTCGAGTTCATCGAGGAGAACCTGCCTGCGCTCCTTGAGGGATAAAGGAGACACAATTAGCATACCAAGCCACGTATTACACGACTTTCAAACGACGATAATGGATTGGTGGACTGCAATGTGACGAGAGCCATGATGATTGTAGAAGTGAGGTATGCTGAGGTCCGGTACATGAATGGCTGCCGAAGAGCGGCGGTAGACCTAGAAGGCAGTTCGGAAAGATGCAGGGACACGCGGGACATGGATGGGCAGACAAGGATGCAGACCAAGCTCTTCCTCGGAAAGATGCAAAGATCCCTGAGGCATCAAGAATAGCCGGAAATAACGTCATGCTTTCATAGGCTATTGAGCCTCTCGATATAAGGTTTAACAGTCTTCCACATGGGTATCTGGCGATGTATGCATGTCAAATTGGTCGCGACTGTCGCGTGGGTAAGACTCCAAGCCAGAGCAGTCTTTCTGTTGATCCCACGGTACATGGTTGTACCTGTCAAAGGGCTGTGCATTTGGATGTGGACAAGGGTGAAAGTTGACAAGTCGGGGAGTAGGACAGCAGGACGGCAGCGTCGGGATGACGGCATGAAGATCCAGATCCGGGGGGGCTCTTTCGAGCTTGATTTGTGGAGTCGACGCGACTTCTGGAAGGACGCAGTCGACGGTTGATGATGATGGCGTGGATGATGATGATGTCGCCTTGAAGTCTCTCTCTCGCAATCATCGCTTCCTCAACTGCCCTCCACTCCAACTACTCCACCTGTACACCATCATTGCGTTTGTCGATCAACACACAAAGCAACACGTGCCAATCCTCGGAGCTCCCAGCGCAATCCGCAGCCCATCGTCGCCATGTCGGAACTCCACGACGCGCTCAAGCAGATAGGCGCCATTGATTGGGCTGATGTCCCGAAAGACAATCTCGGACCATGGATGAAACAGCTCTTCGAGACGGGCGAGCTCATCTGCAACTCTGTCCCTCCTCCCCCTGGCGGCACCGACTACGAGCAATCAAAGCCCACCCAGCCCAAGCCTGACACGGCAAAGTCAGCCAAAGAAGTCGTCAACTCGGACGCTCGCCCTGTTGCGCCTCACCCCGAGCATGCAGGCCTGCAAAAGGCTTGGGGAAAGCCAGTCAAGTTGAACGCAAAGGAAAACCCCCTCGGTATCTCGGTCTACAAGATGGCCGGCAAGGATAGACATGGTGCGTGGTTTGCCCGAAGACAAGTGCTCGAAGGAGTTTCCATCACAAAGATGCGCAAGGCCATGCAACGCGAGTTTGCAGAGTCTCTGGCCGAGTCTGGTGGCCCTGGTGCTGGCAACGTGCGTGGCATTGGCGGTGATCGCAGGCTCGACAAGAAGGAAGTCGACGACGTGGGCAACATGGATGCCCTCCAGCTGAGCGCCCAATTCCCCGGCCCGACCACGCCGAGAGAGTTCATCGCCTTGATCTTGACCTCGGACAATGCCTTGACCAACAAGACCAGCCAGGACAAGCATGCCATCCCGAGACATTACATGGTAGTCTCAAAGCCTCTTACCCACCCCGACACTCCCGACCGCGAAGGCTATGTCAAAGGTACCTATGAGTCGGTCGAGATGATCCGCGAGATCCCTTTGCACCCTGTGCCCGACAAGGCAGAAGAAGCTGGCGACGAGAAGCACGAGCTCAACCCTGTCGAGTGGATCATGGTCACTCGCAGTGACCCTGGCGGTGGTATCCCTCGCTTCATGGTTGAGAGAGGTACTCCCGGTTCCATCGCCGCAGACGTCTCCAAGTTTTTGGACTGGGCATGTGCCAAGGGCGACATCCCTGATGCAGATGCAGACCCAGAACTGCAGAAGAAGACACAAGCCGCCGATGCTCAACAAAAGGCCACTCCCTCGGCTCCTCCACCAGCACAGCAACCCGCACAACAGCAGGGCGGTCTCTTCGCTTCTATCACAGGCGCCGTCGAAGCTGGCATCGAAGCCTATGCTCCTGCATCTGTCGCCAACTACACTCACAACTACATGCACCCCGAGGACGACGCTTCAGACTCATCATCGTCTTCAGATTCATCCAGTGCCGCATCCTTTGCATCCGCCAAAGATCACCATCACCACGATATGGGCGACCATCCCTCGCAACATCCCGCACACGACCCCGCTGCTGTGATTGCTTCCACAGACTCACTAGGAGCCGTGAGATCTACCTCCTCAACGACCCTCCCCATGGGCAGCTCCCCCCACGACAAGGAACTCCGCAAGATCGACAAAGACCGCGCAAAGATCGAAGCAAAAATCCACAAAAAGCAAGACAATGAAGCCGTCAAGCTCGCCAGCCACAGAGAAAAAGACCCCGAAGACATTGCCAAATACCAAGAAAAATACGACGCCGCCATGCTGAAGTTGAAAGAGAAGCGCGAAAAGGAACTCGCCAAACTCGAGCAAAAGCGTGAAAAGGAGATAACAAAAGCACAGAGAAAGAGAAGTGTTCAGTTGAACAAGGACGAGGCTAACAGAGTGGCCAAGGAGAGAGACGACTTTAGAGATCAGGTTGATATGCTGAAGCGTGAGAATGGGCTGCTTAGAGAGCAAATGACTGATTTGCAGCGTGAGAATGCCATTCTTGTTGACAAGGTCAATAAGCTCGGTGGTATTGGTGCGCTCAAGGAGATCAAGACTGAGGTCCAGGCTTGATTGTCTTTTGTTTTTCCCTTGCTTTCTACGAATCATTACGCTTTCGGATTTGGGCGGTTTTTTTGCATTCTACGTTCTTGGTTTACTTTAGTCTGCCGTTTACATACAGGCGAGGTCTAGCGGTGAGAGAGGCACATTTAATGTTGATTACTTGCAAACTTCTTCACTTGAATCGTTTTCTTGAATGTTTCCCTTTGTGAGCTTAGAAGACGGAATGTGTTGACATTACGACCATGTATAAATAAATGTAGGGTTGTCTTTCTGTCCTTGTTTCCAACAAGGCAGTTCACTACAGAGCGCTTTTTTCTCCGTACACGACTGATCATGTGTTTTGATACAGTCAATCTGTTGCTGCAATACACATCTACATCTCCCACACATATTCATTAGACGTACAAGTTTACTCGCTCCCTCCCCCCCCCATTTTCAGCCAAAAAAAAAAAAAAAAAACCCCAGCCACCCACTCTCCAAGAATATCGACAACTCCAAAATGTTACACAGCCTTCCCCTTTTTTGCACACACATATATACACTCTGCCATCATACAGACTTACACTCACTCCTGGTTATTGTTGTTGTTATCCTCGAATCCATGCTCCGGCATCAGTAGTCCAGGATGTGCGCCTCCAAAGTCTGGGAACAGAGAATTGACATCGAATCCACCGACGGAATCGGCGGCAAACAGACCACCCGCATCATCGCCTAGAGTCCCCGCTCCGGCAGATGGTGGATCAACGTTGAAAGGCATGAACCAAGCAGTAGTCTGATCACCCCAGCCAGTGTTGTTGCTGTTCATGCCAAAGTCAAAGGCATTGAGGTCAATGGAGAATGGGTTGGCGCTGTTGGAAGATGGATCCAGGTTCGTGTATGGTGACATGCTGGTGTCTAGACTGAGCATGTTGTTATAGTGATGTTGCTGTTGGTCTGATTGATGTCGTGATTGTTGCTGCATCATGGCGAGCTCGGCAGGGAAGTTGGTATTATTCTGAGAGTTTAGGACGCCAAAGTTGTTGTTCAGGGATCCAGCTGCCATCTGTGAGACGGTGGCTGTTGACCGCTGCCGCTGAGCTTGTGCTAGTGCCAGTGCCTGGGCTTGTGATGGCGCCGCATTTTGCTGTTGGGTTTGGTAGCCTGGCGGATTTCCGGCGACTGGTGTTGTACTGGATGCTCCTGCCGCTGTCGCAGCTGTTGTCTTTGGCTGCGCCTCTGCCTTTCCTCGCTTCTTCCTTGGCGCCTTCTGTTTGGCGGTCTTGCTTGCAGGGCTTAGCTTTGAGAAGAATTCCTCTACACTTTGCAGATCATTCTTCTGCCCCAGTACTGCATCAGAACCTGGCTCTTTCTTGACATCTGCATTGACAGGCTCTTCGTAATCCGTACCGCTGACACCGTGAGGATATCGATCGAACCAGTCTCCATACTGGAAGATCGTCTCCAGGGACTTGGGAGCGTTGCCAGCTTGAGCGCCTCTGAAGGCAGCATCTGCATGTTTACGATACAGTTCCTTCAGATTTTCTGTAACGAAGTGGAACATGCCCCAGTGCTTCTTCATCCTCGTGAGATATTTGATGTTGATTGCCAAGTTCTGCTTGGAGGAAGCCTCAAGCGCTGGGTTTTTCGAAAAGACACCGTAAATGTGAACAGTGCTTGAGAAGAAGGCACAGTAGCCCGCAAACGGCGCGATGACTCTGTGATCCATAGCTTCGTTCACCAAGACTGAAATCAGGTTGGCTGCATCCAGAGCTGCTCTTCCACTTTCTGTGATGAAAGCCTGAGGTGTATCTCGAACACTTGCAGATTTCGAGCCTGGGGATGGGAGTGCAAATCTGTTGGTGAAACAAATGATCTGGTTGCAGATCAGGTGCATGAAAAGGAATTGGTTAGCAATCTTTTCACTCGCATGTGTGTCGAGATTCTCTTGAGACCAGTAAAGCCAAGTCGGAAGTCCAGATTGCCATTCGCGGACGGCCTCCTTGATGGCGTGAAATTCGGACTGCGTGGACCACATGGGCTCCTTGTCTCTTTCTCGTCCTCCCAAGTTCATATACCGGATCACGCGACCCCAGATGGCCACTAATCGGACAATGTATGCAGCAACACCCATGTTCTCGGTCGCTGAAAGTCCGTGAGATCCTGTACTTCCGGCATCGCCAGAGATTGGTCCTTCCAGTATTTCAGTAGTTCCCGGTATCTCAAATTGGAAAAAGTGCTCCTTTACAGGCAGTTGCGCCTGTATGTATTGGTCGTTGACAAACAGTGGTCGTTCGGTCCCTGAAGAGTTGAATCGATCCATCTATGAAGGTTAGCTGTTGCCTTTACACCGCACAATTCCAAGGATTTTTAGATACCATAAAACAGGCCCACATGGTCCGACGCCTAATCTCCCTGTCGGTAAATGAGAGCTCTGTTGCATTACCTGTGGCGCGCGTCGAGGTGTCATGATTCAGATCCTTGTGTAATTGCAAGGCATATGCCATGCGCTGAGCCATACCACCAAGCATCCAACTTCGACCACCTTGACACGTTCCGAACTCATGAAGACCTAATATGAGATAAACGATGAGGATTGTGATGTTCGGTGAATCGTATCTCTTTAGCGCAATCTCTCTCGCAGCACTGGCCCAGTTCTCGCCTCTGAGAAAAGCAGGCTCAGTCTTCACGTCTGGATGCGAGGAGAAACGGGCAGAGATTGCGCACACAGCCAGAATAAGTACCGGTGGTACTTGCCCAACTTCGAGTTTCCTCATGAAGCTGGGCTTGTGCAGTAGGTGATAGCTCTGGCCGTAGACATAATCGAAGTAAACTTCGGCCAGATGGATCTGCAGTTCGTGAGAAGGCAGTTGGTCGGCGCCTTCTTGGAGCAAGCGGCGTTCATCCTGTTCTTGCGGACCTATTCGCAATCGAGCTTCGGCACTGCCTCCAGTCTTTGACTTGGACCAGTCACTGATGTCGTCACCAAACGCTGTGTCGGCAGCTCGCTTCTTTTCATTCTTGGAGGGTAGGCCGGGAATAGCAGGCTTCACAACAGCTCTACCAATGGTGCCTATCCGGCCTTGGTCCTCCTTGGGGACTATCTTGATAACACGCTCTTCCATCCTCTTCAAACGTTTGTCCAACATGGCCATATAGTCTGTTCTTGGGGCGGCCTTCCGTGTGGTGACTTTGTACACGCATGGAATGCGAGAGCGTAGGCAATGCTTGCAAGCAGGCTTCTCGCCCGAGCAGCGAATCTTCTTCCTCCTGCATGCGATGCAAGCCAAGGGAAGTCTTTTGCGCTCCTTCCCCGCCTTGGTCTTCAGTTCTGCCCATGCTGGTGTCCGGCCGTCCTTGTCCTTCTGGTCATCTGTGCCTGGCTGGCCGATGGAAGTATTCGTGTGGGGCCCGACAGATCCAGGATCTTGACCACTTACGGGACTGGTCGCATCAGAGTCACCAATGCTGGCGGGATGTAGTTGGTTCGGCGGCTGAGCAGAGCTACCGATGCTCATGCGGTGATGAAAGTTGGCGGAAGATGGCGATTGGCTGTCGCCGAGTTCGGGAATGGAGAAGTGGAAGGGAGCATTATGCATCGGAGGAGACAGCATATGACTGGGATCGAAGGGCGCGGCGAAGGATTGGATGGGTGTATCCAGGTCAGGAAAAGAATTTCCTGGCGTGTCGAACGAGGGCGACGTGTTTGGCGACATGGACATGACTGCAGAGAGCTATAACGGCCATGTGGGGCCCTCTGCAAAGCTGCTGTCTTGCACTTGGGCGACGGCAATGCCTCGTAGACGATTGTGAATGACGGTCGAGTCTCTGTGTGAGGCGCGTCGGGTGTTTCAGCGACAAAGGCGACGGGCGACTCCTAAACCAACGACTAAAGCACGTTGGTAAGCAAAGTCGTTGTGATAGAGCCCCGCTTGAGCCCAGAAATGGCGGCGTCTGCTTATAAATGCTCCTACCACCGGCGATGAGATGGCCTGCGAGTCTTGTCGTGATACCAGACCCTTGCTGCGAATTGAAGAGGCACTTGCGCAGTCGTCACCTTGCAAGGTCTGAAAAGAAGCATCAAGTCGAACTGCCTTGACAAGCTGCCGTCTTCGGCCTCCTGCTGGCCGGCGAAGACTAAATGTCATTAAGGTTTCCTCCGATGTCTCCGTATGTGGAGCAAGTCGACCTCCACTTCTCCTTCGGCCTAGCCGCTTTCATGACAGATACCTCTATTCTACTGGTCAGACACACTGCTCTGACCAATTGCTGCTCGTTGATCGTTGCATATTATCTCCATTACATCTAACATCCGATTGATCCAAGATACAAAGCTGCATTTCACATGCATCTTCACTCTGGGCCTATCTCTTGACCTTTTGACAGGTACATCCCCGCGGCCCCAGCATTTTCGGACCCCAGTTCCGCCGCTTTGCATTCACCTACCCAGTCCCTCGGTGTTGGAAACCCTGTTAGCACCTATAGCACATATATATGTCAAGTCGTGCGTTGTCGGTACTCGACCGCACTGAACACATTGTTTACTCGTCACATGTGCGAAATGCTCTGCTAAGCAATGTGCTTGTCTCATCTTCTTCCCTCTTGCTTCATTCATTATGCCTTTTATGCTGGCTCTGACCAATCCACCTGCTCTATCACCGCTGGACTGCCTGCTTGCGCATAACTGACCTTCAACCTCAAGCGCAACTTTGGTGGCGGCGGCTGCAACAGATTGTTAGCACACGGTTCGTTTGTAGTATACATGCTATGACTTACTCCTTGCACACTGATGATGCGCATCACCTGCGTTGCCTCTTCTCCACCGTCCAGTTCGCCTGTGCTGATAGGTTGCAATTGCAATTTCTGACTTTTGGGTACAGCAGCTTGCAAGCCGAGATCCGTCAATCGCTCGAAGTTGCCTGTATTCCTGAATCGAGCCATTACAGACACTCCTGCAGCAGCCCTCTGAACCGACAATGTGACCAGAAGTCCATTCTTATCGAATGCTGTATGGACTGCAGGCCCTTGCGTCTGTGGTGGGGGAGAAGTCATTCCACCGAACAAGTCTGCGCTCTGTGCCTGTTGTTGTGACGGCGGCTGTGGTGTTGCCGTTGTTGATGATGTGTCAAAGAGATCCATGATTGAGCTCATGTTACTAGCAGGTGCAGGCGATGTTGTTGAAGGAGGCTGTGCGCCATCGAGTATGCCAGCGAGCAGGTCTGCGTTATGCTGTGATCCATTGATGGTTGAGCTCAAGTCGGTGGCAGGCATGTTTGTGTCGCCTCCCATCAAGTCCAGGAGCATATCTTGCTCGGTGACCTGACTTGGCTTCTTCATTTTCGGCACCTTTGATTGTCGCTTCTTTGTCGCCTCTCCCAAGACTCTTTGCTCTTCACGAATTTCCGGGGCTGGCATACGTTCTAGTACGCCACGGCGTACTTCGTCGTAGGCGAACAAGTTACCATACTCGACTGCACGCTGTTGAATTTCCACATCCAGGTTGGTGTTGTTGCTCTCCAGTAGCCTTCGCAGTCTCTCGATCTGAGCCGGTTCCGTAAGGCGAGTGGTAAGCTTCATGGCGGATGTGATTATGTACTCCTTTACGATCTGGCCAGCGTAACTGCTGTTGAGAATGCTGGTGAACAGATCGACAATGTCGCTCTGTTTGACTTCTTTGACGAGTTCTTCCTCCTCATACTGGCCGCCGCGCAGAAGAGCATCACCGTACTCACCAATTACCCAGGCGCCTGCCAGGCTGAGACCCTCTTGAGAGATGTCGTCCTTCAGCGTTGCGTAAAGTTTTTGTGCGGCGTAAGTTTGAAGTTCAGGCGTAGTTGCGATCAGTCGGACGAAAGATGACAGTATTTGCTCCTTGACGTAGTTCCCAGCCAGCTTGAGAACCCTGAGCATGGTGTCTACGTGCCATCGCTTGTTGGGTGCAAATCTGTCTGCGGCGATGCCAATCTGGGAAGTCATGATTGGCTTGAACTCTGCATCAGCAACCTCGAGGAAAGACAACAGTTCGCGGATCAGGACTCTAACGTTGTCGGCGTTGATCAAGGTGAAACTGAGATCCAGAGCTCTTCTACGAATACTGATGTCGGGATCACGCAAGCAGTCAAGAATAGTGTTGCGATGCCTCTGTACAGCGTTAGGTTCGACGGCAACAACCTTTATCAAGGTATTGAGGGCGACGTATCGAATGTTGTTGTCCTTGTTGGTCAAGAATTTACCCAGAATGTTGACACCGAGAACGCGCAAGCCTGAGTCGGCCTCGATATCCAGAATGGTCAAGACAGCTTCGTAGAGAATCGAATTTCCAACGTTCTTGGAAGAGTCGGTGTTTGTGGCTACTTGAGCCAGAATGTCGTTGATCTGCTCGCTCGTTTGAGCATCACCACGACCCAAGGCGCGCAACAGTCGAAGGATCTTGACTTGCAAGAAAGGATCGGTGATACCAGTAACATCATGCTCGGGGGCATATCCAGAGCTGGAGAGGCCCTTGAGGATTTTAACCAAGGTAGGGACCAGCGGTCTAAACATCTCAACTACACCCTGTTCTCCGCCCTCCTCTTCATCTGCTTCACACAAGCTCACTAGGAGTGTCATTCCACACAACAGAACACCGTGGTTACGGTCGGTCAAAAGGAGTTTGGCTTTCTCGAAGAAGTGCTCTTGAAGGTCGGGGACTTTATGGCAGATCCTCATGGCGCAGAGAGCGGCTTTTCGACGGATATACGGATTCGAGCTGGATAGAATGGTCTCGATGTCGGGGAAGAGATCGCGCGACATCTCGACCGAGGCGATGTTGCCGAGGGTGCAAAGAGCAAGGCCGACGATGTACTGGTTCGAGTGTTTCAAATCACTGTGGCCGTGTCAGTAAGGAGTAGTGAATAGCGTTCAGGCAGGGTTTGTGTACTTGGACAAGGAGTTTGTGACCAGAGTGAGGACCTCTTGATTCTCGTCGAGCAGCAGCATGGTGCCCAGGTAGCCCAGACGCTTGTCGGCGAAGCGCGGTGAAGCTAGTAGCTTTAGACATTCTATTTGACCGAAGTGGGTTCGCTCGCCGAGTGTGAAGAGGTAGAGGAGCTTTGCGACGTTGTTGCGCCTGTAATGGTGGTCAGAGAGGGGTAGGTAGTCGAGGGAAGCGACGAGATGTTGTACCTGACATTGGAATTGTGACTCTCTTCGCGGAAGCTGGCTCTGATGGCGGCACTCTCCTTCTGTACGACGGCTCTCTCGTCGGCGATGGTCTTGGCCGCTCTGACATTACGGATGAATTGTTTGACTGCAGTGTGGTCAGTATTGGGTTATTGAGGGCAGCTGTCATGCACGCCTACGAGAACTCATGGCGACAGTCCCTTCGACCCCAGGGAAGACTGTGTAGTCGGGATGATCGTGGATGGAGCTTGACTGGGCCGAGTCGAGCGCTTGTTTCGTTGGAGGATCTGGACAATGCTCTCGACTTTGTTGTGCATGCGTGGTCGCTCCGTCTCTCCTTTGGGCTTCCGCAGACTTGATCTGATTAGATAACGTTCTCCACTATTTGTTGCGAGTGCCACTTTCTGAGCCCTTTGTCGCTCAAGCACACGCTATATATATTTTGCAAGGACAGAGACTCATCTTTTCTGACTGTCGACTTCTTGGATAATATACACCTCCTCCGCTCTCTCTGATTTGCGCAGTCCGTATGGCAAACATGGGTTTGCGACTCCATGACTCTGGCCGGCGCTTCGAACTTTAGCCTCCGCTGGTAGCCGTAGAAGCGTATCACACGCCGTATACTGCTACGTCATTTATCATATGTTTGTTCCGGCGCTTCCTCCCTGAATCTTTTCTCCCCGAAATCTGTCCTGCGCAATCCTCGTATATACGGCATTCTCCTGGGAATCTGTTCCCTCCTGCAGCTTTTCAAGTGTACATTCGGTGATCTCTCCAGCAGGAACTAGACTGCATCAGCGCGACTTCCTAAATCATCATATCGCAGCTGAGGCCTGCTCGACGACATCATGGCAATTTCGACAGGCAGCGATACAAACGGAATATCAATCCAACAACCAAGGCCTCGCAATCCTAACTCACAAGCCTTCCGCCCGTACCACGAAGATGTCGCGACTGCTCCTTCTCCAACCCCTTCCAGGTACGCTGAGACCCTGACCGCTCCTCTACTCCTTCGACCATATATCTGACTTGTCTCAGTGGTCCAGACACGCCGGGACGTGCTACTCCTACAAATGCTCCGCCCTCGGTCAAAGCGACATCGTCAGCTCGCAAACAAGTTCGCGCTGAGCAAAAGAAAGGCTTTCCAAGAATTCAATACGCTCCACGCGTCAGTCATTTCGATCCACGCTCCGAGTATGCCAACTTTAGAGGCTTCTTCGTGCTCTTCTGGATAGCACTGACCATTATGGTCTTGACGACTATGTTGCGCAATCTGAAAGAGACGGGCCGCCCTCTAAGCATGCGCCAATGGGGCTTGTTCACAAAGAACATTCGCGAGATGGCTGTGATCGATTTGATCATGGTTGCCAGTACCGGCATAAGTCTGCCCCTGAACAAGCTGTTCAAAGACAGTAATGGTTCTCTTCAGTGGAGACGCCAGGGCATGAATGTTCAGATACTTTTCCAGGCCGTCTGGCTCTTGCTCTGGGTCACATGGCCCTTTGTCCGAGACTGGACATGGACCGCCCAAGTCTTCTTCACTTTGCATCTTCTCGTCATGTTTATGAAAATGCACTCGTATGCCTTCTATAACGGACATTTAGCCAACACACTTCAGCGCCTGTCTGCACTTGATAATCCTGCTTCAGACACCTCCACCTCTGTTGCTGTGAAGTATCCTTCGCTCAAGACTCCAATCAACGAAATCAGCCAGTGGCTATCGGAGGACAGGACTGCAGAGGCCGCCTCTTTGGCACAATTGCGAGAAGACCTAGCCATGGAGCTGGTCTCACCATTTGGCCGTCTGACCTATCCTCAAAACCTAACAGCTGCCAACTACTTTGACTTCCTTCTCTGCCCAACACTCTGCTATGAGCTCGAATACCCTCGTACGAGCTCGCGGTCGTATCTCGAGATATTCTGGAAGACACTGGCCGTTGTTGGATGCATTTTCTTGCTTACGATCACTTCGGAGGAATTCATCATTCCTGTGCTTGACGAGTCGGCCGAGAGGCTGGAACATCAGCACAACTGGCATGAGGGAAGTTTGGTATTCGCAGAAACAGTCAGCAGACTGCTATTCCCGTTCATGGTTGCATTTTTGTTGGTCTTCCTTGTCATCTTTGAATATCTGCTCGGTGCATTTGCAGAGATAACATGTAAGCCTGATTCCCCCTGGACTCCCACTTGAGATATTTGCTAATCCTTCTTAGGCTTTGCCGATAGACAGTTCTATGCGGACTGGTGGAACAGTCTTGACTGGCTCGAGTTTTCGCGTGAATGGAACATTCCCGTCCATCACTTCTTCCGTCGCCATGTCTACTCGGCATCTCGCAACACCATGTCCCGTCCTGTGGCTACCTTCATCACTTTCCTGGTATCCAGTATCGCGCACGAGTTGATCATGGGATGCATAACACGGAAGTTCCGTGGATACGGCTTCGTCGCTATGATGTTGCAGATGCCGATTGTCTTGGTTCAACGCAGCCCATGGATTCGCAACAGGACCATCCTCAACAATGTCCTGTTCTGGTGCAGTATGATTCTGGGTCTGAGCATGGTAAGTCCAATCCTCCTCTTCTCTGACCGTGTCTCGACGGTTGCTAATCGTGTGGCAGATGTGCGCCTTGTATGTTTTGTTGTAGATGTAGCCATAGATAGAACTCGGTTGCTCCGGGTCTCCGATTGGACATCCTCCACTCTAGAGATGATGGCTCAGTTTTGACGAGGCTTGACAATCCCATCGTGAATGATGTAGTAGACAATCGTGCTATCGTCGTCCACGGTGGCCAAGACGACTCTCTTCTTGCTCCTCCACTTGTTCACCTGTTGCTCTTCCTCGTCCTCTTCTTCGTCGTTTGACGGTGGCATGACTCCAACTTTTTCAAACACATCTGCAAAGCGTCTAAGAGACCACTTTTCGCGCAAATGACTCGGCAGCACCCATTCTCTCTCTGCCTTCACCTCGCCTAGTCCAGTCCTTCCCTGTGCCTTTTGAGTATGCAGGAGCGCGATTTGCTCGTCTGGATGTATGTACAATCGTTGTGGTGGTATGCCACTGACCATGGGCCGTGGTAGCGGTGAAGAGTCGAGAGGAGAAGTGTTGTGGATGCGTAAATCGGTCCAGAGATGTTGGTGCTCGAGGTTGTGCGCGACTTGGAGGGCGAGTTGAGTCAGATGCTGCGGATGCGATGAGTCCGAGGCGGAGGTTGTGAGGAGGGTTTGGAGGGCCGAAGGCTGGGGCTCGTTCGACGAGGGAGCGTTGGTCGCCATATTAGTCGTTGACGGGCGATTTCTTCACACTTCGTAATTATAACCTTGAAGGTCGGAGGATGACTGATGAGGTTTGCGCTCGCATGGGAAAAGTGTTCTCGAACTGCTGCAGGGCAATCTGGTTGGTCAAAGCTTTCTACATGGGGGATGATGATGTTGCGGGTTTTTGATGTGCTTGTGCTCGACAGCGAATGCGGTTCATATTTTACAGTACGTGTAAATACGTCATCATTGTATGCAATGTGCTTTCATATCGCATGAGAAGACATGTGAGCAGCCCAGAAATCAAAACGCCATGTTACGCCGCCGCATAAGTGCTCCTAGCCCTTCCATGCTATGCCTTTGGGTATCGATTGAAACAGATCATAAGTCCTTTCGGTGACCAAGCGAGAGAATAACGAACCCAAGGAAAACGCCAATCTCTATCTCCGTGCAAATTCGTCTTGCTCGGTTGCGACCTCGTGAGTCGTTTCTTCTTCTCTCTTTCACCGACTGTGTCGTTGTCTCCATCTTCTCTGCAACTCTTCCGCTCTTCTCATCGCTTCAACTCGATTCTTATTCTGCATCTCGGCCTGACTTTGTTCGTAGTCAGGTAGCTCGTCTGCTGGAGGTGGTTCGTCACCATAGTCATGAGCTTGCCACGCATATGGTTCCGATTCCAGTCGTTCCTGCCAAACTGTCGGTCCCTCGCGAGTAAATGCCGGACTTCGCGGCTGCGGCTGTCTAATGGGTAGATGTGGCGTAGAGTGCGAAGGCGTCGGATGTTGTGTATATGTAGAGCTAGTGTACGAGGTATGTGCTCGCATATATTGTGGTCTTTGCTGTTGTATTGGTGGTGGTTGTGAGTACTCCGGTCTTGATTGTTGTTGTTGACTTCGCCATGTCGGTGCATCTCCAAATGAGCGGTGTAGAGGTGAGTCTGGGGTAAACCCTGAAGTCGCTGCGACGAAGAGCGTCAAGTCCATATCGCTCGAGAACTCGTTTTCACTGCCACGTCTCTCAACTGGTGACGAAGCTTCAGTACGACCAGCCCGAGCCGGCTGTTCCTCATGCGCTCGATCCTGGAAGTCTGGTTGACTGGTACAGCGAGGCTCATGGCTGTGAAGTGGTGCTACCCTGTCTTGGTGTTCTGCAAAAGAAGGGACCGAGTTTTGCGAGTGTATTTGAGGTCTGACGTGACGATACTGTGGGTGATATTGATTTATTGGTGGAGCATAATATTGTTGATGTGAGTATCCAGCGTGGTCATCTCGGTATCGTGGATCACGTCTATAATAGCCATCGTCTTGGTTCATCTCTGTCCAACGATCGCGCGGGAGAGCCCACTCTGAATTCGAATCCATTTGTGACCATGAGTCTCCAGGTACGTCACAATGTGGATGATGTTGTTTCGCATGACATGTCCAGTATGTGGTGGGCTGCTGGAAGCGATCTCGGCTCATGGGTGTGACTAGGTAGCAGCTGCATGCGATGCGATGATGGCGAGTGAACTGGTATGGCTGTCGAATAGATTCAATGTCCGAGTTGTTGTTATGTGGAGGCGGAGTAGAAGATCAGAAAAGCCGCGGAAAGCAGGGTAAGCCAAGCTCGCATCTTAGATAAGTCGACAGGGTAAGCAAGCAACAAGGGAAAGGCAAATTGACATGACCAGTTAGCTCGTCGACGGTGGGCTTGTGGTTTTTAAGAATACGAAACAAGCCGTGCACACCGTACGCTAGAGCCAAACAGTTGTGAGGATGCGGGTTTTCATTGATGAGATCGAGACCACTTCCTGATGTTACGAAACAAGTCTGTCCGGTGCTGGTGGGCAAGAGCGGCGCCGATGATCTCTGCGCCTTTCTTGTCCGGCGACCAACAAACAAGTCCGATCCAAGTCCCTGACTCTTGTTGTGCCTGTTCGCAGAAGGACGGCGTGGACAAGAATAGAACACTGTCACCTCTCACCAAAGGGTCAGCCTTGGGACTTCTGGGCAATCAAAGTCAAAAAGCCATGTCGTAAGAGGAACTCGTTTGAACAGGTCGCCAGACTCAATACGCCATACGTACAGCAAACTCGCTCCTTCGAGCATCTCTGCTCCGGGCAAGAACCTTCGCAGGCTTCGCTTCTGAATACGCCCAATTGCGGATGTGAAGGAGCTGAGGTCTAAAAATATCTTACCGCTTGGCGCATCGTACTTGCAAATCGCTAGCAAATCCTCCGAACAGAGCCGCATGGAAAACGGTCAGTCAATATAGGTACCATCCGTCAAAGCAATAGCTGACTCTTATTTTGCTAATCAAACCTTCGTGCTTGGACAGGCAGTATCTGCCGGCATGGATGGAGCCTCTTATAGCATTCTTGATCTCGCTCTTCGCCAGCACCGATACTTACCTGGACTCTGGTCTAAATCTTGCTCCGACACCTGTGCAGAGCCTATACTGATGGGTGAATTTGAGACGGTCACACACAATTTAACCCACCGCTTAGCTCTTCTCGATCTGGATCTTGCATTTCTGGTTTGGTTGAACAGTCACGGCATCTCGGCACAGAGATTTGCGACTATGGCTCACATGACGTCCCTGAGGGGAACACCCTGGCTGCAAGTCCTACCACTCTGGATCTCGACTAGATCGAAATACGATGTCGAGAATGCCTATTAATACGTCATCTTCTGTGATGTTCTCAGGGCTACATACCTCTCTAGCTCTCGGTCCGGATCTTTTTGTACGAATTAGCGCATATGTGATTCCAGCCAGCCCAGAAGAAGAGAGCAAGAAAGAAAGTATTTGCTTTCTCAAGCAAAGAACTGGCGTTCATTACTTCCACGATACAGACTCGAACATGACTGAAACGATCATCGGGCGTAGTAACTGTGTATTGTAATCTGGCACCTATACGAAACGTTATATTCCAAGTCGCTAGACCTGTATGCCGCATCTCAGGTGTACAACAATCCCCGGCAACTTCAGTCGCTGAGCTAGTGTCTGCGACACTCACAGTGAGCTGAGCCATTCAAATATTCACAATGACTAGGACTTCCACCACATGTCTGCCACCAGGAGCAGACCCGTACATTGATGAGACGTTCGTAATCGAGATAGGAAACACGAATTTCCGAGGCGTCTCAAGTACGTGACAGAACAGCAGACGATCATCTCAAGACTGTCGTCCCTTCATGGGCAGTAGAGGCAGTGCATCTGCCCAAGAGCGAGTGATTCCCATTCTAATCTGAGCTGCAGAGCGGACCTATCACAGATCCATCTCATGCACTCGTGTGTATATACAGTGGCGAGGCACGGCAGGTGTGAATGCGATAGCCATAGTCAATATAGCGTCTTCACTACTGCGATTGTGAAGATGAAAATCATCAAGCGAAATCTAGCAATATACCTCTGTGAGCCCCCAAGCAGCCTGCCACAGTTCATTTGGAAGAAGCTCTCTTCTCTTTCTCTGGAGTTTAACACTACGAGCTGACTTCGAGTCTCAATTCCTCAGTCAATCAGCGGGACCAGGTTCATACACTGTGCCAATCACCCAGTTGATGGCGGCTTTGACGGAGGGTCTCCGTGAGGCAAGTGTTGAACGCCTCTCGGACAACCCGGTGTGGAGAACGGTGCGCACGTGCACGATTTGTCAATTTCGCACTGGGGTTGCCGGTTGACGGGCCAAAGGCTTTAAGCACAGGCAAGCAGCCGTGCTGAAGACTGTGTTGCTCAAAGTCGCGTGCCCTCGTGGAAAGACATACATGTCTACACAGTCTTCAAAGCTGTTAAGATGGTCTCACCGAGGGAAAAGGTACAAGCTCTGACCGCCAGGTGTGGAGCATCGAATCTGGGGACACGAGTATGCTCGATTCTTCATGTGAAAGAGTCTTCATCAATGGCTTAATAATGATACAGACTTCGATGCAGCCTGATTGATCAAACTTGCTGTAGTGAGATCCTCTCGATGGTATAAGTTGATCTTGGCGTGGACAAGGAAGAAAATGAAGCGGAAGGATCAATTGTTTCTGCTTGTGGTTCGTCAGATCTGTTGGCAGTTGCTGATAAGTGCAGATCGTCAGCGAAACATGCTGAGTTCAGTTTGACAAGCTTGCCCATCACTTGTGCGACTTTGTGATTTGGGCCTCAGAGATAGTGAAATAATCAAATCATGGAATGATATACATAAAGTTGATTGGATTGTTGGTGTTGAGGAATCGACTCTTCCAGGTGAAAGCAAGAAGTGTTGAAGTTGGGGACGGCGCGTGAATTTCCCGGATCGCTTAGTGCGCTAAAAATTCTTAGCCGGCCCCCTTCTTATTTGAAGCTGCGTCTTCCGTCCAACTTCTTCCCTTTCTCCATCCTCTCCTCTCTTTTCCCTTTAATTCATCCAAAAAGACCTTCAAAATGGCCGCTAACCAGGCTGACAAGAGCGTCTTCGGCATGCCCGTAAGTTGCACCGCAGAGCTGTCGCTCGCACTTCGATTTCGTCGAGACCACGCGTTTCCACCCCTGGAGCCGAGATTCTGTTGACAGCTCAATGCATGCATCCTCAAGCTCTTGGGCTGAGAGACGCCAATGCATTGATCAATGCCCAATGGACTCTTGGAGAGGAGCACTCGACGAAATTGATCGGCGCGCAGCGATAGGCTTATCTGTCCTGCCCATACAGATGGCTAATAATTATCACAGGGCTTCGTTGTCGACTTCTTGATGGGTGGTGTTTCCGCCGCCGTCTCGAAGACCGCTGCCGCTCCCATTGAGCGCATCAAGCTCCTCATCCAGAACCAGGATGAGATGCTTAAGGCTGGCCGTCTTTCCCACAAGTACGCCGGTATTGGTGACTGTTTCAAGCGCACCACCGCCGATGAGGGTATCGTCTCTCTGTGGCGCGGAAACACTGCCAACGTCATCCGTTACTTCCCTACCCAGGCCTTGAACTTCGCTTTCCGCGACACCTACAAGTCCATGTTCGCCTACAAGAAGGAGCGTGACGGTTACGCCAAGTGGATGATGGGCAACCTTGCCTCCGGTGGTGTAAGTTCAACTCCAGTTACTTCATACATGTCGACCTTTGACTGACCTTCCTCCAGGCTGCCGGTGCCACTTCCCTCGCCTTCGTCTACTCCCTCGACTACGCCCGTACCCGTCTTGCCAACGACGCCAAGTCCTCCAAGGGCACTGGCGAGCGCCAGTTCAACGGTTTGGTCGATGTCTACAAGAAGACCCTCGCCACTGACGGTATTGCCGGTCTTTACCGTGGTTTCATGCCTTCCGTCGCTGGTATCATCGTCTACCGTGGTCTCTACTTCGGTATGTACGACTCGCTCAAGCCCGTCGTCCTCACCGGTAACCTTGAGGGCAACTTCCTCGCCTCTTTCCTCCTCGGTTGGTCCGTCACCACTGGTGCCGGTATCGCTTCTTACCCTCTTGACACTATCCGCCGTCGTATGATGATGACCTCCGGTGAGGCCGTCAAGTACAACGGTACCCTCGATGCTGCCCGCAAGATCGTCGCCGCTGAGGGTGTCAAGTCTCTCTTCAAGGGTGCTGGTGCCAACATCCTCCGTGGTGTTGCCGGTGCCGGTGTCCTGTCCATCTACGACCAGGCCCAGCTCATCCTCTTCGGCAAGAAGTTCAAGGGTGGTTCCGGTTAAATGCTCTCTCGACAATCATTTAGAGCAAAGCATAGGGGATGAAGAACGAACGATGTATCACCTGTCTGCCGATGGAAGACAGCTCCAACTCAAAAGCGGCTCAATCGGCCTGGCGATGAGAAGGGGAGTTTGGGAATTGATGTTTACTGAGGCGGTTGCAAATATACCAGCCTGTTTTCGTCTTTCCTCATGTATCACAAATAAATTTCAGGCGTTTTCTTTTGATCATGACCTTTCTTCCACTGATGTCCTACGCGCATGTGATTATGGAAACGTAACGTGAGCTGTTCAAGCATCTGGATCGCAAGCCCTGCCATTGCTTGCTGCACATCCGGCGACTGCATTGATGTCGCAGACATCGATACGATGCTTTCGGTAGCTCTTGAGTGTCACTACATGCATGGCAGTGCTTACGTGACTGCCAGCTGGCATATCGGAGACATACAACCACTCCCCGTATGCGAAATACTGCCACACTTGCCTCAAAGCACAATACTTTCTCAACTTGCAACGCTGTCATCGAGATACACCTTCTGAATGACTCCCTATGTTAGGTGTATCGATACGAGATACGACTGTGCCTTTCTACAGCTCGTCGTTACCGCGTACTGCATACGGGGATGATACAGCTGTCCAATGAGGATGCAAGACGTCACACGTCACATGACGTCGACTTTTGGAATGCACAAAGGGACGACAATAGAAAGGCGCCTTGTCAAAAGCAGCCATGACTACAAGTATTGCTATAGCTTGATCTGAATTGTAACAATCTCACCTAGCAGCCCACACAAGATGCCACCAATTCCTATCTATGCAGATGCGCCCATCGCAGCAGCCAAAGCAGACGGCGTAACTCCTCAAACGGCACCACCTCCAACTCGCACAGTAGACTTGCCAGCGACCACAACGAGCTCTGGTAGCAGCTACCCTGCCGCACAGCCTGGCGCAGTTGCGGGACCTGCGCCTACAGGCAGCGTGTCGAGGCCAGCTCCACCACCAACCAGTACCGTCACTACAAGTCTTCAGATCGACGAGCCTCCACCTCCTCAACCAGGAGCCGCACCCATACCCTCAACTCGTACCAATGCCTATGACACAAACAGCCCAGCAGCTCCCAGAGCACAGCCCATGCCACAACAACTCAGCATCCCACCCCCGACCACCAGCGCCCTAGCCACCCACAGCACAGCCGCAGCCTCCCCCACATCACCAACCCGTCGACCAGTAACACTACCCATGGGCCCCGTATCACCAACCATGCACAGTCGACCCCAGAGCATCTCTACTCATCCACCCGGCTACCAACAGAATCCCTATGCTGCTGAATTGACCTCTGCTCAACGAGCCAGTCTTGAGGCCGCAGAGGCTGCTGAAAGAGGCCGCAAGTCTGGTCGTAACAGCATCAGTGAGTGGATTGCTGGTGAAGATGATGGCTTTGGTTCGCCTACTGCTGGTACTGCAAAGGCTTGGGGTGCGGTCAAGGGTCTTGCGACTCAGGCTGGTCAATGGGCTGGCAAGGCCAATGAGTTTGCCAGCAAGAAGCTTGGTTAATTGAAATAGACTACTATGACATTTCAACAATGGGAATAAACGGTCAAGCAACTACAATGGAGTTTTTGGGATAGCTCTGCAACAGAGGGGTCGGGTCGATTATGCATTATGATTTTCACGTTCGTTATGTAACAATACAAGGAGATGCTACCAACACCAACGTTATCACAATCACAGTCACAGTCACATCGTTATAGAGAAGTGAGAGATCGGTGAGTGTGTACATGCAAACGTTTGATCGATTGGTTTTAGAGCTTGTCATGGTTTTTGCGTGAGCAGAGCTAGTTCAGACATACTCATCTATTCGTCATGCTAAAGAGTAGATCTAGTAGACACCGGGCAGAATCTTCCATTTGACGATGGCGCAGTAGCGGTTCCAGTCGTTTCCGTACTTGGCACGGCAGTGGCCATCATCTCTGCGTTCGCGGTGGATGAGCAGAACAGCGAAGTAGAGCATGTAAAAGTAGGTGATGGGAGTGCCCCAGCCGGCCATCTCGCCATTGGGTCCTTGGCTGATGATCTTATCGCCAGTAAGAGCGGCAGTGTGGATAACGTAACCAGAGAACCATGTGGGAAGGCAGTATGCCCACGACATGACCCAGTCACCGAGGTAGTTGATGTGACGAGCAGTGCCCCACCAGCCAGAGGTCAAGAGACGGGTTCCGCGAGCAGTCTCAATGTACTCGAGGTGCTTGACGTCGGGATGGTTGGGGTTTGTTCTGAACTTGTTCTTCTCGTCGTTGCTAGAGCGGAAGATGTAGTAGCCAGTGAGTTGGACAGCCATGATGAAAGCGACCTTAGCCCAGCCGAGCTGAACAGCATGGATGGACAGGTAACGAGCCTGGATGCTGTAGATGAACGGAACCCAGACGAGATCGCCGAAGGCGAGCATGCATCCGAAGCCATCAGTGGTGATGTCCATGGTGGTCATAATGGCGGGCTCGTTCCACAGGGCGTCGAGAACGTACCAGGCCTGAGTGCCGACAACAATGTACATGGAGTCGGTAAGAGTGCCATAGGTACCGTATTGACGGGCAGCGAAAGCCAGATCCAGCAGAACCCAAGCGAGAAGACCGGGTCTCAGCTCCATGAAAGCCTTGATGTCGACTTCGCCAAAGATGGGAATGTTTACGCGAGGGTTGAGCTCTCTTCCAATGAACCAGTCATAGACCATGTTACCTGTGGTGCCTCCCTGGGCGAGCTCGCGGTTGTCGGGATCATTGGGCTTGACGGAGAAGGAGCGCACGTAGCAGAAGGTGGCAAGGAAGTAGCCAATCAGGATGTTGGTGGTCAGGAGCTGGACGTAGTTGTCGTTGATGAAAGTCCAGACAGGGAAGTCGGCACCCTGGAGGAAGGTACCAGCTGCGGCGACTGTGAGGATGAACATGGCCGAAGCGAACGAGTTGAAGCGGTAGTTCAGACGGCCGCCAGAGGCCAGTACAGTGCCTTGGACTTCATGGGCGGGCAAGAAGGTCTGGAGGGCCAGACTGAGAGTGTAGTAGCCAAGGGTTGCGATGACAGACTTTGTGTTGAGAAGGCCAGCGACGCCAGGCCAACCGACTTCTTGCTTGAGCTTCTCGAGGCTGAGAGTAGATGGGTCGGTCAAAGAGGGTGGAGGACAGCCAGAGACATCGTTGCAGAGGAAGGCGAAGACATAGCAGACAATGGGCAGGATGAACGAGATGCCGATGGCGCCCAGACTGGTGTATAGGTCAGTCGATTGCGCCGGGGTTGAAGTTGAGGGCCTCGGGTGATTGCGACGAGGAACAGGCGAGGCGAAAGGGGAAACACTTACGGACCACCAAACTCGTAACCGTGGTGGGCTTCAGTTTTCAAAGCCATTGCGACGTGGACAAAGCAATGGACAGAGACGGGGAAGACAGAGGGCAAAACAGCTAATTATCAGAAGCCGAGAAATTGAACAATGACATGGTTCGATCGATTTTTGTTTGATGACATGGTACGATCTGGTTGGTTACGCGACGATCCGTTGGCTCCAACCCTCGGCAGCGCTGCCGAACCCCACGGGTGCTGCATGTAGTGACTAGTCGGAAAGGCTAAATGTACGCATGTGGCTTCGAGGTACGCATCCTCCGACCAAGCCTTGTACAACTGCCCTGCAGTCCCGCCATATCTCTATCAACCACCGACTCCGTACCATGCGCTCGTCCGTCTTCTATCAACTGCTGGCTCTCGGTCTGCCGCTCCTCGCCGCGGCTGCCTCGGACGACTCCAAGGGCAAGAAGGAGAGCCACGTTCCCTGCACCATCCGCTCGCCAACATCTGGCGCCTTCTTCGATCTCAACCCGATACATGTCGTTCTGCCAGAGGACCTGAAGAAAGCAGCCAAAGACGCGCGAAACGAGTCCTGGTCTGCACGTGGTTACGACTATGGCGCAAACTTCACCCTTAACTTCTGCGGTCCCGTGGTCGAGAATCTCACAAATGTCGTTGGTGTCGATGAGGCGAGGTGGCAGAATGTCAGTGCTTTCTACCAACTGGACGGAAAGACATACAGTATAGGGTACGTTGCCGTTGTTCCACACCCTCAGCTCGCAATACTGATTATGTCCGCAACAGCCAACAGAACTCCGAGCCCGTCTTCCGTGGCCGCAAGCTCGTCTTGAATTACACCGATGGATCGCCCTGTCCAGACTCGCCTGTGTCCTCTCTCCTCAATGCACGCGGCATAATCGGCGACGACGATGACGACGATGATGATGACAAGGACGGCAAGGACAAGGACAAGGACGACGATGACAAGAAGGGTAGAAAGGGAGGCAGCAAGGAGCCTTCGACCCGTCTCACCCGTCGCAAAAACACAATCATCTCGCTGCTCTGCAACACCGACCCCTTGGCTGCTTTGAACACCGTCTCCTTTGTCGCATCGCCCGACAGCTGCACCTACATCTTCGAGGCTCGCTCCTCGGCTGCTTGCGGAGGCATCGAAGTCGCAAAACAACAGCTCGGCCCCAGCGGCGTTTTCGGTGTCATTGCCTTGATCGCTGTCATCGTATATGTAGTTGGTGGCTGCGTCTACCAGCGCACCGTCATGCATCAGAGAGGTTGGAGACAATTGCCCAACTACTCACTCTGGGCCGGCATTGCCAGTTTTGTTTCTGTAAGTCGCGGTCCGTTCCATCGTCATTGAGAGTGTCATCACTAATCAAGTCATGCAGGATATGTTCGTCATCTTATTCTCGTCGTGCGCCCGCTTCCTACCTGGCCGCAAGGGCTACAACAGAGTAGGCAACAACTTCGGCAACGGCTCCAGTGCCGGTAGACGAGGTCGCTCAAACTCGGACGACGAGAACCGCCTGATAGACCAATTGGACGAGGAGTGGGAAGACTAGACTATTTCTCTGTTCATGCCCCTTTGATTCCATGTAGCGTCCTTACGATCTGGTCTCGTACTTGAGCGGTTTATGTTTCGCCTCGAGAGGTATAGCAGGGTCTCAGGTCACAATACCCGTTCTTAGCGCTCTCTTGGAAACCGAGCACCTTTTTCTCTCCATACCATTTCCTTCGGATTACTCCAATCTGATGTTTCTTGACAATGTCTTCGTGTCGTGCTTAGAGCACTCTGCATTGACTTGTCATGGAGCGTGTTATCAGCGTTTGCTGCACTCATACTCAAAGACCATGCATGTTTAATGTTTCAATAATGAATTGTGTGTGATTTCTATAGCCTGGACGATGAAAATGAGAGTACTCGCTTGGTTATGCACTGGGGGGAATCTGTTTGTGCTGGAAAGAGAAAAGGCCGAGTCGTATGAAACAAAGAACAATTCGCTCGAGAGACTTGAAAGGAAAAGAAAATGTTCAACGCCGTCCCAATGCACATTATCAAAAGCAAGAACAAAAGACAGGTAGAGACACGAAGAGAGATCTCGACGAAATGAAAACCGCCAAAAGTGCAAGAGAACGTGTTGCACCTCATACAGCAACCAGATAGTGCAGAGCCGAAACGCTTTCTTGTTAATGCTCCGTTTTCCAGATTGTCGAAGAACTTTTTGTTGTATGCTTTTTCTTAGTCTGACCAATCCCAGACCCTCTTTAGGAAGGATGCCATGTTGACTCGTTTGGACTTTATTTCCAACATCCACGGATGTTCCAGCATCCGCCAGGGTGTCGCTCGTCGGTTGGGCTCTTTTTCCAGACTAATAGTCAAGTTAGCAAGGGGGTTAAGGGAACAGGCAAATGAGAATGACTTGCCTGCACTCAATGAAGTATTTGAAATTCTCGCTCCATCGGATGTCCTGTCCGTCAGGGGTACCAAGTTCGTCCTTGAGCTTCGGGATAGGCTGGGAGACGATATATGTCAACAAGTCGATAAGTCCAGCTCTGGGTTGCATTTCCGTTCCATCGGCCGGGAAAGGAAATCTGTGCTGCGCCACCTCAAGCAGAGTGACACCCAGACTCCACACATCGGAGGTAATGGTGTAGCTCTGGCCAGTGATACGTTCTGGTGCCATGTAATATGAAGTTCCGATGAAAGTGTTTGCATCACCCTTTGTGCCGAATTCACCAGACACACCAAAGTCGCAGAGTTTCACCTCTCCCGCACGGGTGAGCAGGATGTTCGATGGCTTGATATCGCGATGGATGATGCGGTGACTGTGCAGGTAGGTAAGACCGTTAAGCACACCCTCGGCCACTTTCCCCAGGACCTTTTCGCCTGTGCGGCCGCCCAGCTTCTTGACTTCTCGGTAAACCGAGTCTAGAGAACCGCCTTCACAGTATTCCATGCTAATGCCGATCGTGCCATGGGTCTCGTCGATGAAAGCGCCGTAATAGCGGCAGATGTGGGAAGATGCACAGTTCTTGTTGAATGAGAGCTCTCGTACAATCTGTTTCTTGACGTCAGGATTTGGGTCCGTGGTGATGATCTGTACAAGTGATTAGCTGTCTGCGTGGTAGTCTGAGTATATGACCACAAACCTTGAGCGCGAACACCGTCTTTCCACCTTTCAGTATACATCTGTTGACAGCACCTCCGGCGCCTTCTCCCAGACTTCCGAGCTCGACAATCCTGTCTTCCTTAGCTGCCACTTTCCAGCCAGCGTCGTCCAAGTCTTCGACATCGAGTGCTCTTCCCATTTCCAAGCTTAGCTTGTCTAGATCCGGCAAGATCACTCCCTGTACGCTGCCATCTCGTTCCATGTTATTACCAAGTCCGCCAGCGGACGATGCCGAGTATAACGAGCCAGCAGCAGAGAGAGGATCTTGTAGACTGGACTGGCCACCAATCAAACCAGCGAGCTCGGCCGAATAGGAAGAAGCAGTGGTGGAGGTAGAGTAATTGTTGCTTGCGCCATTGCTGTTGGACCTCGAACGAGCACTGTCATCACTGCTACCTCCTCCGTGGGCAGTCGAGAGTCCAGTGACTTGTAACGGGGGTAGTTTCCCTCTTGCAGTCCGAGTCGTCTCTTGGGGTACTCCGTGACTTCCCATCGGGGTCGCTAGACTCAGCTTTGGAGGAGGTTGGCGAGGTGGTATTTGCAGAGGAGGCATGACATGTGAGTTGTTGGCTTGGTTGAGAGGTCTAGCATTTGGAGAGGGCGGAATAGCAAGGCCGAGTTTAGGAGTGCGTGAGGCGCTTGTGTTTCTGCTGCCGGGGATTGGCGGTCTCAGGAGTGGAGCCGGCGAGGCCATGTCGACCGAACCGACGGGCAATCGCAAGACGCCCGACGAGGACGGCGGAGGCGTAGACGGAGCTTCTTGGTGGTCGGCCACGACGGGCAGGTCACCGCGTTAGGGAAGCGGGGGATTCCTAGGTTGAAAATGGGTCGTAGGAAGGACGCACGGCGAGAGGTTCAGAGGACAGGAGGATGAGAGAGCAATGGAAAGCGAGCGGTGGTGAGTTATGGAAAGCTATCGAGGTAGAGCAGAGCAGAAATCAGATGTAGATGGATTGATCGAGTCAGGCCAATTCGAGACTTGGCAGGTACTTGGGCCTACAGTCGCGGGCACAAGGAGGGAAGCTAGGGACGATATGGGGTAAGCCAACGCATCATCCTGCTGGCGAGGTGACGACTCACTTGCTCCTTTTTCCTATCTAGTTTTGTTTTATTGCCAACAACGGCTGTTGGAAAGCAGCAGGGATTTCTGGCAACAAGTGGGAAGAAACAAGGGGGTTCAACACATCGAGCTGCAAGCCTGACCGGTTGTCGATCTGCGCCGTACGGGCAAGAGCGATGGAGATGCTGAGGCGCGGACGGCTGGCCAATCCCACCTTTTGCTGCGCGACAACCGCCGACCATTGCGTGCACCCCTCATGGCGTGTTTCCATTCATGCTTTCCGCCTGTCGCCCATGCATCTATCTGCAACATGGTCTGCATCATGTGCGCTTACTATCTCGCCCGCCCACTTTGACCTCCACTCCGTCTAGCATCTTGTCTGTCTCTAACCAATATTTGTCGGTCTGGCTGTCGTCATTCACCCTGTGCTAGCCGCCTACCGTACCCAGATACGTATCTTCTCTGCGGTCGGGTGCCGTCGTATGAGAGAGCAGATGATAGCGTGTGATTTGCTCACCTCTTGTTTTGCTTCAAATGCTCCGGGACTGAGCGATCACCCATGGTATCCTTGTACATCAAGAGGCAGCTGTGCGACACGTTTGCTCCGAGTAGGGTGAATGTACTCTGGCATGCCCATGCCTCGCTCGTTCAAGGACACAAGCACATCAAGATTCTCAACGCATCAAGCTTTAGAAAACATACATCGCATGCATGTATTTTCATTTGGTATCTATCGTGATATCATAATTTCTCCATGCTTGGGCATCTACAAGGCGCTGGCAGCGGTGAGCTTGCTCTTGAGGTCGTCCTTCTTGAGAGCCTGGAGGTCAGAGTTGCCGCCAATGTGCTGCTTGTTAATGAAGATGTTGGGCACACTGCGCTGGCTGGTCATCTCGGCGAGGGCGTTCTGGATGTCGGCACCGTCGTCTGAATGGGGAGACTTGTTAGCGGTCGGGTTCCGATAAGCTGACACAACAGGTAGGGCGGCCAGCTTACCGATCTGGTCGAGCTCGAGGGCGTAGAACTTGGCGCCGGACTTGGACAACAGCTCCTTGGTGGCCTTGCAGTAGGGGCAGTACGACTTTGAGAAGACGGCTGTGCCGTGTTAGTGCGTGGGCTATGCGGCATGTCGAACGGATGGTTGCATACCAACGCCGTTCTGGTCGATGATGTTCTGAGCCTTTGCTTTTGCGGACGACATACTGGCGGGACTGGTCGCGCGGGTGAAGAAACTTCGTACGAAGTTAATGATGGGCGAGTTTGGAGGGATTGATGTCGTATGGACAGGGTGTGCGACTGATGGTTGGTATGGCAAGAGGGGTGTTTGGCTTGCTTTATTGGAATGAGAGCTTACAAAGCGGGCACCTGTCCCTCGGGCAGAATGACGTGCTGTTTGTTTCCGATTTCCAAATTCTAGAAGCTCTCCAATCATCGCTACAATGATCTGTTCTCCGAAGCGGATGTGGGCATAGCCGTGGCCAGCAACGCGATACGCTGGAGTGATCAATTTGTAATATTCATGTAATCTACACGTAACGCTCCTAGACATCCGCCCATGAGGAAGCCCTCACTATCCGCGTAGAGGGGAAGGAAATAGGACGGGCGGAGCTCTCGAACTGGCTTGGCAAATGTGAACACCATCATGAGAGGATTGCCATGGTGAAAGTCGTCCTCCAACCTTCACAACAATGTCTAGCAGCACGATGGCCACTCCTTGCCGTACAGCCATGCGGCTACTTTCAGCTAGATCGAGATGCATGCTACAGAATCCTCGTCTCAAATCGGCTTTGCCGCAGGCTCGCTACTCGTCAAGATACAGCAACCCGGCAGCTCGCGCCACCGGCTCGACCATCTCTGTCAAAGCCCCTTCTTTCCTTGACCAGCATCAAGAGGCCGTCGATTCAGAGGATGCAGAGCACCGCCCGATCAATCCGCTGGACGAACTCGCCGCTCGTCGCGAATTTGAAGCCAAACGCTCAAACGCTATGCAGCGTATGCGATTTGCCGCCGTTGGTCTGCTCATGAGTGTCGCCGGTCTTACCCTCACCCTTTACAATCTCGACCTGGATGAGTTGGAGAAGGGAGCAAACAAGAAAAAGGCCCAATTGGATGCCGGCCCGGGCGCCGAGGACTTCCAGGGTCGTCACGTTCACGTTATTGGTGCTGGCGACGACAAGAGAATTGTGGCAGAAGGTGACCAAGAGCTTGATCTAGTCAGTACGGGTAGTGGTAGCGTTCCCTACTTCCCTCGTAAGATTTTCTTGCCCGTCCCTGGCTCAGAGACCGCAAAGTCCGAAACTTCTCAACCCAACTCTCGAGTCAACCCTGGCAACGTCCAAAACCAAGAAGAGTACGCCCTAGTCGGTCTTGGTATCCGCACTGTGACTTTCCTGTCTATTGAAGTCTACGTCATGGGCCTCTATGTCCGTACGCAAGATATTTCAGCTCTTCAAGCTCGCCTTATCCATCTGATCAACCCCAATGCTTCTACTCTTGTTCCCGGCGAAAAGGACGGTCTCAAGCAACGCATGCTCGATCCCGACACCAGTGTAGAGATTTGGGAGCAACTACTGCGCGAAGAAGGCATCCGCTCAGCCTGGCGTGTTGTTCCTTCCAAGAACACCGACTTTGCTCACTTGCGTGATGGCTGGGTCAACGGTATCAAGCGCGCAACCAATGAGATCACCAGAGTGAAGCAGCAGAACCCCGCCATCGTCACTGCGGACTACGAGAACGAGTCCTTCGGAGATGCCATGCGTGACTTCAAGGCCATGTTCAGCGGCGGTCGCACTCCCAAGGGCTCTGTCGTTTTGATGTTGAGAGATGCACCAGGCTCCATGGAGGTACTCTTCGAAGATCCGGCCAAAGCTACCGGCATCGAGAGAGTTGGCAAGATCGAAGACCCCAGAATCAGCAGGCTGATTTGGATGGGATACCTGGCAGGCAAGAATGTCAGCTCGGAACCTACGCGACAGAATGTGGTTGATGGGTTCGTTGGATTCGCTGGACGTCCTGTCGGCTCCGTCGAGACCATGGTCGTCTAGACTTGCATATACAACCGCTGTTATACGACGAACATGTGTATCAGATGATTCTCCTACATCGGCAATAATTGCATCTGCTGAATTTCCAAATCACGTCGAGTCTTGTACTCCACTTCTCACCCTAATCCTCCTCTCTGTCCAACGTCGACATCCTTGATCTGAAATGTGCTAGACACTTGGACTGAGTAGTATGGGTTCATGCTGTTGTTGCATAGCCTCCGCTAGGGACATAGACATTGTGAGTAAAATCGCAGGTTTTGCTCGAGTATGACTGGCTCTGGAGTTGGAAGGAGTCGGGTTAATCAGGGATCATCTATCGGACGACCAAAGGAACAGATTACCGGCTGTCCCAAACAACGCGGGAGGTATATTCACATTGCATCTTGAGCGCGCGATCGTGGTCGCATAGTAGTTGGTTGGGCGTGGAATCCTCACTACGAAGCAGTGCCGAAGATGGTCAAAATCAACAGGGAGGAGGGCCACGAGGGTCTATTCGCTGTCATAGACGTGTTATGCTCGGCATGCCTAGACAAAGCACATATGTGTTGTGATTGCGAGTCACTGTCATGGCAACTTGGACAAGAGTTGACACAGAAGTTCAAGTCGTTCAAGTGTTCGTCTCGGACTCTGTAGGTACAGGTGGACGCATATCGTGAACAATTGCAGAAGAGCACCTGAATATTCCTTTGCGGAGACCTCCAGAAAGCCCATCTAAGCAAGCCAAGATCGACAATCGCGAGATGTCCAGGCATAACCCACCAACGCCATGCTAAAACCACTACAGGCTCGATCTAGTGCTACAGCCTTATATTACCATTGTTTCCACTACCACCACCCCCACCAAATAGTTTTCCAAAGAAGTTGCCTCCATCCCCTGAACTGGAGCCGGCATCGTCACCTCCGTTCATCCACTTCGGCTTCTTGATGCCATCTCCAATGTCCTTGAGCCATGCAGGCGCTTCCACCGTGTCGAAAGTATTGCGCACACGTTGACCGACATCTTGGAAGAATGCTCGTTCACTCGTGTCTTCGTCCTCTTGAGGCATTCGCACTGCAGCTCTTCTGGCCGCAGAGGCTCGACTGTTGTTGGTCAGCCTGGAAGGTCGATTAAGATCGGCACTATGGCGTGGTGACGGTTCAGCAGAAGACAAAAGACTCGAGGAAGCCAGATGGAGCTGTGATCCATCGGCCTGGAGTTCGCGTTCGATCAGGATACGGCCTTCACGCCAGGTTCCTGTCCCTGGCTCATCGTGTTCGTCTTCAAGCACGCCAAAGCCAATGACGTTCTTGATCTTGCCATAGAGGTTGAAGATAGTTGCAACAACGGGAAGCATGACCACAATGGGGAAGTATGCGGAGAAGTTGCCAATCACAGGTGTGAGATTGATCAGGCGTCCAAGGAACCGGTAGAAAGTGGTACCTTCGCTGATGGTCGGATCGATCATAGTGATAAAGTTGAAGCTCAGGGGGACTGTAAGCTTCGCGACTTGTAAGCTGTACCAACATGCGCTCTCAGCGTAGGTCTGGCGACGCACAAGCGCGCGGTTACCCCAGACCTTGACCTCCGTTACAGAGTACAGTGCAGCAGCACACATGTAAAGTAACCAAGCCGCAGATATCATTTGGCCAGCAAATCCTATCTGCCCTCGGGAGCTTGAAGGGTGATGAACAACGCTCTTGCCAACCAGAGAGAGCTTGGAGTCCATCTCGTGCACCACCTCTGACCAGAGTAGCCCAACTGATGCACAGGCGAGGAACACGCCTAGGATAACACGGAGGGCAGGTAGAATATGGACTTGGACATGGTAGCGCATGTTGGCTGCTTTCGGACGTTGGGACGAAGATAGGTCGAGAAGCGACTGGAGTCTGGCAGCCTGTCGGACTAGATAATTCCACTCTCCAGTGAAACGTGCACGCTTGTGTCTAGCACGTTTGACTTTTCGGGACAGCTCGGCCAGATATCGTTCCGTCACGACGGGCGGAGGTGCAGTTGCAGAACTGACACTGGGGCGTGACTCCGGGAGACTGGAGGTATCGTAAAGCTCCTCGACCCACTCCTGTAAATCTTTCGGCATAGTGTTCTTTCGCTGACGCAGCTGAAGGATCTGGGCTTCAACTTGTTGTAGATTATCGACAGCCTCATCCAGCTTCTCATGTATTCCTGGCGCATGGCTCTGAAGCCTTTTCAATCTGGCACTGACGCTTGCATCCCTGATCAGACGTCGCGGTATGGCGACTAATCCATGTCCCATAAGGTAGATTGCCAGTATCAGACCATAAGCGTAGGCCATGGCCATTACCAGTGCCTTCAAAGTTTCGGCCTTGTTTGTCGTATTGTCGTTGCGGTTTTGCCAGAAAAAGTAAACGGCGCCAGCTGTTCCAACGGATAGCGTGATGAGCTGGTAGCGCGCATTCGAGCGGAGGGAGTAGATGAAGCGATCCTTAGGTTCTCGATAGCCTGAGTCACAGTACTCGCCGAGCAAAGGAAGCACGAACCTAAGGCGCCCATGTTAGTTCAAGCAGGGTCACAGTAGTACAGTACGAGCAACACACCATGTCAAGACAAAGGTAAGCCAGTATGCTAGCCTCCAGGCGACCAACATGACATTGTCGGGAAGCCATATTCCTCGTTGGCCATCGGTATCGGTCCCAGAGGACGAGGCTAGGTCGATGGGTACTAGCAAAACAATGGACGAGGGGAGAGCGAGAGCCAGGAAGACAGGTATTAGAAGGTAGGCGGGGGTCGCTCGCAAGGGGAGATAGTATCGTAGCAGAAGCGTGACTGTTGTGGAGATGGACAACAGAGCGAGTATGGCGAAGACATCAGAGCCTACGGAAGAGGAAGGAGCCATGTTGTTGCGATTGGACGGGATACAGCTTATGCCGGAAGGGACAGTGAGATCATGATGTTGGTCGGTCTGACTGGCAGGAAGGGCGAAAGTTGCTACGGAGATACTCGAACAGTTTAATTATCGAGAGAGTTGTGATTGCGGCCTCGTCGGAAGAGATGACGCAGCTTCCTTCCCCATCAAACGACAGGCACGGCAAGAGACGTTGGCAACGCTTGAGTGACAGAAAGGGCAGCAAATGAAACGAGCCAAGAGGACAAAGCACTGAGCACTGAGCAGCGAGCACCAAGAATCTTGCTTGCTTGCCGCGGGGCTTTGTGTTTTTGAGGTTCCTCACTCACAACCCAATCCGTTCATCCACAAAACAAGCCATTAGAACATCCCCGCCAACCAAGGCACCCAAAACACACCGTATCGACTTATCTCACACATCATGTCCGAAGCCGAGAACAAGCCCAAGGACGTCGCCGCCACCGACGCTCCTAAGACTGAGGAGTCCAAGACCGTCACCGAGCAAGCCACCGAAGCCGCTGCTGCAACCGCCTCTGCCGTCAAGGACAATGTCTTCAGCATGTTCGGCGGTGGCCCCAAGAAGGAGAAGGCCGAGGAGAAGGACGAGGGCGCCGATGAGCCCAGTGGAAGCTCCAAGGCTGTCGCAGCAAAGGCCGCTGACGAGGTGAGATGATGCACGCCCCTGTCTAAATACCATTCGACCGATCAACATACTGATACATGCATCACAGGAGGACGTAGTCGACGACAAGGAGCCCGACGTCCACTTCGAGCCCGTTGTCCACCTTACCGAGAAAGTCGAGACCAAGACAAACGAGGAGAGCGAGGAGCAGACCTTCAAGATGCGTGCCAAGCTCTTCAAGTTCGACCGCGACAGCAGAGAGTGGAAGGAGCGTGGTACCGGTGAGGTCCGTCTGCTCAAGCACAAGGAGAACGGCAGAACCAGACTTGTCATGCGCCGTGACAAGACCCTCAAGGTCTGCGCCAACCACTACGTCGTCCCCGACATGAAGCTCTCCCCCAACGTCGGCAGCGACCGCTCATGGGTCTGGAACGCTTCTGCCGATGTCTCCGAGGGCGAGCCCGAGGCTCAGACTCTTGCCATCCGTTTCGGCAACAGCGAGAGTAAGTTTGACATCACACGCCATCTGTCTGAGACCACTTGCTAACACCACCTACAGACGCCAACCTGTTCAAGGAGGCCTTCATCAAGGCCCAACAGGAGAACGAGGCTCTGTTCAGCAAGTCTGACTAGACTATCGCGTCAGACACCAGGATGCTCACCCCCCGCCATTTGTGCACCACCACGCCGTAGCCAGGCCCAGAATCCAAAACCCCCTGTCCCATGCACATGCCACATCTTCCTCATCCACATCACTACCCACATCTGACGAAGACACCGAGACGCATCTTGCATTCAGCATTCTGGGCGTTAGGCACTGCATCCCCCCTCCCCATGTTCCCTGTCCTCTTTTTGACGGCCCGAGATGATGATGATTATTCCCCAGTCTCCTTAGCGCCTTCTAGATAGAGCACATGACGGTTAATGTATCTACGTCTTCGGATTCATCTCTTTGCACTCTCTTTGTCACCTGTGCCCTGACTCGAATTCTTGTGTGAAAGGGGAAACTCTGGTGAAGCACCGTCATTCTGCCAAGAGGGCGGTATGGGCGTCGGCGTCCCCGCAAATTTACGACACGTTCAGCTGTCGCGTCGGCGTCGGCAGAGGGCGTGATCATTCTTACACTGAACATTGTTGTTACTGCTGTGCCTTGCGCTCGCATCTCGTGCTCTATATAATTTCATCGCCGCGCCGACCCCCTTCGTTACCCCGGTTTCCGTCGTCGTCTCACGATGCCTGACGTGCGCCTGCTTCAACCTCTCTTGGCACGCTGAGATGCTAATGCGCATACTACAGATCAAACGCCAGATCAAGCTCGTGACCGAGCAGCATGTCCTGTAAGACATCTTGGAGCATCCTCAAGGTAGCTGCTGAACGAAGCGATCTGACAAACGTTTCTACCACATTAGACCCGACGTCCCCTCAGAGGTCGAGGGATTCCCCATGCGCGAATGGAGCATCGAAATCTACGTAGTCGGACCCAACGACGAGCAACTACCCGCCACCTGTTTTGAGAAGGTCACATACCGCCTGCACGAGTCTTTCGGCAAGCGCGCCAACCAATGTACGCCATGTCCACTTCGACAACGCCTTCGAGCCTGCCCTAGCAAAAGAAAACAAAGTTGACCATGCGATGCAGCCCTCAAGCAACCCCCCTTCAGGATCCAAGAGCAAGGATGGGGTGAATTCGACATGTCTATCGTCCTCCAGCCCTTCTCGCAACCAAAGGGCGAGCAGACTGTCTTCCACGACTTGAACTTCCAGCAAGAGCGCTACGAGAACCTGCAGCAGTTTGTGCGTTGATCATCTCCATTCGTACTCGGCGCAGGACTAACTTCTTCCTCTTAGACTTTCCGCAATCCTAAGCCCGAGCTTGTCGAGAGACTGAGAGAGTCTGGCCCTGTTGGTGATGCCAACGGTGCCGCTAAGCCCGAGAAGAGAAAGAAGGCATCCAAGACTGTGCGTTGTGAGCCAACCATACCGATGGTACAGATAGCTAACAATGTAACAGCAAGTCGACATGGAGAAGTTGGCAGAGGGTCTGGAGCGACTCGGCGAAGACGACCTCTTGCACGTTGTCCAATTGGTACACGACAACAAGACCGAGGATACCTACACTAAGAACGACGTTGAGAGTGAGTGGCTTCCCATCATCAAAACCTGCAATCAGGCACTAACAAGCGACACAGACGGCGAGTTCCACGTGGACCTATACACTCTTCCGGATCAGCTCATCAAGATGCTCTGGGACTTCGTCAACCAGAAAGTCAACATCTCAGAATTTTGATCATCTCAGCAATCTAATTAGCTACCACACTTGCTTTGCTTCATCCGAATCAAGGAACCCCTTTCGAAGAGCACGACCTTTCAGCCCAAACCACACATGCGTGTGAACATCTATCGGCCGCATGGACTATGACGCCGAGATAGGAGATGATAAAGGTGCAGAGGCAAGGGACTGAAGGGCGTTTGACGACAAAATAATCGATACCCGCCGGAAACAACGATATGGCTTTTTTATTACTTCTCATCTAGGTAGTGCAACGAAAACACGATCCTTTACAATTGACGCGTCACCTCTGCTCTTCTTGTCGACAAATGGGATGACAGTCAGCGGCACAAGCAACGATTGTGTACATTGCGATTGATTTCTTGCACAACGCTCATGCCCAAGCTAATGTTATGCCCTAAGCAGGATGGTACATCTCACAAGCCGAGCGGTCCGAAAGACATAGCAAGCGCTTGAAGTCCACTCATCTCTTTCCGAGCGTCGCACAGGTCGATCACTCGGTGCATGTCTTAGTGGGACGCCATGCGATGAGGAGATGCTAGCTATCTGTGTGCTGTTCGCACCATGTTTCTCGATATGCAGACAGCCGCCAGAGCCTGGCATCTAAACAAAGGAAATAGGCAAACACCAACGCGGTTGCCTTTGATACACTTTCACACTTGCCGACTCTTATAGCTTTGCTCTCTCTCGTCCCCTTCTTCTTTTTAATTTCCACGCTTCTTGCGTTTCTGAGACCACTCGAGTATCATTGGAACCATACCTCATCTCAGCATCTCTATCCAAATATGCTGAGTACTTGACTAGATCCTGTTGCTTGCGCATATCTATGGAATGTTGTAAGTTTTGCTGATGTATCCCGAGGGGCCTAGGGTTATGATCTTTTCCAGTCGGACAATGATCTTGACACTGTCTGCATGCTCGACAAGGCCGCCGATCTCGACAAGGTCAAGGCCGAGATCAACGCCGACCCAGAAAAATGCACGTTCGGAAGTCGATCGAACGAGTCGAAGGAGGCCAGCAAACCCACCAACAAAGATGTCTTCTTTACGTTGTACAATGGTTCTCATCCAGTAAGCGCAGCTTGTGCTATGCAGCTCGGATGTAGGATACCTGATTGGCATCGTCAGGAGCTTATCATGAACTTCACCTGCCCCCTGAGGGTGTGGTTCGCTTTGGCAAAGCTCTACGCGACTATCGCAATGGTGTCCCTTATTCCTACATCACCAAAGGTCTCCTGCAGACATTCAGCTCTGGAAGTCCCACCTATCAAGAGTCTGAGGTATTCTGGATGAGACTCGAAGATGTTCCCGCTGGTGAAGAAATCACGCAGCAAAACACCTCCCTGGAACGAATCCGTGGTGACTTCAACCAACCTGTCGACGTCTGTGGCAACTGCGGAGCCGGACAGTGTGGAGATGGCAGTAAGCTGAAGCGCTGCGCTGGCTGCAAGAAAGGTAAGAGCTGCGAACACACTCTTTACATGATCCGGCTACTGACACATCCACCAGACTGTACTGTGCCAAGACCTGTCAAAAGGCGCACACTCCCGAACACTCATGTGTGTGTCCCGGCTTCACAAAGGCGCAAAACAAACAGCCTCAAGATGCATGCGGCAATTGCGGTGCAAAGCAGACCAAGGATGGAACTGCTCTGAAGCGCTGTGGCCGTTGCAAGGGCAGAAACTACTGCTCTGTTGAGTGTCAGAAGGAGCACTATCCTATGCATACTCCAAAGTGCAAAGCGACCGTTGCAGAGGCCAAGGGCAAGCAGGAAGGTGGTGGTCGTGTCAAGGGCTTGAATGTCCTCGAGACTTGGCGATAGAGAAACTTTCACGGAAGCCGGTGCATTTAAGAAAAGTACTGTGCATCACTACAGCTTCCATTGGCCACTGTAGCATCAGGCTGAAATGACAACGTTGGTCTAGCTATTGACATGGATTTCCACTTCGCTTTCGGTATGCATGTTAACTCCTACTTGTTGTGGAACACTATCATGAGATTTGCTCAACTCTTGCAATACAAGCATGGAGACTATTACTGATAACGAAAACTGAAAAGCTTTGTTAGATTCTTGGAAGCTCAAGCTACCTGTCTCCATGCATCGACGAATACAGATGATCCTTAAGACTATGGTAATACTGTCGAGGATGAGTTTCCACAACAACAAAGGCATAAGACTCGGCTCCTCTGGTAAGGCTGCAGGAAACATCCTGTGTCTCATCATGCATTCAGAGTGAAATAGGATGAATCCCCATCTCCACACATCATTTCATGTTGCATCTCTATGCAACATATACCTTCCCTTGACAAATCTGACTCCCATGTAGACTCTTTTGGCACTCGAACATACCGCCAATGGCTCAATGATATGTCTGAAGTTACATTGGATTACGGTCTCTGAATTCGTGCTGCAAGCATGATTCCTGTACGGAAATGATCAATGTTTGGTCGAGACGACCATGATATAGCACATCTTTGGTCCCACCTCTCGTCTTGTCAGGTTCAGAGTTGCTAGAGCGAACTACAAAAGTTTCTCTTGAGTAGTTAGGTGGCTGTAGTCACGATGGTCAGACCGAGCGGGATCAGGACCATATAAAGTGTGAGTTTCATCTTGTAGAACGGAACAAACAGCGAGGTGACTGCGAATGTTCTTGTGATTTCAGGAGGAGACTCGCTTGCTTTGCTTGAGCTTCTCATATGCTTGTGAGCTCGCTACGTGTGACACGTAGGAGATCGATCCCGGAATCGATAGGCCAGTGGAGGCTTGAGGTCAGCACGTGTCATGTGTTGCAAACGATACATTCGAATCAAATATGAAACTGTACAACCAGCTACCCAACATGGAAAATGCGAATGCAGCAATGAAAGTTCATAATTGGATTCCCAAGCGGGGAAAGCATGCCATTGTGTTTCAGTGTCATATGAAGACTTGTTGAATGTACACTAGGAACCTGTCAAGCTCTTCAGTGTGCCCCCTAAGCTACCCAGAGCACCAGTAAGCTTCGCAAGAGCATAAAGTGCATTGTTCTCAATCTCTCCTGTAGCAGCGTTGAGGCCGATCAGTACCGCTCTCAGACTGTTCTCGCCCAATATCACGCCCTCGGGAATAGTCTCTCCACTTTCAGCATTGAGTTGAAGAACCATGGCGCCTAGACTGGCCAATGTAGTCGGAACCTTTGGTGGTTGCCAGCCGAGTTCGTAGGGGAGTTTCTCTTCTTCGAACAAGCTGCGGACGTACTCCAATGGTGCTACTCCAGTGATTGGGTCACCCATTGTGGACAGGTAAAGTGCTGTCTCGCCATAAGAAAGGATGAATTGAACAGGGCTGTAACTGAAGTTGGGGTCTCTGGCGGCCTCTGTGCTGATGCGGTTGTATCTTGCCTTCGCAGCAACAGGTATGGTGGCATCTGTCATACCACTGTAGTAAGCAAGTACCGAGTCCCAGATGGTTTGATTGAAGGAGTGATTGTCGCCCGTGGTGGCGTCAGCGCGCGATAGAGAGCCATCGTGCTCTATAACAAAGTCGTGACGATCAAGCATGTCGAGATCGAAGTACAGGCCAGATGGCAAAGGATTGGGATTCGAGGCAATGCCTGCGGTACCTACGACTGTAGAGAAATCGGCACCGACGTTCAGGCCCCTCTTCAAGCAGTCGATCAAGATGGGGATGGTGTATCCTTTGCCGCTTCGAGGGCAGATGTCATGGTTCGCCAGCGAATTGAGACCAGGACAGGGAGAGCGAACTATTGATTGGTCAGAGGGACCTCTTTGTTAGGACGAGCATAACACTACCTTCTCCTTTTTGTGCTGGGTGCCAGGCTGGGTAGTTGCCGGAAGCACTGCTTGAGGTGCTAGCGGGCTCAGCTACAGGTTTGCGAGGGAGCACGCCGGCCTCCTTACGCATGTTGCCCATTCCCGGGAATGCAGAGGCATACTGAGCTAAAAGACCAACGAGTACAAACGATACAGACTTCATATTGCAACAGCACTTCAATTGACACTCGACTGGAACGATCACAGATGAGGAAGCACCTAGCACCTACTTTATGAACTTGGGACAGACTGACCAATTCCATGACGCTTCGTTTTGCCATTGGTTCGAGTAACAAAACGGGTTGTATGGTAAAAGGTTGCTCGTCACTGGACCGGATTTCGACACCATAGATCGTCACGGATCTGCGGATCAACAGATCTAAGGCGGCACGCTGACCATACTGGGCAATCGCACAGAGCGATACGCACGAAGGGATGCTGGCGATTGGAACGTGCTGTGTTGTGAGAGTTGGTGGAGGGCCGAATGCCTCGGTTGAACAGGTGAGTTCGACAAGTGTGACGAATAACAGAGAACATGGTGGCCGTGGAACGCATGATTTTAAGCTTAAAGCCGGTCTCCTAAGACAGCGCCCAGACATGACACTTCTGGAGTTTGTGTCAAAAGGCGTTTTCTGCCTCGGTCTGTTGTGTTTGAAGATCTGTCATGGCCTGTCACCATGTCAGCAATGCAGAATAGTAAACTCGTCAAGAGATAGGGCAAAGGGCAGCCGTTGATGTCGGGAAAGTGCAGCTGGTGGTACAAGAGCGGATGAAGCCGAAGACAGCAAAAGGCACGTGAGGCAATGTGGTGGGTGACAGGGCGCGTAATGGTCAAACACACGGACAGCAGAGGTGAGGATGAGTGCCTCCGGACTCTAAGAGACTCCTCTGCTGTTTCAGAAGACAGGAAGAAACACGATCCAAACTATTCGAAGAAGGTCAAGCATGATGATGGCATTTGATCTCTCCGCAAAACGCGGGTCTGAGCACGGTGCAGCGATCATTGGGCCCGAGAGTCGCGGGGACAATGATGCTTGTTGAAGGGAAGGAGCGAAGAGTCAAGCCAAAGCCAGCACCACCAGGGAATCCGCTCATGTCGAGAACAAGTGAGTGCGCATAGACGACTGGACTGAGCTGCAGTGTCCCACAATGGCAGAGGCCGATGCAAGCGCGGGGCCTCTGAACGAACCCGTCCCTTCTCACAGTCCCTCCGCGTCGACACCCACGTCAACCCAAGCACAGCAACCTTCTCCTGCCTTTGTCGCGCCCAGTGACTATCTACGCCCTCGCGAGAGGGCCCATGTCTCCAAGTCCCGAGGTCCTATGAGCCCCCTCGACCACGAGCAGCTCGATGGCCTGGTCAGTCGACCCCACCTGTCTGTTCCGTTGGCTCTCTTCTAACTCCCATCTCCAGCGAGCTATCCGCGAGTTCCTCAAAGTCCGCACAAGCTACGACGTTCTGCCCCTCAGTTATCGCCTTATCGTCTTCGATACCGCGCTGTTGGTCAAGAAGAGTCTGAACATTCTCATCCAAAATGGTTCGCATACGAGACCTCTCACCCTCCAATGACCTCTCCGGCTGACCTTCAAACAAGGAATTGTTTCTGCTCCGCTATGGGATTCCAAGACTTCGACCTTCGCTGGCCTCTTGACCACCTCGGACTACATCAACGTCATTCAATACTATTGGCAAAATCCCGATGCCCTAGCCCAAGTCGATCAGTTCCGACTCAACAGTCTCCGCGACATTGAAAAAGCAATTGGCGTGCAGCCCATAGAGACTGTCTCAGTACATCCTCTTCAATCCCTATATACTGCCTGTCGCCGCATGCTCGAGTCTCGTGCTCGTCGTATTCCGCTCGTGGACGTCGATGATGAGACACAACGCGCCATGATAGTCAGTGTCCTGACTCAGTATCGCATTCTCAAGTTTGTTGCCGTCAACGTGAAGGATACTCAAAACTTGCGCAAGCCTCTGCGAGACATTGATTGCGGCACCTACGGCAACCTGCAGACAGCCACAATGGAGACACCCGTTATGGATGTGATACATTTGCTTGTTAAATACAGCATATCGAACGTCCCTATTCTGGACAGCGATGGTAATCGTTTCTGCTCGCCAACTCAACGAGCACCTTGCTAACAGCCCAACAGGCGGTGTCGTCAACGTTTTCGAAGCAGTAGATGTCATATCGCTTATTAAGGGTGGTGTATATGACGATCTGAACTTGACTGTCGGCGAAGCTTTGCTCAAACGCTCTGAGGTATATACATCTGACGCTGCATCCCACATGTTCCGTGGCTAACACGCTTGAAGGAATTTCCTGGCATTTTTACTTGCACCCTCAACGACCGCCTGGACTCAATCTTCGACACAATTCGAAAATCACGTGTCCACCGTTTCGTTGTGATTGATGAGGACAAGAAGCTCAAGGGACTGCTTACTTTGAGCGATATCTTGGAGTACGTACTCCTCGAAGGCGAAGGAGATGAGTTATGATGAATTTTGGTTTTGATACCCATGGTAAGTTGGAGGCCTCCACGAGTACCACATTTCAGTTTCCTCTACAGACTATATGGAGAATTATTTGTACAACATCTTGCAGTTCAGTATTCCATTGCCGTGGGACTCAGTCAAGGATGTGTTATTTCCTGAAGAAGTTCGACTACTGCTTGCACGAGTCGTCGTGCGGTTAATATGCAGGTGTAGCAAGATGTTGTAAACGGTAAGAGGTAGCCTACGTTCGGATCGCTCGCGATCTAAGGATCTTCGAAGGAGAACACGAAGGTGCACATCATGAGGTGACACTGTGACAGCCGAGCACCTTTCCCCGCACCATTTTTCCGTCGATGAAACATGGTCTCTTACCGACAAGGAACATTCACCTACAAAAATTGTGCCCACCGGAGCTGAAGCGACCCCCCCTCGACGGTCCTGTCTGAAGACGGCCGGGTAAAGATCAAGAGATCGGCATGCTCTGCACTCTCTCCGCCAGGATTGCCATTGATTCGGGACAACGTTGTCCGGCCTCTCTGACCGCAGGCATGTATATCATCCCACATAGACGACGCTTCCGTCTGCAATGGTATCGCGTTAACTACCATACTTTCATGTCACGAGACTTTTCGGATCAACCAATATGAGGTCTGCTCCCATCCCTGCTCTACTTCTTACAGCCCGCCTCATTGGAGCTCAGCCTACTCATGCTGCGAACCATACTGGTGCTTTCTGTCTTGAGATACCCAAAACTGCATCTGGAGCATCAATTGAACACGATCCATCTTTCGCATCTTTCTCATTCGAGCCTGCCTTCTGGGTAGAGTTCTTTGGCAATTCAAGCACGCCGAACCAATTGGCCTTCAACCTTCTCAATCGTATCGTCGACCATGGTGGTCAACCAACTATTCGGCCGGGTGGAATTACGATGGACTCTATGATCTTCAACGTATCAGCAGGTGACCCTGTGCGTACCACGAATCTCAAGGGTGGTGTTTATCGGACGACAGTGGGACCTGCCTACTATGAGAGCTGGTCCAACTTCCCTGATGGCACCAAATTTGTCTCTACCTTGAACTTTGGCAACGATTCACTCGACATTGCTCGAGATATGGCAGTCGCCTCCGTGAAATACGCAAGCAATGACAGCATCAGCTTCTTTGAGCTTGGTAACGAGCCAACAAACTATCCGAGTTCGCGATGGAAAAATAGCACTCGAGCCTATGTCCAGGAATGGCAGAACTGGACGGCTCAGATCGATGCAGCCGTGAACTCGACCTTGGGTAACGACGCAGCACTCGATTTTGGTCGTGAGCGCTGGTGGGCGTCGTCGGCAACAACGGATCAAAGCGGTCTGGAAGTTCGTCCAGCTGCTCTGATTCCTGCTGGTATCGATTCTAACAATCAGGTGGCCGACTATTCCATTCACTCATACCCATTCTCGACCTGCGATCCAGCCAGAGCTGTGTTGGCGACGACTCAGAATATCTTGAATCAGACCGAGCTTGAACGATATGCGGACGAGGAGATATATCCTTCGGCCAAGGCTGCGCTCGATGCTGGCAGCCGGTGGATCATTGGAGAATTCAATTCCATCTCTTGCTCCGGAAATCCTAACGTCTCGGACACTTTCGCGCAAGCCTTGTGGGTTATCCAAAGCGAATTGATATATGCTGCACGCAATGCCTCTGCTGTTTACCTGCACCAGGGAGCAGCCTTGGTGTTCCAAAGCAGTCAACAGGTCAACTCTGCGGGCCAAGACGGTTCCCCTGGCTATTCGACCTACGACATGTTTTATCCTCGCGATAGTGACAAGCGTGGTCCAGCAAGAGTGTTGCCTAGCTTCTCCAGTCAGCTCTTTATGGCTGAAGCATTTGCGATGCCTAACACTCGTATCCGTCAGATTGAGACACCTCTGGGTGTAGATAAGGACTACTTCTCAGCATACGCGTTCTACGCTAAAAACAAACTCAACAAGCTGGCTATCGTCAACTCCAAGCCATACTACGCTAATTCGACGAGTGACTTCTCTGTGGCGCTAGACATCTCTAGTTACGCGCATCCGAAGAAGGGTACAAGAGCATGGTTGAAAAGACTGACAGCTCCTCATGTCGATGAAGGGAACGCCAATAGGACCACTTGGGCAGGTCAATCATTCCCTCAGGGCAACGTGGTGGGAGACCTCGCCGTAGAGGAAGTCGGCCATGATGGTATTGTCCATGTCAGGGGTAGCGAGGCAGTACTCGTTTTCTTTAACAAAAGAGATGTAAGTATGGGTGCTTGCTGATTGTCTGCGCTTGGGTGTGCCTTGTGTGCAGATATTCATATTCGCGTACAATGACCCCTCAAGTACGTACGGCCACAGTCAGCTGAAAACTGGGCATCCCGTCCGCTCTGCCATACATAAGCAGTTGAACGGCAGATTAGTACTACGGTGGGTGACCACGTGGGAATCCCTGCTGCTGTACGTTTTGTTTTGGTATCCCAATTTAGCAGCAAAGCGTTCTGTCTCTCCTTACGATGTGCCTTTTGTAGTTTTTGAACTGCTTTTTTGAAGCAATTACTCATGCGTGTCCTGCAAATCAAGCCTTCTTCGGCTTTCGGCTCTAGTTGTTCTCGGACACATGGTCTGCATACTTCGCATCCTGGTCATCTATGATAGACGATGATCATCCCAGTGTGTGTCATAATGGATGGTAGATGAGTGCCCCCAGCCTCTTGCCTGTGTTTCCAGATTTTTCTTCTGGATTATAGAGGGATGACGCAAATCAGATCACACAAGAACACGTCCTCGACATTCCGTTTGCAATTAACATTGTACCCACAGACCGGACTTTTCTCTGGTCTAGATTGTAAAAATCATGTATGGAAGGAAGATATTTTGTTGACAGTATGCAAAACGGTTGATGTTGTGAAGACCCTGACCTTAGACTGATTGTTCTGCATCGAGCATCTTGAACCAAATACACAGATTCAAAGGTCAAATATCACCAGATCGTATGCGCTTATTACAGACCATCGATCACATCTTCTATCATCAAAAATTCGGTGAGGCACGGGTATTATTTGTTTCTGCTCACAATGGCATGCGAACATAACCAACAGCTTGCGATGCCTATTGGCCCACAACGTGTCTGCCAACAACTCGGCTGGAGCGAGCGATCATCTTCGTGAAATCTTGGGAAGATGGAGAAGCTGCAAGAAGGTCCATCCGGATCAATGTGTGCTCGTCTGCGAGTCCTTGACGAGGGTGTCTCGATCTTTTGAACGGATGCCTGTCGAAAGCTCTCCCCACACCGTTAGGAAAGAGCTTCCCATGCACGGTTGCCTTTTCTGTGGGGAACCAAGGAACATGGACAGGCACAACGACAACGATTGCAACGGACGACGGTACAGAACTGCCGTCAAGCATACAAACTTAAATCTTGGGCTTCTACCGTTCATACCAACGTCTCTTGTCTGTGAAATTCACGAAAAATAGCGGAGAGAGTGATATCGATCGTGCCTGACAACCAAGCCACCCAGCCACCGAAGCGCCTGCAAGCGAACTCGTGTGTTGACGGAACACTCGGACCTGCTAGCCTTGCAGAGATCGACAGCGTAAGAGAAACAAAGGCTGGGGGTTGGCGTCTGCGGTCGACCATTGCTCAGCATGATTTTGCTGGGATGGCTGGTCCGAGGTTGGGCAGTACGTTCAAGCTACAGCTCATGTTTCGCTTCAGGTGACCGCCAGAGCCAATGAATGGCAAAATCGTGAGCAAGCCGACGTGAACGAGGAGGTGCAAACCACCTGAGTGGCTCAATGGCTAGGATTAGACCCTCGATAGTGGGTTACAGTTCCCACTAATCTATATATCGACCTGGGAACGGGCGGGAACACTGACAACAAACAGGATGCAGGTCGAATGAGAGGTCAAACAATCACCTTTCACTCTTCCCAATTTATTTAGTATCCTGCAAGACAAATCACCTTAGTATCTTCCTCCTTCGTACTCCGCTTTCCAACTTCTTTTCCAATCCGACAAGGACCTTCAGTTCGTTCTTGTTTTCCTTCCGAGTTGTTCAAGGACAGTTCGTGAGGTCTTCAAGAAAGAACACTTGACATCCACCAAGCTGGATTTTGAAGCAAGAGTAAGTGCATCCCGATATATTCAATGATCTGTGCAATCACTGACAGGAAGCTCTCAGGTCCCCATCCCTTTCAGTGGTATGCTTGTCTTCGCTGCCTTCAATTGATACCCAGCTCACAGTCTGCAGTCTTCCCGTCCACGTATAGGAACGATACTGTAACCAAGTCTACAGAGATCAAGGTAGAAGAGCAAGTCAAGCTTTCTAACTTGCACGGCGGACGGGAAGGTCACGAAACTCGATACACCTCATCCCAGGCCCCTCCGTCCCGCCGCTTTGAAGAGGAAATCAAAGTAACAGAAAAAGACCGCTACCGCCCTCTGGCGAGTAGAGAGGAGAACGTTTACGCCTACGAAGAAGAGCGTGCGTCCCAACCCGCCAGACAGACCAAAGTCAACATCGGACAAGACCAGTAAGTCAATGTTCCTCCTCTCCTCTTCCTCTGTCAGCTTTCCACCCCAGTATGATCAGCATCGCTCCACCGCCTTTTGCGTTTCTGAGCATCTCGCTTCGGCACGCGCGGGCGGAGCGGGCGGTTCAGGCACTAAAGCAGTGACATGAACCACCTCTCCACCCACTAGCGTGTTGCCATGTCAACTTGGGTACCCATGCTGCTCGTCCAAGCTTCTCTCGTTCACCCATATCCTCCTCTTCACCTGACTCTCCCTTCCCGCACCGTTGCTTCTCTTCTTCGCTCAGACCAGTCCCACTGATAAGCCCAGCTACCGAGAACCCTACCAACGTTACGTCGACGCACAGATTGACGTTAAGGACAAGTCCTACGACCATCATTACCGTACCACTCACGGTCCCGCTACCCATCTTGAACCAGAGATCGAAGTTACCAAGCGTGACTATCATCGCCGCACCAGCCCAATAGCTCAGGACTCTTACGTTCAGGACGCTTCCGGGTCTTACGTTCAAGGCTACCCCAACACTACATCTGTTCGTGACTACTATCACGCCTCCCCTACCCACGAAGAAGTACGAGTCAAGACCGAGACCCGTACTACTGTCGACCCTCCCAAGAAACGCAAGTTTGACATGGGATACTACGACGACGAAGGCCAATATCACTCTTTCCGTGACGGACTTCACCGCGCTGCTGACCACGTCCTCCACCCTATCCACGGACCTCGTCACCACCACCAGCATCACCAGCACCGTCCACACTCTGAGCCCGTTGGGGAAGTTATTGAAGAGCGTGAGACTGTGACTGCCATGCCTTCTCCTCGTCGTTCCGCTGGACGCTCCGGTCCTAGCAGTGCTGTCTCAATACCCTGCCACCATATCCGCATTGGTGATCTGCTGTATCTCCAAGGTCGCCCCTGTCAGGTCATTCGCATCACCACCTCTTCTCAGACTGGTCAGCACCGTTACCTTGGTGTTGACCTCTTCACCAAGCAGCTGCAAGAGGAGTCATCTTTCATCTCCAACCCTTCACCATCCGTGGTCGTCCAGCAGATGTATGGACCTGTGTTCAAGCAGTACCGTGTGCTTGACATCCGCGATGATGGCCATGTGGTTGCCATGACCGAGACTGGCGACGTCAAGCAAGGCCTTCCCGTCATCGACCAGAGCAGTCTGTTGCAGCGTCTCACCGATGCCTTTGACCAAGGTCGTGGCAGCATCAGGGTTCTGGTCCTTAGCGATGAAGGTCGCGAGCTTGCCGTTGATTACAGAGTTGTCAACGGAAGCAGACTCTAGATCTGCGCAGGTACGTTTGCTCTTGTTAGTCTCTGTAGCCACTAACTAACCATTGGCAGGAACAGACTACGACCGACTAGGACTGTCAACTGTCGAGACGACGCAAGACTGCAGCCGAAAACGTGAGAACGCCTAGATTGTTGACCATAAACGATATATGTAATGCCTTCCTTTGATAGTTTGAATGATAGCCGGAAATTGAAACGAGAGATTTGATCATACACACGAAAACATTCATGACTAGTGCACATGTGACGGCGTTTTGATCGATAGACAGGACTGACTAGTATATGAAAGGTCAGAAACCAGAGGGAGTAGTCGAATCAAACCTGATTTGCTATGCTCGTCCTCGCCGACTATGTCACTCTACGCGTCAGCGCATTCTAGCTCTCGACCAAGAATTCAAGAGGAACAATCAAGGCATGCCATGCTGTATTAGCCAAACCAACTTAATGATCTGAGGTCTGGTGACTATAGGGTCGTCCTCAAAAAGAAATACAGGAACGTGCCAGCTGCTTGCCTGACCTGTCGAAAGTTGGTACAGCACTATATAGCAGAGCGGACGCGTCAGCTGGTACCTGCTTCATGGTCGAGCGAAGCGACTCGATGGGCGCATGTGTTGCAGCAGCCATGTCGTGGCGATCCTGTCAGGTATTTCGGGAGGAAAAGATGAGCGAACCCAAGACCACGTTGGCAGATGCCATTGGGAATAGGCAAATGCTATCGCCCGCGTTGGCCACAGCCACAGAGGCAATCGGTAAAATTAGAAAGGCGGCCTCGGAGCTCGTCGCGGCCGCTTGGCCATCAAGGCCGAAACTCCCGAGTTTTGTGGGGTTGGAGGCAGCTCTGACGATGTCTAATAAACGGTCGACGAACCTCCGATGTTCGAAACAGGGCTGTCATCTGCTTCGACCTGTTCCAGCTGCAGGTTCCTGGTGCATGGACCTTGAAGAAGGTACCGGGAATAGGCGCTACTTGTTGCAGCACTAATCGGAGCAGTTAGATGAGTTGTCGCGTCGCATAGTTGGAAGCAGATTTGAAGCAAGAAATACCCAAGCTGAATTGAGTTGGAGTTGCTCAGAGACCGCGTCGTCATCTCGTGTGACGTAAAAACTGGTTGCGTGTTGTGGTTTGCCTGTCTCGCACCAATTCTTCCAGCTTCCAACTACAAACTACTTTACGTGTCTCGACTGTCTCTCGTTTTTCCCCCTCAATCTCAAACATCTCAATCCACTCCATTGACACGACAGCAATTCGACACAGCATGCTTTCCGAGGGCACAACATTAATCGGCGAGAGCGGCAAGAAGTACCTCACCGTCAGCTCGTTAGGCCAAAGCAACGTCTGGACAGCCGTTGAACAGAGCAACGACCCGAAGAAACCTGTCCAAGTCGTCGTTATCAAAGAGCCCGGCGAAGTCGACACGGAACCAGGATGGCCCAGCTTCCAGAACGAGATGGTCATGCATCAAGTCTTCAAGGACTCCCCGGGCATCAGACAGCAAATCGACAGAATTCCTCCTACCAAGGCCGGAGGCCCACCAATGATCGTTTTGGAGATTACAGAAACGACTCTCTGGATTGCACGCACGAAACGACCCATGTCTCTTGCCGAGATCAAGACCGTCGCCAAAGATGTCCTCATCGGCCTACGCGATGTCCACGCCAAGGGCCTTGTATACGCAGACCTCAAGCCTCAGAACATCATGGTTGACGGTTTCAGTGCCGAATCGGAAGAAAAAGACGACCATCTCAAGGCAACGCTAGGCGATCTAGGTCTCGTCATGGAACCCATGAACGGCAAAGTCCAACCTATTTCGTATCGTGCACCCGAAGTCTACCTTAAGGGCGACATCACTTCTCGAGTCGACGTGTGGGGTTGGAGTCTCATCTACTGTCACCTGCTAGAAGCCCGCACCCGCTTCTCCAAGACTGGTCTTTACGACGACCTTGAGACCCAGAACGGAGGCATGGTCGAAAGAGAAGAAGCCGTTAAGAGTGCTTTGATGAACGACTACAAGCTGCAAAACGACCCCGTATACGGAAACGTTCCCCTACCGCAAAACGACCCAAACAAACACAAGGGTGACCAATGGGAGCTTCTGCGTCAGCGAGGTCTGGAAGAAGGCGAAGTCGATTTCCTCAGATGGGTCTTGAAAGCCGACCCCTATCAGCGGCCGACTGTCAATCAGATCCTGGAGAGCGGATGGTTAGACAAGACTTCGGAAGAAGTTGTAGCTGAAGGTTTCACCCCTCCACAATTTGAACATCTGGAGTACGACCCAAAACGCGCCTCGCCAGACGAGTTTGCAGCACAGGAGAGGCAAGAGGCATCCAACAACCAACAAGACCAAGGCCAATACTTTGGGCATACTCGACCAGCGTTGACGGAGAAGAGATACCGCAGCGCAGAAGATGAGGTACCTGTCAAGAAGATGTACGTGCCTGATGACTCGTTGACGGCGCCGGCAGAGAAGCAGCAGCAGCAAGCAGGGCTTACCACTTCTACCCTTCCTACCCAGCCTGTTCAGACAAGCTCGTCAGCCGTGCAACCCACATCATTCGAACCTGTGCAGTCGAGCGCCACGTTACAGCCCACTCCATTCAAGGACGTGGGCACCTATCCCCAGGAAACTTCGGCCCCTATTACCTTCGGCGGCAATAGCTCTGTCCAGAGCAATGTGGCTGCTACACCGTTCAAGAGTATGGACACCACTGGAAGTACAGCCATTCCCGCGCAATTTACAAGCTCCACATCGAGCAACATGGATCCAAGTCAATTCACCGACGTCAACACCCTCAACGATAAATCGGCACCTGTTCAATTCATGAACATCAATGAGAACAATCAGTCGATCACCACTCAGAGACCTACCTTGAAAAAGAACAACACCGGTACCTTCCTGTCGTACCAATAAACTTTTCTCGATAAGAGAACCTTCCAAGAGGAGGAGGAAAGCATTATTAAGGGCTGAACTATTTATCTTTTGTAATCATTAGCCTTGGTCAGAGCAGAAGGAGCTTCAATTCGCAAATGCATTTGGTTATTACAAGAAGAGAAGATCAATCCGAACCCCCCCCAAAAAAGCCTCGCTAGTACTGTGAACCATTCTTCCCTTTCGCTGATCGTGACATCGTGAAATACGAAGGAGTCGTGCTCGCTACTCATCCGTCTTGATTGAGTTCTTGACTCCCCCAACCACAGTCTCACTGACGTTCTGAACCCCTTCCCCGACACTGATAGTGCCAGATTCAACGGCATGCTTCACGCCATCGACAACAGTCTCTCCCACATTCTGGACGCGATGGCCAGCTTCCTTGCCAGCCTCGACAGCGCTCTCCGCCATATCAACCGCAGCTCCCTTGACCCTTTCAAATTCATTCTTCGCCTGCTCACCCACAGATCCAAAATCCTGAGGCCATTTCTTGGTGGCTTTGAGAACCATGTAGTAAGCTGAGATGATGAGAACGTGGATGCGCTCTTTCAGTACCATGCTAAGACCATGGCCCAAGAAACCTTTGACGACTTCGGCATCAAGACCACTGTACAGGCCTCTAACGCCTTCGGAACGGTAAATGTTGCGCAAAGAGCGAATGATGGCGAGTTGTTGTATCTGCTGCCAAAAGACCAAACGTAAGACTTTCTTGGACTTGGCCGTGATTTTCGAGTCAGAAGATAGATCTGGTTTCTCGAGGTAGGATGGTGGTTTGCCCTGCACTTCCTCTGCCATTGGACGAGAGACTTGAGCACGGCTTTTCGCTAGACTGAACGGGTAGGTTACTGTTGATGCTGTTGCTTTTGACATTGCGGCGATGAGGAACAATGCCTTGGGTCCTGGCTTTTCGCGTTGAGAGCGAGGGAGTAATGTTCTCTTGAGTAGGTTCTGAAGGAGGAAGGTCAAGGCAGGATTGAGGGTAAGAATCAGACTGGCACTGTAGCCGGCCCAGAAGCCTTTGAGACCACGCTCTTCACGGATCTGGAGGAAAATGTCCTTGATGCTGAGTTTGGAGGCCATGCCTGGTGGCAGGCTGGAAGTCTTGTCTCTTGCGGCGATGAGAGCGGCAGTCTGTTTCCTGGTCACAATCTGGGCGATTGGTGTCGTAACGAACTTGGACAAAGCCCCAGCGGCGATGCCAATGCTCAGCTCATTGAAGATAGGCAGGGACTTTGTGCCCAACTTCTTCTGCTCTCGTTGTCTAAAGGCAGTGTATGCGAGGAAGAACAGGAAGCTGTCAATGACACTCTTGGCCGTGTCGGTCGCACAACCGTTCCAGAAGGCTTGTAGTCCTCCTTCGTGTGTGTATATCTTCTGTGCTGCATCGAGCAAGCTGGTGTATTCGGCATCATCTGCATCTTTCGCGGCCGAGGTGGCTTCTCCAGGCGACTTGAGTTGTTGTTGGACTTGGAGGCGAGTGATGACGAGATCGAGCGGGTATAGGATAAGATGCGACAAAGCGGTGCCAGCAGAACCTGCTAGAGCATGGCCCAATGCTGGTAGACCAATCCCATCGGTAGTCGGACCTCGGCGTTGATCATGTTCCTGGATCTTGTGGTAGAGCTCAAAGGCGTCCTCGAAGCCATAGTCAGCAGAGTAGTTCAAGCGGTCGACGGCATTCATGAAGCGTGTTACCAGCTGACTGTTGTAGACGGACATGGTGAGAGTTGTTTCTACAGTCAAAGTCAGCAGGGCACTTCGAATGTCAGGGAGCGGTCGAGTTCACACGCACCTTTTAACGTCGACTTCGACGCACTCGCGACTCTGCGGGGCAATGGTACTTGGACTTGGTATACTGCGGAGTCGTGCAGAAAAGACAGCACCTTTGTCGCCTGTCTTAACATGCAGGCCGCTACCTATATCATCACCCCACATGCTTTCCCGGATTTTCTGTCGTCATCGCTACAACTTGACGAACCGAGGCATGTGACAGTCCCAAAACAGTGTTCAATTTAAGAAAGAATATTACTTTTGATCAATACCCACGTCTAAATCAGTGGGCAACGACAAAGAATGTGTTGGTGATGAGGCAAACCACCATCACCAGCAAACCATAGATGGCCAGCGCAAGACTGGCTTTACGCAAGATGCTTCCACTATTCCATCCACCCGACACTGCTTCACCATCCGCGTCTGTCTCTTCATCATCGTCCTCCTTCATCAGTCGTTGGTGGTGAGGCGAGTCTGGTGACGAAATCTTGTAGTAGAACAGACCAGGAAGAATGAAACTGATCGACGTGCTTCCCGTGCTGCCAACGTATGCGAGCACCACCGACAGAGATGAGACTGTCATGGCCACAATATAGCTCAAAATAATGATCGCTGTCGTGATGACTGCAAAACGTCTGTCGCTCATCTCGCCGCGACCTTTCTGCGAGTTGCTCGCAGAGTTGAGAAGGGTTGAGCGAGATGGCGAACCGTTGACCGAGGCATAGTCCAGCTGCTTGCGCGAGGCCGGACGCCATTTGAGTACTGCGTCAACCGAAGCACGGCAAGGGTGCACTTGCAGAGGATAAGAGAACATGACAAGCACAACGATGGCTGCTTTGCCGATGGTCGATGCTACGGAAGGAATGTCTAGAGCAGGTCAGAACCATGTTACACCATGGAAAGTGGACGATAGGCTTACACTGCGCGACAATGTTGCCAGCGACATTGTCACCAAAGGTCAGATAACCAGTGATAGCAACTAGCAGGTAGATGCTACCGGAACTACCGATACTAGCTAGAACGACAGAGGTCGTCTTGAAGGAGCTATTGTCCTCGATCTCGTTGAGGATGGAGAACATCTACTAGAATGAGCACTTGAAAGGGTGGTCAAAGCGGGTGATACTGCTTACGTTTTGATGACAAGTATAGGCAAAGACGATGACGGGGAAACTGGCCAGGACTGGTACGATACCCTTGTCTGGCACAATGCTGATTTCGCCCTTGAGGCCCATGTCATCGCCTTTTGCGAAGTGGTAAACGACCAAAACAACGAGGTAGCCAATCGAGATGAGTGCAACGATACTGGTGTACTTGAGCGAGTCGAGTCTTCGGAGGAAGGAGAGAGGAATAACAACAAGCCTGGTCGCGTGTTAGGAGGCAGCCACGGGAGGACAGCAATAGGGCAGGCACGAGCTCACATAAAAGCAGTAACCCAGAAATGTCTGTCCAGCAGATAGTCGGCAGCAGGAGTGTCTGTGAAGCCGCGAACGACGCCCGGCATGAGATCACCAATAATGATGAGATAACTGATTCCAACACCGAAACACTTGATAGCGATAGCAGCATCAAAGATGACGGCAGCGTTGGGATATGTGATCTGACTCAGAGCAAAGAAACTGGCGTTTCCACGATCCAGATATCTGGCGCATCTTGTTTGGAGGTAGAGACCGAAGCCCGAGGCAAGGCCAGACCAGAGGATGACAAGGATACCGAGCAGGATGCCCATATTGGACAGAGCAGAGGGCATGGCCAGCACGCCGGCACCGACAATTGTGTTGACCAGATTGATGACACTGCTGAGCCAGCTGGCGTGGCCGTGGAGACCGGTCTCTTTGCGACGAGGACGGCGCGACATGCTGGCGGTACTGTTTGGGCGGGATGAGTCGTCGCTGTGCGCCGAGCGAATCGAGGCGTAACCGGTCATGCTGCGTCTTGTCCGACTGGAAGATGTGAATGCTGAGCCGGCAACAAGGACTTTAGCAGTAGCGACAGACCATGGTATAAGAGGAATTGCGAGGCAAGACAATCATGTCTCCGATCGCTATCGGCCGGCCAAGCCACGCCGAGCGGCTCCCGGCTCCCGGCTGCCGATGAGCCTGGAAACCTTGTCACAGGAAGCTCGCCATCTCCCGTCATCCATGCAACAAACACATCACCACCGTCACCGTCCCAAAAGGAATCCTCGTCACGCGACCATGTCGTCCATCGCACAGGATACAGCTTCGCAGACCCTACACTCCCTTGAGCAACGATTGCAACGCGTGCATTTCCTCCTGCACGGCACCTCTCCCACGCCCGACTCCGCAAAAACGCCCACCGACACTTCCACGAATCAATCCATTGCATCTAGACTACAAGCTTTGCAATCGTCATTCAATTCTGTCCTCAACAACTCAAAGAGTGCCCAGCATCTTGTCGCGCTGCGTGAGCCTCGACTGCTCTACTACACGAAACCAACACGTCTGACCCCCTTCTAGAATCACAACATCAACATGACGCTCCCGACATGACTCAGGATGCATTGACCGCCCTCGTTCTCTCCCACGCCCCATCATACCAGGCTACCGCTGCCCGCCTGACTTCGCTCCAAGACTTGCCAGTCCCCGATCCCTCAGCATCGGCTGCTCTGATCCATGTATATCCCCGCCTACAACGTGCCGCGAACAGACAAGAAGACCAGCAAAATACTATTGCCCAACTGCGACGCCAAAGTCTTGCTCTACTGGCAAGATGGTATGATCTAGGAATCATCACAATGGACGACTGCTGGACTGAATGGGAGGCCCGACTCATGCACCAAGAAAAGCTCGTCAGAAGAGCAGAGGCCGACAAGAAACAAGCCGATGATCCTCTTTGAACGATTCAGTCGAGAGCTGTCTACTCAAGACGACAGCTTCGCCATCATGTCTTCGTACTGCTGCATGCCCCCTTCTAACTTCCTCAATCTCGTCTTGGATAGACGATACACGACTCCGCAGTTCGGTAAGCCATCTTCGCTACTGTCCGTGTCTTCATCAGACTCGCCTTCAGTTCCTCCGCTTGACTTTCTTGGCGACTCTCCTTCGATCACGCAACGCATGAAGAAGCGATCGTGCGTAATGAGCAAGATGGCGCCTTGGTAGTTTCGAAGCCTGAGGGCAAGTGCTTGTATCGTATCTGGATCCAGGTGCGTAGTAACCTCATCCAGAATGAGCAGGTGAGGTGGGTTCCAAAGTACTTTGGCCAGCGCCAATCGCACCTTCTGCCCGCCTGAAAGAAGGCTTATGGGTACCTCTGAGGTCACCTTTCCCACAAGACCCACAGAAGAAAGGAGGCCGCGGGCTTCTTGCTCAGAAACAATTTGGTTCGCGAACTCCATGAGATGCGTCAAAGCAGTCAAGCCAGGTCTGTCAGATGTGAGATCCTGGAGCTCCTCAACGGCTTGTTGAGAATACAGCCCGATTCTTGCTCTGGTGTGCTTTGCAACACTGCCCTTATTCGGCACATGACTACTCGTGTTGTCCGTCGACTTGGCAGTCATCAGAGAGACCAAAGTGGACTTTCCTGAGCCATTGAGACCAACTAGTCCAACTCGGTCTCCCAAGTGAATTGTGAGATTGACATCGCGCAAGATAGGTGTCTGTGTCTTGGCGCCGCTTTTGTAGTCGAAGCAGACATTTTCCAACGAGATCAAAGCGCCAGGGAAACGTAGATCAGAAGGGTGAATGGGGAATGACATGCGTGGTGGAGGATCAAAGTCTGGTACCTCGATTGCATCTCTTAGGCTGTCGTGCCAGCCCGCTCTATCTCTGTTGAGTTTGAACCTCGTGCCCTTGGCCGAGACCTCCATACCCATCCGCTCATTCAGCTTTTTCTGTCGGGAAGACATTTGCTTGAGTTTCTTGTCATCTCCGGAGCGCTTTGCCGTCTTGAGGTTCTGGTCAATCGTTGCTTGAATGTGTTTCTTTTGCTTGTCTTGAGCGGCTTGCATCTTGCTGAGGTATTTGTATGATTTCAATCTTGCTGTCTCGTAGCCGGAGACGTTGCCCTTGAAAGTCTCTATGCTCTGATTTCGGAGGACCAAAAGCTCGTCTGCAACGCCATCTGCAAAGGCTCGATCGTGGGTTACTGTGATGAGGGTGACGGAAGTGTCGAGAGTTTGGATGTACTTCTCCAGCCAGATGATGGATGGTAGGTCGAGAAAGTTGGTTGGTTCGTCTAGAAGGAGAATATCTGTAGATTGGCACAGTGCGCAAGCTAAACTGCAGCGTGTTTTCCAGCCTCCTGAGAGTTGTGATACGGGATTTTCGATGCGTTGGGTTGAGAAACCTATACCGAGCAGTATGGAGCGTGCTTTTGCTTCGGCGCTCGCAGCGTCCATCTAGAACAAGTCAGTATTGAACCGTTGCATGAGATTGGGACAGGACCTACCGATGAAAGAGATGCTTGTACATCTGTCAACATGTCCATGGCCTTCTGGGTCTCTTCTTTGACTGTCGTACTGTCCTCCAGCTCAGACTGGGATGAGTGCTTCAGTTGGTCAAGCCTGTTACTGTCAACAGCATATCTCAACTACAATTCGACACCTTCTTACCTCAACAAAGCATCAGCCAGCTTTTCTTCCAATGCTGTGAGCGTTTTCCGTGCTCCTAATCCTCTGACACCACTTGTTTTCGAGGCCTTGTGCCTCGCTTCGGCGACATCACGCTGTAACCGCTCGCACGTCAATTCACGATACACCCTCAGCATAGCCATAGGATCATCGACATTGTCCATTGCCGTTGACAATCTGCTGGCTTCGTGTAGTCTTCTTTCTCGCAGTCTATCGCTACGCAGGACATGCTCGAGAACAGTCTCGCTGGAAGACGAGGGTGTAGTAGATTCATCGTCTCCATCTTCCTGCACTTGACCAAGAAGCAGTACACGTATGGTGCCAGAGATGCCAGGAATGAGGCCTTCTGCCATGGCTCTCAAGAGTGTGGATTTGCCTACACCATTGCGGCCAACTAAGACGTAATGTCGACCGGGGTGTAATTGTAATTGGGCATGGCTTAGAATTTCATGATTACCAATTGTTACGCTGAGGTCTTTGACCGCGATCTGACTTTGAATGTAAGTCTCTTGTCCAAGATACTTTATTGAATATGGTCTACCCTACCTCTGTGGAAACCGATTCTTGTTTCTGTGCGTAGAACCGGCTTTGTTGGGCTGTGACGCTAAGGGCCCCTTTCTTAGATGCGACCATGGTTTCTCTGATGTCTGATACAAGATCTTGTAAGCCTTAGTGATCTTTATGTATCAACGATGTTGAGGAACACATTGAAGCTCCCATTATTCAGGTGGTCTCCCGACAGAGTACCGCATGATTAAGGTTTACTGCGGTGACCTAAACGGTGATCCTGCTGAGCCGCCAGGTCTGTTTTATCTTCGTGTTTGCAGACTCAGGTTACTTCTGCGAGAGCATTGCAGATATCAATCTGTAGGAGAACTTCAATACCTTGCTTGACATGTACTGCACGCCTATTCCACGGAGCTGTCAACGCGGTGTGGTTCGTCAAGCAAATGACAATCCAATCGGAGCGACTCGGGTTAATGGGCTTGACAAAGGATCTCAATTCTTTGCCAAGCTGAATGTGAGCTGGGTGGGTCACATATGAACTACATCTCATCTTGACATGTGATGATGTGCTCCGGTGTGTTGTGGTCTATTTCCGTTGGTAGGATACGTAGCATGCGATGGGGAAAGCTAAGGAGAATTAGACATGCAGGGGCGACCGAGACTCGGAGGCCGGCATGCAGGCAGAGCCTTTGCTGTAGAATCCGACTGAAGAGGACAAGCCGCGGGCGTTTCTTTCTCTGGAGTTCTCGATCCATTGTTGAAGAAGTACGCTTCCTGTGTCTAGGGCAACAATGGACTGCTATGAGCCCTGGGCCATGAGTCGTTTGCCAGTACTTGTGCGGCGACTGCGGAGAATTTGTCTCGGAGAGTGGGTCCGTTTGGCGGAGCAGGGTCTATATTTAAGAGTGAGCGTTCATGGCACGTATCGATGATCGATAGCGTCGACATGTCGAATGTTTTTGAGATTGGTATATCAATAGTGTCGGTAGGCATACTTGGTTGAAGCGCAACTGCTCACGCAGTGGTGCAGGGCCGCACCTGCCACCGTTCCCTTTTGATACGAACATTAGGTAGATGGCTTGATATGCATCTTGGCGGCGACGTGTTTCATCAACAGGGTTGCGTCGACTCCTGAAACTGTTAAGTCGGCAGTCTTCCCATCTGGATTGAGTCTTTGTTCTTGTCGCATCGACTTTGGTCGTCCTTTCTACGACAACCCCGTCCAAAAATCCAGAGCCGGACCGCCCCTCGTTTATCGTCTGCTCTGATATTCTAACTTTGAACCCTTTTCTTGCTGTCCTACCGGTTCTCCTTTCCCCGCCCACCATATACGCGCCTCGACCTTTCGCCAACAAACGTCTTGTGCGCTCCCACGACCTGAGCCTGAACCACACCCTCTTTTGTGCATTACCTCACGCCTGCTACAGCCTGACACGTCGTCACGGAGTAATCGTGCACTACTGTCATTTCTATCGACATCGCCATCGCCCTCGCTGCCGACGCCTTCCTTTCTGGTTCTGAAACAAAACGCCTTCATCCTCGCACCATATTCATGCCATACAGCTCCGGTTCACCATCTCTGCAAAAAATGGAGGCTAGTCGCATGTACGGCGCTCGCAAGCCTAGATTCAGCTGCGGTCAGATCATTGGCGATCCATTCGCCCTCGCTACTTCCTCGATAGCGATCGTACGTCGAAACAGGACTCCGCCTTCAACCAGCATCGATTACTGACTCGAGACGCAGATCGCCTGGCTCATCGCCTTTGTAGCTTCGGTCATCTCCAAGATCCATGGCCAATATCCCAACTACTCGTGGTGGGCGCTTGTCTACATGTTTTTCTGCATTGTAGGAGTTCTGGTTACGGTCGCCTCGGACTCCGTCTTCACCTACCACGTTGCTGTAAGCGAACCTCCACATGTCCTTCCTCTGCTTTCCCATGCTCATTCATTCGCAGATTGTGGGCTTCCTAGCTGCTGGCCTCGTCTTCACAACATCCTCGGTTAACTCCCTGGTCTACTCCTCAGATGGTGCCCACGAAGCAGCTGCAGCCGGCTTTATTCTCCTCTCAATGGTTGCTGTACGTTCCGATATCTCATCGCTGATCACGAAGAGCTCCACTGACATAGCGGCCGCAGATCGTCTGGATCTTTTACTATGGCTCCCAGCCCACCGCCTCTAGCCGCAACGTGATCGATTCCTTCGCCCTTCACAGAGACAGTCGCGTGCCGTCGCGCATGTCTCGCCAGCCTCAACACAACAGCTACCGTCCCGAGACCTCGGTATCGCAACAACCGCAAATGTATACATCGGCCCAACTTGGCGGCTTCGAGACTTCGTCGCCTGTCACCGGCTTCCCTGGAGGAGCATTGGGAGCGATGGATAGCAACCGTGACAGCGGCGCTCGCTACGGACAAAACAACTTGGCTCCTCACTCAGCAGCCACAGACCGACCCAACTCTACCGCAGTAGCTCCAGCAGAGTACCCTTACCGCGCAAAGGCCATATACAGCTACGAAGCCAACCCTGACGACGCCAACGAAATCAGTTTCATCAAACACGAAGTCTTGGAAATTAGCGACGTGAGCGGAAGATGGTGGCAGGCCAAAAAGGAGAACGGCGACACTGGTATTGCACCCAGCAACTACCTCATCTTGCTGTAGGGCTTATGCTACTCCACGCGCCGCGCTCTTGTTTGGGGACACACCGAACAACCTCTGCTCCTTTCTGTTTTTCTGCGCATGATACCAGTGGTCTAGGCCGCAGTCCCCTTTTTATGTTTTGATGTTGAATTACTGTTTTCTGGATTGGCAATGGCGTCTGGGAGGGCGTTTTTTGTTTTGTTCTGTTCAATGTGCCGGCACAGGCGCCTGAGTCTTTATTCATCACTTTCTTACGACGATGGTCCACTTGCAGATGTTTTGAGTTTGGTTTGGGAAGCGCTGGGGAATGCTCCAGCATGCAAAATGGTGGATGCGACATCAAATTCAATACTGTTTGTTTCAGTCAGGTTGTCGAGTCTATATGTACTATGAAGGGCAGTGGAAGCGAGCGAACCTCTCCGTGTGCATCATACTGTGACGCTCGTAGCTGTCTCAAGGCACAATGCTCTTTAAGCTTGTAGCAATGTCACCGAGATACGACTCTGACTTGACTCCCTGTATCGGGAATATAGAATAACACTGTGACTTACTACAGCTCCTTGATGCTCTGCTCGAATTATTGGAAGGGCATGAGTGACAGTGTTTGGCACATGGGGAGCAAAGATAGTTCGATAAATGGCTTTCTGCGGCATTGCTCGCTAACTCCAATTCAGCCTCATTGGACTGACTCGCCCTATCAGCTGGTGGCTGCTCTGTACCCTATCTGAATAGCACGCGGAGATCTCGATTTTGCAAGACGCCGCGTTGCAGACAAAGCTTTTTCGTCAACAGAGTTCCAGTGTAGCTTAAAGGTACCGCTGCACATGTACGCCGCGTGGTGGTTGGGTTTGGCGTCCGGCGACAGACGGTTGGACGCAAAAAGGATGGGCTTCTTGGTGGTCGAGTCAAAGATGAAGCAAAAGCACATGACAGATTTTGGGGAATCTCGAGGCCGCTGACATGTCCAGAAAGGGCAGGCGCTTCGGCCTAAGCAGAGACCAGGCAGAGATCGGTGGTTTCTGTAAAGACTGCTGGGACCATTGTTCTCGTGTGCAGCCACGAGCGCGCGTTTGGCGGTTGGCCGGGTATGCCGTCACAGGTTGCTGGTGCTGGTGCTGCCTCTTTGGCGACAGGCGGGCCGACAGCTAGCGATCGGCGAGATTTGGTCACATATTGGGCGCGGTGGAATCCTTTGGACTGGTGGGCTGGAGATCGAATTCGAGAGTGACTTCACCACCGTGCCCCGCGCACAAGACTTGGTTGAGAGTCTTGTTTCCTCTAGTCGGACTCGAGCTACTTCTCTTTTTCTTGTCGCCGTCGCCGTCGCCCTCGCAAATCTCACTCTTATACCCGTCATCCTTTGGCCATCCAACACGATAATGGCCAAGTGAATTAGACAGCTTGTGCATCTCCCGTCACTTCACCGCTTCCCGCATCAATCAACATACAGCCTTGCTCAAGCCTAGCCCCACCATACTCTCGAACTCGGACCCTCGACTACCGCGACCGCGGAGAGTTGGACGCCGTCCGCTCGACCTGAATATACCCAGAACCCACGCCCACCAGCCATGGCGACAGCAGCAATGCATCATATCATGCCCAAGCTGCACATTGGCAGCAGCAGAGACAAGGATGGCCGCAAAGAGAGCCGCTCGGAAATCTCGGCCAACAATCGCGCTCGCGACGAGGAAAAGAGTAGGCTGCTTGCCTGGGAAGCACAGAAGCAACCCTTGGAGTACGATCAGATCCTGGTAGAGCCCAACTCGAAGCCTGTCGGGCACAGCTCAAAGGTCTTACGACGTGAAGACTTCGATCTTGTCAAGACTCTCGGCACCGGTATGCGCATGTGTTCCCAAACTAGACTGATGGGTATAGTTTGGCTAACTACGTGATTTCTCATAGGCACATTTGCAAGAGTCTGGCTCGCGAACCTGGTTACTCCGAAGAAAGAAGATGCCGAGAAGGTCTTTGCATTGAAGATACTGCGCAAGACCGATGGTACGTAAAGCGGCTTCCAGCTTGCTGACCAGGAGTGGTATACTGACAGGCCCTCAGTCATTCGCTTGAAGCAAGTCGAACACGTTCGCAACGAGCGCAACGTCTTGGCCTCTGTGGCAGGACACCCGTTCATCACTACAATGGTGGCCAGCTTCCAAGATCAAGACACCCTATACATGCTGGTAGAATGCTTTCCTCGCTTATGTTGGCTATACACAAACTGACTTTCTTCGATGCAGTTGGAATATTGCCCTGGTGGTGAGGTTTTTAGCTATTTGCGCCGCGCCCGCCGTTTCAACGAATCCACGTCACAGTTCTACGCCGCCGAAATCGTTCTTATCCTCGAGTTCCTACACGACCACCAAGGTGTTGCATACCGCGATCTCAAACCTGAGAACATTTTGATTGACGCAGACGGTCACCTCAAACTGGTGGACTTTGGATTTGCGAAGAAAGTCGAAAACAGTGCGTCATTTCCCTTCTCCCGAGGCGTGGGATGGATCAAACCGTCACTGTAACGGCGTTTACCCTTGGAGATCCCAGCCACTTTGTGCTGTAGGTACGGAATTTGCTAACATTTCTTGTGCATAGGAGAGACATACACGTTGTGCGGAACGCCAGAATATCTCGCGCCAGAGGTCATCCGAAACACTGGTACGTCACCACCACTCGAGAACCAATTCATCATTCTAATGCTTTACTAGGACATGGCTTAGCTGTTGACTGGTGGGCTTTGGGTATCCTCATTTACGAATTCCTGGTCGGCCAACCGCCATTCTGGGACCAAAACCCTATGAAAATCTACGAACAGTATGTGTTCACCCAGAACGACCAACGACTTGATTCAAGAGCTAACAGGAAGTTTAGAATCGTGGAAGGTAAACTCCGGTTTCCATCTGCAATGTCCGCAGAGGCTCGCGACCTCATTTCACAACTCTGTGCCGTGGATGTAACGAAACGTTTGGGAAACATTAAAGGTGGCGCATCGGCCATCAAAGGACACCCTTGGTTCAAGGACATCGACTGGGATGCCATGTATCACCGCAAGATGCAGGGCCCTATCGTACCACATCTAAGAAGTCCCTCGGACACGCGAAATTTCGACGAGTACGACCCGGAACCTCTACACAAGGACCAATACACGAAAGAAATGAAAGAGAAGTACGAGAGTGCTTTCAAGGACTTCTGAGTGACCACACATTTGTAACGGAACAGGTCAGAAGTGCATTGTCGTCTTTACTCGCCTCTTCCCTTTTCCCGCTTTTCACGACCTTGCCTTCCCTTCTCTCCTTGGTCAGTTGCCCGATTTCTTTATTTTTCTTGCTTTCGAGCGAAGGGGCAACCAAGACATGTACTCACGACTACCTACCTTTTTATATGCTGTACAATCGCGGGAGGCGGATAGCAGAAGACGCGATGCTGGCTAGAGGCCTAGCGACCAGTTTTCTATAATGTATCGAATATTCTTCAAACACGCTTGGACACAGCAAGCCTTGTAAACAGAGCAGAGCGGACAAATTCCGCATCACGCTACTACCTAATCAACCCCGCATATTTACACATTTACCCCTCCTTCCAATCGGTTATATTCCCTACTGCTATCCGGCGCATGGAAATCGTTAGATTCTTGCGATGTGGATGAGTATCTTGCACCTTTGCCCATTCTGCTCTGCTCTACGGTAAGTATATTGGCGTCTGTCTGCGCTTGCACTCTTGCTCGGACCGCGGCTGTGCACCAAGACCTTCCTCGGCAGCGAATTGATCTAGACCGGATATACGAGACCTGGAGAAGACACAATCCCATGGCCTGAGGGAAGCAAAGCACTGGTCTCGGAGAAATAGTCACAGACAATAAGATCAGACCGTCTTTCTGAGCTACTCTTCGTTGCAGCAATTCAGATTATCAGAGCCATCGCTTGTCAGCACGACTCCCCTAGACTACTGGCAACTCTGGTATATCATCCATTTACTGCTATTTGGATACTTGGAATCTTTCGGTTGTAACAGGATCAATCCCGCTACAGGAACAAAATGCACCTCTTCCGGCCTTGTCGATCATCTAAAGCGATCGCTAGACCATCGATTTTGCACTGTGCGAAGACGTGTTGTGCAAAGTCTCGTGTACTATCAGGTATACGTGGGCTCTTGACCCAGGCGAGGGATCGTGGACCTGTAGATGTGAGTGTCACCTTCCCATAGTCCGTATACCAAGCCTACCAAGGAAAGGCGTATCAGAAGCAGAAAAGAACAAACGCATCCGAAGGCGAAGATACGTGCTGACTATTTGTGCTTTGATAGCCCCCTTTGATTGAACAAACAATACCCGGATACTTCAAAGATGTCGTCAGCGAGCATGGTGACAGGCCTGCGTGAGTCTCGTACGCCCGTTGTCATATTTGGATGCTAGAACTAAGCTTGAGTCTGCAGAGTGATCTCGCGCCATCAGAGCACCAGATTAACATACCAAAAATTGGATATACAAAGCGATGCTCTTGCTAGAGGATTGGAAAGACAGGGAGTGCAGAAAGGTGATCGAGTGGCCGTGATGTTAGGAAATGGGGTCGAGTATTGTGTCGTAAGAACAACCGAACGCATCGGAGAGACTTTTTTGACATCCTGACAGGCTACATATGCGCTATTCAAACTTGGTGCAACGCTTGTACGTCAATCAGTAGGACAATGGCAGTGTCCTTGTTAACCACTGATTTACAGGTGCCTTTGAATCCGGCTTTCAATGCCCTGCAGATTACTTCGGCTCTCACCCATCTAGCAGCATCACATCTTATCATTTCCGCCGAGATCAATTTACCATACAAGCTACCAAGATCCGTCATGCCGTTGCTCGCTCATCTGATTCCGGACATGAGCAAGTCCAAGATGGAGTCCGAAGCAGTACCCAGCCTCAAACGCGTCATTGTGGTTGAAAATTCGAGCGGTCGGATAGAGACAGGAGCATTCGGGGCGCTAAGCAACTACACAGACGTTCTTAGAGATGGAGAAGGCGAGAGACTGGTACCCAAAAATTTGGATGCAGATGAAGTAGTCAACATACAGTTTACTTCTGGCACTACGAGCATGCCGTGAGTTGACTTCGATGCTGGCGCCGGTAAAGGCATCGCTGACAAACAAATGTAGCAAGGCAGCGTGCCTGACGCATAGATCCGTGCTCAACAATGGAAAGAGTATAGGTGACAGGATGTTGTTGACACATCAAGACATTGTCTGTTGTCCCCCACCTCTATTCCAGTAAGGCTCCTCTTACTACCTCATATCTCACAGTCGCTAACTAGCTGTCCAAAGTTGTTTCGGAGCCGTCCTAGGCTACATGGCCACTAGTACACACGGAAGCGCGATCGTCCTACCTTCCGAGTCTTTCAACGCCGAGGCTACCCTGCGTGCAGTCCAGGAGAATGCAGCTACAGCACTTTATGGCGTACCCACCATGTTCATTAGTGAGCTAGAGTTGCTGGCTTCTGGAGTCGTGCCGTACGAAGGCTTCTCACAACTACGTACTGGCATCGCGGCTGGAAGTAGTATTCCAGCTGCTCTCATGCGCAAGCTCCATGATGTACTTGGATTGACACAACTAACGATATGCTACGGCATGACTGAGACGAGTCCAGTCAGTGCAATGACTACTACTGATGACCCCATGTGGGCGAGACTCGAGACTGTGGGAAAACTCTTACCACATGTCGAGGCGAAAGTGGTCGATCCAGAGGGCAAGATTTTGCCGCCAAATGTGAGGGGTGAGCTCGCTGTGGCGGGCTATCTTGTCATGAAAGGCTACTGGGGCGACGAAGCGCGTACACAAGAGGCGATCCAGGCAGATGACAAGGGCATACTATGGATGCACACAGGCGACGAAGCGAGTATGGATGAAAATGGCTATGTCCGGATCACTGGCCGCATCAAGGATCTGATCATCCGTGGTGGGGAAAATATCCATCCGCTGGAGATTGAGAATGCGGTCCTCAACCTACCTTTCGTGACAGACGTCAGTGTAGTAGGGTTGCCAGATCCGAAGTATGGTGAAGTGGTCGCAGCCTTCATCATGCCGAAGAATGCGAATGCAAGCGAAGAGGAGAAGACGAAAATGGCCATAGAGATCAAGAAATGGATCAAGGAAACGCTAAGCCCGCATCTGGTGCCGAAATACGTATTCTGGTCTGATGGATGGCCTAAGACAGCGTCTGGCAAAGTAAGTCACCAAGTCCCGGATCTGAATTGTCCAAAATGAGCACTAACAGAATGCAGATTCAGAAGTTCAAGTTGAGAGAGACAGGTGTCGAACTGGCTGAAGCCGGTCACGGTATTTACACGTAGACCTTTTGCATGACAGACTCACTCCTCCAACAGCATGGTGAATGAAGACGCACTTCCACCTATGACAAATTCAAGCATTGTACAACCTTCAGAATATCATTGACTACCATACTGAAAGATCTGTGATCCTCAATGGCAGACCAGGTTGACCCGGCCAGGGTTACCCTGTCGTCAAGATTTTGAAGGAATGTTTTTGTAAAGACTCTGGAGTAATATGCCATCCTCGTGATGATCTAAGACAAGTAGATTCCCGGCATACTTGTGTCCTCAAGGTCCAGATAGCCAGAAATTGACGGCCACCCGTTCATGTAATAAACGAACATGGCGAAGAAGTGGTGGCCTAATGATCATGGAGTCTTGGCATCTACAGCATAGGATTGACACTCAGGGCCGCGGCAATAGTGCAGATGTTGCAAGCCGAAGGGCCAACGGAAAGAGAACCCCGGGCCTGAAGGGACAGGACAAGCACCTTCTAGAAGAGCACGTCGTACAATACAAAGGCTGTGAAAGCAAAAGTGTTGATTACAAACGCTGGTACAAACACGAAGGATTCAAGCAGGCACCGACGTCGCAAAGGAAAAAAAGCTCCCCCAACGTCATTTAGACGCGCGACGCCCGCACGTCTAGAAGTTCGCGCCCACTTTCCTCTCTCTTGGTTACAGGAGCAGACATCAACATGGCTCTCTCTAAATCGACGAGGATATGCATCCTCTTGGCAATTGATTCCGTCTTCTTCCTAATCGAACTCATCACGGGTGAGGCCGACAACCAAGACCAGGTCGCGCGACCATACTAACGAGCACATAGGCTATGCCGTTCACTCCCTCGCCCTTGTGGCCGACTCGTTCCACATGGTCAGTCGCACCGCCCTCTTGGAACTGCGAATCTCAAGAAGACTTACACTGTTGTGCAGCTTAACGATGTCATCTCCCTTCTCGTTGGTCTCTGGGCCGTCAAGGTGGCCAACCAAAAGACGACTTCCAAGATGTACACCTACGGCGTGCGTATTCCTCCTCTCACACACTCTTGTATCGAAGACTTACTCTCTACCAGTGGCAACGCGCCGAAACGCTAGGAGCTCTGGTCAACGGAGTCTTCCTGGTCGCCCTTTGCCTTTCCATCTTCCTCGAAGCCATTCAACGTTTCGTCGAGCCGCAAGAAGTCAGCAACCCCAAGTTTGTGCTGATTGTAGGATGTCTCGGTCTCGCCTCCAATATTGTCGGTCTCTTCCTCTTCCACGACCACGGCCACGGTGGCCATAGCCACGGCGGTCACTCCCACGGCCACTCCCATGGATCCACCGATGCCATCAGCCATGCCGAAGAAGGTCGCGCTCAGGACGAGGATGCAGATGTCGCCGATGAGTCTGGAAATGTCGCCGATGTGCTGCCTCAGAGCAGAGTTGCAAACTGGCCCAAGTCCAAGAAAGCCTCAGCGGGCGCGCCTGGAGCCAGCGACGACGTCGAAGTCCCACAATCTAGCCACCGCCGTCAAAAGTCCAAACACAGCAGCCGTTCTCGTTCCAGAGCTTACTCGGTCGAGGACGTGCCAGTCAACCCCTCGTCCTTCCGCCGTTCCATCATCGAAACCAGCAGGCTTCAGGACATCGAATCTGGTGAAAACACAGAGGAGTCAGCCGCCGAAGACGACAACGCAGACGAGACACCGCAGCAGCCGCTCATCACTAAGGGTACATCCAACGGCTACGGTAGCATCCAGCAGTCGAAGCCAATCGATCACAAGCAGCACAAGCACAGGCAACCCAAGCAGTCGTCTGCTGGCGGCGGTCATGGCCATTCTCACGATGATCTCAACATGCGCGGCGTCTTCCTCCATGTCATGGGCGATGCTCTAGGAAACATTGGTGTCATTGCTTCTGCTCTATTCATCTGGCTTACCGACTACTCCTGGCGCTTCTACACTGACCCGGGCATCTCACTCATCATCACCTGCATCATCCTCGCCTCTGCCATCCCTCTTTGCCTTGCCGCATCTCGCATCTTGCTTCAAGCCGTTCCTGCTGGCTTGAGCGTTGACGACATCAAGGAAGACATTGAGGAACTACCTGGTATTGTTAGTGCCCATCACCTTCACGTGTGGCAGTTGAGCGACACCAAGCTTGTTGCAAGTTTGCATGTTCAGGTCGATTTTGACTTTAAGGGTGAGGGCTCGGCGAGATACATGGAACTCGCTCGCGCCATTCGCGACTGTCTCCACGAGTATGGTATCCATTCTTCCACCATCCAGCCCGAGTTCTGCTTGGACCCTGAGCACGACCATTCTGCACCCCTTGCCGACGGAACCCACTTTGCTGGCACAGATGGCGCCTCCTCTCGTAAGACTTTGGACAGACAAGCCAGCAACGCGAATAGTCTTCGTGCTGCCGCAGATGCGTGCCTGCTAGACTGCGATGATGCCTGCAATGGCAAGAGCTGCTGTGCACCTGCCTCTGCTGAGCCATCGCAGGAGGATGCTCACGATCATGATCATGATCACGATCACGACCATGATCATGGTCACAGCCATTAGAAACGGTCACGTAACCTGATGCTTTCTGTTTCCAAGCGCTTTTCTAGATTCTTTTCTCTTCTCAAGAGACCTCCATTGGTGCCCACGGACGAGGTCGATCGTTCTGTTGGAAACAACTGATGTCTTGTCGGGTCATGTTACCTTAGCGTTGCTGTTCCATACATCACTATCCTATTTTACATATTTGTAATCCGAAAGAGGATCACTGAAGAACAATTCACTTGGAAACATCCCAAACACGTCTCTACTTCACCCTTGTTCCCGTCGAACTGTTGGCCTTGCTTTACTTCCGATACTTCACTATCCACGTCTTCTGTGAAACAACCCACAGCTTCACTTCACAAGTCAGGTGCATTGTTCTTATTCTTCCTCATCAGCACCATCCCATGTACACTCCTTTGTACATAGAGAGTATGACCGCCCGCAGCAACAATACTCGTGCCACGAGCGATGATGACATTGTAGAGATGCCTTCACGCAGCTCAACGACCAACCCCAGCCAAGACGATGGCATCCAGATCAGCCACACTGGACTTTGCTTCGCGCCGACTCAGCAGGCGTACAATCATGGATCAGACCGTCTGCGGCCCCTGCGCACCATGCCCTTCGATCATTCGACATGGATCGGCAATCTAGACCACCTCGGTAGCCGCGTATGGCCACATCCCAGCTTCAACGAATTACTCGCACGCTCACTCACTGGCGATTCGAGGTTCTCACTTCCTGACACCGTTTCCAAGGACAACAGAATCCAGAACTTGCGTTTGATGTGCTATGGTGATAGCTGTTCTCCAACGTCGCAGAGCCCGTTTGTAGAGTACGAGAAGCCGTCTCGTCTTAAGACACTGTCGTTTGAGCGTACACAGAATATGAGACTTTGCCAAATTGTTCTTGTGGAAATGTGTCATACTAACTGGATTTCAGGTCGTAATCTATCCCTTTTATGTCCGTATGTCCAAATCCACCGGTCTGCAGAAGTTCTTTGCAGTTGTGCATCGTCACGAGAATGGCGATTACAGATTCTGGAGAGCGAACGGAACCCATCATGAGTCGTACGGTCTTGCCAAAGGAAGCATCTCCGTGTTTCAAAGTCCCAGATCTGCTCGCAACAGTAACATCGGAAGTTTGGCCTCCTTGAAGCGACCAACGAAGGCTTCCACACTTTCCAAGACAGATGTGGCTGACGATGTTGACAATGTTGACAATGTACCGTTGCACTTCGTGCAAAAGACACGCGCTGTCACCAGAAGCAGAGAAGAAGCACAGCTTGTGGATGGTCTGGACGAAGATCCATTCGAGCCTCCAAGCAAGAAACTTGCGTTCACGGACTCGTCTCAGTTTCCGACCAAGAACAACAACCGTGAAAAGTTCTCACAGAAGTCCCCTTCGCCACATAGGACTGTATCAAACAAGGCTAGAGTCAAAAGTCTTTTCGCCACGCCTACCAAACAGTCAAGTCATGCTAAGAGTCAGAGGCCTCATCGCTCACTGCTGCATGTCAGTGAAGTCGGTATGCTCGCATATCATCTCACGGGAGAAGGTCTGAAGCTGCTACACAAGACTGCCGCATTTACAATCGTGTCGGCCGAGGGATCGCTGATTGATCCTGCAACTGACCGCCCATTCGAGATGACGGAGGAGCATGCGATGTATGTACTGTCTAGCTGTCAGAAGTCTTTCAAGGTCATTCTAAGTAAGACCACAACCTGGAGTATCCACGAGTCACCAGACGATATTACTGGTGGCCTCATTCTATTGGAATTTGGCGGTGAGAGTGCTCGCGACGAGTTTCTAGCTCGCATCAAAGAGATGGTTGGAATGGCTGTCGGAGGTATTGGTAGTGTCGATGAGTAAGTCGATCTTCTCTATGTCTGACAAAGCTCCATGCTGACGAATTAGCCATGTCCTCGAGAGCATGTACTGCACACTTCTAGAACAGCTTAACAATCGCCGAGCTACCATGTCCAAAAACCAGACGCAGACCAAATCGGCAAATTTGACGTCTTTCGAACAATCTCAGTCGTCGGCTGAAGAGGGCAACTCCAAATTTGACGGTCACGAGGATGGATCTTGTCCTCCAAGTGTAGTCAAAGCTGATCCGCACTCCGATCCAAGAACACCTGGCGGCTCAAAACTTGCTCACCTCCTGTTGACGCCAATGTCGCTTGAGTCATCTTCGTTCGGCCGGCCCACTGAAAAAATGGATGTCTGCAGCATGCCTAAGCTTGTCATCGCTAGTTCAGTCGGATCACCGTACAACCAGGCTCGAAAGAAACAGGCGACGAACACGTCCAGCTCAGAGCTTCCAGTAGGGGAGATGGCCATGAAGAAGGAGATGCTAGGTCTGCTCCGCGACATCTATGTCAAGTATCCGAGCGCTCAGGAAGACGACCAGGTGGAGGAGATGGCGCTTCTACTCAAGGCACCTCTTCTTGCTGGAAATACGGAACGTGTGAAGGAGATCAAGATGGACATGAAGGTGTATCTGATCGCTCACTATGGCTAGCATCTACCTAGTTGTCGACACGTCGTAAAAGAAGTTATCGTGTGGGCGCATACATCAGGGATGGGTCATGGTTGGAGGTGATAGAAATGGCACTGTTACAGAGGTGTGAGATTAATTGAAGATTGCGGTGCAGAAGTTACAAGTAAGTCTGTCGCAAGTAGTTCGCACGGAACGCAAAGCTCAAGATGCGGACTGTCGTTTCTCTGAATAGCGCTTGCCTAATCGCGTGGACGTGTTGTTGTGCTTTCCTCTGGTCCTCTTCCAAAGCTGCAGCTACCCGCGTTCTTGTTTGTTTCACAACCCTCCTTCCTTCTTACACATCACGGAAAAAGCGACAATGATTTCGTCATTTTACCTCGAATAAACAACCCGAGTAAAGGTAAACTCTCCATGCGCACACTCCGGCACCTGCAGGTCTAGTCTTAGCTGCAAGACTAAGGTCAGCAGCAACCTGAAAGCACGACACCTTTTATTTTCTGCATTGACTGATGACATCAACAATTCGAATTGTCGTCTTTTGTCACTGCACTTCTCGAAACATGCCACAACGCGCTGCTAGAACAGACTTCCAATGTCTGGCACCACGATCTGAACCAGGAAATCATGGTTCCGATTCAAAACTTGGCTTGCAAGGCGTTCCCTTCCACACGGAGAGCGCGAACATCTGGATAGGCTATCGAGATCTTCCAGAAAAGAAGTATCTGGGTGTCTTCCCGAGTTATCACGAGATGATTAGCCGCTGCCGACAGAACGTTCTCAGGAAGATGAATAGTACTTTCCCACGCTTCATCACTCCTCACCACAAAGTCACCGACAAGTTGGGGATTGATGATTCGGGAAAAAGCATCCGTAGAGTCTGCTGTACTGCTTGTCGTAAGGCTGATGGAAGTTGCGAAGTCCTCGCACTCGAGGTCATTCCAGTGATGATCCCACCAAGTAAGGCCATCAAAGCATACCTTCTCACCTACAACTTTTATCTCAAGGACCAGAAGATGGTCGCCCTTGTATATCACATCAGCTCGGGATATTACTGGTTCCAGAAGACCGACGGAACACTCTCAGAGACGATCGGCTTGCAATCCCGTCACACGTGTACTACAGTGCACGCCAACAGCTCCGAGAATACTGGTTATGATTCAAGCAGCAATGACTCGAGTGACGATTCGACATTGACTCAATTTGATTCCGTGGGACCAGAAGACAATGCTGAGGTAAGCAAGTAACATTCGGTCTTTCAAGGAAAGTGTGCTAAAGCGTCCTTACCTTGACAGACTCGTATCTCTCCCCGTGTATCTCTGCGATCCAGCCAATGGGATACGTCGCAGAGACTACTAATTCAGTTCCCGATTCCTCCAGCCACACCTGACTTCGGTCAAAAACCAGATCCAACACCACAAGCGCCGCTACCTTCTCGAGGCTGCATGGTTGTCGATCTGACTGATGAAGACGAAGATGAGGCCTTGCCCATCAAACATGAGTACGCCGAGTTGCAAGAGCACCCAGCGATGCCTGTCTCATTTTTCACACCACCAGCTACATCGGCAGCACCGAGTGAGGATCTCTCTTTCACCAAGCACTTTTCTCCTGATCCCCTCGCCGAAGAGTTCGGCCGCATCACCACTCAGATCTTCCAAGAATACTCGATTAGAGTCTTCGCACTACCAGAAGTTGTCGAGCTCGTCAACTTGATGAAACAAGTAGTCAAGGACGGTGACAGGGCTGCTCTCTGTCGTGTATACGGAGCTCTCCAAGCTTTCCTGATCACGATTGATTAGGCTCTGTTTCCCGTCGAACCTGGTTCTCTTCATGTCTGAGTGGTGGCGTTGCTACAGAGGATTGGAAGAGGCCAGAGAGTTTCTCATGCTTCTTTGCTTGTTCTTTTTAATGATGAGCACAAGCGAGGATTCTACTCAGTGAGATGGCTGATCATAAATGCTCGTCTTCCAACTTGTTCATAGTATACTGTCGATTCTCTTGTGGCGCCTCAAGATCAGTTAGCTACTAGTACCAAAACGAAAGACGTTCCTTCCCTTTTCGACGGTTGGTCGTTCCTTCTTCTTTGGTCAGTTGATCGTTCCTTCCTCTTTCGACGGTCGAGTACTCATGCCTTGTCTGTGGGAAGAAGTTAGCTCCACCACTCCTTCCAATTCATTGCACAGTCCTCTTTGTAGAGTGTGATGTTACACGTGGAGGAGATTGATAGTTAAAAAAACCGCTTCATTTCTGGATACTGGAGGTTTTACCACCTCTTCATGGTGAATCTTGTGAAAGAGGATTTTGTCTAGCGTTCTATTCGCCCATTATGCTCCTCGTCCGGGCAATTTGCATGCCATGCGCTGAACAAGCGCCAAAAAAAAAGAAGAGGTCTACAAACCATCATGATCTGTCTCTTTCTAGACAGTATATGTCTTTTGGGTCCAAGAGCAAAAAGAGAAAACACGAAAGAAAACACCCCGAAACCAACACCGTATGTTTTGGTTTAAATGCAGTCATGCATGCACTTTTGATCATTCCGTCATTCCATCTTCACGTCAACATCGTCCTTGACATCGGCTTCTTCCTTGACGTCGGCTTCCTTCTTCATATCCTGCTCTTCCTTGACATCGAGGCCGGCGTCTTTGAGTCCGTTTCTGAACTCGTCGCTGAGATCCTTAGTCTTCACGGAAGCAGTGTCGTCTGTCGTAGTGTCCATAGTGTCAACGGCGTCTTTGTCTTCCACCTTTGGGTGCTTGCCCTCCTTTTCCTCTTCCAACTGCTTGAAGAACATGTCTTCGACGGCGAATGCCGCGTCGGCCTCGAGCTTCTTTTCGGAAGCTGTGTCTTCGGCAGCACCTGCAACACGATCGTCGAGGGCAAGCTTTGATTCTCCGAGAGCGTGAATCTGTTCTTCGATGGTACCGCGGGTGATGAGACGGACAACTTCAACATCGCGAGTTTGACCAACACGATGGGCGCGATTCTCGGCTTGAATGTCATCTTGCGGGTTGAAGCCAGAGTCCAGGATGATGACCTTGTTGGCACAAGCCAAGTTGATACCCGCACCACCGGCCTTAGTACTGAGCATGAACACAGGGATTGATGTGTCTGCTGTGAAGTGATCGATGATATCCTGACGAGTATCCATGCGAGTACTACCATCGAGACGCATGAACTTGATCGATAGTGTCTCGAGAACAGCTTCCAAAATATCCATCATTGTCGTGAATTGGGAAAAGATGAGGACGCGATCGCCGTTTTTGATGTACGCCTCCAGCAACTCCTTCAACTTGTTGACCTTTCCGCTATTCATCCATTCACTGTCACGCAGAGCGTACTTGTTTAAGAAGTCAAGTTCAAGACAGAAACGGTGCATGCCAAAGTCACCGCCCTTGGTCTGCTCGGTAAGCATTCTCCAGATGAGTTCCGGTTTGTTATCCCCATACACATCTGATCGTCCGAGAGCTTTAGCCAACTTCTCCAGCTCCTTGTCACTGTACTTGCGTCTCAGCAACAAAGGATGCAGGGCGGCGAATCGCAAGGCAGTCATCTCTTGAGCAGTCTTGGCACTTTTAGTTGCACCCTTCTTGGTCTGTGCGCGGGCGTCCATTGCTTGCTTGACCATCTCATTGTACACAACGCGCTGCTCAGGTATCATGTCACAGTATTCAACACGGCGGTGCTTTGCGGGCAGGTGCTTTAGAACCTGCTGCTTCTTTCTGCGAAGGATGAATGGTGTCATCATTGAACGAGCACGTGCAATTCGTTGAGCAGATAACAAAGCTGCATGATCGGCATCCTTGGTAGTGGCCTTGAACTTGAAAATGCTGTCGAGATCCTCCCTTCGCGAGTTGAACAGACTGGGTAGGATGAACGAAAGCAAAGAAGCGAGCTCTTGCAGGTTGTTCTGCAGAGGTGTACCAGTTAAGAGAAGGCGGAACACGGCAGGGATACGCATGAGCTGTTGATGTCTCTTGGACTGACTGTTCTTCAAGGCGTGGCCTTCGTCGAAAACACATACAGTAGGACGTACAGTCTTGCGCAGAAATTCTGTGTCGTACTTTCCGACAGCAGTTTCGTATGTTGTAACAATAACATCGATTTCGTCGAGGCGGCTGCCGTAGTCGTAACGTTGCTCCTCTCTTTCCGCTTGTGAGCCATAGTAGGGAGCAACATTGAGGGCAGGACAGAATCTGTTCAACTCTCGGATCCAGTTCTCTAATGTTGATCCGGGGACCACGACGAGATGCACACCTTTGACCCCTGTCTGCTTAAGGTGAGCGAGGAAGGCGATGACTTGACATGTCTTTCCCAAGCCCATGTCGTCAGCCAAGATACAGCTCAGCTTTTTTGACCAGAGCAGATTGAGCCAATTCAAACCGAACAGCTGATAGTCCTTCATAACCAGATCTGTGCTCATGATGGACGGCTGCTTGAGGAAGATGTTCTTCTTGATCTTGCTCGGTCTGCTCGACTTTGACTTGACTATATCGTCATCGTCATCGTCATCATCCAGCACACCAGTGGAGCTGGCGGGAGTGCCCATACCAGAGTCGTGTGATATATCCTCTAATGAGGTGAGAGCCAGTTCGCCGTCCTTGGTGGCAGCGGCGAAGTCGATACCCCATTGTTTCATCGTGTCGGCGATGGGTTTGCCGAGACTATCACATTTTTCAACCAGCTCGTCAACGGCTTCGTATCCTCTGAACATGACTTCGCACACATCCATGACCTTGTCGCCAATGGCTTTCTTTGCGGACCTCTTGCCCGACTTTAAAGGCGCGGCATCAGATATGTTTCGGATGGTGTTCAGACTACGGAAAGGCTTCTGTGACAAGATGAGTTCGGCAATCTCCAGCTTCTCGTTGGACATGTCTGCCAGATCCTGAGCACTACACGTGTTGAAAAACTTGAGCAGGCGACCATCGAAATCGCTCGTGTCTTCTTCTGAGGACTCTCTGCCGGACTCGGCGTCAGAATCGTCCGAGTCGACGATGACAGGGCGCTTCTTCGGTGCAGCTTCGACAGGCTTGGTAGGAGATGGAGAGCCAACGGGCGACACGGGGTTCCTGCGGCCTTGCATCAGGCGTCTTCTGGGCTTTGTCGCATCAGGGGTAGAGGCGGTGGTGCTAGTGGCAGTCGGCTTGGGCTTGGACGAGTACTTGTCGGCAATGGTTCGCATGGGTGCTTTGACTTGCTGTTTGGCGGCGGGTCTAGGCTGTGCACTGGGCTTTGCAGCGTTGCTCTCAATGTCCGAGCTAGTAAGGTCGACAACATCCATGGCATCGTTGTTCTCCTCGGCGCGGATGATGAAGTCAACGGCATCATCAAAGTTGCCCTTCTTGTCCTCCAAGGCCTTGTTGAGGACGTAGATGGATCTTCCGGGTAAGACGGTCATCATGCGCTCCACCTTTTTCTGATAACCCACATCGAAGATATCATTGATAGACATGTCTTGTACAGGCTGAGCACGCGAAGGGCCAGGCTGACGTTGCTGGGGCTTGTTCCTTGAAACACCGCCATATGAACTCTCCATACCACCGCCGTTATAGGCAAAGGCTGAAGTGAAAGACTTGAACTTTTCTGCCGACGACTTGGGGCTATCATTGATGCGGTTGGGAGAGGAATCCAGGTTTCTTCCACCTTTTGTGAAAGCAGTAGGGACTATGGCGGATTGTGTAGCGGGGCCTTCTGAATCGGAGCTGCGATCAACCGGGGGATCCACAAAGTCGTCATCGTCGTCAATGTTAATGACCGGGACGGGTCGGGAAGGTTGCTGAATGCCTGGAGGACGTCTGAAAGTGGTGCCAGGAGGAGCAAAGCGAGAGCCAAAGGCAGTTTCCGGGCGAGGTCTGGATTGTGGCAGAGGAGACTCGGGTACAGGGGCGGGCGAGCTGCGAGCGACTTGGACGGTGGGAGTAGACGAGTGTGAGCGTTTGTGAGCGTTGGGGAGGGGTTGGGTCGGCTGGGTGAGGAAGGGTTGCGAGGGTTGTGAGTCGGCGGTCAAATCGGCCATGAGGTTAGCAAAGGTCAGACTGGCCTGCGGCGCAGGTCGAGGGAGCATCTGCGTCGGGATGGATGCCGAAGCGCTCGTCTGGGACTGGCTCTGCGGGCGACGGCCAGCAGGGCGGAAGCCGCCAGCAGTCTTCTGCCTCTTGACGGGGCTGCTCGCGATCGGGTCGCTATCCATGGTGCCTGCCTTGTGGGGAGGATGATGCTCCGAGAGGGTGAAAAAAGTTTCCGTTTACTGCCGTGTCGACGATGCCACAAGACCAATCGCCAGCGTCCAGACACTCTCCACCAGAAGGGACCTCGTATGAGATAGTGATGGTCGAAAGCGGCTTAGTCAAACATCAAAGCACAATAGCTAGGAAAAGTGGCAAGTGAGACGCTACAATTGACAATTGCTTCACTCTCTCGCTGAATTGAATGCGGAGTCGTGACGCGCACGCGCCTGCTGTTCCCATTCTTCACCACGGACAATTCGGCCATCACCACTCACTACACTCAAAGGTAGCAAACCACGTAAATCATCATGGCTACAAACAGAAGAATCGTCTCTCAGGAGAAGACGCATCTTGATCAGGACGAAGTCCAACAACAGCCATCCATCATCGCCCCTGCCGTGCCACAGTATGCTGAACATCGTATCAATTACACAGAACATCTCACTAACATTCCCTCTCCTATCAGACATGTCATTGTCAAGCTGTTGCTCTTCTCATTTGCCATGATTGTTCTCCCCATTTCGTCCTACTTTTTGACTGTCGACAACCTCTTCTCTGGTAACTATGCATTGATCACCAAGCCCATCTCACTCCTCTCGCTAACTTGCCAGGCAATTCTACTTTTGCTGGTGCAACTGCCGCAATTCTCGCCAACGTCGTCTTGATTGGCTACATCATCGTTGCCATGAAGGAAGATGCTGGTGAACGTGCAGAGGCTGAGGAGAATGACAAAAAGTCGCGTTAATCACTATTCTGCTGCCATGTGTGCTGTAGCCTGAGCAAACTTGCTTACTTCTGTAGTAATTAAAAAGGAGAAATAAGCGGAAATTAAAAGGAAAAAGCATGAGGATGGTTCATTTGTACCAGCACCATCGCGAAGATGCCAGTCTCATTTTGTGCCACTGCTCAACATGACCTTGGTCAAGCACTAGCCCGTCCGTCCAAAGAACCCAAACGCCGCTGAGATGCAGCTGTGAAACACCCAGCTTCCTCCCAATCTGCCATTAGGTCATTAAGTATGTACTGCCTTTTTCAAGAGTCGTACTGCAGGGTAGCTCAGCCCTTGCTGAATCGCTTCTTGAAAAATCCCTTCTTCTTCTCCTCTTTTACCGGAGTTGGCCTTGTGGCTGGGGGCAGGTGTCCGCCTTGAGCACCGTAGTTTGAGGCACCTTCGGCACCGCCGAGCTTGATGGGTGCACGAACAGGTGGTGCTTGCGAACGTGTCGGGGCTGCTGGATATCCCCCTGCGTGGCCGTTTCGGTTGTTGCCATGAGACATTCCATAACCACCATCCGAATCGCTGGCGTACTCCTCCATGATCGGAGGGCCATTGTAAATGTCGTGGCCATATGGGTCGTTCTGCTTAGGGACGCCGTTGGCGCGGTCGAGCGAGCTGTTCTCACTGCTGGGGTCGGTCGAGTTGGCCCAGGGTCCAGTACCGTCGCTGTGTTGTGCGCCCGCATCGTACGAGTCATTGTAGCTGTGCTGAGGGTAGAATCCATAACCGCTGTTTGAGCGACTGGAGTTCATGCGCTGTGTATAACGGTTGCGGCTGGGAGGTCCTCCAGGAGTTCCAACATCAGAGTGGCCATCAGGGCGACGCATTCCATAGTGACCGCCGCCATACTGCGATCCGTTCTCGTAGCGGCCAGAATCATGGTCTGCCGAATTTGGTTAGCAAACTGCCTGGTAGTGCGCCGAGATATGATACATACTGTTGGCGCCGTAATAGCTGCTTCTTCTGCTCTGGTCCTGGTTGTTATAGGTGTAGCTCTCTGTAATTTGCGTCAGCAAGGCGTCCTGGGGTCTGCGGACTGGCAGTGCACGTACCTGATCTGCTAACGGAGCGACGCTTATATCCGCCATCAATAGCTCTTTCGAAGGATCTGATGGTGTCCAGAGGTCTCTCCCAGCGAGGACGAGTAGGGTTGGAGAGATCGGGTTCGGCTGCAGAGAAAGATTAGCATACGCCGAAACTCCATGACAGGAGAGACAACGTACCGATTACATTACCATTACTATCTTTGTGTTGAACATTACGGAGCGACTCCATTGTCGCTTTCTCCATGACTGCGGCATCTTGATTGGGGTCAGCGGGGGTTACGGGGAAGCTAACAGCGATGGCGGCCATGATGAGATGGTCTGAACGAGAAGAACAGAACAGTGGGAAGGTTGGGAGAGATGGGAAGGAAACGCACCTCCAGGCTGGGCTTCGTTCATAGCGGCATTGGGGTTCGCTTTGGACCCGCCCTTCCAGAAGCTATCGCGGCGCTGCTTGTCGGCAGGGCTATCGACCAAGACTTCATGCTTGCTGCTGCGACTGTGATCGGACTTGTGACTGAAGGCGCGAGAGGTAGTGCGCGGGCGGGAACTGGGCGATGATTGATCCATGCTTGAAGTGGCTCTCGGACCTTTCTGCCGGACTGACTAGTGCTGTGATAGATTTGTCGATATGATGCCTAGGCGATTATGCTACAAGTATGCGACGTCCTGTTACTAAAAGCGAGTGAAGTGGTAGAGTTGATGTCGACAAGAAGCAGAGAGATCAAGTTGCGAATAAAAGAACGAGCGAGGAAAAAGACTCGGCGCCGTGTAGGTTTGTGTGTCGTGGAAAGGATTACGAGGCATTCGGCTTGGGTTGCCGCGCCTGCAGAAACAAGAGAATGTTGCGAATGTGGCTGGTACCTTCCCAGTGTCCTGTCTTGCCCGCCTCTTGTTCTATCTGTCTTACTTGAACTATTTACTGCTTGCAGCACGCTCCAGCGACTCTGTCTAATCATTCCAGTTTCCACAGGCACAATCGCTTGTCGCGATAGAGATGTGCAGCCTGAAGCTCGCCATCAATACGCCGAACGCTGGCGGTTCATGGGTTTGAGGCGGTGCACTGCCCAACGACGAATGATGTGGCACCACAAACGTCGTGGCCCGACGGGTACTCTGATCGTGACGATTCGTCTTCCTTGTCTGACCTCATGGCCAGCGCGTTTGGCTAGCAAGGTTGCTCCCAGTAGCTACTCACCTAGACGCTGCCTCTGATACATTCCACAGCCGGACTTCTTTCTTCTCCATGACCAGATCGCCCTTTGTGCCTCTGTGCTCCCCACAGGATACCATCCCATGGGGAAAAGTCCCTCTATGGCGCGAACGGCTCGTTCTGCCGTCTTTCAATGCTTGGCCGTCCGTCGATCCAGAATTGACTTTCGATTTTTTGCATGCGGCTTGAGCTATTCTAAATCTGGGCTTATCTTGTCATCATCCCGGTCAATCCGTAGCGTAGATCTACACGCGGACCTTGTTCCCTCCGTTTACCGAGAGTGAGATGCGATAACAGATAAACCGGATCCTATCAAGTCCAGGCTGTTTCGGAGTCCTTGCCCCATCTAGCATTCTTTCTCAACTGCCGTTAATATATTCTCTCTCGAAACGTCCGACAAACTGCTCGTTTGTGCCTGGAGGAACGCGAGTACGAAAAGGAGCGAGATGTATAGACCTCGGTCGAATCCTGAAGGAACAGGAAGCTGTGGGATACGCTTGCTTTGTCGTCAGGACTCGGTCGACATTTCTGTCGCATATTCAGACCGTCAGAGGCGTTTTGAAGAAACAGCCCAAGACGCCATGGTCATGCACAATCTGTGGTAGGTTCGCTTCCAATTCGCATTTACCCATCTCAAATTCCCATGAAATTATCCCCAGAGTCTCATCTCAACACATGGTCACCAGACGGGCAAGCATTTGAGCCTTGTGCTACCACAATAGTGTGTCAAATTTCAGGTTTGGAATATCCATATAAAAGTAAAACCAACATTCTTCTCAAGTCTGGGCCCTGACTTGTCGCTGCCAATTTATTTCCGGTGGGTTGTCAACTTGGCTGCACGCGAAGAAAAAAGTAGGCTTTTGAAGCTTAAGCAATTGTTCTTGAATATCTGCAGGAGGGCATCATTGACCACCATTAGAGTTAAGGAGCTATCTCCTGGAACAGCTTGCAAGCACACGACACTTCCAACTTGACTTCATGTATCCATCGAACCTTCTCACACACATGCTTACGAAACCCCCGAAATATGTGTTGCTAAGAGTATGACCCTGCTTGGAAATTCGATTACTATTCATAATTGCAAGATGCTGTTCTCCCCTGTGCCCCCCATATTTCATAGAGGAGCTCATATCTCCCTTCAGTTACTTTTTTCTCGATTTCTTCGATTAGCCACATTCAGCTACATTGTAGCATCGTGATGTCTTTGTCATCCATCCTGCAACTTCGCCTCGAAGATAAGCAATTTAGCATGTGTTGCTCGTAGACCATTCAGGTCCTTGGCAAAGCACATGGCCTTGAAATCCTTCTGATTCTGAGAGTACCTCTTTGTAGTCAGTCGACGATGATACTTCGCCATAGCTTTGAGAATGGGCTTTACCAAATCCGCAAGCTTGACCTCCTCGGCCAGTGGGACAATCGGACTTTCAGCGATGATGTACGTTTGTAGGTTGAGATAAGCTTCTTCTTCTTCGGCTCCTTCTGGCTCGCCTGCTGCAGTAGCGTTGTCTACTTTTCTGAGGAGGGGTATGAAATTGGGATCTTCGGAGGCATTGGGAAAGTCTCGCAAGATTTCGCAGATTCTGGAGACAAGGCCTGGGCTTGGAGCTGGCATGTCGACTGTAGCAGGCTCACTAGTCGTCTTAATTGGCGTTTGTTGGTCCAGGTTGGTAGCCTTGTCGGCCTGATCGAGTTTATACTGATCTTTTCTGCTCTCTTCCACGATCTGGGATTGGTCAGCGATAAGTATAGATCACACGGGGGATACTACTTGCCCTCGCCTTTGCTGATGGACGCTGGAAAACATGCTGACCAGAGAATAGAGAGCTACCGTCGCTGTACGAGCTTGTCGTACTAGGCAATTCTGCTTTCATCTCGAACGTAGATCTTTGACTACCTGTCTCGAAGGAAGGATCTTCCTCTGAATCTACAATCATGATCGGCTCCTTGTCGCTTATTGATGGCACTCTGTTGAAAGGCTCCCGAGCTGATCGAAGTCGTTTGGATATTGGGGTCATAGCCTCGTCACGGTCGTCTTCCATCTGCACACTGTATCCATCTTGAGCAGGATGCGCAGGGATGTCATTCTGGTCGACTGCGGAAGCCAATCTTTTTGTGCTAGAAGGAGTGTGCGTGTGAGGGTGCGAACCATGTTGGCATGGCTTACTTCGCTGCTCTAGCCATTGGTATTCATCGTCAGTCAATGCCTGTAAGGCAGGGGGGCGCCCAGAGTCTTCGAATACATCATGAAAGTTGTCATGAGGTGTCAAGATTGCTCTATGGTCGTCGACACCTCTGAGGAAGAGCTCCGGCAGACCAAAATCGATAGCCCTCTTCTGCTTCCAGCTCGATTTTGCAGCGAAACCCGTCTTCTCAATATGTTCTGGGAAAGCCTTGTACAACGACCTTCTTGAGACCCATTGTGAGCCACGATGTCTTGTGCCTGGCATGATGACATGTCTTGCAAAGAGAGCCATGAGTTTCTGATCGTCGTCTCCGTGCTCCAAAGTGTTGATCGTTGTTTGCGACTCATCAGCCGTGAGGCCTTTGGCCGGCCAGACTGGGCGCTTGTGCTGAAATATGGTTGTTTTGGTCGATTGGACGTTAGCTTGACTCGACCGTCTTTTGGCGACTGTCTTGTTCTTCTTCACGAGTGAACGCGTTGGAGGTGGTTCGGGGGCCAGTCGGAATGCGCCACCATTGCCTGCTCTCGTGCGAGGCTCCATATTTGCTTGCAATGTTGTGGAGACTACGGCCTTACTGGAAGACACACAGGGAATTTTAGAGTAAATAGGTGATAGCTTGAAGATTTGCCACAGCAAGTCGTTGATACAGGCAGTGTAAGCAACCGATGTCGTTCAGGCAGGATATTGGGGTGAGGAGATAGGCTTCGATCGACCAGCCGTGCAAGTTTCCTGAAGAGTGAAGAACTAGTGTCCTCTCGACAGAATGATTTGAGGAGAGGAGTAACCAGCTCCTATACTCGATCGGTAGATAAAAGCGGAAGGAACTCTGCGCGTCTTTCCTGGTATCCAAGCATGTCAATTGCTGCGAGCTTGCGATAATTCAATGTAGCACGGATTGTGGTGAAATATGAGTGAGGAAGTAACAAAGAGGAACAAAGTAGGGTCGGAATAGTAGTGTTAGAAGGTAGGATTAATTGATGTTGTCGCACCTTCGTAGATATGTAGACTCTTGTCACAAGCCGATAGGCCGATCTGCTTGTAGGTCTGCCACTGCTACCTCAAGAAACGTGTTAGTCATGGGCTATAAGACTGAATCTCAGTTACAGCTTAAAGTTCTGGTTCCATATGTTTGGGGTGGTACTTTGAGGGTATCGCAAGCGGGAGGTGTAAGTCCTCTAACCCATGATCGTACGCGTGACTAGCTAGTGCCAACAGGACTCTGGCTTGAACCGGGAAATTTACAGAAAATTAGTCTCCCAACATCTTCAATAGAAAAAGGTCGCTTGCCTGGCATCACTTGGCAAGTAAAACGTATAGATCTGTGATTCATCATCATTTACCGTCATTCGTTGAATACATGCTATGTAGAACTGAACGAACTAGTGTTTGACCTCGCTCAGGTTATCATGGCTCTTGATGCATTGTTCGGCTCTCTTGTTTTCGAGAGATTACTGATGATATTTTTGGCCGGTATAGGATGACGGGTCGTCGAGGTCGGAGAGAAATACGGAAGATTGATGACGCAGTACACATGGCTGTTCGTGACAGAACGAACCCCAGAGAGTGATGTGAATATAGCATATTTTGGATTTGCGTGATGTGCAATCGATCAAGGCTTCTGGAAAGTGCCATTCAATTGATCAAGATTCCAGCGATTGGTCCCGGACAGTCTCACTGAGCTCCGAGCATGGCAGCGACATCTTCGTCCAGACCGACACCCTCACCATTACTGAAGAGCTCATCGTCCATTTCAGAATTGTGGGCCATCTTTCTCCTCTTCAGTCTCGGATCAGCAGTGGCGGCAGGACTGTTGGAAGCGGGACGTGTCAAGCTACTAAGCAGCATGTTAGCTCCCTCTGACATGACTGGCGGGCTAGTCTGAAGGGCTGGTGGGGGCTCAAATGAAGGAGCGGGTTCGGTGTGTTTCGGTTCTTGTTCTTGCATGGGATCTGCAGCAAAAGTGCTCGACTCTAGGAAGTCCTGGTCATAGGCATTGTCATCGGCAGGATATGCAGGCTCGGGAGATCCATCGGGGGTGAAGTTCTCGACGTCTGGTGGAGGTGGAGTGAACGACTCGACCTCGGGGCTGCCGTCATGTCCAGGAGAGGCGGGATTGGCGGAAGCACCAGAGGAGACGGCGGCTGAGGCGTCAGCGGATAGGCCACGCATAATGCCATCCTCGACATCCTTCTTCTTCGCCTCGATGGTAGCTCGGCGAGTTGAAAGTTCCGAGTGTGTCTTCTCCTCTTGGACCAGCTTGCTTCTGTTGGCTTCGAGCAATTTCTCCAGACCAGCGACGAGCTCAGCTCTGGCCTTGAGACTTTCATTGACGGCGCCCTCCGCACTAGCGAGGGTCTTCAGGAGCGATGAGAGACGAGCAGCGTGGACGGGAGGACTAGGCACAGGCGTGTTGGGATCTGTCAGTTTGGCGAATTCGGTGTTGGCGGTTTCGAGTAAGGGCTGAGCGGCAGCACTAGAGCGAGTGAGAGTGGTCTGTGGCTGAGCCAAGGGCTGCAGTTCAGGTGGCACTGCCGAAGACGAGGAGGTGGAAGATAGAGTGCCACCAAGCAGGGAACCGCCGAGACGAGCACCACCTGAACGGGCGGTGCGTGACTTGTCAACCTCTGTGCAGTATTAGCTATGACGCTTAGTCGCAGTGGGCGAGGGTGGGTACCGTGAAGGCGCTTCTCGGTCGCATCTTGTATGGCAAGCTCGAAGATGTTGCGCTGACGCCAGACTTCTACGACCCGTCTGATCTTGCCGCCAGTGTCTTGGGTGCCGCTTTTGTAGGCCAGAGATGTGGCTTCTGCGATGATCTACTTTGGTCAGAAGCAGTCGGAACAAACAGCGAGTCGAAGAAACGTACGGGACTGAAGGCAACGAGGAAGTCATCCTTTTTGCGGGCTTTTGATTGTTGGACGACCTCTACGACACAAGTTAGAACACGGAGATTGATGCGTGTGGAGGTGTGAAGATGTGATGCGATACCATTGGCGAGATAGATCAAGTTGAGCTTCTTAGCTGGGTTGGAGTCCTTGAGTCTCTCGAGCCACAGCTCAGCAGTACGGTCTGCATGTCGTCTGGTCACCAGTGTGAGCTATGATGGTCTGGCAAGTCGCGGCGCAAAGCAAACAAACCTGTGAAAGATGATCCATTGAGCAACACTAACAATGCTGTCTTGAGTTTCGTTCAGCGCCGAGAGCTTGGCTCGAACGGCGTCATCTGCGTAAGCCATTTTGCTTGCACGAGATGGAAGGACTACAATTCGCGATGCGACGGTGTGATCTGAAAGAAGTCCGCTCGCCAGGCGCAAGCAACAATCGTCACAAGCAACAGCAGCAGCACGCGGGCAATCAAGGTGCTTGGCAGGAGCCGAACACTCGGACCAGGTCATCATCATCCGGCTCCCGCTGCTCAGTGCTTGGGCTTGGGCGTTTGGGGTAGGCGCATTGTCGATTAGCTGGCAACTCAACTTCCAAACAATTCACTACATCTCAACTCCTCGCCGCCGCCCACCCTTCAGCTCACTCTGCAGTATTCATAGACCACTGCCCTCTGTATTACAAACACCACAGCTTGCACCACATCGCGAACACCAACATGGCCGACAAGTTCCCCTCGGTCGAGGACCTCGATTCTGGTACATCCTCGCATCCATAGCCATCTCTGCTCGACTGCCACTAACCTGCCAACTCCAAGGTCTGCTCGGAGACTCCACCAATGACAACAACATCGGCTCATCCTCAATGGCCGAAGACCCTTCAGACTTCCTGGCCCGCGAGCGTGCTCTTCTTGGCGACGATGCCGACCAATTCGCAACTCCCGCCGACAACGCTGCTACTGTTGACGACGACGATGACCTTCTTGGCGGAGGCCAGTCTCACCAGCCCTCTGCTGACCACGACATGGGTGGCTTCGAGTCCAGCTTCCCTGCCATTGACACATCAAACGAGGTCAGCTCTCCTGGTCTTGTTGTTCACCTCCAACAACCATATACTGACACGCATATCAACCGTAGGGAGTAGCACCTGGCGGCACGATTACTGGCTCCACACTACCATACCAACCCAAATCCAACCAAGCCTCATACGAAGACGAATCCGAACCCGACGTCATCCGCGAATGGCGCGAGCGCAGAGACATGGCCCTCCAGCACAGAGACGAGGTCTCGCAGAACAAGAAGGAAGAGACTGTCAAGGCCGCCCACCAAGCCATCGACGACTTTTACGAAAACTACAACAACAAGAAGGACAAGACCGTATCCCAGACCCGCAAGGAGGCAGAGGAGTTCCTCAAGTCGAGAGAGGACACCACTGCTGGAGGTACCAGCTGGGACAGAGTTTCAAAGCTTGTTGATCTCAGTGGCAAGGGTAGCGTTGGTGGTGCTTCAGGCTCGGCAAAGGGCAAGTTCAGAGAGCTGTTGCTTAACCTGCGCAAGGATGAGAAGGCCCCTGGCGCCAGCGGTTACTAAGACAGAGATACCCTTTAATACGCTTACTGGTTTGGCTAGAAAAATTGTAACATTTTGAAACCATGACCTTTTGATTCTTGCAGACATATTCTTGGTAATGCGTCTTGCAAGGAGAGTGATTTATGCGATGTTGCTGTGTCTTCAAATGTAGCTTGACAAAAGCGTTTGAGAATGAAGCTCTATGAGTGGAGTATGCCTTTCGTCTACCTGTCCCATGCATAGTAATAAAACCACAAGCACTGAAGCTCTATCAAGCGAAACAAATAACAAAATCAGACATCTACATGCAGGGGGGTATTCAAGAAAGAAGACTGACGACCAGAAACCGAGAACAATTGGTGTTGAGTTCTTGCTCATCACCCTCTACTCTTCGGCGTCCTCTCAGCAACGGCTTCCGCAGCAGTAATATCCTCACCTCTGTATTTCGTCCCTTGCTCTTCCATCTGATCCTGTCCTTCTACAGCATCGCTATCCTCTAGCGAATGCTCCATTTCCTCCTCCTCACTCACTTCAGGCCCATGAGGACGAGATCTAGGCGGTTCATTGCCCGACATTTGCCACTCCATGAGTTTACTAAACGCTCCTTCCTTCTTCTGGCTGAGTTCGTTATAGGTGCCTGTTTCTGCTACTTTGCCGTCAATTATGCAGATGATCATGTCTGAGCGTTTGATGGTTGAGAGACGATGGGCGATGGAGATTGTGGTGTTGTTGCCCGCGAGGAGGGTGTTTAGGGCTTGGTTTACTAAAGTCTCGGATTCGGCGTCCAAGGCACTGGTTGCCTCGTCGAGAATCAAGATGTCAGGGTTCTTGAGCAAGGCACGAGCGATTGCCAGTCTTTGCTTCTGACCACCAGAGAGTTGTGTGCCTCTTGCACCGACGTGTGTCTCGAGACCCTCGGGCTGTAGAATTGTTTAGCACGATGTTTCAGTAAGTGGAGGAAGACGAGACTTACGAAGTCAGAAATAAATTGGCAATTCGCCTGGCGGGCTGCAGCAATAATCTCGGCACGAGTCGCCAAAGGTCGGCCGTAGGCAATATTTTCAGCAACTGTGCCTGAGAAGAGAACAGGCTCCTGGCCGACGTAACCAATCTTCCGCCTCAACTGCTTGGCATTCATAGTGGTCACATCGCGACCGCCAATGAGAATATGTCCATCAGCGGGTGTGTAGAAGCGCATGATCAGACTGGCTACTGTGGACTTTCCAGCGCCTGATGGAGCGACGATAGCAACGTTGGTGCCCTGCTTGATTGTAAAGTCCAACTCATTGAAGATGGGCACTGCAGGGCGTGTCGGATAAGCGAAGTTGACATTCTTGAAGACAATGTCGCCTCTGGCACTCTCGACGGGTTCGCCCTTGGTAGGGCTAATGGTGGGCTCGCGGTCCTGTAGCTCGAACAGACGCGAGGCGGCTCCCACACCCTTCATCAGTTCGGAGTAGAAGCCTGAGAGACCGAATAACGACGATCCAGCATATGCTGTGTACATGAGGAAACTGGACAGGTCACCAACACTGATTGCTCCAGTCTTGACCATGCCACCTCCAAAGTACAAGAGCGCTAGGAAAGTCATGTTGCCCATGAATCCAGAGGAACTGAAGAATACAGCACTGATCAGAGCCTCCTTCTTTCCGAGCTCGAAAATCTTACGGACTTGAGTATTGTAACGGTGCACTTCCTGTTGCTCGCCCGCAAAGGCTTGTGACGTGCGTACGTTTCCTAGACGCTCTTCGGCAATCTTGGTCAAAGTTCCGAGGTTCTTTTGAATACGTCTCGAAAGGGTACGAATGGTACGACCGTAGAAGAAAGCCCCAATTGCGACGGGGGGGAACATGAGAGCCAGAATACCTGTCAACTTGAGACTGACATAGCCCATGAGGCCAAAACCGGCAACGGCGGACACCAGAGATCGAAGACCATCGGAAACGTTTTGAGTGATACTCTTGCCAACAATAATGGTGTCTGAACCAAGACGTGAGATCAGGTCACCCACTCGGTTTGCGTCGAAGAATTCGGCATTCTGAATAAAAGTACGTCTGAAAAGTTGAGAACGCAGCCTGGTGACAATACGTTCACCCACGATGCGCAAAATGATGATGCGACCATAGTTGGCAGCTGCGCCAATGGACAGGATGGTACCGAGAGCAATGTAAAAGACAGGCATTGTCAAGCCGAAGAGCAGATCCTCGCCATCGCCTTCAGAAGGCTTCGTGGCAGCGTCCAGAATCTTACCAATAGAGAACGGTAGAGACATTGAAATGGATGACGAAACAAGGAGGAACAGGAAGGCCCAAGAGAGGACCTTGAGCTCAGGACGAGCAATCTTGAGCAGTCTCCAGATTTCATTCTGACCACCAGTCTTGCCAGTACCATCCTTGCTCAGCTTGGCGGATAGATTGAGCTGAGCAGCACTCTTTGCCTTTTCAGACGGCTTGAAAGATTGGTCGTCGGCGGCATCATCATCCTCGGGATCCGACTGGTGTTTGATCTCATCACGGTACGACCGAGCGGCCTCTTGAGACTTTGCGACGATGACGGAGTGTGTGAATGGACGTTTCAATGCCAGCGTGATAGTAGAGTTGGTGACCGAGTATGATGAGGGACGCGACAGGGGAGTCAAGCCAGCGCATGAGAGACCGAGAGGGTGTGAGGGTTTAGGTAGCGGTTGAAAGGCTTGCGTTGTCAAGAGACGGCTCTGTCTAGCTGGGGCGAGAGCGGATCTGGATAGCACAGATAATAGAGTGGACGAGTCCCTTGATGCTCTTGAGCAGAGCCATTGCCGAGGGTGCATGACTGGCCGGGGCTCCAAGGGCGAAGGGTGGTGGAAGCGGCAGCGGCAGCGGGAGCGGACAGGGACGCGGGCGGGCGAAGGAGGTCGGGGAGGTCGTCTACCGCAGCAAGTCGACAGTCTGGACAGTAATGGGCATGCTTGTCACCGAGAGGGGAGTGGACGAGGATGCGACATGGAGCTTCGGTTGCTTGCACCGGTCGTGTCTAGACGTCCAGCCGTCTTTGACTTGCACCAAGCGACAACGCTTGCGCTTGCCGGCCAACGTCATCACCACGGGCCGATGCGCAAGCTTGGGGCGGGCCTTTCTAATTGCTTCTACGAAACAAGCCAAACACCACCGCTTTCGAGACAAGAGCCTGACAAGACTCGGTTGTAAATAACCACTTCCTTTTCTAGTACGACATTCTCGCTGTCTGTCAATAGCCAGGCTTCTTCCTCCACCAATCCATTCTCAGAGAAACAGCAGAGAAGCTTGTCCTCAACAGCCCCGCAGTCATGCCCGTTGACTACAGCAAATGGGTAGCTTTCCCCCTGTAGACTCCTCTTGTTGATCTGAGCTAACCACCGCTCTCCAGGATGCTCTCGAGCTATCGGACGACTCCGACATTGAAGTCCATCCCAATGTCGACAAGCGCTCCTTCATCCGTGCAAAGCAAAATCAGATCCATCAACAGCGTGTCGATCGCAAACATCAAATCGAGACGCTCAAATATGAGAAGATCATCAACGATGGCCTGATCAACCGCATAGACAACCTGCTAGAAGCACTCCAGTCACTCAGACAAGAAGCTGAACAGGCCCAATCAGGCTTCGAGCGCTACATCTTCCAGGCTCTCATCAAGAGCACCGGCTCTCCTGACAAGGACACCCCTCCACCCCCACCTGGCGGTGTCCATGCAAATGTCCAGGATCCTCCGAGATACAGCAAGATGATGGCTGCCTTGGTAGACCAAGTCAAGCAGGCCGTCGACGAAGCCAAGCCCGCCCCGTCGGCTTACTTTGGTGCCTTCATGACCGAAGTCACCTCGCACAAGACAAAGATTGAGGATTTGCAAGTGCAGCTGCTGGAAAAGCTTGCCGAACTAGAAAAGGAGGAAGGTTCCAAGATCACCAGCGAGAACATCCGAACTGGCTTCGACAGCTCTCACGTCTCAAAGTCCTCTACCAAGCCTGGCGCCAGCAAGCCTTCACCTGGTCCTGAACTGCTCAACCCTACACGCCCCTCTATCCAACATGCCGACAGCGGTCAGTCGTCTGGTGCTGACGCCGATATTGAGGACGAGTCAATTGTGACAAGGCCCACCGCTGGTCTGGACAGCGACGACGAAGACATGCAGGCCTCACCACTGGCTCAAAAATTTGCTAAGATTAGATACGGTGACTACCGCACTTCTCTAGATTTCATTTCGAACAACCCCTCGGTCATGGGCGAAAAAGAGACGGATGGACTGCTGGTGGAGGCTTTCAACGCCCAGAGTGATGGCAAGGACGATTATGCAAGGCAATGTGTTCACCAAGCTCTCTTGCTACAATACTGTAGGCAACTGGGTCGCGACGGTGTGCAACTGTTCTTCAAACGCGTCACCACACAGGGTCACCAGGCGCAGAAGCTGTTTATGGATGATGTCAATTCGACCTACGCTAGGATCAGATCTCGCACAAGAGAGCTTGCTGAGCAACGCAAGCGCGACGAGGCGGATGGCACCGGTGGTGTCGAGCAAATCCAACTACACGCAGTTGACCCGAACACTACCATCAACATTGTTGTGCCGCCTGCTGATTCGATGGATGAAGATGCCAAGGAGGCTCGCGCGATATTCGAGACTTTCCCTCCCGGCTTGCAACGCGCTCTCGAGAGTGGCAGCTTGGATAGAGTCAACGAGGTCTTGGGCAAAATGAGCGTCGACGAGGCTGAGCAGGTTGTAGCACAACTCGGTGAGGGGGGCATGTTGAGTCTGGAGGAGGGTGTGATCGACGCAACGACTGAGGAAGGCAGAAAGCAGATGGAAGAGATTGAGCGGTCTGGCCAGTGGCCTGGCGACCAAGGCGGTCGCGTGATTGAAGAGACTGAGGATCCAGGCATGGATTAAAAACACAATATCTCGCCTAAGGAAAGACTCAGGCGTCAACAATTTGGCCAGCGGCATTGTTCGCTCGTGCCATTCTGCTCATTAATCAGACAGTGTGGATCACTGTGCACCGCGCATGGGATGTTATGTGCAAGTAAGGATCGAGCAGAATATCTATTCACCAAACACTTGATGTCGTGATCAGGGAAAGCTCGTACGATTTTGATGATCGAGGTAGCCGAATATCTTACCGAGAGCACCTAGCACGCAATATTGATAAATCGTCAGATGGTACGAATAACAAAATGCAAGCATTTACTGAGTACAAGCATGCTGACTCTGTAGATATCACGCAAAGGGTGATACATATCAAATGTTCTGACTGAAGCGTCGACCAAACACGAGAGTTTGCAACGGCACATCTATGACCAGCCGAGGTCGACAACCAGGTTAGCGGATTGCGGCAGACACTGATCGGAGGCAAAAATTCAGCCTCAAGTCCAAGTTTGGAAATTCCAAGCAACAATAGGAAGAGAGATTGAGGATGGATTCTTATTCACAAACCAGATATAAAATACCACAGCCGCCGAAAAATATGTCCAATGCGAAGCTGTCAAGGTACGAGTCAAGGGACATCTTATCAATCGCGAGGATCGTTTTTCGAAATCGGTTTGGTGGGCGAAGTGTGACGCTGAAGGCTGAACGCAGGGGCCGGCGGCCGGGGCGGATTAAGTGGAGGCATTTGCCATGTTGAAAGCCGTGGGTGGACCACGCAGCACCTTCTGTGAGTGCTTTCCCACCTTCCCTTGAACTTTTGCTCCTTCCAACCCGCTTTCAACCGCACCAGACTCTCCAAATCTAATACTTGCTGCTGCAATTGCATGCGGTCTTTGATCAATACGACCCTAACAACTCTCGTCCAAGTGATTCCGCGCACTGCTCAAAGAGGGCTCTTTTGCAGGAAGGCGCTCCCATATCCTTTATCCTTATCTGATCGATCTTCTCGTGGTGAGTTTCCACATATCAACGCCCCGCCATCGGCTATGACGAATTGTCGACTTTTGCCCTCTGCACGTCGCCATCGCGTCTTCAAATCGCTAATACACATCTTTGCAGTGACAATCACACACCTCGCTAGCATGCGTCGCCATTCACTGTCATCGTTCACCATGACGACACATACGCACAAGCACATTCCCACATCGGCCACATCACATCCTGACAACCCGATACCAATGGAGCCCATCGCCATCCCACAAGGCACTATGTCGCCGTCTAAGAGATCTGTCCATTCACAATCACAATCACCACGTTCGTCTGGCGACTCTCTCAGCGAGTCAATGGCTTGGTCTGAGGGAACTCTCGAATCAGAGGTCTCGACGCCCTCGACCGAATTGCAAGACCAATTCGATATCATGACGCCAAAGAACAAGAAGACCTCGGGTGAGAAAGAGGGCACCAAGCGTCGCGCCTCAACACATGTCATCACATCGTCAGCCGACCAAATTCGCAAATTACTCGGAACTGGAGAGACTGGTACCAAGTTTTTGCAGAACTACTGCTGTGGACCTGACTGCTGCAAACTCAAGATTCTCCCTCCGGACACAACCCGTCCCGGTTTTATCCCTGTTGTGGTCCCTGACAACGACGCCTACCGAGGTCTCAATCTAAACATCAACGCATTGACTCTTGACACCGGTCTGAGCGATCTTGTGGAGCTACCCAAGCCTAAAATCTCCCTAGAGCCAGTCTCCAAGGATGAGGCTGCTGACCACCACAGCACTGTCGACGTCCATCCCCCTACCTTTGTTCAGCCCCATCCTCCTTACGATGTCTACTCCGCACCGGTTTTCCACGCTCGCCAACTCACCAACGAAGGTGCAGAGAAGCGTACCGTGCACTTCGATATTGACATCACGGATTACCCTAAGGAAGGAGACATCGATTTCAAGGTCGGCGGCGCTGTAGGTATCTGTCCTCCAAATGACGCTTCATCCGTCGACACCATCTTCAACCATATCGGAACCCCTAAATTCGTGCGAGACAAGCCCGTCGTACTTAAGACAGAAGGAGGACGATGGCCTACAATCTGGGGCGATGAGAAGCCTCGTGAGCTGCTGACCACACGCAGAGAGCTTCTGACATGGTGTGTTGATATCGCATCATCTGCACCTACCAAGCAGCTCTTCCGTGTTCTGGCCGAATATGCAGACGCAAAGAATGAGCGCAAGATTCTGGAATATATGTGCAGTGCTCAAGGACAAGGCGCTTTCTGCGATCTTCGCATCGGTCCGAGCATCACTCTTATTCAGCTTCTCGAAGCCTTCCCTTCATCGAGACCGCCATTCGAGATGCTTGTCAGCTGCTTGAATCAGTTGATGCCTCGCTTCTACTCTTTGTCCAACGATCCACACGTATCTTCAGACAGAGAAGGCCTTGCAGGCAGACGTATTATCGAGATCGCAGTCACTGTTCACGAAAATCCCAGCTGGGGTGGAAATATGCGAACTGGAGTCGGATCTGGTTACCTAGAGCGTGTTGCCCGATACTTTATCGATGCCGAGAAGAATGCAAAGCAGTCGGGTGGTGAACTTGAGATGCCCAGTGTACGCATTCCCATGTTCCGTGGTCTGATGGCAAACCCCCTCTCAAAGAAGTTTGACTCGGATGGCCCGATGATCATGATTGGCGCTGGAGTTGGTATGGCACCCTTCCGAGGCTTCATCCTCAACCGTCTCCGCAACTCGAAGTGCGCCAACAAGATCTGGCTCATCCAGGGTGTGCGCGACTCGACCTTGGACGAAATCTACTCTGGAGAATTGGGTGACCACGAACAACAGATCAAGAGAGTTGTACAGTCTCGTGCCAAACTTCCGCCGGTTGATCAAAGTGATGATGGTGTGGTCGACATCCAGCCAAAGAAGGGCGGTGAAGTCACCGGCAAGGTTGTCTCAGACTCTCAAGCGAACAAGGTAGCCAAGTACGTCCAGGATGAAGTCCGTCTGCAGGCAGACATCGTCTGGTATGTCATCAATGCTCTTGATGGCCGCATCTTTGTATGTGGAAGCTCGAGAGGCATGGGCGAAGGTGTAGAGGAAGCTCTTATCGACGTGGCTATGGACAAGGGCACCCTTAACTTCGAGGAAGCCAAGGACTTCTGGGCGCAGAAGAGGGACGATGGTCAATATGTTGCAGTAAGTTTTTATCAGTCATCGTCAGACCTCCACACATTCTAACAGAAGCAGGAAACCTGGTAGACACCGATTGTACTCGCATACTCGACAGGTTGGATTTTGTTACAACCGTGAAGCTCTTGGAACTTTTAGGCCTTCCAGACTTCTATTCCCAATCAGCACTAAGTGTTGGATTCTGATTTTGATTGATAGCGTTTTTGTAATTCTTTGTGTTACCATTGTCACAACTCGAGGATGCACCCAGACCATCGATCTTGGCTACTGAACCAGTCGACTTGGGTGGCATTTCGCTGTATTTACTACTGCATGGAAAATGGCTTGACCAGCCAGGACGAGAGAGTCAGATATGGAATTCGACATCAGCGGCTTTACCACAGAATCCGTTCTTATATAAGAAGATGATATACTCAGCCATGTTTTCACTAGTTGTTGAGTCGCCCTACAATCTCCCAAGAGTCGATCAGACCACAGAAGAAGTGTTTCCCGTCGAAAGCCTCAACCGCTTTCTAGAGCCAGAGGGCCGCAGCCATACTGGTGTGCCGACCTTGTGTGACAGACGGACTTATGCTGAATCGCAGGAGATACGAGGACGTAGCGGACTTAGGATGGTCGCGTCTCAGGATTTCGGCCGAAGCGTCATAACCATCGAGATAGATAAATAGGGCAGCTCGACTCACTGGATTGAAGCATTCATTCGAGATCAAGCACACTTTACAATACACAGCAATCACAAACCAAAAGTAAACATGGTCAAGACACTTCCCTTTGGCTCCTCGGGCATTGAGGTCAACAACCCTGGTTTCGGTGCCATGGGTTTGTCTTTTGGTCTAGGTACCAACTTGACACCCGAGCAAGCCGAGCCTGTCCTTCTCAAGGCTATTGAGCTTGGTTGCACATTCTGGGACACTGCTGTGAGTCTTTCCTCTCCGAAACTTGTCAAGGAAAATAAAGAGTACAAAAAGCTAATCCACGAAAAAAAAACCAGGTCGTCTACGCAGCAGGCATCAACGAACAACTCCTTGGCGACTTCATCCGCAAGCACGACGTCCGCTCCAAAGTCTTCATTGCCTCCAAGTGTGGTTTCGCGGTGTTTGAAAAAGCAGGCGTCACAAACTCTGCCGAACACATCAAGAAATACATTGATGGCACCATCGAACGCCTAGGCTTTGCACCTGACCTCTACTACCTGCACCGTATCGACCCCGACACACCTTTGGAAGAATCCATTCCTGCTCTGGATGAGATCCGCAAAGCTGGCAAGACGAAATACATCGGTCTTTCGGAGTGCTCGGCAAAGACTTTGAGGAAGGCTAATAGCATCGCGAAGATCGATGCTGTGCAAGCTGAATACTCGGCTTTTGAGACTGTGCATGAGACTGATGGACTTATTGAAGCTACGAGAGAGTTGGGTGTCGCTTATGTAGCGTACAGTCCTTTGGGTCATGGATGGTTGGTCGATGATTTCCCATTCAAGACTCCTGATGACTTTGCTCCTGATGATTTCCGTCGTTCTTGTAAGTCTCGTTGCTAACTTTGCTTTGGAGATTCATGACTAACTTGTATCTCAGCTCCCAAATTCCAGGGTGAAAACTTCTACAAGAACAGAGCTATTGTTGAGGAAATCAAGAAGTTGGCTGAGAAGAAGGGCTGCAGTATCACACAGATTGCTCTTGCCTGGGTAGCTGCTCAGGGCTTCATCGCCATCCCTGGTACCACCAAGTCTCACCGTCTGGAAGAAAATTGGGCATCCAGAGATGTCGAATTGAATGAGGAAGAGAAGGCTGAGATGAGAAAGATTGTCGATAGTGCAAAGCCTCATGGAAACAGATACAGCGAGGCTAATCAGAAGCTGGTCGGACACTAGAGCAGAAGGTAGCAGAAGGAAAGCAGATATGTGGAAATTGATAACAATAAAATATGAACATGAGAAAGTAAATTGTTCCAGCCGTGGTATCTCCAATAGGTCCATGCTATCTCTCCAGATTTCCGTGTCAATGATGTTTCTAGATCATGGCAGCAGCAACAAGGCCGCCAGCGGCAAAGGTAACGGCGTTGGAGAGCCAAGAATCGACGTGGCCTGCAGCGGCGCCCGAAGAAGTAGCAGTGCTTGCGTCGCCGCTCTGAGAGCCCGAAGCAGTAGATGAAGAGCTGGAAGTCTTGCTTCCACTCGCCATTGACGAAGTAGCTGACGCGGCGCCCGATGAGACCGTCGCGCCACGACTGAGCGAGGTAGGTGTTGAGGCGGCCGAGCAGGTGCCGGCGGTGTTTTGAGCGCAACAGGCTTCGTTGCCAGAGCTATCTTGACCACAGTAGCTGCCACTGGCGCAGAGTCCAGATGAGCAGCAGACGAACTCGCTGCTATCGTAGCAGACTCCGTTGCATGTTGACTGGCCAGCAGCACAGGATGGAGCGGCGGAAGAGGTCGAGATTGTCATGCTGCCGCTTGCGCTAGCAGACATTGGAGTGGTGCTTTGTGCGACAGCAAAGGCTGCGAGAGCTGTGACGAGAACGAAACGCATCTTGATTGGCGTGAAGAGGAATTTGAGGTGATTCAGGCTTGAGGCGAGAGATGTAAAGGGGTACGCGCTGGAGGAAGGGTGCGAGAATATGGAAGTACGTTGAACGGATGTGGCAGAGAGATGTGACGGAAGAAAAATTGACCTACGGCATTCGACGATTATGTAGCTGCTCGTCCATTGTGTGGCAGTGCCCTTTCACGAGTAAGACGAGGCCTGCCAAGTTGGTACCTGACAGGATTGCAGGGATGCATGATGATCGTCATGTCGCAGATATTTTGAGTGTTTCGGTGACAGGTCGCCTTATCGCCGTTGCTATCGTGCCGCGTGGCTCGACGACTCAGCCCTGTCTGTGTGTGCGTACACCCCGTCACGCTAAGGTAAGGTACTCCGGCCAGCGACGTCAAGTCTTTCTTGTTGGTAATTGTTCTTCCGTCCTCCTGCTCGTCGAGTGTAGACAGAGACATTGGAGCTCGAGATCGTTGCTTCCACTGCGAGATTCAATACAGTCTAGTGGCTGGTTCATACTTGACGTGATGGATAATTGATCGTGCCGAATGTGGCCTCCCTCTGTGCGAAGCACTGTCACACTTGTAGCTATCTCAAGGCAAAGACATTTTCGAATCTGGAGCGACGGCACTGAGATATATCTTGTGAACGACTTTTTACGTTGAATCCTTCTATACGAGATGTAATTACGCATTGCTTCAGCTCGTTGTCGCCCTGCTCTGATCATCAGGAGTACAAAATCACTGTCGCGGTTCTAGCTGGCCTTGATGCACAGTAATTTCTTAACGTGTAGCGATGTCATCGAGAAACCTCTTTCCATCGATTCTCTGCGCTAGTTTCAACAACATGGTTCATGACTGTGTCTTTCCACAACTGCAAGACTGCTACAACCCACAAGTCAACTCCGTCGTCCCTCGGCTGTTCTTTTTCACCTGCACAACGCGCCCGACTCCAAATGCAATCCTCGACTACTCTTACCAGATAGGCTGTGTCAAAAGCCACTCTTCCATAAGCTTGACACGTTCAGGATCAGTCAATGGCACAGACTCGAAGCCATCACCGAGACGCTGGGTAACTTCCTCATTGCTACTCTCACGCCACTCAGTAAGCCCCTGACCATTTGGGTTTCCAGTCTTGATAAAGTTGACCCAATAAGCATTCATTGTAGCAGCAATCTCATAATCCTTGTCAGTCCAAGGAGAATCAGTACCATAAAGGTTGTTGAGGACGTAGTTGATCTCAGACTCGTGATACGCGCCTTGAGTTTGACCAGGAGGTGCATGGTCCCAGATGTAAGTATAGACAGGGCTTTTGGCTGCTTGCTTCCATTTCCTGGCCCAAAGCCATGTACCAATGATTGAACGGTCGGTAAATTGTGCGTTTTCGCTTGCGGAGGCTTGAGAAGCATTGTTAGCTGGGTAGAGCTCCAGGAACTTGTCGATCCATTCGCCAGAGTAAGTTGCGTTGAGGTCAGCAAGATATTCAGCGATGGTGATGTTAAGACCATAAGTGGCACCACTTTCATCGCGAGTGTTACCGGTAATGATGGGCACGTCATTTGCAGCACCCTTCAGCAGCGTGTCTTCGTAAGTGTTGGGCAGTGCATAGTGATCCAGGGTGGCCGTAAAAGTCCAGCTCGATGAGGTGGGAGGAAAGTCCGAGTCAACAAATGCCGTGTAGTTCATATTGCGAGCGGCGGCGATGGTAGAAGCATTCTTGTCAGCAAGATAGTCCACACCTTGACCGAGAGCGAAAGTGAGGTTGCGGTAATTCTCAGCAAGAGTTTCGCAAAGAGGGTCGTGAGGGTCGCGGACACCACTCTCGATGATGGCACCAACAATGAGACCTTTTGTCAATGGACTGTTTAGGATATGTTGTGTCGCAGCAGATCCGGCAGATTGACCCATGACAGTAATGTGGTCGGGATCACCACCGAATGCTTCAATATTCTCCTTGATCCACTTCAGAGCGGCAAACTGATCGAGCATACCATAATTTCCGGAGCTGTTGAACCCAACGGTATCAACGCGCTCTTGAGAGAGCTCAGGATGAGCTAACCAACCTAGAGCGCCAGTTCTATAGTTGTAGTTGACATAGACAATGCCAGCATCGGCCATTCCGGAACCGTCAAAAAGCGAGTCTGCGGCAGTCGAATAAGCTGGGTAACTCCACATGACAACGGGGCGCTTCTGCTTGGTGGAGGTAGCCGAAGTCCAGATGTTGAGGTTCAAACAGTCTTCGGAGATGGTGTAGCCCGGACTGGATGAGGTGGAAGGGCAAATGTCGCCATAGCTCTTTGCGTAGAGGGTTGTATTCCAGTTGGGGGCAGGCTTGGGAGCTGCCCATCTGTTCTTTCCAGCAGTCGAGGCAGCATATGGAATGCCTTTCCAGACAGTGATATCCTTCCAATTGGTAAGATTGCCACTGGGGGTCGAGTTGAATGCAGGGTAGCCTTGAACTTGTCCGAAATTGGTAGTAATGACATCCTCGTACAAGGCTGCATTCGCAGCGCCTGCCATCAGGCCGAGAGCAAGATGGTTTTTCATTGAGCCGATGAACAAAGCGTGTTGATTGATGTAGAAACAAAGAGGTGCGAATGTAGAGGTGATGATGCCAGTGGTACTGGGGTGTGATTTCGAGAAACTAAGTGAAAGGCGGTTACCTCTTTATATCTACGATATCGTCAATGCTCTGACTACTCTCATCAACCGAAACCGATCCACGTTGCTGACGACTGCAAGTGCATTCTACTCAAGGATAAGGCCTGAGCATGGTGATCGCAGGCCATTTGGAGATGCAAGCCGACAGATCTCAAAGCACTGTGGCTGCAGCTGACGACTGCTCATGATGCTACTGCCAAGAAAGGCATGGAGGTTGGTAGCACGGTTCGCGTTGAAGCAGCCAGCATTTCGAAGATAATGTTGGTGGAACAGAAATCTTGAAGATATCACGGGGCTGTAGTTATAGCGTCTGTCTTCTGATTCGCCTGTTCGCTTGAACGGGTAGGAACGGCTAGTGTTGCCCTAGAACAACATCTGAATCGATTTGCTCGGCTTTGAGGTGCGTAACAACAACGTTCGACTGCGTCCTCTCCTATGCCAAGATCTGTCGCGGAGTCAAGCGTAGAATTGCAAAATATCCTTTGCAATCAACAATATCACACTTGAAAAGCCGCTGCCGTCGACGTGACGAAGAATGGCGGTGCTTGCGGGATGGCTCCGTGCAATTCGTCAACGAATCACAGGACGAGTCAGAACTCGAGAGTTTGAAAGACCGTGTTTTCGGGATGAGCAGGTAGATAGATAGCAGCATCTACGAACCTCCACTCATGGCCTTGAAGCGTGCTTCTGCAGCTCTTGCTCTACGCTCTCGCTCAAGCTTCATGCGCATCTCTGGTGTCATGCCCCTAGCCTCTTCTTCACGCTTCTCTTGTGCCGTCTTCTCAGGCAGTACCTGCGCCAGTGTCTTGCCCTTGCCAAACTTCTTCTCTTTGCCCTGCTCTTCTCTGATCTTATCTTCGTTGCGTAGCCTTTCGGTCTCGGTCTTTCGCCTTTGCTGTTCTGCTGCATCTTCTGCTGCCTTTTCGGCCTTCTCCCGTTGCACACGAACGTCGTAATCTGCTTTCGATAGGGCGGCGGGAACACCTGCAGAGTCCCAGTCAAAGGCGCTTTCACCCAGCTCTGAGCGAGCCAAACGGAACGAGTCACGAGTTGCGCGATCGCCTGCAATCTCGAAAGCAGTCTTCCCTTCTGCTGACTTGACTGTCGGATCGGCCTTTACTTTCAATAGTAATGATGATATGAGGGCGGGTGCATTGAGCGATGCGGCGAGATGCAAAGGCGTAGGAGCGTGGTGGTTTTGTGGGTTGTCTTTCGGGAAGAAGGTGAAATTGGGCGAGAGGTTGTTGGATGTGATATAAGAGACGAGAGCGGGAGCTTTTGAGCGACGGACGAGGGCTTGTAGTTGAGTTGTATGCAGGGTGGCTTCCTCCTCCTCTTTACTCGGCTTGACAGGCTTCGGTGTAGCAGGTTTGGCAGCAGCTTTTGCTTCGGCAGCTTGGCGGGCAGCTTCCTCCTCTTGGGCTTTGCGTGCAATTGCGGCTTCATCGATGGTTGATACCTTGACTCTTGTGAGCTCGACGAAGGAACGCATGAGTTCAGCCTGGGTTGCACGGCGAGTCGCAAATGGGAAGCCTCTGATCCTTGGGTCTCTGGATTTCAAGACCTGGTCTTCGTAAGGACCGAACAATGTGCGACGATTTGTTGTGCCAGTGGCGCGGACGAAGACAAGTTCGCTGCTGTCGATCCAGACCTTCCAGTCGTGCAGCAATTGACGCACTTCTGCAATCAGAGCAGCCTCATTGTAACGACGGATACCAGCGCCGGCCGAGTGAGCAGCACCTTTGGCACTATCGTTGGCCGATTGAGAACCACCCTGCTTACGACGAGTCGTGTAGCGATGGAAGGTCTTGTGTGCGAGCACGGTCGCGGTGCGATCCTCAACACCAGCCTTCTTTGTCATCTTTGGCGTCAGAGACACAACCATTGCGGCAAAATGACCACCTCCAATCATGCACAGGAAATAATGCGGCCCGGCGGCGGACGTGTCTGGTTGGAGAGAACGAGGGAGTGGGACGCCGCCAGACTCTTCAGTAGGGGCCGATGTTGGTTGTGTCGGCGGAGGCTTGGGAGAGAGCTGCTTGTCCTTGATGGTCTGCAGGATGGTCGTGGGGTCTCCAACTTGGATGGCAGGAGGAAGAAGGGTTCGGTAGACACCAAGGGCGACATTCGAAGGCAGCTTGGAAGAAGAGAACCACAAGAGCGGCGGCTTGCCTGCGCCCACCTTTACCTTTGTCGTTGTAAAGGCGTCGAAGTCCGCATCTGCTATGTTTGCCTGCTTCTTGAGGAGGGCGCTCAAGGTTGTGTCTTTCTTGCCGCCGTCGTCGCTGCTGGCCGAGTCGTCGCTGTCACTGCCCGAGATGCTCTCATCCAAGTCTCCAACTAGCTTCTCAAAGTCATTCTCTCCCACAGCCTTCAGTCCACGCATCTTCTGTTTCATGTTGTATCCGTGCAGGTCACTGCGCACATGGCTCCTCTGCTCTTGCACACTGGGAAACGACAGTCCGCAGAGTCCACATGACGTGGCCGACGATGGGCCATCTTCGTTCTCACCTCTTCTGCCGGAGCTCGTAGCTGTTGAGTCGGCATCATCGGGTACTGAGACAGCAGCATTGTTTTGTGCCTTGAGTTCGAGCGTCGTAAGAAGTTCTTGCGGAAGATCGAAAACTGCTTCGGCGTTAGTACGAATGTGAGAGCCTGCGCTTTAAATACCTACCATACAGTGGGCGCTGAAGGAGTGGCTCCGTAGTTTGTGACATTTTGCGACAAGGTTTGTGTATATTGCAGTGAGGAATACTGACGCGCTGTCGGAAAGTCGTTTTGGATTATGCAGACGTCATCGCTTGTCTGCTCCTCACTGCCGGGGCAACCCTGCTTGTCATATTCCTTCTCATGATTCTACCCCCTGATGGTTCTCGATCTCCAATTCACAGAATCATGGCTTCGCTCTGCCATTATTGCGCTACAATCAGAGCATCTCTGCAACAGCTTCAACGCCGAAGACTTCCAACAGATGGCATCGCAAACTCTCAAGTCGCAACAATCGCATCACGAGAATGTTGCCATAGAGGTAGACTTCTTGTCCGAGCTTGGACGCACGAAGTCAGTTGAGGAGATGCATGAGACGAGAGAAAAGGCCATCAAGGAGAAGAAGGAGTCGAGTTACTTCGGCTTCAGAATTACAAGACCGCAGGCGATGCCCAGGAAGGTCAGAAGGGTCAACTCTTGGGAGAGGCAGGATGATGCTTACGGAGGATTAATGTGAATGAGCTACGAGCATCGCCGTCACCGATGGGCAGGTGGAAAGTGCGGGATGAATATGCGGGGTTGGTGGTTGCGTCAGAGGATCGGCGCTGCAGTTGGAGTAATCGGGGTACACCAGGTAGTTGGAGTAATATTTGTAACGATGACACATGATGCCGACGTCGACATTAATAACACTTGGAATCTCATCAATTGCTTCTACTGAACATCAATTCCAAACCGAGCAGAAACAAACATGTCGTCGAGTCTGAAGCCTCTCGTCCTCCACGCCCACACTACCGGGCCCAATCCAATCAAGATTGCCATTGCTCTTGAGAAGCTCGGCCTCCCTTACTCGGTCAAGCTTTGGGAGTTCGGCGATGACAGCGAGAACGGACTCAAAGGCTCCAAGTTTCTTGCCATCAACGAGAACGGTCGTGTACCCGCTCTTGAGGACCCCAACACTGGAGTCGTGTCATGGGAGTCTGGCGCCATAATGAACTACATCAGACGAAAGTACGACACCAACAACCAATTGGGACCTCAGGGAAAGAGTGAACAGGACATTGTCGACTTCGAGAAGTGGGAGTACTTCCTACTTACGACTTTGGGACCAATGACTGGACAGACCAACTGGTACAGGTATGTTTCAATCTCTAGCTGTTAAGATTCTTCCCGATGCTAACAAAAGTAGACACTACAACGAGACCAAGAACGAGGATGCTTTGAACAGATATGTAGCACAGACACACCGCTGCTATCAAGTTCTCGAAGGCCAGCTGAAGAAGACTGATGGCGACAGTATTCTGCCTGGAGGATATACTGCTGTCGATGCACACTACGAGCCTTGGGTTCGTCAGCATGCTTATGCAGAGTTGTCGCTCGATGATTACCCATTGGTCTCGAAGTGGTTGAAGAAATATGGAGAGACTGCGGAGGTCAAGGCTGCTTACAAGAAAATTCAGGATGCAGCTTCGTAAGCTGAACAAATGCTCTTCTCCACCTTGATAAGAACTACAAAAGTTTTGTCACATTTCGCGGCTTCTAAATCTTCAACGGGACAACTGTCATGTATCTCCACAGCTGCTTTTTATGACGAGAGCAGAGCGGAAAGGAGTTTGTAAAAGGTGAACGTGATTTTGAATGATTGAACAACGGTGAGTAGATCACGAAGATGAACATCCTCTACTCGCAAAGGATCTCGAAAGCAGACCACGAGGTGTAATAAGGTGCCTTTCCACAACCAACCGCATTTCCAACCTCAACACCTGCAAAAGGCCACCCATGCACCTCATTTCCTAGCACGAGGCCACAGCCTTGTGCCGAATGAGCGAGAACATAACCTGTGTTCGATATTAACATGCGTAACTACAGCAGAGAAACCCGGATACTTACAGCCAGCAGTGCCAGACTTTGGCGTCGCGGTCAAAACTGCTGTCAATGCTCCACCATATTGCAAGCCAGTGTTGGGGATTGTGCATTGAGCTTCTGTGACGCTGAACGTGGTTGCTGTGCCTGCGCTGCCATCTGTGGGAGGTGCCTTTGAGATGTTAGATTCAGCGAAGACTTTGAAAGCAGTCAGGAGGTCTTACAGTGCCAGGCGCAGTACACTCATATTGGCTGTAGATGGTGACTTTTGCTGAAGCAGGGCCACCTCTGGTAGCACCGCCGTTCTTGCGAGCTTCTAGGGTTGGGGCGGCAGTGGTAGACATGGCGAGGAGGGAAAGCACAAACGGTGTCCAGGCTGAGGAGTACATTGTGATAATATGGATAGTAAGTTTTGAGGCTTTGTGATGAGGATGAGATTGAGAGAGGTGTTTTTGAGGCTGATGAGTTTCTTACAGGGGTGCAGTTCCTACTTCTTATATCTGTACCTACTGGAGACTAGAGTTTGCGGGAGTTTCTACAGCACAGAGACCATTCATGGACTCCGAGACTTTGCCTCAAGCCAGCGGATATTGCTTGTAGAGCCGGTGCAACATTTAGCAGTCAATGTATGATATCGGGGTCGAGACTTTGAGCTATGCAGCCTGATGCATCCTTTGGAATGGCCAAGCTTTCTAGATCCGCCATGGGCTGTACGAGGTTGGGCCATTACCACTGTCCACTGTGGTCAAAGCAGTACGAGTTTCCTCTTTCGACAAAGCATGTAGTATAGCAGTGATAGAGCATCCAGCAAGCGCAGCCGCACAGTCGGAGCTGAACGATAATAGAGTCGTTTGACGATGGCCTAAAAGGTCAAGGTTTCTTACACATCCACACCACCGAAGTCGGCTCATATGAGGCTATACAATAACTGTACAGCAAAATCACGAGATGTCCATCTCAGCTGCAACAAGTATGTAGGTATTTTCGAGGGCTAGAGCAAGGCAATGACTACATGCGGTTAGTCAAGAAGCCTTCAGATCGGCCCCGCCTTCACCTCACCCGACCTCCGGACCTACAACTAAGTCTTGTAAAAGCATACCTATCTTCTATCCAGTTCTGACCTCCGGTAAAGCACAATAACTTTAGTGCCTGAACGACTTGGTGGAAGGCGCATCAAATTGGGCGTCCTCAATTGATGGTATCCGTGAGCCTAATTAATTTCCGACACACAGCATCCGGAGACTTTGCAAATCAAAAAATCCCATCTCGTACAAGTGGCTTCACGTGAAAGGGACCTATGGGAATGCAATATGATTTTGAAGGCTGAGACATTAGTCGCGGAGAGAGACTCCTCTTCTTGGCTCTCATCAGCAAGCATCGAGTTGGAAATAACTATGTATTTTTTATAGCCACACTTTGACCGATAGCCATGAGTAGGGGAGCCTATTCTTCCTTTGCTCTTTGGATACGCTCGTTGTAACGACCTCGAGCCTTCGCATACCATGCCAACTGGAACATTGTAATTCCACCTACGACCAGGCACGTATAATTCATGTTTGCAGCTGAAGTCAACATCAGTATTTCCGTGAGTATTTCATATGGAGACGGCCAAGACTTACCAGTGACGGGCTTGTAATAGGGGAAGGAGAAGAAGACAATCGCGAAAGCCAGCCAACACACAGTAACAGCGTTGACCACAAAGCCTCTGATGCCATGCATATGAAACACGCCCTTGTACATGTTTCTTCGACCGGTCAACAAGTTTGTTAATATCGGGACCAAGTAGGCGCAGTTGTTGATCGTAACAGCTGAGCCAAGCAGCGAATTGAAAGCGGTGCTGGAACCGAGGTATAGACATCCGAGTGCAGCGACGATCACCGTGACTGCCAGTTGTGAATTCATAGGCATTTGCAACTTGTGATTGACCTTTGACCAAGTATTTGAGAAAGGTATGGCGCCATCCCGCGAAAAGGCCCAGAACATGCGGCCTGTCGATAGTTGCGACGAGATGACGCAGGGTCCCAATGCAATGAAGAGGATAAAAGTCAAGCCGAACGCTCCGCCAGCATTTCTCGTAACCTGATGGAATAACTCTGCAAGAGGCAAGCCGGTATTCGTGCTCGACAAGGCTGCATAGTCTTGCACAGAGAACATTAAAGCGATGAGGTAGGTAATACCAGTGACAAAAGCAATACATAAAGTAATAGCAATTGCGAGTGGTGCATTTCTCGATGGATTAGGCATCTCTTCTGTCAGATGTGTCACTCCGTCCAAGCCACCCAAGCTGTATAGAGGATTAACAAGGCCAGTGATGAAACAAATGACTTGATTTTCCCAGCCAGTCTCGTTGATCCATGTCCGGAATACGAACTCAGAGTCTTGATGCGCGGGTGCACATGCCACCACAGTGACCATGACCGCAAACCATCCGAATTGAAGATAGAAGAGTGAGAACTTGTTCAAAGCCGGGATGATTTTGTTACCCCAGATCACAACAGCGGCGGTAACGATATTCAAGACCTGATATACGACGAAAGTCTGCCAGGTCTGAATTGTCATTGTAGGGCGGTACAAAGCGACAAGAGCCATCAAAGTCTGAGCATAAATTAAATTCGTCGAGGCAGTCGTGAAGATCCAGCCGGTGACCGTGAACCACCCCGTCATGAAGCTGAGGAAGCCCCTTGATCTCTCCGGAGAGACTGCGGCAATCCAGTGATACATGCCGCCGCTTGTTGGATAACTCGACACAAATTCGGCGAGGGAGGCACCCAGGAAGGATTGAAGTACGGCAATAAGAATGAAGCCGTAGATGACTGCGCCAGGTCCTCCAGCTCCAATTTCGGTCGCTAAGCCTAGGCCAAGTCCTGTCCAAGAGATCGTACATGTTGAGGCAAGTCCGATCAAACTCAGCATACTGAAGTGTCGAGCAAGCTCTTGTGTATGACCTGGCGGAGTTTAGCCACATGTTATATTTGAGGAGAGACTACTTACCCATTTGCTGCAGACGCAAGTCATCAGCGTCGCGTATCTCGCCCTTCTCATGACTGTATGCATCCAGTGCAACAATACTGCTACCGGTTGTTTTTTCTGCCATTTTCTATGTTCACAAACCTCAAGGTAAACGATCAGGAGGGGTTGTGTGTCTAAGTTGACTTATCTTTTTACTGAACATATTCAGTAGTGTTTCTTAGAGCCGAAGATAGGCTAAGAATATATAGCAAGGCGAAGGATTCAAATTACGATAAAGTGGCCGGCCGAGTGTTGATAGCGGGGCAGGCTGCAGGTGATAGCGCGATGCGACCTTCTTTGCAGATCTGCTACCATACTATCTTTCCATCTAATCCAGCAGGTCCCTGTGTCGAGATATAGTGTCATAAAGTTTGTGACAACAAGGTGTGCGTCCCGATTCATTCTCGGATAGTCTTATGGTGATGATGAGTACAGAGCTCAAGAAGAAGAATAAGGGAGCTCTCAAGTGCGAAATGCTGTCACTATTTGTAGCTGTCTCAAGGCACAATGACTTTTGGACTTGCGGCGATGTCGTCGGGATTGTCATTTCAGCGTCTCCACGTGCTAGGCCCGGCGATATGATACATAGCCATGCCTTTCCACAGCTCGTCGTTGCTCTGCTTCAATCAACCTGAGAAAAGAAGTGACAGAATTCAGCGCGTGGTGAGGCGGGAGAAACAGCTGCAGCAAATGCCGATGCGATGCCGACCCCGCTGTTCGAGGTCGTAGGGCTGATGGACCTCCAACCACCTCGCCTTTTCGGTTACATTCAACCCGATCATACCAAGACGGCCTATCATAGCGTTGTGTCGTAGCTTGGCCGGCAAAATGATACGCAGTAATCGTGGCGATCTCGGCTGCGCCATGGTCGAAAGTCGACTTTGACACAGTATACAAGGAGGTGGTGACTTTCAATAAGTCGCCAATCATCAAATCCTTCAGAACATCAATGCCGTCTTTCGTCAACATTGCCGCAGCATTGACAGCGTTTAGTTGTCAGATATCATGCTCCTACGTCAGCTCTTTATCACCCAATGCTCAGGGAGTCCTCAATGAGTCAATGAGCTGGATGGATGATTACTACGATCCTGCTGCTGGTTATCTTTACAGTCTTGATGCTGCGGCCGCTCTTCGACACGACACTCGGAGTTCAGCCTGGTATGCCATCGGTCTGTTGGCGAGAAATCAAGGCGACGATGTCAAGAGTGCTGAGACGATATTGATGAATATCGTCGACGGCCAGTATAAAGACCCAGCAGAGCAATGGTATGCTTCATATTCCGCTTATATGATCTTTGTTGACTCACAAAACCAGGTTTGGAGATTATCAGAAGGAGCCCGAAGAACCGTATGTGGGCATTGAAGCTTATCCAGCTGATATATACGACTCATGGGACCCCAACTGGCGTGGCTTCGTTGGCACGACCTTCATTATTGGTCTCGAAGAGTTTCCTCATCTTCTAAGCGAGAGTGTAACCAACCTCCTTCTTGAGTCTCTGCACAACTCAACCGTGGGTGATTCATATCGTGTGGGTGGAGTTGACGACGACAACCTCTACCCGGCATATAGCAATCCTTCAATCATGCGTGCTTTCGTGTCGGGTTGGACTGGCCGTCGTCTCAACGACGCCAACTTCACCATGGCTGGCGAACATTACGCTCAAGAGATTGTGGATCTCTTTACTCGTGCCGATACTTTGTCCGAGTTCAACTCTGGTACTTATACTGGCGTCTCTCTCTTCGGACTCACGCTGTGGGCCAAATATCTTCCCGAGGACTCTATCATGTCACACTATGGCGAACGAATGATCAAGGCTACATGGGAAGCTGTTGGTCAGCTCTGGCATCCTGATTTAAAGAACATGGCCGGTCCCTGGGATCGATCATATGGCTTCGACATGAATCAATACTTCAGTCTCATGGCTCTGTGGTTCTGGATCATCATGGGCAAGGAAAAGTCGTCCTTGATTCCTCGTCCTCAGGTCATGTCGCACAGCGCTGACTTTGCGTATGGGCCACTTTTCGCCATTCTCGGCGAGTTTCAATCCTCGCTGATTCCTGGAGATGTCTTGAATGCTTTGACCGAATTTAGAGGCGAGCACACCTTTAAGTCTTCAACTTTCTCACCACCTTTTGACACCTATCCACGTAACATTACTACTTGGATGGCTTCCAACATCAGCATCGGTGCTGAGACCTTTGATGAAAATGTCATTGGTGGGCCCGCGATCAACCCAAGCACGTTTAATCCTGCTGTTATCCAGTGGAACACTGGTGCTGGTGTTGGATATATCACTGTGCGTATCTCCTCCAACCAAATATCCTCTTCCCTACTAACCTTCCAATAGCTCCATGCAAGCGAAAACGCAACAACAACTGCTGTATCGCCTAGCCGACTTGAACTGTCCTATCCCTACGGCAACAGCTCCTCAATCTTCAGCTTCCTTGTCTCAACCTTCGCCAACAAGCGAAATGTCAAAACCTGGGCGGACATCCAGGGTGCAAATGTCAATGTGACCACGAATGCGAATGCGTCGTACAGCGTCACGTTCGCAGGTGCATACGGTGGTCAAGATGAAGTTATCAATGACTTTGAATACTGGAACTTCACTTACTCTATGCCTGTCAGCTTCACTGGAGTGCCGATGATTTCGTTGGATGTTGAACTTTGGTAGATATCGCGTCATTTGTGGCCATCTGCCGGAAGCAGATATCATGTTTTCGGTACACTCACTGGGTGATACTGTACTCTGAGCAAGCAGTTATGTCGTGACCGAGCCTATCGAAATGCACAGTGATTTCCAAATGCTAATCAGGTTTATCGGGAGCTGATCAAATCACTGCTCCCCGCGATGGTCATCATGAATACGAAAAGTATGGTGCATTTCGACAGACTGATAACAGGCTTTTCCTTTCTTCTGGAAATCTATGGTGAAACGCTACAGTACATTCTTCTGTCCATCCTCTCAATTCTCCTTTTGTCCACAAGAGACCTCATTACTTCCGTAAACCATAGGAACATCATCACCACACTAACAACATTGACACAATTCCTCCTTACGACTTGCAGGTGCGGCCAGGCGGGTGAAGGTGGTACACGCAGGGATGGTCCTTGGAGTCCGACTGAGTACCACCACGGTTCAACGAGACAAGAATGGAACAGACAAGCGATTTGGGCCATTTGTCATAACTCTCGAAGTCGAACTGAATCTCGCTAAGAATGACGGCATGGCTGATCAGGAGTCTGAATTTGTTCTCAGCATCGACCAGCATCAACACACTGTCGACCTCAGCAGCGGCGGTGAAGAGCTCATCAGCAGTGATATTCTTGGCGATGATGGCATCAGCAATGGTGTTGGTGAACGAAGGGGCCTGAATGTGAGCACCAAAGCGCCAGAGCTTCACGAGAGTCTTCAAATCAATGCCATGGTCAAAGTGAGGGATACCTACTTCGTCCTTGGCACAAATGCTTCGACAGAAGATCCAGTAGCGGAAGACCGTGAAAGCGGGATCATTGGTGATGTGAGCGACCTCTACTTTATTGCTGTCGCTCTCCGAGCTGAGCATGGTAGCAAAGTAGTGTGAGTAGTAGCACAAGACTTTCTTGTGAACACCGCCTTCCAGGAGACCATCAAACAGTTCACCTTCAGCGAATTTTCCGACAACAGTAGTAACACCCCAGCCCTCTGGGACAGGACAGCAGTCGTTGATGAGCTCTGCCTCGCGGCAGCTAGCGCTAATCTCCACTTCGGCGGCGGGCAGCGCAGCTTCGACTGTGACAGGTGAGTCAGGGCACGATGGAGGTAGATAATTGACCTCAGTGGCCTCGGGGACTTCAGAAATCCATTCACTAGCCTTGGGATCGAGGTTCTTGCGCTCCTGTTCGGAGATTGTGTTGAGCAGCTTTGGCTTAGGGGATGTATCGGCGTCGTGCTCAACTTTGATGATTGCCGAGGCTGTATCAGACTCGGTATCGTCCTCGACAGTTGCAATATGTGCTGAGGGGCTATCCTTCAGGATGGATGGCTCGGGATCAAGAGGGGCAATAGCTACGGGCGTTTCTGGACCGCCATCAGACTCGGAGTAGGCATGGTCGACCGAACATTGCGACGTGGCGATGCCAGTGGGCGACTCTGGCAACTTTCCGACCCGGGCAGATGACTCTGGCAACTTTGTGACTGAAGCGGGTGACTTCGAGGTGAACGAATCTGAGGTGGATGCAGTCGACTCTGCTAGGGTAGGAGCAGGCGACTCAGGTAGGGGAACATCTTCTGCGAGTGCTTGGAGACGATGGTGTGGGCCGGGCTTGCGCTTGGGCTGAGCAATCCCGACAGGTGTAGCAGCGTTGGAGCTGGCAAAGCGCTCGAGGAACGAGTGAGGGCCCAGGCCTTGAGCGAGATGAGCGGTCATAACGTTGACGTCGCCGTTAGTCAGATCGGCGAGAGAGGTGCGCATCTTAGTGGGGGGTGATTCTTCGTTTTGTACAGATGCATCAGCGCCCGCGTGGGTGGTAGTGTCTCCGACGGTGCTGACAGCATTCACCTGTTGAGTGAATGTTTGGACAGCGTCAGGTGAAGCGCCCCAGGCAGCTTCAACGGGTGCGTCCCAAGACATGTCGGATTGTGAGTCGAAGATCTGGTTGATATGCTCACTTGTGGTAGTGATATGACCGATGCCGTGGATATACGCGTCAAACGGGAAGGGTTGAGTCTTGCCGCGTTGATTGCGCTGCGCGGTCGGTTGCCAAAGGTTCAGGCGCTCGGCGAAGTGAATTGATTGCGGGTGAGTGGCTTGGGCGCGTAAAGAGTGAAGACAAGCGCTGTTGTAGGTGCTGAGCATGTTAAAGTAGTCAGGAAAGTGTGCTTGGGAAGATGAAAGGCAAGTAAGCTTGTTGATGACAATCAAAGGAAGGTGCGCGCAACTGTGCAACTGGGCAACAACAATCGACAATTTACCGCGAGTGGAAGTGACTGCCCATCTCGAGTGAAAGCTTGAACTTGCCGGAAGCAACCACAACTTTCTGTTTGTCATTTATGACTTCTTCACTTTGCTGTTGCTCTTGACCACTGTCCGTTGCCTCCCTCTCCATGTGCGAAAGACTGTCACACTTGTAGCTGTCTCAAAGCACGAACTTCTTTGTATCTGGAGCCATCACACCGAGACACCTCTTTTTGACTACTCCCTGCGTGAGGTGTGTCGATACAAAATACGACTGTGCCTTTCTACAGCTTGTCGTTGCCCTGATTGAGTCATTGTAGAGAGGGTCTGGCAGTATTTTGTACATCAGTCCATTGGGCACCTGACATATGTAGCTTGCAAGCAGCTCACACCAACACTGCGAAGCTTATCCAACATCGCCATTTCGCCGTATGTGCCGTAAGCCAATCAATCCCGCCGCTTCACAAGACACGCACCGAAAGGACATCAGGCAGACTTGATTTGTGGTCTCGCGGAGTCAACTCCTCTTTTGCCCTTATAGAACAGACGAGAAGCATGGCGGACGTGAGAATAAGACAGAATGGCCGTCTATCAGATCCACATCTCTTCCGGTCGTCGACACCAGTCGCTCTGGACGACATGAATACCACTACTCTCGAGATCTGTTAGACTCTGAACAACATGATCGCACCTGACCAAGAACGGCTTTTCTCCATCAGCAAGGAGTGTGAGTTCGCGAAGCCCAGGGAAATGCTCCTCTTTTTGCATCGCGATCATGGAGAGTTCATCAAACAATCGATGCGCTGGATCAGATGCAAGACAATTGTCTGCGTCAAGGTCCAACTGGGATGGTCGGGGATGCCAACTGGTGAGTATTGTGAAGCGAAGAGTGAGCTGCCGTAGGGAATTTGGTAGACCAATGTAGAACGGGTAGCAAAGCCTTGACTGCGACAGTCCTCTAGAGTGTAACAATAGCTCGACAGGGACATCGAGGCTCGATAAATTCACAAATGGCTGGAAGAGCTCCCCAGTCCTAAAAGGCAGTATCCAGTGTCTGCCTAGACCAAGATCAAACTTCAGTACCTGCAGCGACAGTCTCAACGGTGCAAGCACATCGATAGCAGCATCGACAGCATCTGATATGTCGCCCGTCCGCCTAAGAATGCCACGCCAATAGGGTTCACACTTCGAACGTACAGGCGAGTAGTCCAACTTCTTCAGCTTCTTCGGCCATCGGAACAGGGGACTCATGGCTTGGATAAGCGGGCCACTTTCGAGAAGATAGAGTTCTTGTACATTCGAGATATCATGCTTGTCATGTAGGGCGTCTGGTATGGGTACTGGGAATCTGAAAGCAGGTCGATCCGGACTGAGAATGTTCCGCATTACAAGTCTCTTGATGACGGGAAGCTCAAACGCTCTGTATATATCTTCCCAAGCGTATCGATGAGGAAGCGAGAACTCCAAGGAAGTTATCGGCGGCAAGTCATCTTTCAGCATCGCTGTGACATTCGCTAGGGAGCTCAAGTTGAGATGAAACTCACGCAGGCGAGTACATTCACTTAGCAGTAGCGCGATCTTGAAGACGAGATGATCTGCAATTGGCCTCTTTTTGCCGACGAGCACGTCTTTGCCACCTTCTTCCACAGGCTCATCAAGCCAATCGAGTCTGATGACTCGAATTAGCCGTTTCCAATCAATGTCATCACGCGTCAAGACCTGGTAGAACACCGGTAAGTTGTATATGATGCCCAGGAAGTCTTCATTGTGATCGATCGAATGTTTTGTTCCCACTGTGCGAAGCAGCAGTGTATGGGCTTGCGTGCGCAGGAAGGGAGACACGCGGGCAAGAACGACCAAGCTTTGTTGCGGACAAAATGCCAATATTTCAGCCCAGATATCTTGAGGAAATGTATTGTCCGAGAATGGCATGGTCGACCACGCCGGCTGGCGGTGTGTTGCTGATCAATGATCAAGATCAGTCCGAAGACTTGTGAGGCAATAACAACAAGCTGATGCAGCTGTCCTTGAAGTGGGGCGCGGGCCATCCCGCTGCGAAGCGGCTACAGTTGCCTTGTTTCGAATGCCCGTAACCTATACTCGTTACTATTGCATGACAACGTCAAACCAATAGGCTGCCTCAAATCTTCCGCTGTTGTCGAGTAAAGACCAGATCTTTCTCACTATACCAAGCAATTTGGGCAATCTGTCGCCTGGAATAGACTGCTGTGAAGTACTCAGCCGCTTGACCACAAAGTCGCGTGCATCCATGATCTGGATATTCTTCTCGAGCTCAGCCAAGCCTATGCTAGATGGGAAGGTGGATGACACGGCTTCTCTTCCGAATGGCGTTTCCTTGAGCTGAGCTTCCTCGATATCCAGTTGCGTGTCAGGAATGAATCTGAGCTCACTAGAAGTGGACAGCAACAATATCGTTTGGAAGGGTGTCGTGCTGGACGTGTCAGGTATGGATGACAGCGTGTCTAGAATATGCATTGCCATGTTTAAGCAATGCTTTTCTATCGCAGCCTTCATGGTCTGTGTGTAGTCCTGACCTACATTGTCCTCGTCTAGACCCAAGCGTTGGCTGAGTAGGTCAGGGAAGACACGATATAGCTGAAGCAACGCCGTCTCATGATGACATCTTGCCATCTTGACGAGATGCTCAATTGGTGTAGCAGGATCTCCGGGATCCTCGATATTCTCTACACCAGGTATGGATTGCGTGAACACGCGCTGCTCAAGAGCTACGGCTTCATCCATCAGGTCTTGAAGATCGTCCAGATACCTGCGAGAGGCAAAGGCATGGCTCCTAGACAATCTCCGTTGCCTTTTGACAAGTTGTATCACCTCAAGGAGTGCTGTGCTGATGGAGTTCGCCACACCAGTAAAAGGGTGAGGATAAATGCTTGTTGTGTGGTCGTCTTGAGCGATTCGAATTTGCATTGGGATGGAAGGGAGACAATAGACTTCATCTGTACAGGCGAAGAATACCTATAGTCAGTCAGAAAACTTTCCACCTCGAAGATTAAGCCTTCTCGATGCATCTACAAGCGATGATCGGTGTACGTCCTCATCATACATACCTCACAATGTATCTGTAGGCCCCAGAAGAAGCGAAGCTCACGATCGCGGAGTTTCGGGGCCTCGGTTGTGCTTTTGGTAGCCTCAAGCTGCAAGATATCACGCAGTCGTTTCAATGCCTGAAATGATGATGGCACATTCTGACTATACATCCAGCTGATACCGAGCAAGACAAGCGCAAAGAGGTACTTCGAATCATGTCTTCGTTCCTCAGGCACTTCTTCAAGCTGTTGCTGAGTCTGCCTCTGCAGATTCAGAGCCTCATCTCGAAGCGATGGAACTTCCTTAGCCAGAAAAACGGCTGAAAGACCTTGGATAGCACCAATTAGGACGTTGTGCTCCGCGGGACTCCGGGTGCTATTACGCCAAACTTGTGCAATGAGATGATGAAAGGGGTTCTTACCACCATCGTAGCAGGAGAACACGGGGGCAACCCTCTCGAAGTAGAAATTCATCAGAGCAGTGCTTCGATCGACACTCAAGTCGAAGCTCATTGGTGACGGTTCGCAGTCAAGAGGCGCAGAGACCATGGATATGGGCTCGGTAAGGTCGGTCGCCCAAGGAGTGGACGTTGGCCAGTCCAATGACTGATCAAAGCCAGGCATGTACTCGATCGCGGACATTGATGCAAACTGTTCGTCCCATTCAGCAAGCTCATCAAGCACTGCCGATGTGTTCATGAATTGTGGCAGTCCCGAGGACTCGTAGACTGGGCCGCCCATCGTCAAATCTGGACCCATCGCATCGACCAACTTCTCGGCGACGTGATCACTTGACTGACGTCTAGTTCCCTCTTTAGTGGTTGTCCTGGGTTTGGCAATAGTATTGTGACGCCATTCTAGCTTTTTGCCGTAAGTACATGAAGATTTGCGTTTGCTGCATCTCGAACATGCAGGTTTAGACTCGTCGCACTTGACCTGGATGGAGTTTATCAGTCCATGTCTCCTCTTGTAGTCCCAACTAGTATGGACAAACATGTCTGGCCCTACACTCGTGACATCCTGTCGCAGAGCGCACACCTCTTCGCATCTTGCTTGAGTGTAACGTGGTATAATAGCAGACCTCTTATCTTGCTTGGAGCTCAATCAAGGCCAGATTGGTATGTATGTTCGCCGATACTGCCATATCACGTAGGGGTGTGCAGTAATTCGGCAGCACATTTTCTCCTATGAGATTGTCTCGAAGATAAGGTAGCTGAGGGATTACGACCGGCCTCGGACGCTAACCGCGCTGGGGAAAAAATCGCGTCTCGCGAAAGTAACACGTGTATGACAATGCCAAGCTCTCCTCTAACGATAGGGCGGGCCAGGGACGAGCTGAGGGTAAGCAGAGCATCGTTTGCTACTATCTACCTCAACCTTGAGTGAAGAGAAGGAATTTGCCGGGGACTCAATTATCACGAGGTTCCTGGAGATAGAATACTGTCCACAGCCAATCTTCAAGCGCACAGAGGAGATACACTTCGGAGAGTCACTAACTCGATGGTTATCTACACTCGCAAAACAAATCATGAATTGCCTATCTTCACACTATATCGTAGGTCACCCTGCAGTCTCCGCCAAAACATCCATGAGTCCAGTCTCTTCCATCCAGTACAAGAGAATCTCATTCAGACCCTGGCTTTCCAGCTCGTCTCCAAGCAGGTAATCTGTCTGCTCATCCCAAACGATCAAGCCTTGTGTTCCGCGCTCTCTGGAGCCTCTCTGAATTCTCCCTCTAGTCTGACACCAGTCCAGCGTGTATCCCTTCATTCTCGGCATGTTCTCCTCTGCATATTTTGTGGCATCCGCGATCAAAGAGCTCTCCCGATGGGTGGCTCTGACCTTATGCCAGTATTTGCTCGCCTCAGATATACCTTTGGCGCCATACTTTCGGGCTAGCCCATCACGGATCTCAGGGTCAACCATCTGACGTGCCGTCCTTTTTGAGTACCTCGAGATCTCGTCGCATAATGCCTCTGTCTCTTGGTGGACAAAGATGTCGCCTGACTTGTTGGCCGTCTCAATTTTGGTCACGGCCGCGTCAAGCTCGTCGCGCATCTTCTTCAGACGATATAAGGACCATTGACTGTATAGCTCGGGTAAGTTGTCGTATGATCGGAGATTGGCCAACCAGCTGTTGTCCCAACGGCCAATGTCTGCAGCTCTGAACGAGGTTATGGTCGTGATTCGTTCGGAAGAGCCAAAAGTTCGCGCTGCGAGGTGCTTCACCTGACCGCCCTGCAGTATGACAGCTGTGCCCAAACTTGGTCCTTTTACCTGTGGGTAGAGTCAGCTATGATTCAAGATTCGCCTCGATGGTAACTTGCCGCTTGGATGTCTTTTGCACTGATGTAGGTCTCTCCGCCTTTCATATGAGTGGTGTCGCTCAGCATGATTATTGCCACGAAAGGGTAGGAGTCGTAACTGCGAAGATTCTCAGTCGGCTTCTTCAAGTTGAGACAAGCTTGACTTACTGCCATGGAATCACCGACGAGCCCGACAGAGGATCGTAGGCCTCTTCTTCCTTCGTCAATGGGCGAGCTTCTTGCGAAGGCTGGATGGTAAGCTGACTGAGCACGTCTCCTGATCCAGAGACTTGAATATTGGTGTGACCTATCTCCGTGTCCATGATAACTTCGGCTTTGACGCCCAATACGTTCGACACGATCTCAATTGTCTTCGGGTGAGTCCAGAGGTCTCGCACGAATTGGCTGGCTTTAGCTACGTTTCGAAGCGTCACTGTGCCTGGGAAAGGATAACCTGCACACTGTTCGAACACTTCTCTTCTCAAGATGGCTCTTCTATATGCCATCACGCCCTCCATCGATAACAACTTGAAGGGCGTACAACCTGCGATTGGTGTAGTGTACTCGTGTTCCTGGATGCCTAGATCTGCCAAGGAGAATACCGTCTCTGCAGGACTGAACTCAAGATGTATCTGTCAACAGTCAGAAGGTGCAAATTTTTGCTAAGATCTCTAGTGTCTACCTTTGGATCAAAGACATCTTCATCATGAGTAAACGATGCTTCTAGAGATGGCATGGTTTCTTAATCGACTTCGGACTAGTGAGAATTGACAGTGAATGATCAAGAGAAGACAATAGAAGAAGATATCAGGGAAGTTGAGAGGTAGTATTCTAATCGAGTGTATCAATGACTATATGACTATCGTAGATTCCTCCACATCCGTGACGAACCTCGAGACGATGAAGCATCCTCTCTATCAAGTAACACTTTCCGTTTTTCTTCTGCGATGCCGGCGTACAATGCGATTTTTGGTATGGCTATCAGCCCTGTAACTAGGCCCGATTGGGAGCCTCGAGACGACATTCACCCCGCGTCAGAGCCAAGCCCGCCTCAGATAAGCCTCAAGAAGAAAAGGTCTTGTCAATTCGAACCACACGTTGCGTCAGCTAAGAAGAAAAGGTTTGATAGCAATGTGTAGACCTTTATTGGTTGATCGTAATCTCTATCCATGTCAACTCCACTCATGTTCAAAGATAGGCATATCCATAGCTATACAGCTGGGGCAAATGTCACAGCTTTAATAGACTTCGGATGTCCTCCAACCGTGCCGAGGGTCTCGATCACTCTGTTTTGCGTTGCCTTCGCCCTCTCGATTTTTTCCTATTTTCTCTGTTCTCCACGTCCCCCCTATCTCCAGGAAATTATTCGCCATGGCTTCGTCGTCAAAAATAGACGAAAAGTCGATACCCGTCTATGAGACTAGGGATGAAGATGACATCGGTGACGTCGTGTCCGTCAGTCACCTTCATCGTACCCTCAATCATCGTCAGATCCAATTGATCGCAATTGGTGGCTCAATTGGCACTGGACTCTTCGTCAGCATCGGATATGGCCTCATTGAAGGTGGTCCTGGTAGTCTCTTCATCGCGTTCACCATGTACTCCATTTGGCTAGCTTCGGTGAACAACTGTATGGCAGAGATGGCTACTTTCATGCCGGTTGCTGGTGGTTGGGTAAGTAAAACATATGATGAGACTCGCTACACGCTCTCGTAACCCCTGCGGCACTTGCCATACGTCCATTTGCTTTCGAGATCGTTCTTCCGGCCTTGATCAGCATTTTGCGTTGCAATGAACAGAGGCTGTGGGAGTTTGGGATGTGAGATGACAACGTATGCTAATGTGTGCCTGCCTCCAGGTCCGTATGGCTACTCACTGGGTAGACGAGGCGTTCGGTTTCATGTTGGGATGGAACTTCCTACTTTATGAGCTCTGCCTAATTCCTTGTAAGTTCAGATTGACCTTTCACTGATGACTCGGAGCCATCAAATGAGCCTCCCGCTCCTGTCAAGATGCCAGACGTCATCTGTCGCATTGCAGTGTGGGGTCTAAACAATGAGGGCACGCTCGCGAGAGCATCTTCGAAGCAGTGTCTCTTCTGCTCACACTCAGACCTAGACTACACTCTGCGTTGCGACAGATCACTCTGGCGATTGTCGTCGTTCGATGGAGACGCATCTATCCTCAGGAAAGAACCATGCTGACTGTACTCCTTTCTACAGTCGAAATCTCTGCTTTGAATTTAGTCGTTACCTTCTGGAGAGGTACGTATGCTGTGTGTATAATATCTGATGGCTGGACATGTAATACTAGTCGGTGTTACACAAGCGTCTATCTGAGATGTCTTCTGTCCATTTTCAGACTGTGTATGAGACTAGACCATCAGAGAAGTCATCAAGTTCGTGACAGAATAATGCTGACCGCACGTTCACTTCAGACGACGTGCCTATATGGGCAGTATGCCTGGCCTGCACCGTGTTATATGGACTCTTGAACATCTTTGCCGTCAAGTGGTATGGTGAAGCAGAATTCTGGTTGAGCAGTGGAAAAGTTTTGCTCATTCTGATCGTCTTTTGTTTCACATTCATAACTAGTAAGTCAACAGAGCACTATGGCGAGACCTAGGACTGACAATCCCTAGTGGTTGGAGGTAATCCCAAGCACGATGCCTATGGCTTCAGATATTGGCGCAACCCAGGGTCCTTCGCTGAGTATGTCACTACTGGATCTCTTGGACGATTTCAAGGATTCCTGGCTGCCCTCTTCCAAGCAGCCTTTACCATCGTCGGTCCGGAATATCTTTCTATGGTCGCTGGCGAAGCCGTAAACCCTCGTAAAACCATCAAGAGTGCGTTCAAGACGACCTATTGGCGATACGGAATTTTCTTCATTGGTGGCGCCCTCTGCTGCGGCATCGTCACACCCTACAATGATGCTGGTCTTATCGAGAAGCTAAACGGCGATGGAGCCGGCACAGGCGCTGCTTCTCCTTACGTTGTGGCCATGAGCAATCTGGGTATCGAGGTGCTCCCACACATCACTAATGCTCTTCTGGTGACATCGATTTTCTCAGCTGGTAACTCGTATGTGTACTGCTCTATGCGATCACTACATGCTATGTCGATGGAAGGCCATGCTCCGAAGATCTTCCAAAAGTGCAACAAGAATGGTGTGCCCGTTTATGCATTTGTGGTCCCGATGCTCTTCTCTTTGATTTCCTTCCTCTCATTGAACTCTGGAAGTGCCAAAGTCATCACATGGCTAGCCAACCTAACACAGGCGTCCCAGATGATTAATTATTGTGGTATGACAATAGTCTACCTCTTCTTCTACAGAGCTTTGAAGGTCCAAGGAATTTCTCGCACCAGCCTTCCCTATATCGGCTACTGGCAACCCTTCTGCGGTTGGTTCGGTCTCTGCACCATGGTCTTCACTGTCATCATGTACGGCTACACAACCTTCCTGCCTGGCTGGTGGAATACTGGAACCTTCTTCTCCTACTACACCATGATTTTTGTGGCCCTGATCACGTATACCGGCTGGAAGCTGATCAAGAAGTCGAAGATCATCAGACCTGAAGAGGCTGATTTGGTCTGGGAAAGACCATTGATTGATGCTTACGAGGCATCTCTCATTGGTGATCAGTCTACTGGATTTTGGGATGACTGTGTGAAGGACTTGGGTCTCAAAAAACGACGCAAGACTGACGAGTCGATTGAGATGAACAGCATGACCTCATGATCATACTCTGCTAGATCATCGACTGATAGATGTTAATATATAGAGCACCAGAACATATTGCTTCGAATTTGCCTTGCTTACATCATGCCAGTCCATAATAGACCATCTTTGATGTTACAATCTATTCAGGCAGAATCTTACTGTCAAGTAGCCCCATATAGTGATTTCCGAAATAGCAGGGAGTAAGTCCGATATATTAAAACCCTTGGCAAACGGGCTCGAAGTGGCTACTCCAGATGACTACTCCGCACTGTATATATTGAACAGCCTGCTATACTTCTAGCTCATCCTTCATGCACGCCTAGAGTCACCGAAAAGCTCGTACAAGGACTCCCGACATTGCAGTACATATGTCCATGCTCGTATACAATAGACGACTCGGCTTGGCAAGATGCATAGACGCATAGAGATTGATCCACCAGGCAGCGATTTCATGGGTGTATAAAATAGACCAGCTCAGCCAGTTCCTCTTGCAAAGTAAACCGACACCTCAACTTAGTCCTACAAAATGGTCAACATCAGATCATCCCTCACGACTCTTCTCGCAGTCGCTTTCCTCGCAGCAGCTGCTCCTGCATCATTCGAACCACAATCAAACCTCCCCGCCAACCCTCTCGAGAAACGTGCTGCAGACTGCAGAGATGACAACTTTGGTATCTGGAAAAGAGGCAAAGTACACAAAACCCACGCTGGAAATGCATCACTTGTACAACCACTGACATGGATGACTCACAGTCTTCAGATGCAGTAATATGCATCGACGAATTCGCCGCACTGGGCAGCCAAGCATGCGTAGGCACCGTGTCTGGCACTTTGTTCAAGAAATGCGGAAACACCATTATTCGGGGACAAAACAATTGTCGTCCTTTTGATCAATTGACGGCAACCGCGACTTGGTAGGTCGCAATGAAGAACCTACCAAATTATTTGTTACTGACTGTTTATAAAAGCCAGGAAGCTGCACGTGGTGCTGGTCTAATCATGGATAAGTGTTCCAGGGGAGATGGTACCGTGATGGGACAGAATAATGCTTGGGCTAGCAGATGTCTTTCGATTATGATTCTTGGAGAAAAAAGCCTGTATGGGCTAACGAGAAATATTGAGAAGTAATAGTCTTTTATGAGAAACTGGCTTCCAGGCGTGAATCTTCAAATTTATTGTGAAGAATCGAACGCCATTGCGTCTCAACGACAGAATGCCAAGCGAAAATAAGTCCAGAATACTCGTATGGAATAATCTCAGGAGGTCTCGTTGCTCGCCTTGGATCAAAGCATTGGACCATCCACCTGCCGCTTGAATGCGAGTTGCGAGCTGCTGGTTGTGACTGATTGTCCAACGATTCCTGTGCTCTCCGTGGTCTCTTGAAGCATACCAACTCTAGAGCTTGCAGGTCCGCAAATCATTCGTCTTTCTCACGGCGTGCAGGGTGAGTTGGTGCATGGCTAAGTCGGCCAAACGATCCGCGACGGTAGCGTGGATCAGGGATTTCCTGGACTCGATGGCGACGGAGTCCGAGCATGTAAGTGCTGGACCTGAGTCACGGTGAATGTGTAGCAATATAGGGGTAAAGCTGAGCTCATCTGCAAAACCGTTAATCTCGGCGTCAAGTCGTACGACGGCTGAAATCACTTACAAGAGCATCGCATATACTCAGCTCAATCAAACAGGACTGATAGCCTCGCTTCTGCTCGGACTTCTCCAATCACTTGTGAAGTCCGATCGCGAAGGCTGCGAACTCAGAGATCTCTTGTGGTATCGTGCGGCATGGAGCATGCCCTTCTGATTCTTCTGTCTGATTTCTCGCATGTAATCGCTTTGATCGTTGGTGGGTTGCCAGCCGTGGTTCACGCCTTGTTGGTCAAAGTCTTGTCGGCGATAGACCCAGCCCACTGCTCCTAGGCAGCAGACAAATGCGCCGCAGCAAACGATGACGATGACGATGATAGCTCCGTTACTAAGTGCCATGGTGATAGAATATATAGGAAGGCGGTGTAGTTGATGGGTATTATAGGTGTGTGATGTATCCGTTTAGACTAGTAGCGAGAGACTGATGGAGCGAGTGGTATGGAACAGCAAAGGTGTGGAGGTATATTCGCACAAAGGAAAAAGAAAGAGGTGAGCAGACGAGACCTAGCTTGAGTATTTACATGCAGAGTGCTTAGTGGTGCGTAAGCTCGTGACACCAACGGTACAGGGAGCGGAAGGGCTGAGTCGAAAGCTGAAGCCGGAAAAAGCTCGACGCATCTATACCAAAATCGGCAACGACTGAGGCTGAGACGTGACCGTTCAAGGGACAGAAGTTTCCAGTCGTCGTATGCGTATTGGTCAACTCGTATAACGACACAGGGATGCGGAGCTCGGAGAGTTTTTTCTCGACAAACTCGCGGGCTGCAGCCTCGCAACGGTTGCCGCTTTCCGCTGCGTAAACCCTTGGACTCCCTCAATAAGCCTTTGAGCTGGCAATAAAACGGCTTTGGTATTGCCCTCGTGGTGGTGGTGAAGTCGAGTCGACGCGTCGTGCACGTCGATCAGGTGGTGACGATGATGCGAATTGGTTCGATCAAGAGATGGTGCGAGCGGATCGGTCGGAGAACGGCTGCGACTGATTGGGCGTGGACTGATGTGGCTTTGACATGTGAACGTCAACCCGACGCGTCTTCTGTTTCAGCGAAGCAACCTCTATGATTCTTTTTTTGCTTCCAAGTCTACCTGAGTATAAACTAAAGCCTACTTTGCTCCTCTTTTCGGATGGAGGGACAATTGGTACATGTACAGGGGAACAATTGTGGTGACGCGATGACTTCTCCATAAGACTATCTGCTGTACAAGGCCGTTGACGCGGCATTATTAGAGGGGGCCTGAGTGTGAAAATCATGCCACCCTAGACGCGGGTGCAAAATACAACCGGCATCCGACCAAGATGGCATACTGCGCGGATACCATCGGGCACTGACTGGAATATCAAGCACCATAGAACGCCACGAAAGAAGAGAAGCTTAACCACCATGACAGCAGTCGTGGTCCCGTGCTCGATATGAAGTCGAAGCAGTGGTTTGGCGAACGGGAAGAAATGGTTCATGTCAGGTTACTGCAAGGATGTGGTGACTGGCTGGGTAGCTGTCGGGTAAGTGTGTTTTCATCATGTTGAGGATCGATGTTGTTGGCGGAGTACGAGGAAGCATCAGACATAGCTCGGGTCGTAGCGGATCCTTTGGCCGCTCATTGCCCACATGAGATCTCTGTTCTTCTGTCGCACTTCGCGCATGTATTCTTCTTGCACGGCGGCAGGTCTGCTTCGATCGACAGGCTCGGATCGTCTGCCAAAAGACAGAGTGAAGAGGGCGTAACAGCAGAGACAAACGGCGGCGCATCCGAGAATGACGAGGAAGATGACAAGACCGGATGAGATCATGGTCGCGATGCGTCTGAGCCACGATCAAGTTGATTCTCCTGGTTTTGCGATGCAGATGGAAGCTTGGGACATCGGGCAATGTCTGGCGCAATGGTTGGTAGGGAGTTGAGGAATGCAATGAGCTTGGTTGCTGATGTGCCTGACCTTGATCTTGTTTAGCTGGCGCGGGGTCTTGGGTGGTACGGCATACTGACCAGCAGGATTTCAGCCTTGTGGCTTTTCCGTTGGCTTGTCTCAAAGTACCGAATCACCGTATTTGGTCTGGCTGAATGGGTCGTGTTGATGTAGTGGTCGTAGCACTCCAAGGATACTGCGCTGGTCTGTTGTTCAGTCACCTACGTGCACAAGGTAGGAGCTACCGTCATGCGACTGCCACGTTCCCGAACTTTCCGATCTTGTGCGTTTGTCAGAGTATCACAACATCTTATAGGCTGGCTGACTATAGTTATCATCAGGGGTTCGGATGCTTACAGCACCTCCCTCAGATGATGTGAGTACAGAGGATAGGATGAGATTCACAGCAAAGTTTCTAATACAACACTCTTTGCGCAGTAATGTCGATACATCAGATCAGACCGGGAAGCCATCGAGATTTAACCTTGGCCATGTACTCTCTATACTTCTTGCTGAGATCGACTTTTCCATCATTCTTCTCGCCCGAGAGCATTTGATTTTCCTCCATCTGGACACCGCTCCGATATACCCCTGCAAGACCCAAGATGCATAAGCTCAGCGCTGGCACTCTCCAACCAGCGTCATGCCTATCCGCAAGCGCAGCTAGAGCCCCAGTCCATCCAAGAAGATATGCAGTGTAAGCAGGATGGCGGACATGGGCAAAAGGACCAAAATCGATGACGAAGTCAGGAGTCTTGCCGCCAAAGATTGCTGGTAGTCGTCCTCTCTGAGTAGTGTACGCTGTCCAAGTGAAGAGTGAGACGCTCAAGCTCATGAGTGTACTACCTATGATCTGCAGAAAACTCGTGACTGGAGGTGACAGCAACAATGGTGCAGATAACAGGGTACTGATACCACTAAATGTGGCAAGTGCAGCGAAGTGGACTGGGTATGCAAAACCATTGTCAGGCCGGGGAAAATTGACCTGAATCGCATATGCTTGATTCAGCAGAGTACCACAGTAGAGCAACGATGTTGGCGATGACAGGACATCTCTTGGGCGAAAATCACGCACGAGATGAGCTATCATTTCAAGAGTCTCCAGAGGCCCAATGATTGATATCGATTGACTCGTTCCAGATAAAGATTCGAGACAGACCACTTGTGGCAACGTGAGGCCAGAAAAGTTTCTGTTTTGAGTCGTGCTTAACGTTTGGAGACTGCGTGACCGTAAGAGAGGCGTCGGCACTGGAGTGTGCAGTAGAGCGTTTGATACCCGTCAAGAACGAGAAGACGGTAACCCAGGCGGCGATCAAATCAGATAGGGGGTATATATGGGTGACAGGCCCCGGACTGGGCCGAGCCGTATGCGACGAACGACAGGGAGACACCAAAGCTATGTGCAGGCGTTTCAGGTTGGAGTCAAAGGTTCAGAATCATGTGGCTCAAATGATTGCCTGAGGGAGAGACAAGCTAAGCTGCATGTCGTGCACGAGTCGTGACGCTAGGTGGATTCCTCTAGCTGGTATCTGGGCCCATGGTGCGTGGAAGTCTACGCCAACGACAAGGTAGAAGTGGTCGTGATCTGGAAGTATCACAATCCATGGAATCTTGCTCGCGTGGCCCGAGGATTGATCCGCCAATACCCAGAGATTTCTGAAGGATCTCGAAGCTTTCGATCATGTATCTGCATAGAGCTGAGCAGAAGAGTATTGAGGGTGGTAGATGGTGGGGGCCCGAGTATCCCGGCAGTGAGATGAGCCAATCAAAGTAGACATGGGTGCCAAGTCCGGAGCATTTCGAGATTGAGGCTTGCACCTTCCGCAGCAATTCCCCCTCCCTTTCCGTGCACGACTGTCTTGGGGTGTTTGTTTCGTCCAACAACTTGTCTCTGCTGCTTCCCGACAGCTGTCCAAGAAGAGAGAGCGAGCCGGACGAACAACAGTGCGGTCGTCGAATTACAACTATCAATCTCCTTTTCTTCTTCTTTTTACTGCCTTTACTTTGTCATTTTACGCTCAAAACAAACTTTCAACGGCGGCCCAGTGTTTGTCGCCGGCAACCCACAACAACAACATCCCGCAACCGCATAACTTATCATATCGCCTATGCCTCTGATGCAGCCCATTCGCTAATCTTCTTCTCCGACAATCCTAATTCGGTCCCATTCTTGCGTGTCGCGACAGAGTCGCACACCTGTGGCAGCACACAATGGCCACGACCGCCAACCTGTCGTCGAATGGCGACGATCCCTTTGTCAATCCCAATGCCACCCAACCGAGTCCGCACCGCTATGCTTCCTTCGATAATCAGGTCTTCTCCCTTTACAACTCCGGCTCCCCCGCTCAGGCGAAGCGCGCGCTCGAAGCCCATCTCAAGGACACGGAGCGACGCATCCAAGATGCCTCCAAACTCGGCACCACTTTGCTCCAACAGCGCAAAGACTTGGCTGCCCGCTTGAAGGATGTTGAGGAGGGCGCCTCCGAGGAAATCACGCCAGAGCTGCAGAAGAAGTTGGATCAGCTTGAGAAGGACTACACCGAGATTGGCAAGGACTCTGCTCGTGCCTTCCTGCCCAAGTCGCGCATAGTGTCGACAGACTTTAGCGCTGCACCGCCGAGCCCTGCCGTCTTCACCTCCGACTCGCGCACTTCTCCAGTCAAGCGCGGTCCAATCGAAAGCTCCAGACGACAGCGCAATCAGCCCACCAATCGTGTCCACGACATCGAGTTTGCTACCGAGATCAGTACCTCTCTCCTTGCTCAGGTCAGACAGTTGCAAGCAGTCTTGGCCGAGAAAGAGAATGCGCTCAAGGATGCCACGACACAGAAGGAGCAGCTCGAGACAGACATGACCAGTCTAATGCAGCGCCTGCGTATGCTGGATGAAAGCGAGCAAAAGTGCAAGGATGAGAATTGGAACTTGGAAACGCAGATGCAAGACCTGACGGCACAACTGAGAGAAGCCACCGACAAGGAACAGCGTCTGTCGCAACAACTCAAATTTGCACAGGCCGAAAAGGACACTGCCGAACGCGACTTGGAGGATCTCAAGGCCGCACACGGGAAGCTCAGCGACGACCACGAGTCTGTCAAGAAGCACCACGAGGCCGAGCTTTTTACACTACGACGCGACGTCAACAGCCACCAGACGGCTCGCGACTCCCTGCTGGAGAAGGTTGAGGAGCTGACATCTCAGAACACTCAGCTGGCAAAGGCTGTAGCTGCACGATGGAACGCGGATAGTCAGCCCCAAGACGGTCAGCGCTCTCTCGGACGTGACAAGGGCGATTTCGATGTCGCGACTCCTGATGTCTCTCCGCAAAACTCGCCAGTCAAGGCGACTCCCAGACACGGCATGCTCGAAACCGAAACTCTGAAATCCTCGCTCACCCACGCCCATCGTATGATCCAGAACCTGAAGAACAACATCCACAGGGAAAAGACGGAGAAATTCGAGCTTAAGCGCTTGTTGCAAGATGCCAGAGACGAGTTGGACAATAAACGAACTGACGGTGGCGTGGGCCTGTCTGTGAACAAGAAGCGTCGTTCTGACGACAGCGGCATCAAGTTCAACAAGGGCGCACGTGCTGATAAACTGGGAGCCGCTAGATCCGCTAAGCACGAGATCATCATGGACGACGACGAATGGGAAGATCAGTCTTTGATCGAGAGCCCCAGTCGCCCTGCTACCCGCAACATCAGCTCGGGGGTTGTTCCCTTCGGAAACTTCAACTTTGGCAGAACCGCCGGTGCCTTTGGCAAGCCCGAGAGCGCCGACACTACTGATGCATTTGAGACTGCTGATGAACGTGGAAACACCGATGCTTTCGAAACAGCCAACGAAGACGACGACAACACTAACACGGAGACTGAAGCTGCCTTCCAGACCGGCGCTGAAACTATCAATGGCGATAGTAGTGACGACTTGACCGAAACTGAATTCAGCCCCAGCAAAGACCAAGGCTCATCTTCGCGTCCTGTTTCCAGACCTGGTCCATACACAACCAGTAAAGCTGAGAATCGTCTCTCATTTATGTCGACCGCATCAACTTCTGCTGATGAATTCGAGAACATCAAGACGCCTGTCCAGGGTCAGCAGCCAAAGTACAAGCTACGCCTTAGTAAGGGCCGTCGCTCCACCAATGGCTCTGCTCGCAACAGTGCTGTTTTCGCTAGCGACTCCGCCGACAGTCCCGCTAGCCAAGCCAGCCAGAGAACGCCTGTTCAATTTGGTCAAAGTCTGAGCGCCGAATTGGACGGACTCAGTAACGATAGCGACAGTGGCGAAGAGACATCGACCGATGCTGGCATTGAGTCTGCTCCTATGAGTCCTGAGACCGTCAAGAAACCCGCTCTTGCTGAAGCTCCTCTCGTTACGGAAGTTTCAAGGCCCAAAATGGTTGATTCTGCTATGATGACCGAACCTTGGGAGCCGGAGTCCAAGTCTATTGTGGGTACTGCCGCCGGCGCAGTGGGTGCAGCTATCGCCGGTGTCGCCGGGTTTGCACTCGGTAACTCAACTTCTTGTAATGATGACAAGACAGAGCATGGCGCCAGAGGAATCGCAGAGAACAACGTGCAGAGTCCATCTGCCGCAAGCTCAACCATGCCCGGTCAATTCGTTGATAGTGAACCTTTGTTGCAGTCCGCCATGCCAAAGCTATTCTCAGAAGCGATCGAGTCTAGGGCCAATACTTTGCCCGAGGTCAAGGAGAGATTGTTCAAGTCCGTCCCACAAGATCTTGCTACTGTGGCTCCCGTCCAAGCAACACCGCAAGTCTTGAGCATGACAAGCCTCTCAAGCACCCACACCGAACCCGTCGCTGCAGTTCCCGCTCGAAGAGAGGTGCCGCAATTGGCCATGTCGACCTTCTCATCCTCTCATACCGAGCCCGTCGCTGCAACAGTGCCTCTCAAGGAGGCTGAAAAGTTGTCTATGTCCACTTTCTCAACTCATCACACCGAGCCAGTAGCCATGGCTCCTATCATCAAAGAACCAGAAAAGTTCTCAATCTCACAATACGCCACTACCCATACGGAGCCTATTATACCTGTTGTTGAGACCAAGAAGCCTGAAGTCTTCTCCATATCCACTGGTCCTGTTTCACATACAGAGCCTATTGAGCCCGTATCTTCGGCGAAGGCCATGCCGTCGTTCGCCATGTCACCTTCCAAATCCATGTCGTCGGAGCCCGCCTTAGCCTCCTCGCCTGAGCCTGTACAGACCCCTTCGTTGGAGTTCTCTTCTTTCATGACCTCTCACACCGAGCCGCGTACCCCTAGCATGCCACAGCTTGGAAGAGAACCTGAGTCAAACAAAGACATGTTCACATTCTCAACAGTACGCTCTCAACAATGGGAGCCCATTGTGGACGAGGAGTTGTACTCACCTACAAGAAGCAGCTCGAACCGTGCTGAGCTGTCATTGATGAACGGTGATGTGGCTTCCTCCGAACAAGCGGATAGCAGCATCCCAGGTACTGACGCAGCCCGTCCTGGTGCTGCCTTCCTTGCTTCTGGTGCCCAATTCCCGCCACGTACAAGCAGTAGAGATGGTCCTTTATTGCCAGAGCCTCGACTCTTTGGCGGTGCCAAGGGAGTCAATCTTGAAGAACCGACGCTTGTCTTTGCCGATGAAAATCACTCAACACCTCAGATTGAACAGGACAGTCCATTCAGACAGCCGTTCGCAGAGGTGTCCAATAATGTCGGTTCTAGCCAGCGCAGCTTGTCGAACAATGGCGAAAGACCTGCGATCAAACGTATTCCTACTTCCGAAATGGGAACGCAGACAATGGTATCTTCTGACGAGATTGACAAGATGATGCGTCGCAAGACTCCTCTGATGATTCCTGCTGTCAACATTGATGAAGGTACACCACTCAAGCCTGAGAGTCCAAGAAGAGCCTCGGAGACCCCATATGCGGCTGAGGCTGCCAACATCAAAGCTCCTCGTCGTCCTGCCAGTTCGGGTAGCATGCACAAGAACACTACATCGCAACCGCCTCTGCCTCTGGACCACACTCAACGGATTGCTGCAGCTGCAGGACAAAAGAACCTGCAGCCTGGCATGGCCCCTCCACCTGTTCCTGCAGGCTCACTCAACAAGCCCCCTCCATCACTACGCTCACGTACACCAAGCTTCAGCAGATCTATCCAATCTGTACGTGGTACTGCCAATCGCGCCCTTGCCCCGATTCCTGCTGGTCGCCCAGACCCAATGTCACCCACCACTCGTGCTAGTTCTATCTCGAGCTTCGTGTCGGAGGTGGACGAACGTATCCAGCCTGGAAGAGGCGTTCTGTACCCTGAAGACATGCTGCCTGCCACTGATCCCCGCATGATCCAAGCTATCACCCAGACTATGATTGGAGAGTATCTTTGGAAGTACACACGTAAGGCTGGTCGCTCAGAGATCAGTGCTTCGAGGCACAGAAGGTTCTTCTGGGTTCATCCTTACACAAGGACACTCTACTGGAGTGAGCATGATCCTTCAACACTGGGCAAACAGCAATCCAAGGCAAAGAGTGTCGCTATCGAGGCTGTCCGTGTCATTACCGACGACAATGCATATCCACCAGGTCTGCATAGGAAGAGCTTGGTGATAGTAACCCCAGGTCGTGAGATTGTGTTTACAGCCCCTACGGCGCAAAGACACGACACCTGGTTCAACGCTCTCTCGTACCTTTTGCTTCGTACCGGCTCTGAGCGTGAAAACCAGGAAATGACCCAAGACATGGTCGATGAGTTCAACCCAACAATGCGAAGTCAGAGTCGTAATACAGTTCGCACTCGTATGAGTCTGAGTAGCTACAACAGCAGAACGACTCGCAACTCATCGCCACACAGACCTCACGCATCCGAAGTGCCATCGCTTGCCAGACGTCAGCCTGCCGCTGCGTCCCAAAGAAGAGATCTCGGTTCGTCTGACGGATCCCAAGGGCGTATGGGCATCATGGGTGGCTTGTTCAAGAGTCCAGGTGGGAGTATGCGCGGCAGTTTCTCTAGCAAGCGAAGCAAAAGTGCAATGAGTACTCGTAGGCCCCTTGAGCCGACAATCTACGATGCAAGTGTTGTTGAAGATAGCACCGAAGATTTGGGCAATGTCCTCACAGGACACGATCACGACCACGATGGGCTAGAGAATGTGAGAGCGTGCTGCGATGGTAAGTTATGTCGGAAAAGCTCCCTGCCGAGTTCTGTACTAACTTTCTCTAGGAAAACATGATGTTGGTTCACTGTCTAGAAGTGCAGGACGACACGTCATGGGCTCATTGCGACACACCCACACGAATGGTGCGGCCATGAGCAATCAGCTGTTGACAACTGAGCCTCTGCCAGCCTCAACTCGTCAAAGATGACCAGCTCGACATTCAGAGGCTTAAGTTAGCCACCATTTTCGTATCTCTGTTGTTTTTCTGGACGTGTTGTGTTGTGACATGTCATTGGCTTGATTACTTGTCCGGGACCTCTTTTTGCTACTTCCTGCCTCATCGCATAGCTTACTACCCTTTATCTCCTTTGTCTGTTTCATTGCTTTCATTAGATCTGGATTGCAAAAGATCACTCTTAATCTGTTCTTAACGCACCAATTTTCATTCTGCTGTTACTTTTCACCTGGGTGAATATGGATTTGAAATGGTTACGATCATATCAACTAACAATGGTTGAGCCTCGTACCGAGAGAAATGCATGCAGACGGCCGCGCGCCGCATCGCTTAAGTTCAAGTGTTTTTATAGAATAAATCGTGTCAGCCCTCGGCTAACATGTCCACCAACCCTGAGAGCTTATCTCGTAGGAACGTGGCGCGATTAAGCTTTCCAAGCACGCGATCAACCCTCAAAGGGGCGGCAAAAGGCAAAGGCAAACCTTCAGGGAGATTTTTGGAGAAATTACAATTGTGCTGGCCACGCGATTCCACACACCCAACAATTCTGCTGTCGTCTTGGAAATACCGACTCCTACAATTGTCATCGACGTGGATGGTTTGCTGAGCATGTCGATGATTGAAGGTGCTTATGATGCGCCGGGGAAGAGTGCGGATGTGGGCGTTAATCCCTATGGCGGGCATGAAAGTGTTCAACATGGTGATTTTGTCACGGAGAATGAGGAGAGGGATCTAAGGAGGGGCCTGGGGCAGAGGCATATTCAAATGATTGCGTTGGCTGGTATGGATCTCTGTCTTGCTCGCTAGATGGGCTCCCAACTGACAACCTGCAAGGTGCCATTGGGACTGGACTCTTTCTTGGACTGGGATCTTCGCTACAGACTGGAGGACCTCTTGGTGCACTGCTGGGATATGCTTTCGTTGGCCTGATCGTTTGTGCTGTTCAATTCGCTCTTGGAGAGGTCACCGCACTTTTGCCCGTTACTGGATCTTTTGTTCGACATGCAGAGTTCCTTGTTGATCCTGCATTCGGCTTTGCTATTGGATGGAACATTATCTATGGAAACCTTCTAAGTATCCCGTCAGAGATCTCGGCCATCTGTGTGTTGTTTCAATACTGGACTGATATCAATCCGTCGTTGTGGATTGTCATTTTCATCGTTTTGACTTTTGTGGTCGGAATCGCGTTCGTGGGCATCTACGGTGAAGTGGAATTCTTCTTTGCCTTACTGAAGATCGCACTGGTCGTCGGACTGATCATTTTGGGTCTTTGCATTGACCTTGGTGGTGTATCTGGAGTTCCTCGCATCGGCTTCAGGTACTGGAAACATCCCGGTCCCTTCGTCGAGCATATCGCTACTGGATCATGGGGTAACTTCCTTGGCTTCTGGTCCGTCATGATCAATGCGGTCTTCTCCTTTGCTGGTGTCGAATCGATCGCCATGGCCGCGGCCGAGACCAAGAATCCAAGACAAAACATCCCCAAGGCTTGTAAAAGAGTGTTCGCTCGTGTCGCACTCTTCTACGTTGCTTCTGTTCTGATCGTGGGTATGCTTGTCTCCAGCGACGATGAACGTCTTCAGGATGAAAGCGGTACCGCTGCACAGAGTCCTTTCGTCATTGCAGCATCCGCCGCCGGGATCAAGGCTATTCCATCTATCGTCAATGCCGTAGTCATCACCTCCGCCTGGTCATCTTCCAACCAAGCTCTTCTGGCTGGAACTCGTGTGCTCTACTCTCTAGCTTTGAAGAAACAGGCTCCTGCTATTTTCCTCCGCACAACTGCCTGGGGCGTGCCATATATGTGTGTTCTTCTCCAGACAGTCTTCATGTTCTTGGCTTTCATGAGCTTGAGCTCTTCAGCCTTGACTGTGTTTTACTGGTTTGTGGATCTGGTTGGTTGTGGTGTCTTGATCTCTTGGTCTTGCGTTCTGGTCAATCATCTTAGACTTTTGGCTGCTATGAAAAAGCAAGGTATCGCAAGGACAGAGCTACCATGGCATAACAAATGGACTCGTAAGTTGAACGCTTTAGTACTTCTGAGAGTGATCAAGCTCACACATCTCCACAGCTTACAGCTCTGCTGTTGCACTGACAGCTTGTCTGTTGATCTTGCTGACGAACGGCTTCGCTGTGTTCACTCGTGGCGGATGGTCGGCTAGCTCTTTCGTGTCATCATACTTGTACGTCCCCGATGTTGTTCAGAATCTCCGTCTTCCACTAACACAATCCAGGGATATTCCATTGATTTTGGTTGCCTACCTTGCTTGGAAATATTACAAGGGCACCAAGTTTGTCGCGCTAGAAGACATTCCTATCAGAGCCGCTCTGGACGAGATCAGAGATAATCCCGAAACTCCCGAGCCAGTGAGAAAAGGATGGAAGGGTGTCGTGATGAAACTGCTATGGGAGTAGTCACTAAATCCGATTTGTGTTCATGCATCTACACTTTCAATCTATACTTACACGATGAGATTCGTAGACCCGTGCGCCGGGTAAGGAGACCCCCACAAAACAATGGCATGGTCCCACACCGGCAAATCGCCGAAGCCAAACAAGAAAAACTCCACCCGCCTTGACCACCAACACAACCATGTTGATTTGGCAAAACAAAACGATGATTCCGACACGGGGAATTGAACCCCGGCCTCCTCGGACCTAGCTGTTCTTTCGAACGGTTTGAGAGCGAGAAATCCTAGCCACTAGACCATATCGGATTCGATGAAGGAATAAACATTACCTGAGTATACATACATGCCAAGCATACAAGCTCAGCAGTGAACGCCTCCGATCTCTTTGCCATCTCAAACGTGCGATTATCTTCAAGAACATATTCATAGCCTCAACCTCAAATTCATCTCGTCTTACTGCACGGGAAACGACACGTTGTTTCAATCGGGATTTAGATGGAAGTCTAGTTATTCTCTTCTTATGTCAATACCACCCCACGCTCCGTTCCAAGCATCAATCATTGTTTGCCTGCAATAGTGCCAGTTTCTGTGGCTGACAGCGAGTCAAATTCACTGTCTACCGAACGTCCTCTAACGTCAACTTCAAGCGTGATGAAGGCCAGTATCTCGTACAAAATCACAACAATAGCCTCCTCGATCAATGCCATACAAAGCATGATTGTGACATCGCCATAAATCGAGCTGAAAGATCTCGGGTTGCCGAAGATCGAAATAGCAGAGTAGATGATGCGTACAGCCAGTAGCGGTAAGCTGATTGCGAACACGCCAATTGCAATTTTCTGGGAGTTCAACAAGGCACTGTGCGCCTTCCTGAGTATGTGAATAGCCATGGAGACTACCAAGGCCCAGGAGATGATGAAGATGACGATACTGGCTTTCTGAAGACTGTCGGGACTATACGAGCCAGTAGTACCCCAACTTTGGTCCGCTCTGATACCGCCTGCGACGCCGAGTATGAGGCCGATCATGACCAGTAGCTGGCAGAATCTCATCGAGTCGCGGCCAGCAACCTTGGGGAAGTCGCTACCTGCGCGTTCGGCAAGTCGTTTAAGAAGCACGAGAGAGGCCGATAGAAGAATTGAGACGCAGATTGAAAAGGTCGTGACGTATCCTGCCCAGACGCTTGTGTTCCTAGGATAGCTGATGGTCGCTAGCTGAAACGCAGCACAAAGTATTCTGCCGATGCTGAACGTGAGCAGGAGACGCTCGCTAGCTGTCTTTCGGAGACCATGTTGTACGAGTCGAGTGGTTGAGAACAGAGCTGTACAGCTGTAGAAGATCAGGACGGCAATAAAGACGTCGTTTCTATATGATAGCATGTTGAGCAGATGACGGAGTGTTGGAAAAGTCGAAGTCAAGTAAGTTTGATGACAGAATAGTATGAGATCGATTGATATCTTGATGAATACAATACCATCCAAAGGGGACTCTACACCTCTTTATATGCGATCGCACCACTCTTGCATAGCCCATTGATGACCAGAGGCAAGTTCGCAAACGCGCGCTGGCTTCCGACTTGGGAATAGTCGCTATCTCGATAGCATAAGCATTGACATAGCGAAGATTACTATGACAAGCGTCATGTCAGACGTCAAAGTCCACGCTCTGACCGAGTTGTTAGCATGTTGAAGATTAAAGTGCCTACCACTGGGAAAGCCGTTATCGAAAGGTCGCTGCGGCGCGTAATTGTGAGGGCGCGTTGGATACCCAGTTGGGGAATTGATCGACGCCTAGAGCTCACCGAAGGATTCAGGCCGCGTCCGCTCGCAAGTCGCGCATAATGCATGGGCAACTCAGCCATCTTCTCGAAGACTCTTATGCCTATTCCGGAAGGCTTCGCGCTTTCCGTTCTGTTTTGTCGTAATGCCATATCGCGGGAAGCCGTCAAAAGGATGCGACGAGTGTCGGAAGAGACGGAAGAAATGCGACATTCGACCAGGCGGCTGCGGTCGATGTGCAAACGCCCATCGTCGGTGTCCTGGCTATCCCCAGGCGGATGGCCTCAGGATCTGTGATCAGAGCGTTGAGGTTGCTACAAGAGTGCGTGGTACGCGGCCGAAAGACAGGGTGATTACCAAGGTCTCTATACCACTGTCGTCGCCGCTCGACTCGGACAACACCTTACCAGAGGATAGCTCACCGCTAGCGGTGTCTGCGTTTGTGTCTCCCCCCTCGATGGATAGCGATGATATATGTTTCGCGTTCTTCTTCAACAATTGCGTGATCAATAACAACATGTATCATTCTTTCGTTCACAGGTCTGGCAATGATCATGTTATCGCTAGCATCAAGGCTTTCGGCATTGCCAACCTGTCGAAGCGTTACTCCGACAAGCGCCTGTTGACATCCGCACAACATCATTACACGATTGCCTTGAGGCTCACCAACATCGCCCTTCGAGATCCATCCCAGGTCAAACGAGATGAGACTCTACTCGCAATTCTCGTCCTGACCAACTACGAAACTCTTACCGGCGGTGTCACACGGTCTCTTGATGCATGGGAGCAGCATATCAATGGTTCGGCTTCCTTGCTTAGTCTTCGTGGTCTCGAGGGAGTCCAAGGCAAAGCTGGTCGAGTGCTCACTCTGCATGTCATCACTGGGATCAACGTGATCTGTCTACTGCGATGTCTGGCAACTCCACCATTTGTACATCTTCTTCAGACCAAGATCTTTGAGTACTTGTTCGAGCCAGAGAATCCTGCAGTTCGATTCCAGCATCTTAGTCTTGATTGCGCAGATTTCCGATATGCTGTCTCCAGTCGTCTTGTCACATCGCCAGAAGACATTATATCTCGTGCTGCTGAGCTGGATGCGAGACTCACCGCCGCATTTGCTGATGTTCCGTCAAGTTGGGATGGCGAGTTCATAGCTCACTACATGGACAAATGCTCTGTTGAAGGAGGCTTGCCCAGCTTCGAATTACGCTATACGGATCAAGCGACGGGGTACATATGGGCATCATATCGATCCTGTCGGATCATGGTCAATGAGATTGTGCTCCAGTCGCTTGCTGAGATCAAAGACACGTACTGGTTTGCATGGCAGCATTCGCAAACGATCGTGCGGCAGTGCCAAACCGAGATCTTGGCCGGTATGCCACAATACACTTCTCAGAATGAGGGAGTTCCCTGGGCTGGCCTCCGACAACCAGCACGTTATTTTGTCCCGGAAGCTGTGACTAGTGACCTACCGATTATGAGAGCATTGTCTAGCTTTGGCGTCATCTGGCCACTTTTCGTCGCTAGCACGTGTTCGACAACCACTCCTGAGATCAGGAATTACGTGGCGGGGGTGTATCGATACTTCGGAGAAGAGTTGCAGATTGAGCAAGCCCTGGTGCTCGGTAAGATGGTTCAGTCATTATCGACTGCCTCTCCATCACCAAGTTCTGCCAGTGGCAGTGCTGTGAACGAAGACCCCATAGGGCAGGAGCATAACAGATGAACTGGGCACGCCTGACGAATTTGAGTGATCGAAGCAGACATGGAAGCCGACGTACTTCTCCACCTCGCCGTGTGTGAAGCATTGTCACACTGGAGCAACGGCACCGAGATACATCTTGTTCACAACTCCCTGTGTCTGAGTGTCGACTCAAGACATGACTATACATTGCTCCAGCTCGTTGTCGCTCTGTTCTAATCATCGGGAGTGGAAGGCTGTGACAGAGTTCAGCACACGGGAAGGCATAGAACACTGCGAAGCCCCTTCCCGGGAGCATGCGATCTAACCGACACCGGGCATGCAAGTCAAGGCGGAGTATCGAACAGCCAAGCCACGCTCAGTATTGATTTGGTGGCGGGACCAAAGTCAGAATCGTGGAGCACGGGCTGGTCATGCCAACGAGGGAGGTTTAGGTTCGAGAATCTGGCCCGAAACTGAGCGCTCCGCCCTTGCCAAGCAGTCGGCTCCGCCAATTCAAGGCCCTCGAATGTACGCCAAGCCGACCGCAGCAGCGCTCGTCCTACCTCGCCACGTGACTCTCACAACATCTCTTGGTATGCCAATTCCAAGCAGGTCGAGAGGCACGTTGTAGACCTTGGCTTATTGAGCACTGACATAAGCGATGGTCAAAGGTGACAATGTGACTTTGAGGCTTGGTTTCGTCAAGATTGGAAGGGTGAAGCCGGGACACATGGCAGTGACCTCGATGCTGACCTTTATCATATAAAGTCTGGTAATGGTCCACTATTATATTCATCATCAGTCTTATCCCACTTCAACACCACGGTCTCCATAACTCAACCATCATCATGCTCTTCAAATCGTTAGCTGCCCTTGCAGCCATCTTGCCCTCTACCTTTGCTTGTCCCCACGAATCTCACCTGCGCAAAAGACAAGCGGCAAATGAGACCATTGAGAACCCTGAGTGGGCCTATGAGGCATCATACAACTGGGGAAAGCTTGATCCAATGTACCAGCTCTGTCAGACAGGTACACAGCAGTCACCCATCGCACTGTCGCTGAACAATGGTCTCTCTCTTAATCACATTCCAACCTTCCACAACTACACTGGCAACACCACTGGCATGTACAGGAACTGGGGATTCGGACCAGGATTCGCTCTTAGCCGCGATGATATAACTGCCAATCCCTCGTTTACTTACGACAACGAGACTGTTTATCTCCTCGGCTGGCACATCCATGCACCAGCAGATCACTCAGTTGGCGGTGACCGCAGCAAGGCCGAGATGCACTTCGTCCATGGCGACGCAGATGGCCATGAGAAAGCTGTCCTTGCCTTCCGTCTCGATCCTGGTAACAGTGATGCTTCTTTCTTCACTCAGCTTCCTCCTATGATCGGCTTCAACGAGACTGGCCCCGAGTACGAACAGCAGATTGAGATGAATCTCGATTACGCATTGCAATCCGTATTGCACTTCAACGAGTTCTGGTTCTATAGAGGCTCCCTTACCAGCCCGCCTTGTCACGAGGGCATCCATTGGTTCGTAGCCAGGCAGATTCTCTTCACCGGTGTTGAACAAATGCAAGCTATCTTGGGTGCTAGCACCTACTCTGCCCGAGCGGAGCAGGAAGTCTGGCAGCACAGAATCAACGAGTAGAGAGAGAGAGAGAGAGCAGTGATGTCAAGTTTTCAATGCTAGGTTTATAGAAGCATTGAATTTATATAGAAGAGTCCTAAAATGCTTTTACATTCGACATCTCTGCTATGTCAATCTCCCTCACTATGTGCTAAACTCTGTACATGCCACCCTCCTACACGATGATACCGGATGACAATGGGCTGTGGAGAGGCGTGGTCATGCTTTCGACTGGGTGGTTTAGCGAAGAGAGTCAGTCAGACGATGTGTCTCCCCGATCGACATTGCTGTACGCAGTGGCATCACGCTCACATGCCTTGCGTCTGGAATTCGTTACTGGGCAAGTATTCAACTCCTCATGTAGAGCCTGAAACGTAATCAAACCACCCAAGCACAAGACAACCACGCAAGACTACTATAGGCTCGTATAGCAGGATGGCTCTACTTTAGGCATCCAGGAAGCACTTTTGAACCATGTAGTAAGCAGTGGATAAGGTCATAGCCGAGAAGACAGGGTCGTGAGCACGACGATATCGGTAATTGACTCCGGTATCCAATTTGTGCGGGGAGTTTTCATCATCTGCCGCGAAAGCATCCGACATGCTCCTTGAATCCTACAAGCATCAACTGGTTCCCTACTTAGTCAGATGGGGTCGCATCTTGTCTCCCGTGTAGCAGAAATCTGTATCATTGCCCCAAAGACATGGCTCAACATCCTGTAACATTCGCCATCATAGGCGCTGGTCTCATCGGCCCTCGCCATGCCTCTGCGATTCTCAATACACCATCGGCGAAGCTTGCCTGTTTTGTCGACAGTAATCCCGCAGCCCAAGAAGTCGCAGCGGGATTCAATGTTCCACTATACCCAACTATCGCGGATATGTTGGCATCCACAGACAAGCCGCAAGCAGCAATAGTCTGCACGCCGAACCACACACATGTTCCCATCTCCAAGGGGCTGCTGGACGCTGGTATTTCTGTATTATGCGAGAAACCGATCGCAACAGATATCGCTAGCGCCATGGAACTTCTGGAGCATGCGAAGAAGTCCACTGCAAAGTTGGCCGTTGGACATCACAGGAGATTCAATCGCTACGTCAGAGCTACGAAAGCCGCCTTACCATCGCTAGGCCGTGCTGTTGCAGTGTCGGGTCTCTGGACAATCTGCAAGCCGTCAGAATACTTAGAGGGCGTTGGCGAATGGAGAAAGGACGGTACTAACGGCGGTCCTATCCTCATCAATCTGGTACACGATGTTGATATTCTTCAATTTTTACTTGGACCTATTGTTCGAGTGACAGCTGAAGAAACCATAAAACAGAGAAACTTTGATGCTGAAGAGGGTGTGGCCGTGTTGATAAGATTCGCGAGTGGGTGTGTTGGCACCTTTGTCGTCTCGGATGCTGTGCCCTCGCCTCACAACTTCGAGTCTGGCACCGGAGAGAATCCCACCATACCAGCTAGAGGCATGGATTTCTACAGGATATTTGGTACGGACGCATCATTGAGTGTGCCGGATATGAAAAGATGGAGTTATGATGGCAAAGTGAAAGACTGGACTCAGGATCTGGAGGAGGACACATTGAGCGTTGGAACCAGCAAAGTGCCTTTCGAGTTGCAGGTGGAGCAGTTCGTTCAAGTTGTTAGAGGACTTGAAGAACCTACGTGCTCAGGAATAGATGCTGTTCGAGCTTTGGTTGTGGTCGACGCAATCAAGAAAGCCATGAGAGAAGGAGTCGCAATCGATGTTCCTTGCGAATGATGCATATTCGCTGAGCCCGGGCGACCACAATCAACCGGAGACATCAATCAGTACTTCGGCGACGCCGGGAAATTCTAGGAAGGACAACAAGTCAATTGACTGATAGCCATCAGACCTGCCAATTCCGGAAGTACACTTGCCTGCTATCTCAGCTGCAGGATGATCAGAGTTGCGAATGTGTAGATACTTGTACTATGTCAAGAAGCGAAGGCCGCGGATCATCGAGATTTGTTTTCTTATGCCCGTACCCCGCATGGGGAAGCACAGATCCCGGACCCCTTTGATCGTTCCTCGTTTGATGACTTAGCGCGCACACACATAAGTTACTGAGCGACGCGTCATGTATGTTTGGCGAAGCTCATGGATATTTTTGTTGTGCGCGATCTCACTTTTGCCTCTTATCTTGCATTACTTGTCGTGTTTATCACCACAGTCTGGTCAGTTGGTCAATTGGTGTTTTGGACTGGAGATACACATTCCCACGGTGTGGACGCCATCAAGACACGGCGAAATAGGATTACGAGCCTTGCGATAACTCACAAACGCCACCTCGCGTATTTCGTCCTTGCACCAACCTTCCAGAAAACGGTACGTAATTACCACGGTAAAGGATTGATTGACAGTCTCAAGCTTATCTGAATCACGACGCTGGCCATTTGCTGAAGTCTGGGCTTCATCGCGCTGCCATTGTCAACCAGAAATAGGGAGAACTCGCTCTCTTCGAACCTTGAACTTCGGCTTGGTGAACTGGTATCTCTGGCATGTTCACGACTGGGGCAAGCGACCAAGCCTTACCAAGATCCCTGCCAATGGGCGACAAGCCGTCCTAAGCTCTGCCATTTTGTCTTGAACCCTGAAGCTTGACGTGCCAAGTACCCTCGGCTCAAGGCTTGTGACCTCGATGAGATAAGAATCTGGTCCCAAAAAGGAAGGTGTCGAGCAAGCAAGTCCGACTTCTGGAAGTCTAAACTCTCTGGCCGCTGCTTTGACGAGGACTAGATTCGCCGTTCGCTCCGCTAGTTCCTCTACCAACCATGTATTCGACGGGTCGCGTGCTGGCGTACATACAACTGGAACTCATTTTGCGGGGATGTTTACCTTCTGGCCATACTCATCTCTGCTCAGCGGCCATCTCAAATAGAGTTCTGGCTAGCTTACACCCCTCGGCGTTTCTCCCCCAAAGTGATAGCTTCCGTTCCTTCGACAGATGTAGAAGGAGTTCCGCTCTCAATTGGCCGACCTTATCAGGTGAGAAGCTGAGGGTAGAGTAAGTTATAATAAGGTAGTTCCCCTGCCCTTGAAGCGCTTCTTGGTTCGTTTCCAACCGACTATAGTCCTAATCGTTATCACTCAATACCGTGACAATGTCTTCCAAGGGCATTGGAAAGAGGTTTGGCTTCAAGAGGTCAAACACCAACCAGGACCCTATCTCTGTCAATGAGATTACCCGAGAGGATAGTCAGACAAAGAATGGCAGTAGCAGCAAGACCCCTGTTGGTCACGGACAGGCAGAAGAGATTGTAGATGGCGAAGAGATCATCGAGGGTGTCGTCCGCGACATCACCGAAGTTGAAGCCAATGAGCGTCTCAGAGCCTGGAAGAAGGACCACAGATGGGATCCTAACATGGTATGCTCTGTAATATGCAGCACGAAGTGAAATACGCTAACATTCTTCAAGGACGATGAGGCTATCGAGATGGTGGATGCAGTCACCGGTGCTCACGACGCCAAAGCAGAGGCACAGCTGGTTGGAGACATGGTCGAGAACTCCCCATACCCCGAAGTAAGTGCGATTGCCTTCCTGCTCTACAACCGCTAATAAGAAACAAGGTCCGCGCCGTCGTCAGAAACTATGACGAAGATGTGCCAGCCAGCACCATCAGAGCATGGACCATCGGTCTCTTCATGACCACTATCTGCTCAGCCGTCAACGCTCTGTTCTACCTGCGCTATCCCACTATTTCCATCGGCCCTTACGTCGTGCAATTGGTCTCCTATCCTATCGGTCTCGGAATGGCAAGGGTCCTTCCTAACAAGGAAATCACGCTCTTTGGTATCAAGGCAAATCTCAACCCTGGACCTTTCAACATCAAGGAGCACGTCATTATCGTAGCCATGGCTAACGCTGCCTTTGGTGGTGGTACTGGTTACTTCGTCGATACCGTCGTTTCTCTCAAGAAGTTTTACCACTTCGATACCAGCCAATTCGGCTGGGGCTTCAACACTCTGTTCGCTCTTTCTACACAGTGTCTCGGTTTCGGTCTTGCTGGTTCCGTCCGCAAGTTCCTCGTTGAGCCCGCTGCTATGATCTGGCCTGGAGCTTTGGTCAATGTTGGTTTCATGTATGCCCTGCATGATCACACCCCCGCTATCCCCTCTGCCACCAATGGTTGGTCGATGACTCGTTACAAGTGGTTCATGATTTGCATGATCGGAATGTTCGTCTGGTCTTGGTTCCCCGACTTCATCATCCCTGCTTTCAGTTACTTCGCATGGGTGACTTGGGCAAAGCCTAACAATGTCATTGTCAACCAGTAAGTATTTCTACTTGAACTCTCTATGTTCCATGCTGACATCAAGAAGACTCTTCGGTCAACAGACTGGTGTCAGTCTTGGCTTCCCCTTCACTGGCTTCACCTTGGATTGGGCTCAGATCAACTCCTTCTACGGCAGCCCTCTGATTTCCCCCTGGCACGCACTTGCCAACACAGGTGTTGGCATAATCTTCTTCGGCTGGATCGTTGTTCCTGCTTTGCAATACTCCAACGTCTGGTATGGTCAATACTTGCCAATCTCGCAAAACGGTATCTTCGACAACAAGGGCCACACCTACAATATCTCGAGGATTCTTACACCCGAGCATGTCGTCGACCCCCAGAAGTACGAGGAATACTCACCTTTGATGCTTTCAACCGCCTTTGCACTCACCTACGGAATGAGTTTCGCTACCATTGCCGCACTCGTCAGCCACACCTACCTTTTCCAGGGTGCTGAAATCTGGCGCCGTTTCAAATCCTCCAAGGGTGAGCTTGATGATGTCCACATGAAGATCATGCGCAAGTACAAGCTTGTGCCTACCTGGTGGTATCTTGCTCTTTTGGCTGTCACGATCGCATTTGCCTTCGTGTCTGCGCTCGCCTACCCTACTGATATGGCTTGGTATTCTGTCATCCTCTCGCTCGTCATTGCCGGTGTCTTCACCATCCCTATTGGTATTATTCAGGCTTTCACAAACATCCAACTTGGTCTCAACGTCTTCACGGAGTTCATCATCGGTTATCTTCAGCCCGGTCACCCCATCGCTATGATGATGTTCAAGACCTTTGGTTACATCGTCATGACCCAGGCCCTATATTTCTGTCAGGACTTGAAGCTGGGACATTACATGCATGTGCCTCAACGTTCGTTGTTCACCGCTCAGCTGGTTGCCACTGTCTGGTCCTGTTTCTGCCAGCTCGCAACTGTCGAGTGGGCCATGGGTGCTATCAAGAACGTCTGTACCAGCGCAGCTGCAGGCTCCTTCAACTGTGGTTCCATCAAGACATTCTACAATGCCTCCGTCATCTGGGGTGCTATCGGTCCTAAGCACTTGTTCTCTTCTGGCGCCGTTTACCAGAGTCTCCAGTACTTCTGGCTGGCTGGTTTTATCTCACCCTTCATCGTCTATGGACTTGCTCGCATCTTCCCTAGGGTGTCTTTGATTCGTTTTATCAGTATGCCCATCATCTTCGCCTGCTTCAGTTACGTTCCTCCATACTCGGCCATGAACATTGTAAGTCATTTTTACCTAATGTTGTCGGAAAAGAATAGTCATACTAATCAGTCTTACAGCTCTCCTGGGTCTTCGTCGGTTATGCGTTCAACAGATTCATCCGTAACAAGTACCGTGGTTGGTGGTTAGAGTACAACTACATCACCTCTGCTGCTTGGGACGTTGGTCTTGCTGTTTGCGCCATCATCATCTTCTTCTGTGTTCAGCTCCCAGGCGCGTCTATGCCCGACTACTGGGGCACCACGATTGTTGAGACTACCTTGGATGGTGGCGGTGCTGCCGCTGGTAACGTCAGACAGACAGTCTCTGGCAAGGAGTACTTTGGTCCCAGAACCTGGAAGTGGTAGATGTTTTGAAGCTGTGGACCCGAGCGAGCCTGCGTGTGTAATACGACGCAGCGCTTTTGGCGATCGCCGTTTGGGCACAGCGTAACTTTGTATGTACATCACGCATCAATAATGTCATGTTATAATTCTGTTTATCTTCTTTACTTCGCGTGCGTAGCGTGTCTACCTCTTCATATTGCGTGAGCAGTCTTACGTACCTTTATCATGTGCTCTGCAAGATCACCGGTCATACGGCTGCCATATGACAAGATGTGACAGCGACACTTTCTTCGAGACGAGCAGCGTCCACAAAGTTGACAGCATGAACAGAATTCTCGAGAGCTGGCCGACGGTTACACCGCGAGGTGTGCGTACCTACTCACAAAGCACGTTGCGTGGTACGTCTGGCGTACTTGCCAAGGATGATGTTTTGGCGACTTGGGTGCGTTTTGGTCGACACCAGGGAAGGAGTGTTCTTTGCGCTTGCCAGTGCGCAGCTAATCTGATTCAAACACTCCGCTTCACGATTTTGGCAACACTTCGCATCATCCTGTCGTTCTGTCTACCTCAATCTATCACGCGGCGCCTGTCCCTCACTGAGGCTGATTCCTCGTTCTGACACATCACAAGCGAGGCATCGAACCTCTTCACAAAACTTCATTGCAAACCGACTGTAAAATGAGTTACGATTGTGAGACGTGTGACCGTGAGTTCTACTCGTGGCGAGCAGCGCAACAACACATGGATGCATTGAATCACCATGGCTGCGGATCGTCCAGCTCGGAAGACGAGGATGGGTTTGAGTGCGATAGGTGCAGCCGTACCTTCATATCATGGGACTCCTGCAGACAGCACATGAACGCGATGGCCCACTGGTTCACCGATTTGTGCGAGACTTGCGGTAGGCGGTTTGTTAATGCTAACGTGGCAGAGCAGCACATGGGCGCTCTCGGACACTTGTCTTGCTCTGCTTGCGATCGTTACTTTCAACGCAATGCCGATCTCACTCAGCACACGAACTTTTCGATCCATCGCAATCTCGCAGCTCCTGTCCCCAATATCCAACCCCCGTCCACACCAGCGCCAGTGTTGGCACCCCAGATCACAACGTATCACACTCCTTCAGCACCAGTATTGACACCTCATGTCACTGCCAATCCCAATCCTCCAGCCTCCAGTCGTTCATCTCTTCTGCCCGCTTTACCTCTCGTCACACCAGAAGCTGCTGCAAACCCACCGACTTTCGTTGCTCCTGCTCCTGCACGGCCGCTGCAAATCACTCGGCCGCCACTTCCTGCTCCAGTCACTCTCTATATTCCGCCGGTTCCGCCAAATATATCCACTGGCACTATTACGGGTTTTCAACGGAGCGACGTCACTCCACCACCTGTCTTTACATCGGCTATCCTTCCTACTCCACCTGTTCAGCCAAAATTGCTCATCGCCACTGCTCCCAACTTCCACTTGGGCGATATCACTCCACCACCTACACCCGCACCAGCTCTTACCTTCGAATCCTCCGATTTACCGTCGTGGCCTGTCGCTAGGCTTGTCGGCGCTCGACCAGTGGGGCCTGCACCCATCCCGCTGTCCGTATCTGTCCCTGTTGATGTCTTTCAATCGACCATCGTTCCTGATCCCACAGCTCGAACTCTTCCTCAGGTCTCCATCTTCACGCCCCCTTTGGACATCGCATCCAGTCCAGCGGCAGAAAATATCTTTCTCCCGACCGTGGCTGCCACTTCAACCGTTGTATTGAGTCCCAAAGTCGACACCCTTCCTTTGGATTCAACTGTTGTCTCTACATCGACCATCGTATCCGGGCCAATAGTTGATACTGTTCCTCTGCTACCGACCGTCATCACTTCTTCAACAATCGAATCAGGTCCAACGGTGGAAACTACTCCCGTCGCCCCGACTGATGTCTCTAATCTTGCTATCGTATCTGGTTCTACGGTTGACACCACCCCTGGCATTTCGATCGTTGTCCAATACATTACTTGCGATGGATTCACCCAGACGCAGAACAGCGTAGTCTGGTCGAGAAGCGAGATCAAGTCTCAACAGACAGAACCTTACACGACACAAACCTGTCCATACTTTACAAGAAGTGAGATCAGATCACAGCACACTGTGCCGACCGATCTCGTGAGTCTTGATAGGCGCCCATCCTTCTCGTGGAGTCAGATTGTTTCACAGCATATAGACCCGCGTGGACCACCGGAAAAAACCATCGCCTGTAAGTTCTGCCGGGGCACTTTTGAGGCCTTTTCCGAGTGTGCTCAGCACCTGGAAACCTCATCATGTCCAGTCCGTCCAGGCATCACTCGCATGACCATGCATCGGTGTCTTCGGGGAATGGATCAGACTGGTAAATACTGCATACACGCATTACAATACAGAGGTATTCTGTTATATATCTGCCCTAACAAGACCGGAAACTGCGGAGCCAGGCCTCTGCCCTCGCTCGCCGCGCTACTGAGTCACCTCGAAGGGGAGAGCTGCAGTTCCCGCGAGTTGTCCAATTCGCGTGAAGTGGCCGATAGCTTTGTGAATCTGGTCTTTGGAAGCCCTATAAAAGCTAACCGAAGACTAAGGCATTAATGGACCAGATGGAGAGTATGTTATGTTGCTCGGCATCTTCAGGGCACGAGAGAATGTAGAGACTTTGATAGAACATGGATCAGTGTCGCTTGTTGCTAACTATGTATGATCATCCGAGACTGTACTTAATTAGAGCATCCACGAGATTTTCACATCGCGGCTTCCGCATTCTATAGAAACTTCAAAATGTAGTGTGAAGTAATGAGTGCAGAGCAAGTTGGCCCCAGAGAAAGAAAGCGTGGCTAAGTTTGAGACGGACCCTCATAAGACGCCGGAGAACTTACCCGCCAATCTGGCATGTACCAGATGGCACCGTATCACCAAGCTCAAGAAGCAGAGTTCCATGTGCCTCAACGCTCGCTTTGTAGCTAGTGATGTCATTGCCTCTAGTGGTATTGGTCCATGCATCTTTGGCCCAACCAACGCTTTGTAGTCCTGCGTCTGGCAAATCGAGCGTTCGGGATAATGTCGTTGGTGACTCTCCAAGTGTTCCCTAAATCTGGGGCCCATGCAGAGGGGAAGTCAACATCCCAATCACAGAACTGGAAGAGAAGATTGCGGCCAGTAGCATCAAAGGTATCACGCATAGTCACGTAGTTCTTGCGAGGGGAACTGATGGGCTCATAGGCCACGTTTGGGAAGCCCTTCTTCTCTGATGATCAGCAATTGTCGTACTTGAGTAAATCAGCACCCCAAGATGCAAAGATCTCTGCGTCTGTGTACTCGAACCCCAAGCTGCCAGTCTGATTGATGCCTCCTGCACACATCAAGACACCGCCGTCACTGTATGTCCCAAAGCCCAAGCCCAAGTCATGGATGTACTGACCGACAGCAGGGAAACCAGAAGGAAACAGTGTCTCGTTCCACGTCAACTTGCCGTCTGCACCACGATCCGGGATTGTCCAGCCACAGTCGGTAGTCACATAAGTGTAGCCCAAGTCTGCAAGACCGAGATTAACCAAGGCATCGGCGTTGGATTGGATGATGCTCTGATTGGGAGCACAATTGTAATGATTGTAGCTGTTCCATCCCATAGGAGGAGTGGGTGCGAGCCCATTGGCAAGTCTCTTGTGTATGGTTGGAGAGGCAAGAGTCAGAGGTAGTGCCGTGATGGCTGCGAGACGAGCCACTGAATGTAACATGTTGGACAGTTTTCAAGTTGATCGGTCCTGGCCATGTTGAACATCTCTTTGCTCTTATACCACAGTTCAGAACAGACTTGTTTTCCCAGGTAATAGCAAAATGATTCAATGCATCCCCCGCATGCAAGAACCGCGTCTTGGAGCCTGTCCGAGAGGATCAGCGGTGGGGTAAATGCTGGAGAAGCCATCCTTGCATCTATATCATCCGCCACTGCATGAGAGCAAGTGTTTGTATGGTGCTCTTCGGTTAAAGTCGTATTCATGAGTTGAGCCGCTGCAGAGTTGTATTGGCATCGTCATGATGAGATGCAGTCTCGACGACATGGCCAGCGATGGTAATGTTGTGGAGCCGATAGATGCCAACCTGTGAAACAGAGTATGATGACACGTCATAAATCAACGCTAGAAGTTCGGGAGGCCTAAATTGTCGTGCCCAAAAGCCATGCCTTCAGTTGATGAATCTAGAGGTTGTTGACGCGTCGGGATCGGACGTGGATGCTTCTTTAGGGCAGAAGTCAGGGTCACTACGAGCAACGACGGCCGCACTTGCCCGCCAAGAACTCCATCTAGAAACAATCTTGACGAAGTGTCCTTAGTAGGCCACGACTCTTGAAAAAACAAGGCATCTTATCATCAATATGGCATCCACTTCTCCAGATATGAAGATTGTCAACATTGGCACACGGCGATCGCAGCTTGCCATCGCCCAAGTCGACATGATTGTCAAACACTTGCAAACCGCGGCACCAGGACCTGAATACAGATCGCAAGTCGTAAGCACAATGGCAGACGAGAACCAAGTCAAGTCATTTCAAGACTTCAATGCAAAAAGCATATGGACAGAGGAGCTGGAAAAGCTTCTGATGGAGAAGAAGCTCGATGTTATTGTTCATTGTTTGAAAGGTGGGATCATGATGAGTCAAACTCTAATTCAGACCATGGTGCTAATCATAACGTAGATGTACCAACAACATTACCAGAGTCTTGTATTCTGGGAATTATCTGCGAGCGCGAAGATCCTCGTGATGTGATGGTGATCAAGGAGAACTCGGCCTACAAGTCTCTGCAATCACTCCCTGCAGGCTCTGTCGTTGGTACCTCGTCCGTCCGTAGAAAGGCACAGATCATGCGTCATTATCCTCATCTCATCTGCGAAGACGTTCGTGGTAACCTCAACACTAGGCTGCGTAAGCTGGATGCTGAGGGCAGTCCATACTCATGTCTTATTCTGGCCGCGGCCGGCCTGAAGCGTATTGATCTTGGATACCGCATCACACAATACCTAGGTCCAGAAGATGGCATGCTGTACGCTCCTGGACAAGGTGCACTGGCTCTGGAAGTCCGAGAAGGTGACGAGGAGACGCTACAGCTGCTGAGCTCCTTGTCACATCAATCAACAACATTGGCATGTCTTGCCGAGAAGAGTTTGTTAAAGACTCTCGAAGGCGGTTGCAGTGCACCTGTTGGTGTCCACACTGACTGGGAGGGTGACGTTCTGGTGTTGTATTCAACTGTCACCAGTCTTGATGGCAAACAGATGGTAGAAATGGACATGAAACATACTGTCAAGACGATAGCTGATGCAGTAGCCCTTGGAAAAGAGTTGGCAGACCGCATGATATCACAAGGCGCAAATGTAATCTTGGAGGAGATCAGAGCGGGTCTCAGATGATCCATCGAGATGTTTAACCAGAAACTCCAATTTATGTACATAGAATCCAAACACGCATCCCCTCTCTCGACATAACAGCCACACCTCCCACCATCTACGACTAAATATGTGCTCTCACAATAACATGCTGTAATGCTGCTTATTTATAGTCCAGAGTACAGTATCTATGCAAGTCTGGCGACATAACCAGGCTGACTGGGAAACCACGTGAACACCAAGTTGTGACAGAGGACGCATATCGAGGAGACAGAGAAGCGGTGGTCCAAAATTGTCTATTGTATTTCTTTTCTCAAGAAGCATGCCTGCCACCACAGCAGCTCCCCTTCCTTGGTCATGCTGGTGTATCGAGGGCCCTCCTTGTACTTTTTGTAACCCTTCTTCTCGTACCAGATCATATTGTTCTGGGGTACTGGCCTGCCTGAGTTTTCTCTTTCAAACTGGCCGATGCCATCAGGTCCCTCTTCACCACCGACACAGTATTTCGGGTGTAACGTGTTGACAGTGACGGCGACGATAGATTCAGAGCCGAAAGGCGGTACACGAGCGAGACGCTCGCATTCATCCATGGCAAAAGCGCCCAGCCCCGATCGATGGAACTCAGGCAGCACGAACAGGCTCGTTATAGTGAGCACGCCCTTCTCAGGGTCGGCGAGTGTCGTGTCCGGCACAGCGTCTGGCTCATTGATGTCCACCTTGTCCAGCGACACATGGCCGACAGGCATATAAGACTTGTCGTCGCGCGTAAAGGTGGCAATGTTTCGTGAGGCGTCGGGCGCAAGGCAGATCCAGAAGAAGCTCCTAGTACCTGCTTCGATGGCAGCGGCCCATTTTGGGATTTTGTCGTGGTTCCATCCGCAAATGATGCGTTGGTCGTAGAGGATTTGGCGCTCTGTTTCCTGCTTCAGATCGATCGGGATGAGCGTGGCAGATGAGGGTAATTGACGGTGAGGGATGGTCGCCGGACCGGCAGGCGCGTTGGTCGTCATGGTGGCTGTTGCTGCTGCGAGACTGGAAAGATGCTCAGTGTTTCGTGCATCGTGTTGAACAATGTAGAAATCACTTTGATTCACCAAGGCCCGTCGATTGCACCTGCTTGTTCAGGACGCCGATGACCCTCATTTATTACTGGCCTTGGCATTAAGCCACCAATGCCTTCCAATGCCATCGATGTCTCACAGCATCACCATACCTTCACAATGCCATCACCGTGATGCCTTCATGACCTGCTAGACATAACCCCAACTACCGAAATGCGAAGTGAAAAGCATCGTGTGTGAAAGCGCTTGCGCAATAAGGTTGTTTAACATTGTGTACAAGAACATAAAATCCGACTTCATAGCCTTCGTTACAAAAGAGAATGAGACAGCTGCTACTACTCAGACCGGTGATGAGGGCTGCGAGTGCGACACGTAAAGCTCCTGCTCGATCTTGATATCTCTACTCATGACCACACGTCCATTCTGGATATATGCCTTCTTCATAGCACTCGGCGGTCGAGGGAATTGATAGCGTTCGTGTCGCATGAGGGACCTCAAACTTGATGCCCTTCCCAGCTTAGTAACCCCGCTGTCAACACGAGAGACTTCGGACATGACTGAAGGCGCCCTAGAGTGCATAGACTTCTCTTGAATGCTTGACAAGACGTTCTTTGCCTTGCGGTCTATCGTGCGCAACTCGGTGCCATCCGAGTTCCCGACAATTGTTGTGACGCAGCCGAGTTGTAGATCTCCATACGGATTAATCTTGTCCTCGAAGCTCATGCGTGATACAAATGTGCCCGGCGTATATGTGACTGGCTTGCCTCTATGCGTAGTGGGTAACACGGTATGCTGCTTGCCAGGGAAGCAATGTCGGAATAGTGGTCGCAGAGTCGCCAGAGACGCCGCGACGATTCCAAGCCCAGGTTCCACAACTGACCAACTTGCTATATTGACTGCGTGCTCCAGGAACGTCGGTGATGCCTCGATGCCAGGAATATAGGCCAACCGGATCAGCGAGGCGATACTGGCCAACGAACCGAGACCCAGTAGACAGCCCGCCGATATTTTCGTTGATCGGGGAATAGCTGCACTCCAAATGACAGTTACGGGCAAGAGCGAGAACATCCAGTCTGTCAAAGCATTCATACCACCGGCAGTGTAGTAGCTGTGAAAAGTTAGGACTACGATTGACGACAACGAGCAACGACGGTCGTCAGTTGAACTCACAGTGGTTGAAGTATGTCGTCCGATACACAGGCCTTTCTGGCTTCCTGTACAAAGAAGTTGGCAGGATTGCCACACTGGAAGATGACGATGAAAGCAAACACTAGGCCGTAAGTCGTGTAAATACCAGTTGCAAGGTATATAGTCTTCCGTTGCCAAGCGAAGTCTTCGGGTATGATGCGAAGGAAAAAGATGGCAAGCGCGAGCTTCAAGACGACTGTTGTGACGATATAGAGAGACATGAAACCCATGATGAGCTGCAATCGATCCGTCAGCATTCATTCAACGTGACGACTCGTCTGTACCTACACCAAATATCTTGTCTACCAGATCAAATTGAGCCGCGAAGCCGTTCGATAACGCCTCACTTGCCGTGCTGCTTCTCTCGATGTCCTCGATGGCAATGAGACACGCGCAGCATGCTGAGAATACACACAGCGTAAGAAGAATCAACCAGTCGTCCCAATGGAAAGATCTCAGAATCGAAGCTCTAACGTATACACGCAAGCTCACAGCAGTCCAAGTGAGTATAAGGAACGCGACAGAAACCTGGAACATAGGTAACAATGTGTGTCTGAGCTCCAGCATCCTCGAAATTTCGGCAACGTCCATATCAGTGACACCTAGTGAGGCTGCCATTCTGGCTGCGATGGCCTCACTCGACATCGACATTATGTTTTTGTCGTTGGCAGACGGCGGGGAACCTCAAGGTTATGAGCAGCACCGGTCCGGAAGTTTTTAGCGGTTCATGCGTGAGCGTTGCACGACGGGATGGAGGTGGATTCAATAGGAAGGGACCAGTGGACAAGCCTGCGTCTAGGCAAAGAAAAAGGGGTCGAAATAAGGGTACCACACGATGTTGCAATGTAAATGCAAGGTCAAGAAAGAAAAGTAAAGGAATGTAGAGGGACGCTCAGCGTGCGGGTTGAGGACGAAGAGAGCAGGAGCTTGAATAACCGCAAGAGAGAAAACAACACAACCAACCTAGCCAGATTCCAATATTCAAGAATCAGACCGACAAACCATCTTGATAGATTAAACATGACTATTTCATGTCAGAGCACTCTTCGAGTGACTTGATCTGCCTCAGGGTATGGAGGTAGGCTGGATCCATTCTTGAGTAGCGTTTTCCCCCTTTGGCCTGTGCGTCGGTCAGACTCGGAGGCTTCCGCGCCATGACGCCTTGTCACATGGCTTGAGGGACGGCGTGCCTGCGCTATGTCTAGCCTTTTCCCTCGACGTGCATGCCTGCATCAACCGGCGGCGATGTGGTGCATAAGACGACAGACGGTGGCCACGCGATTCCTACAACGGTCGGTAATGCCATCGCTACCTCTCTCGACCAGGAGAATGAGAGTCCAGCTGGACGACTGGTCCCTGCTGTGACCTCGCTTACACGCTCGATGACACGAAGCGACTGCGAATATGTCCAAAACGAGGCCAAGTATAATATCGATCGAATCTAAAGGTCTCGAGATGGCTTTTGTAGGGCAACACTCAATTCCAGGTTGTATCGCTCGAGAGTACGAAAGAAGATGGAAGAAAAACTGGGCCCTGAAATTTCCAATGCCCATCGATGAAACACGCCATTCCTGGGGTATACCTCAATTGTGCCAACCATCTCGAGGGAAATCGAGTTTGGTTCCCTTATACTGCCTGCCCCTGTGCGAAATACAGCCACACTTAGAGTTGCCTCAAAGCATAATACTTTCTCCATCGAGATAGTTCGTGTTGATGACTCCCTGCGCCAGGGTTGTCGGCACGAGATTTGACTGTGCGTTTCTATAGCTCGTCGTTGCCTGCTTTAAATCAGCCAACGTTTTGCGACCGCCTCTATCACAGACGCCAAATCTCCGTTGACACGTCTACAGATCGTGAACTTAAGCGTTACAACATGACATTGCTTCTACGAATCAATTATTGCTGTCTATCTTGTCACAATCGACTCTCCATACATGACTCGACTCGTACGGTGCAGTCAACAATCTGCGACTCCCCAAGGTCCTGGTATCTGGCAAAGAAGATATCAGAGGAACATTCCAGATCGCTGAGACTATGCAGTCTGCGTAAGAATTACGAGACATACCCTTTGTGTATGGCGGTCAGCCAGCAGCTGTCTCAGGAGTCATCATGCTCAGCTGATGTTCGTAAGTCGAGAGGTGTTTACCCCATAGATTCAGTATACGCCCTCACCAACACTCACAGTCGAAACGGCCGATTAGCACGATGAAACATTGGCTCTTCGTAAGCAAACGCTGTCATTGTACAACTCTTTTCCGGTCGAAATACACTGAGCTTTTGTATCCACTAAGAAGTTCACGCCATTCTGACATTGACAGTAAGGCTACAAGGTCTGGACAGCTCGACTCGGACCATGATCAAGAATGCAATCGGAACCTCCTTCCCGAATGTCTATCTGGTTTCCCTTATACTACAGTATCAAAGCGATCGGATGATAAGAGCCTCCTGCCTTGATAGTGGCTGTTTTCAGTTTTGCTTCCAAATACAAAGGTGCACGCCAGCTATTTGCTGCATTACACAGGTGCCGATAACTGCGGAGCTGCAAGCAACTCATGGCTGGCTATCGACCCTCATTTGCTTCAATGCCGCAACTACCTTCTCGGTGGTCCAGCCCGCACCGATTGCCTCACGCAGAAGATCCTGTTCGTTGGTCGGAGCCATGCCACTAGGAGCAGGCGGTCTATTGTCAAGGTTGGTCGGGAACGGGTAGCCCTCACCGATGGCAGCAACCGCAGTTTCCACATGCTCAGATAGTCCCTCAGAGTTGTAGAGGCTCTGAACTTCTGACCAGCATGCCTGAACAAGCGGAATGGCGTCGATCTGTTCCATCGGCTTTCCGAAAGCGCTGCTGATCTGGAGCAGGTTTGCACTCCTGTCAACGTCGGATGTGTTGTTGCCAGCTGCATGATGCAGGGCCGGATTGAAAAATACGCCGTCGCCCTTTTTTAATGGTAGTGAGACCCAGTGCTCGTTGAAATACTGGTCAAACTCAGGTTGCCGATAGGCCATGTATCCTGACGCGAGTCTCTGACTGAATGGTAGAAAGCGCGTAGGCCCACTTTCCAAAGGCATATCGCTATGCGCTACAGCACCTTGTAACGTCAAGAATTGACTGGCGTGTTGCATACCTCTAGGGAACCTGGAACAGCCTTCTGCCGTTTGGAAGCCTAGATGGTAGTCGCGATGACTGACTTGCGCTGCTCCTCCTGGCTTCACGATATTCGTCTGCGCCGTGACGCGATATTGTTGACCTAGCCAGGCCTCACAGACTCGGGCCAGCCAAGGATTGGAGTAGTATTGCACAAAAGACTTGGGATCCTGTAATCCGTGTTTGCTGAAGGAGTTCCAGATACGTTCATTCTTTCCATGTCCAAAGTGGTCGCCTTTTGTATTTGACTTTTCGCGCTCGATGATCTCGCGGAAAGCGTCGTTTGTCGCATCAAGTACAGACTGATCCGTATACATGTTTTGGACCACGAAAAGGCCAGGACCGTTGGCCAGAATTTCGTACCATTCGTCTTGTAGTTTGTCTGCCGCAGCCTTCTGGAAGTCGTGTTTCGACAAGTCATAAATTGGGATGTTCTCTCGCACATCAGAAGTCAGAGGATAGTCTTTTCTGCTTATAGATGTCTCGCAGATTTGTGCCAGACTAGACACTTTGGGAGTATCTGCAATGGCATATAGTCTTGATGGTATGGAGGTCTTGCTTTGTTGATGTTCAACATCTGAATTGTTATCTGCGTGGGGATTCATTCTGAGGTTGGGTTTTCGTTATGCTACAACTGACCAAGGCCGTGATCATATCCTCTGGAGACTGTTATAATAATCGCATGCATACGTGGCTGTCAATGACGGGGACGGTGATGCTCTTTGGAAGAGCGGGGCAGTGGCGGGGTGAATCCGGAAAATGTTCTCCGAAAGCCCTGAGTTGTCCTTGTCGTGGGAACTTGACCTCCGGACCTCCATCTTGTTTGATACATTTCGCCTACACAGGCGATTATTTGCAACGTTCGCAAAGAATGAAGTCATTGGCAACGTGAATGTTGTCGCAATAGCCCTTTGAAAGCAACACCTAGCAATACCCATCCTGCCAAGCCCAGCCAAAAGCCGACGGAAAGCATTGAGAAAACAACGACTCCCTCAGCGGTTGTCCCTCGAAACATTTCCCGGATCTCCAAATCTCGTTTGGAGATGTCGTTTTGAACACGGAAATAGGAACCCGAACATATCTCATCGTCATGGGGGAGCCAGACAAGAGCAACAGCAAGGCCGTGAGGAAAAATGCTTCCAATGCATGCAAGGGGTGCCGAGAGAGCAAGATCAAGGTGTGACTTACATGCATACTATGAGATTGAACGTGTTATTGACAGACGGCAGTGTGACAATCAACAGCCTTGTAGTGGCTGCTTAAAGAAAGAAAGAGAATGTGTTTATGACTCTCGCGATGATAAACGCCGGTATGCCACATAGAGCTCAGCAGGCCATTCAAGGCTTTTAGCATGGCCTAACTCACGATGACGTGATACATGGCTGACTCTGAGTAGCGTCCAGCTTCGCACTGCTGTTCATATCCTTGTCCGAAGGGTACAGCAGCTCAGCAAGGTGATCATCGAAGCAGAAAGAGAAGTTCCTCAATTGAGTAGCGAAGATGGGGAGTTTTTGGACCGTGTGCTGGGCACTCTCGGTCTATCTGATGCCCCGCCCTACGATTCTTCAGCCGCTAGGAAGAGTAGAACACCGAGTCATCCGGCGCCGGAGCGGACACCAACATCAGCGTCATCTCAGTCATTACCAGAAGGCCCCTCAGCTACAGCAGAAAACTATGCTGTTGTCCAGCAGATGACACCATTGGACAGTATCACGAACAATCACTATGCTCAACCGGCCTTTGGTAATTTTGGTGGTGTGTTCGCCGGGCTGACCTCTCAGCCAACAGTCCAATCTCCTGGAAGCAGTATGGTCTTGAGCGAGGACCATATATCGCCAGACTGGCCTTTTCCAACCTTGGATAACATGCTCAACTTCGATCTCTTCGACCCTAGTGATCTGTCGTTGCAATTTCTGACCGAGCCGTCGGCAGGTATGTCACTTCCCTTAGTGCATCCACGAGAGGCTTCGCCAGTGCGTCAGATTGCACAGGTACCAAACGATCAGGACGATAATACATCAAGTTCAGGAGACGAGGAAAATGCAGAACTAGTCAACCAACTCTCGGCTCGTCTAGGCTCTCTTCGTTTAGCCCCTGATGGGAAGTTGAGGTATTTTGGCACGGCCTCCAACCTACATCTTATAGAGAGCCAAAGCAAGTCGAGCAGTGAGAACTTGATGCTCCGCACTCCATCGAGAGTAAACATTCAACGTCTCCTCGAAGTTGCCGACCTGAGTCAAACTGTGGACTTGCAACTCGAGGAGCACCTTTTGAGGCTGTTCTTCACTTGGCATAATCCTAGCAGTTACATTGTGGATGAAGAAGTCTTCTACATGGCTAGGCAGAGTTGGTTCAACACTGGTCTCCAAAACAGCTACTATAACGACGTGTTAAAAGATGCCATGTAAGTGGAGAATTCTTCTGCATTTTATCAGGGTGAAGCACTAATTTCGTTTATCAAGGTGCGCCATAGGCGCCTCTTTCGGCAGTCATTCTCATCTGACCCTTATAACCTATCCCAGATCGATGCCTCAGTTCTTTTCAGACCGAGCCAAGATATTGCTCGATTCACACCTCGATAGTCCCTGTGTGGCGACAGCACAGGCACTTGTCATTCTCGCAAGCTACGAAGAGACTTGTCAAAATGTTGCCCGTGGATGGTTGTTCGGAGGTAACACAATCCTCGTCATACCACACGAGCTCGGCTAATTCTTGTTACGACTAGGCATGGCGATGAGGGTAGCCTTCGATCTCGGCCTGCACATCGACAGTACTGGATATGTGGCACAAGGTGTCTTGACCGTTGCCGAAGCTCGAGCGAGACAAGTGGCCTTCTGGGGCTGTTACATCTCAAATCTGTATGTTGCTCTCCTCCACGGTCGAATCTTGCCCCGATCTAACAACCGAGTAGGCTTTGGAGCTTCCATCTAGGCCGCCCATTCTCTCTGGATGATAGTGAAGTCACTGTCGCCAAACCAGACCCCAAGACGCTTCCTTCGAACCCTACCTGGCAGCCGTATTCTATTCCGTCATTGCAATTTGTATCTGGTGGTATGCAACAGAACGCTTCCCAGCTACCGGATATCACCCCGGAGATCTTTCACCATTGGATTTTCCTTTGTCAGAACATCGCCGCTGTAGGCCATGCTCTATACTCTTACACATCTATATCCAAGCCAGCTCTTCAGGAGCTCTGCGAGGAAACGACGACTGAATTGTTCCACTGGAAAGACACTCTGCCTTTACATCTTCAAATAAATCCTTCCGACACAGAGACGATAAAACTCCCTCATCTTCTGATGCTGCACATGGAATACCATCACCTCCAAATTTTCTTGCATCGACCCTGGACAAGCTCGCAGCTACAACCACAACCTTCGCAAGGTCCAGGCGTCCACCACGCTCGCCATATCTGCGCCACTTCGGCAATCGAAATTGCTCGTCTCCTCCGTATCTACGAGATTCAATACTCGTTCCGATTTATCAATGTCGAAATCATCCGTATACTTTCTTCAGCAGCTCTAATCTTGATCTTCGCAACTGTGCCATTACCACACAGAGAGGTTGATGTTGAAAAAACTGGATACTTGAACACGTGTTTCAGGGCTTTGGAAGATTTGGGTGGAAGATATGAGAGCGCTAAAGAGACGAGGTGTACGTTGCTGGCTATTCAAAGAAGGTGGAATGATCTGTATGGTAAGCGTGCGGGACAAAAGCGAGGGATGAGCACAAGGGGCATCAGTCAAGGCAAGAGAGTAAGACCTGGTACGGACTAGTCGCTACTTCTGAAAGAAACAGCTTAAGTGTTCAAACTCACTCCGTTTGCTACTTCCAGTTTACGTTCGAATGATATCAAACCACATCTGATAAGTAGCAAGAGCGTTCTAGCAAAACCAAGCTTTTCATTATTTCGGCGCATTTCTTTGTAGTCTTACAATTAGAGCGGTAATTCGTGTCCATGTATAGGATCCAAGCGCCGAGGATGAAAGCAGAGATATGAGTAAGTCAGAACAACGAACGCTATCATCTCTTCTCGCCTGAACCTCTGGTTCGATCGTTATCATTGTCTTCGTCGCTGTCGTCGAACTCGCGCTCCCAATCGGAGCTTTCGTCTGAGGCGTATTTTTCTTGCTCTTCCTCTAATTTTTCGTTTTGGTCGGCAGGAAGTTCGGCCTCCTGGTCCTCGTCGTCATCCTCTCCAAACATGCTGTTGTTTCCGTTGTCGATATCGTCTTCATCGTGGCTTTCATTATCATCGTCTGCATCATGCTCATCTTCGACACCAGCATAATCATCATGTTCGACATCATCATTATCGTCTGCTCCAACATCTGTGTCTGTCTCTTGTCCGTCCTGATCGTGCCATAGGTCTTGTATGGGCTGGGAAAGCACATCCTCGTCAGTTTCGCTTGCATCATGTACCTCCATTCTGCCCTTTTCCTTGACACACAACAGAACCTTGCGGTCTCCATCAACAAATTCCTTGACTTCCTTCAGTAGGGAGGATAGTCTTGCCAACACATGCTGATTTTGGCATTCCCAGTCGCGGACTTGAGAGCGGACGTCTGTGTAAGTGATTGAGGTAACGTTCGCTTGGCTATCGTGGTATGCGGTGATGACACTTGGGACACGAGTTATCCAAAGACGAATGGATTCGTCATCAGATAGCTTCAGTGGAATCTCGGCAGACTTTTCGGGGGCGCAGTGAAGGACAAATAGGGCAGAATGAGGGACCGTGTCATCGATCTTCGCTGACTTGACCCTTCTGGCAACCTGCTCTTGAAGTCGTCCAACTCTTCGGTTCTTCTCTTCATCTTCGAAGACGCGGAGGTATACGGCTTCATCTTCATAAGTCTCCTCAGGGCGATTATGATTGCGAGCACGAATACGGCGACCAGTTCTACGAGACAGAACAACACCGTCAAGGTAGTTAGTTTTTGTTTCGTGGAGACGTAGAGCCTTTTCGTAATCGTTGTGGCAGTAAGAAAGGTATTTCTTGGCTTCTTCGGGTGAAACACTTGCGGCAGCAGTAATTCGATCAACTAGAACATCCTGCTCCGTGGTAGGAGCCACGTTCATGGAGCTCCCTCTAGCCTTGTTAGTCTGAGCAGCAGCGTAAAGATCGAGAGCTTGTTTGAATCCGCCCTCTGCCATGTCGAGGTAGTATTGAGCGACTACAGGCTCGGCTCGTGTGATGGCTCTGAAGTTCGCTACCGGGCGCTGTTTGAGAAAGTTGTTGTGCTGGAGGATGGCAGATGTTTCTGATTGTCTCGGGGCGTCGGGCTTCCACGCCTCGAGCGCTGGCTGTGAACGGAAGGCTTCATCCCACACACGTTTTGGGATATGCTTCCGGCTCCTGGCAACCTCCAGAGCCTTCTTCTCGGCCTCCTCCTCTTTCTTTCGCTGCTTATCGGCCTCTTTTCTGAGGACATCTGAAGCGAGAACCTCGACTTGAGACCAGTGATATCCCGCGGTAGGTGCTCGGATAGAAAAGGCTTCTGTGACCTCGGGCGGCTTGGAGAGCTCGGTTGAGAAGATGTCGGCGGAACCCAATCTCGAAGCTTGTGTGCTCAGTTTCAGCACTGGAGGACCGGGCTGCGGACGCACGAAGATATCGCTGATGAGAGCGGTGGCCATGAGATGATCCGTCTGGCTGAGACAGCCATCAGCCTCGAAACGAACCACACATTTGAGACTTTTGAAGCTGTATTGAACAAGGCGCTGGTGGGAAGCTGACTTTCTCACACTTTCTGGCCACTTCGTGTAGGCCTCTCGAAGAGAACGAGTAAGACCCATCTGAGTTTTTGCGGATGAACTCTTCTCGACCATGAATAGAGTCTTGTTGATCTTCTGAGCCAGCACTTGGAATGGTGTGTCATCGCCCTGTACAAACTTGATGAGATTTTTAAGAGTGTGGTCGCTTGCGAAGATGTCAATGGCTGAGGTGACGAACGACTTGTCTGGAAGTTGAATGCGATTCACAGCAGGATCCATTTCATTCTCAAGAGTAAGGCTGTGTTCATGATCGCGGTAGCTTGTGCTAGGTGCCAGGCCGAGTTTAATGCTACCTGGAGGTGGACACCATGTACGAGGCGTTCCGAGGCCATCTTCGGGGAAGATCTTGCTGCCTGAGGGGAGAAGTGGTGATATCGTCAGAATGGCCCAAGTGTAAGATGATAGTTGTGCGAAATCCGAGATCTTCGCGTTGGCCTCGACCTCTTCATGAGTAATGTGGCTATTCTCGATAGTCTTCAAAGGTCTCTTTGGTGGAGCCATCTTGTCAACAGGCTGATCAATCTGTAAAGTCGCCGTCAATGTTCGTTTGTCAGTGCGGGTGTTGTGATGGAAAGCGTCCTGACGAGCTGACGGTCGTGTTTTGATGACACGTGAATTTGTTGTTCCTGCGGGTTAATGCGCGCTTGTTTCTTACGTTGTTCACTTCTATTGACCTGAGATGGTAGAATGAACTTTTACACATGATCCGTACACGGAGGAACAGGTTATCTCGAAATACTTATGCGGCGTTTGGAGTGTCAGGCCCATACCGCGCATCACATCAGCTCCTCACCGATGAGCATGAGCCCCTCTAAAAGGCATACTAATGCCCATGATGATACTGGAGTAATCGGCATACGTCAAAGCAGAAGAGCAGGCTAGCATTGTCGATTGCTACGAAGCAGTCATAGCTGATTCCCATTCAGAAGCTGAGAAGCACGTGCTCAGCAAAGCTTCTTTTTTCCTACCCACCTCAAGCGTTTGCGAATGCAGGCACATTGGGCAAAAAGCAGATGTTTGTGCCAACAATTGACGTCTACCAAAACAAACGCTCCGCCTGGCAAAATGATGTCGCAGCCGTGAATCGAACACGGGGCTCGTGCATGGCAAGCACGAATTTTACCACTAAACCACTGCGACAGATGATTGGGCGAGATCGCGACAATTGACATAATAATCCGACACAGACATGACACAAGTACTGGGATGCACTGAGCCGTCAGAATTCGTGAAGGTTTCAAGTCTGCCCAGCACCGACCCGCTCATTCATTACTCGACTCCACAATCTCCGGTCGTTTCACAACCTGACCGCGCAGGGAGCACCATACAGCTGGGCGCATTCGACGAGATCGATTACTCAAATACAACGCACTCGTCTGATCTGCGCGGTCATCAGTTGAGTGTCGAGTAATGTGCGTGAACACACTCTTACGTGTGGTCTTGCCGTTACCTCATCCACTTCTCCATTCTTCGTGTTCAAGGTAAAGGCATGAGTGTCCGACTCAATGCGCCACTGCAACATTGACGCAAAAGGGTATCCTGCATCGGATCCCTGCAATAGCGGACGTACAGCACTGCACCTTTAATTGATGAGCTACCATGAATTCGGTAATGCTGATCATCGTGCTTGTCCGACATATGGAGTACTCAAAGGGATGAAACAGCCCTGAGTAGAGGGAAGTCGAGTCCCGTAGCTTCTTCCCTTCCCTTCTTTCCTTCTTTCTTCTCTGATTCACTAATCTTGCACCATGGCGGAGGGGTCAACATTCGACGAAAAGGGTATGCCCGAGATGTCGCATCTACTCGAAGACTTCACAGACGAAGCAAAGACACGATCAGTCGGAGCCGAATCGAGCAGCCCCTCGCCAACATTCCACGCCAACCTCTCAGGCCTCCAACGACCCCAATGGTCGAGTCTCTTGTCCTTCTCCAAGCGCTTTCTTTTCTTCCTCCTACCAACATTCATCCAATATAGACTCTACCCCGAGCTCGCCAAGGTCGAACGTCTTCACCCCTCCGGCTACCTCGATGGTATGCGTGGTCTCGCAGCCCTTTTTGTCTTCTTCTACCACCTCTCATACTCCAGCCACGATGTGCTCACGGCCTATGGTGGCACTGGCAAGCCTGACGAACATCATGAGTTCCTCAAGCTTCCCTTCATTCGCTTCTTTTATACTGGACCCGCAATGGTGTCGATCTTCTACGTCGTCTCCGGCTACGCTCTCTCGTACAAGCCTGTCAAGCTCATGAGGAACAAGAGTTGGAAGGATCTACTACATACACTATCGTCAGCAACATTCCGTAGAGCGATCCGTCTCTATCTGCCTTGTTTCGTCTCAACTTTGATGATCGTCCTTCTGGTCCGCCTAGGCGCGTACGATGCCACCCGTAGCATTGCATACGACGAGAAGCGCCTGACTCAAGTCCGCGAGTTCCACCTGGTACGCTACAAGTCTCTGTGGCAGCAGTTGACTGATTGGGCCCATATGATGTGGATATTTGTGCACCCCTGGAGTTTTGGCACAAAGGACACAGACATCGACATTGACAAACATCTTTGGACTATCCCGTAAGTCTTCCGTCCTTACCTTTTCCATGCAACTACTGAATGTGTGGCTTTCAGAATGGAATTCCGTTCTTCACTGGTCTTGTACTTGACTCAGCTTGGTCTCGCACGCCTGAAGCCTATAGTCAGGGCATTGTCCTTGGTAGCTCTCATCGTCTGGTGTCACGAGAAGGATCGTTGGGAAATGTTTCTTTTCTATTCAGGCTTCCTTCTTGCTGAGCTTGATATTCGTCGACAGGCGCTGGCCGCTACAAATCGGGTTCTACCTGTGGCCGATTCCTCTCCTTTGAAGGCTTCACGACACCAGCAGTTATGGACAGCTTTGTATATCTCTGTCTTCTTGGTTGGTGTCTATCTCGGTGGTCAACCTCAGAACCACGTCGAGCACGCCCCTGGTTGGGCTACGCTCCATTCTTGGATCCCCTCCTACGCCTCACATAAGCAACGTTATTGGGTCGGTTGGGCCGCTCTCTTACTTGTTTGGTCTACTTCGAACTCTCCTCTTCTCCGACGTCTTTTCACGAATGGCCCCGTTCAGTATCTTGGCAAGATCTCATTCTCGCTTTACCTCATGCATGGACCTATCACACACACCATTGGCTATGCTTCTATGGATTATTTCTGGCGCACTATTGGTGAAGATACATACGCGACAAAAGAGGTTGGTTTCGTTGCTGCTGCGATTGTCGACATTGCAAGCACGATTTGGGCGGCAGACATATTCATGCGCATCGTCGACACCCCGACTGTACAGTTTGCTAAGTGGATTGAGAAGAAATGCATTGTCCCGCTAGAATAGAGGGGTTCCGGAGCGCCCTGTATAGGTACATACTTTTTCTTCATCTTGTACAATCTCTATCCTTCTGGTGCACTTGGCTCTCTAATTTCTGGGACTTTGGCGAAGACCTGGCGTTTCCGCAGCACTCATAAGAATTCCAGGGCGAAGTCGGAGTATGTCGAATTGTCCGAAATGTATGAAGTCCCATGCTTCTGGACAAAATACCGAAGTTGGAGACGCTAAAGTCTCTGTGCCTAACAAACACCACAACATGGCGACCCTCGCCGCGGTCGTGGCGATTACCGCGGCCGTACCGGCAATGCCCTGCAGTCTTGTGTCGGACAGCGCACAGAGACGACGGATCGCAGGTACCGAACGTGTCAAAATGGCTCTCGATGCTCGCGATACCGCGATTGCATTGCTGTCTATCACGGAGGCACGGCACGAGAGCGTACTTTTCGTACTTGCGACGGGAGCGTCTGCATACCTTTTGATGTGTGACGTGGTGCCCGAGGGGCGTGTCGACGTGACGAGGATGGGGGGG